TCTTTTTTCAGCAAACCTTTCAATTGATTAGGCGAAGTTCTGATATCTCAGTAAAGTTGAACCGATCACTTTAGAAGAAGAAATCAAGCACAACACTAACTAAAATTGGTTCATGCAGCAGTGTTTGGAAGAGAACGTAGCATCATTATAAAACTTTTGACTTTAATTCCCTCATCTGCAATATGGTGTTAAAATCCGTCAGTAATTCGATGTACATCGGTCGATATCAAGAATTATCTAAGAAATTTCCCAATCAGTTGAAATAAGGGCTTGCACGCTGGAATATAAGCTCGCAATCAATGCATACTTGTAATGTGCTGGAACAAAAATGTCAAATATAAGGGCATATTAGTAGGCTTGAGAACAATATCTGTGTGAGTTTCAGTACAAGCTAACAGATATGGTGTGAAGTAGAAGCGTGGTCAACATTGAAATAATAGTCATTATTAGTATTACTATAGGGAAGGTTAATTTCTTTTTTTGTACTGCTTGTATACCTCTATTGATTAATCATTAAAATTTTTTAACACATTAAAACCATAAGAATTTCAATACAAACTCAAGTATTATTCTACACTGATCATTGTTGTATTAACCGGTGCTATACTTTAAATTTTGCCTTGTATATTATTCGTAATCTCATAAGTGAAATTATGAACCATAAAAATGTTCTCATTTGCACACTATACAACAAAGATCTTACTCAATTGGGAGATTACTTAGTTTGCAATTTTCAGTACAAATTAGACTTTATTTTTTTTACACTGTTTTACTGAATTGATAATACTATCCTTCTCGTTTTTGCCGTGGTTATATCACGTAGCCCCTATTTCATTCCTACTGTAAAAATTTTCCATTGTATTCTTCAAGCTCTCATTACGTCATTTGATATTCGGAAAAGGGCTTAGCACATTTATTTTGGTTCTTGAATGAACTAAGGAATTAGAAAATGCTGTGCTTAAATCCACAAGTATGAGTTAGGTAAGTAGTCTGGAAAAGCAATTTGTTTAAAATCGGCATACAATATATTCCCAAATTACACAATGTTTGTCTCAAAACATGAGTAAGATAAAGATAACATTAATTCTTGCGCAATCGATAAGTGAATACTGGAGCCCGCAGTTTGTTTAGTTTTCATTACTATTCAGAGAATTCCCTGCATCTTTCCCCATAATTACATATTACATACATTATTGGTTGTCATAAAAGCCTGATTTTGGAATCACAATATCTGAATAAGAGCGCAAACAATTTTGTTTTTAATTGATTGTCGTGAATAATATTTAGTAGACAGTCCTTCATTAACTGGTCAGTTTGAGTATCTGAGAAAAATGATTTGTCATTTCTTTGTGGCCCTATTTGGTCAAATAATTGAATTTTCAAAAGCTAATTCAATAGATATTACGTTGGGATATACTGATAAAATTACTAATAATTCCTAGTGAGTTTGTTAATCGGTTTTAATATAGTGTCCTGTGCTTCAAAGTCATCAATACCCACTGCTTTAAAGCCTCTAAATCTATACTGTTAAAGATTAGAATGGATGAAATTATGAAGATAATTTTACTGATGAAAGCATAGAATGCATAAATTTGAAACAGATTTTGTTTTTAATTAATTTCATATAAATTTGGATTCATTTCCTTGCCTCTTTTGAAAAATTTATCAAAAGACATATTCAATTTAGGGAGCATGAAACAAAGATGTCGTGCCTTACTTAAAATTGATCATGTTGGGAGAGAAGCATCAGCACGCAATATGGTGAACTCAAAATCCTAGGATATTTAATCCCCGCAGATACACTTTGATGTCTGAGATATTAACGTCCCAAATTATTCTAAATACCATTTATTGATATCAAGTTTGCATTAGTAAACTTTGATTACAGATGAGTAGCCCAACATGTAGCTTGAACGAAATTTGTACCTCTACTGAAATGTTTTGTAAATATTATAGTTATCTACAAATAGAATGCGTCATGTTTAAGGTCTAAGCAGCATTACCAATTCTGTTTTGATATGAAACTTAGATATATGAAACTAAGAAGACTGAGTCTTAGATTTTGTTAGTTGATACATATTTTCCATTAAAATTAGTGACACTCATTGTCAAGAAATAGTACATTAAACATCTTAGATGACGTTTGTAATAGTCGTTTGGGTAGGGTCTTATTAGTGAGGGTGCAATATTTGCTAAGGAGGTGTGACGAATGATGAATTGCTTTGCAGTGCTCAGTGGTATTCTGAATAATCAGTATTACATCATTTGTGCTATAATAGAGCATCTCAAAATAGAAGCACATACATCGTATAAAATTTGAAGACGGTATATGTACTCAATTTGTTTGAGATCACAAATTTTTTCAAATTGTCGCATGAACTAACTAAAAAATTAGATATTCCCAAAAAACTGTTTATTTCATTTGCTTTGATTATTTAGGTAAGGCTGTCATCAATCATTGGCAGTTCTTCATATTAAAGCTATTTCAAATGGTATATCTGCATGGATCATGACCTTTTCATCATGAAGATTTGTGTGTTTTCTGGGGTTTGAATATATGTCTTTTTAGTAGTAGGCAGAAGAGATTATTTTACCAATTTGTATTTTCAGGTTGAGAATATATACTTGAATATCTGGTATAGGACTCGTTGTCAATCCAATTTTATAAAAGTAGTAAATAAATAGAAAACATAGTAGAAGGCTAAGGTGAAGTAGTATTTTGAATGGATTTGAGTATCGTTGAATAAAAAGATTGATGTGAAAGTTTTTTTCACTTTTAATTCTCATGTGTTACATGAATAAAAACATCCAAAAGACTTCAATCGTTCCTGTTTTGAAGTCAAATTTGTACCAACAAAACCTAGATGGTGCAGATACTTATATGTTTATATGTACTCTTATATCCATGTTTAATTCAATTTGTAAGTATTATGCAACAAAGTTATCTGCATAATCTAATCGTACTTTTCTATATGAACGAATTAAACTCTAGAGTGAATGTGTAACATATCATAGTCAAAAGTGAGCATTAGAACTTCTCTTAAGTTTTTATTTGGAACCAAATTTATGGAAATTTCTTTACTCAAAGTTCAATAATTGAGAAATTAGATGCGACGGAAGATGCTATATTATTAAATGTATTTTTATTGGAACATTCTTTATTGTTCATACAGAGAATTGAAGTTGAGGATAGTATATAGATCAAATGTTGATGAAAGTCGATATAATAATATGATTTTCTCGAAAATGATAATTATTTTGTAGAAAGTATATGTAGAAAAGCTGCAGTAAATTATGTCAAAACGTATCTACAGGGATATATTTTATTAAAGTTTTAAGCGCATTGTCAAATAGGTAAAAACGTCATTAACATGTTAGTCGGCAAATCCTAAGATTTTGTTCTTCTTTTAATTCATTTTTTTTTTTTTGTGAGTGAGGCTCTATGATACAGTAGGGGAGGAAATGATTTCGAAACTCCTTCTAAGAGCATTATTTTTCCATGACTGGTTTGTATGCCATTTATAATTTGAAAATTGGAACCAAGTGATGGAACTTCAAAAAAAGAGCTTCCGTCTTACTTATAATTTCTAGTGAATTTTTTTGGTTTGTAATTTACAAAAAAATGGATAGGATGGTTATTAGTTGTTTTGTATGTTCCACGCGTATATATAAGGAACAAGTTGACTAACTAAAACAATATATCTCTTAATTTACTGTTACATTATTTTCCGACATTACTGAAAAATAGACATTATGTTGGGTTTATGTATGTCAAAGATTTATATGTTGTAAAATCGAGATCGAGTTATATGAGTGTATAAGTGTAAGCTTACTTTATCAGCATATTGAAGTTGTATTTTCATCTTTAACTTATCAGATTAAAATTTAGAGTATCGTCAACAGATACGTAGACAGTATGTGCTTAACTGATTTTAAGGTGAATTGATGCGTATTTGTTATAATGCATGCAATAAACAGATTTAACGATATCGTCAAGTCATCTATATGTCATTCCATTATGACAGCTTATAATAATAATAGTATTGGAATAAATGTAGTTTATGAACATTTATGAGTTCACCTATGATAGACTGTAGAATTTAGTATTTGTCCAGTTGAGTGTTGACATTATTGTTAATAATTTTCCTTGTATTATTGAGTCTACTAATAGGTACTATTGCAGAGTAAGAAAGACAGCCTAAATAAATATCATTTTGATAAATTTTAATGCATATTTTTCTTAATATCATTGGATGTTTCAAAATTGCATTCTTCTGCGACATTTATTCACCCTTTTTTGTTCTACTAGATTTGATGGATATTAAGTACATGGTAATACAATTGAAAAGACTTTTGTGTCCCTCTGTTTTCAATTACAATTTCAATGTGACATTTTGACTTTAAAATCGAATATGTTGTAAGGAATTGATTCATATAAGTTTAAATATAACCTTTCAATGTAAATTGACTGTCATTGCCTCACATGAAATTGCAGTTTATCGCACAAAAAATAATAGGAAAAAGATGGGAATGACATTTTTGTGTATATCGCACTCTATTTTATATTGTTTATATATTAATTTTTTAGATTTGAAAAAGCTTGGATAGATATCTTTTGAATGTATAATTCGTTACGTATATAGTTCGTTTATTAAGGTCATAATATTGTCAATGTCAATAAGAGCTAAATTATTGTTCCAGGTAATCTTCCTGTTATTTCAACAACGCCTTTTAATTTTACTTATTCAATACACTCAGATACACTGGTTCATCTGTTTTTAACATAAATAGAATGGATTGACGTCCAACATTAACCAACTCGTATTATTGGGTAAAATAGCATAGATGGTATTCAAGTTATTCAAGATAACCCTAAATCTCTGAAGTTTGGGTCAGCTATAACATCATTGGCGAGTGATGGATCAAGAAATTAGAGCTGTTAGAAAGACCATATTATTCTAATACTATAATATTTTTAAAGGTATAAAAGAATGTTCATCTCACTTCAAGAATAAGCAATTCCTAATATGTTGCTCAGAGACCACCTCATTTGAAAAATCACTGATGCAAACTTCACTGTCAGTTACGTCCAGCTGCTCACTTTGTTCATACATTGGCATCGACCTTTCTTCTCTCTTGTGCCTATTCTGATTTTCGAGCACACATTTATATCGCATAATACTTTCTTCCACTGTATTTTCAAGCATGAAATTCCAAACATAGGTTTCTTGGCGTTGACCAATTCGGTTATTTCTACTCATAGCTTGAATTTCTTCATTCACATTAAGGATTGGATCTAATAGAAAAATGTGTCTCGCGTTCAGCAGATTGAGCCCTGCTCCCAATGAACGAATATTAAGTAGGAGGCATGTTATATCGCTGGTTTTTTTGAATCGCGCAATCATATCTCCAACATTACGATTATTTTGTAGGCAGCATATGTTGTTGATGTTATGCAGCGATAAAACTTGAGAGACAACTTTCATAAAATCAAAGCTTTGTGAATACATTAAAATTTGTGGTCTTGTCGCATCCTCTATTTCACTCTGGTGTAACAGAAATAGCACTAACTTAATAATAAAGTCAATTTTGGAGCCATAGCTCTCCTTGATAATGATGTCTGCAGTTGTTTTGCTTTGTTTAAACCTTTCATATTTAGTTAAAAACAAAGAGTCAAGTGTGTTCTCGAAATTTTGCATGTTTGGATATCTGTGGTGGCGAGTTTTGTTATCACATTTTGTTTTTCTTGAACTTCCGCTTTCAAGTTTGAAGGTGAAATTATAAACTTCACAATTAGAGGTTGGGTGTTTGCAAAGTGGGCAAGTTTTCCTGTTCTTCAGCCATGAAAATATACATGATGTACAAAATAGATGGCCACAGTTCACCATAGCACCATTAGTGATTGGTTGTAAGCATATTGAACATTCCATGGTCGTGTTTTTCTGGGCTTCATATGTTAGAGTCGACAAGTTATGTAAGTATTTCACTCTAGACTCCGTACTAACGATCTTTCTTTGAAGCTCTTGTTTTTTATTCACATTTGAGATAAATTTTCTCAAGCTGCTGAGAGTAGTACTATCAAGTTGAGATAGTGGAACAACCGAGTCTGAAATTCTTTGTAGATAAGCATAGTAGTCCACTTTTGCGTTGTAAACAGTATTTAACGCTTGTAAGTAACTTCTCAGTTGTGCATTCTCTTTTCGAATTTTCTTCAGACATTTTTTATAAGAGAGCAAAGATGCCTCAAAGGATTTATCATTAGATTGTTTTTTGGATATTCTGTGAACAATTCTAACATTTTCCAAGTCATCGAATATCGTCTTAAACGGGGTACCAGAAATGAGAATTTGATCTTTCAGTAACTCTGTATGATATGTAGACAAATTCTCATAAAGACTTAAACTTATTTTTGGTGGTGTTACTTCCTCTTCGGCCCTTACAATTTCCTCTCTATTGGAAATCAACTTTTCTAAGCAATCAAATAATGCGTAAATTTTATCTTGATCCTCAATGGATGATGCATATTCATGAGTTTTTTCGGGTGTATCACTATCATACTCTTTTATTATAGGCATGGAAAGTAGATCATATAGCAGATTTATCTGTCTGTTTGATTGTATTGCTTGTTCATCCAATTTACTGAACAAATCCAAAAGTTTACTGTAACATTTATTAGTTGATAAGGAAATGGAGCAGTTAGGCAATTCTTCAAATTTTATTAACATAATGGCTTTAGTTGGAAAATGCGATTTTTGAACCTCATCCAATTCTTGCTCAAATTTTGCTATTCTGCCCTTAAGAATGGATCTTCTGATATTTTCAGCACGAGAATAATATTCGTCTTCTAAATTTTTATGATATGCAATCGACTTTATTTCATCAGGGGAGAAATGATTTTTTAGTGTCTCATCATTACATAAATCATCCTGCCTAATAGGAATGCCAGCATCTTGTTTGCATTCAATTTGGTATGATCCTAAATAATAGTAAGCTGTGGCGATAAAGAAATAGCACTGATGTAATAGTTCTAGTAAATGCCGACATGATTTTGAAGATGCATGTGAATCCGCTATATCGAGATATTCGAGGAAATTTAGAATATCATTAGAAGATTTGGTAAGTGGTTTTAATCTGTCGAAAATATTCTTCTCTAGGCTAAGCAAACAATCAATCGCAAAGTTATATCTTCCTTGTTCTTCTATATCAAATTGAGCACTTCGGATTAGTAACTGAAATTGCTCTCTATATAACGATTCCACCTTATCTTCCGCTTCTGCCTTCATTTTTTTTAAGATGTCGTTTAGAGTATGAATTTCGTTTGCTGTCGTGATATTGTTGATTGAAGCCGAATGAGGAAGAACTGCGTGACAGCAAATATATCTCAATTTGTGAAGCCACTGGTTTAATTGTTGATTGGTTAAATGGGTAGAATTTGTGCCATCCGGATTAAACCCTGAATCTTCAAGGAACGATTTCCAAACTTCAAGGTAACTTTCCCATTCGATAGGAGTAAATTTTAGAGGGATTAATAAAAGGTGTTGTTTTGGAATTTTGATTTGACTTGAAACGTTCGCTTTTGAATGTCTAATTGCAATATCATATTGCTTAAATATGTAGAATAGGTCAGAAAGATTGGTATTAATTCCATTCTTGATAACTTCAATTTCGTTTATGGGACATCCATTTTCTGCTGAGTACATCTCAGTTAATCCAACAGAAGCATTATCTAAATTCTTTATAAGTTCAGGAAATTCTGAAAAGGGATGTATTTTCAAATATGATAATATAGTCTGAAAATCCCTGACTTTTTGAATTGGTGTACCTGAAACACCCCATGTATGTACTCTGTGTAGAAGAGATGTACAAATAGCAGCCTTGGTACTACCGCTGTGAAGCATTTGTAGTTCGTCCAGAATAATTCTGTAAAATTGCATTAGGGAAAGCGGAGAAGAGTAATCGTATTGAACATGGCGGCGACGATTTTGGCGAAAGGCATTATTAAATTGCGCATAATGGACTTCATTTGAAACAACATTATAAGATGTTATAACAATATCATATTGAGACAGTTTCTGTACAATAGTATTAATATTATCACACGCAAATTCCTTCTTAACTGCAATAAATCCCCCATAGTGATAAATTTTAATCGCAGGATGCGTAGACTGCATTTCGTCAATCCACTGTTTTAAGATTGATCCTGGGCAAACGATCAGAGTAGTAGAGCACTTAGAAATAACTTTACCTGATTCACTTACAAAATCAAGGGGTTCATCCGCTTTATATTTTCTCTTGTTGATACATATCAGAGCAAGTATTTCTAGTGTTTTTCCCAAACCCATTTCTTCAGCTAAGACACCTTTGGCTCCTACTTCGTATTCATTAAAGCTAGACTTTAAGGACCGAACTTCTTCCTGAGAAAGTATATAGCCGGTATACTTGTTCCAAAAATAAAACTGTTTTGACACTAAATCTTTTATGGTTGAGTAACCAAAAGATACAGAATGGTTCAGAAAATACAACAACTCAGATACACTATCTTCGTGTTTTTGATCACTAGTAGTAGTTTTGCTTACATTACAGTCAAAATAGTGCTCCTTCTCGAGAAGCCACAATAGTGAGTCTTTTTGAAATGGGAATAGTTTACCATTTATAACAGAATCAACTGCTGTATATTGTCGATTTGCCCTCAAATTTTTTAGTCTTTCATTTGTGCATGATATAATATACTGATTGAAATGAGATTGAACATAGTTAGAAGTCATTTTTGGAAGATAAAGTTCATTTGAGGCTGGTATTAAAGATGTAGAAATATCTTGAAGTAGAGCATTTACATCGGCAGTAAATTTATTTCGTTTGTCTTGGTTGGCAATAACAGAAAAAGATACGTGAATTTGCCAAACTTTGGAATTTTGATTGAAAGTCAGTGCTTGTTTAGTTACTAGTATGTCTTTATAATTTCTTGTTGGTTGGATTAATCCAAAAGCAATTTTCCTTTTTTTCCTTTTCTGTTTAATTCCAGCTTCGCTTCTCAGCTTCTCATTATTCAGTATAACTTTCTGATCTATATATTTTTCATTTAGTATTCTAAAATAATGATTAATCGTTGATGTTTCTGTCTCAGGTTCCAAAGAAAAAAGTAATATACCTTTTTGATTGTATAACTTCAATCTAAACATGGACATTTTCTTATCTTCACTTTCCGTCTGAATGGGTAAGATTGATACATTCATCTCCTTTAGATCAGATGGGTACCCTTCTGTTGGTCGTAATATTGTTAATGTCAGTATCCCAACATGAATTAGACGCTTGTTTTTAAGCCAACTACTAGCTTTCTCCCTCTCAGTTATAGCTGTACCATATTCAACTTCACTGAAACCGACAATACGGCAATTCACTGAATCGGTATGCATCTCTTCAGTAACTACTTCGGTTTAGTCATATACAACTAAATATTTTTTTTTGGCTTCCTTTATGCAGTTGACATCAAACAATAATCATATCTTAATTCACTCATTACATATTTGGTCTTTAACTTCAAATAACCTAATCATTTTAAACTTGCTTAGTTATGTTTGTTTATGTAATCGAAGAGAGCATATTCTATTGTGTGGCAAGCTAACAACTAAAAAAAATTAAAAAAAAATTCGACCTCGGTGAGGATTGAACTCACGATCTTGCGATTAACAGTCGCACGCCTTAACCAGCTTGGCCACGAAGTCGCAATGGTAGGTGTAATTATTGAACAAAGATTACTTAGTACCTAAGTAAGTGATACACGGTCTCACGTGACTCATATCAAGGAATATATATGAAACGTAATAGATAGTCCAAATAGGAGACAATTATGTGAAATTGGAGAATAAAGAGATACTTTTGAAGATACGCTTTTAAGTTGTCTGGTCTCTAATCTGGACAAAGCCACACTCCCAAAAGTATATAAAGGAGACTATTCCCCAAGTAACTAGCTATCTTATATTACTTTCTTTAAACATTGCTGTATTTGCTATGAGGACTTCGTAAGAGAGTAACCAAATATAATTTAAATTTCTTTACTTAACTTTAATTCTATAGTAAATTTGCTAGACAACTACCATGGAACTTGTTTATCCGTTGTTATGTCAAGCTATAGCCATTGATGAATTAGCTTCCCTAAAGCAACAGTAACAACAGAATTAATTGCTAAATGTAGTAATATTATTTATTACTTTACGTGTTAGGTTTAAGGTGGGAGTTCTGCTAATATTTACCCTAGATTTAGGCTCGACCTAAAACCTAAGCTGTACAATAGTTGTTATTATTACTTGTTATATTCTTTCTTCTAAAAGCGACTAAAAGGATCGATAATCAATAACCTTACCGTTGAAGATTTTTGGGATACTTTATATACCTTTTGTTATTATACTAATTGAGCGATTATAATATGCATTGCAATTCATTTATAGTATTCATAATTAGACGGATGCATTTTTTAACTTGTTATTACTTAGTAGTTATGTATGTAATTGTTGCTTATTGTGTGTCCTTTGCACATCAACATGGTTCCCTAAGACAAGGTCTATGGATTTCTTATCTGTCTAATTGTGATTTTCTGTGTTGATAACTTTCTTTTTTTCTTCCTCAAAAGTACTTGGACTACCGGCATGAGCACTGAAGAGTCCGAGACATCTAGCTTAGCTTATTGGAATTGTTGATTGTTACTTTTCCTATCGTATTGATAAGTATTGCATCTCGCAAGGCTTGAGCGTTTATTAGTTAAGTCGTGTAGCTTGATTACTGAAACATGATCATGTGGTCTCAGTCTTCGAATCCATACCCTTACAAAGAAATTGAAACAACAAGTATGTGATAACTTATTCACGTTCTAAGATAATACCATTACAATGCAAGAACAGATTTTGGAGATTCGTATAATACGAATAGCAATTTCAGGTATATATGGTAAGGACTCCAAATCTGTTGGTTTCAACACCATTTGCTAAGTCGTGAAACGAAAGTTATAGCATATAGTAAAATCTTTCAGGAGCTTGGTAAAATTGTGTTGCGATTTATTCTGGTTCAATGAGAAAAAAGGGTAATATATTAAAAAAGAACTTGAGATCAATATAGTTCTAACCTGACGTGATAAATTTGAGAACAGCTATATTTGGTAAAGAGAATAAGTGGTTATATACAGCTCGTATGCAATCCCAACATAATAATAATATTTTGATTAGGAGGACAGTATTATGTGTATTTACTTAACTATACCATTAGCATATACCTAACCGAAGTGTAGCACAATACGGTTTTATTGTTTAGGTAGCCAGATGCTCAATAACTCTTTACATTTATGTCACCATATGGGAAGGGTACTACTTTCATTAAACAGTACAAAGTTACCTATGGCAGATATGGGGAAGCATGCAAATGATAATTATCATTGTATACGAAACTAGTTGTGAAAGTCTAATTGAACGGTGATATTACCGTTCTTTGAAGGGCGTGTGGTCTAGAGGTATGATTTCCGCTTAGGGTGCGGGAGGTCCCGGGTTCGAGTCCCGGCTCGCCCCCCATTTTTTTTTTGGCTTGCTAAGCTTTGGATGAAAGTTTGGTTGCAATACTAACACATATTAAATACTATGGGCCAATATAAGTTTCAGGTGTCCATAAGAATTTCTAATCATAATAATATACCCTTACTCTACTTAATGCTAAAAAGCATGATATGTAAACGTTGACTTACTAACTTTGGGTCATAGCTTTGAAAGCTACTATCAGCTTCAGTAAAACTACACCCTCATAATCGTATCAGTTCATGTTAATTATTTTCATCTACGCACGGTATTGCCTCATTGAAGTTATGTAAACAGAATAGACATGGCCCTCTTTACCTCCTTTGGAGTTTATGAGAGACCTTGTAAAGACCTCCTAATGAAGGCCATATAATGGCTTTAAACATTGTTCGTCGACTGTACTCTGTTTAACTCAGTACACGCTCCAGTGTGTCGTTTCCTTCCAATTGATCCATTACCGCAATGTGGTGTAGTACTTCTTTTTTGCTTGATTCAGCTATTGCTCCATCACACATGACTAGCTCATCTAGGATATCATACGCCTTGTGGAAATTGAATATTATATCTAGTTCACAAACATTCTCAAAATATGTGTCCATTGTCTCCACATACCTATGGATTAACTCTAAAGTGAGTAGTTCATTATCATGGCCTATGGTTATCCCACATATGAAATATAGACTAGCGTATCTCCTGAATACAACTTTATGATCAGAATATTCCAGTATGTTACACATTTTAGGTTTTCGTGCAAGTATTGTTGGGGTTAAATCCTTGATAATTTTTGCTTTCTCTTTTGTACTCAGAGGTGCGTACCATTTTGACAATCTTACTTTGCCTTGTCTTGAAACGAGGAGTAGATATTTGAGATGAGTCATCTTATAGATACCAATTATATTCCGTCAGCGTATGTTGGATTTGATGTAATCAGTGAACTATTTGTAGTTACTGACATAGCATTTTGTTACTGTATCATTTTATAGCGAATGCTACAAGCCAGACTTCGAACATTCGTTTTCGTATAAACGGTTATAGTACATTTGCGAGCATAGAACGACATCTGTTATTTCTAGATAATGGCCCGATATCAATTAAAAAACCTAGTTATCAGCTAGTATTGCTATTGCAAGCTAGTAGCTAGTTTCTTCGTATTATACATAGTATATTAAAAGTGCTGTTGATAAGCAGTCATGTTAATTAGAGTTACGGCCGTTTTGAGTTATGTTAACAATAGGTTTAGTCTTCTTCTTCAACAGGAGGAACCCAGGGAGCTGGTTTAAAGTATTCCTGATCTGCTATAACGTCGTTTTTAAACTTCTCTTTGTTGTCAGTAAATTCCAATAGATACTCCAATTCCAGTTCATGAGATTGTCTACCTAGAATGACCAGAGAATGCAATGGCTCCCCCGCATCATATTCTGCAAGCTCTTTTATAGTACCGGCCTTAAAACTTTGTGTTGGAGAGCCTAATCTGCTAATACCTACAACTGGGGTATCTGCAGTGTATGCTTTTTCGGCCCGTAGTTCCTCGATTTCCAGTAGCTGTTGGCAGCATTGAGCGATGCTCATGTATCTTGGTGGCTCGTAGATTAGTCTGCCTCTTGCCATGTTTTCTAAACTTTGTTCCTTGACCTTGATATCTAGTAGTACAAGTGTGTGAAGGCCAATTTTCCTATTCTCCATGACCTTGTCATACCAAGAATCTGGTCTCCAACTATCTGTGAAGAAAACCATGGAGATTGTTTGGCCAAAGTTATAGAGTTGCAAACCACATGATCCCACGGCATTCATAACAGATGCATTGTGGATTACCTCTACTGGGATTTTATCCTTCTTAGCTCTAAGAACAAGATCAGTATGTGTAGTAGCACCAAAAGGATCGCCGACAACCAAAAATGCAACATTTTCTTTGTCTGCATCACGCAAAATATCGGCAGAGCCACTTTCAACTAACTCTCTATCTGCCAAAATAACTTCTTTCCCGTAGAATTCTTCTAATTCTTCTTTGGAAGCAGCCATCAAAATACTTGTGTAGTGCTCTAGATACACTCTAGTACAATTCTTGACGGCTTCCAAACCACGTACAGTTATATCACTCTTGTATGATAGACCCAACCCAATAAGATACAACATCTCTTTTAATTTTCAATTCTATCACTATAGTTATGTAAGCTACTTTGGTCGAGAGATAAGTTATTCTTATATAGCCTGACAGCTATAAATATATTTTCTATATATTTAAGCTCACATCAATCTAACGCAAGTCATCGCTGTTTGCTCATTTTTGAAAATTTTCATGATTTGGATCTTTTCGCACAGGTAACATTTGATTGTGACACCCTAAATTACATTAATAACAATGGGAAGAAAACTTAGCATTTGATACTCATCAAATGTGAGTTACTTGATAGATATAGATAATTATATATATTCAACTCAATATTTTTTTCCCTCACATCAATTTAATAGATTCTATAAGGATGGAGACTCAGTCGCTTTTGCCAAATGAAAGGCCTAATGGTTATTCATATACAGGTGATGAGTTGCCATCCGATGGACAAGAAAATGGCATCGAACCCACTGTCATGGTTCAGAGAAAGAAGCAATGGTATCTTAATTGGAAGGTTCTTCTTTCTCTGTTTATTTTGGTTAATCTAGTTATTGTCAGCCTTGTTGTTGTCTCATGGATACCTGATACTGACGAGATGCAAGACAAGTTTGGGAGGATAACCAACGGTAAGTTAGAAAGCTTTCATATTGATGGTTGGCTAGATGAGGATAACGGTGGGTTGAATACTGAGTATGGAAAAGAATTACAAATATCTACATCAATGAAAGTATGGTTTGACTATGATCTTTTAGAGGATGTTGAAGAGCGTAAAAAGTTTAAACGTCTTAGCGAAGGTATAATTAAAAGTTTTTGTTTCAATGTTCAAAACATAAGCACATATGATTCGAGCACCTTTTTGGGCAGCTTGAGAATAGTTGAACCAATTTGTTTGGATTTAAAGGATGGGTATGTCAATACCATAAATGTTACTGTACTGGTGAAACCAAAAATGATCAAGATCGTGGGTGTTCTGAAGAAGCTATGGAGGCATGAATATGATAACTTGAATATTCGCTCACATTTGGATATTAATGTTCACAAATATTTGATTCCGGGAATGCATTTTAAGGATATAAGAGTTAAATGGGATGATTTTATAGATTGGGATAAAATTGCTATTAGTGTTAAAGAATTACACGATTTACTACAGAGGAGCAATCTCGGATTAAAGACGATAAATGTGAAAGAGCAAACAAACGGGTTCCATGTACGACTAGTGCCAAAGGTGACCGATCTTGTCAATGATATCAGTCGATTTCTTAGGCATCGCCTATTCTTTAACCAGGCATTTGTAATCCCGGCCCTTAAATTAGATGTTAAAGTTCCCGATTGTTTGGAGCTTTTTAGTATTGGGTTGTCTAATGCTTATATAAGGACTGAAGAGTTTAGGTTTGATCCACGAGTTGATCTTGAAGATTCACAAGAGCCTATTGAATTACAATGTGAGCTAGAAGCCCCGTTACCTGAACAATTCATCACTCAGGAGTGTTGGAGTTTTAATGGGCATCGAATTACTCCCTTGACCAAGATGTTAAACAAGCTATTGAACTCCAAGGATAAAGTTGGAGTTGGTATTTCTGCTGATGTTTTAGATCAGAAGCATGATAAAAATCAAATGATGTCTCAATTATTAGTAGCAGTTGGATATGTGCCTGTATATGGCCATATTTCGGTGAATAGTTCTACACTATTACAGGAATGCGTGCTAGAAGATATCAGTTTGAAATGGCAGGATGGTCGTTTGAAATTTGTCGGTAGTATTCATGAGCAAGTCAACTTATCATTTTACGAACCGATGCTATACAAGAATGACGATAGTGATGATAGAAATAGCACCGATGCCATAACTGTGACTGGTATAAAGGGCAAGATCAAACTATATCACGAAGGGGTGCATTTCTTAAACGTTCCCATGGAGGAATGGATCCCGGTCAACTCAGTAATCGAAAGGGACGATTGTGGGACACCTCAGCTTGTGGTTGATGTAGATGTTGGCAGCGACAATGTCGAGGTATTAAACAAGTGGGAGTTGAGTAAAGTATTTAACGAGATGGTGTTTCAAGGTGAAACCCAGGTAGAGTATCGAAACGCGCTGGACGTGCAAGTAACTACACTACTGGGTGGATTCGATGTCTTAGGGCTGGAATGGACAGGAGAGACCACAGTGACATAGTTTCAATATTTCTTCATCTTTGTTTTTGATTTGAATAAGATTTAAGATAAGATGGTTTTACTTTTTAGAAGATCACTTCTTTATATAAAATGCTAGCACATGACCTATTTTTGGCTTCCCACCAAAAACCAAAAAAGTAAAAGATAGATAAAACCTCAACCGGATGAAAGGACAAGTGAAGACAAATGACAAGGGGAAAAAGCAAATTGATCGATGGATTTTTTCTCAATTCCTCATCCCCTTTCCTTCTGACACACACACACACACACACACACACACACACTCCACGTAGATCAACGAACAAGGTTCTACGGATGAATGGAAGAAATTTTTTTATTTTTTTCGTTGAGACACAGGATAATGCGAGAGGAGAGGAGAGTGATATCCGTACTGATCTCCTTAGTGAAAGTGCACTTTTCTCCTCGCCCTCGCCCCTCCCCTCTTCTTCTGGAATGTATGGAGACATAAGAGATGACTGCGCTTTTGGGTTTGTGTGACATTACTGCTTGAAGTTACGTGGGAAGGCGGATGGGGGGGGGTGGGGAAGAAACCCAGCAGAGTGGCGAGTAGAGAGAAATGGGCTAACCTAAAAACAGTTACACCCATGCCTCACATATCAATCGCAGTTATTACACCCACACACCTCACACACACTGTTCTGCAATGGAAGAAACCGCTTGACTGTGAGGAAGGGATGGAAAAAAGCTACAAGAAGGGCCAATCAGAGAAGACTTTGGCAAATAATAGGGAAGGACTCTCTCTCTCTCTGACACACACACTTTCCATCGTTGTCTTGCTGACTGTATAACGTTCTCGCAAAGGCAAGAGCCCCCAGATGCTGATCAGCTCAGGTCTGTACTGAAAAGTCCGTGATGTCGGAGCGAGAAGGGAGAAGGGAGAAGGGGGATTAGGGCCATATTGTGATGTAGTGTACCGTAGTGTAGTGTAGGGCGAGTCGCATTTGAAGCTAATTTGATAGAGAAATACAATTGTAGTATAGAGATAGCTGGAGGTGTCCAATAGAGGAGTCTCTTGGTATTACACTAAGTTCCTGCTTGGCCAATTAAAGCGACAGTTGCTGATTGTGATTGTGTTTTATGAGTTGAAGTGTACGTATTGCGCTTTAGCGGTGTTATAACCCTTAAAAACATGAGTTGGCTTGTGCGTGCAATTAGCTGAGAGGTGTGAATGAAGGAGTTTCTCCTGCGACAGTCCAGTTGTGTTAGCAGTCTTTAACTGGATAATTATTATTATTGCGTTGTGTTTTGCTATTGACTGATCGGTTGGGATTACCGATTTCTCGAAGTGTAGTCCCCTCTAGTCTATGTGGTCATTAGTTTGTTCGTTTTTTTTCGGCTGAGTTATAGTGAGAGCTTGCTGTTGAGAACCGGAATTTTACTTTTTGGTGTATATAAAGGTTAATGACTTCTAAGGTTAGTCTTGCCGCAATTTGTGGATCCGCTTATTGAGTTAGCGGAACAAGTTTCGAGACGTAGAAGCAAAAGCTATATTGCAACAAATTGAGGACTCCGAATCTGTAGAGCTAAAATTAAAGAGACAACTCACAGAAAATAGTATCAAAAAAAATGAGTAAAGTTAAGGTAGTTAATCCCATCGTTGAGATGGATGGTGATGAACAGACAAGAATTATCTGGCATTTAATTCGTGAGAAACTAATTTTACCATTCTTGGATGTTGATTTGAAGTATTACGACTTGTCTATCGAATACAGAGATGAGACCAATGATAAGGTCACCGAAGATAGTGCCTTGGCTACTTTGAAGTATGGTGTTGCGGTTAAATGTGCTACAATCACCCCTGATGAGGCTCGTGTTGAGGAATTCAACTTGAAGGAGATGTGGAAATCGCCAAATGGTACTATTAGAAACATTTTGGGTGGTACTGTGTTCAGAGAACCCATTGTTATTCCTAGAATCCCAAAATTGGTCCCACAATGGAAGGAACCTATAATCATTGGTAGGCACGCCTTCGGCGACCAGTATAGGGCCACCGATGTCGTTATCCCAGATGAAGGTGAAGTTCGACTAGTGTACAAATCAAAGGATGGTAAAACTGATATCGATATTCCTGTTTATAATTTCCCTAAAGAAGGCGGTGTTGCTATGATGATGTATAATACTACTGAATCTATCCGTGGGTTTGCTAGAGCTTCTTTTAATATGGCTTTGGAACATGAAATGCCACTATATTCTACTACTAAAAACACCATCTTAAAGAAATACGATGGTAAATTCAAGGACACATTTGAGTCTATGTATGAAGCCGAGTATAAAGAACAATTTGAGGCCAAAGGTATCTGGTATGAGCATCGTTTAATCGATGATATGGTCGCGCAAATGTTGAAATCTAAAGGTGGTTTTATTATTGCCATGAAGAATTACGACGGTGACGTTGAATCTGATATTGTTGCCCAAGGCTTTGGTTCCCTAGGTCTAATGACTTCTGTACTAATCAGTCCAGACGGTAAAACTTTTGAGAGTGAAGCTGCTCATGGTACTGTCACTAGGCATTACAGACAACATCAACAGGGTAAAGAAACTTCCACTAACTCGATTGCATCCATCTTTGCTTGGACTAGAGGTATTATCCAAAGAGGTAAGTTAGATGAGACCGCAGATGTAGTCAAATTTGGTGAATTGCTAGAAAGAGCAACAGTTGACACTGTTCAAGAGGATGGCATCATGACGAAGGATTTAGCTTTAATTCTAGGTAAAACCGACAGGTCGGCTTATGTTACTACTGAGGAATTTATTGATGCAGTGGAAAATCGGATAAAATCAGAGTTCCAAAAGAACTTTTAATTAAAGTCTGCTATAAATTTGTGGAAATCTATTCCAGGAATTAATGCTAAAGTAGTCTATATAATAGCAATACATTATGTGATCTTAATCTTAATTAATATTCCATTATTTATCGATGATCAATTAGGATCGATTGGATTATTTGTAGTACCATTTCTAAATTATGTATTTTAGAGGTATTTTCTCTATTTATTCAATTACGATACTAACCCTAAATATTTCTTCATCTTATTTATCTTGGATTATTTACCGACTCAAAATTTAAAAAAATAAAAATTATGTTAACATATATGTATCATAAGAATTATGTGTATATGTATAATATGAATTATGTGTATATGTATAAAATACTTAACCGCCACTATGATGTTGTATTCGGCACAGGTAAATATTAATTTTTAGAACAAGATCTTTAATTATAATAATTACAAATCTAGGTTAATCCAAGTATATATACACAAATCTATGTAATGTTGGACCAGAAGAAAATTAATATTCTATATAAAAAGTATATGCATGGGTTTACGAGTCTTACTGTACCGACCATCAATCGAAAAAGTTCTAAAACTATACAAATAGTGTGTTCTTGACTGTGGTAATTTTTATCAAGTAACCAATATAATTGGTGCATGATGGTGGAATAGGTTTCTATTCATTTATAAAAATATTGGCTATCAGGCATGACAGATAATTATGATCAACAAAAAATCAGAAGTCCATCAAATACTATATAATACAATTCTGGCGTCTTCTACATTGAAGGTCTTAATTTTAGTTTTCACAGCCATATTAGAAGTGGTAGCTCATAAAGGATTGAAAAGATCAACATCATCTATAAGAAAAAAATCTTTAGAGTAACTTTCACAGGCAAAGAGATCAGTAATATTTCGGTTTAAAATAAATTAAAGTTCGTGACATAATTTTATGAGATCGCGATATCTCTCAAAGAGGGCAGAAATTAACATATATTCGACTAAAGGTTTTTATTTGCAGTTTTCATGCACCATATAATTCATTTGGTTACAGATTTTGATGGAAAGAGTAATGACCTGGATTAAAGCAGTCCATAACTGGAGATTACGTGGACATTTCAAGCACAAATCACCAGAAATAACATCAAAATAGCTATGCACTAAATGCTGGATGGCTTTCAATACTTCAGGATTGCCATAGTATTCCTTCATAGATGTATGTACTGTCTGTCCTAAGCTGCTTATAAGTGATGATAATGAAAACTTAGGGTCCACAATGAATTTCACTTGTCTTTCCAACCGATTCAAAAGTGCAGATTTGAACGTAGGATCTAAAATGGATTGAGGTTCGATGAACGGTATCACTGTTTTCAGGTCTATGCATTGATTCCAGTCCTGTTGCATTTCAGTTTGATGGTATCCCAAATTCTCTTGGACATAAGAGAGAAACTTGAATTTGCGCAATATTGTATCAGTAATCATGAAAAAGTTCGAGAAAATCATTTGCTTATGAGAAATAATAAGATCATCATTTTTCTCACAGCTAAAAAAGTGAGTTTTCAATTTTTCATAAAACACACAAAAGATTTTAAGTTCTTCATTTTTTTCTGCATCTAAACCATTCAATCTGAAAAACTTCATAATCCATTTTAGAATATTAGTAAACATTATCGTGTCAACAATATTTGTCCACCGCTTGACACTTGAGTTATTTGTTAGAAGGTTTAGAAAAGTATTAATATCAAAGTGATAATCCCTACAGAGATCTGTCATTTGATAAATAACAACAAGATTTTCAATCTTCATAAGCCTGAAATTGTTGATGAATAGATTACAATAGTTCTTGTAAAGCGGTTCAAACCTCTCTAGCAATTTAGTTTCTTCCTTATCAAAGACATCCGCGCTGATAATATCAAAAATTGCCGGAAAAGCTGTCTCATACAATAAAATGCTATTCTCCTCATTCACAAAACTGTTATCACAATACAGTAAACATGCTTGTCTGAGTTTTCTGATTTTTGAAATGTTGATATTTTTTTCCTTCACAGCGTTAAGTGGATCGTCGACGTTTGAAGAGCAAACTAATTTGGTAGACAGTTTATTGTTAGCCACCGATAACTCGCCGCTTTCGCTATCTAAACTGTTTCCAATCAGGCTCTTGGTTTCAATGATATTGTTCTCTTGTTGTGCTGGTGTAACTATTTTTAGCAATCTTAGTCCACAATAGTGGTATTTCGATTGGCCACGCATGCCTAACCTTCTAGTCTTTAGATTTGAGAAAATGGTACGAATCAACTTACCCAACGTAGCCTGCGAAAGTGGTTTTAAATCGAATTGCCTGCAAGCAATGGAATATTGTTCAAAGATTAACCCTCTAGGTACAAATGAGTTAGGGTCACTATTAGAACAGTTTTGAAGTAGCCATATTAACGCAAATACTTGCTTCTCTCGCTCCCTAGAGTGTTCTGTAGCCTGGATTACAGATTTCGAGTGTAAAGTAGGATCAAGTTCTTCTGACCTTTTTTCTGTTTCGTGAACAATTTTGGCATAATGCTCAAGCGGTAAGTCTTTTAAAGATAAAGCGATACTTTTTGGTGTAGCATAGCTTTTACTGTCACGGTTTCGTATGTTTCTTATACTAGTCTTAAGTAGATGTTGGCTATGGTAATCAGTTAGTAAATTGGTACCACTATTCAATAATGTTGGAATTCCCAAATAGCTATTAAAGCTTCTGGGGGCAGTGTTGGTGTTTGCATTAGAGTTTGTAATGGGATGAAAATTGGAGTTATTGTAGTTTATATGATTGACGTTTGCATTATTCTGTCGAACATGATTCTGAGTTACAGAATAGAACGAACCTGAATGAGGAGTAGATGATGGAGTGAACTGGAACATTACAAAATCAATGTTTTTCTTGCCTTATCTCTTACTCGATTTAATGTATGCTTTTCGAATATTGTCGCTCTTAGGAGAAAAATGATGACGGGAAACAAAGTAAAATTTTACAAAATAACAAACTTAAAACCTCAATAGTGGCCTATTTAGATATTGATAGCTCTTTGATGTCACTTAACTTCGAATAATATCAATTAATTGCTAGAAAATGAGTTCTAAAAGGATAATATTATCACTTATTTAAGGTAAATTCCTGTGACTTAGTTGGTCCTTAATCACAAATAAAAGAGGACAGTTTTTATAACCCCAAGTGATAAGTCCCAAGTCAGAGAATATTAATAATATTTTACTCCTGAAAACCTATTGACCAAAATTTGTTATGCCAATCAGTGTTGCTCTGTTTGACTGATTTTATGTAACAGAGTTTTGAGTATTTCCAAGTTGTATATTAGAGAAACAGAAACCCAGAAACAAGTTAAGATCTCGAAAGTGGATGAACAATGTTTATCACTTTTGTAATAGGTATATCAAACAAATTTTATTTCGACATCAAGTGTCCTTTGTATTATTGATACAAGCAGCCACCAAGTGTATCTCAATTATTTGTGCGTTTTGTTAAGTAACTTAAAGTACTTGTAGACTGTCTTAATGAGCCTAAAGACTTTAACATTTGATCACTCAAAATTGCCTAAATTCCTTCTGTATAATGCACCTACATCCAAAGTTAAAAATTAGGATTAAAAAAGAAACTTCACGTTGATACATCTAAATGAACGCTCAGTAGTAATAGTTTTGTCAAAGAAATTTCATTTTATTCCATAATATGTAGAGCCGATTCAGATTGCTGCAGTGATATTTCAGAACTTTTATCTAGAATTGTCCAGACAAAATTACGACTAGCCACTGATAGATGGTCGATTCAGCAGTCCCTGATAAAAATTTGGTACCGAAATAATTAAATCTTAGGAAAGTACTGATAGGGGAATATCCCAAAAATTAATAAACAATAAAGGAATATCGATTGCCATATAATAGCGTGTCTTTGCTGCTTGATTAGTTTTCCGCATGTAAAATCTTAGTACAATATGGATATGATAATTGTCCCTCCACAAAGAATACGTTCTTCTCGAACTGAATGCTTCACAGACACATCTTGCTCCAAAAAATGGCCGGTCAGGAAAGCCTTGGAAAGGCGAACAATGTCATTCACTTGTTTATAATAATTAAATCCTGCGCTATTTTCTGAACTGAACCCTCTAAAGCAATTTTCATGGTATGAATCTCAAATTTTAGCATAGAAAGGGAAAAAAAAAAAGAAAAGGATGTTGAACAATATTACGACAGAAAATTATGTCGCTACGCCATGTTCATTGGTGAAGAATCCAACACTGGTTTTGGATGCCACATTTTTCTACTGCATTTTTTTTGCAGTCGGGCTTTGACTGGTCACATCAATGAGTGTACGACATAATAACAGTCACTATTTTACTATTCAGAAAAGAATTACTTTAGAAGTCGACTTCACATCATATACGCATGGTGTCCCCCTATTAAGTGTAAAGGCCGGTATTTTTGTCAGCTTTGCCCAATGCTCCAACTACAAATCAAGATCGCGTTTTCAGTTTCCGCCCTTGCTGGTTTATTTGGCAGATTCTAATTCTATTTCATTTTCTGTGTCACACACTAGAGGAATTGCCACTGACTTTTAGACTAACTTTTTAGACAGATTTTTCTTCCAAGGAAAAGGCCTTCAGCAGAGCCAGTGGAGAGGTTAAGAGATTACTCGAACTTTCTTCTTTTGTTTTCTATGAGTTTTTTTATTGGGTCTTAATCAGCTGAAAATACAACTCTGCAATTAAGAGCATGCTATTGATGAAAAGAATTGCACAAAAGAATTGGTAGACATTAGGTATAACAATCAGCATCAAGGCAAAAAAAGCATAAGAAAAGAAATATTCCAATTCACTCTGATCAAATCTTCATCAAGCAACTTTTTATCCAGAATATGTCAGTTCAAAATTCTGTAACGACAAGCCAACTCGGTCTGAAGCTCAAGAAATCCCACTAAGGCAGCAAATTTGTCACAATTACTTCAACTGTTGTCAATATTGAAAAGAAGTAGTCGTATGTAATTAGCTGCATTCTAAGATAAGGACGGACAGACAACCGAATAGTTGAGTACCTAAAAGCATGGCAGAAATGGACTGGTCTGGTCACTAAGTAGACGTGTGACTGTACTAATCGAGCATGGCAATAACAAAAGGATGTTCGTCGAAGATCATTTTTAACTGATGAACTGACTTACTTTTTAGTAAATAGAAGACAACATTGGCTAATGCGTGTAATAATAATGCAAGAATATCCTTTCATATTCAGGGCCAGGTAAAGAAAAGGTTAATGTTAATGCAATAATAAGTAAAGAGGTATTTTTGCTGCAGGAAATAGGGGTCCTCCTTCACTGAAAGGTAGGGGAATTGCAGTCACTGTTTATCTAATACCCGAACGCAGTCGTGAGACAAATATATTTATAGCTTTTCTTTTTTTGATTTCTTTTTTTTTTATCACTCGTCATCATGATCTTTTCCATAATTTTAACGTAATTTCAATGGAATTTTTTGCTTGGCAAAAATACAACAGCAGAGCAGCATTAGACAATTGCGGGTATTTTTTATCTTTTCGTTTCAGTGCTTACGAGTTTGTTAATCAGTTATGCACGATGTGCACATAGGTTTACCAAACAGTGAAGATTTTAGATACTGCAAGCTCAGAATCTTCTTTTTTTCACTTCAGAAGCCGATTCATGTTACGTGAAGTTTTGTAAAGATTATATTATAGCATCCTCGAGTTTGGAACTTATAACACCGATCGATATTATTTTTGTCAAGAGATAGTTTTTCAGCTACCCTGCAATGGAAGGAATGTAGATAGACCAGGAAATAAATTTAGAGAGAATAGTTTCCGTATGCGGCAAATAATATAGTACTTTTCTTTTTTTTTCTTTTTACTCCAGAATTTCATCAAAAAATGTGATTATCAGACTCCCATTTTATTTTATTTTCGTTTCTAATTTGTCCGTCGAATTTCCATTATGGTAAGCAGCACACATAAAAAAAATCTCTGTTTTGATTCCTAATGAAAATAAGGAAATCCAGAAACCAGTCTTCAAATATTAAAATGTGTAGCAGTGGAAATAAGTGGAAATCAAATCTTGATCTTTTGTAGGCCAAACTGTTATCAATCCCTACATTTAATTTACTGGGTAACCGAACAGTTTTTAAAGCACAGTCGTTGTGGTGTCATGAATTGTGGTAAATCGCTTACAATTGCCTTACAAATCGGCCAAAAAGGTAATGACAAAATAGTAAGTGATCCTTATGCTATAATTAGTATCCTGACCAACTGCCTAGCACTTGTGAGCTACCTCTTACTAGTTTTCGAAGTTTTGCAATCAATGGAACTTTCACATATCCATCTAACGTACAAAGAATTATCATAAACAGTATATTAACTGCAGTCTCTGTCTAAAGGCATTACACCATGCACAGCTATTCGCAGTAAACTCCATTAGCTCTTGACCTAGTAATATTAAATTGTTGGACATTGATAGACCATATATTATCATTTAGTCTTGAATAAGGCTATAAGCGTTAATGTCCGGTGTTACCAAAGGGTAGAATTTCTTTTCCATTATAATTGATATCTAATGTGTTGATAAAAATTGCATCTAATGCGCGTAACGTATCATTGACAGGGCTAATGGAAGTGCACGAACTGGGAAACTCTCATGTTAACTGAGAAACGTGTTTTCTATGTATTGCCCATACCCAATACACAGTGTCATCGCGACGGATATAAAGGTCGGAAACGGTTCAAATTGAAACAGAGAATCTTCCCTAGAGAAAAAAAAAGAAAAAGAGAAGACACGGAAATAACTGGAGGAATTATGGTGTGAACAACGGGTTTCGATATCTTTTGACCATATCACCATGATAATAGCGACAACTTAAAGTCGACAATATCCAGCAACTTCAGATAGAAACAACTTATGTTACTGTAGCCTGGTGCCTCTATCTGTAGATTTGAGGAAGAGTTTGAACACAAACGAACTTAAATTTTACCCAATTTTTGCTTCTCGTAAGGTATTGAATCAAAAATTCATCTGCTACCGTACCATTGGTCAGTAAATTTATTTTCCTAAACACCTAGAGTAACCGCAGCGGAAAAAGATTTTTTCCTAGACAATATAAAGATATATCGACATCACTTATAGCTATGGTTATTGAGGCATATCTCTTCCGGACATGGGCTTATGTTATTCTGCCTCTGGTGCGTTTGTTGGTATAGCTCATTTCTAGGTAAGCCAATATGGTAAACGTATCAACGAGCATATATTGGCTGCGAGTATTCAGATTAAGAATCTATACTAATTAAAATACAAAAAAAAAATAGATCCAAAAAAGCCTTAAAATAAAAAAGTAAGACTTCTAAAATGTTTCTATTGTATATATATGTGTATAGTATTTGCTATGGTTATATGGGAAGAGCATGATAGAACATCATGCGTTTTACAGAAACCTTCTCATTAAGGAAATCACTTCGCTGGGGGGGGAGCTTCCCAAACTTGCCAGCTGCATCCCACTTTTCTATTGAGGATTGTGTGGTTAAGACGGAAAAATTGTGTGAAAAAAAAAAAGGCAAATCAACTGAAAATAGTGTTCGCAAGTTTCAGAGGCCATCTGGCTGGATATGGGGGATGCTATTCTCTTGGTATCGATGGTAGTGGATTATGCATTTTGATAGGAGCCTTATTGTTGTACACGTTTGTTATGTCCGGTGCTGTTCTGTGGACTTCTTGTGTTAATGCTCTTTCAAAGTAGAGAGGATGGAAATTTCCTTTAGCCATGAAAAACCGTAAATCGTTTACCATAGCAACCAATGAGATGTTGACAACAAGGTAGCTGGCATGATAAGGCAGCCGTGATAAGCCTTCAAAGATGGGTGCGTTAAATGTTATTGTCTATGTTCTGTTATATCTACATCGTAGCAAGTATGAATTAGTATGTAAGTTATCGTTGGATAACGACTTTTTGCTTGGAGGAGAGTCTCTTTATTCTAGCGTACTTGATAATAAAGGATTCAAATTTTGTGTTTTTCTGATTCAAGTCTTGCATTAATGGTGCCATCTCATCGGGATTCCATTGGCTTTGTAATTTGAACAAGTATACTAGCCTTTGCTTGATATCTCCTGGTAAAGATTTCTTGTCTATATAATGTATTTCATCAGTATGTCGGTCCAGATAATAGTGGCCCCGGAGCTCCCGAATATCAAGGTCGGAGTTTGGAAAATATGGTGGCATCTGTGATTTCCATTTTATTAGAAATTCCTCCTGATTCAATGGATATTGCTGCTCTTTGGATATACCCATTGCGAACTTCTTCAATGTTTCAAGACCATACCAGTAGGTTATCCTCTTTTTATCTATGTGCCATTTGTGATCCTTTTCCTGCGTACCGAATTTGTTCAATATAGTCTCAATAACTGGTTTTGTAAAAGGGTTATCCTTGACAGTTTCTGAATCTTTTCGTACTGACTTCAGGACTTCATCTAAATCTAGATGTGACATATCTAGAGAGTCTGCCATAATGCTAACCAGTGTTATATCTAGCGCACGAGTAATAAACTTATCTGAGAGTTTACATATATTCCCACTTTCTAATATGCATCCACCTATATCATGCCATTCGCACATGGCCTCCTCATTGGAACACTGTGAATTAGCCAGTAATTCTTTAAAAGTAGTTTTGAAACTGAGTTCTTCTCCGTCATATAGTGGTATCAAATGGTAGTTCAATGATCCTGGTACTTTAGTGAGCTCATATTCATACGTGGTGTCGTTCAGGCTACAAAACTCTGATTCATCTTCTAGATTGCTGGATGTATCCCGTTTCATGACCATTACACAATTACTATGATTCTTTTGCTTCAATCTCCATGTCGCATTGGAACTACAAAGTACCACCTCAGATTGAGTTTCATCCATAGACTTGAATTGTAAAGGTTCGCCATTCTTGACCGCAGCTAGAATAGTGTCATCTAGTTGTACCACTTTGTAACTTGTATCATGTTGTAATTTAGAGTACAGCTTCATCACCATTATGAAATATCAAGCACAAGAAAATCGGTATTCTTGTTCTAAACTTATTATTAAAAAAAATTCCTTTTAGAACAGTCTCTGTATATCAAAACGCGTCCCACACCAATATTTTAATATCTAACACTGTCAATATTTTTTGGTGTACTATTACAGCGGACTGAGCAATGGTGCAAAGAAACAACGGAACTAGGCACGATTTCCAATCATCCCAAAGCAAGGGCAATGTTCATTAAGCACCTGTGGTTACAAAGACAAGACACCCTCTGACACTCATTAGTTTGATGCTGAGTGTTTGCTCACTGTTGTAAATTAGAGCTCATCTACAGTTCTTTACAATAGTATAAGACGAAGCTTTGAATGAAATGCTGTTCTTCTGAGAGATGTGGAAAAAAAATTGAAGCTTTTTCCTATTTAGGAAGTGTAGTAAACAAAAACAATAAACAAGATGAAGGTTCGGATAAACAAGAAATGGGATACGATGTCTTGACAAATAATAGTAAATATTGATACTATAGTTAAAATTTATCCCCCTTAGTATGTTGATGATTCTAAAAGTACTTGATACTTCTATATTTTAAGCACTTTGATTGATCTGCAAATCCCGTTAGCATTATAACTGAGAGATACATTAAGAGATAAAGCTAATAAATTCGACTTTCTAGTTGATAAAACTATATATTGGGTTGAGAGATAGAAGATCAAAGCTAGAAGAACAAATTACTAGGTAGTTTGGGATTGGCTTATTTACTACAATAGTTAGCCTATAAGTTAAATTTAGTAACAGAAAGCACTAGGGTAAAGATCACATTGAACACGCAAAATGGTTTCCGAGCAATCTTCAAATTATTCAAAGGAGAGTATAGAAGAGAAACCTATATTATTACACAACAATTTGGCTCATATATCTCCCGATGTACAAGTGTCTTTGACAGAAATGAAAGACACACTGACAATATTTCGTGGCAGTGATGAACTTATATGGGGAGACTTTCTCGTCGCAATAGGTATGGATAACAATACCAATTTCAACTCTATCATGGTTAATAAATTTGGTGCCACGACTTTCAATAACGTAAACATATCGAAAAATTCAAAGTATTATCCCGCCATTGAGAATCTTGATCCTAAGTATAAGGACTCCAATGCTAGGAAATGTCTAGCGGTCACATTGCTGAAAATATACCCTCTATTTGAGAAACATATTACTACTGTGTCCGATCTACCTTTTGAATATGATCAAACACATGCAGGTGAATTAGCCAGTACTGCAACATTAATACCCAATGTAGATCCAGAAGTGTTTCTATTAAAATTGAAGAACTATGGTATGCTAAACGATACAAGCAGAGTGATCACTTCAACTATGGTGGATGTAGTTTATGAGAATAATGAAGATGTTATTGACTACAACAATCAGTTAGTGTATTATCTAGGTGAGCAATTAGAACAATTGTTCAACCCTGTCACGGAGTACTCACCTGAGCAAACAGAATATGCATATAAAGCTCCAGACGAGGAGCCTTCTCTGTTCAACAGTGATACCTCACTCTTGAAATCTGTTTGCAATGAGCTTCTACAGCTGCAGACTAAATTCACCTATGATCTCGTAGAATTTTTACAAGAGTTTCTAATCATTTTGAGGGTAAATGTATTAAATGAAGAGATCGAAGGGTTATCTACATTGAAACTGAACAGGTTGTTTCCACCTACTATTGATGAAGTTACTCGTATAAATTGTATATTTCTCGATTCACTGAAAGCAGCTGTACCTTTTGGATCATTTGAAGTGCTAAAAGCGTGTAATATCACAATTCCGTACTTCTACAAAGCTTACACAAGACATGAGGCAGCAACTAAAAATTTCTCGAAAGATATAAAACTATTTCTTGAGAACTTTGGTGATGTAATACCGAAGAAGGAGGAGTACACGGAAATGAAAATGGAGGCACTCATGAAAGGTCCCCAGGAAAAACTGCTCAAAATCAAACTTATAATAGAGAGATTGTGGGAATCAACACCCGATTGGGGCAATCAAGAAAAAGAAGCTACAAGCTTTTACAACAATATTATTGATATTATAGACTCTTTTGGAAAACTAGAGTCTCCTCTTCATTCATACACTACTAGAGTTTTTACTCCATCTGGTAAAATACTTACTGAATTAGCAAAGGGCTGGCCCATTGAATTGCAATACAAATGGCTAAAAAGAAGAGTTGTTGGTGTTTATGATATAATTGATTCATCAGACATCTCAAAACGAAAGCTGCTTGTTATATTTAGTGATTATGTTGTATTCCTAGATATTCAAAACTCTGAAAGTTACTATAAAAATCCAAACAGGCCAATGCTGTCTGATATTCTTACAAATTCATTGATTAATGAGGTTCCGCTTCCCTCGAAAATTCCACGAATGAAAGTTCAGAAATATAGCTACATTGATGATGTTCAAGTTACTATTGTAGATGGCAATATATTGCGGTTTGATTGTATTAGAGAAGTTGACCCATTCTCTATCTCATGTCGATTAAAATCAAAGTCTACTACAGAAAAAAGAATAGCAGACTTGATTACTAAGGCAAAAATTCTTGAGAAAGATACAGCATTTCATCTATTTAAGGCTGAGGTTAACGGCGTGACTCTATATTCTACTGCTCACGAATATCAAGCTTACCAATCTGAGAGACAAAAATCAAAAGTTGCATTGTTTTTGAACTTAAGTCCATCGCCTTCATATATTACTGAAAATTCACTTTATGCAGGTTTGTTTATGAAATTTGAGGATACAACAAGATTAGATAAAATCAGGATCACGACGGTTCTATATGATGGTACAAAATCTAATTATGTGGTAAGACCGGAACAAATGATAACTTTTGTTGTCAGACAGCTTTCTCAGTTATTGCCTAATTGCTACTCCTCAACTCGGTCACCTTTAGCCACTTCGTTATTGAACCTTCAAGCTCAGCTAATATCTGAATTAGTAAAACCAAAAATAGCTGCGTCATCAAAGTCAAATGACAGTGCTAAACTTATGGATATGAATAATTTCATTGCAGAAAAGGCAGACAAATCGGACAAATATGATGCAAAGCATGAGAAGAAAAGATCATATGGTACTATCACAACATTTAGAAGTTACAAGAGTGACTTGAAAGATGTTGAGTCCTCTGGAGAAATATACAGTCGTGAACATAACACATCTACTAAGATTTCAAAGAACAATGTCCAGAAAATCTCAAAGAATGTGAGAACAAAGGTAACTGAATCACCTGGTCGAAAACAACGGGTTTCAAAAACTCAAGCAGACAAGTCTAAAAAGACTTCTGGTTTGTCTAACTTTTTCAAATCTATTTTCAAGGGGAGTGGTAAGAAAACTAAACGCCCAACAAATGAGAAAATTCAGTTAAAGAGAATAGGATCAAATAAGAATATCAGTCATGTTCATATCAGTTCCAAGCCAAGGAATAAGGCTGTTATAAAAGATACGACAAATACAGCAGAGTTGGAGGAACCTCTGATTTCAAGAGCGGTCACTTCTGTTGAAATATCAGCAGAGAAAGTTGATAGAAAAGATGAAGACGAACGTGTCCTGTCCGTCGTGCACAATAAACAGTTTGAAGAAACTAAAGCCAATTCTGAGGCACCGGCAGATAATGAAAGAATGGGCCAGGATATCCACCATGATGCAGGAAATACTTCAGACCTATTGATAAAAGAAATTGCAGATGAAGTTGTAGAGCAGAAAGAGTTTTTGGAACAGCTCTCAAAAAACATGTCAATCCAGAAAGAAAATAAGACAGTACAACCTCAGGTAACTCAGAAACCCACTTCCATAAAAAATCAAGCCTCTGCTTTGTATTTGTATGATAATGATTTGTTTGGTGATTTTAAACAAAAACCTAACGACCATGATAACATTTCAGTCAGTTTAGAAAATGAACTCACTGCTGAGGGTAGCGAGAATGAGGACGAGGATCCCAAGAAGGTATCCCATCAATATCAAGAAGAGACAATTGAATACCAGGAAAATGAACCCAAGAATGATGAACCTGATAATCCTTCCAAAGAGGCTGATGAGCAAGCTGACAGTAAAGAAAATGTGGAACTATTACCTACAAAGAGCGAAGTATCTGCAGGTAAACCTCTTGTCTTTCCTACTATTCAGAAGGTGGTAAAGAAACCACAACAAATCCAAAGATCAGATTCATTCTATGAGTTATATAAGGGGATGAGAATGGTTTTGGATGATACTGATGTAAAATACAATTGGAAGCGCCTTCCAAGCTTGGTATCATTATCAGTTCAAAATGCTGTCAACAGTGATAAAAGTAAGCATGCATTTGAAAAAATAGCTCATGCAAGAGAGACACCATCACTGGTTGAAAATCTAATGGAGAAAAAAGAGTTACCGATGCAAGCTACGGAAACACAAGTAAGAGAAGCTCGGAAGTTAAAAAATGCCGCTGTCATTAAACCGGTGGAAAATAATTTCAAACCTGTGAGTGACACTCTCAAGTCTCCATTTAAAGCATATCCAGAACTGACAAAGAGTACAGAATATGTTAATAACGACTCAATAAATATCTTCAGTGAGTTGGAGAAGGCTTTTGAGGTACCACAAGCTAAAGTCAGTGTACCAACTTTTAAAGTAGTCAGGACTTCACCAACTAGATATGTACAACTGGAAAGTGGTTCTATTAGGACTGATCGCATGGTTCCCTCACCTGAATTGTCTCAATCTTTGTCCTATAGTTCATTTGTCGAGGAATTGCAAAATAAAAAGCCACAGAGACTTGTGGAGATTGCAGATTCTATTACAGATATGCAGTCAAATTTGACAAAGGATGACGAAACTATTGCTTCTTCGAATGCCCCATCTCATGTCTCAAGCGAATTCGAACAACAGAAGGATATATCACAACAGTCAGACAGTTCTTTAGAGGAAGAGCATTACTCGGCTAAAAAACCTCTAAGTCAAGAAATTAACTCATCAGGTATTTTAGAATCTCTCGAATTTAGCTCCTTTACCATGGGCTTTGAAGATACCATTGATGTTGTCAATTCGTCACATATTCCTAGTGGTGATTTACTTCCTGAGACAGGCAGTAGAAATATGGTATTAACTAGACCTAAAAGAAATGATGCCCATCCAGTTTACCTTTTACCGAGGTACAGCATTAGCACCACCAAGTCTTTAAATCAGACAAGAGAGAGAATGCAATACGATGAAGATGCTATTTGGGTTTCACCAACTAAGTTGAGTTTCTCAGAGAAGGACTCATCTATTCGTTTAGTAAAAGAGGGAACTACACCTACAAAGACGTTAACACACCAAGGAAATAAGACAAAGGTCGATATTCCACGTGAAGAGTCCTCATTTGGATACTTGTCTTCGTTGTTGGCGGTAGATAGTAACAATAATAATATCCTAGAATTTGTATAAGTTATAAGCATTTTTATAATAAACATAGCTTTAATCGACTTTTTTAGTGAACTAGGGAACGATACAATGCCCAATTCAACTATTATAATACCAAGTCGCTATTTTTGGATTTGAATATTATACACTAAATTAAGAAACGAACTGTAACAAGAATCGAAGATCCCCAGTACAACATAATATATGTATTGCAAAGTACAGTGTAATATGGTTATAACATAGTGCGTCCTATTTTTTGACTATAATTAAGATCCGAATGTTACCGCTTTCGGGTCTATTGGAGTGCCATCAGGTGCAATACCATTCTGACCAAATTTCCGCTCAGTGTAAAGTAGACGAGCTTTGTCAAATGTCAGATGTTCAGTTTCCATAATTGCTTTTATTTCGTCTTTAGCTTTGGCATCCAGTCCGCCCCTGTCATCATGTCTATTTTGGGAGATGATGTCAAAATGTCTGGAAGCTAGACCGCTTTCTAAATCGTCAGTGAATGAATTATTTAAACTTATATGGCCCCCAAATCTATTCCGGATTAATATTACAGATTCTCTTATTTTATATCCTATGTCGATTCTATAGCAGTTTAACCATTAGTAATCGATAGGCTTTTCATAGCCCTCGATCTCACGTAAGGAAATAACCTGAATGACGTTAGTATAATATTCCAGACATGTGCATGATGCAATGAATTAACTACATACCTATCTTATTCCTGTGTCTGTAAATTAGTGCGACAATGGTTACAATAACTACCAACCAAAATATTCTAATGTGGATATAGTAGTCTGCCAGTCCTGTTGTCATGGTTATTGTGGTGTTTATCTGTAGTAAAATGTAGAATTTAGAGGTTGGTCCTGGCTCTTAATTATTTCACAAAGATTCTGGAACTAACAAGACTGTATTCTTTAATGGGCACGTATTACTTGAGCCATCGCATCGCCTTTTTTTCTTGCACCTTCAGTTACTTATGATAACGTGTGAAATCTCTAAAACTGACCGAAAGCAAAAGTTATGCGCAATGGATATTGAAAAAGGACTTACTATTGCTTGCACAATTATGTAATTAATAAATACTAGTATCTGTATAGTATCACGTCGACTAATCCATAGAATAACATGTACACGATGTAGTGATCCTAGTTATACTTTACATATTAAACTGTAATTTTAAATGGGAAAGATAAACTGATATTCAGTTCTTTTTTTTTATACAGAGTATTTTTGGGAAGCACTAATGGTTAAATTTCGATTTCTGAACCTTGCTTAAAGCAGCTGTAAATTGCATTCAAAGACTTTGATTTTATAAGAACTCGTGAATCATAAAGGAAAAGGGAAAACAATTTTGTGAAAGTTTGAATATCAAATAAAAAACATCAATATCGAGCAAAGTAGTACTTTTATGTGATTAAGGAGTTACAAATGATTAGAGATGTGCAAAAAGGTAGAAAAACTAATATTAAAAGATTAAGTTTGGCATACTGAGTGGACTACTTCTCCATTCACAAATATTTGGCGTATGATATGTCTAAATCACAACCACCATAATTGTAATTGTTTAATCTTTGAATGCAAAAGTCAGCGTCCTCGACATTTTCATATTCTATCACCGCAATACCTGTTGGAGCTCCAGATTCATCAAATTTAAGCTCAGCATGTCTTACCCTTCCTATAGTCTCAAATAGATCATAAAGATCACCAGTAGCTGTTGTCAGGGGTAGATTACTGCAATAGATTAGGGTGCTTCTCTCACCACCACCCACGACGTTCTCAGTAAATTGAGATGGGCCAGTTGGAGGTTCCATTTCTATCTCTTGTTCCTGTGGGGGAGGAGGGGCCTGGTATGGTGCTTGGTAGCCCGTAGAGTTTTTACCCTCTCTTACTTGAAGAATTCTACCGTCAACATCAAACCCATTGAATCTTTCGATAGCATTGAACATTTCTTCTTGAGTACCATAAAACACTGTACCAAATCCTCTGGAGAATCCATTACGATCTAATTCAATATCAGCACGTATAACATCACCCGCTTCTCTGAATAAATCCTTTAAAGTTTGCCAAGTCATGGAATATGGTAAGTTGACGATAAAGACTTCAAACATTGGAGGCCTGCCTTCTGGTGGATAATCGTTGAATCTTTCTCTCATTGGTGGAAGTGATTCCATTGGTTCTGGTGGAGGGTTATCTTGTCTGACAAATAGAGGTCTACCCATAAATTCTACACCATTAAAGTCACGAATCGCATTATCAACACCTTCTGGACTTGTGAATTCGACTGTACCCATACCTCTATGGCGGCCTCTACTCGTGATAATATCGGCTCTTAGAACTTCTCCAGCTTGCCCAAAGAAATCATGCAAATCTTCGGGTGTAGCATCGAAAGATAGATTACCAATGAAAATACTGTTATCATAGTTTCTATCTATTTTTTCCTCATAAGGAGGTTCCATTTCTCTGGCCATCATCGGTCCGCCTCTTGGTCTATGACCGTAGCCACCGCGTCTACCAAATCCTCTACCACCCATCCGTGGTGGTGGTGCACCATACCCTCTGTAGCCGCCAAATCCTCTACCTCTACTGCTTCCTCTGCGACCACCATATCCACCACGGCGAAAATCGCCTCTGTAATCTTCATACCTACGATCCCGACCCCTTGGAGCATCTCCATAACCCCCTCTAGGCGCTCTCATGCCATCGTCTACACTGAGCCTGCGGCGACTTGGTGACCGCGACCTACTTCTGTACTCTGGGTAATCTGACATTGCAACCTAGTTTCCAATAACTTCTAACTTCTTCCTCAGTGGGCACGATTTGTGGTTTTCTCAATACCTCAAAACTACTAGTCCCGCAACCAGAAAAGTCAATTGCTATGTTGCAATATGTATTGATAACAGTCAATGGAGCAACGCAAACCATTACAACTACTCCCATAAGTGCACCAACAATCCCTCTCATCGATTTGCTGGTTTTGTTGACAGCGTCGCCAGCAGTTTCAATGTGAGAATTTTTATGTCGTTCTATGTGATCAGTATAGGCTATGGTCCATTGATGTCAGCAATACTAAGGTTACTCAATCTAGACTGGAGAACCATAAGATTGCTGCTGGACCTTACTGTAGTCCGCACACGGTTGTTTTTGTGCATGGTATGTGATTCTGATTTGTGCAGTGTGCCTACCGGCAGTACGATAAAAAAGAGCAGGCTTATGTCCTGATAACTCTGCAAACACTATACCTTCTATTGTTCACAGTTCGTAACTATCTCATGTCAATTCATATATCAAACAGCTTCATTTTTTTGTTGGGAATGCTGAGATCATTGGAGAAGGTAAGACGAGTCTTCTAGGCACCTCAGTTTCCTTCTCGGCATCTTCTTCGCCATCGAAACGTAATCTACAAGTACCGTCTCGCTTGTTTCCAATTACCACAGCTGGGTAAAAAGTAGTGGTTTCAGGATATCTTGCTAGCACCTGAGTACCTGGTGGATAGTTAGGTATTTTGGATCTTGGAGTAGTCTCCGGTGGGATCAACAACAAATCCTTCCACGAGCACTTGAACACCTTGCCAGTCTTACCTTGCTCATCGGGCTCAGGGTCCATGACTTCAAACCTCATCCCATCACTGGAGATCTTGACCACTTCACATTGAAACCACTCGCCATCGATGTTTCCCTTTTTGGGCTTATACGCGACCTCAGAGTGCAGATAGATAGGTTCGTTTGAACAAAATTGACTGATCCAGTACAGCTTGCCCAGAGGACCAGTAGCAACTGCATTAGCTGCAGCACCAGAACCACCAGGAGTTACCTCTTCACTATGGTTAGGCCCAGGTGTACCTGCTGCCGACTGGCTTGGTTCGGTGTTTTCGATCACGGTAGCCAAGTTAGTGCGCACTGTCTCCAATAGCCTATGTGCTCTTCTAATGTTCTCCTTGTGCTCTTGGAACTTGTCAAAGTACTCATCCAATTGAGCGAGTTCCAAATTCTCGAAGTTAAGCTTCTTCATCTCCATGTCCTCATCGAACGCCGTCACCTCGTTCGCATTGTATATATCCTGCAGCGACGATATAACTAAGTCCCACTGCCCGTCCATCTTTAAGTGTCTATATGCTGGTCTCTCTTTGCCTAATAATTCACTCCAAAATTGATTACTGTGACTCTTCTCTTGTACAGTGCAATGTTTATCCCAGAGCCTCTTTTAAGAATCTGACCCTCATGTGTGATCTCGTTCGCTTTCTTGCCAGAGCAAAAGTGTCCAAGAGAAGACCACTTTAGTCCATTTACAGACTGTTGACAGAGGGAAAAGAACAATGCAATACAAACTATGTAGGCCACGTAGCTACGGTGTGTGTGGAGATAGGATCTACAGTGTAATATATAGACGTTACATAGTAAATGAAACTGAAATGTAGTTCAGCGCTGCTGAGCGGTGTTGGTTTGGGAATGCCCAACAACTACCCATGGTTCAACCGGCACCTCACCAAAATGGCGAAGGCGCACGGCTGGCAGCGCAATACAAACACGGTCCAGGGAACAGACGCCAGCTAGATGTATCAAAAGGCGCCAACGTCCACATTCCCTGGCTTTCTCTTCTCCATCACCAGAACCCAGTAATCCATTCGCTTGGGCTTCAAAACACCAAGCTGGGAAGATGGGGCAGAAACAGGAGACATAAAACTGGTATATACGTTTCAGGGATCACAGCCAGCGCTGCCTGTACCTCTTCGGCAATCAAAATGACATTAGTAACTGCACCCTCAGGGCAGCTGGGGAAAGCAAAGCACTGGGCCACCCAATTTGTAATCCTTTACAAATGATGTCAGTGTATCCCCTTCCCCACCTGAACAGGTCGCAATACAGCCACAAAGCATTACCCACTGAAGAATTAGACAGCGCGACTTCCCAAAATAGATTGGTGTAACTCAGTACAAGTGGTGGTCTACATGTATCCTGGAACTTGTTCTTGCAACTTCCTTTGTTTATATACTTTTGCCAAAAAAAAAATGAAAAAATTTTGGCAGCGAAAGAGACTCGTCCCTGGTGAACATCTGGGCATCGCTTAGGGTTTTAAGGAAGAGCTATATTACCGTTGGTATTGGGTTGTCGCTGTAGGCATTATAAGGCAAGTTCTTCTGAGGTTCTGTAGTTCATAACTGAGTCACTGAAGAGGTTATGTTTGGTGCGCTGTGGTATGTGAAGCGCGCTGTTTATTTGGTGGTTTCGCCGGTGCTGATGTGGCTGGCTTGGTCACTGAAGCTAGTGTACTGTGCTGTTTGGGCGCTGTGCGGTCCCATTGTATGGTTCACGTCGATGTTTGTTGTTACACCTGTTCGAATTGCCGTGTGGAACTGGCTTCAGCTGGTTACACTGCCTCTGAATATATTCTTGAGAGTTACGCTAGGTACTACTTGGTTTGAATTGCTTCGGAATATGGATACCTGGCTGAACAAGTTTGTGATTGTGACGTTATTGCAGTATATTGTATCTGTATTGATCCTTGGTGCCACCATTGGGGTGGTATATGGTCTGATGCTAGCAATGACACATCATTTCTTCAAGATACCGAGTGTTTACATTGAGATTCCCCTAAAGTTCTGGAGGATACCTTCCGTGATAATCAGAACTATCCGTTATTACTTGAACATTGCAATTCAGAAAATAAAGGTAGGTATGAGAGCAACGCATCAGGACTCGTTTCCAACACCGCCACCAACACCGAAATTCTCCCCATACGATAAAGCTATCTTTCTGAGAGATTTCTACCCTGGTGACACGGGAAGCAGACCTGCATCTATGACATTCGGTAACAGTAGCACACTGGCATCACCGAAAGCTGGGAAACGGTTCAAATCCGCTTCTGAAATAGGTTTACCTGATCGGGTTGTACATAAATCCGATACTTCACAAGATACTGTTGCACATGAATCAACCTCGCAGTCCATACGTGACTCTACAGATAATGTTTGGGATGAGTTCGATTCTATACCTTCTCTGTTAGATGACACAGACAGATTAACTACAGTCACTAACAGAAAACAGAAACAGAAAGAAGATGTTATACAGATACACAGAATGTGAAAGTCTATTTTGTCAGGGAAATGCTTCCCTCTGAATGCATCTCTCTTCTGAAAGTAAACGCAATGCATAACGACAGATACATAGTTTATAGCTTATTATCATAAAATATAAAAAATAGCAGGCTATTTTAAAAACGAATCCTATTCGAAACAACCTGGTCACATATACTGATGTTTATCCAGTTGATGTTTATTTACTATATTTAGCTGCCCTCTTCCACAACCAAAACGTTAATGCAATAAACTTTCTAAAAATTGATGTAAAAACTAAAAGTCCCTTGACGGTTAGTAAAGTCAATGATACTACTGGGTTACTATAACTAAGAGGCATTACTCAGGTAACAACGTACTTCAACAAATTTATTACATAGTGAGACTCAGGATTAGTACGCTTCATAGTTGAGTTTGAATGTTATGCTGCCTACAAGTATAGCACCGAATCACTGCCGAGTTTATTCCCACCAACTTAGAAAATTCATGACGCAACCTTCCAACTACTATGAGTCTGTTCAAAGCTCTTTATCTTACTTGAAGACCAAGTTTCTGTTCAAACGAGGAGAGATTGAAGTTATTGAGTCACCTTCAGAATTTTATGATACTTTGAAGAAGAAGATAACTACTGCCAAGAAGAGAGTATTTATTGCCTCTTTATATCTGGGAAGTTCTGAAGATGAACTAATAAAATGTGTTAGTGATGCGATGAAGAACAACAAAGACCTGAAGGTCTCCTTCTTAATTGACGGGTTGCGAGGGACTAGGGAAACACCCGCAAAATGTTCAGCAAGCTTACTAGCTACTTTGGTTAGAGACTATGGTAATAGAGTTGACACAAGACTATATAGAACGCCTGCATATGTCGGCTGGAAAAGATTACTGATACCGAAGAGGTATAATGAAGGTATTGGCTTGCAACACATGAAGATATATGGTTTCGACGATGAAGTTTTACTCTCTGGTGCCAATCTTTCAAACGATTATTTTACCAACAGACAAGATAGGTATTATCTATTCAAAAGAAAAGAATTCACAGATTACTATTATTCATTACACAAGACAATTAGCGCTTTGAGTTACAAAGTAGAATATTCAAACAACAATCAGAAATATAAGATGTTCTGGCCATCTGACAATTTAGCTAATGAGCCTATTCATGGAAGGAGGCAGTTTCTAAAGAAATCCTCACTGGTAATATCTGAATTCCTAAACAGACCGAGAAAACCCAATATTCCAATTGATGACTTAGGAAAATATCCGACAACTGTATACCCAGTATCTCAATTTACTCCTCTTTTCAATAGAGGTTACGATGAGTCAACAGAAAGACCTGCAGTTTTGAAATTGATAAATAGTATGTGCTCTCCATTAAACGAATGGTTCTTTACAGCAGGCTATTTTAACATGCTTCCAGATATAAAGAAAGCATTATTCAGTTGCCGCGCTAAAGCGGGTACTGTAATCACTGCCTCACCATATGCAAATGGATTTTTTGAATCCAAAGGAATGTCTGGGAGTATACCCGATGCTTATTTATATTTATCGAAAAAGTTTCTGAAAGACGTAAGAAAGAGTGGTAAGTCTGATACTATAACCTTAAGAGAATGGCAAAGAGGAGTTGTTAATAAACCCAATGGCTGGTCTTACCATGCTAAAGGAATTTGGATTACAGATAGTACAGACGATTCAGATAAAGGATATCCCGTTGGGACTATCATCGGCTCATCCAATTATACTCGTCGGGCATATTCATTGGATTTAGAATCGAATGCTATAATTGTTACCAAAGATGAACAATTGAGAGAAAATATGCAACATGAACTAGACAATATTCTTAAATATACAAAACCTGTAAACTTGGAGGACTTCAATAATGAAGCGCATAGGCAAGTTAACACTAAAGTTAAGGTAGCTACCGCCATGCTAGGTAAGAGATTATGATTGCTCTGGCACTTTCTGTAAATAGTCAGTGTAGTTACTCAGACCAAATTATGCATCAATATAATATATATCTATGGTAATTTTTAAAATCTATAAGTAAAACCTAAAATATATGCAATACTAATGTACCAGACATCGGTGTATCATATTCTTAGCAATGCAAATGTTTCGCTCATTCATAGATGCGTTTAAGGTATGGCTTATTCATTGCATATGCATAATAATGTTGATAGTAAATGATACCTAACCAAATAAGTTGAAGAAATGAGACCACCCTTGGAGTTAGATTAAATGGCCACTGATAAAATTCCAAATTATCAATGAATGAGCAAAGGTTAGAAGCTTGTAATATCGAAGTTGCTATTATTGAGATCTTAAGATATTTTGGGGATAAGCCCTTGGTTGATATACCCATCCAATTTAAAGATATCTGGGGTAAGTATTTGACAGCCGACAAGAACTGGCCAATCACCCATAAATAGTTGACATGCTCAATGTAGTACACACCGAATCTACCACTATTTCGTTCCGGCAAGTTATATTCCGCACAGATATAGGTAAAATAGGAGAATATCAAAATCATTAAGAAAATGCATATGAGTAAAAGGGAAGTTCCTTGCTTCACATTTCTAGTAGCTCGGTATTTCCATAGTTGAAAAATTACTATACTAGATACCGCCAGCATTACGAGGTCTATTAATAATATAGGCATCGATATTGGGATGGGTTCGGCATTAAGCGAATAATATAATGGAAATCTATCAGAGAACTGCCTAGCGGCAAGTTCGGAATACTTGTATATTACAGTACAGTACAATGATATGAAATACGTCGCAAACTGCATCAGATACAAATCATAGGACAATCCATACACTGATTTGTGGACCGCATTATATCTTTTCTGTTGAACTATGGCATAGATCTAAGGATAATGCTAGTGCAGACCAAATGAAAGCAGTGTGTTACATGGGTCATCGTTTGGGTCATTAGATCCCGGTGGATTAGCTATGAGACCCTCAATTCCACAGCTTCAGATCATGGTACTTGACAAGTTAGTAAAAGAGAACTTTGCAAAACGGTTCATAAGCAATAGGCGATTTAGGCAAAACTTGGAAACATACTTCGAGGATCTTTCCGCATGACTGTACGGTTCCAGTGTACAGCATATCAGCCCTCATATCAATCACGGCCCAAGGGAGTCCTATTGCTAAGAGACACAAACCAAAACATTTAGCATCTTAAAACATTGCAACAATCAAATATTAAGAAACCCTTTCAGTCTCCCTCGCGATGAGCATCTGTATACCTGCCAATCTGCCCTGATGCCATTATTATCGCAGAGCAATGAAATCACAATGCACGTACTAGTTTAGGGCTGCCTGCTGGAAACCACGTCGCAAGTCTCGCTTGTCTTGGCAAACTTGGCGTTCCTCCACTGGATGATGGAGTTAGAAGCCTACATGTTCCCGAGTATAAGTTGAAGTCTGGGATTTGTATGAAGAATTAAACGTCAATTAGATACTGAAGGGCTAGCAATTTGGCTTAATACCGACGGAAAGCAAAAATGGAAAGTGACCTTGGTGAACAGGTATCTTCGAACTCAGTCATTGCATTTGTGCACAAGTATAAGAATTTGTACCAATTCTACCTGGACAAGTGCACACCATATGTCAAGGAGAGGTGGGCTGCTGAGTTAGGTTTGCTGGTACTGTTTATACTACGTGTTGTGTTTGGTCAAGGTTGGTACGTTGTTTGCTACGCGCTTTTTATCTTTCTGCTGAATCAATTCCTAGCATTTCTGACACCTAAGTTCGACGTGTCTTTACAACAAGATGAAGAGAACAATGAGTTGGAAGCCGGAGAGAAATCCGATGAGTTCCGTCCTTTTATCAGAAGGTTACCTGAATTCAGATTCTGGCACAATTGTATCAGGGCTACTGTGTTGTCCATGTTTCTGTCTTTGTTCAGAATATTAGATATCCCAGTGTTCTGGCCTATCTTGCTGTTCTATTTCATCACTTTGTTTTTCCTAACTATGAGAAGACAAATCCAGCATATGATCAAATACCGCTACATCCCAATCGACATTGGTAAGAAGAGATATAAGCCCCAAATTTAAGATAAATTCGAATGATCTGACAAGTATACCAATCACGGGTTCTGGGGAACTATACTAAACGTCACAAAGGATGCATGCATTTCCCCGCCCTACAATTAAGACAATAATTATCTGCAAGTAGACTTTTTTTATCTTCTTTTTGCATTTCAAAAAGGCATTCGTGTATTTATCCGCCCTTCCCATATAAAAAGTTAATTAAAGCTAATAAAAATGTATTAATATAACACAATCTTAGAGAGATAACCTCCAGCACACAGATGATACATATACAATTGTAGTTGTGGAGATGGCGCTGTAAAATCTACAATGGAGTGATCTAAACTGTCACAGTCATGAAGGCTACCACTATTCAATATGCGAACACTCGCAGTTTTCGTAATCAAAAATCCATCGATACAATAACTAGTATACTTTGGAACAATAACATTTACTGATCAACCCAACTACCGCAGCATAAACTACTTCATCTTGTGTTCGAATTTTGAGTATCGTGATAAGAACTTTTTGTTATTCGGATGGGGGTGCGAGATGAGATGGTTCATTTGGCTTTAAAGCACCCATTTCTTGGACACCCCCCGAATGTTTTACGTATGAGCATAATAAAATGCACTTGCCTTGTAATATAACTTGAACAAGGTTGAATATATAAAATGTACATTTGGATGCTGCTGGAGTGGGCCCTATATAGTTTTCTTTCAGTCCCATTAGCGTTTAGTTTAGTTAGTCAAAGAGGTTTATAGAATTTAGTGTGGAATAACTAGCTCAAATAATGAAAGTTGTTTCAATCGACAAAGGTAAGTCAGAACGTGGACGTACCGTTCTGACTATAGTTCCAGAGGACAAAGAGGACTTATTCGCAATGTACCAAATCATCGATATAGGCGATGTAGTCATATTCAAAAAACTATACACAAACAAGAGTGAGGACACCAACAAGAAGACTGTCACAGACTTAGCTAGGATTAAATTGAAGATTTTAAATAGAGAATTTGACATTAAAGATGAGTATTTAAGATACAAGGGTATATCTTGTCCTGATGAATCAGGAACGGAAAACATTGACTCCGAAGTTCCCATTGGCAAATATATCAGTTTTAGTATCGTCTACAACCATCCTATTACTATTTACAAATCCCACTTCAATAAATACGCTGAACAGCTACTTGCTGAGGCTTGTGAACCGGAAAGTCAAGCTGATACCGCTGCCGTGGTACTACAAGAGGGTATATCACATATCTGTCTTCTAACAGCATCTTCAACCATACTGAAACAGAAAGTAGAATTCAGCATGCCAAAAAAGAAGAACGCTAAAGATGTGGAGAAATTTGAAGCCAAAATGGAGAAATTCTACCGAGCTACATACGATGCCATAGTCAAACAACTTGATTTTGACCAAATCAGAATGGTTATAATCTGTTCCCCAGGGTTCTACGCCAAGACTCTGCTAACTAATATTATGAAATATGCATCCCAGGACCAGAATGACTTAATATTAAAAAATGAAGCTATTTTTGTTGTGGCCCATTGTTCAACTGGATATTTACAGGGTATCTCAGAAGTGCTAAAGAACCCTGAATATGCATCTCTCTTAGAAGATACAAAATTTGTAAAGGAAGCATTAATTTTTGATGACTTCTTAGAACACATTGAGACTGAAGATGACAAGGCATGGTATGGAAAAACCGAAATTTACAAAGCCGCTGAAATGGAGGCGATAGATACATTATTGATCACAAGCAACACACTGCGATCTGACGACATTGCTGAACGAGAGAAGAACATGGACTTAATCGAGCAAATTAAAGCTCAGAATGGCAAAGTTATTGTATTTAGCAACTTTAGAGATTCGGGTGTTGAGCTACAGCATATTGGCGGATTTGCATGTCTTTTGAAATACCCAGTTCCTGATTTAGATGATTTAGCAAATGATGCACCACCAGATACTTTAATTACTGCGTAAGGTATTAGATTAGCTTACTTTCAGCTATGTGTATTTTTAATTTCTTCAATTGATTAAATTATAGTTTGGAAATCAAGTACGTAGTGTCATTAGGCAAAGCAATTAAATAAACTGATGGAATATACTTCCCAACGAATTCAAAACAGTTTATCATTATAAGTATCATGTGATTAAAAAAGTTCCAAAATGATAAAAATGTTTTTGGTTTTTGTTTATTTATATTTTAAGTATTTTATCACACGAGCTATTGGTTATGAGTTCCGAACAGATAGTTATTGTTAAAGAACGATTATTTCATTCCGTGTAGTGCTTTGCGTGATAGTACTTCGGATTAGTGTAAGTATAACAGTGTCGGCTTTTCTATATCAGAAAATATAGGTAGACATCTATTACTCATGACTTATATTATTTCACATTTCAGGCAAAAAGATACTGTAAAATTTGCTGTAATACTATTAGATATGTACAATGTGCAATTAGTGGTCTTTTTACTGTGTCTTTGGTTATCACCATTTTCCAAATGAAGAATTGCGGATTAAAAAATCAAGTACCGAATCAGGAATTTGCGAAGTATAGGGTCAAAGAGCAACTATGAGGGATAGAAAGCATATTGTTTTTATACCAAACTAGGCATCGTAATCACCACACTTTGAATTGTTTAATAAAAAAATTTGCACTAATTAAAAGAAACTTACGCTAATATCTTAACATTGATCCCAGGTAAGGATCAAATTTAGAAGTCTGGACGTTATTAAGGAAAGAGGACAGTGCTAAGGTAACGTTTTGCAACAACCAGACAACCGTTTTCTACAGTATTGTGGCATTGCCAAAAGCATCTTAAGCTTTTAGCCCATTTTAAAGTTGTTATTGTTCGCAATTGACAGAAAATGCTTCTACTATTGTCGAGGCAACCGGATAGACGGATTGCTATTGTATCCGATAGACATGCGTTAATATTTAAATCAGTCGGTCACAACAAATCAACTAATGCTCCTCTTTGTGCTATCGATCTTGTTGAGAAGGGACAACTAAAAGATCAAGGGTTTAAGAAACTAACACATAATGAAGTTCATGGCTTTATAGGTATGATAGAAATTGAAGGATATATTTTCTTGGGTGCTATCACTGGGAAATCTAAGGTTGCCCAACCGATACCTGGTGAAACTGTGAACAAGATTTATGCTGTAGATTTCTTTTGCTTGAATGATTCAAGATGGGATTTTGTTGAAATTGATAACTCTGGTTATCCAGTTCTTCCAAATAGAGATTCCAGCGACTTGAAAGAGACATTACCAAGACACCCATGCTATGAACTAAGGAAATTGCTATCTGATGGGTCTTTCAACTACAGTTCGAATTTCGATTTGACTTCTACACTACAGAAGAGACGCTTTAGTGACCATTCCCTTAGTGTGGATAATTTTGAAGAAGAATACATGTGGAATTATTTTTTAATGAATGAGATTATAACTTACAGAGATAGACTCGATATGGAAACCAAGAGGATCCTTGATGATGAGGGTTTTTTAACAACAGTCATTAGAGGCTTTGCTGAGACGTTTGTGACATACGTGAAAAAACTTAAGGTAGGTCTTACTGTAATTTCAAAACAGAGTTGGAAAAGAGCTGGGACAAGATTCAATGCTCGTGGTGTTGATGACGATGCCAATGTGGCCAACTTTGTAGAAACCGAGTTCATTATGTACTCTAACGAGTATTGCTATTCATTTACAATAATTAGAGGTAGCATACCTGTTTTTTGGGAACAAGATACATCCTTGATAAATCCTAAAGTTCAAATTACGAGATCAAAGGAGGCAACTCAACCTGTATTTGACAAACACTTTCATAGGTTAATTGAAAAGTACGGGCCAGTACATGTAGTTAATCTGTTGTCTACAAAATCGTCCGAAATAGAGCTTTCACAGAGATACAAACAACAGATTGTAGATTCAAAATCGTTAAGGTTGAATGATGATGTCTTCTACTCACATTTTGATTTTCATAAAGAAACATCACAAGAGGGGTTTTCTGCTGTTCGTAGAGTTTTGCCGCTGCTGTCAAACTCCATTCTAGAAGCTGGTTATTTTTCTTATGATGTTAAGGACAAAAAAGTGCTTTCTGAGCAACATGGTGTTTTCCGTGTAAATTGTTTGGATTGTTTGGACAGGACCAATTTAGTTCAACAGACTGTATCGTTGGCCGTCTTTAAGATATTCTTAGAAGATTTTCAAATCATTGGACCCAAAAGTTTTATTGATGAAGAGGATTTTGCTATTAAGCACAACACCTTATGGGCAGATCATGGTGATCAAATTTCTCAAATCTATACTGGTACTAACGCTTTGAAATCATCCTTTTCACGTAAAGGTAAAATGTCTTTGGCTGGTGTCCTTTCTGATGCTACCAAATCAGTTAGTAGAATGTATATCAACAATTTTATGGATAAAGGAAAGCAGCAGAATATTGATTGTTTATTGGGTAGATTGGCTGATCAGAAGAGTGTCGAATTGTATGATCCTTTTAACGAGTATGTTACAAATAAATTGCATGAAAGAGCGGAGGAATTTACCAATAACTCAAATATTAATATTTTTGTTGGATCATTTAACGTCAACGGGACATCAAAGCGATCAGATTTGTCTAAATGGTTGTTCCCAATCGGAGATAAATTTAAGCCTGACATTGTAGTATTAGGCCTACAGGAAGTAATCGAATTAACAGCTGGTTCTATTTTAAATGCAGATTATACTAAAGGATCATTTTGGGAGACAATGGTAAGCGATTGCTTAAACCAGTATGATGATAAGTACCTCTTACTAAGAGTAGAACAAATGTCTTCATTATTAATTGTATTTTTTGTGAAGGCCGACAAGGCACATTATGTTAAGCAAGTTGAAGGAGCATCTAAGAAAACGGGGTTTGGTGGTATGACTGGTAACAAAGGTGCTGTCTCTATTAGATTCGACTACGGTAATACATCCTTCTGTTTTGTTAATGCACATCTTGCTGCGGGTGCCAATAACATTGACGAGAGAAGAAATGACTTTGAAAGTATTACAAACGGCACTCAGTTCACGAGGTCCAAGAACATCTCTCATCATGACTCCATTTTTTGGCTTGGCGATTTGAACTATAGAATCCAATTGACTAATGAGGAAGTGAGGAAACTGTTAGTAACACAACCTGATGGGTATATAGATAAATTACTGAAGTATGACCAATTAACTCAAGAAATCAATGCTGGTGTTGTCTTCAAGGAATTTAAAGAACCTACATTAAAATTTAGACCAACTTATAAGTATGATTATGGGAGCGACAACTATGATTCTTCTGAAAAGGCGAGGACACCTTCATGGACTGATAGAATCATATATAAGGGCGAAAACTTGTATCCATTGGCATATTCTGATGCACATCTTCTACTAAGTGACCATAGGCCTGTGTATGCAGCATATAGGGCGAAAGTGACTTTCATTGATGATGATAAGAAGCACCGTATAGTTCAAGCTCTTCATAAGGAATACAAGATTGAGCATCCAGAAGAGACCTCTTTGACTAACAATCTTTTATTGGATCTTGACATAGAGTCACGCACTCAATCTGAACAAACTAATGGATCTCAGACCTCATCGATCAATTTTGAAGCGCCTCTCTCACACTCTCTTCAATCATCCACATCATCGTTTGCATCTTTAACACCGAGAAATCGGAACGCACAACAAGATACAGAAGTAAGATCAAGTTCAGCATCCGTGTTGAGTTCTCCAGGAGCAATTGATAAAAGTGTTAAACCTAAGTTATCAGCACCACCTCCACCAGCACCTAGAATTCAGCCAAAGAAGGAGTTAGAGGTTGAGTCCAATGGAAGCAGACTCTCTTCTCCGGCTACTCCAAAGCCAACTGTCTTGAGTCCACAAGTGCCCCCTAAACGTAAGGTACTCCCACCCGGGTTTTCTGATTCCATTGTATTAACACCAAAAAATTCGAGTCAAAGTAGTGTTGATGTTAAAGCGCTATCTCCTTCTCCTAAGCCAAAAGTTTCGTCACCTCCAATTTCTCTGAAATCTAATAATGAAGGAGAAGGCAAGCGCAAGATTCCACCAGCGAAACCTGAAAAGAAACCAGAACTCGAGAGTTTAACTCTAGACTCATGGAAGCCTTTGCAACCAAAATAAGCAAATTGAAGACAATGTATTATCTTATTTTGATTATGACGACTTGTATTGTGTATGATAGATTTTTATCGAGATATTATATATTACAACGATGTTTATAAATGAGCATATAAAATTTTAAATGTGCATAGTGTTAGTATAATGCGAGTAGTTTATCGGGTGTAAATCGTATTCGATATGGTGTCTTCCAAGACCAGCAATGGAACAGACAATATGTTAAATTAGGTGCACGTTAGGCTTAACGCGACTTAAGGGTATCCTCAAGTTTCTTCTTATATATTTCAATTTCTTTATCAACGTTACTAGAAGCCATTTTAATTCTTGTTAATTCGTCTTGCTCAAGCTGTCTAGAGAAAAGACAGTCTTCAGTTTTGTTTGAAGGTAATAGATTGCCTGGTTTTGAGACTAGAATCTTAAAGAAGTCTTCATAAGGTTCATTAAACACGATTTCATCATAGAATATAGAACTAATTTCATCTGATGTGGTGGCATTGCCAGTTTCTTCCTTCTTAACCTCTGTGGACATCGGTGGATTAACGTTCACATATGGATGTAATCGCAGCCTGTGGTAGAAATTAATGAACTTCTCATTACTTTCTTCCACAAAGTAAATCTTGATGTTTATATCAAATTCACCCCATCCTGTTTCGGTGAGTTCAAATGGAGGAGCCTCAATGGTTCTCACAGGATTCGGGTAGGTCTCATGCAACTTGAACACCACCTTCTTGATGAAATATGATATGTCATCTCCTGTAGGACTCCTCACAAAGATGGTCCATAGATGTGTATGCTCACTGGGTGCGTTTGGTGGCCTGTTCTCACCGATCTTCTTCGCAGTATTCCCATAGATTACTGCTCGACTTACAGACAGTGTCTTGATTCTCTTGCTAGTGGGAGGTGCCATTACTTCAAAGTCTCTTCACCGCTGCTATATGGGCCTTGATGTCCACAAATTCTGAACAGCAATTGACGAGATAGATGTGGCATTCTAAAGTAAACAGTTCAAGCAAGGTGATAGTGCTATGTGCAATGTTTAGCTATATAACGATTTTTTGCCAGCCTGTGACTGCAAAAAAAGAAAGAAATTTGAAAAAAATGTAGAATTCAGCTCATCACATGGAATAGTCTCGACTTGTTGTGTATTAGGATGTATAAAAGAGGATGAAGAGGTTTAGTACCAAAGATTCTCTCTGTAAGCATGAGTTTGGATTTTGATTGACCAGCGTGGAAGTGACATAGGCTAGATAAGCAAGATGGCTCTGAAGACAATATATGTGGCTAGACATGGGTACAGGTCAAACTGGTTACCTGAGGGACCTTACCCTGCACCTCCAACCGGCATAGACAGTGATGTACCGCTAGCTGAACATGGAGTCGACCAAGCGAAGCAGCTGGCTGAGTATATATCGGCGACATGGGACGAAGAGCGTAAGCCTCAGATGGTATTCACGTCTCCATTTTACCGTTGTGTTCAGACCAGTGAGCCCGTTGTGAAGGCGCTGGACCTGCCACTTATCATTGAACGTGGTCTTGGGGAATGGTACAAACCCGACAGACCGGTGATCCCTGAGCCAGCCACTGTGGCACAGCTATCAGAGTTGTTCCCTGAGGTTACTTTCGACACCCAGTGGGGTGGGCCCACAGTGATACCGAGCGGGAAAGGTGAGACTGAGCAAGAGATCTTTGCACGCAGTGGAGATTTCCTTTCGAAGTTTCTTGACAGGATGCAAAGGGACTATCCAGACATCGAGCGTGTCTTGTTTGTTACACACGCCGCGACTAAGCAATGCATTGGTATGAAGCTGCTAAACATCGAAAATGTCAGAGACAGTATAGACGAACAAGGAAACGTTCTGCATAACGCCAGCTGTTCCATTGATTGGTTCGAATACACCGGGAACAACTGGCTCCTGAAGATGAATGGTGAGACCTCTTTCTTGAAAGACGGTGCCGAGATGGACTGGAACTTCACCTATGGGTTTGAAGCCGGCTCTGACGCAGACATCAAAGCCAGAAGACTACGTGGAGAGATCAACTAGCACTCGAGTAGTACTCGGTCTACGATACAGTACTGTCAACGCTATCTAACACTACCATTTTTAGCGTAGAAAGTAGCACTCTCAATTTTACAGCAGCTTATCTTTATAGAGTATAGTTTTTTTTTTGCAATTATATGGGTGATTATATATATAGCATTACGTTTGCACTATTACCTCATTCCCTGTCCATCCAATGAGCTTAGCCCATGCGCTGTATGGTGCAATATACCATTGCCAGCCTGAACGACGTTATATTTATAGATACTTCTCAGTTCGACACCACGCTTAGACTGCTTCGCACAGACAGACTCATTTGAAGCAAGTTCAGTATAATAAACGCAAACGTCAGTGTCCAACTAATTCAGCAACTAACAAAGGAACAGTCAGTACAGTGTTCTGCTCTGTTGCTGGATATTGGTGGGGTGGGGAGGGAAGTAGAAGGGAAGGGCACACATATGTGATTGGCAAAGCTCTACTACATTGAAAGGACATCAATATGCAGCATGCAGCACATTGCAGGATTATCACTAGTTCTCGATTCGAAGGAGAGGAGTGGTGAGACGCGAGAAATGTTGCCTTGACGATTGTTTCAGTGTGGGAGCACTACACCAGCAGGTCAATCACCCTTGTTGCTTTGCTCACTTTAACGAACGGGTCTTCGTTATGCTGAAGGGACCCTGTATCCCAAAGCTCTCTTTGTCCAAAAAATTTCTTCTCTTTCTGGATGTTACATAAAAAGAGGATTTACCTGCCAAAGTTGTTTCTTGCTTAAAAAGTATATATTCGTTGTGGTCTTGGTAAGCTTATTATTTTTATCTGTTACAAGAACTACAAGACATTGAGCCATGGACGAGAAGCGGATCATGTCGAAACTTAGAATACCTCCTGGTAAGGAACCTCTGGTGAAGAGAATTGGTATCGCTTTGGTACTTTTCCTGTCCACCTTCTTCCTCTACTCTACTGTTTCTGGCGGTGAGTTCTTCCACTCTGGCAAGCCTGTGAAGGGTGCTTCTACTGCTATCACGGGTAACACTGGTTACAAGTACACTTATGCCGACGAGGACGGCCATTACCCAGAAAGCAAGAAGGTTAGAGCTACTTTCGTGACTTTGGTCCGTAACAAGGACTTGTGGGAACTGCTGCCAACGATCAAGAACGTCGAAGACAGATTCAACCGCCATTTCCACTACGATTGGGTGTTCCTTAACGATGAGCCCTTCACTCAGGAATTTATCACCACCACCACTGCTATGACCTCTGGTAAGACCAAATACGGTCTAATCCCTCGTGAGCACTGGTCCTACCCTGAATGGATCGACCAGGAAAAGGCCAGACTCACCAGAGAAGAAATGAAGAAGCAAAAGATTATCTACGGTTTCTCTGAGCCTTATAGACATATGTGTCGTTTCGAGTCCGGTTTCTTCTACAGACAAAAAGTCCTTGATGAGTACGAATACTACTGGCGTGTGGAACCTGGTACCAAGTTGCACTGTGATGTCAATTACGATGTCTTTAAGTTCATGAAGGACAACGGTAAGAAGTACGGTTTCACCGTCTCTTTGTTGGAATACGAAGCAACCATCAAGACCTTATGGCAAACCACTGTTGAATTTATCAAGAAGTTCCCACAACACTTGGCAAAGAACAGCATGTTGGATTTCATCTCTGACGACCAAGGTGAGTCTTACAACTTGTGCCATTTCTGGTCCAACTTTGAAATCGCCTCCTTGGACTTATGGAGAGGTGAAGCCTACAGTGCTTACTTTGATTACTTAGACCATGCTGGTGGTTTCTTCTACGAGAGATGGGGTGATGCTCCAGTTCACTCAATTGGTGCTGCGTTGTTCTTGGACAGAGATGAAATTCACCACTTCGGTGACTTGGGATACTACCATCCTCCTTTCCATGCTTGTCCAATTGACGAAAACATCAGATTATCTAACAGATGTGATTGTCATCCAAACAAGGACTTTACTTGGGTGCCATACTCTTGTGCTCTAAAGTACTACAACGTTAACAAGTTGACAAAGCCACTTGGATGGCAAGAGCACGTTGGCATGAAGGTCTGATAACCTTCTAGCTGACGACGCATTGCAAAGGAACGCGATGTATTTCATTCTTTCAAAAAGGAGGTGATCGCGTTCCCCTTATATAAATTAATTGTTGGTTCTTCCAACTCTCATTATCAATGACTTTATGTTAGAATGTACAGCATGATCAGTTTCAACACTGCTGGATTTTTCTGCTGATAACTGATAGCTATCGAGATCTACAATGGAATTAACATAAATATGTATATAATACTATAATATGTCTTCGGATAATTATTTTTTATATTATGTGACGTTATAGCAACAGTGGTTTATTATTATACATGGGATAAAGCACCCGCAGCGATGTCATTACTGAACTATGTAAAAGCGGTGCCAACATTCATTTAGCATTGAGCCCAACCAAAGATTGAACAATACTTTATAAATTTAATATTCCTTATAGTGCCATAATAATAAAGCTTGTTTTAAATCAACTATAAATACAAATAAATTATGCAAATTAAATAGAACAGTTTTTTCTTTGGATACAACATGCATATCATACTAATTGGTATGCATTTACTAGACCACGATCAGAAGTTGTACTTCTTGAAGAATGCATGAGTCAGCTCGACACCCAAGAAAGTAGCTGCGTTGGCAGGGAACGATCTTAGTAGTGCTGGTCCGAGACCTGGGAAGAAACCCTTTATTCCACCTCTCTGTATGTAGATATCCTTTGTCGCCTGTACCATTGATATAGGAGTGGTTGCCACTTGCAGCCTTGTCTTAATTGTGTCAATTGGGAACACCACTAGCCACATGGACATACCAGCGATACCACCTGCGAGGCAGACGTTGGCCAAGTTCACTTCGTCCTTATCCTTCTTGGCGACGCTCTTGTTCAAGAAGGCCTTTGAGAGCTCATAGGATGCAAAGTACAGAGCGGAGCCGGGACCGTCCCTGGCCAAAGTCGCCAGGGAACCATTGAACAGCGATTTGACACCACCGGTGCTGACTATATGCTTTGCAGCTTTGATGAAAGAGCCCTTAAACTCGGAGTTTGTCTGCAGGACGACTTTTATTCTCTCTGTGGGTGCAGTGACCAGAGTCGTTGGGATTGCACTGATGAACCCCGCGGTGGCCATCTGTGCCGTGGTCAATGGGGCATCGGAGGCCTGTTTCCAAGTGACCAGTCTCTTCCCGATGTCGTAACCCCAGAAGGAGACGGCGAATATCGGCGTGACACCGATCAGAGGTGGGATAACACCTTTGTAGAAGCCCTTCACCGAGTTCTTGAAGAACAGAGATGTAGTCAGCGAGCCATTCACAGTGGACAAGCTCCGGGCTTCCTTGAGAATGATGGACACCGCGTCCATGGTGGACTTGGCCTGGTTGCTCTGGCACCGGACTTTGATCAGGTCGAAGGGGTGCCCAGTCAGCACGGCGCACACACCACCCACACCACCAGCTACCAATGCTTTCATGTTCTCACGGAACGCATCGGTCTTGTGTTCCAGAATATTTGTTTCAGCAGGTGTGTCAGACATTGGTTCTTTTTTTTGGTTTCCAGTATGTATGGGATAAGTAAAAGGCAAGAGCTAAGCTACATATGGGGCTTCCCAGATATCAAACCCAATCTTATTATATACTGCAAACTGCAAGATGCAGAGTTGCTTGACTGGACTATAACAAAACCTCCGAAGTGGCTATGACCGATGTGCATAGGGTCACTTCAACCTTTGGTCATCGCACTATGGGTGGGGGGGATTGTAGTAAAGGTCACACCAACAACCCATATTATATCCATGGACGAATGGGGAGTAAATGAGTAACCAGAATCCCACACAAACAACAAACAACAAATACCAACCACCAAAATACAGAATATAGAATACAGAATATAGAATATCTACTGTAAAAATGCTTCATCATGGACTATTATTCATACTTCTCGAGGAAACTGCATAGAAGAAGAAATATAACAAGGTGAAAAAACATGTGACTCACTTCTCTCTTGTCCCCTAAAAAATAGCCACAGGCAATAAGTGTCGGCGTTAATGTTTGAATGTCCGGAATCCCTATATAATACTATACGTCAAGAATGTCACATGCATTACGTACAAGTAGATTAAAATACATGTGACCGAACATTCCATATCACCATGTACTACATAGGGAGGGCCCTTCGTCTCGTCTTCACGTCTCAGTCCCGTTCAGAACTCTCGAAAATTTCTTGTTTATTGGGAAGGGAGTAATACGCAAGGGTTCTGTACCTCTCATCCCCCCCCATCACTTGAACTTATAAGTTATAGATTATACTTTCTAACTCCTAATTTACAATTCTATTATAGCTTTGGAGACAACGAACTAGGAGTAGTAATTGAGACAATAGTAATGAACAAGCCAAGTATCAGGGAGTACAAGCTAGTGGTTGTTGGTGGTGGTGGTGTTGGTAAGTCTGCGCTGACCATACAGCTGGTGCACTCGCATTTTGTCGACGAGTATGATCCGACCATTGAGGACTCCTACAGAAAGCAAGTGGTGATAGATGACAAGGTCACGATACTGGATATCCTGGATACCGCCGGGCAGGAGGAGTACTCTGCGATGCGCGAGCAGTACATGCGCACTGGGGAAGGGTTTCTTCTGGTGTACTCGGTTACGTCCCGGACGTCGTTTGAGGAACTGATCACGTACTACCAGCAGATCCAGCGGGTGAAGGACGTGGAGTACATTCCCGTAGTGGTTGTCGGTAACAAGTCTGATCTGGAGACGGAGAGACAGGTGTCGTTCGAGGAAGGTGCCAGCCTGGCCAAGCAGCTGAACGCTCCTTTCCTGGAGACATCTGCAAAACAGGCGATAAATGTCGAAGATGCGTTCTATACGCTGGTGAGGTTAGTGAGAGATGACGGTGGGAAATACAACAAGTACCTGGAAAAGACACAGGACGGCAACACCGGTGCCGGTGCCAAGGACCACAGCACATCGAACATGGCCACCTCCGCCAACAATTACAACAGCCAGATGAACAATGCCCAATCAGCAGGTATGGGCGGCGAGTACAAGGGATCAAGCAACTCTATGAACAACAACAGCATGAGAAATAGCAACGGTCACATGGAAGGCGCAAATAACGCAATGGACTCTTACAACAAGGGCACAGCGGGCAACGACATGTACGGACAGGACACTAACATGGACAGCAGCAGAATGAACCAGCAATCCACTTCCGCAGCAAATAACATGAATAGTAGTTCGGGTGCTAACAGAGCCAACAACCAGCAAAATAGGAGCTCAGGAAACACAGGAAATGATGGAAGACAGGCGAGGGCACAACAATCATCACAATCTGAGAACAAAATTACGGAAAACAAGACGAAAGAGAGCGGAGGTGGATGCTGTGTCATATGCTGAGGCCTCACTACTACCATTTCTCTCTTTACGTAAACAATACACAGGCACTTACACATAGATTACTTTTCTTATTTTTTTGGATAATTCTCGGTAGTGCATTGTTAATTCAACTCCAATACCTTGAATTCGTTTCTCATGAAATATACTCGGAGGTATATATTCCGTCATATTTTATTGAGAAATCGTATCCGTTCTTTAACATTCTAACTCATGTTCATTTATTCAGCAAAAAGAGACAATATCATATATTTCCTAATTAATAATTATCGCAATTACCCTTTGAGTGATATCTTCTTTTATCTTTATATACCACATCATTATTCTAGCATGGAGCATATTGCAAATGGCAGGGGTTGATCGGCATTGTGACCTATTTTTCCAATTCTTTAATCCTATCTTAAATTTTTGGTTATGAAAGAATAAATCAAGTTTGTTTTTTTTCTACTTAATTATCTAGTTCTTATAATTATACTAATGTTGTAATAATACTGCTAATATTTTCATTGCTATGGAACAAAAGGAGCGCGTAGCCAGAAAAAGACTCTTGATGTATGCTATAAGGAAGATGTATATTTTTTATATTTTAAAGTACAAGGTTTACAGAGAAACTAGCTGATTATATACTGGCATTGGTATCTCTTCTTCTTTTCTGCGCCCTATGGTTCCAGAATCAATTTATGAAATGTAGACAGATGAAGTGCAATGTCAAACTTGCAATGATGAACTCAGCAAACGCTCTGTTGCTCGAGATACCTGGGAACTCAATTTGGTTCAAAATCTGCAGTCTCAAGGAGATCAGCAAGACGAATTGACCAACACACATGATGAAACCAGCAAGGAAAGCATTGAATGGGAAACTGTCTCTAACCAGTAGAGCAAACAGGAATTGTATACCACCGACCAGCACCAAAAACACACAGAAGATATCTATCAACTTCAACTTGTTGTTGCCTTCTACCTGCGTTGTATAAGCCTTCATAGAGGAATTGATGGCCTCTTTGAAGTCATTGAAAACTTCTCCGGATTGAGCATCCTTGGAGGATTTACTGCTAGAAACCTTCTTAGGACCAGCCATTTTCTTCTTCTTCTTCTATCGTCTGCAACCGCGTACTATCCCACAAACTAGAGTTTGACCTGATTGCCGAGATCCACACAGCAATTATATAATGAAGGAATCTTTTAGACCACTGACTATTGCCTGTTCCAACCTTCCTCGCTCTAATCGCTGCGCAATTGATCGACTGCCCAGTGCAGCAAAATAACGTCCCCGAGAACACATCACATGACCGATAGTATTTATAGCCGGATCAGCAATTTAGATAAGTAATATGGTCATCGAATTAACATAACTCCAGCAACTATGTGCTATTTGGGAGTAAATTACCTTCACACAGTGGTTAATCAGGTATAGTTTAGTACCTGTTGTGTGTTGGACAAAGTACCTTTGGATCTTTGCCTTAATAATAGCGACTGCATAAATTCCGATAAGGAAACTAATCTAATTCACTACTCTGAGATAGACTATGATAGGGCGGTGTCAAGCTGAGGCTTTGTTCAGGAGGTCGAGTTTTACAGATGGTGTTATTGATACGGGGAAGAGCTTCAAGAGTTGGGATACATGTATGCACAACAAGGCGTGCAAGATCATAGCCATCGTGGGAATAGTGATTGCTTCCATAGTGGCAGTATGGCTAATAGGTGGGCTACTATCGTGTTTCACTCGTGGTGTTAGTGGTATAGGTGAGTTTTGCTGTTGGTGCTGTAACCTGTGTAACAAGAACCCCAACGAACCCAACGGCTATGGGAATCAGAATTTTAACACGGTACCGAATGGGAAATTTGTAGGCAGTCCTCCAGATGTTGTATATCAGCCTATCCACATGCCAGAGAGAGCATACAATAAGTTTGATGCCTACGCTGAATATGATCCAAGAAAAAACAGCAGCAAAAACACTGTATATGATGAGAGCATTGAATTAAATGATAGGTACGATCTCGAGAGTCAGAACCTCCAAGGAAGAAGTAGAAAGCAAACACATTTATCTCCACAACGTATGCCTTTAACTATGGAAACGGAGCGCTTCGATGGTAGGGATGAACTGTCTGTCTATGGTGGCTATCATCATAGAGGGCAATCCACAAGCGATGTCTCAGATATAAGCTATGAGATGGAACCGTTCCCACCTGCACAACAGAGCCCTTCAAGAAGGCAACATCTATCCACTAATTACAACTCGAGCTCTAATCTTGTCAGTGGAGGTCGTGGCAGTCGTTCAAGTCACACATCACCAGTAAGACAACCTGTGCGAGCTCCATATCCAGCTGATAATGATAGTTATTATGAAGAAAATGTATATAGAAATAACAGATACTGAAAACTTATTTTGTCACTGTAAGAGTGATGATAGAGTTTGGTTAGTCGAAATATTATAATAGTGCATATTCTTTCCCATAATACAAGATATTTATTGTTAAAATTACAAAATTATACTTAAATAGGTGGTGTATACCATACTAATAGCCCCAATCATTATTAAACCAACGTCAAGGTAAATGTTAGGCTTGAGTATTTTACCTGAGTCTTTCTTGATACTGTAATCTTTTAAATGCAGCGCTGGGGGAATCATATATACCAATGGAATACAAAATAAAGAGCCAATTACTGCGACAAATTTCTCCAGATGTCCAGAGCCAAAGTAGGCCAAAAACACGACTAAATTAGTAATACCAAGTCTCAAACACACTTTTGGTACCTGACTGTTTGTCAGCACGTCTTTTACTATTCTGAAGCAGTCGAGGACAGGCAAAAGTGCACCTTCAGAAATGTCAGTCGATGATATCTCTTTTTGGGTAGTTATATCTTTCTTCTCCGTTAGTGGCATCAAATTATTAGATTTTGACACTTCCTCGATTGAACAGTCATCTAAAGTTTCATTGTTATTGTTATCTATATCAATTTTGGCAAATAATAGGTCTTCTAAGATAGTAACCACCGGAAGATTCTGCAGTGGAGTTGCAATCATTATTGCAAATGAGTATAATAGCTGCAACAGATTAATTAATATGTTTCCCGATGAAAGACTTTGTAAAATTATAACCTCGACTCCGTTGCCAAATGCCATATAGCCGATGATCGCAATTGCTAAAAAGATGACAGCAGAGGAAGTAATAACGAGTGCCAGAACCAAGGGGAAACTTTCTGGGTGCCTCATTGAGTCCTGAACAGGTATAATTAATCCAATACCTTCAAATGCAAAGATTGCTGTGCCGACAAAGAGAGACCAGTTCCTTGGATTGAATTTGTAGTTGATGTTCTCAACAAAATGTTCAGAAGGTTGTATCGAGAGAGTCGAGCAGCAAGAAATGAAAACAATAGAAAGACCTGATAGCATCAGAACGTTAGAAACCATTGTAGTAATTGAGAATTTTTTAATGTCAGTTATCAGGCCCAATGGTATATATAAAATCAACTGGCAGAATATCAAATAAAAGTATTTTATATCTTTCCAGTGAAATAAAGCTTCCAGACTGGGCTTCATATTATTGGCAACAAATATGATGCCAGTACTAGCAAAGCCCAATTGAGTGAGAATTAGGGAAAAGAGAATAACAACTTTCATGGGTGTTCCATAGATTCTCTTACCTATTTCACCAAAGCACGACAATTTGGTGGATACCTTAACTACAGATAAAATGTAGTAACACCAAAAGGAATAAATACCAATAAAGATGAAAAGGATTATAGAAAACAACATACCTCCATTTTTGAAGGCATTGGGTAGCAGCAACACACCTGTACCAACAAATGATTTTAAAAGCAGAATATATGCTTTAAAATTCGAGATGCCGCCCTTAACAATTACGTCTTCCCCAATGGAACATGTATCATTATCATCATATTTGATAATTGAACTGCATCGTGAAGTTGTCCTTGGGCTAGCTGAAATTCCAGCAAAGTGGGAATAAAGATGCAGGTAGTCTTGGTTGAAAGACAAGAGCTGTGACTTATTGAGCGCCATTTTTTCCATTGCGTGGGCGTTAGTAACCATATCCTTATACCATTTGTTGTTAGGTAAATTGCCAACGTGTGGCCATTTACTATGTCTAACAATACAATTCCAAACTACCTGGGAAGATACAATAATTTTTTTAAATTTTTTCTTGATACCAAAGTGTTTTAATCTAGGGCTATCTGAGGATGAGTGGGCGCCATTGCTACCCTCAATCCAAGTACCCACAAACACTCTAGCATTATTCTTTGTGATAGTAATTAAAATTGGTTTATTTGAAGCCATATTTGTCTGTGAAGTTGTGGTGTGTGTGTGTACTATTGAAATTGACTATTTACAAAATAAAGAATTATAATGGCATATATCCCTCGACATATACCGATTTATATATTACAAATTTGTAGCCAGTACCTATTTAATTATTTCATACTACTTGCCTTTTTTCCATACAAAATAGTAGTTAGTTGTGGTACTTTTGGCAAGTTATAGTTTTACAAAAGAGAATAGTTAGTTGTGTTATTTTTGACAAGTTTTTATTTTTCAAACAAATATTATTGCTGTTTATATTAACTTTTTTGGTACCCGCCGGTTGCTAAATTCTTGGACATTCAAACTGCACATCGCACCCTAATCTTATATGTGGTATGCACCGTTTATCAATAGTTGGCAAGATATGGAAAGCAAAACTTGCCAAAAACGTTTTATTGTGTCAAGTATAAATTCGGATTTAAGTGTTAAGAATGGAAGCTCTTCCTGAGGGGGGGAGTAAACACTCGGAACCCACCGAGACAAAAAAGAAACGAATCCTACCAAGAGTCCCTGCCAAGACGGGGGGGAAACATCGCAACGCAGTGTGGATGATGCCCTCCCGGGGCTGCCGACTGAGCTGACATTTCTTTTTGACTTGTGGGAAACCCGGGAGCTTGCGAAGACGGTCCAACTTGCTCAATAGGGAAAGCTTATTTTCCAAGGACTGCAAACAGTGCTTTGTCAATGGGTGTCTCTGGGGCTACCCTTTTTCTACTACATTTGAAGGAAAATATTGCTAATGTAAACTGCAAAGGAGAGCAAGGGTTTCTTAATTGAAAGCAAGGAGTACTGTATGTCTGTGATTAGTCAATCATTCTCTTTTCTGTTACATAGCTGTGCGATGAGAATTGAAAATTTTTTAAACTGGAGCTTGAAAAAAAAAAAAAAAAAAAAAACTGAATAAATCGATGAGGTATATAATGTGAATGTATAAGTGGTTTTTTTGATCTGGATCAGTTTCTGTTTTAGTTGTAATTTATACATTCCATGCTAGAGGGGAGTATGTTTCTTATATTTTTCTTGCTTATCTGTACCTTTTATTTTATAAATAGTTCAAAGAATACTTTAAAAACAAATTTGAAGAGTTGAGTATTCAATTTTGATATTAAAAAAAAAAATTACTACTCTTCGATTTGATCCTTTCCTCTTCAAGATCTTCTTGGGATTAATTTACGTTCCTGGATAATGAATTCTCATGATGCTGATGCTTTCGAAGGCCATGCTACTCGCCGTCGAAGCACCGTTGGTCACCATCAGATAAACTCTGATGATGACGATAGTGACAACTACTATAATGAGACAGGCAGCGGTGGATCCAAGAGGAATCTTAGAAACTTGTTTGGCAGCTCGAAAGAAAGCGACAAGGATGAAGCTGGTGATTCTAATCATGTTGTGACAAATTTGCTGGACGTTACTAGTGTAGACGTTGAGTCCTTCGATGAGGATGAGAAACTAGCAAAGCCAAAGTACAAATCGAGATGGCAGGAGATCTATTACGAGTATATTATTGTGGATAAATCTACCATCGGCACCTCTCTACTGGACTCTTTCATGTACAACCATGACTTGAAGCCTGTAGAAGAAGAGAGACGGGTGTGGTCATGGTTCAATTTCGTATACTTCTGGTTGGCTGAGTCCTTCAATATTAACACATGGCAGATCGCTGCAACTGGTTTGCAAATGGGTCTAAACTGGTGGCAATGTTGGGTCTCTATCTGGATCGGCTATTCCTTCGTCGGTATATTCGTAGTACTAGCCTCCAGAGTTGGTTCCGCATACCATTTGTCTTTCCCTATATCTTCCAGAGCTGCCTTCGGTATATTTTTTTCCTTGTGGCCAATTATCAACCGTGTGGTGATGGCTGTTGTCTGGTATTCTGTCCAAGCTTATATAGCCGCTACACCGGTATCTCTTATGCTGCAATCGATTTTTGGTAATGATTTACCTAGAAGAATTCCTGATCATTTTGGCTCAAAGAATGCCACCACCTATGACTTTATGTGTTTCTTCATCTTCTGGGTAGCCAGTCTTCCTTTCTTGTGGGTTCCACCACACAAAATTAGACATCTATTCACAGTGAAGGCAATTCTTGTCCCATTCGCGGCATTTGGTTTCTTAATTTGGGCTATTAGAAAAGCTCATGGTAAGATCGCATTGGGTACTCTAAATGATTCTCAACCACATGGTTCAGCGTTCTCATGGGTTTTCCTGAGATCTATCATTGGCTGCATGGCTAACTTCTCTACTATGGTCATTAACGCACCTGATTTCTCAAGGTTCTCCAAGCACAAAAACTCTGCCATGTGGTCCCAGCTGATATGTATCCCATTCCTATTTTCCATTACATGTTTGGTGGGTATCTTAGTTACCGCTGCTGGATATGAGTTATACGGTGTCAATTACTGGTCTCCTTTGGACGTGTTGCAAAAATTCCTGGATACAGCTTTTACTAGTGGAACTAGAGCTGGTGTCTTTTTGATCTCATTTGTGTTTGCAATTGCTCAACTGGGTACTAATATTTCAGCCAACTCGCTGTCCTGTGGTACTGATATGTCTGCTCTTCTTCCAAAGTATATTAACATTAGACGTGGCTCCATCTTCTGTGCAATGATGGCTCTGTGTATCTGTCCATGGAATCTTCTGGCAACATCAAGTAAATTCACAATGGCGTTATCTGCATATGCTATTTTCTTATCCAGTATTGCCGGTGTGGTTTGCTCAGACTACTTTGTTGTTAGAAGAGGTTATATCAAACTAACTCACATCTATTCTCATAGAAAGGGCTCGTTCTATATGTACAACAACAGATTCGGTATCAATTGGAGAGCACTAGTAGGCTACTTATGCGGTGTCGCTCCAAACTTACCAGGATTCATCGCCTCAGTAGGTGGACCAAATATCAAAATTTCGATGGGCGCCATGAAATTATATTACTTGAGTTACTGGGTAGGATACTTTTTGAGTTTTATATCCTATACTGCCCTTTGTTATTTCTTCCCAGTTCCAGGAACACCAGTTAAAAACATTTTAAGAGACAAAGGCTGGTACCAGAGATGGGCCAATGTCGAAAACTTCGAGACTGAATGGAGACATATGCTAGAAAGAGAGGACCTATACGGTGACGATGTCAGTATATACAACCATGAGGAAGAAGAAAAGTTTTTTTAGTCATGATAATTTTGAAGAAACTTGATTCAACCAACGTTAGAAGGTTCATGGTATTGTTCGGTTGATAATTTCTGCCCTTTCTTACACAAAAAGTTTATATTATAGTAATTTTGATCTTTTATTAATTTTAGCATTTAACATTTATGAAACTTATTTTATAATCGCATTTTTTATGTACATATTATCATTTATATTATTTTACCTTTCATTTAATAACATTCGTTACCTTACTGTCCAGCTTATTTATATTTTACATACATCTTAAATTTCCATCATTTGTACTTTGTTTAAGAACAAAACTGAATAGATCACCAAATTATAAAATAGATAATTTAGGCTTACAACCAAATGTTGTGTAAAATAGACTCAAATACAAAATTATATTAAATAATTGAACCATAGTATTATAAGCTTTGCAATTGAGTACAGTTACAATGTCTAATATTCATTATATCAAGGGAAATATCTTGAAAGGACGAACTTACAAAAGGATCATAATACATTCCTGTAATGCAAATGGTGCATGGGGTGGAGGCATTGCTTACCAGTTAGCGGTGAAACATCCTAAGGCAGAAGAAGTGTACGTTGACTTATGCGAAAGATTTGGTCAGAAGTTACTTGGGAAATGTGTGGTGATACCCAGCTATAGCGATGATGATGTGCTTATTGGATGTTTATTTACATCAATATTTGGAGGTGCGAGCCATGGCAGCGGCACTAGTATAGTTGATTATACTGACAAGGCTCTATCACATTTTGATGAGTTGTTGGCAAAAGAACAGAGTAAATCTGATAACGCAAATCTTGATAAAGAAATTGAGAAACTATTGAAACTGAAGAGCGGAGTACTTAAGGATTACAAGCTCGAGATGCCAAAAATCAATAGCGGTATATTTGGAGTCCCTTGGCCAGAAACCGAGGAAGTATTAAAGAAGTATGACAGATCTATGAATTTTACTGTGTATGAACTCTGAATGATCATCAATTTGCGACCTCTGTAAAATGCCATAAGTTTAATTTAATGCTATGCTAAAATTCTATATATAAAAAAATAATGTATATAGTAGTTCGGATTTGGAATGGACTTTCTTGTTTCCTGGTATATGATCAAGGACTGCATAATGTTGAAAAGAATACATTCCTGACTGAACCATTGTAATCAAATATCAGATTCCTCACGAGCAAACTCCCTCCAAGTACGCATCTTAACTTTACTATGATCAAATTCACCGTCTTCTTCACCATGCCCACCAGCTCCCTTATTACCTCCCGCAATTGTTCTTGTATCACCCCATGAAAAATCATCAAATTTCCAGTATGCATATGATGGTAAAACAAAGTTCCAGATTGGAAGTGCAATCAAATAACAGAACATCCAACCTAGATAAGACCAGGAAGTTGCTGTAATAACAACAATCATACCTGGCAATCCTAAAATAATCGCCAATAAAATTAAAGTAATGATTGGAGTTGGATGAGAAACAATGGCAAAGATAACAACATAAATAGTGAAACAAATAGCTAGTGGTAAAACTAGAGTACCAATCAATTCAATCAAGATCACAAATTGCATGGAGAAGCAAAATGTACCACACAAATCCTTGATCAAAACTAATTCAAACAAATTATGAACAGTTGAATTAATCCATCTACGACGTTGAGACAATAGCACTTTGAATTCATCTGGCGCAATAGTTTTACATGCAGCCTTAGGTACAAAGACTTGTTTTCTTTTAGGGAAAGTCTTTAACATCAACGATGACAGATATCTGTCCTCACCCAAAAGTAGCAGATTCTTCTTATGCAATGTATCTGTTACATTATCAGAATACCTCTCTACAATATCAGGATTGGACAATATGGGTACCCAATAGCCATCAGCTCCTTTAGGAGATTTAATTCTGTAGATGGAAAAACACCCGGGCAAACATGTCACAGAGCCAAAGACAGATTCAAAAGCCTTTGCTTGATGATGAGAAATATAATATTCAAACACTTGAATTGCAGTCACCCAAGACTGTCCCTTGTTGGCAATCTTGGTCTCACCACACAAACCCATGATAAGAGGGTCTCTAACCATTTCTGCCATCATATGTGTTAATGAGTCAGGATAAACCTTCGTATCAGCATCAACCATTAATACTGTTTCATAAAATTCAGCCATCAAACCGGTAATTTGCCAGATGTTTCTCAATAGTTGATATTCCAACTCAGTCATTCTCTCATCGAAAGTAATCTTTTGTAAAAATGACATAAGTATGACTTGAGAGTCACGCTTACCACGGTTACCTGGTTTTGCAGACCCTTGTTCCTCTGGAGTACCACACTTTACAATAGTAATCATAGGAACTCTTTGCTGTTTCTCAACTGGGACAGTAGAGTCATCATATTTGTAGAATCCTGCATAAATCTTAGCCATATTATGTCTCTTAGTACCTGATGCAACAGCAACATATGAATATGGCAGAACATCGTCAGGTTGTGTAATAAAATCGTCCATCATACCCAAGGCTATTTCTGGTGTAGTTAAATCATTACCAGAACCTTTAATTAAACCATCACAAACAACCATTATTAATTTGTGAGAGTTTGGATAATCGGTTGTTGATAAAGAATCTAAAGTTGTTCTCAGACCGATCTCATCTTCCGAATAACACGTAACAAAACAAATTGTGTGAGCTAATGGATAACCAAATGGCATGAAATCAACTGGAGGTTGTTGAACAATATCAGGATGTATTATAGATGCATCTAACTGGTTAATTTTACTATTATTCCCATAACTAAAAAATGGTGAAGAATTTTTTGCTTGTGTTTCTTTATTGAGGTTGTTAGTATTCCAGTTATTTTGCAATGTCATAGTAGTCATCCCAGATATAGCTGGTCCATCGGTACCATCACCGTCACCACCATCGAAATCTATCACAGATTCGGTCAAATTCAGGAAGTTTGAACTTTTCTTTCTGATCAGATCAATTGTTGATCTTCTTCTTCTTGTTTTCCTTTTAGGTCTTTGCTCCGGTTGAACTGTCTTAATTGGACCTTGAGAGTAAATATTTTCAGACCAATCCTCAACTTGCTTCAAATGTTGGTCCATCGTTTTGTTATCAACAGGGTAAGCACCCTGGTTTCTAGCCACAAACCAACGGAAGTAACATGCAATCAAAAATTTTGTTACTACTACTGAGAGAATGAACACCAAAGACACATATAGTACCACATCTGATGCAATACAACCAACTGACTTAGAATCAACTTCACCCACTCTTATTATCTCTGTTAGACATCTGGCTACTTTCTTTTCATGATCAGTTGACAAAATTAAGGACAAATCATAACCTTGCAACGAAGAGGTCTTCAAATCATCAAACATCGATGGAACATTTAACTGGTCTGTTTCTAACCAATCAAGAAGATCTAGATCAAGAACGTGACCATTGAAAACTGCTAGGTTTCTGGAGCTGTTTTTAATCCCATCCCAAGTGAAATAAACCTCAGCTGCACTTTTTAAGGAGTAAAAAGCTTCTCTTTCAGCATCAGAGGTATGACAATCCCAGCCGGGAGAGTATTCAACTGTGAAGTTAGGTTTAGATGACCCATCTTGATTGAATAATTTGCAAGGAAAATACCATGCTAAGTCTCCATTATCGTTATGTGGTATCGTGCAATCCTCCTTTGGGGTAATTAGGCCATGGCAATTTCCGTTAACATTTTGGAACAAGAAGGAGGCATCCTTTCCTGCAGCAGACCATGGCCCGTACAATCCTGTGGAGTCTACTTCAAGTCCTAGTAATTCTGGGTGTGTTCCTGAGTCGAGTTTAAAAGCCTGGCCATTTATAATGGAAAACTCTTTACTAACACTGTTATTTTTGAGTCTTAATTTTTGTTCCCCGCATACTGTCTTGGTGAAACCAAATGTAATATATGCAACAATGGCACCAATATAAGCAATTATGGAGAGTAATCCCATTTTCTCTCTCCAAGCCCTTTGTCTGGCCTTCTCAGGCATTCCAAATAAAGACAGGAGAGGTGGGACAGCCCAGAATGTTACTACATAGCAGTAAATCATCCAGAGTGATCTAGTACTTTCCGCTTTTGGTTTTAGCTCAGAAGTTGGCCTATTACTGATAAGATGATTTTCTACATCGGTACTATTGTCAAAATCATTCTCTTCATCTTCATAACCTTCATTGTCGTTCTTATTAGCCACATCGTCACTATTTAAAGCCGTCCGATCTGGGTAATCTGCTTCCGGATTGTATCTTGAGTCCCCACTCCTATCTTTACTGAGATCTTGCATTGGATAGTAAAAGTCATCTTCTTCGCCGTTGTAGTAGCTCCTACCTAATCTACCAAGCCTTGATCTATCAGATCTCTGAGACCCAGAGTTTCTTGCGATCCCAGGAGCTACGCCTGTGGATGACGGTAGAACACTTAAATGGCTTCTCTGCTGCTCTGCTGTCTTGACATAGTAATGATGTGGGTTGTTGGGATCATCGAATCTATTCCTCTCTGGTCTCACCAGAGAGCCCTGTCGAGTAGGCATCGAGGTCCGCTTCATACTCAAGCTATTCCCATTCCGAGATCGTATGAACGACTCCTGGTCCCTCGAGAACCCAACATAATAGTCATCATCTTCGTATCCTACCATATTGCTCTTCCAACTACCGCTAGGAGAATATCACACAGAAATTAAATTATTTTGCCTGTTATGAGCTCTTAGCTCATCAGAAAACTCAAAACTCTAGCAAAAAAGATCAAAAAAAAAGCCTCCCTGATACAAACCAATCTCAAGAAAGTCCGGCGTATGTTTTTCTGTAGTGATCCTCCTGCACTGTCCAAGAAACTGGCTTCAAAAGTTGCTCTATTTATATACTTTTTCTCGTCCATTTGCTGATGGGCGTGGTCCTCTCAAAAAACAGAAAACTCATTCCTACGGGGAGTTGTTTGCAATTTCCTAAAACGGAAAAATCTCTAAAAAAGCTAATAAGCGTACTTCAAGCATAATAGAGCCATTCGAGCATGTATAGTCAAAAGCGTTTAGACTTATTATGCTCGGAAGTGCTGCAGTGCTTTTGGATTATGATCCAGAGTCGTACAGTGCCTTCGATGTTACAGTTTGTAGTGGGTCCTTCCAGTGCTTCCTCTCAGTGGTTTTAGTGAAAAGGAGTCAGTATTAGTTAGATGCTGGCTTCGCTGAGGTGATTTCAGACATATATAAATATATAACTATACATATTGTGCCAGTGTCAAGGTGGTACACTCTGTTTATTGGTCGATGCATTACAGATGACTTTAGATGCCAGTCACTATCACGAGTATCTATCGATATACGTATCAAAGTGTCAACTGAGAGGGGGTTCTTGCTGTGGGATTTCTTATAAGTGATTTATTGATGACTACCATTGTTATATCAGCAATTGTGATATGTGCCTATATGTATTAGTGAGCTTGTCTTGAACAAGAAACCAATTGACATTACAGATTACTTATCTAAATGCTGTCGAGAGCAAGTAGAAGGATAGTTGACGGCAGGATAAACCAATTGCGTGCGCTGTCTAAGTGCACTGTTCAATATCAAACTTCAAAGAAGTCTCTTGGAAGATTCTCGGTGAATAAGGATGAAGGAGTGAACGACACAGTGCATTTAAATCCAACCTCTGGGACTCTGGGATCCACTTGGAAATATGCTCTAGGTCTAATTGCAGCTGGGTCTCTTACATACTACTATGTCAATAACGAGCGTAAGCTGTTACAGACAGAGAAAGAGCAAGAAGCTAATCGATTATACGGGGAGAAGTTTGTCGGTGGACCATTCCGGTTAGTAGATACAGAGGGGAGATCATTCACTGAGAAGAATCTAGAAGGAAAGTTCTCCCTGCTGTATTTTGGTTTCACACACTGTCCCGACATATGTCCCGAGGAGCTAGACAAGATGAATGATTGGATCATTGGCCTTGAAAGCAAGGGGTTATCTGTACAACCTATATTTATAACGTGCGATCCAATTCGTGACACTCCAGAAGTTGTGAAAGAATATCTGAAGGACTTCAATCCCGGTATGATAGGTCTCACAGGTACTTATGAAGCGATTAAAGATGTCTGCAAGAAATACAAGGTCTATTTTTCCACTCCCGAAAACGCTGATCCCAAGAGCGATTACCTTGTGGACCATTCGATATTCTTTTATTTGATCGATCCTGAAGGCAATTTCATTGATGCTTTGGGTAGAATTTATGATGAAAAATCAGGACTAGAGAAAATTATACAGAATATTAAGGCCTACACTCCAAAAGAGGAAAGAGAACGTAGAAATAAGAGCTGGTATTCGTTTTTATTCAAATAAGCCATCGGCTTAGGACCAATTTATGGAGTTGAAATTCTCGTTACAAAATGAGCTCCTACTATATATAGATGTTTTTAAAATCGACAGTCTTGTAAATACATAACGACCGAATGAATTAAACTTTTAAGTCCCATTTACACACAAGCTACAAAACTAGCCTGAGAGAGATTTCTAAATGGAGAAATGTATGATATATGAATTATGTTTTGTGTATTATTATATGTATATAATTGTAATGATTAGTGTCATGGGTAATCTATTCGTATTCTAATAAAAAATATAGAATTATTGCAACAATTATACTTCTTAGTTCTTACCAGCACCGGCTCTGAAGTAAATGACGTCACCGTCTTCTACAACGTAGTCCTTACCCTTTTGTAGTAATTTACCGGCAGCCTTGATAGCATTGTCATCCTTGTATTCAATAACATCACTGTATTTCATAACTTGAGCTAAGATAAAGGTGTTCATCAAATCGTTATGGATAACACCAGCGGCTTGTGGGGCCTTAGTACCGTTTCTGATAGTCCATTCACGAACTTCATCTGGACCACAAGTGAAGAAAGAGATCAAGTCCAACTTTTGTCTCATGGTGGTGATAATCTTTGGAAGAGCAGATGTAGTGCCCAGTTGTTTTAGTTCTTCTTCACCTTCCTCTATGGACATGTGAGATAGTTTTTCTTCTAGAGAGACACTGAAAGGAATGATCAAATCACCTGGAGAGTACTTGTCAACCCATTCCTTAATTCTTAGCAAGTGCTTGTTCTTCTTTCTTATGTAGTCTCTCTCGGACAAGTTAATCAGATAGATAGTTGGCTTGGCGGTCAACAAGTACAGAGAGTTGATAACTTCGACTTCCTTTGGAGTCCATGTTTGGTTGTATACTCTTTGGCCATCTTCTAGAAGCTTGATGATTCTTTCAATCAAGGCCATTTCTTCCTTCTTTTGCTTAACTTCCAAGGATTGACCACCTCTCTTGGCAATCTTCTCAGCAGCCTCTAGAGCCTTTTGAGAGAATTCAATATCCTTCAATCTCAATTCAGTGGAGATAATTTCCAAGTCACGAACTGGATCAACGTCACCTTCAATGTGGATAATCTCGGCATCATCGAAACAACGGACAACTTGGTAGATGGAGTCGACAGCTCTGATGTGAGACAAGAAAGCGTTACCTAGACCTTCACCAGCAGAGGCACCCTTGGTCAAACCAGCAATATCGTAGACAGTCAAATGGGCTGGAACTTCAGAAGCTGGCTTGTAGATGTTGACCAATTCATCGAATCTTGGAGATGGGACAATAACACGGGCTTCTTCAGGGTCAATGGTAGCAAACGGATAGTTAGCTGGGTTACCCAATGGAGATCTGGTGATGGCTTGGAAGAAAGTGGACTTACCAACATTGGCTAGACCAACAATACCGGCCTTCAAGTTGTTACCTGGACGACCCAACAGGACCTTCTTTTCTTCGACTTGCTTCTTTGGTGGCATTTCTAATAGTTTATGATTTGCTTATTCCTGACAGAATACTTCAACTCTCCCTCAAGAACACACAAAAGACGGAGTTTCCAACCAATATACGTCCAATTGATGCTTAATAGTCCTTTATACAGTTGCAAGAAGAGGTGTCGCTAGACGATTTCTATGAAAATTTTTCAATCACTCTGTGCAATTGTATGTCACATGATATATATGGGTTATAGCGCAGGAACAGCTCACATTTGGATATAATGCTGTTCAGCAGCTCAAGTGTGCTCTGCAGAAGCCAGCAAGCGTTTATAGTCCTGCAGTTTCAGTATGCTACAGGATAATCTTCTTTGGAGTTCTTTTGAACAGGTTCTTTAACGTATATTTTGCGAGTTTTAAGGCTTTTTTTTTTTTGCATTGTAAAAGAATATTATATAAAAGGACTTGCTACACAACTACCACTTCAAGAGCACCATTTTCTTCTTGCCCTTCTCGGTTATTCCTCTCTTGACCAGCTCTAGGAGTTGCTGGTCGTCGCCGTTGTTTGCGTCCCATTCCATGGTCTCTATCTCCTCTTCGGGTGAGATAATCTTCCCTTGCTTGTACAAGTCGATGAATCCCTTGATGGTGTTGACCTTATCCGTTGGATCACGCTTGTTGTTCTCTGTGACCCAGTAGCCCTTAGAGGTCAGGCCCTTGAAGATATGTAGCGACGTTGGGATGGTGACTGGTTGCTTGGACATACCACCATAGGTGAGCATCAATGCATCTCTTTCCAGCTTTCTAGCTATCGCAGAGCTGGACTTACCACCAACAGAGTTCAGTGCCAATCTGACCCTCGCTTTGTCGCCGAGCACCTTTGGCAACTCTTTCTTGCCGAAGTCCTTGTCGTTGTTCTGAGACTCAGAGATGACCTTGGTGGCACCGAATTTCTGCTCCAGGACCTCTGCAACTTCTTCAAAGTTGTCCCTATCACGTATAACACTCAGCGTCTTGACACCTCTGGCCTTGGCTATCTGCGTGACGAACTTTGACACCCCAGAAGTACCGGCATTCTGGATCAGCCATTCATTACCATCCGCATTCCAGTCCACATAGTTGTTCACCAGCTGGTACGCTGTGCAGCCATTGACAGAGACCGTAGCCGCAGAGTACAGGTCCAGTCCGTTCACTTTAATCAGGTCAGAGGCCTTGTCAAAGACCCTGTAGTTAGACCACGTCCCTTGGTTGGCCTGTACAGGGATGACCCAATCGCCGACTTTCAACTCACCGTGGTCGCCATGCTCAGGCAGGGACACGACTTCAAATAGACCCTCGTTACCGGCAATGGCAGAGGGCTTCTCCGTAGAGTAATCCAGAGTCTTCTCGGGCAAAGAAGGGTACACACCTTGCAATTGGTTGATGTCCGATGGGTTGATTGGGAATGCCAACGTCCTTAGCACCACAGACTTGTTCAAGTCCTGCTTTGGCTTGTAATTATGAACCGACAACACACCTGTGCAATCCTCAAGGGAGTGGGAGTTGTATATTATAGACTTGAATTGACTGGGAATCGAAGAGGCCATTCTCTTGAATACTGGGGAAAACACACTAGCTGCACGTAGACCGGACATAGCAAAAACAATATTATTCTTAGTGTTTGCTGCTACAGGCGAAATGGATACACAGCAAGTAATATATATATATGTATACCTCTTAAAGAAACAGTGCAAACGAACAAGAAGCATTAGTAATGCTAAACACCACATTTCATGATTTAAGGTACGTCATTGGCCCTCGAGTACGATGGGAAGCCAAGTACACTCCCCTCAACTCCCCCCCAAAACTGGATTTCTCCACATTAGACATCGATGACTTCCAAATTAACAAACATCTCATCATTTCAGAGTCCCTCCAACCCCCAAATTGTTCCATCCCAGATGATATATGAAACTCCGTCCTAATCCGTTGCATACGATTGGAATAGATATATAGATATTAACATGTCCATCCCAAAGCAACAGTTGACAATTGATCAATTGCCCATTAATATATAAAAGATGATGTCTATTTCAATATTTAAAACCCTTTTATAAGCAATATATAGAAAACCTCATGCATGGGAAAAATTACCAACACGATCAAAACAGTAATATTGAACAGGATATAGAAATAAAATAACAATTAGTAAAACGAGAAAAGTGTCTATCTTAGTAATGCCCTTAACCTTGTAGAATGAAATAATATAGAAATAAAAAAAAAGAGAGTGGTATTCCCTGCAGTCTAGAAGTACTTCTCCAGGTAGCTACCGCTGGCTTTGAAACTGAAGCCCTTGAAAGCGTCCGGGGATTTGTTGTGGAGTGGATGCAAGAAGTCGTCTTCTTCATATGACATGGATGTGAACTCAGAGTCGAAGTTCTCAGCTAGTTCCCAGTCAGTAATCACAGGGACAATGGGGCCAAATGTTGTATTCTGCAACTCACCACTGGAGAGTCCCTTCCAATCGACCTTACGGAAAACGAAGTGAGACTGGAATGGCGAAGTTCTCTCCTTTGATTTCTTCTTCTTCTGGCCTTTCTTCTGGCTGTTGTCCTTCTTGGGTTCACTCCAGTACTTGTCAACATCCCATCTCTTCTTGGGATCGCTCTTCAATAGCGCTCCAAGCACATCTTTCATACCATCACTCAGATAGTATGGGATCTTAGGGCCCTGCTTATCGTTCTTAATCTTGTTGGCAATCACCTTGTGGTTGGCACCAGTGTATGGAGGTTTCCCTGTTAGCATGTCGTATAGCAGACATCCCAGAGAGTACCAATCACAGTTTGCTGTGTATGGTTGCCCCAGCAATATTTCTGGTGCACAATACTCGGGAGTGCCAATTATAGAGTGTAATTCGTTGACATCCTCTCCCTCGTTCCCAGCTCCAAGGTCCTCCTGGGATGCGTTGGAAGCACTGCTTTTGCTTAGACCAAAATCTGTTAGCACAAGATGGCCGTTTTGGTTTAGAAGACAGTTCTCTGGCTTCAGGTCCCTGTACACAACACCTTTACTATGTAAGAACTTGAGGGCGCAACTGATCTCGGCTGCGTAAAAGGCTACCGTATCCTCCTCCAATGTGCCATGCTCTTTCAAGTGGAAGAACAGCTCACCGCCAGGAATGTACTGTAGCAATAAGTACAACTTCGATGTATCGTGAAAGGAGTAGAATAGTTTGACGATGTTAGGATGCTCCAATTGCGACAGAATGGTGCGCTCTGCGAATGTTCTTTCGATCCGTTTGCTTAGTTTCTCATCCTCGCTATCCACCGGTTTATCAAGTTCAGCAAGCTTGTCCATGGACTCTGTGTTGGCATCAGTAGGGGCGATCAGTATTTCAGCCTTTTTCAACTGCTTCATCGCGTATAGTTTGGAAGTTTGTTTATCCTTGACCAGGATGACTTTCCCGTACGCACCTTGCCCCAGCACTCTAATAGGCTTGAAATCCGAGATCTCCCTAGAGATACCAGTTCTAACATCACCACCAACAATCGCACCACCATCTATCCCGTCCTCGTCCTCTTCATCAAACACAGCACACTCCTTATAGGACCCATCCAGGAATTGCGTTTCCTGCGGGAATGACCCAGCACCCCCAAGGGAAACACGTCTTATGAACTCAGGCTCATACACAGAGAACTTATCCAGCACAGAAGACCTCCTCCGCCTGCCTCTCAACAGCGGCTGCGAATTGCTATTCGTCCTCGCTTTGGTCCGTGGTATAGGGGCCGCACCCACACTCAGATGACCTTGCTCATACGCCTGAGCATCATTCCGCTCCAAGGGCATGAACCCAGAGCCCTCAGAAGTGATAATAGTCCTGGGCACAGCACCATCCACAGGCTTGAGCAACTCCTCATCCAACGAGAACACCATTTTTCCTACTCACCTTATTTCTTTTATCCTTTATCCGATAACGAAATATATGCTCCAAGGTATTAAAATAAGGAATCTCTTGTAACCACTCAACACCCAGCAAGAATATCCATCAGTACAAAGCAGCAAATATCAGATCAGGCTCATATACACCGATGACTATTCTTCAAGACCCACCACATTTGGCAGCTCATCGCTGAAATTTTTCACTTTTCCTCGCAGCTTAGAATATAAATTGTGCAGCTCATCGCATCGCAAATAGTCCTCTGAATGGAGGTATTTGGAAGGGTAGCCCTACCGTGTGTGCCCTACAAGCCAATGTCTGTGACTCAGGAAGGTGATATCAGGGATATTCTGGAGTTTGTCCGGGAGTCGAAGGGTCTATGGGATCAGCGATGCGAGGTCAAGGTGTCGGGTTTAGGCGGAGTGGGTGTGTTCGCTAAGCAGGACATTAACGAGTCGGTGCCCTTATTGAAGTTGCACAAGAGCTCTATATTCTCTGCGTCAAATAGCTCCGTGGCGAATCTGCTTGTCGAAGAGCAGATCGACGGGGTGCTTGCGCTGAACATCGCGTTCATATACGAGACCACAGTGTTCAAGGCGAGGAGCCACTGGACTAAGTATCTGAAGAGCATTCGGGTTGATGAGAACATACTGCCGCCGTTCTACTGGGATGAAGAGTTGAAGCGGTTGATTAGGGACACGACAATTGACTGTTTGTATGGGGCGCTTGAGCCCCAGGACGAGCTGGTCGAAGGGTTTGAGATTGCTGTTGATCTGGCGAGGAAATGGCATGACGAGCTGGGACTGGAGGTTCCACGAGGCTACTTCGATGTGCAGGATAACTCGCCGGAGGAGATAGATCAGAAACTGAGAAGGTTCGTGGCGGTAGCGTACGCCATATCATCGAGAGGGTTCGAGATCGATGCGTTCCACGAGACCGCGCTTGTACCCATCGCAGACTTGTTCAACCACCACAGCGAGTCCCCTCATTTGCAGTTCAGGACAATATATGATGTGTGTGACCAATGCGGAGAGTTTTTTGGGTGCAGACACAATGAATCAGATGAAGAAGATGAGGAAGATGAGGAAGATGAAGAAGATGAGGAAGATGAGGATGAGGACGACGGAAAAGATAAGGTAAACGGTAAAGGATTGACCATGGAGTTGGTCAAAGAGATAGACGACGAGCAAGAAGAGGATCTAGTGGAGCCTCGAGTTAAAAATGAAGAGCTAGAAGACGATGAGTGTGTAGAGATGAGACTAATGAGTCCCGTTAAGCAAGGCGAAGAGATCTTTAACACATACGGAGAACTGTCAAACCCATTGCTACTGGTGAGGTACGGGTTCTGTGTTGAAGGTAACAGCAATGACGTGGTGCATCTAGGTACCATTCTGACCGATCACAGCCGGAAGCATAAACTCAAGCATGTTACAGAATGGTTCAAAGAGACTGGCTATAAACTATTGCAAGAGTGGATGAAAGAGGATGATGATGAAGAAGAAGGAGGAGAAGAAGAAGAAGAAGAAGAAGAAGAAGAAACCAGCTGGCTGTCGGACATATTGATTACGAGCGATGGAGAGCCTTCGCAGACTCTGATTGTTCTATGTAAGTTGCTCTCGATGGACCAATTGCACTGGAAGAAGTTCATGAAATACCCCGACGAGAAGAAGTACAACCAGCTGGGCAAGACACAGGACGCCAGAACTCTATTACTGTCACTAGCACAACAGAAGTTGAAACTGCTGGACAAAAAACCACTACACAAGAACGCAACACAACAAAGCCCAGAGCACAAAGCAGCATGGACACTGCTGATGCAGGAAAGACAAATACTTCAGAGATGCATAGACAACTACACATAACTACATGTAGAATAGCATTGAGTAACAAGTAGCACTAAATAGCTAATAGCATTGAGTAACGAGTACCACTTAAATACCCAACAGCAACTACCATAACGTATAGCAACGGCATATATCACATGATAAAGTACGTACAGTATTATATGAAAAATTTTTTTTGAAAAAAAATTTTTCAAAAATCGATGAGCTTCAAGGCGAAAAGTATATAAAGCGGGCAGAAGTTGTTTTCAGGAAGTTTTCGAGAGTTTTTATTTTGATTTCATTTCTTGTATTCTTATAACATTGCCTGTCTAAAGTGCATATCATAGAATAAACGATGTCTCGTCCACAAGTTACCGTTCAATCTTTGACTGGTGAAGCTACCTCTTCATCTGTCCCATTGCCAGCTGTCTTTGCTGCTCCAATCCGTCCAGACTTGGTCCACAGTGTCTTTGTCTCTGTTAACAAGAACAAGAGACAAGCTTACGCTGTTTCCGAGAAGGCTGGTCACCAAACTTCTGCCGAATCCTGGGGTACTGGTCGTGCTGTTGCCCGTATTCCAAGAGTTGGTGGTGGTGGTACCCACAGATCTGGTCAAGCTGCTTTCGGTAACATGTGTCGTGGTGGTCGTATGTTCGCTCCAACTAAGACCTGGAGAAAGTGGAACGTCAAGGTTAACCAAAACGAGAAGCGTTACGCTACCGCTTCTGCCATTGCTGCTTCCGCTGTCGCTTCTTTGGTCTTGGCTAGAGGTCACAGAGTTGAAAAGATTCCAGAAATTCCATTGGTTGTTTCCAAGGACTTGGAATCCATCAAGAAGACCAAGGAGGCTGTTGCTGCTTTGAAGGCCGTCGGTGCTGGTGCTGACTTGTTGAAGGTCATCAAGTCCAAGAAGATGAGAGCCGGTAAGGGTAAGTACAGAAACAGAAGATGGACTCAAAGAAGAGGTCCATTGGTTGTCTACGCTGAAGACAACGGTATCGTCAAGGCCTTGAGAAACGTTCCAGGTGTCGAAACTGTTCCAGTTACCGCTTTGAACTTGTTGCAATTGGCTCCAGGTGCTCACTTGGGTAGATTCGTTATCTGGACTGAAGCTGCTTTCGCTAAGTTGGACCAAGTCTGGGGTTCCGAAACCGTTGCCTCCTCCAAGACTGGTTACTCTTTGCCATCCAACATTGTTGCCACCACTGACATCACCAGAATCATCAACTCCTCTGAAATTCAAGCTGCTGTCAGACCAGCTGGTCAACCATCTCAAAAGCGTACTCACGTTTTGAAGAAGAACCCATTGAAGAACAAGCAAGTCTTGTTGAGATTGAACCCATACGCTAAGGTCTTCGCTGCCGAAAAGTTGGGCTCCAAGAAGGCTGCTAAGTCTTCCACCAAGCCATCCGCTGTCTTCACTGAAACTTTGAAGCACGATTAAACCCGCAAAATATAAATTGATTAAACGTTAATCTTTTTTTTTTATTATACATTTATTACATTTTTTATTTTAGCAGGTTTTCTCCTTTGAGGTGTTTGGATTTAGTAGGTCTTGGTGTATGGTTAGCCTATTCAAATTGAAGTCGGCCTCCTAGTTATATAATATGACTAACTCTGTAATTACGTAGGGTTTATACCTTCCCCCCATTAATTCCACTTTTTTTTCTCCTCACTCAATTTTGCTATTTCATTCAACTTAGTAGGTATTAATACTGGCTAGGATTAAAACATAAGAAATCGTTTGAATTCCTTCCCTCATTACCCCGGAGTTTGTGGCATTCCAATCTCAGCCACTATTTCGCCCGTATGACAGTCCGAAATCAATATTTTAGCAATCGATAGCGCATAGCAAGAATCAAGTATTTCAATTATTATGAATGGCTATGGCAACTGTACAGATAGCGATTTTACTGAATTGTAGACCATTTTACATTGCTTATTTCTTTCAAAACGTATAAATAGGCCTCGAGTTTCCCAGTCTTGGACTTCTTTTCGAGTTTTCCTTCTTAATGTAAATACATTTACGTGGTATTGTTAAGCGTCATTTATAATACATTTATTGGATAAATATATTTTATCCAACAAAAATAATCACAAGACTAAGCGCTAATAATGAACTCTAAGATCGTTAGCACTCTCGTCATTTTACTTTTGATTTTATTCAGTTGCAATGCCACCTTGATCACTGATGAGGCCGCCAAATTGAGAGTGGTCTCCAGAATTGAGGGAGCCATCGCAACTTCATGGATGGACAAGGCCAAGTTGAAACTGTCTATTATTACTGGTAAGCATGCAAACTTTAGGAGTGACTTGCCCATTGAAACTGTTCAACCAAACTACTTGCAATACTTGGTCAACAGTATCAGTAATATGCATGAAGTCAATTTAGTATTGCTACTACCAGAACTCGAAGACTACAATGACTCAGATATCTGGAAAATAAGAGACTCTTTGGAGGACTTTATTAAAGGAGCCCAAAATTTGACTGAGAAGTTGGACAATGCATCTTGGATGAGGAAAAAGCTTTATGCAAGCACTGTCAGGGCCAACACAATATTTTACCTGAGACATTTGCTATTCAGGTCCAGTTTCTTGAGCTACATGACCCAAAAGGGGAACGAAGACCCTAACTTGATGCTTACTGAGCTAATACAAATCATTGAGGAATCTAAAGTCACCTTGCTTACAGCCATCAAGATTATTGCCATTTTTGAGACAAACAATTTTGAGTCACTGCTAGGTATCTTACCAACCATTAATAACAATGATAGTACAGAGCAAGCTCTGGTTGTCAATCAGTTGGGTTATGAACTGTGTCCCGAGTGTGAGAAACAAAGGCGTGAAGAAATGGAAACAGAACATTTGTGGCAAGATGCATACATCAAAACAATGGCTTTACTTTTGGGGAGAACTGCTGCTTTTGTTGTGTTTTGTACTGCAATTGGAGCATATTCCTGTACTGCAGCACTGCTGGTCTTTGGATGCAAGGCATACATTATTTGGACACAAATTTGGATTGATTCCATTAAATTGTCACTTGGCAAATGGATTTAGTTTTGGGAGCATTGTACGGCATATAGTGATACAATGCATCTAAATAAGTAACCCTCGGAATGTTTGCTGTTTGGCGACAAGTAGTCTGTTATTCAACTATTTTTTTATAACGGAGTTTTAAATATATATAATAACTTATACAAACAAAAGACCAAAATTTTACAAAATTGTAATAAACTGAGTCTTGAATACTCTAAAGACTGTAAAGATGTATACAACTACTTGTAAGTAAGCAAATACTATACGTAAACAAAATAGAAGTAAGCTGCGACATACTATAACGTATATTCGTCACTGTGATCAAATTCCTAGGCTCATCTATTTCTATGTCATCGCGAATTGAATCAGGTCCATCTATTTTCAGGCAAGAAAGTTTCAAAAGGCGATGAGATAGAGGGGGGCCTTGAACTGAGAAGATCGATCAGATAGCATGTAAAGTATTCATCTCAGTACCATTTTAGACATTCAGTCACAGAGTATATCAAAGGATATTTCATTTTATAAATATAAAATCTGTAAACAAGGTAAAAAAGTAAGAATATTTAAAATGCATGTAAGGATGCGTAGGTTTGAATATGAATAAAACTGAAAAGAAAACGTTATGGAATATTTAATAACAAATGTGGAAATGAGATGCATGTGTCTCATCCCATATATCAATCAATGTTTGGTAACGCCAAACATGTACTTTTAGACAAGATACTTATAGTTCATGCGTTAATGCCATTTATGAGTACATCGACTTTGATAGCTTCATGGTCGATGATGCTGAATTCTCTTGATTTGATTCATCTATGGTATCAATAGTCGACTTTAGTTGGTCTCTCATTTGCGAACTTCTTGGGACATCTGCAGGGCTAGCAGCGTCCTTGTCATTAACTGGTAAACTAGAAGTACGAGTGACTTTGCTGCTAGTCACATAAGAGACACTACCTCTAGATGAGGTATTAGGGGATTTCTTTGAATCAGCCATTACGCCCTCAATGGTAGTACTATCTTGTCTTTTATTGGTTGGTAAAGAAAGAACACGGTCTCTATACTGAGTGGTCGATCCATCACCCAACGGACTGCCTGGTTGGCTGGATGGGGAAGTTAATCCAGATGATCCCTGTCTTTGCAATTGTGGACTGACAGAGTACTTTCTACCATCCGAAGCAATCAAGTTTCCGTCCTCATCTAGACCAACAATATTACCAATCTTAGAGTCTGAGCGTCCACTATCTTGCACAATGGTGCTATCAGATGATCCACGAGAAGAGTCACTGTTTTGCTTATTGAACTCGCCTGGCCCAGCAGTTTTACTTGCTCTTCTTGTTGCACTTTCTGCACGCTCATTTATGAACGAATTTCTGTGATATGAATGGTTGAAGTCAGCAAGGGCCTTGAAATCAGAGCTCCACTTCTTAAATTGCTTCTTGTATTCTTCATCATAATCACCCAAGGAAAGTCTTAAGTGCCATGTTGTTCTTTCACCAATTTCACGTAATGGCTCGCTTAGAGATGGTTCAGCAAATAAGGTTTGTCTGTTAGCACCGCTATTTGATCTGGTCTTAGTGGATCTACTTGGGCCACCTCTTAGGAACTTTGGAACAGCTGCGGTAATCGATGGCGATCTAGACTTGTGTTCAGGAGCTGGAATTGGGGCTGGAGAAGGACTGCTTCTAGGTTTGGTGCTCTTCAATGATCTAGCAGTGAATACCATTTCGGTGTCTGTGATCTCTTCGATATCAATATCGCTCAATGAGAAACTCTTTTCAGGAATCAAGTTGACCAAACTAATAGCCATGTGACAGAAGTTGTTACTGGCATCAGTTGAACCTTTCATCTCCTTAGAGAAATCGCTATCTTTGAATTCATGCAGATAATGGGAAGTTAAAATGAAGTAGCCTTTGCTATACTTCTTAACATCTTTGCCTGAACCATAGTACATGTAACCCTTCCTGATGCACTTAGACTGAGGTGCCTTCATGTTCTGGTATACAATGTCAGATAGTTCTCTTGGAACCGGCTTTGGTTGGGTGGAGGTCCAATTCAACATACAGTTGGTATGATGAGTAATGAATTGATCCCATTCATAATTAGCTGGCTTGGATAGCATACCCTGTTGTAATTCTTGGCATAGGTTCTTTAAAATCAAACGTGCTTCAGAATCAATCAAAGCGGTATAGTTTTCAAGTGCACTTTGAATTTTTGTGTAGACAATTCTTTCCAGGTCAAGACCGGAGCTCTGCAAGTTAACGAATGCTTCCATTAGATATTTTTCTTCGGCTAACTGTTTCTTCAATTGTGTTTCCAATTGAATTTTTACCAAGTATGGGTCACACTTTGGTTGAATAGTGGTAGTAGCATCAGACTTTTCATTGGCTAGCTTCTTTACAACCGAGTTATACTTTTGAATTAATCTAGAGGTTTGGTTCATTTGACCAATCAAATTAGTTCTGAAATCACCGTCCAAACTCTTGATTTCCCTTATCTTATTGTTTAACTCTTTTACCAGACCTTCTAGTTTTGGAATGACGTTTTCCATTATTTCTCTGGAGACTTTCAATTGTTGTCCTGCAATAGAACCATGATACTTCTTCAATAAAACTTGAATATCCTGTATTGAGCCTGAACCGAACTTCAAAAAGCCTGATGGTGCCATAGTATCATTGTCAGAAGAAACAGGTACTTCGTCTTCTAGCTCTGTATCAAAGTCCAATTCTTCTGTTGTTTCTTCTGTGGTGGTGGCAGCGGCTAGTGCTGCCTCAGCTTCCAATCTTTTCTTTTCAGCTGGAGTAATTGGTTGTGTTCTCTTTGTTGGCAAGTTTTTCTGATATGGGTCCACAAGCTGGTTGTGATCGTCCAAATCTGTCAAGAATGGGAAAGTCACCTTCTTCTTTAGCTTTACATGTAATCTGGCGATATGCTCTTCGACGTAAGCGGCTTCGCGAAGGTAAGAAATGAGGTACTTCAAAATTTTGTTCCATTTTTTGAACCTGTCTGCCAGCAGCACAGTTGGGTATTCCTTAACGTACTGGGAGTGGTGGTAACCATTTAAGTATTGCTCCTTTGCACTGCTGCTCACGGGATTAGCAGAGTCAGTGACAGCTTCTGGCACTGGGACTGGTAAGTAGTAAGGAGAGTTAACCTCTGTGCGTGACACCACTGGTCCGCTCTGCGAGTTTGATTGGGCTCTGTATACACTTTCCGAGTTCAAGTACTTTGGGTTGAATCCATCAAAGCTTGAGTCGTTAGCAGTGGTAGCTGATGTGGTCTTTGAGATAGTGTTTGAAATTGTCTTCATTGGCTTCAAAGAGTCCTCTTTAACCTTCGTGGTGGGACTGACCACTTTAGTCAATTTTGATCCTATTGATGTCGTGTGCTTTAGCAAGTCGTCAGCAAGACTGACTTGCCTTGTGTTAAAATATTCAGTTTGTGTTTCAGTCATAGTATTTGAATATGAACTGTTTTGGTTTTATTATTATTATAAGAGGATAAAGAATAATGATTAAAGAGAGAGAGAAATGATTTTCAATTATCAATTCGTTCCTTATTTATACAAAAAAAAATATTGTGGGGAATCTTATGATTTTGTTTTTAAATTTACACTTCTTTGCAGACAGCGCAGTTTGCTCGAGGCTCGGCGATATTCAGCGAGCGTCATAAAGACAAAAGTTACGTATGTGGCTCCTAAGGCATATTAGAAAGAGTCTTTTTAATGAGGGGTTAATACTATGCGTTTAAGCAGAAAAAGGAGAATATACGTATTATCCAAGAGTATTCAGTACCACATCTCGGTAGACATTTTATTTTATTATTATTTTAGTTATTTTTCAGTCATGGACTTGCTTTGTCCTCTCCAGGTAATTTGTCCTCTTCCTCGCAACTCGAATAGTCGGGAATAACACTATAAACCAAGGTTAAACAACGCAACGATAGGGATGTAAAGTTTTACAAGAAATCCCGTTCCGTAAGTCTTTTTGGTGGCACATTCGCAATTTGACTGTACTCATTTATCGCACTCTCTAACTTCTACGCTTCAAGTTCAAGTTCAAATTCCAATTCAACTTCAAACAATCCAAGAGTGCGGGGGCGGGGGTTGAGATAATTATTTTTATCAATTAATACAGCCAGATTTGAGAGCTTCTAGAAGGGCAAACCTTTATCCCCCCTCGCCCCCAATTTTTTCAATTTTTGGCGAGATTTCCACTACAACACCTATCGCTGGATCTTGCGCGACCGCCGTCTCAGTTAGACTGATGAAGTAATGTCGTAATTAATCCCTACGCTCTTTTGTTTGATCTCCTGCGCTTATTTCTGGGTTAGCCCTATTTCACAAACACGGCTGTGCGCGTTTATTGCTCATATTCCTGGGGATGCCCTCCCAATTGGTTCGCCCTGTCCTTCTCTCATTGTGTGTGTGTGTGTGTGTATATAGGTCCTGATAACTGATAAGGGGAGGCTGGGATTTGTGCGCTTTTTTCCTGTCACCTAGCATTCGGTGTTATAATGGCAATACTCCCCGGGGCACTACGGTGCCCCCTGTGTAGAAGAATTGTTTACCCCAGATTTTTTTTAATTTTTTTTTTATTATTTTATCGTTGTAATCGCCTTTATTGGGATAAGGTGTTCGGTGCGCTTGTTCTCTGGGTGCCCTGTCGTATTCCCGCTGTGTTAATCCCTGTTATCTTGTGTGTGTATCTCTCTCTCTCTTTCTGTGGAAAGGGAGCACAGACTGGAAGTAGCGTCCTCTACTATGGGGGAATAGATCTCTGCTAGTCTCGCTGATATTGGGGAAGGGGAATGGTACCTTAGAATGGAGCGTGGATCGGGTATAGTCCTGCTATAGAGAGCCGATCTCTTTTAAGTAATTTCAAGCCTGTTGTACGCTGGTTCCTTAGTTGCAGTCCTAATCGTTGCACTTTCCTCTTCCATTTTTTTGATTGCGATCTGAGGAAGCACGATATCTGACAGCAAACCAGCGTAGCACAAGTTAATAAGTGTCCATCCGAAATGTCGGGAAACCATGGATCACTCAGATAACTGCACACAAAGTTGGAGAAGGATTGGACAGGAACGTGTACGTTATCCTCTCCCCGTACATCGTTTTGTTAGAAGAAAAGGGGAGATAGGGTCCAAATCTTGTTTTCTTTTTTCTTCCATGAAAATATAATAGGCTATAAATGAAAATAATGATTTACGGTGTCTCATTAAATAATATACACTTTTCTGCACTGCCGTTTCTCTGTCTCCAGCCCTGACATAATCGACCCTTTTTTCAGCTCTTGTGGCCATCCCCCCCCCCGCAATCTTGCACTGTGAATTACATTCTTACATCTTTCTTCGCCTCCGTACGCTACTCTCTACGCCTACCCCAGATTGTTTTATTTTTCCTCTCGGGAATAGCGAGGGGTACAGCCGTGCATTGTAAGGGTATGCACCCCTTTCTGAGAGATTGATTGAAATACCTCTTACCCAAGTTACGGTAAATTCCTTGCAGAGAGAGAGGCGTTCCGTCTAAAATGTTTTTGCTGCCCTTTTGACACCTTTTTTTTTGCACTGTTACGCTCATTTCTTACGCTGGCACATATAGTTTGGGCATCGAGGATGCGGGAATAGCACAGTTGGACCCGATAATCCCTAGTTCTCGGGTTTATTAACATTTGCCCAGCGTGTAAGCCATTCAAGTCATTTTTTTTAATAAAGTTGTCTTTTCACCTTACGAAGCTGGGACTTGCTGGGACTTGCTGGGACAAAAGATCTATCATTTGCAACTGTTCAAGGACAAAATGCCTGACCCTAGTCTATCATAATGTTCTTTTTGTTGGTGACACAAGTTGTAGATTAAAATTAAAAGATAAACAAAAAAATTGAACATAATACACACAATAAACTATACTTTATTCTATTTGGCACTGCTCGAGATTCGAAATGTCCTGTCTTAAAGTTTATGCCTCGATTGTTTTTTTTTAAACAAGACAATAGGCAAATGAATACCCCTCTTTTTTTTGCTCCCTCATGCCACCTATAATCACATGGTGAGGATTTAAAACAAGATAAATAGTACAAATGTGCGGGGTACATTCAATCCTTCTTTCTCTTTGTTATAACATTGAATGCCACGGATAGCATTGTTCCGAACCAGATCGCATTGAGGACATCGAGCACGAGATTACCACCGACAATGATACTCGAGTCCAGCCACAGGAATCTTGGATCCGTGTGCACTGTGTAGAAGTCCCAGGTCAGCTTGCCAATCTGGTACCAGCCCCAGGCGATTCTGGCACTGAAGAAGAAGATCAGCAACAGCAAGTTGTTTATCAGGAGGGCAATTGAACACACACGGTTTTCCGTTGGCAGGTATTTCAGCCCGAACCATCTCAGGTTCAAAAATGGGTTGGATAACTCGAACATGAGGAACACAGGCGCGTAGTATTGGATATAAGGCTTCAAGCCTATGGTAAACACCACAGTGGAGATTATACCATGGAGCACAAAAGGTAAAGTCGAGTGCAACACCGAAATGTAAACATCCCACACGAAATAGCCGATGGCATACACAGTGATGATCTCGGTGTCCCTCGAACGTCCGAATATCCTGGCGTTGACCGTGTCGTAATTTGAGGTCTTGTCTCCGTCACACAAGAATATCAATGATAGATACACCACTACCAAAGTCTGTAAAAATGAAACAAAATGAATGGCAGCCTCGATGTTCAATTTCTTGGCTTTCTTCTCATCGTTTGGAACCTTTGAGTGGCTGAGTCTCCACTTGGTTAAAGGAGGAAACAACAGCCACCGTGTAGCCAAAAACCACATCTGGTAGCCCAATGCCACATAGATTATGGAATGTAAATTTGATAGAATCGCTTCAGACTTAACGATATTATAATCCCTCAAAAATGGGATGACCTTCGCATCAAAAATTGTCGGACTTGGAATGTCCAAATAACCAACTAAGAAATCCTTTAAGTCCATTATTAGTCTAGCTTCTTTTTTTTTGATGAAAGAATGGCTTAAGAACTGTCACCAAACTGAATTGTATCTTCGGTGAATCAAACAAAAAGCTTTATAAGTCCGCAACAATGGGTTTCAACAATGACGTTTTACCTTCGGGCTTATATATTGTTATGCAAGTACTTTTGGTCAATGCTAATACTGCGAACAAAGCGAAAATACGTGGTAGACTTTGAGGCTATTCTGGAGTGAATTATGACGTAAACAACTAAACTAAAAGCTATAGCTCCCCACTTTCCGTTTTAAAAAAAAAAGTCATTCAACTTCTGCAATTTATCACAATTTATAAGAATTACAAATTCTCCAAACGTATTAACGCGCTACCCTACACCTCACAACTCTATACTGGATTGTTTTTATATGTGGAAGCATCATTTCGGTTCCTGGTATTTCCTAATTGGTGGATTGTTTTTTTGTCATTTGTTCCACCCCCCATCACTTACACATAGTCCGTAACTATACGTCATTTTCTGTGCCCATTGAAGCAGGACGTACTCTCGAGAACGGAATAGTAGGAGATGCAACACCAAGTTTTTTTTTCTCTACTTCCCATAGACAAGAAACCCACGCCCATAGTGCACTTGATACAGTGGGAGTGGGAGTGGGAGAAACCTCCACCAAACATTCAGCATCAAGAGCAAAAAATTGCAGCAATCAAATACACACTTGGACTAGAGGTACAGCACTACAAAGGAACAGTACGTGCATCCCACTATCCCTCTCCTCGTAGGTGCTCCAGCTATTGAAGGAAGTTGCGCTATTTTAATTCTGCTCTGCTTCTGTTCTCACTAATAGTTCTCATTCAACCCCCCCACTAAGCTCAGATAGTGTTTACTTGCCATTGTTCTGTAGCCGAAAGTTGTGAAGAAGAACACTCGCCATCTGAACACACAGAAACAACCCTAGCCACAAAACTTGACAAAGAAACTAGAGGTTAAGTATGACGTCAAACACGATCTAGTGTCACACTCACACTCACATTCACACAGAGACAGAGAGAGACAATATGGTCACTAGTCCGGGTAACCCCCAAAAGGATAGAAATCTTGAAATTCTTTTCCCCCAAGCTAGACTCCGGGTAACATCTATGTATCCCAATTGGTGCAGATGGAAAATTTTCAGAAAATTTCTGAAAAAAAAAAAAAAGTTGCGATGCCCATCGGCTTCCATAGTGGAAAAAAAACCAGTTAAAACAGCTTTTTGTATGGGAATATAAGTGATTTCAAGCTCATCGCAAGGTATATTCTGCTTTGAGTATTCTTTTTTGTTGAAGGACACGATAAGAATTTGTTGCAATCAGTATAAAAATTGTTATTTTATTGTTCTTGATCCAGCGGAGTAAAAGTATCGAAATATCGCAGGATGTCCAGAGTTATTGTGAAAGGTCTGCCTATATATCTGACTGAGCCAGAGCTACAGAAACATTTCAATAAGAGGTTGATTACCACGCATGCGACGAGTAATGTCGATGGTCTGATCACTGATTTACGTATTTTGAAGAACAGGGAAGGTAAGAGTAGAAGATTTGCGTTTATTGGTTACAAGAATGAGCAAGATGCCCTTGATGCGGTGAACTACTTTGACGGTTCTTTTATCTACACTTCGAAGATTGAGGTTGATATGGCCAAGAGTTTTGCTGATCCAAGGGTTCCGAAGTCAATGAAGGAGAAGAAGAGAGAAGCCTTGAAGAGGCTGCGGGAGAAAGAAGAGAAGCTTCTTGAAGAAAAGAACAAGAAACTAAAGGTGCAGGACACAAAGAGCAAGATAAATATTGATGCAGAGATCGAAAAGGATAAGCAACTGAAAGAATTCATAGAAACCATGAAGCCAAGTGCACAAACTAGCTCCTGGGATAAGATTACAGAGACAGCTGAACCAGAAAGTGGTCTGGCTGAAGAACAAGAACTGGATGATGAAGAATCTTCTAACGTTAATCCACTACTGAAGCATGCATTATCTATGAAGAAGGGAGATGAGAATGACAGCGATGATGAATATATGAGTTTTAACAACGCTGACTCTAAGGCCGGTTCAGACGAGAGTAACGAAGAAGAGAAAATGATTAGTTTATCTGAATTACCAGTGCAAAATGAAGAATCCTCTGCTGAACCAAAGGAGGATGATGGTCTTGCCAAAAATGAAGAAATATCAGATATGGATTGGATAAAACAGCGCAGAGTGCGTATAAGAGAAAATGGTGAAAAGGTAGGAGAAGAGTTTGCAACAAATGTTCAAGATAAAGAATCTGAAGAAAACTCTCAAGCCACACCAGCAGAGGAACTTCAAGAAGAAATTCCAGATGAAGAACAGGCTATCGCCAAAATCCAGAAAACAGGCCGTCTTTTCCTGCGTAACATTCTATACTCTTCTACAGAAGACGACTTCAAAAAATTGTTTAGTCCATATGGTGAGCTCAAAGAAGTGCATGTAGCAGTAGATACTAGAACTGGTAATTCAAAGGGGTTTGCGTATGTTTTATTTGCAAAGCCTGAAGAAGCTGTCCAAGCTTATATCGAGTTGGATAAACAAATTTTCCAAGGTAGACTTCTACATATATTAGCCGCAGACGAGATGAAAGATCATCGTCTTGATGAGTTCGATCTGAAAAACATGCCTTTGAAGAAGCAACGTGAACTGAAAAAAAAGGCAGCTGCTTCCAAAGCCACATTTTCATGGAACTCCTTGTATATGAACCAAGATGCAGTATTAGGTAGTGTTGCAGCTAAGCTTGGTGTTCAAAAAGCTGACTTGATTGACCCAGAAAACTCAAATTCTGCTGTAAAACAAGCTTTAGCTGAAGCCCATGTTATTGGTGATGTTAGGAAATACTTTGAAACAAAAGGTGTTGATCTAACTAAGTTTTCAAATCTGAAATCACCTTCTCAACGTGATGATCGTGTTATTCTGGTCAAGAATTTCCCGTTCGGTACCACTAGAGAAGAACTGGGAGAATTATTTGTTCCCTTTGGTAAACTAGAAAGATTGCTAATGCCACCAGCTGGGACTATTGCCATCGTTCAGTTTAGAGATATAGCCTCTGGTCGCTCTGCATTTTCGAAACTTGCTTTCAAAAGGTTTAAAGGTACAGTAATATATTTAGAAAAAGGTCCTAAGGACTGCTTTACTAAGGCAGCTTCCAACGAGGATGCAATGGAACATGACGAAGAAAAAAGTGCAAAGGAGGCCGGTCCATCATCTGCTGATTTGTTAGAGTCGGTATCCTCCAAAAAGACCGAAGATAAGGAAGATGAAGATGAACAGGTTGTTGATGGCCCTACAGTTTCTATATTTATCAAGAATTTGAACTTTAAAACTACTTCTCAACAGCTTACTGATCGCTTCAAGGTCTTCAGCGGTTTTGTTGTTGCTCAGGTTAAGACAAAACCAGATCCTAAACAGAAGAACAAGGTTTTGTCAATGGGTTTTGGGTTTGTTGAATTTAGAACCAAGGAACAAGCTACAGCTGTGATCTCTGCTATGGATGGCACAGTTATTGATGGTCACAAAATTCAATTAAAATTATCTCATAGACAAGGTAATGCAGGGTCGCAAGAGAAAAAGAAAGCAAAGAATGGTAAGATTATTGTAAAGAACTTGCCATTTGAGGCAACTAGAAAGGATGTCTTTGAACTGTTTAATTCATTTGGTCAACTAAAGTCTGTTAGAGTTCCAAAGAAGTTCGACAAGTCGGCAAGAGGTTTTGCGTTTGTGGAGTTTGTTTTACCAAAGGAAGCGGAAAATGCCATGGATCAACTGCAAGGTGTCCATTTATTGGGTCGTAGACTAGTGATGCAACCAGCCGAACAAGAAGCGGCTAATGCTGAAGAAGAGCTGGAGAGAATGACTAAAAAGGTTAGAAAACAGGCAGCTGTTAGTGAGATTGCTGCTATGACTAGAAATGCTGGTAAAAGAAAGCTAGACATGGAAGATGAGGAAGAAGAATTCTGAGGGATGTCTTGACTAAACAAACGTATTAATCAAGCATCACATATTTTAATAAATATTCTGTAAAGCCCAACCTATTAATCGATGTTTATATAGTATTGTTTAAATGTTTAATTTCACTTTTGATAGAAATGCAAGATATTAAGATATTAATAACCCAAAAATAAATTTATATTGAGATAATTTTCATTGATAACTATGTTGGCAATTAGTTACTTCAATAAAACGTTGAAAATGGATTTGCGTTTTCATGCCCTTTGTATAGAACCCCACTAGATCCAGTGTTCCCATTCTTATGCCTGAAAGTGAAGCCAATCAATTTTGAATCCACCTCAGAATCATCGACCATGGCAGCTAGTTTATCCTGTCTCTTAAAGACATCGGCATATTTAGCCATGTCAGCTTCATTTGTGAAGTCATCAAAGTAGCCTGCATCAGTTTCGTTATCCAATTGTGGGGTGAAAGGTGGTGACAATTGTCTTAAAGTATCAAAATTTATCTCATGGAAATAATTCATTCTTTTGACATGTTCAAAGGATCTTAGCCTGTTGATTGGATCAGCAATCAGTCTGGTTATCAGTTCCCACGCACGATCTGATATAGCTGATCTACCATCATTTAAGAATGGTCTTCTAAGAGTACGCTTCCAATGTCTTAAATTTTCATATGTCTCATTGGTAGAAGATCCACTGAATGGCGTGTAACCTATTAATGCTTCAAATAGCATACAGCCTAGGGACCAGTAATCGACCGTATAGTCATACTTTTTGCCTTCCAATACTTCCAGAGCCATATAATCAGGAGACCCTACCATGGAGTTGGCATAGTTTATATCATTTTGCCTCAAATTTTGGTAAATTTTTCTTCGATCTTCAATCGACTTTTCAGTGAATGCCGGAAATTCAAGATTCTTAACCTCTTCTAACCTTATCTTCATACTTTCAATTCTTTCATTGGAGACTGTACCTGCAGCAAGACCAAAATCGGTTAGTTTTATGTGACCTTCTGCGTCGATTAAAAAATTCTCTGGCTTCAAATCTCTATGTGTATAACCTAACTCATGAAGTGCATTCACAGCACAAAACATTTCACTTATGTAAAATCTGGCATGTGGACTACGTAATGTTCTTGTGTTGATCAACAACGTTCTGAAATCACCACCAGGCACAAACTCCATCGCCAGGTATAAACTCTCTGGATCCTGGAAAGCGTAAAGTAGTTTCACCAACCACTCTGACCTTGTTGTAGTCAATATATCCCTCTCGGTCAAGATGTGGTTAGTCTCATTCAGTTTCACCAGTAGTTTTTTATTTAATATCTTCAAAGCACAAACTTCCTTCGTGTCCCTTTTCCTAGCCAGGTAAACCTGACCATAGCCACCTTGTCCGACTTGTGTTATCATCTCAAAATCTTTGTTCTTGGGCTTTAACCTCCTCTTCCGCAACACTTCATGCTCCTTTTGCAAATAGTTATTCCATTCCTCATTCAATTGCTCGTCAGGTATCGTATGGTTTTGCTTGTACTCCTGAATATTCGATATCATTTGCTTCGTTCTCTGTCTTCTGCTGATAACATAGTCAAACATGTCACAGTAGTAGTCTAGAAAGTACATCTGGCACACACTAACTAGCCTCTGCGTCTTGTTGGAAGTAGCTTTCCTATGGAAATCACGTGGCAACTTCTTTGGTGAATTTATGATCCGCTCACGGGGCTTCTCTTTCTTGAATATACTCTTAGTCGGCGAAGTGCTGTAAGGTGAGGCACCACTCCGGTTCTCCTTGTACTGCGTAGGGGTCGATGGCGCGTACTTCTTGAACGGAGTATTGCCAGTAGCCGGCGACAACGTCCCGTTCAGCCCCAATTGGCTGATATTACCCGTGATATCCTCCACACCGTCCTCCTTCTCGCGTCTAAACATCTTTACCTCTTCCGCTGCCTAGTAAACTGTCCTTCCAGGCCCTACAAACCGCTAGAGTTGTTGGTATTGTTGATTCTGTTGTTCTTAAAAGCTTTATTTATAGGAAATGTTGATCCAGTCCGTTTTCTATGACGGTTCAGAAGTGAAAAAAGTGAAAAAAAATTGGTTGAAAAAAAAAATTTGCGATGAGCTCATCTCTAAAATAGTGGTTTTAAAGGCCTGGTATTGCTGTTTTTGTTGGTGAAATAGCTCCAGAACGAATAGCGAGGATATTTCTGCGATGTCTAATATAGTTGGTATTGAGTATAACCGTGTGACGAACACTGCGTCTACCGATTTCCCTGGGTACTCTTCTCAAGGTGCCAATGCTTGGGATGTGGAGAGGTTTAGAGAGACGTTTGATATCCAGGTCTCTAGCCATGAAGAGAGGGAGTTGAACTTCGATATGATTGGTATTGACACGTCTTTGGCCAATGCGTTCCGTCGTATTATGATTGCTGAGGTTCCAGCTGTGGCCCCAGAGTACGTTTACATTCAGAACAACACCTCTGTGATACAGGATGAAGTGTTGGCTCACAGAATTGGTCTTGTGCCATTGAAGGTGGACCCAGAGAAGCTGGAGAGATTGGACACTTCTGACCCAGACAACTTAGAATTCCATGACAAGAACACCATTGTTATGACCTTGAATGTCAAGTGTACCAGAAACCCAGATGCACCAAAGGACTGCACTGATCCAACGATCCTGTACAACAATGCGCATGTCTACGCCCGTGACTTGAAATTTGAGCCTCACAGTAGCCAAGTGGAAACCTTCGCCGATTGTCCAGTGGTCCCATGTGACCCAGATATCTTATTGGCTAAACTAAGACCTGGTCAAGAAATCAGTTTGAGCACACATTGTATACTGGGTGAAGGTAAGGACCACGCCAAATTCTCCCCAGTTGCCACTGCTTCTTATAGATTGCTACCTCACATCGAAATTCTAGAGCCCATTACTGGCGATTCCGCCAAGAGATTCCAAGCCTGTTTCCCTAAAGGTGTGATTGGCATCAACGAGAATGGTGAAGCATACGTGCTGGACCCAAGAAAGGATACAGTTTCCAGAGAAGTGCTAAGACATGAAGAATTTGAAGGTAAAGTAAAACTAGGTAGAGTCAGAGACCATTTTGTCTTTAACGTTGAGAGCACAGGTGCCATGCAACCAGAAGATATAGTGCTGAAGTCCATTGATATCCTGAAGAAGAAGGCCGAGTATTTGAAGAAATGTCAAATTACCCAATAAGTAAATTGGCACTTCCAATCTTCGAGGTATATACCTCAGCCCAATGGATAATTTCCGGAATATGACTAGAACCAAGATTGAAGATAAGAAGAGGCTTGGTTAGAGATAAAGAAAAAAAATAATTTATAGCAGAGTTTCTATACTGATTATTAGCATGTCAATAAGACTAAACTGTCTTATTAATGTATATTAGATTTTAAAATCATTAAAATATGAAGCCATAGTAAATAATGGGGGGTGTATGTACAAACTTAAGAATGGATGAATGTATTATATAGCTATCTCCTTATAAGGCCATAAGATGGCTTCTTAGCTTTTCAAGGTCTAGTTTATTCTGTTTTATGTTATTTATACAGTTTGTGTTTCGGTAATAGGGAGTTTTTCATTAAGCATAACATCGATACCCTCATGCAAGTTTATTGTAGTGAGGAGAACATTTCCATCGTAACCATCATTATTTATAAAATATTCATCGTTTTCGTCATCATCAGCATAGCCTAGTTCTGCAAAATTTATGCAAGTTACACAAAAGAGCAACAATTGTGCAATAAGGATAAGGGCTTCGCACAAGATAACACCCAAATTTCCAGATAAGTTAGAACACGGCAGTGTTTCACCGATTGCTTGAAAAGTTATTCCACCTTTCCTCTCACCTTCTAGCATGTATTTCCCATACTTGAAAGGTGATGGCATATTCTGATGGCCGTTCTGTTTGTCAATATAGATGCCATCCTGTGGTATGTAGAAGTCGGTTGGGAATAATATGGCAAATACGACATACAGAATATTTATAGTAAGCACGCAATTGAACAGGATAGCCCGTATTTTGCGTTTCAGCACCTCTAGAGCGAAATCGCCAGTGTCTGTCTGTGTACTATCGCTATTGTTACTGCCACTAGCACCAGCTGTGGTAAATCCTCCTGGGATGGACCCTTGTAGTGAAGTCGGCAGGCCATTTCTGGCCAACAGCCATTGCGAATACGATTTATCTGGGAATGGCGATATGAGCAACGCTTGTACCACACACCTAAACAGTAAGCTTAACACGTTTGTACCATATTTCAAGTACTTAAATATAATTATCAGGTATCCCAAAAACCCGAGCTTCATAACCATATTCCTCGAAAAATTTCTCCTTCGAAGATCAAATATCTTCTTATTCCTGTCAACTCTATCAGACATCTGTACCTTTATCAATACTCCAAGTCCCCTCTGCCTCTGTGATGCATATATTCCATTCGCTGTAGCACTTACAACTACTTCTTGCTAAAGTCTGGGTGGGGGCGTCTCCTTCCAAAAAAAGATAATGTAGACCCAGCACACTAGCTATACTGTCTTGTCACCGTATAATACACTTACAGCGAGACAAGGCGTCTAATATACTAGCTAGTTTATGATAGTTGGCAATGAACAGCTGCAGCACGACCAGCCACAGTGGCTATTATCATTAACAGTTCTGAACGAGTTGAGTGAAAGTGGCGTACAACACGCATTTTTGCAGTAAATTTCTAAGAAAAAAAAAGTTGAGAGAAATTGCCACCTGCCAGAATTGAACTAGCGACCTTTGCATTACAAGTGCAACGCTCTACCACTAAGCTAAGGAGGCAACTCGATATGTTGAATACTGTGTGGCGGGCTCGCACTATCCCTGAGCTAAACCTAACACAATTGGTATTCCCAGGATGATAGGATAATACGCTGAACTGTAGCTAGCAAATCGAGTTATAGGTGGTCATAACGAGGTTAATAGCCGGCTGGTATAAGGGATATGCGGAGTAGTGCGTGAGGGGAATGCAATAATCTAACGAGAGAACTGAGAAATATGCAGTAGTGATTAAACCCGATCCTTCGATGTCATCTCACCTCGAAGGGTTGGAGGTTTAGTCAAAAGAGAGTCCCCCTGCGACTCAAAAGTGTGTGGAGTTTACTTTGCGGTGGTTCGGGAATTGCGATGGCTCCGTCTGGACCTCGAGGATAAACTATATAAAGTGCCAGGAAGTGTTGTTGAGTGTGAGGCGAGAGCAAAAGACTAACGTGATCATACCAGCAAGATAAAGAGAATTACAAGAGATGTCGTTTGCGAAGTATAGTCTGGAGAAGATCCTAGAACTGGTGCCTGTGACGTCGACGAGGTTTGTTACTAGATACTTGCCCAGTGCGCCAGTTGGCGCCCGTGGTACATTTGGTGGTACGTTAGTGGCGCAGTCTTTGCTTGCGTCCTTGCACACAGTGCCTGTGAATTTCCATCCCACCTCGCTGCATTGCTATTTCATCAATGGTGGAGATCCGAGGTCGATGATTACATATGAAGTGAAAGATCTCAGAAACGGTAAGAACTTCATTCATAAACAAGTGAGAGCATATCAGCATGAAAAGCTCGTGTTTGCTAGTATGATCCTGTTTTCGGTCAAGAAGTCACAAGAGCATGATTCGCTACACCACCTTAAGCGTTTGAAAGAGAGCAACAAGCCAGAGATTGAGGACCTTGTTGACGCTGGTAAGTTGTTCAAGGACGAAGTTGTGGGTAATCTTGTGAAGTTTCAAAATATCGCACCTGAGAAGTTCAATAATGTGAGCATTTTAAACAAATACATTGAGTCCTTCGACGAGGGTCCTATGGAATACAAGTTCCCAAAAGATTTCTTCCACTCTACCAAGGTCACAGACCATCTAGACTACGTGGTTAAGATCCGTCACCCAGTGCTCTCACAAGATGACGGCGATGCTCAAAGTCAGCATGCTTCGAAGCACCATTTCCATGGCCATGGAAAGATACCAGATAAGGTTACACCAGCAAACGATCCACGTTACAACTATGTTGCATTTGCCTACCTGTCAGACTCCTATATCCTTCTCACCATTCCTTACTTCCATAAACTTCCACTATATTGTCACAAATTTAGTGTCTCATTGGACCATGTAATCCACTTCCACCAATTGCCAAGCGTAAACGAGTGGTTATACACAGAGATAACTAACCCAAGGTCAAATTTCGACAAGCACCTTGTCCAAGGTGACTATTATGACACCACAGGGGAAATAGTAGCCAGTGTATCGCAAGAAGGTTTTGTAGTCTATGATTCAGAGCCAATTTTGAGGGCCAAGTTATAAACTTGATGGCTCGCTACTTTTGCAGGATACTCTAAGATAGTCTCTATGTACTTTTATACTTATAAAATAATATTCAAGACGCCAAACTGGTTCACATCATAGCTCCAACTATGACAGAGATCATTCAAAGGTTCTCCATTATGTGTTTTCGGAGTCTCTAAGACGAACAAAATTCCCAATTTCTAGCAGTTTAAGAGAGACAGAGCCATATAGTAGAGGCTGATAAAGGAAGCCATAAGGTCAGCAATTGTATATCAGGACACTTAGGAAGCAATCTACAGCAATCATAGATGTCTGAAACACAAGAGGTTAGTACTGGGCTACCAGCTCCATGGACTGTTAGATACAGTAAGTCTAAGAAACGTGAGTACTTCTTCGATCCCGAAACTAAGAAGTCACAGTGGGAAGAGCCCGAGGGCACTGATCATGAGCAATTTATAAGCTATCTGAAGGATCACCCATTGCGTGTACGTTGTCTGCATATCTTGATCAAGCACAAGGATTCGAGGAGACCAGCATCGCACCGCCAAGAAAAGATAACGATTACCAAAGAGGAAGCTATAAAGGAGTTGAAAGAGATCCAAGCCAGGTTAGAGGAAGATCAAGAACAGAAGAAGAAACACAGTTTTGAGGCAATTGCCAAGGAGAGATCAGATTGTTCATCTTTCAAGCGTGGTGGTGATCTGGGTTACTTCGGCAGGGGTGAAATGCAGCCTAGCTTTGAGAAGGCCGCTTTTGCACTAAAGATTGACGAAGTAAGTGATATTGTGGAGAGTGACAGTGGTGTCCATCTTATCAAGCGTGTTGGTTAAGCAATACTGAAATTCCCATTTGGCAGGAACCATGCTCTGATACCTCTTTGTTGTATTTTTACAAATATTTTGTGTCAAATAGCTCAAAATTCGATGCAAACTGGAGCAAAAAGAAGTATTGTATTAATTGCACTTAATGTGTAGTGTGGTGTTATCTAAGATTGTCAAAAGCAATGCTCTTATGTAGAAGAAACTATATAATTCATCCCAGTCTCGTAGCTATTATTGTCATTGTCAACTAAATTCGGTGAAGCTGCCAATTTGTGGGCTTAACGATCGAGCAGAGAGAAGTAAATATAACTCGAAAGAAGCAATTGTGTGCTGCATAAAGATATATTTGATTGTGTGATTGGACCTCACAGTTTCCCTTGTTGAACCGGAAGCCAATATAGAGAAAACCTTATCCTTAAACTTAGATCAGAGTTAGGATCAGACCTGTAGAGCGAACATAATAACTTTAAAAAGAGGCACTGGCCAAAAAATTTAAATTGATTGGTAGTTGTGCGTTAATAGTAAGGAAATACTAGGATTATAGAGTAGATCAGCTTTTAAAAATACAATGGCCAAACTATCTAGAACTACATCTTTGAAGAAAAGGCTCTCAAACTCTTCCTTTACAAAATTGTTCAAAGCTAAGCGTAAGAGAGAGGACGATGAGGATAGTACTACTGACAGTGCTGATCATGAAGAGACCCCTGGGAAGGAGAACAGGGAAATAGCTACTCCTTCTGCTAAGCGTCATCGTCCAATTAGTAAAGAACAACAGGAGTTCGAGAAAAAGGAGGCATTGCTGGATGCTGAGCTTCCTGAAGAGCTAAGAAAATACAGACCTAAAGGTTTTAGGCTTAACATACCTCCTAAGGATAGACCTATTCGTATATATGCGGATGGTATCTTTGATCTGTTCCATTTGGGACACATGAAACAGTTGGAACAATGTAAGAAGGCGTTCCCTAATGTTGAATTGGTGTGTGGTATTCCAAGTGATGAGGTTACTCACAAATTGAAGGGTCTTACTGTCCTAACTGACAAGCAACGTTGTGAGACACTAATGCATTGTAAATGGGTGGACGAAGTTGTTCCAAATGCACCATGGTGTGTAACACCAGAGTTCCTTGCCGAACATAAGATCGACTATGTAGCTCACGATGACATTCCATATGTTAGTAGCGATAGTGACGATATCTATAAACCAATCAAAGAGCTTGGTAAGTTTTTAACTACCCAGCGTACAGACGGTATATCTACAAGTGATATTATTACCAAGATTATTAGAGACTATGACAAGTACTTGATGAGAAATTTTGCTCGTGGTGCTACAAGACAGGAACTGAACGTGTCATGGTTGAAGAAAAATGAGCTGGAGTTTAAGAAACACATCAGTGATTTTAGATCGTACTTCAAGAAGAACCAAGGTAACTTGAATAATGCGTCAAGAGATCTGTATTTCGAAGTCAGGGAGATCCTATTGAGAAAGACGTTGGGAAGGAAGCTATACTCAAAGCTGCTGGGAGACAAGCACATTCCAAGAAGTATTGCATTGGGATCCCTTTCGGCAACCTCAGATGAAGAAGAGCAGAGTGATGATTTGCCTGAGCCAAAGAGAAAGAAGATGCTATTGATCAGAGAACCATCCCCAGCAACCGAGTTCGCTAGCAAATACACAGGTGCTAAGGTAACCAAACAAGAATCGGAGGAGGACGCTGAATCAGAAGATATAAATGATGAAGATGATGAAGAAGAAGCGGATGAAGAAGACAGCCATTGAACTTAAGAGACTAATTGATAGCAAGTTTACAATTGCTCTTATTTTTAAACGTCTAATCATTTATTCCGTTCTCTCTCTATTTTTTTTTTTTTGTTGTATCCCTAGCAATATAAAATCTCAATGCATGTGTTAACGTAAGGCATACTAGCTATTAGAGCTTGCATGCAAACTCGGTTGTACAATCAACCATTGCCAGTAAGTTTCTTAGATTTCCTTTTCAAGAGTCAGGCGAAAACCATGTACAGACACACATCATACATTGCACTTTTTTTATTGTATAGAAAATTAGTAACGCAAGATAAATACCATTAATAGCATTTCATAAAAATATACATACACTGTCTGAGACCGTCTAACTGACAGGAAAATACCAGCCGTGTAGCTGCAAGAGGGACATTGTCTCCCAGCGATGAGATTGATTCAAGAAGGCCCTGAACCGGCATTGTCCACTAAGTTTTTTGAAAAAAAATTGGTGAAAAAAAAGCTGTGTGACTCAGCAGAAGAGTCTGACAAATGTGAAAAATTGCAGCAGCTTGATCTTGATTGCTATATAAGAAGCTGATTACTCTTAAACTTTCCTTTTTGATACTTTTTATTCTGTAGATTATTGAGTTTAAAGGAGCCCAAACGCATTAAGATCATGTCCTCCAGACTAACTTTTGCTAGGAAGTTCTCCAGCACAAGAAATGTTGCAAAGAAACTGAATAAATACTCATATATCATCACTGAGCCTAAGGACCAAGGTGCCTCTCAGGCTATGTTGTATGCCACTGGTTTCAACAAGGATGATTTCAGCAAAGCGCAAGTTGGTGTTGGTTCTTGTTGGTGGTCTGGTAACCCATGTAACATGCATCTATTGGATTTGAACCACAGATGTTCCCAATCCATCGAGAAAGCCGGTATGAAAGGTATGCAATTTAACACAATTGGTGTCTCTGACGGTATCTCGATGGGTACTAAAGGTATGAGATATTCTTTACAAAGTAGAGAAATTATCGCAGACTCTTTCGAGACTATCATGATGGCACAACACTACGATGCCAATATTGCTATTCCATCCTGTGACAAGAATATGCCTGGTGTTATGATGGCTATGGGTAGACACAACAGACCATCTATTATGGTTTATGGTGGTACCATTATGCCAGGTCACCCAACTTGTGGCTCCAAGAACATTCCAGAGAACATTGATGTTGTCTCTGCTTTCCAATCCTACGGTCAATACATCTCGAAGCAATTCAATGAAGAAGAGAGAAGTGATGTTGTACAACACTCTTGTCCAGGTCCTGGCTCTTGTGGTGGTATGTACACCGCCAACACCATGGCCTCTGCTGCCGAAGTTTTAGGTATCACTATGCCAAACTCTTCTGCTTTCCCAGCTGTTTCTGCTGAAAAGATTGCTGAATGTGACAACATTGGTGCTGCTATCAAGAACACTATGGAACTTGGTATTACCCCACGTCAAATCTTCACCAAGGAATCCTTTGAAAACGCTATCACTTACGTCATTGCTACTGGTGGTTCCACTAACGCAGTTCTTCACTTGGTAGCTATTGCACACTCTGCTGGTGTCAAGATCACCCCAGATGATTTCCAAAGGATCAGTGACAAGACACCATTGCTAGGTGACTTCAAGCCATCTGGTAAGTATGTCATGGCCGATTTGATTAAGGTCGGTGGTACTCAAAGTGTCATCAAGTTCTTGTATGACAACGGTTTCTTATACGGTGACGCCTTAACTGTTACTGGTGAAACTTTGGCTGAGCGTGCCAAGAAAGCCAAGGGTCTAAGTGAAACTCAAGACATTATTAGACCATTGTCAAACCCAATTAAGCCAAGTGGCCATCTACAAATTCTATACGGTTCTCTTGCTCCAGGTGGTTCTGTTGGTAAGATTACTGGTAAGGAAGGTACTTACTTCAAAGGTAAGGCTCGTGTTTTCGAAGAAGAAGACGCTTTCATCTCTGCATTGGAGAATGGTGAAATCAAGAAAGGTGAAAAGACAGTTGTTATTATCAGATATGAAGGTCCAAAGGGTGGTCCAGGTATGCCAGAAATGTTGAAGCCATCTAGTGCACTAATGGGTTATGGTCTAGGTAAAGATGTTGCCTTGCTAACTGATGGTAGATTCTCTGGTGGTTCTCATGGTTTCTTGATTGGTCACATTGTTCCAGAAGCTGCCGAAGGTGGTCCAATTGGTTTGGTCAGAGATGGTGATGAAATTGTGATTGATGCAGACAACAACAAGATTGACCTCCTAATCTCTGAATCTGAGATGTCTCAACGTAAGGCCGAATGGAAACCTCCAGCCCCACGTTACAACAGGGGTACTCTATCCAAATATGCTAAGTTAGTCTCTAATGCCTCCCAAGGTTGTGTTACAGACGCTTAAGTTTCAATTGGACTGACAATCCTCAAAAAAATAGATACATTCTGCAGTCGGAAACAGGTTTTCCCGTGATTTAATTCTAAGATTGTTCAAATCTCCTATATTTATTATGAAAGGCGGATTTATTTTTTTTCTTATGTTTTATTCAGAGTCATTTACTTCGATTATTTATTTATAGTGTGAACGGAAATCACACATAATATTTTTTTTTACTTCATCACATCAGAGTTATAAACAGAGCAATTTTTCTCTTACATGTTGACTCATTTTCTCATTGCTAAATGTTCTGAGATAGTGGTCAAATTTTATTTTATCTACTTTTAATCAAATAGAGTTAAACAGTCCATAGGAATGGATATTATTTATCATAACATTTTTTATAATTGTTCCACAGTTTGTTTTTTTTAAATTGTCAATCCATGTGCTCCAATATGCTTCATGGATCAGAGCAACCTGCCTACTTATGCTGGAAAAGAATAAGGTCTATTATTCATTTATGGGATGATTTACATCAGTGTACCAATTTGCTGAAATGGAGAAGATTTCTCAGAAGAAAAGCGAACTCATCTCTCAGAGCAACATTTAACTCTTCTTTTAGTTAGCTGTGTTGCTTGATAAAAATAAACAATATTATCACTAAAACAAAAGTCCTTTAGAAGATGATGTAGAAATTGTAATGGATTATATCGTTATTATGGATCCGTACTCTTGAGTTTATGCCATTTTGAGTAAGATTGGGATTCGTTTTTCTTATTTCTGTGCTCATTGTTGAGTCTTCCCTGCAGCATCTGTTGTTTATAGTTTGGTTAATGTTATGCAAGAGGAGGGGCTTGCATTCTTAGACCCCATTGCTTATCATATTCTCTATAGCAATAAAATAGAAATTGAAAAATTTTCTATTAAATCATATGTATACATATTATATATATACATTTGATGTATTCTAACTTCACTATAATTCATTAGGTGAGTTTCTATTTATTGTTCTATTATATTAGTCCTCATTTTGTTAAAGGATTGTTAGATAAACAAAGAAATAGTGTTGATAAACAAGCTTGCTTGTATTAAACAGAAATTGAGTAATATAGCTTACCACTGGCCATGTCTAACGCTAACCGGGATAGGAGGGGGAGTGTTCGGGCTGGTCTTTCACAGGTTCATTCTACGTTGAATGACGGTATATATGATGGTGCTCTTCCTGAGTTGAACTACGCTGATAGAGAAGAACTTAATGATGAGCATTATGGTGGTGCTCCTTCAATACCGCTAGAGGATGAAGAAAGTATCAGAACGAGCAATGAAGATTATTCAGAGGAGGCGAAAGACCCTCAGGCATATGCTCCAGGTCCTGAAGGGGATGAAAAGGGTAAACCTACACAGAACAATAACCCAGAACCAACTAACACTTTAACCAAGACCAAGACTAGATTCTTTTCACCCAACTTCAAGGATCAACGTAAGAGGGTTGCTTATAGATGGCTCCTTGCTGTATTCCTGCTGATGTGTTTCTGTTTCACTATCTTAGTGCTGATGTGGGGTGTTCTTTATAGGACACCTCACTATGTTAGGCGTGCTAAGGTGCTAGCAGTGATACAGGAAGATCAGGTGTACCGTTTTAATGACACTGTACAATTTCCTTCGGTCTCTAGCCCACTTTATGATATCATTGCCGAAGTGCCTCTATCTTGGGAGATATACAACGCAACCTCTTTCCAGATTAAATATAATGTTGAAGGTATTGAAGCAATGAATCAGAAAGTCATAGATTTGGTTTATAAAGAAGAATTTTGGTTGGCATTGAATGTTCAGGGTAATGTCACTGACACTCTCGTTAGATCACTAATAAGTGCAGATTCTGATGTGCAGTTCAATTCTACATCACTTTTCGAAGTAGTCTACGAATCCGGACGTGATATCACAAACCTTCCTTCAGTATTGCTGCCAGTTTTCCAAGGTATTGAGGGTGTCTTCCAGAAAGTTTATACTTATCAGTACTTGCCCCAACTGTTAGGGAATATAACCAATGGAGATAATTTTAATCCTGCTCGGGTTGCTGCTGCAGGTAGGATGAAGTTTAACTACAACGACTATAGGCCAGTGACTGATAGAGTTACCTTGTTGTCTACACAGATTGGTGCTGTTTATTGTTTGCTGTTGACTGTTTTCCAGTTCTTGGTGTTCGGTCCTCTGCATGGTGAGATGTCGAGGATGATTAAGTTCTCAAATCTATGGATCTACCGTCTGATTGTGTTATGGTCTGTTTTGTTTTTTGTGTCAATCTTCTGGTGTACTGTTTCAGCCATGTACCAAGTTGACTTCACAAAAGCTTTTGGACGGGCAGGGTTTGTTGTGTACTGGATGAGTACTTACCTGTATATGTTGGCCGTTGGTGGTCTGAATGAGAATGTCATCATGTTAATCATCCTGATTAGTCCATCATACATTGGGTTCTGGATTTTAAGTTTTGTCATACTGAACCTGGCACCAGCGTTCTTTGCCATTGGTTACGCAAATGTCTTTTACAGATACGGTTATGCAATGCCACTGCACTGTATTGTCGGCATCAACAGAGTCATCTTCTTTGACATATCGAAACACCAGCTAGGCAGAAACTACGGTATCCTGTGTGCCTGGGTGGGCCTCAACACTATATCGATGCCCTTCGTGAGTAAGTTCGTGCTGAAGACACTGCATAAGAGAGCACGTAAAGCTGCCATGGAGAAGTCCGGCTAATTCCACCACCTTATACATGTTTGCATATTCTTTATAAAGAATTCCTTGATGTTTTTCTAGCTGCCTCGCCAAAAGCATATCACACCTCATACCTTTTTATATTATTGCATTCGTATTTTATCTAATCAAATATATTGAGATGCTCGCCATGAGCCTATACATTTGTCCTCGAGATTCAAATTGGGACATATTTTCCATATACAGTAGAATGTAGACAAAAGGGATACTCCACCTGAAGAGGTACGACAACGGTCCTTCCAGTAAGAACACACAGTACAAAATGGAAATCAAGAAGAAAAAAACACACATCAGGAAATATCACCCAGACAATCATCCGCACCCCGCACCAAAAACCACTTTCTGCACTTAGAAGAGACTGTGTGAGAAAATTAAGGAAAATTCGGAAAAACGGAAAAATAAGACTTGTGTGACGATTGTCACACGAGAGGTAAAAAGTGAAAATCAGTACTTCACTTGTACTACCCCACCTTTGCTCATTCAATACAATTGCCGTAGAAACAGTTTTTCCGGGCAATGGGAATACAAAGAGTAAACAAAGGACATAGAAGAAGAGGAAATCACTCAGACAGGTCCGTGATGCAGGCAATGGCAAGGACAATAGCCAATGAAAAAGTCAGGTTCGGTGAATAGACAGCATACAGATTAAATCACACTCAGAATAGTCAGTGCAAGTGGGGGGAGGAGGCGTCGTTGGAAGACGAATAAGACTAGAAGGGCCCTTCTAATTAAATTAATGAGGCAGAAACACTGTAGTCTTACTGCGTAACGGACAAAAAAAATTGCATGTAGGACAAATGATCCCACCACAACAACAAATAACAAACTGAAAAACTTCAAAAGTTTGATGAGTAGTATATAACTTGACAGTTATCTTTAAAATAATAGTATAAGCATAGGTTCTAAGGGCGCAGTGTCGACGATGTTTGAGAAGAAGCTGGAGAAGAAGTACAGGAAGTTCAACAGCAAGTGTTGGAAGGATCCTGCCGATGCTTTGGCTGAGACCATTGAAGGTGGTTTGAAGGCCGCTAACAAGAAGGAAGAAAAGGAGAGGCGCATGAGGAGGAAAGACCTAGAGAACATGTCTTTCACCTCTAGCAGTGACTCTTCATATAGTGTGGAGCCCAAGTCGGACACAGCCAAGAGTGGTGCCGGTGGCAGGCATAAATCGAAGTCTCCAAAACAAATGTATAGCAGTGATGACATCTCCTATAAGTCGCCATCTCCCGGTCAGGCTAAGCCTAAGAGGCGCAAAAGCACACGTACATCTCTCAGTGATGATAGTGACAGTGATAGCGACAGCGATGATGGCGATTCCAGTTCAGATAGTGATGACGATGATGACGGTGTTCCTGCTGTGATGGCAGATGACGAAGGGGATGTAATCTCCCGTGTCTCTTCTACCGCATCGCAATGGAAAAAGAAAACCTCTTTGTTCTCCAAGAGAATGAAGGATCATAGGAGAAGAATTTTGGCCAAATTCATCTCTACACATATCTTGCTAGCTATCTTTGTTATAGGTGCATTATCATTATATTGGGGTGCTATTTACAATTATAGTGGAAACCTATATAGGGTTCACTCGATAGCTGTGATTCAAGATGAGCCATATACTGCCCCCGACGGGACTGTCATACCCGCTCTTACCCGTAACGTAACCAACATTATAAACTCGATACCGGGTAACTGGCGGATCATGAATAGTACAGAATTCAAGGTGATATACAATGTGACTAACGCCCAGGAAATTGATGAGAAGGTTGCAGAATTGATATTTGATGAAAAGTTTTGGTTGGCGGTGAATGTTCGTGAAGGCGCAACAGAAGCATTTTACAAGTCCGTGACAGAAGAAGGTGCACCAGTTTTCAATTCTACAAATTACTTCCAATCGATATACGAGAGTGGTAGAGATCCAACAAATTTGAAGTCTTCTATATATCCTATTTTGGCAAAATTTGAGTCGGTGTTCCGATCACAATATTTGAAGATTTATGTTCCTGAATTCATTAAGAACATTACATCCCCAGATTTCAATGAAACTGTTAACACTGCCAACTTGTATGGTCTAGGAAATTTTGCTACTAACTCTTATGATTTACGTCCATTCACCGATCGTGTTTTGCTGGGTCCACTAAGTATGGGTCTGAACTATAACATCATGTTTTCGGTTTTTTCTATTTCTATCTTTGGTCCAGTTAATAAGGAAATGGCAAAGTATCTAAAGCCTAGATCTTTGTTCTTTTATCGTATTCTAATTTCATGGAGTATGTTTTTCTTCCTATCTCTGTTCACATGTACCGTTTCTGCTATTTTCCAAATTGACTTTACACCTGGTTTTGGTAAGGCCGGTTTCGTTATTTACTGGATGACCTCTTGGCTTGTCATGACGGCTGTCGGTATGGCTAATGAGAATATTTTGTCTATCATTTTAACATTCTGCCCGCAGTATATGTCATATTGGATGATTATTTGGACTATTTTGAACATTGCACCATCGCTGTACCCATTGGTGCTTATCAGCCGCTTTTATAGATTTGGTTATGCGATGCCAATTCACAATGGTGTTCAAATTTACAGAGTTATATTTTTAGATATTTCAAGGCATCAAATGAGTAGAAATTATGGTATTTTAGCCGCTTGGGTGGCTGTCAATACTGCGATCAACCCGTTCGTTAACAAGTTTATTTCTAAGGTCGTTAAGAAGAGAGAAGAGAGAAAGGAACTTAAGAGAAAGATTCAAGAGGAAAGGGAGCAGGAAAGACGTCGTTATGAGCATAGGCAAAGACATGCCTCCAGTAAGCATCATGAACATGACAGTTAATACTGCAGTAAACTGTTTACATTTTATTTTAAACACTTACAACCATTATCTGTAGTTTGGCACTGGTCACCCATAATACCCCATACTAAACATGTTGCCAATAATTTTTTCCCATCTTTATGTTTGTTTGTTTGTTGGGATCCTTTAATAATATCTAATAATTTAATTGCATACAGAGTCTGTAAAGACTTCTCTAGTTAACTCCTATTGTTGTTTCTTTGTATACGAATAAGAATATTTTACTTTTTCTATTCTATTTATCATTGCAGCTTTCTTAATAATACATACGGTTACAACATAAAATCTAAATAAAATATACTATGGCAAAATAAAATGAAAAGCTATGCGGTTTTGAAAATAATTAATAATGCATAATTTACGTAACATTGTGTGGATTATTTGGCTGCAGGAGTGGCTTCAGGTTTTTTCTTCTTCTTAGTGTCGATAGTCTCTACTTTAACATCCTTCATACCCTTTTCTTCCAAAAGACTATGAATGTAAGCAACGACTTCATCAAGAACGTCACCTTGAACCACTACTTCTTCCTTCTTTTCAGCATTCTTAGATACCGAGCAACCAGTTGCAAATTTTGAGGCAAAAGTCTTTGCCAATTTTTTCATATCAATTTCAAAGACTTCCAAACCAGAGATGGCAACAATGTACTTTCTTTTCGTTCTTGCTTCTCTCTTGACGATAACTTTAGATGAAAGCTTCTTTGCTAGCTCTCTTTGTTCTTTGTTCTCTTGCTTGGTCTGTAGTTTTTGAAGATCCTTCTCTAGCTTCTCTTCTCTAGCTTCACCAATACTAGATTCCGCAAGTTTGGCACTCAGAGATGCTGCTGCTGCATCATCCTCTGAATAAAGCTTATCGTATAGATCGGCGTGGTTCTCCTTCAACCACACCTTACATCTTTTCAATTTACCTGAAAACTCACAGTAATCTATAGGATAGGTGCATACACCACAGTAAACAACTTCTTTTAGCATTCTCAATCTCTTCTTCTTGCAGTCAAACTATAATTTTTCTTCAACAAATTTAAAGTACAAGCCAACCTATATAAAACTTAAAAGCTGTCCCAATATTGGCTATAATTATGCCCATCTTCATATAATTTTGCAGCGATTTTTCAGAATTTTTCACTTTTTTTCACACCCAGCTTGTGAAGTCGAGTCGGCCTTACGATGGCCATAAGACGCATGGCTAAAGCCCATTTGTTGGGATCACGTGCAGTAGTTTTTATATGAGGATCCTCATAGGTTTGTAGTTGCTATGTCCTGTCATGGTGGTTTATATCTCTTTTATGTTCTATATTATTGTTTTCTTATTTTTTAAAAGTGGTTTCTTAATCTATCTAATACTGTTTCGGAAGGTGTTTACTCGGCCTTTTCTGTCTTTGCTATTGCTGGCTTATCGATAACAGCGCTGTCCTTGCTCCTGGACTCAGAGGGTTCTATCCTGTAAACGTAGTCGTTCTGGATAATTGTGTCCTCGATGAACTGGCCCAGGATCCATGCGTTGCTAACAAAAAAGCCCACACTTGCGCAGAATAGACCTGGGTAGAACACATTCTGGCCTTCGAACTCAAGTAAATAGCCCTGGCGCAACCACAGAGCCTGGGTGGCTACCCAGACAACCAGCATTACTATGCCTCTTCTCATGGAGATTCTTGTGTTATATAGGACAAATGGTAGGAAAATCAGGTACCAAATGAAGTATTGAGAAGTGCAGACTTTGTTGAACGTGACAAATGCAAAGGTCTCCAGGAAGAGCACATTGCATAGGAGCGGGAACGAGCTAGGCCTACGTAGCTGTGTTAGGGATATAGCCAATACAATGATCATTTGAGGCAAAAATACAAACTTGGACAACTCAGAGGTCTTTGGTAGCGCAGAGTTGAAGTACAGTAGCATGTTCCAAACGGAGAAATTGTGCCTGTGATCGGTTCTATAGATGTGATATAGGTAAGTTTGATCAATGAACTTGTCACCATATAGCATATACATGAACACAGTTAGCAAAATTAGTACTATCAAAGTCGAGAAACCGACAAGGAATAACTTGAAACTCGATTTAAAGACGCTTTGAGTCTTATTGTAATGCGCGGCAGCAACGTAGATCGCAATTGGAAGCGCGTAAATAATTGGGTAAATCTTAAAGTGAATCGACAGACCAAACAGTAGACCACCTAGCAAATATTGTTCACAAAGGAAGCAGTATAGGAAAGACAATATTAGGAAACATAGTACACTCTCTGCATTACCTCTTGTGCTAATAGTGATGACCATGGGATTCAAGAGCCAGATGGCAGCCATAATAGTCATCCTATCAGTGCCATATCTGTACTTACTCTTTAACTTCTTTAGCATCTGTAATATCAATACGCCGGTAGCCAAATCGCATAGCACAAATATTAATTTACCGAAATGGAACCATGGGATCATATGGTTAGGCAATAGCAGCCAGCTCAACAAGGGTGTATAGCGATATGTGTCTCTGTTATAAGGAGACTTGCGGTGTGCAACAAACCAAGCAGCATCGTTAAAGACTTGGTAATCGATGTCGGTGTACTTAACAGTGAAATGCTCATCTTGGTAGACACCAAACAGAAAGAATGCAATTCTCAGCAGCACAGCCAAGCTGAGCAATCCAATTGTCCCCAGCTTAAACATTGATATTCTATTGCAATGGGCAGCTTTGTAGTTATGATTGTCAGTGTTAAGAATCTAATAGCTACTCGATAAACTCGAAGTCCATCACACTGCTTGTTCTTAAATGCTTGTTTCACAATCGTCGATGACGTTTCTCCGAAGTATATAAAGTGCCTGATCCAGAGTGTTGGGGCTGGGGGTGGCCAAAGTCTTGCCATGAGATGGTCAGTGGATTTGAGGAACATTGGTAGTCTAGGATGTCACAGCCGTTGAGTTACGAGGAAGTCATAGATCATATCCTTCACAACAAGGAAGTCCCAGGCGTTGAAGACGTCCCGGATGTAGTGCTAGAAGAGCCAATTGATCAACAGAGTAGCGCACCAAGGTTAAAACCATGGCAAGTCAGTGGTCACAATACTGAATCACAAGGTTCAGGGGCTGATGTCAAGACTGACATGGAAAAGGAACTGAAGAAAGCGCAAGAGCAAGGGCTAAACATGGACATAGAATGAATAATCATTGAAGTTGACTATTAAAGTGAATACGTAATGGTAGTCATCTATAAAATTATTAAAGAGGGTTCAGAATATAAGAGTTAGCCGTTCCTGATAATACTGGGTTGGAAATAGTAGCGTATGTTATCTATAATTGCATGCAAGATTTGATGAATTCCGGCGGAAATATCGATGACTACGATGGTTTGGCACCACTAGTTCTTAGCACAAATTCGAATGCAGCCAGCGCGGCAGCATTTGCTGGGAACGATCTCAGGAAACTTGGTAGGAAACCCTTGAAGAAACCGTGGATACCTCTTTGTCTGTATATATCGCTAACTGCGGTTCTCCATGATTTAAAGCTTCCGTCATACTTGTCATTACATAGCACGACTTGTTTTACCACATCACTTGGGTATGCACTGGTCCAAAACCCAAACGAAGCACTTAAACCACCAGCCCAGAAGTTAATAGCCGGCGCACTAAGATTAGTATTCTTTTGGAACCACTGTGTTATTAGTTCATAGGACCCCCACCAGAACACAAAGTTCGACCTGAAGATCAATGTGCTGATCAAACCCTTGTACAAGCTTCTCACACCGCCAAGTATCCCGTTTGTAGCCATACCTTGCTTGAACACCTTCTGTACCACATCGATGGGACCCGTGTACTTGGTTGTCTTTGCATCATATTGCACCTGCAATTTAGCCTTGGCGAGCTCTACGGGTGCAGCGATAAAACTAACTGTCCAACCAGCCATCACACCACTGATTATACACCCAGAGAGAGGAAGCTTATCGTGCTCCGGGTATACATATTTGTGTAGCAGCATTCTGTAATTGTGTAACGATCCCAGTAACGCACTATCCATCATGATCCAACCGAAGAGCGGTGGGGTGAACCCCAAATACAGCCCACGTATACCTTGGTTCTTCAATGTCTTGTAGACGCAATCCAGTGGACCTTTGAACTGTATACCAGCACCACTGCCGACTTGCGACGTCTGCAGACGCACTTTCACTGTATCGAAAGGATGTCCCACCGTGTTCTTAGCAACACCGGAGAACATCCCGGCTACAAAGCCCATCACCCGGGAATACGTCTCTTCAGAAACCATTGCTGTTGGTCTGCTGGGGACTACTACATTGAATCATGTAGAGTTTCAATGCTTTTTATATTCATAGGAGATGTTATCGCTGTGAAAGTTAGTCATCGGTTGTCCTCTGCACGATCCCTCTCGGAGCCATTTTTTTTCACTTTTCCAGCTTTGCAGAAAATACAAAGCGATGAGCTATGAATGGCAGACCTATTAGTTATGAAGAGTATTGGGATATCCAGGCTAAACTGTGGTAAACTAGTACATTGGTGATAAGGCTGCTAAGATGGAGGCTGTCTGTGGGAAGGAATTGCGTTCGGACCTTCTGCAGTCCGTGGAGAGAGTTCGTGATGGCGACAAGCGGGAGTTGTTGGATGTAATGTTAGAGTTCATGTTTGACACAGTGTCTTTCATCCGGGAGCTGTCAAGTGATATCTTTCGGATGGAACAAGAGCTGGATGATGAGATGGCACAGCTATGCGTATTCTACAGGACTGCAATTGCGGGGGTATTTGTGCTCAGTCCCGATGAGTGTGTCACTATACGTAAGGCTCTTATAGACCCCGACCCTGCGATCCCCGAGGCTGTGCTAAAGAGAGTTGTCTCTCCTCTGTACAAGAAGGCAGCTTATTATCTGTGGTATTTCATAATGCATTGTTGCTATGCAAAGTACCCACATGAGCAGCGAATGATAAGAAACTACATGAACAACGCATATCTGGGACACAGGAATATAGTAAATTACTGGGAGAAGATGTCTATCGTCAATGATCGCGATCAGGACCCAGAACAGGAAGCCCTTGACGCTATTAAAACCAAGACACTGTTACATTGTATCAAGAATGAGTTGTTGCCATCATGGCGAAAAGTTCTGGAAGATTACAAAGCCGCATGTTTCGACGCAGTGATGCAGTCTCGGAAACTGAAGGATCTCTTTGTCACAGTAGATAAATCTGTCTCTGATAGTAACTTCGAAGACACAGAGTCGATGCACACATACCTGAACTGGATAGATAATATGCTGAAGAAGTTCATACTCGACTCCAAAACCGATCTGCACGTGACCGAGTCTGATCTGTGCTCACCGATGCCCTTGACGTTGGCCGAGCTGAAGAAATTCTCTGAAGAGAAGCATATAACTGACCAACTGGAGAAGTTACGGGTGGTGTAGTTTTGGTGTTATCTAATTTAAAAGTTGTCAATACAGAGTGGGTTAGTACTTAAATCATGGATGGTGTTAATGAGATTTTGAATGAAGTGAGGAAGCATCTGGTTCTTCCAGTAGACTTCAAGGCTCAAGAGAGGATAGAGAAGCTGGCTTATGTTATCCTTGGTATTGGTGCAGTTACATCTTTTGGAATTGGTTTTGTTACCCAATCTTTGCAGAACTTGCTCGTGTGTTTTGGAGGGTTTTTTGTTGTAACACTTATAGTAACTCTGCCACCGTACTCCTGTTACAAGAAAAACCAATTGAAATGGGTACAGCCTAAGGTCATGGAGATCAAGAAATGATTGATGTAACTATTCATACTCTAAATGATAGATTTCTCGTTTTGTTTGTTTATGTGGGAAGAAATTCACACGGTCGTTAATACAAGGAACAAATCGCAGAGTTCCAAACAGGCATGAAATTGGTGGTATCGACCAACAAATACAGTAATAAAAATTTCATTTTATGGCTTATTAAAGGAAAGGCAAATTTATCATTAGATTAATAATATCAAATATATGCTAGCATAAATACATATTTGTTCTTATAAAGGGAACTTTTTACGGATTACAGTGTCTATTGTCTTCTTCTTTTTAGATTAGAATTGGATGAAATGGTTGTCCTCCAAGAATAGCACAACTTTCTGGACTATATGGAAAATGGTCTCTTCCGTGGATGCAAGTTTGATGTCAGCGTCTTTGGCGTGGCCAATGGTGTAGACGTTGGCGGAGTTAACCTTGTTGCTTGCGGACCAAGTGGATGGAATGATCAAACCACTGCCGGCTTGAACGAAATCGGAGATCAACTCCAAAAATTCAGGTTTATCGTTGTGGTCGTAGATCTTGTAATGTCTTCCACCACCGAACTGTAAGAATGTGGACAACAGAGCGATGCTCAATTGATCACGGTCCACCTTGATGTCATCGTTGAAGACCAGAGCAAAACCTTGTTTTGGTCTTGGTGGGTTCGATTCCCTTAGGATCTTGACCACTTCAGGGTATGAGAACCACTCAGGGATTTCACCACCGTCTCTTAAACGTTTTCTCAGTTCAGTACCGGAGATGTTCAGAGTTCTGGTCTTTGAAGTGTCGATCTCGTCAATTGGGGCGTATCTGTCCTCGTCTGGCAAGTAAGTGACCATTCTGAATGGCACAACGTCGATATCCAGCTCGTTCTTGTAGGACTCGACCAACTCCTGGGCGTCGTATGGGCCGTAGAAGTCCACACCCTTGGAGTTGCTACCTGGGCCAGCGTGATCTCTGCCCACAATGAAGTGAGAAGCACCGTAGTTCTTTCTGATGATTGCGTGCCACACAGCTTCTCTGTCACCACCCATTCTCATGGCCAATGGCAACAGGGACAAGAAGGCGATACCATTTGGATATCTCTTGATGATCTCCTGGTATACACGGACTCTAGTGTGGTGGTCGATGTCACCTGGCTTGGTCAAGCCGACCACGGGGTGGATCAGCACTTTGGCGTTTGTTTCTCTAGCGGCACGCACGGTCAACTCTCTGTGTGCTCTGTGCATTGGGTTCCTGGTCTGGAAGGCAACGACACGGTCCCATTGTCTAGACTGGAACTCCAGTCTCAATTGAGCAGGGGTCTTACGTAGGCCAGGGTAGTCGTAATGCTGTGGCAGCTGGATGGCGTCCAAGGCACCACCGATGTAGTAGTCACCAGCAGTGTTGAACAAGTAGTTGATGGCGGGGTGTTCTGGGTCACCTCTGAACACTTTCTCAGCTTCTACGCTCTTGTCGGGCTTGTAGATGTCCTTCACAGTCAAGATAGCAACTGGTATGGTGCCGTCTTGCAGCAAGGCAATTCTCTGGTTGGGCTTAACAGAGTTGGCGAATTGCTCTGGCACATCCAGTGTGATTGGCATGGTCCATAGAGTACCATCGCTCAGCCTAGAGTTGTGGACCACACCGTTGTAATCCTCTTGGGCCAAGAAACCAGTCAGCGGGGAGAACCCACCGTTCAGGATCAACTCGATATCACATATCTGTCTGGCGGTCAGAGTCCATTGACTCAATTGTTGAGACTCGCTCAAGAGCGAGTCTCTCTTAGAAGCATCTCTAGCAACTAGATCTTGTAGTACACCACCGTGAGGAGCAGGCATTTGTTAGGTGTTTCTTTTCTGGAGTGTTATATCCTGACTTACAGCTATTACTATTACAGAGACAAGACCAAAGAGCAAGGCTATAGGAATGAGTGCCTATTTATACAACGATGGAAACTCAAAAGGCAATCCATTTTACTGTGGCTTGAGAACGAGCTAAGCATGTTAATCAAATGGCTATCTCGAAAAGAATGGCAAGATGCACAGTTATAAGCTGTGTAATAAACTGATATAATTGAGAAGGCATGCAATTGGTGTCTTGGATTAGCTCAGTGCTGTTTGTGTTTGGACTTAGTGTATTTGAGACCTGCAGATGCCCTTGAATGATTTCCTCGATGGGCTTGGGATCCTTCGCTAGCATATCCAGGGCCTGAAGAGAACGGGGAGGGAACCATACAGTCTGTAGTGTATTGCAGTGTATTGCACTGGAGTGTATTGCACTGGAGTGTATTGTGTAGTGTAGTGTATCGTGTAGTACGTGAAATCAAACAATGTGACTAAAATCTCTGTTTTCCCACCCCCCCTTCTAGCCAAAGTCATGTGATATTTTCCCATTTGCTAGATCCCCCGGAGCATTAAAGGGAGGCAGGAAATTGTATGCCTTAAATAACACCACAGTTTTTTTGCTTGACGTTTTTTCTGCGTCGTTCGCGTTTTCTTGGCCCTGGCTGCACCGCTTTCTAATAGGATAAGTCCAGCCCGTGCGGTGTGTGGTAAAGGTTTTGTGTGGGGGACCGTATAGGAGTATAACCTGATTTTGACCATCAAAGTCACGTGGCATTTTTTTTCCTTCGATTTATTCCTTTTTGACGGGGGTTTTAAAGATCATGTGATGTGGCTATCTTTGGGTCCCATCCTACGCATATCACGTGTATTATATCACTTTCTACTGTCATTTTCTTCAGGATCGACAAAGTGGCAGTCATATGACTTAGCCGTCTTGCATTACTGGGAGCTTAACAGAACAATAAACTGCAGTTCCCTACCTCCATCATACATATAAGCCGATTATAACCATATTACATAATTTGTACTTGGTAAACCATTGTAATACTAATTGTAACTGGTATCCCCCCCCCAACTATACTCGTTAATATATTATCTGGCTTTTCTTTATTATATTCTGCTATATATTACAAACACCCGTAACCTGCGGCGTAGCTGACACTGCTCTCGTTTATAGAGTTGACGTTGGAGCTTTGAGAATACGCTGGCCACTCAAAGTCCTTGTACCCAACACTCGCCAACGCACATGCTATCACAGATATCGGTTTCTCTCCGCATATAGTGTTCCCAGATATCTCCAGGTACTGCTTCCACTCGCTGTACAGATTCTCTGGCGATTTCGCATTCCGAGATAGCACATGCATGGCATACTTGTCCATGATCTCTATCGACTTCCAAATTGGTACCTGGTGGTGTGACAGCTTGCTCCGGGTGGTCAGCATCTCTACCTCTGTCTCCTCAGCTATCACATTCTCTAGCTCTTCTGTAGAGCCTACGTACCCAGTGTAGGAGAACCGGCGGCCCCAATGGCAGAAATCACTGCTTATAATGAACAGATTCTCCTCGTCTTTCATGTACTTGGCCAACGTACTGCCTACACTGGTATCTACATTTACTGAGTTGTGCGACACCATTAAAGGAACGACCTTGACCTCGCTCAGAGGGATCTGGCGCCAGAGCAGCGCCTGTGCCAGCATAGGGAACTGCATCTCCAGGGAATGCTCGTCCTCATCGGTGTCTTTATCCATGTAACGGAATAACTTGCGGCCATCGCCTGATCCACCGACCAGCGTCTCGCATACTTCAGTGTCTACATTTAAATTGCCCAGTGGTGTCTCAACCTCCTGGAAATGGCTGACTAGCACTTCGTTCTTGAAATACACATGATGCGAAGGCCCTAGGATGAATATACGCTTGGGCTTCTTCTTCAAGTCCAGTGACGCATACGCATGAGCCATTGTCGGACCACAATACCTGTAACCTGCATGGGGTGAGATAATTATCCTCGCCTTGGAGACACACTCTCTGGAGCTGCTCTCCAGATACTGTAGCAACTGCTGAGAGAGGTCCTTGGCATGTGCGGAGTACCACGTCCCCGCATGTGTAGCGCTGCGGATACTTACCATTACTATATTAGTTCACAGTAGTACTTTATCTTTGAATGAAAGTAGGTATTGGAGATACTTCTCGATTTACCATAGCTTCAATCTCACAACCACATTATCGAGTCCCTTTTTATACTTCAATGCCACCATCTGGATGAGGAGTCAATGTTGTTAATAGCCTCACTTGTCAATCCAGAAGAGGGATTTCTAAGAATCCCTCATCGTTTGTTCCAGAAGTACAGAACCATAGAAAAATAAGGGAGAGCGTACAGATGTATGGGCAAGGATAGGTATTAAGAAACAAAGAATTTTCAGCTAAATAGAACGGAGACAATTAGAAATGGCAACTCATAAGCATGGCTCAACACAAATGACCTTGTGAACCACTTGCTAGCGTCTCTTGAATTCTCCGTCCCTCTACTTATTGATATCTGACTAATCTCTCACCTTAGGGCACCCGTTTCCTCGAAAAGAAAAAGCAATGATTAACAGCCATTCTTTATCTATCGATTGGTGAGCTTCATAGATTACGTTGGAACAATATTGTTATTTGGCATATTTCTGTTACTCCTTAAAAGGACTTGTTCACTTTGGTAGCTTCACTATATCTTGATAACCTAGAGCCTAGAGTGCTATTTTGAATAAGTAGTATTGGGTTTTAAATATACATAGGATACGTTATATACTAAATGTGTGTTCCTGTGAGAAAGATGAAGATCGGAGGTTTAAGGAAACCGTTTGAGTGCTAATATAACAGATAATGAGAAATAATACGAATGGAGTCATTTTTATAGGATTCGAGTAGAGATATGGCAACTCTTTCTTTCTATCATGAACAAAACCCAGACAGGATATGTCCTCATTATGAACCTCTTAGAAGTCTTTTTTTATATCTGAAGATTCTTACCTCTTCATCATCCTTATTATGCGAACAAAAAAAAATATACTTCAATGTGCAATAAAATTAAGTGCTAATTCGTTGTTTATGGGTAAGTTCTTTTCTTACTCGTAATCAGAGTTATCCTCATCTTCAGAGTCGGATCTGTTGTCTTGTTCTTTACTTTCTAGAAGAGCTTGCAATTCAGCGTCTTCAGTAGCGGTGACAGCCTTTGGTGGCATGGTGATGTTACAAACACCACCGTATTTGCTAATAACTTCGTTGATTTTGTCGATGGCTTTACCTAGAAGGTCGATACCAATCTGCTTGTCTAGAGCTTGAGTGGTTAGAACGTAAAGTGGTGCAGCAACCAGTTTAACCTTGATTTGCATCTGTTCTGTAGACATATCTTCTGCGGATTTTAGAGCTTCCTTGATGGCATCGATACCTTCGTAACTGAAACAGGAGACTTCGACATCAGCTCTGATTTTGACGGCTTGTGGAGTCAATCTCTTGGAAATGTAGGTCTTCAACTCATTCAAGATATCCTGAGATGGTGGCTCGATACCTTCCCATACGGTTTCGTCAATGATAGATAGTTTAAATGCTTCGTAAGCGTGGCCAAACTTTCGACTCAATGGCCATGCGATAGTCTTATACAGATCTTCCAATGGGATTTGAAACTTTTCGGCACAGTATCTCAAGATAGAGTGCACAGTCTTGGACTTTTGGTATTTCTCTTCACACTTGATGATATCCTCGGAAGACACACGACGCTTTGATAGATCGATGTAACCTTTCTCCTTGTCAACACGTAACACCACAGCAACATCGTTCTTACCAACACGGATCAACTTCTGGATGGATCTAATACGTCTACGAGACAACTCACTCAGTAGAATCATACCTTCAATGTTATCGTACTCCAATAGCTTCACATAAGCACCCATCTCAGCAATTTGCTGGACATTGACCATGACAACATCGTCAACATCTGGGTACTTGTTCTCATAGAATCTGCAGTGGTTAATAGACATTTCTAATTGCTATCCTCTCAAGGCTATTATCGTCCTGTATCTTTTCTTGATGCGCTGAGGGAGGTAAAAACAAAGACCAACTTAAAAAAAAGATAGTACAAGAAGAATAAACGCCAACTTAACTACTTTTACCGGTATTGGGAAGTGTTATAATTGCAAAACTTCAATGAAGTTGGTTATTGCCCATCCGTGAATAGAATTTGCACTCTAACTGCGGAATTCCTCTAACAATCAGCTTCTAGTTTGAACAAATTTTTGAAGAAAAAATTTTGAAAAATTTTTCTGCGGTCCACTATGTCGTTAGGAGTGCCATTGGGTTTCAACGATAATACTGGTGTAGGATTGAGCAGTTCTTTTGGGAATTGTTATTGCACAAAAGTTATATAGTGTAAATGCTGTACTTATGTATATGATAAATTAGTATGTTCATGGATCAGGGGGATGTAGTAAGTTGAGTGAATATTGAAAAGAAACAAAACAGAGCTCTTCTTTTTAACACCAGATGTGCAAGAAACGGGTAAAGAAAGAGGCATTGGCCAAGTATTCTCTCTCTACACGCAACTCTTCCTCTCTGGTCTCTGCGTCTAGCACTCTTCTACCGGAATCTAAGTCCATTTCCATTAGTGGCACTAGTAATCTCCAGTCTCTCTTCCATAGCTTGTGTCCTACGTAGCACGCAATTAGGATAGGTAGAGATAGATAGCCTTCGAAAAATGATTTTGCACTTGCGGTGGAGGAACCCACTGGGAATAGCGAGGTCCAAAACGATGCTACTAGAACCAAGAATAGCACGATGACACCATACCATGCACCCCAAGTACCTGATTGTGAAAGGAATGGCATCTCGTCTAGAGATCTACCTTGAGCCTTCATGGCATCCCTGAATCTAATTAGCGACAAGTTGATGGCCATCCAGCAGAAAATAGTAGACAAACCGGATAGAGCACTCAACCAAGTGAATACTTCTTCTTGCTTGTCACTCGCAGCAATGAAGGACAGTAGACCGAAAAACAAGGTCAATAGAATAGCGTTCAATGGTCTACCACGCTTGTCAACTTTACTCAAGAATTTTGGTAAGTTGCCAATGTGAGCCATGGAAACCATACAACGAGAACAAGCGTAGACAGCACTATTGGCGACACTGACGATGGCGATCAAGATAATGGCATTCATCAAAGAAGGAAGACCCTTGATACCACCGTTCTCAATTGCGATGACTAATGGTGAAGCGGCGGCATCGACGGAACTGCTACCGTTTAGCAGTCTTGGATCGTTGTATGGGACCAAACAGCCAATTAGAGTCAAAATACCAACATAGGATACTGTGATCAACCAGAAAGTCCTCTTAGCGGCCTTTGGGATAGTCTCCTTAGGGTTTCTACTTTCAGCAGCAGAGACGGCTGTCATTTCAATACCGGAATATGAGAATGCAGCGGTAACGAAGACGGAACATAGACCCTTAAACTGAGAGCCAGCGCTGTGGCCAACAAAGGCACCAGGGTTATGCCAGTACTTACCACCAATGTATCCACCGTGTGGACCACCACCACAGGTCAATACGATACCCAGGATACCAAAACCGATGATAGCTAGGATCTTGACCATGGATAGAATGAATTCGGTCTCACCAAAGGATTTCACGTCAAGCATGTTTGCAAGGGCGATAGCAGTGTAGAAGATGGCAACCCAGGCGTCAGAGTTGATCTTGTCATTCCAATATCTAATAGTAATGGATGCAGCCACCAGTTCTAGAGGCAGTAACACTAACCATTGGGCCAAGTAGTTTAGATTGATGGCAAATGCGAACGATGGTTCTATGAATCTGGTGATGTAGACGTTGAAACCACCAACAACTGGGAATGCAGCCGCCAGTTCACCCAAAGAGTTGATAACTGTAAACAGACAAGTAGAAACAATGACCCAGCCGATGACTAGAGATGCAGGCCCACCAGTTGTAAGAGAAGCACCGGAGTTGACGAACAAACCTGTACCAATGGCACCACCAACAGCAAGTGTCAGCAAGTGACGCACACTCAGGTCTTTGTTCAAGTTAGTGTTGTTAATATCCTCGACATATGATGCAGCTTCAGGTGTCGCTTTGACATCACGAGGGTACTCCTTTGTATCTCCTTTCAGTATATCATCATTACCACTAGAGCTGACGTTCACTCGTACTGGTGAGTTGACAGAACTCAACTCAAAGTTGTCTGGGCTTGAGCTTCTGTCATTGGCACTGTCTGTTCTGTCGGGACTGTGGAAGCCATCGATAACTTCAGTCCAATACTGCTTTTTCAGCGGATTTTTAGGCATCGAGAATTAGTTCCTTTGTAGGTGTCTGAAGTTGTTGTTGTTCTGCAGCTTTCTTCGGAAGTATTCTCAAATACTCTTTATATATATATATTAATCAGTATCCAAGTCGATGTGATCAAATCGTTTTGTTCCTAGGATGCTCACACTAAATTTTTTGTCAACGTTTAACTCCTTCTCGAGAGGAAAAAGAAACAGAAAATCCGGAGAAGAGATAGTAATGGGTCATTGGCAATAGACAATACACACATATTATCTATTGTCCAGTGTCCAGTGTCCAGTGTCCAGTTCACAGTTCCCAGTTCCCTATGTCTATTGTCTAGTGTTTAGTGCATATTCTAGTATTATTGTGTGTCATAGGCCCAGTGCTCGAGGTCGATCAATTAGCTGAAAAATTCCACGCAGCATTGTACAAGTGTACTTGTACAGTACTTTCTTAGGACACGCTTTCATTTCTTTCTTTTTATCCCACTCGAAGGCTAATTCTCTTATCATAATCCTCAGAGGATACCGTAGCAATGCGAGATTTTGAAATTTTGCGGATTACTTTTTCTTTCTTTCTTTTTTTTGGAATTTGTATTTAGGGCAGAGAGATAGTAGTGTCATGTTTGAGTTTTAGTTTCCACAGAAATAGATGAAGCGGTGGCTCAATGGTAGAGCTTTCGACTCCAGTTAAACTCTGGGATTTTCCTCGGAATTCATGATTGCAATCGAAGGGTTGCAGGTTCAATTCCTGTCCGTTTCATTTATATTTTTTTATTTTCTTTTTTTTTTGTAGTACTAATCTCTCCGGGTAACTTCAGTGTATTGCCTCTTTTGGGTATGACTCCTTCACGAATTTAATGTTTTAGGCATGGATGTGCACTATACTGCCACAACAATGACTATTATAATTGTAGCTACTACTGTACATATAATAAATAAAGACACTGTTAGCGACAATATCTGAACTGATGTTGTTTCGAATACAAGTGTCTAGTTTCGATTCTCTTTTTTTTTTGCTTTCAATTTTCTGGTCTGGTAGGTGATTTATTTAAATTTAAAAAACTAAATACACTCTAAATACTACCTATCGTTACTACTTCCGTGCTCAAGTCTTCGAGATCCAAGAGCACTATCTGACCTGTTTCGCTGAATGTAGGCACTGATATCATAACTACTTCGACACCGTCCAAGCTCACTTTCCTGGTACCAAAGTATGGCTGATTGCCGACTATGTACACGTGAGGCCATTTATTCAGAATAAATGGATCTCTGTCTTTGTAAGGATAACACCACAAGGTGTCTGGAGCTGTGGGTGCAATGTTCTGCCATTTCAACGTACACTCCATCAAGTCTAATATATGCTCTGTGGTCTTGGCACACTTGGCATCCGTGTCATCTGTAGAGACGTTTGTAGTGGACTCCGTGTCCGACTTTGCAGGTATGACGTACTTGCAAATATCTGTGATGTTCTGTCCCGCAGTGGTGAGTAACTCCAGGCCATTAATACTAAACACATACGGATTCGTCACCAGATTCAACAAGTTAGCATTCACTTTATCAAAATACTGGCCCAGATTTTCACGGAATAATGCTTTATGCAATGGTTGTTGCGGAAGTGTCCTATCGCTGGGGTCGTTGGCACCAGGCATAATGTCAATTGATATAGATTGTAAAGTGTTCCCCAAAAACTTGCCGAATTCATCTAGTTTGTTCACTAACGCCCCAGGGTCTTCGGAGCTGGGGTTAAAATCTATGGAATCACCGCAGATCAATAACCTACCAATCTGAGCGACAGCTTCTTCGTTACCTAGCCTACCCATCAGGTACTCTTGCAACAGTTGCAGCTTTATCACACGTTCTTGTGCTGTTGTGGAGATGTTTATACCGGAGACAAGGGCAATTTTACCCTTCGACGTAGCGGCTGGCATAGGCTCCTGTGGAAGGGCTTTCGGGTAACATAGGTCAAGCACCTGGAAAGTACCCGCATCAGCTTCCATACCCAGAACACCTATCACAGTGCCGGTAATGAACGGTGTCTCTGCAATCATATCGCCTACTAGGATCAGTCTACCACTTTCGTCTTCCAACATTATCTCGTCTGTTCCGTCGGGGTCTGTGTAACTCTCAGGGTTTATGTCGACTGTGCCGTAAGTGTCGTTCATGACCTCTTCCAGGACGTTGGGCTTATACTTCATCTCTCTGTATATGGTACCAATGCACCAGCAGGGCTCTTTGCCCTGTATATCGAGGACATTTTTCTTCTCGACGACCTCTTTACCGTTCAATTGGAACCCGGCGTCCCATTTCTTATAGCACTGCTCCCTGATGCGGTTCTTGAGCACGGTCAGTCTGTACTGGTACAGGAAGTGGTACTGCGGGGAGTAATCCCTCTTGTCGAAGTCCAGCGCGAAGGCGTTGTCTTGCTCGAAGTCCTCATTGATGCGGGCTCTTTGGAGGGGCTTTTCGTGCGTGCTTGTGCGCTTGCTGTTAAACTTCTCCAGCAGTGAGTCCATTGTCAGTGCGTGTTGGCGAGATCTTTTGTATTGTGCTTTTGCAGTACTGAGTGAACTGTAGTGCTATTTATTTTTGTATATTAATCAACGCGTAAATGCGAAAAGCGATGAGCTCTGCAAAAAAAAAGTAAAAACTTTGGGTGTTGTGGAACACTAGCTAAGACACGTATAATATAGAGATGTTATTAATTAATATAATAGGGTTTATATGTAGGCTATGTTTATCCTTGATCTTTATTACAGCAAGAAAATATTAAAAAGCACTTCTTATCGCTTCGAAGAGTCCAGCAAAAAACTAAAGGCCAATAATTTATCTTAGTTAAAAAAAAAAATAGCAGTGTGTGAGTAATTAGTATAAGAAATACAGGAATTTGTTTCTTATTTTTTTAGTAAAAGATTTTTTATTGTATTAGGGTTAGATGTCTAGGATATTAACATAAAAGATAAAACAAACTTCAAAAATAGACAGAGAAGCTTAAGAAGAAAAGATAAAAGAACAAAAGTAAAATAAAATAAAAAAAAATTAAAGAAAATCTCTTCCCCTTAGTAAATTAGTTCCCGATTCTATCTAATAATCCTTCAAACTTCTCATATCTTTCTGAGGAAACATATTGATTGTAAAAAAAAAATTGGTAGTATTCTTTTTAATTTTTGAATGGTGGTGGGGGTTGTGTGTGTGATGGTGATGGGATTTATTCAGGTGTAAGTATGAGGAAAAATGCCATGATTAGAAAGGCTTAGGGGGGAAATATCAATGGATTAATCTTACATAACAGTACAACAAGAGAACTTGCTGTCCTTCTCCTTCATCTTGTCGTCCTTCATCTTGTCATCCTTCATCTTGTCGTCCTTCATCATCTTGTCGTCCTTCATGGCGGCCTTCTTACCGGACTTCATCTTGTCGTCCTTCATCATCTTGTCATCCTTCATCATCTTATCGTCCTTCATCATCTTGTCGTCCATCATGGCAGACGAGGTTGGAGCGAACTTGATAGCGGTTTCGTAGAAGGTCTTACCTTGGATTTGGGCGATTCTCAATTCCAATTCAGAGGCGGTTCTGGAACCGTCAGCGCCAGCCAAGGTACCGGCACCCCATGGGGAGCCACCGTGGACTTCTTCGATGTTGGCCAACTCGGCGAAGGCGTTCTTGTAACCCAATGGCACGTAGATGATACCGTGGTGAGCCAAGTAGGACAAACAGTGCTTGACAGTGGCTTCTTGACCACCACCGTAACTGGAGGTGGAGACGAAGAAACCACCGACCTTACCGTTCAAAGCACCTTGGGCCCACAGACCACCGGTCTTGTCCCAGAAGGAGGACCATTGGGCTGGCAAAGTACCGAACCTGGTTGGAACACCGAACAAGAAAGCGTCGTATTCAGTGAGGATGTTCTCAGTTGCTACTGGGATATCGGAAGCCTTTTCAGGGGCGTTCATCTGTGCTAGGATCTCCTTGGACAAAGTCTCCTCGACTCTGTACAGGTCTGCCTGACCGCCGGCGGACTCAACACCCTTCTTGACAGCTCTAGCCAAGTTGTCGATGTGACCATAAGTGGAGTAAGTGATAATAGCAACCTTCATCTTGTGTTATGTTAGTTTTTTGTTGTTTAAGTGTATGTGAGTTGTTACCTCTTAGTCCAACAAAAAAGTAAGTTCCAATTGGGGGGGTATGCTTCTTTTTTGCCAGCTTTTCTTCCACCAGTCTATATATATTCCCACCACCCATGGCTTTTTTATTTTTCTTCCAATTGGAAGGATAAAGAAGGGGTAGTAGATCCCTCCCCCCCGTCCCTCTCTACTCGTCCCTCTCTACCCACCGGTCCCACCAGTCTAGTCCACCTCGAGGCGTCCCACAGTATCGCTTTGGCCGTCTCCTTCGTCTCTTTGCTGTCTCTCTGCTGTCTTTGCTGTCCCTCCCCTCTTACTGCACGCTCGTCTGTGCGCTCGTGTAATTATTACGAGAAAGCTGGTTTCCTCACTGCACACGTCCACTGACTAAGGGGTGGTATCACCCCTCCTCCTACATCCGTACACAGACGAGGCAGTGGGGGTGCCCCCCCGTTAAAGGAAGGGATTGGCGTTCTGTGTCTTGTGCGCGTGTTTCTTATGGTGTCTCTTCTGAGTGTTTTGTTGTTCTCTTTTTTGATAGATTTCGACTTCCCGTTTTGGGCATTAATCCCGGCACGCGCGGTTTGTCTCTCTCTCTCTTACCCCCTTTTTTTTCCCTGCTCTGGGCACAATAGGGGGGGGTTTACGTGCGGCGGGATGTGTTGCTTTTTTCTTCTGCTTTCCGCTTTCCGCATTTTGCTTTTAGCATTTTGCTTTTAGCATTTTGCGTTTCTCGCGAGTTCGCTATTTGGTAATCATTACGGTAAGATAACATGATAGGTTATTGTGTACGTATATGTATTTAGGTCAATGCTCTATATATATGCGATAAGTGCGCTTTCCTTCTTCACAGCTTGTTGTGGTGGCGGGTGGCCAGCTCGATGTACCTGTCGGTGGACAGGGACTTGGGCCTCTCGATGGGCGCACCCAGCGCGCGGTCGGTGATGAGCTGTGCCATGACCCCGAAGCACCGCGAGATGCCGAACAACACTGTGTAGAAGCTGGGCTGGTCTAGTCCGTAGTGCGTGAGCAGGACCCCGGAGTGCGCGTCTACGTTAGGGTATGGGTTGCGCGTCTTGCCGTGCTCCTTGAGCACCTGCGGGGCCACCTCGTAGACCGTCGAGACCAGCTGGTACAGCTCGTCCCCCGGGAACCGCGTGCGCCCGAACTCGCGCTGTGCCAGGAACCTGGGGTCCGTCTTCCTGAGCACAGCGTGGCCGTACCCAGGGACTACCTTCCCGGAGTTTAGTGTTCTCCACAGGTACTGGCGGATGGCCTCGCGGTCCGTCACGGTCTTGCCCTCGCGCACCAGCTCGCCCTTCAACACCAGCAGCCACTCCAGCACTTCCTGGTTCGCGCGGCCGTGCAGGGGACCCGCAAGCCCGTCCAGGCCGGCGGCGAAGCTCAGGTAAGGCGACGACAGCGCGCTGCCCACCAGGTGCGTCGTATGTGCGCTGACGTTGCCGCCCTCGTGGTCCGCGTGGATGGTCAGGTACAGCCTCATCAGGTTGTGGAAGTCCTCCGTCTCCCCGTCGGGCTGCACCCCGAGCGCCCGGCACAGGTTCTCACTGTAGTCCGCCTGCGGGTCCAGCACGAACGCACCTTGCGTGCCTTGCCCTTGGGCGCCTTGCGCACCGCCAAACACATTGTGGTAGATGCGCCCAGCGATCGCAGGCAGCTTCGCAATAAGGTTCAGCGCGTCCTCGTAGGTGTGCTCCCACAGCTCCCCGCGCGGAACACCAGCCAGGTACGCCCGCGCAAAGTGCGACTCCCCTTCCAGGGCAGTAACCGCTATACTCAGCTGCGCCATAGGGTGCAGGTCACGTGGAAGAGTGTCCAGCAGCGTCTCCACATGCCCCGGTAGCTCCCCGCGCGCTGCCAGCTCGCGCGACAGCTGCGCCACCTGGTCCTCGTTGGGGATCTGGCCCGTGAGCAACAGCCAGAACAGCGCCTCGGGCTGCGGCTCCCGCTCACCTGCCACTCCCAGCGACACACGTACCTCGTCGATAGTGAGGCCTCTAAACTTGATGCCTTCTTCAGGGTCCAGCACGGAGCCCTCCCACACAAGGCCCGTGACACCGCGCATACCGCCAAGCGCCTGCTCGACGGTCACCTCGCCGATCACCGTGCTGCCAAACTCGCTCTTGAACCGCTTGAGTCGCTCGGCCTGCGCTGGCAGGTTGCGGGCATAGGCTTCCTTGAGCGAGACGCTCTCCCATTGATGTGATAAATTGGGCATTTGCTATATCTTGTTTTTTTACTTGCTGTATTTGTATTTGTAGTTGTAGTTGTAGTTGTAGTTGTAGTTGTACTTGTGTGCCAAAAATCAAGAATGAACAAGAGCTGGTATTACTGCTTATATAGGTTCTCTGGCCTGGTAACATTCCAGAAACAATAAATCTATCAAAAAAAAAATACAGTGCTTTCACAAGTGAAATATTTGAGGTAATTTCCAATGTTCATGACCTTCTTGAACCTGTGATCACTCGGTGTCACACTCGATAATCAACAAAAAGCCCCCCCACCAGCGCTACCGCTGTCCCAGTCATGTCATTCCCAGCCCATCCCAAGAACACTCATTGTCCTCACTTTTTATTAAGCTTTATTTAGAGCCCCCCACGACGGTTTCTACGGGACCTGGGCCTGGAAAAATTCACCGGGAATTTTTTGGTGGAAAAAGGTCATGACAAGTCTTGCTAAAAGAAGACAAACGAGTCAAGGCTGGGATACCGAATGATGCCATCCCACTTACGAATGCCACAATGTCCATTTCTGACTGGATACAAGAACCCATCAAAAAACAAACAAACTCGGAGTTGCTAAACCTCTGGGACAATGGACGAATGGAAAGAATATGCCTATTTTCTCTTATATATATAAAAAAAAAACTGCTGATTCTAAAATACTATTACAACTTTTTGTTTAAATATCACCCTACATGGGCACGTATGCCCCAATGCCCCTATTTCATTGCAGGGCAGATACACGATTAATCGGGGTTTCGTCTCTGCAACTTGGCTTGAAGCAACACTTCATCCTCCGGTTTCCTTTTCTCCTGTAAGGCGGGGTACCTGTGCTGAAGATCAACAACATTCTCCTTGTTGGTGATCCCCAGTGGTATCTTCTCAAGCCTATGCAGCTCTTCGTCGGGAACTTCAGCCTTGCCCCGGGACAACTGCGGGTCATTCAGCACTTTGTCCATTATCACTTTCAAGTTGCCTTCTACTTTGTTTACGCTGCCTATTGATGTAGTAGCTGTCTCTGTAGAGTGCTCCTTGAATAAAGACAACGACTTGTTTTTCTGCTTGATCCTGGTTATTTGCTGTCTGATTACGTCATTGCCTTGGATCATCTCCTCGATGGATTGCCTGTTCCTGGTCCGCGACTGGATAGAAGATATAGTTGCGCCAATATTGTCACGGGAACTGGACACCACGTCCCTGATCTCTACAAGGTTAGAGCCCAACGCCTGGTGGAAGCTGTGGTTAACAGAATCACATTGATTGATAAGTGCTGAGGATTTCTCCCATTTGGCCCGTTGCTCCCCAAACATTTGTAATTCATTATTAATAACCTCGTCAGTGACCCCCAGTATATTCTCCAACATATGCCTCTTGTTCTCTTGAATGTGCTTGTCCAGCATCATCGTGAAGTTCTGCATCAGTTGTGCCGAGTTCTCTTCTAGTTGCGCATACGTGTTTTGAACATGGTGCGACAGCAGCTCTTCATGATTGTTCTTGAAGAAGTTGTTAGTCAAGTATTGCTTCAAGTTGTTGTACTCTTCACTTACATCTGATAACGTCTCTGCAATCTTAGAGTGGTTCTCCTCAGCTAGCTTACTGATATTGTCCAGCCGCCCTGACACACTCTCAAACAGTCTCGGCGTTTCTTTCAGCATCATCTTGACGCATTCCCCGTATGACTTACTAGCTTCTTCCTCAGCAGCTTTGATAACTTTGACAACTTCTTTCTCGAGCCGCATTAGATTACCGCTGATTTCTGTATCCTTCAAGTCACCGTTATTCTGCAGGTATTCGATATGCTTCTTCAGAGTGTCTCGAATATTGGAAATTTCATCGCTGATAAAGGTAGAGATACTTTGCTGTAGTTCCTGTTGCTTAAATTCAAATAAATGTATCGTTTTCTTCATTTCTTCGTTAGCACCTTGAACATCCTTCAACAAACTTCTAATATTCGTCTCCTTTGTGATCTGCTCTTTCAAACTAGATTGCAATGTCACCACATTATCCTTTAAACTTGCAATATTAGCTTTATAACAGGCATTATCATCCTTCAAGGATAGCCTCTCTTGTTGTAACATCGCGTTTTGTGCAGTTAGCGACTCAATTGCTCTTTTACTCTCTTCAAGTTCGGTTTTATAACACTCAATATCGTAGTGCAGATCCTTATAATGCTCGTGACTCATGTATACACCTTCTTTGGATTTAGTGGATAACAAATCTGACTTGATCTTTGCCAACTCAGAAGTGATGGATCGTACCAGGATGTCTTTCATTATGAATGCACCCAGTTGGGGTTTATTTTTGATATTTTTGGCCTTCGATGCATACTCTAATGTACTACAAGTCTCTTCAGATGTCATTTTTGCAGGAGATATAGTGGCAATTAATGCTGTTTTGGTATTCCCTCCCAGGGAGTCCTGCAGCAGTCTTGTCAGCTTAGACTCTCTAAATGGAATATGCTCACTTTTATCCGCCAGTGAATTTATCACTCTTCCTAATGTTAGTAAACTCTGGTTTATCGAGCCCGCCTCTTTGGCTCTTTGATTCATTGCACCAGACCTACTTATATTCTCTGAACCAGCCAGATCAACTAAATTCATCTTGGATACCCTAAATAGTTCCCCATTCTGTTCTTTATAAAGTGTAATGGTAAAAATAGAATGTGATCGACTCGAGAAGTCGTTCATTTTAGTGGAAGCTACTTGCCTTTGCTTTAAACCCTTTTGAAGTAATTGTAGACCTTCCATAGCAGAAGTGATATGAAATTCTTCTAGATTCTGAATGTAGATACTAGCGGACTGATCAATGGGTGACTGCTGTTGATTAGTATTATTGGAATTATTATTAGGAATATGAACGTTTTGATGATTGTTTGAAGCATGAGCTCTAGTGGACTCTTGAGAGGTTTGCTTGAACCTACTGAACTTATTATGGTTATTATTGGATATTTTGCTATTTCCGGTAGTGTTGTGGCGACCCAGTTTCCTTCGCAGCATCTGCGCTCTGGAATTATCAGGAGCTGATCTTGGGGAGTTATTTCTCGAGCTCGATCGGCTACTTGAACCACTTGCTGAAGTACCGTTCACGTTAGAATCAAATATCCTAAGTTTTTTATTATCAGAATTCGTGGCAGTATTCGTGGAGTCTAATAAGTCTTTCAGTTCCTCGTTATATAATTCCACAAAAGAGCATTTAACTAGGTAATCATCCTTATTAGCTTCCAGTGTGTCAAAAAGTTCAAACAATACCCTGGGTATTATACCTGCTGCATCACCTAGCTCTCCGTTATGTAATTTTTCATCACCAGTCATTGTGTATGTTTTACCTGTTGATGTCATACCATAAACCAGTATAGTACAGTTATAACCCTTAATAAAGTCCTGAAATAACGGTTCTGCAATCTCTTCATATACCAATTTCTGAGAGGCGCTGGGACCAAATACTTTATCCACTGTATAGGTCTTAGAGTTCATCTTTGCTGCAATTCCAACATCATCGGTAGTATTTATCGAAACTTCATTAGTTACTCCATTGTCCGGCACGTCAACGACCACCGAGCTCTTTGCCTTAATCTCACGCTCATTTCTGCCTCTACATCTGACAGCCACAAGTATATTAAGCTCCTCAGTGGCCAATTTCTCTACCAAGGGCTCCTGTACTGGCTCCGCATCGCGCTCACTCCGGGACGTTACGGCTTCAGTGGTTACCACCATTGTGTCCGCAGTACTGGATATTATTGTATGTTTGCCAAGATAGAGCGTCTCAATTTCTTTTCAGTCCAGCAGCTTATAAATATCTCCTAAATACCTGGGGTCTTCTCTATCAAATCAAAAACTTTTTCGTGTCACCCGTCTCCAAATTCAAAATATTACCAAAAATGGGAGCAAAATCTCGCAAAAAAGCAGCTCTCCGTCCTAGATACTAATATAATGCAACACTGCCAACGCCGATACAATAGATACACGATTGATCTGCCTAAATTTGCGCCACAGATCCACTATTTGTGTTTTGATCTCGAAACTCTTTTTACCGCTTTGTTTACATTTTTTTTCACTTAATGATTTGGGATCTCCAGAGCTACAAAAACAAAGATATCACTGAAAACGACAGCTTAAACTACAAAAGCTCCAGATGGGCAGCGATGAGCTTTGAGTATAATACATAGTCACCGAGGCAGTCGATTGAGTTTTATAACCATTTTTTTTTATAGATTCGTATAACTAAAAAAGTATATTTATTTTGATTTTCTCTAATTATATAAAAATATCCGTAGAGTGGCTGTCACAAAGAAGCCCTTTATCTTTTCATCTATGCATGCTGTGTGGCTCTTAGAGAGGGAGAGATTCAGCTCCCAGTGGCTTCTTGAAGCGACTCGACATCCGCGACAACACAGTTGTTCATACCGGAAGTAATCAATTCAAGAAGAGTGTAGGAGTGCAAAATAACAAAGAATGATGAGGGGTATGAGCTAGCCCTGGATTACAAATTGGGAATCGGTAAACAAAATAATAGAACAGAACAAAAAGAGTAGAAGTAAAAAAGTAAAATAAAAAAAAATATCACCAATGGGGAAAGACCCTTTCACGAGAAGAGTTAACAAATGAGAAAGGCATGAGGATATTGATCTCGACTTAGATGATGTTCATCTTGTCCAAGAGGTTTCTGACTTGTCCGAATAGAGAGTCTGTAGCAGCATGACGGTCACCGACCATCTTGGCTAGGGAATCCAGCCCTAGTTCTGCAGCAATTCTCTGCTCTGGATGTTCAGCAGACTGTTCGTCAGCAGATGTGCTGTTCCAAAAAACACCTAGATCACCGCCTGCACCGTTGTAGATCAATAGGTTTGGTGAATCTGGGTCTGGCAAGTCTGTCAAAACATTCTTTGTACTGTAGGCGATCAACTTCTTCTTAAGTTGTGCTGGGGTAACTCCGTGCTTTGAGGCGTCGTAGAATTCTGAGTCGGAATCAGGTTGCAAAGACAGGAAGTAAGTTAGCAAACCAGCAACATGTGGAGATGCCATGGAAGTACCAGACAAAGAAGCAGTTTCTCTGTTGGTATCACCGATGTAAGTAGACAAGATGTTCAAACCTGGAGCGAAGATGTCGACACATTTACCCCAGTTGGAGAAGTAAGCTCTGTCATCGCTCAATGTCGAAGCACCGACAGTGATTGCCTTTTCAGCGGAAGCTGGAGATGTGTTACAAGCATCCTGGTTTTCGTTACCGGCAGCGACAGCAAAGTGGATACCAGCAGAGACTGCGGCATTAACGGCCATGTCCAGAGCTGGGGACTTACCACCACCTAGAGACATGTTAGCAGTAGAACCCTTGAACTTCTTGTTGTTCTTAGATTCTTTCAAGTGGGCTTGAGCAGCGTACTCCACACCCTTGATGACATCGGACATGGTACCGGAGCCATCTGATTTCAATACCTTCACGGCAACGACGTTGGCCTTCTTGGCGATACCGTAGTGTTTGGAAGCGATGGTACCAGCACAGTGGGTACCGTGACCATTACCATCGATGTCTAGGTCGTTTAGCGGGATGGTCTTACCCCATTGTGCTCTTCCATCGAACTCGACGTGCTTGACGTTGATACCGGTATCGATGACGTACGCGGTAACACCTTCACCGCCGGCGTTGTCGTACAGGTACTTGTTAAAGTTACCCAAGTTCAAGCGATCTCTGTGGGAGATACGTGCCAGACCCCAAGGGGCGTTGTTCTGGGTGTCGAAGTTGGAGGCGTGCACCACGGAGTCTCTCTCAACAAACTCCACGATATCGCTCTTCTCCAGCAACTTCACCACTGGCTCAGGGAAGTAGCCGATCAGACCTTGGAACAAGTCGTTGATGTTGAACAGGTCCTTGATACCGCCCCTTGGCAGACCCTCGGCGTTAACGAAGTTGAAGAAGTCATGCTCCTTAGGCAAGTCCCTGATGGCAGCAGCGTGCGCGGCAGACACATCGTTCAGGAATGTAGCAACCGCCTCCGGAGAGACGCCTTTCTTCAACACAACAATATACTTGTGAGGCACCATGGTGCTACGGGTGGCAACCCTTCTCCGACAAACACACCGTCTTTCTTCTCCTGGTGCTTCTTGTGGTTATGCTTGTGAGGTGGGTGTGGCTCATGAGGCTTGTGTGGTGGGTGAGGCTTGTGCGGATGGTGGGGTGGGTGTGGTGGCTTGTCCACCACACTCATCTCCTTCTTACCGTGGCAGTTCCTGCGCGCCTCAGGGATAACACCCGCAGTAACAACCGCAGCCACTACACCAGCGGCCACAACCTTGTCAATCTTCATGCTTTTCTTACTCTTTTTTAAAATATATACGGCTTAATTTCTCAACTAAGCGCTGTACCCCTCCCTTCCATCAAAGAGACAGGTTAGAACAAGATCCTCCCCCCAGCAGAGATGGCGCCTATTTATACTGCCACCCCCCCATCCTACCAGCCCCCCCTTCAAAGAGATAAGAAGTCACAGTTTACGAGGTACCCTCCCTGCGCAGTTTCTCTCAAAAGACGCCCAAAATAGAGGTGCAGCCACACATAGTGTATGAAGTGCACTGACATATTGCATTATACTATACATCATACTTACATAGACTTGTATACTGTTATTGGTAGTGCTATATATTGGTGTGCTCTGTGGTCACTTCGATGGCTCTGTCTGCGCACTGTTTGAAGAGTCTTGTGAAGGGGATGCACACGAACATGTCCTTGTGCACTCCCTGGCCTTGCGTATTCGGAGCACAGTGGTACTGTGTCAGCGACTTCAAAGGACAGTCGCGGCTGGCCTCCGCAGGTATACCGTCTATCACAGGTGTAGGTGGTGCCATCCCTATGTAGTCTTGTCCTCTGGGATGTTTTGGGTTTCTTAAAATTTAAGAAAAAACTTTGTACTTTTGAATTTATAAGTGTTGAAAACAGCTAAAGGGACGACACAACTGCCTCCCCTCACCAACCCCGATAATGTCCTTGCAACTGTACAACAAGAACTGTATCACCAGAGACCAGCACTACACCTATGGTACCGCTGGTTTCAGAGCTGACGCTCGCATCCTGGACTCCGTGATGTTCACAACGGGTGTCATCGCTGCCCTGAGGTCCATCTCTTGCCAGTGCGCGCCGGTGGGTGTCATGATCACTGCTTCCCACAACCCGCCTAGGGATAACGGTGTCAAGATCGTGGAGTCCGACGGGTCCATGCTCTTGCAGGACTGGGAACCGCTGGCCACCAGGCTCGCGAACAGCGTCGCCGACTACCACACCTTCGAGTCCACTTTGAACGCGATCATGCAGGAGCTGAACATCTCCCCTGGCCACGCACCACAGATAGTGGTCGGCCACGACTCCCGTGAGTCCTCCCCGAGACTGCTGGCAAACTTGCTCGACGGTATCAAGGCGGTGTCCCCAGATGCGCGGATCACCAACCATGGCCTGCTGACCACGCCGCAGCTGCACTTCCTCACCGCGAACCCGGCACACTTCGAGGACTACTACTACCGCTACTTCCTAGACGCCTGGAACCAGCTGTTCGAGCTGTACGGAATCGAGGGCTTCAAGTCCTTCGACAAACTCGTCATCGACACGGCCAACGGTATAGGTGGACCGCAGTTCCTGAAGATGCTCTCTTACTCGCAGACAGACTTGCCACACTTGCAGAAGATAAGGCTGCACCAGATTGACATCACCAACAACAGCTGGCTCAACCCTTCGATGCTGAACAGCGGATGCGGCGCTGACTTCGTCAAGACCAACCAGAGACTGCCTGAGGGTATCAACGCCGACCCGCGCAACCTGTACTGCTCCTTCGACGGTGACGCCGACAGAGTGGTGTTCTACTACGTCGACGACTCCCTCACTTTCCATTTGCTCGACGGTGACAAGATATCCACGCTGCTGGCCTACTTCATCAACGCATTGCTGAAAGAGGCTGGCCTGGCCGAGGAGCTGAAACTGGGCGTTGTGCAAACAGCCTACGCTAACGGCTCCTCCACCACATACGTAACCAAGAAGCTGCAGGTCCCCGTCTCTATCGCAAAAACCGGTGTTAAACACTTACACCACGAAGCTGTCACCAACTATGACATCGGTGTGTATTTCGAGGCCAACGGTCACGGCACAGTTATATTCTCCCAACACTTCTACGAAGTGATCGAGGACCGTCTCGCCAAGAACGCACACGACAAGAGCACCCTGACATTGAGACTGCTGTCCAGATTGATCAACCAAACTATCGGAGACGCTATCAGCGACATGCTGGCCATCATCACCGTGCTAGGCATCCTGGGCTGGTCTCCAGCTACTTGGGACCACGAATATACTGATCTGCCAAACAAGTTGACCAAAGTGGTTGTACCAGACAGATCCATCTTCATCACAACTGATCAAGAGAGAAGATTGGTGTCACCAGCTGGGCTACAGGACAAGATCGACATGCTAGTCGCAGATGCTCCCTGTGGTAGATCGTTCATCAGAGCTAGTGGTACCGAAGATGCTGTTAGAGTCTACGCAGAAGCTCAGACCGTGGAGGCCACAGAAAAGCTTTCTACAGAAGTGACAGATGCCCTTATAGAGACTGTCAAAGAGTAGTTGTACTTAGCTGATCTGAGATATATACGCTTTATTATATGCTATTTAACTTATTAACAGCCACGATCCATAACCAGAGTCGCGTTTCCTCATCACGCGAAACAACTAAATAATGATAAAATAAAATCAAAGATGCAATGCCTCTAATGACAGTTACAAATGAGATATTTGGTCCGGAACTGGCTTTATAAACAGTAAAGCTACACCACATATAGTCAATTCACCAACAAATTATGAGTGTACAATTGGATCCCTCAGCGTTGCAGAAGATGGCCGAGGTTGCCGCTGCTGCAGAGCAACAAAGCAATGAGCCAATGACCGTTGATGAAGAGTATGAGCTATGGAAGAGTAACGTACCAATGCTGTATGATTTTGTAAGCGAAACTAGATTAACATGGCCTACTTTAACGGTGGAGTGGTTACCACAGAAGAACCTGGTTGCTGCTCGAACAAGACAACAATTGATTCTCGGAACACATACATCTGGAGAAGAGCAAAATTACCTGAAGATTGGGGCTGTTGATCTACCAGTGGAAGTTACAGAAAACTCCAAAAAGGACAGAGAAATTGATGAAGAGGATGAGGACATGGTTCTTTCCAATGTGAAGATTGTTAAGAAGTTCCCGCATGATGGCGAAATTACGAGAGCACGCTATATGCCTCAAGATGATAACATAATTGCTACTATTAATGGTGAGGGAAAGATTTTTATATATGATAGATCAAAAAACGGTGTGGAAGCTTTACTCTCAACTTTGGAGTACCATACTGAGAATGGTTATGGTCTAGCCTTCAATGCGAACGAGAAGTATTCACTCTTGAGTGGCTCTGATGACAGCAATATCGCTTTATGGGACATTAGTAACTTTGAAAAGAATATAAAACCTACCATCACCTTTGAAGATGCGCATACCGACATTATTAATGACGTTAAGTGGCATAGTTCTGAGGCACATATTTTTGGCTCTGTTTCCGAAGATTCGACCATGAAACTTTTCGACAAGAGATCCTCCCAGATAATACACAACATAAATACAAAGAAACCATACAATACCTTGGCTTTTAGTCCCTTTTCATCAAACTTATTTGCAGCAGCAGGAACTGATAACCTAGTATATCTATATGACATAAGAGATGTATCTAATCCTCTTTATGCTATGACCGGCCACGAAGATGCAGTTACCGCCATTGAGTTCGATCCAAACAATGATGGAATTCTTTACTCATCTGGCTCTGATAGAAGAACTATAGTATGGGATTTACAAGAAATAGGTGCCGAACAAACTCAAGACGAAATAGAAGATGGCCCTCCAGAAGTATTGATGATACATGCAGGACATAAAACTTCCATAAATGATATAGCCGTGAATCCAAACATTAATTGGCTCGTAGCGAGCGCTGAAGAGGACAATATCGTACAGATATGGAAATGTTCAAGCAACATTCCACGTATTGGTGGCGAACCAGAGGTAGATTTGAGCATTCTTGACTGAGACATTAATGTACATATTTTTATATAAGCATTTGATTAAAAATATTACTCATATTAATAATTATTCAATAGAGCCATATTATTTACAAAAAATGCTAGTTAGTTTTAGGCCCTTGTTTTTTCGATGCTAACCAATTAACGAAATCAAGGAATATGGAATGAGGGAACTTTGTATCTTTCAGCCACTCTTTTATTGTGGTTGAATACGTATCAACCAAAGTTTCATAAACACCTTGTTGATAATCTGCATTATCCACTAGTATCTTACTAAAATAAAGTGATGTACTAGAACAGACACTGTAATAAAGTATAGGAAATTGACCAGGCTTGGCAAACAAAAAGTCTTGGTGAATTCTTTGAAAATCTTCAACTACATCAGCTGTATCCAGCTTGATTCCTGTAACTCTAATCTTAAACAATCTCGTCTTCAATAGCTTAGCTAACTTTTCTGCTAAGGATTTATCCAGTGTTTGCTTGATACATTTGATCATAGGTATAGCAAATGTTAATAAGCAGTTCAATTTGTCTGCCTTAGAGTTTTCATCGACATCCTCCCTTTGGATCATTTTCTCAACATGCTTGATGTATACTAAAAGCAAGTCTACTATTCTATGCTTAAACGCAATAACACTTTCTCTGGATTCCTTTACTTCATTTTTTCTCTTATTACCAGTTGGTATGTTCGATAAGGCTTCTTTTCTACGTTTAAATATTTCAGATAATTGGTCATCAAGGTCCATCATTTGTTCGTCATCCATGGACTCATCATCTTCATCATCTTCATCGTCATCTGATTGCATCTCCAGCTTTTCAATATCGACTTCTCCATTAGCATTAATAATATCAGCAGGTAAATCCAGAGCTTTAGCCAATGCACTGGTTGTTTCCTTATCAATGTTATTAACTGCATCATTATGATCCTCGACGCTATCACTACTAGTATCTTCATGAGAGTCTGAGTTATCTTCATCTTCCTCACTATCAGACTCCGAGTTAGAGCTAGAATCATCGGTTACCTCTTTGATTTGTTCCTCATCTTCAAGCTGTTCGTCATCTTCATCTTCCTCATACTCATCTATACCTTCGAATAACTGAGCAAATCCTTGCTTGTTTTCTCTTGCCAACAAAATGTCCAACAGAAGATTTAGTTCATCTTGAGAGACATAAGGCACAACTTGCTCCCAAACAGCAATACTTGCCTTCTTCAGCAATGCTTTTTTCTGAGCTAGCAACGAAAGTAGAATTTCAGTTATTGAAGAAAGTGGCCTTTCATCATCTGAGATTAGTTTTTCATATATATCCTTAAGTTCTTGTAAAGTACCAACTGATTCACTATCACCTGTGTAAAGCTGTAATAAACAAGTTGCAAACAAAGAACCCAACCCCCTCAAATAGGGCTTGTCTGTAGCTTTTGCTATTTCGGCAAGAATTCTCAAAGCAGAAGATTCAGTCTCTCTCAATTCATCGTCTAGTTCAGAGGTCATCTTTTCACCTCCCTCAATATGCTGTTGAACTAGCTTGATAACCACATACTGTGGAATTTCTTGACTTTCCGATAAATGCAAAGAGTTTAGCTCAGAAAGTATAGAGAACAATCTTTCCTTAGACATTTCTTGTAGAGTTTCGTTATCACCAGTAAAGAATGCAAGCTTAACAATTTGTGGTAGTACCTTTTCGGTGAGCAGTAAGGAATCAACCTCAGCCTTTTGATTACGAACTAAATGCAACATGCTGTCTAAAATAAATTGACTAAATGATTTCTCTTCTGATTTGATTGATAGCTGACGGCTTAAAATGTCAAATAGCTTAGACAGGACTTCATATCTTACTGATTTTATACCTAGTAATCTGCTCAGAAGTTTGGTCTTTGATAGTCTGTCAAAAGTTATTGATCCACTTTTTCCAAAAGCAAGTGTTTCAAATACTGGTAAAATCTTGGTGGTATCATTTTCACAACTTTCAACTATAATTTCAACAGTTTGTAAAGCAATTTTGTTCAAATGCCTTTTTTTCTCACTGCACTGATTGATTAAGGACCTTATGAAATTTTGGCCCAAAGAGTCCACAACGTCTTCATACGACTTTAGCATCGGGAATGCCCTTTGAAATATCAAGAAGCCAAGGTATTTTCGCTCACTCGATGCCTTGTCATTAAAGTAAGTCTCATCAACAACCATTTGCCAGAATTCATGAAATTTGATGGATGCTATGGTATTGTTCTTTTTTCTCTTTTTGCTAACATGTTTGTCTTCTACATTTAATGAGTGACTACCATTAATAATAGTTGAAAGAAGTTTCTCCCAAACAAAATGTAGTCTAGGGTTCCAGTTTGCACCACCCTTTTGTTTTCTTTGCTCATTATCTTCTGCAAAGGCCACACCATCATTATCTAACAATACCTTAGTTAGTGATGGCAAGTTACCCTTTGCCAATGGGTCATTAGATTTCCAGCCTTGATTCTGCAGTTTTATTTCAGCGATCTCAGCGCGAGAAATTTTATTTGATTCATCGACCAGTAGCAGATAAATAGCTAATCCTTCATTTGTCATTGTCAAATTGTTTTCATCTAGTTGAGAAATTAAATTAGTGATATCCGACTTACTAACTTTAGAAATTAGCTTTTCCAAAGTTTGATACAAACTGAACAGAGCTGGTTCTCTGATCCAATTCTTGCACTTACTTAAATTAATCATTTCTTGAACAAATACAGGAACAAAGTTAGAGATCCCATCCTTGGTCACAAATACATTTGAAAACAGTGGTTCGTTTAGAAGTGCTTGCAAACCAAATAACTTTCCAAAGAGGATACCTCTCTCATCTTTGCCTTTTCTTTTCTTACCTTCATCGAAATCGGCACCTAGCGTTTCATTTAGGATTTTTAGATAGTTTTCAATGCTATTCAAGCCTTCTGGAGCTTTGTCACCTAACGACAACGCTAGATTTAGTGCTTCGCTAAGACACATAGAAAACCCTAGTCTAGCACTGTTTCTGCTAGACCCAAGACCTTTAACCAATCTATTGATGGTATAATTCCATTCCTCAATTTCCTGTGGAACTTCAAGAGCACTTAGATCCTTAATAACACCCACTGCGGCTTGTAACCGCTCCTCCGGAAGATCCGACGCCAGCTTATAGAAGTGATCTCTATTAACTTTAGCCATTACCTGGAGAATCACTGAAAAATTCTTATATCTGAGTTGCTGAGCTCCACTTGTTTCAAAGACAAATTCAACAATTTTAACAGTACTATTATCCCCCCAACTCAAAAAATAGTAACTATTATTCAACCTGCAGTTCCTCACATCTATTACGCGATGAGCTCTCCCAATTCAATTCCCACTATTTTCATTTTTTCCACTCTGCTGTACAGACTTTGACCTGTGAAAAGTTTCATATTCCGGGTAACTACAGTTGTAACAGCATAGAATAGTTAAAATAAGAGATATTATGCAATAGCTGAATACATTATTTACCGACTACGGTGTTCAGGTTAACAGTTTAGTTAATATTGCTGCTAATTCCTATTTGAGTAGTCTGAAATATTACAAAGACAAAACTTCTCGTAACATTATCTGATAGTAATAAAACAACATTAATAAGATTATATGTTTTGTAGTAGTGCTAGGGAGGTGTTCATACTTGGTGGGAAACCGTTACTTAATGGCATGTGAATATCTGAATAAACTCTAAAAGGAAACTAAATAATTTGACGTTAAAAAGAGTTGTTGAGAGGGAGATCAGCAAATATTAGAAAAAGAAAAACCACACTGGTCGCTAATTTTGGTTCAGTATTTGTTGTACACCTTTCCAAGATTTTGCCAGATACAGAGAATTATTGTGATCCTTATTCAAGCATTTAATAAACAGTAACGAGCTGTCGGTTGTAAAAGAGTCTAGAAGTTGCTTGTCAACTCCCAATACATCCTCGGCAAGCTTTTTAAACTTCGATGCATTCTCTTCTGGGTCTACAAGTAATATTCCGTTGATACTATGGTGTAAGATTGCTAATATGTCGGTTTCACTGTCACCAATGTACCATAGACTCAGATGGTCTTGCTCACCGGCCCTCTTGTTAATTATTTCTTGAAGCTTTACGATCTTGTCTGAACCACAGAGCACCTCGTTCTCAAACTCACCAGTATAAGTGGCATCTTCATCAGAGAGCAGTCTATTGCATATGATGTTCTCCTTTGGGATCTTACCTGTACCGATGCATGCGTCTATGAATTCTGGTGACCAATTTACGGACAGTATGTAGAAATCTCGTGGGTCCTGGACTGCATTATCTATGCAATCCAATACACCTTCACGCAGGACACATTCGTCCTTCTTCAACTTGGTACCCACGTAGTCATGCACATGCTGGTGTGTGACCCCGCTGAAGATCTTCTGTTTAGCCATTTCGACTGTGCTCGAGAGTTCTATGACCCGGTTGTTACGCTGGTACTCTATCTCATCCTTGAACAAGCTGCTGTAGTTTCCTCCGTGGATGCCTTGATCCCTGACGTGTGAGCTCAACAAAGGGAGCCGCCTCAAATCCTGATTCTTGCTGTGGTATTTCTTCCAGCAATCGTAGTAATTACTGCTGAAGTGATCCCAACTAGGTGTCAGGCCGGGTTTAATGTGGTATGGTATCTTGCCCAGCACAGTGATGGTGTCCTTCCTCGTAATAGTCTCGTCGAAATCGGATATAATAACTTTTCTCATCATTTAGTTCTCATAAGATGGTACTATGCTGTGCGACATTGGGATGTGTAATGCACAAATGTATTATTGTGCTGGCATTTTTCTTTGCATTTTTATTTAATAATAAATCAGTCATGTAAGAATCTACTGGCAAGCTATGTAATAAATGTTGACACACTTCTATATCGGCAAGCATTAGAGGCAAATATGCAAGCCAACTCAAACCGGTGCAGGTTAATCTGTTTTCTTTTTTAATTAAAAGGTCTATTTAAGTAAAATAGAGTTCAATGTTAGGATGACAGTATATTAGAAGGGGGGCACCGCTACCGGTTGCAAAAGCAATTGGTATCAAGCCCGGTAATAGAGCCACTCTAAACATAAGAAAAGGTTTATATTTTGAATGTACTTCCTCTATGCAAGGGGGGAAAAGTAATAGATTAATATTTCTAAGATGTGCTAATTAAATAGGTTTGACTGTAGCTTGACGCAAAAGAAAAAATTTTTCTCTCCTCCGATGGGAATGGACAAGATGATCAGGGTTGCAAGAGTGAAGGTGTCACCCACCAGAAATAAGAAATGTCACCATGCAGTGTCTATGACGAGAGCTTGTGTGGTAGTGCAAAAGGTTAATAGCTCAAGAAGTGGAACGGATCCACTTTAGGGAAAGTAATCTGTTGCATTACCTGGGCATTCTGGACTTTCCTCAATCTTTAAATTGAAGTGTAGTACTTTCTAAGCTTAAAAAGAACATAACTGATGTGATAGACTGGGGGAGGCCATTTTTTGGGCTGTCCGATTAAATGTGGGAGTGACGGAGCGTTGCTTTGTAGGTTAATACGTCATTCATCATCCGGGTGTTATATGTGGATGTGGATGTAGATGTGGATGTGGATGTGGATTATCGATTGTTGTACGGGTATCTTTGTGATCCTGAGGGAATCCATATGCTTGTTATGGGGGAGGAGGATGTAGGACCAGAACCAATCTCTGATACTCAATTTTTTTCTTTGGGAAAGACTGTTTCCAGCAGTGAAAAATTTATGTGAACAAGTGAGATGTTGTGGATGATGGGATGACGGATGTTGATTGTGAGTGACAACATTGCAGGGCTTGTTCCCAAGTTACTTGATCTCTTATTATCGAGGAAATCGAAAATTTGGGATTGGGGGTAAATAGATTAGATAGACTCTGTAGAAGAGAGGATAAGGCTCTAAAAAATCTTGCGACGGAAAGGCAATCTAAGCTAAGATCAAATAATATTAGGAATAATAATTAAACTAGAAATTTGGATAAGGGCTTATTTTTTTATTGAACTACAATTAAAAAAACTTATAAATTAAACCTTTGTTTTGCGGGTTTATTAATAACTAAGACTTCATTAGTTTCTGTTTTTTTGTTCCAGATAATAATGCAGAAATTTAAGGCTTTATTCAAGAAGAAAGTTACTGATTTGGAGTCAGGTGTTGATAATAGTAAGAGCAAGAAGGATACAATGATCGGAGCAGGTGACAGTACTATGGTAGCGCCAGCGGAGCCTACCAAGTGGGATCCGACGGTTAATTCACATGATCTTATTGGGTCGCTAGCTAAAGAGTTGACTGCTGTTGCTGATACCCCTATCCCTGTTGATATGGGCCATCTAGATAATGTGAAGGAGGAGCAGGTCGAAGGTACTAGCGAGTATACCGCTGAGTCGCACTCTTTTGACAACGGCTCTTTGGATCAAGGTTCGCAGCTGTCCTTCGATGGGGAGTACGATGTCGAAGAGGACTACGAAGAGGAGGACTCTGAGGAGATCGAAGAGCAGTTTACAAACACGCCGCTGAGGTTTGCTGAGCAGGTCGAACTGAAGGGTTACAAGTTGATAGAGAAGATAGGTGAGGGTGCTTTCTCTAAAGTGTTCTGTGGTATCCCCGACAAGAACAGCGATAGCGCCTACTTGGCACGTAACTACAAGCAAGTTGCTGTTAAAGTTATCAGCAAACATGATCTGGATGTTTCTAATAAGGAACAGCAGGCTAAGGACAAGAGGGCAGGTAGAGATAAGCAGAATAATACGAACAGGATGTCATCCCGTGAACAAGTAATGAAAGAAGTCAGGATACACAAAGCTGTTGCAGCAGGGTGTCCGTACATTGTCGGCTTTATAGATTTCCAAGAGACCAAGCATTATTACTATCTAATCCAGGAGCTGCTTGATGGTGGTGAGATATTTAATGAGATTGTCAGACTGACCTACCTGAGCGAGGATCTTTCTCGCCATGTTATAAAACAAGTTGCATTAGCGGTACGCCATATGCACTCATTGGGTATAGTGCACCGTGATATTAAACCCGAGAACTTATTGTTCAAGAGCATCGAATATATTCCTTCCAAGAAGCGCACTTTCAGAAAGAGCGACGACCCAGCCACCAAGGCCGATGAAGGTGTCTTCATTCCAACTATCGGCGGTGGTGGTATCGGTATAGTGAAGCTCGCGGATTTCGGGTTGTCCAAGCAGATATTCCAAAAGAACACTAAGACGCCATGTGGTACCATAGGGTACACTGCACCAGAAGTTGTCAAGGACGAGAAATACTCCATGCAAGTTGACATGTGGGGGATAGGTTGTGTGCTATATACCATGCTGTGTGGGTTCCCACCTTTCTACGACGAGAAGATAGACGTTCTAACCGAGAAGATAAGTCGTGGTGAGTATACATTTTTGGAGCCCTGGTGGGATGAGATAAGCCCTGGTGCCAAGCACTGTGTGAAGAAGCTGCTAGAGGTGGACCCTCGCAAGCGGTACACCATAGACGAGTTCCTGGCGGACCCATGGCTGAACACGTTCGACACGTTCGCCAAGCGCAAGAAGAAGCTAGAAGAGGAAGAGGCACAGCAGAGACGTATAATGAAGCGCAAGAGGCGGAAGAACGTCTTTGAGAGGGACCCCTCGTTGCTATACTCGCCTGCAGCTGTAGCAATGAGAGATGCCTTTGACATAAGTAATGCTGTACAAAGAGAAGAAGAGGACAAGAGGTTTTCCCCGGGACCAAGGAAACACAACCTAAGCGTACTGAACGAGTCCGACCTAGACGAGCCCTCCAACGAGATAGTCGACGGTCTGGACGAGCAAATGTTCCAGCTGAAACTAAACTCATCCACTATAATAAAGAGACGTAAGGACGACCACAAGTCCCCATTAGAGCAAGTAATCACATAAATTATACAGATCAAAAATTCTTTCCCTTTTTATCTTTTATCTTTTGTTTTATTGCTAATGATGTACTTATATAACATTCTTTACACTCGTATGTATTCTGAAGTTGCTATATATAATTAAAGGTCCACATAGACGTACCACCCACGTTTTGACACCGTGTAACATCCAACGTAGTTCTTTGCTTTTTTCAATTTCAAGAGCCTGTCTGGCAGCACTGTGTTACCCCAGAAGACAACGCACAGAGCAGTTCTGTTTTTCTTGCTTTTTCCGTCGCCTCTCTTCCTCTTTTCAGGCCACACGCGATTGCTTGGGGGTCTACGGTAGTCCCACGGTGTTCCTCTCCGAGGCAAAAAGGGGAAATATTTGCGTCTCTATTTATTTTCTTTCTTTTTTATTTTCATCTTGTCTCTCTCTGTACTCTCTGCTCTCTACTCTGTGCGGCATTCCACTCTGTCCGTGCAGAGGATGTAGCGATTTAGCAAATCTCGCACAGGCCAACAAACCGTGGTATTGGTGTTGAGCCTGTGCGCTCTTGCTCTCTACAATTCCATAACTGTGAAGTGTTCTTTCTTTTTTTCTCTTCTACTGCGACTTGGCTGTTTGTTTTCTAAGATGCCTCACAGAAATACCCGCACTTGAATTTCCACTCTACTGCTACGTGGAAGGTTACCGGGCGTAAGAGGCTACCAAAGAGCTGCCAGGCGAAGAGGGCCACTTTTTCACTATACTTTTTCTGAAATTCTATTGCTATAAGGACGATTTTCTATGTTAAAAGAAAATTTTTTTTTTCAAATTTCAATTTCAACTACAACTAGAACTAGAACTACAATAACAATAACAAGCTAAACAATATTCTAATCCATAACAAGTTCACAATACTTCCTAACAAACTGAAAAATTTTTTTTTGCTTTTTTTTTTGCTTTTTTTTTTTCAAAAATTTTCTTGCGATGGCCTATAATGTATTTTGAGTGAAAAAAATTTTTTTTCTTTCATATATATATATTATGTTTCTTGCTTTCAGATGTTTTCTCTTTCGTATATTAATTTACTTTTCATCTTCTCTCCTGAGCACAACAACTGAAAAGAGAGACATCTGACAAATGACTGACTCTGACCAATCTCTTAAAGTTCTAGAAGAGCTTTTCAAGAACCTTTCTGTGGCTACTGCTGACAACCGTGTCGAAGCTGCCCAAGAGGTTGCTTCTTTCTTGAACGGTAACATCATCGAACATGATATCCCAGAAAAGTTCTTTGAGGAGTTGGCTAAGGCTGTCAAGGACAAGAAGACTTCCGCTAACTTCTTGGAAGCCGTTGCCCACATCGCTAACGAAGCTAACTTGTCTCCATCCGTCGAGCCATTCGTCATCACTTTGGTCCCAGAAATCTGCGCCAAGGCCGGTGACAAGGACAAGGATGTCCAAGCTGTTGCTTCCAAGACTTTGGTCGCCATCTCCAAGGCCATCAACCCAGTCGCCATCAAGGCTTACTTGCCTCACTTGACCAAGTCCTTGGAAACCACCAACAAGTGGCAAGAAAAGGTCTCCGTCTTGGCCGCCATCTCCGCTCTTGTTGATGCCGCTAAGGAACAAGTCGCCCTAAGAATGCCTGAATTGATCCCAGTCTTGTCTGAAACCATGTGGGACACCAAGAAGGAAGTCAAGGAGGCTGCTACCGCCACCATGACCAAGGCCACCGAGACCGTCGACAACAAGGATATCGAGCGTTTCATCCCTCAATTGATCTCCTGTATCGCTGATCCAAAGCAAGTCCCAGAAACCGTCCACTTGCTAGGTGCCACCACTTTCGTCGCTGAAGTCACCCCAGCTACTTTGTCCATCATGGTCCCATTGTTGTCCAGAGGTCTAGCTGAAAGAGAAACCTCTATCAAGCGTAAGGCTGCCGTCATTATCGACAACATGTGTAAGTTGGTCGAAGACCCACAAGTCGTTGCTCCTTTCTTGGACAAGCTATTGCCAGGTTTGAAGAACAACTACGCCACCATTGCCGACCCAGAAGCTCGTGAAGTTACTTTGAGAGGTCTAAAGACCTTGAGAAGAGTCGGTAACGTTACCGAGGACGATGTCTTGCCAGAAATCTCCCACGCCGGTGACATCGAAACCACTCTAGGTGTCATCAACGAATTGTTGAAGGGCGAAAACGTCGCTCCAAGATTCAAGATTGTCGTTGAATACATCGCCGCTATGGCCGGTGACTTGATCGACGAAAGAGTCATTGACCAACAAGCTTGGTTCACTCACATCACTCCATACATGACCATCTTCATGCATGAAAGAAACGCCAAGGACGTCTTGGATGAATTCAGAAAGAGAGCCGTCGACAACATCCCAGTTGGTCCAAACTTCGACGACGAAGAAGACGAAGGTGAAGACCTATGTAACTGTGAGTTCTCCTTGGCTTACGGTGCTAAGATCTTGTTGAACAAGACCCAATTGAGACTAAAGAGAGGTAGAAGATACGGTCTATGTGGTCCAAACGGTGCTGGTAAGTCTACTTTGATGAGAGCCATCGCTAACGGTCAAGTCGACGGTTTCCCAACCCCAGAAGAATGTATGACTGTCTACGTCGAACACGACATTGACGGTACCCACGCTGACACTTCTGTCTTGGACTTCGTCGTCTCCTCTGAAGTCGGTACCAAGGAAGCTATCACCGCTAAGTTGGTTGAATTCGGTTTCACTGAAGAAATGATCAACATGCCAATCTCCTCCTTGTCCGGTGGTTGGAAGATGAAGTTGGCTCTAGCCAGAGCTGTCTTGAAGAACGCTGATATCCTATTGTTGGATGAACCAACTAACCATTTGGATACCGTCAACGTCGCTTGGTTGGTCAACTACCTAAACACCTGTGGTATCACCTCCGTCATTGTCTCCCACGACTCCGGTTTCTTGGACAATGTCTGTCAATACATTATCCACTACGAAGGTTTGAAGTTGAGAAAGTACAAGGGTAACTTGTCTGAATTCGTCAAGAAGTGCCCAACTGCTCAATCTTACTACGAACTAGGTGCCTCCGACTTGGAGTTCAAGTTCCCAGAACCAGGTTACCTAGAAGGTGTTAAGACCAAGCAAAAGGCTATTGTCAAGGTCTCCAACATGACCTTCCAATACCCAGGTACTTCCAAGCCACAAATCTCTGACATCTCCTTCCAATGTTCTTTGTCTTCAAGAATTGCTGTCATTGGTCCAAACGGTGCTGGTAAGTCTACCTTGATTAACGTCTTGACCGGTGAATTGCTACCAACCTCCGGTGAAGTCTACACTCACGAGAACTGTCGTATCGCTTACATTAAGCAACACGCTTTCGCTCACATCGAATCCCACTTGGACAAGACTCCATCTGAATATATCCAATGGAGATTCCAAACTGGTGAAGATAGAGAAACCATGGACAGAGCTAACAGACAAATCAACGAAAACGATGCTGAAGCTATGAACAAGATCTTCAAGATCGAAGGTACCCCAAGAAGAATTGCTGGTATCCACGCTAGAAGAAAGTTCAAGAACACCTACGAGTACGAATGTTCTTTCTTGTTGGGTGAAAACATCGGTATGAAGTCTGAAAGATGGGTCCCAATGATGTCTGTTGACAACGCTTGGATTCCAAGAGGTGAATTGGTCGAATCCCACTCCAAGATGGTTGCTGAAGTTGATATGAAGGAAGCTTTGGCCTCCGGTCAATTCCGTCCTTTGACCAGAAAGGAAATTGAAGAGCACTGTGCTATGTTGGGTCTAGACGCTGAATTGGTCTCCCACTCCAGAATCAGAGGTTTGTCTGGTGGTCAAAAGGTTAAGTTGGTCTTGGCTGCTTGTTCTTGGCAAAGACCTCACTTGATCGTCTTGGATGAACCTACTAACTATTTGGACAGAGACTCCCTAGGTGCTTTGTCCAAGGCTTTGAAGGCTTTCGAAGGTGGTGTTATTATCATTACTCACTCTGCTGAATTCACCAAGAACTTGACTGAAGAAGTCTGGGCCGTCAAGGACGGTAAGATGACTCCATCCGGTCACAACTGGGTCAGCGGTCAAGGTGCTGGTCCAAGAATCGAGAAGAAGGAAGACGAAGAAGACAAGTTCGATGCTATGGGTAACAAGATTGCCGGTGGTAAGAAGAAGAAGAAGTTGTCTTCTGCTGAATTGAGAAAGAAGAAGAAGGAGAGAATGAAGAAGAAGAAGGAATTGGGTGATGCTTACGTTTCTTCCGATGACGAAGATTTCTAAGTGAATCTCATCTTTTAATCTTTTTTATTTTAAAAAATATTAAATTTGAGAATATCCCAAAAATATTCACTTATTTTTCTTTTTCCTAGCTTTTTCGGTTAATGATGTTTAATATTATTTCTTTCTTTTCTTAATTTATTTCTCCGTGAGATATATCAGTTATTATACATTTTATATTATTTTATCATATCTTAGGTATCTATATTGTTTCATTTGTTGTACTATTGTTAATAAAGTATAGATCACATTTCAAAAAAAAGAAGCAGTATCCATTAAAAATTACAGGCTGCAAGGCAGTCGTTTCTTTATAACTTGCAGCCATCGCTGCTCTCTAGAGTTGCATATAACACTAATATAACATATTTACTACATGCCACTTTGTATTCCCCGGCCGATATAAATTTGTCACAAAACCTAATTTATTACCTGGGATACAATGACGTTTCGATTATTTCTATATGATTCCAGCAGTGGCACTTTAAATTTTTGTCATTTGTTAGGGGATAACATACGATTCTTTGAAAAATTCATTAATTTAAGTTTACAATAATATATTACTGACCAACGTTATTACCACTAGCATATTCCCTGTAACTATATAAATTAATTTACAATGCAGTGAATACCCAATAGTGACATCTGTCTCAAATATAGCACTAAGATCATCCTTAGATTACCATTTTAAATAATCAAAGAACATTCATTATACAAAGCAAAAGGTTGACATAAAGATACAGTTTAAATTATTAGTTAATAACATCTGCAGAACGCAATGATCAGGCTGTTTCAATTGTATGAACATCAGTTAAAAGTACGCCCTAAGCTGACCAATTCCATCATGACAGGTGCATTATTTGGGATTGGTGATGTTTCTGCTCAGTTACTATTTCCCAGTGGACCAGACACACTTCCACCAAGTGCCCAAACCAACGATGTCAAGCGAGGAAAGTACGATATACCAAGGACCGTTAGGGCTGTTGTATATGGGTCGATGATATTTTCTTTTATTGGAGACAGGTGGTACCGCTTCTTGACCAAGGTGAAGTTTAGTAATAAACCTGCCAAGCACTGGTCAAATATGGTTCTTAGGGTCTGTGTAGATCAACTTGGATTCGCACCACTTGGGCTACCATTCTATTTTGGTTGCATGTCCTTATTGGAGGGCCACGGTCTCGGTGCCGCAAGGGAGAAAATAAAACTACAATGGTGGGACACTTTGAAAACCAATTGGTGCGTGTGGCCGCTGTTCCAGATGGTAAACTTCTCTCTTGTACCACTTCAACATAGGTTGCTGGCAGCCAATGTCGTGGCCATATTTTGGAACACTTTCTTAAGCTACACCAACTCTCAGATCCCCGTTGGTGGTCACAAGCTAACGGTACAATACCCACCAACTGTACAATAGACATAATTGTCCACCTTTTTAATTCACAGGAACCAAATATTTATTCATTAAGAAAGTAGATTAGCTTCTCGAGTAAGCATGCACTCGAATTGGTTATTTATATAAATTTATAGACTAAACTTCACATTCTTTTTACTAAATACAAGAAAACTTGGCACTATTCGGCTAGTAAACTAGTAATTAGTGCTCACAGGACTACGAAATACACGTAATGTCAACTTGGAATTATTATATTGAATTACTTTAATTGATCACTATTTGATTATATCCAGCAGCTTGGCGAACACGGAAAACGCGGAGGGAGTTGGAGCAATGGAATTTGACATATCTCAACCGTTACCTGCGTGATTGAGAATTTGAACAACATGAACTACAATATATGTATGGACTGCTGAGTTAAATACCATAATAAACACACTTTAATAGTTAGTCACTGGTATTTGCGATGAGTTTGCCAACATTAATCAGGAATCTAACGAGGCCCAAAACCCCGATAGTCGGAGTAGCCAAATCAAGGTTTTATAACAAGAGATGGGTACAAGTACTAGGGTTAAGTGTTGGTACCAGTTGTATTCTGTATGAGACAAATGAGAATTTTCACAACACTGTAAGGCATGGATATATCAGCTTCAAACGTATCGGTGTAGTTACTATCGCACTTTCTCGATGTGTTATTCAATACAAGAAGGTATTATCATTAAATGATACCATTGATGATGAAGACCAAAAGGATGAGAATTTACGTCAATGCCATTTGAAAGCTGCTAATATCACGTTGAAAGCGTTAGAGAAGAATGGTGGTGTCTTTATAAAATTGGGACAGCATATTGGGGCGATGTCATATATTTTACCCCTAGAGTGGACTCAAACTATGGTGCCTTTGCAGGATCATTGCCCGGAGTCATCTCTAGACGACATAGACCGTATGTTTGCCAAAGAAATTCCTGGTGAAGATCTTACTACTTATTTTGAATGGATTGATGATGAACCCCTTGGTGTGGCTTCCTTGGCTCAAGTTCATAGGGCTAAGCTCAAACAAGGAACCAAGGAGGTAGTAGCAGTAAAGTTTCAACACCCACAGTTGCAAGAATTTGTGTCCGTCGATGTTATGATGACCAAGTTTGTTTTTGCAACCTTAGATAAAGTTTTCCCTCAATATTCGTTGGTATGGTTGGCGGATGAACTCCATAGTTCCATCTACGATGAGATAAATTTCAATAAAGAAGCTCAAAATGCTGAATTAACAGCCAAGTTTTTTAATAAAAACAAGAAACTGAAAAGAGCCACAAGTGTCAGGGTACCAAAAGTATTGCTACACAAGGATAGAGTTCTGATAATGGAATACATTGGTGGTGCTAGACTTGATGACCCAACCTATCTGGAAGATCATAATATCAAGCGTAATGAGGTATCAGAATCGTTGGCTCACATATTTAACAGTATGATATTCACAAAAGACGCTGGAATACACTGTGATCCACATATGGGAAATCTGTCAATAAGAACTTGTAAACCAACAAAAGAGAATGGCTATCATAACTATGAAATTGTTCTGTATGATCATGGTCTGTACAGATATCCTGATTTGAAAACAAGAAGAAATTATGCAAAGTTTTGGCTGAGTCTTCTTCGCCATGATCAAAATGAAATGAGGAAATGGAGCTATGAGTTAGCGGGCATTACTGATGATGAATTTCCTCTCTTTGCGGCGGCTATCACTGGTAGATCCGTGGAGAGCGCACTGAATTATGATATCGACAGCGTACGTGGTAACGACGAAATAGAAATCATGAGGAAGCGGATGCTGGATAAGGCATCAATGCCTGCTGACCTTGAAGGGACCTCCACACAGGGCGAAGAGAATAAACTATTGAAACAACTGATGAAAATCCTAGCACACATTCCACGTATTGTGATATTACTACTGAAGACCAACGATTTAACAAGATATTTGGATGAGTCCTTGCGTAATCCATTGGGACCAGCCAGAGGATTCCTGATACTGACTTCATATTGTTCCAGTCTCGTGCTACAAGAAGATTTAGAAACCGCCGCTGCCATGTGGAAAGATAACATTTACATCAAAGCTGCGACACAATATATAGCAGCATGGTACAAATATATTGCGACAGCATATGTACGGACAACCGCATATGAAATAATACTCTTTTCACGAGATTGCTACAAGAAACTAGCCCATTAGTGACTTTACAAAAGAAAGCTAACCTCACTCTTCAACAAGCTGCACATATAGTGACTATCTTTGTCCATATTCCATGTTAATAGGTACACAAAATATAGCATCTACGGCCGTGATCCACGGCCGCGTTCTTTAAAAATAAAGCTCAATCATTGTATGTACAATAAGATTCTCACTCCTCTTGACAAGCTTCTCAATAGAAGATATTTTGCGAAGTGTTTGCTGCTCTTAAGAAAGTAAAACCAGCGCATAGCGTATCACTAATAATGCCTGAACACTTTGATCTATCCAGCTAAAAGTCACTATTGTCATTATTTCAATTAGTAAGCTGCCCTGCCTTCGAGAAAAAGACAAGAAAAAACCTGCCCGCCACGCAGCTTTCTGTAGAGGAAACATTTAAAGTGCGATGAGATGGCAATTTTCGTTTAGACAGAATGAAAAAACCTGCCCATTAGCACTTGGCCTGTTGAAAGACTTGGAGGAGATTCCAGGAACAATTGGAGCAGAGTTGCTGTGGGCAATAAAATTCACTTGCAAAAGGCCTTCTCTTCTAAACGAGGTGCTGTTCAACAAAGATAGAACTCACCAGTACATATTTTGGATAAGATTTTCCCAACGGGCTCGTAAAATGCTGCAATATCCCTGCATTTCTTTTCTGCCAGAGTAGTGTCCATCCCATGATAGCAAAATGGACAATGGGAAGTTACCAGAGGATAAGTGACTATCCTCCCTGCTACACGAGGATCTTCTTTTCCTCGAGGAGCTTTCCGGTTTGCTTTCTACTACTGTTGTTACTGAAATGCCCTTTTGTTGTTGTAGAAAGGACCCTTCCACGCATCAATCTCTAATGAGAAAAAAAGAAAGAAATAAAGGTAAGTGCATAATAAAAGAACAATGGGAAAGAATGATTGTCTAAATAAGACTGCAGTTTGGTGTTTTATTCTGCCAGGCCTCGATAACAGGGGCAAATAGATTGAACATTGGTATCTTGATAAAAGAAAAAAAAAGAACCCATATTTACGCTCTGCAAAGCACATCTTTTGAACCATTCCGTCCCATTTAGACACCAACCTTACCAAGTTTATTTCATTCGAAGTTGAAACTCAAAAATTTTCATTTAGATTTAATTTTGGATCCTAAGCAAGAACAGTTTTTTCTTCTTGGGAACTTAATGTATATTCCTTCAGCTCGATTGGAGTTTAGAAAATAATAAGCTAACAAGTTGTTGAATTTTTTGTTTCTGATTCATAAAGTTGTTTACTTCCATTTCAATAACTATTACAAATAGTAATTTTGCCCAACTTTCATGATTGGTTGAATCATACCCATAGAAGTTGGTTTTTTATTGTTCTTATAACTTTGATCTTTTTCCCATTTGTTATTAATTTGATTTTAATTTTACTTTCCGAAATAACTGCACTACAGCTCCAAGAATAGAGTTGAATATCTCCAATTGAATTTCATTAACATTACCTCTATCACAAGTCATACAGGCATCTTAGGCTTTAATCTTTCGATAAATATCCTCGGTACACTAACAAGAGAGACTATTTCCAAGACAGGACGAAATAAGCATAGAATTATAGGTTTTTACATCTCTACTAGCTGTTTCGATTTAAGTATTCCGCTATACTCACTGTACCCTAAAGACGACAATGAGTACCACTACAACAATACCAGGAGCTGCTCCAAAAAAGAAAAGGAATAGAATTCCACTAAGTTGCACAATTTGTAGAAAGCGTAAGGTAAAGTGTGATAAAACAAGGCCACATTGTAACCAATGTACTAAGACAGGTGTTGCTCATCTTTGCCATTACATGGAACAAAACTGGGCACAGGATGCTAAGAAAGAAATTTCCAAAGATAATGAACTGAAGAATCTGAAAGAGAGGTGCAAAATTCTGGAAGAAAAGCTAGCGAGGTATATGCACAATCCAGCTGTAACAGCATCTTTAGGCGCCTCTGTTGTAAACTCTCCTGTTGGATTGAGTTCACCGGTTGATGCCCCTATTAAATTAACAAACAGTCCAATGGTCAAACTAGAGGATGATACCAATATGGTTGACGACATGGCTAGACCTGTTAAAGAACACGATTATGACGAACTCGATCTAACCAGACAATTCGATTTGCTTCATATTAAATCAAATGGTACTATTCATTTGGGAGCTACTCACTGGCTTGCCATTATGAAAGGTGATCCATACTTGAAATTACTATGGACTCATATTTTCACTATGAGAGAAAAGCTTTTAGAATACTATACCAATGGTTCTGGACACAAACGAAGAAAAAGACAAAAGAACGGAGGAAAATGTCCTATTGATCACAGCAAATTCAAAGCTGCAGAATCCGAACAGAAAAATCATTTTGTCAAGACAACACCTATGGTTAATGATACACCAAAGAGCTCAATTGGCAAGTGCCCAATCGATCATAGAGCGATGAGTAACCCTGTTGGCGTAAATAGCAATGCAGGTCAATTCCAACCTATGCACCCCCCACATACTCATATTGTACAAAATAAGTGTCCTGTTGATCATAAAGTAAATGACTCTAACCTGACGAGTGCCAATACTGATAATAAGAATGCTGCTACTAAAAAATGCCCTATAAACCATTCCAAATACACCAAAGAAAAAATGCAAGGAGCTGGACTCAATGACAAACCTCTAACTAAACAAGAAGTCATTGAAAAACTTTGTCAATTGCTACCTCCAAAAAGAATAATTATGCTATACATAGACAAATTTTTCAAACATTTTTACCCTGTTATACCTATTCTTGATGAACTGAACTTTAAGAATAACATAAATCAGATATTTGACCTGAATTCGCTGATCTCAAATACGATAATGAGCACTAGTTCTGATCTAGAATTAGAACCAATAACTTCAATGACACTTAACAAACCAACAGATTACTCTAATTTAGGTATCTTAATCATAATCATGAGGTTAGTTTGGCTATCTTTACCGATGAACTCTTGTAAAATCGACATTGAGAATCCTTTATTAAACAAATTACGCACAGACCATGATTTTAAAAACGAAGATTACGAATCAGGATCGTTAGCGTCATCACTGAGGCTCAAGGATGAACTCCAGCTCCTGAAATATGAGGTAGATGGTTTTGCCCTTGATTTAGTCAAAAAACATCTGATAAAGTTTGATGAAATTTCTAGTATATCCAATACGAACGTCAACATGTCAACTATTCAGTTTGCTGTATTCTTCAAATTCTACCTAATGAACTGTGCAAATGCCTCCAGTCAAGGTAACTCTGCGGGTAACTTTGATAATGAATCCCACCAAATTTTGTTATCTAGCATCATGATGATGGCATTTAGCTGTGGTTTACATAGAGATCCAGACAACTTCCCTCAGCTAAACGTTGTCTCCGCCAATTTAACTACTGATAATACAAGATCTGGTCCTCCTAGCAATTCCAATCGAAATGGATCAGAAACTCCATCTGTTTCTCCCAAAGATACTAATGTATCAATCGAGAGAGCAAAGCATACATGGAGAAAGGTTTGGTATTATATTGTAAGTCTTGACGTACAGCAATCATTGTTACTTGGTTCACCGCGACTAATCAGAAATTTGAATGATATCAGCGATACCAAACTACCCTCCGCATCCAAGATTGATTACGTGAAGGACATAAAAGAACTTATTATAATAAAAAACTATACACTGTTTTACCAACTAGATCTTTGTATCGTTGCTGTCTTAAACCATACTCTCAATATATCAATTGCTAAGAATGTCCGGAAGTTTGAACTTGATGCTTTGATCTCTAACCTTCAAAAATTGACTGATGGTGAGAAAGGTATCAATGATGTCATTAATTCTCTTATAAACCATGGCTTACTGTCGACATCAGAAGTACCAATTGGGCTGCAAAAGTTTGATGATATATATGATTTGCCTAGGATGGAGGATATATTACTCGCAAGAAAATCAGAACAGGAAATAGTAGGCGATGAGAACGAGAGAATTGGTCAAGATGTTGACAAAAAACTAGACCTTCCACATGAGATGACGTCCAAGGCTTTATTTTTCTCGAAACATATGACGTTGAGGATGCTACTGTACTTGCTAAATTACATTTTATTTACTCATTATGAACCGTTAGGTGCAGAAGATCCAACAACTACCATACTAGCAAAGAATTATGCTCAGAAAGCCTTAGATTATGCGCTTGACGGTTATAGGAACTGTATGCTATACTTTGTTGGTGTTTCTGACCAGAATCCGTTATTTAAGTATATGAATGTGATACTGTGCTTCCACAGCTTAGATATAGGACATCGAGCTCTTCAATTCATTATATGCCTGATACTGAGGGTGAAATGTGGTCCATTAAACGGACTGAAGGAAACACAGACGATCTTTGGTACAAGTGTACCAAGCAGTTGTAATAGTAGTAGCGTAGAAGATGAAAACACTGAAGAGCCAAATAATCTGAACCAAGATAACCAATTTCAAGATGATTTAATGCAAAATATTAACCTGGACAATTCAGACTCATTGGCTGAGAAATTAATGTCAAGAATGGTTTTATTCAAGCAATTGACTGAAAAACTGGCCCCCAAATATAGCTTTTCTGTTAGGGTGATGAAGTCTACCGGTTTCTTCATATCGTTACTAACCACTCCAAGTGGATCATTTGGTAGTAAAAAGAATGGATCGAAACATAAGCATGGTGTTGGAAAGCTTTTACTTTCCAACTGGAAACATCCGAAAATTTCCAACATACCTGCATTATTGTCAAGCGATTCAGATCAATTAAAGAAATGCCCTGTTTATCAAGATGCGTTAGGCTTTATGCCATCCAGACCAAGTGTGACAAATTTACCATCTATTAGTAATGTTGAAGGTTTGCTTCCAAACGCCCAAGCCAATGGCAGAATGACACCACAGCTACCTCCAATCAGGTCCTATCAACCTATCACCTACTCTAGCAGTCATATGAGAGTTACTCCCAACTCTGAATCAGATGCAAGAAAATTGGGTCCTGACAGCCATCAAGTTACAAATCCTTTGATTCCATCACCATTATCACCTGCAAACCAGCAGCAAAATCAAGTTAATGTTCTCCATATGCACCAGCAAAGATCGATGTCACCTGCACCAATGCCTATGATGAATCCAACGGCAATGACAACAAACCAAAATATGATTCCAGAAAGAAAATATGCCCCTCACTCTGGAGCTGCAACTCCTATCTTGCCAGGCACTAATTCTGACATACAACAACAGACCCAAATGACTCGTAATGACCCATACCCTACTGAACAATTCTCTTTACCACCGATTTCATCAGCCAAGAATAATATGGCATGGGGAACAACACCAGAATCAGAGCAGGGTGATCACTTAACACCAAATACAACAACTTCATCACTAGATACACCTGACTTCGAAGATTTTATTATCCAAAATTCTAATTTCAATGGCCTATTGATCAACCCCAATAGCCTTGCCGAAGCTATGGGCAGTCTGCCAAGTGGAAGAGATGGCGCTATACTGAATGTGAATTCATTCAAGGATTTTACAACATCAACCAACGACAAAACAATAACCCCAAATTCCGCGGATCAGACGGACTTGTTTTCTGTTGATATGGCATCTACTGATTTCTTACCTATCGACAACTTCGCCATTGATGGATTTATGGATTCGGCTAATTTAGACATTGGCTCAATCTGGGAGTAGGTGTGCATTTGTTATGTTTGTGTATTTAATTTTTCCACAGTCATATATATATATAATACAATTTTTACGGATTATGATATAATACCTAATCTACTACTTGCGAACTGATTAAATAACTAAAAAGTGTGAGAAAGCATTATCCATTTACGTACTCAAGATCGTGTACAATACAAATCTTGAGAGAAGGGAGTCAGAAGTCAAGTTAGGATCATTGGTTTCAAATCTTAACAGTAAGTGGCTAATCGGTTATGGTATGATATTCGATTTTCATAAGGAAATCCAAAAGCTCAATTCTCAAATTGCGCTTTTCTTCTGCAGATAACTGGCCCATGTCGTATTCACTAAATCCTCTGAGTTTGGAAACGATACGGCGAGCACGTTTGTTAGGAAAATGTAGTCGTATGTCAGCAGAATCCTCAAGACTTTGACTATCATCATAGTCACGAACTCTCTCATTCTCTATATCAGTGTATTGGCCTTGTGTGCTCGGATTCCCGAGTGGTCTTTTTCTAATAGCAACCTCTGATTGCACTTTTCTTTGAGAGTTAGGAATCATTGGTTGTTGGTTGGTACTTTTAAGTATCAATGAATTAAAGATTGGAATCTTCAACTCTTTATGAGTTGGAATAGCAACATCCTCAAATGGTGGTCTCATGTTATGTTGAGTCAATAGATTTGCAGATTTCTTTTTATATCCCTCATGCATATCATGAAGTTGTGCCTGGTTTTGTAAACCATTTCTGGCAAGTTCTAGGTCATGACTACTAATAACATACTCATCTGAAATTTTTTGATTATTTAATTTATCGAGACCTGAAACTCTAGAGTTGAAAATTGGAATATTAACGGAAACAATTGGATCTTCAGATGTCCGATATTCAAAATCATTAGTAGTTGCATTATTATTAACTGTTTTATCGCCATTTTTACCCTTTTCAATCATAGATTTATTGTCAATATTGGAGTTGACTAAAGTATCCGGTTCACTGGCAATAGAAGAAATTTGCCTTGGCGCGATTTTGTTATTCTTCATATCTGCGCTAATTTGCCCTTTATCTATTTTTATCATTTTCCCTCCAGCTGGTTCAGTGCTTTGGGACCCATCACAGTTAGATTCTCTAGTGTTAGAAGGTAGATCATTGGCATCTGCTATGTTACTACTGAATTTTGAGATTTCTTGAGATTTTGAATTCGGAATATTTTTCTGTTGTTCAGTATTGTTTGTTAAATTATCTTTATCTTTTTCAAGACTCAAGGCATTTTTATTTATATGGTCATTGATGTGGGCTGCTGAGATTGGTGTAGTTTCCCTGGGACTTCCAGACGTATTATCTAACTGGTTACACCATGTTCTAACGTGTGTGTGTAAATCATTGAAGCTAGAAGAGTTTCTGAACTTACTTCTGTTGAATGATTTATTTAATATTAATTTCTCTGATAAATCAACTAGATATCTGGATGGTCTTTCTGGTAATCTGGCAATGTATTGTGATAAGAATCCAATATCCACCTTCTTTCTTAGTAAAAAGATAACATTAATTAAACTCTCAAAAGTGGTAACTGCTTTTGCTTTTATGCTTAGGTCATTTGAAGAATCCAAGGCAATAAAGAAATCGAAAACTTCATTTCGGCATCTAGTTAACGGAACCATTTTCTTATCGTTAATTAATGATGTCAAGAAGAACAAACACTGTGTAACATCGCCGGTGACCAGATACACTCTTAAAATTTCTGTGGTATTAATTTTAGTATCCATTGGTAGGTTATCAATAAAAATAATATATTTGGCCGGAACAAATGTAATGTTGTCCTCATACGATTTCTCAAGTAGCTTAATAACATCTTCTAAGGTCCTTGACGTCAATGTAGATGGTTCAATACAATCTAGCAAGACAAAACTATTTTTTGCAAAGCAATAATTAATTAAGTGTTGCTGTACTGTGGTTATAATGTCATCCTTTTTATATATAGTTAGGGTTGGCAAAAATTCCTGTATCAAATTGTATCTGAATTGAACGAGCAAGTCATACATATCTTTCTCAATGAATATGATTAATAATTTTGCCTTGGAGGAAGTAGACAGAAATGAGAAATGATGGGCTATAAATGTGCATATTTCACAGTCCAATGTAATGTCAATAAGATCATAATCATCAATCAACACTCCTTGATTCCAGATAAGAGGACACTTAGTATAATGCTGCTTAATAAACGCACTTTTCTGGTTTTCTGGTAGATGCTTAAGAACGTAGCTAAAAAGTTCCACATTATTTAATCTATCAGCATCTATGATCGAGCTCACAATATCAGCAAAGTCAACATGATGTTTTGCGATATATTCCTCGAGAAAAATAACAAGTCCAGATGGTTTCCAAAAACTAATTCTTAGTATTTCCGTGGGATTTACTTCAAACCCCAGTTTATCAGCTAAATCGAGAAAGTTAACAATGGTTTGCTTTTCACTGATTTTTGCAACAATTCTAGAATATAAAATAAAGTCACCTTCTTGAACTGAAGGTGAGAGTAACTTTTTACCAACCCAATTAATAGCAAACAGATCACAATCTGTTTTCTTGAGAGACAAAATGCCTTCAATAAGTTTTAACTCCGATATATTTGCCTGCAGTGCATTCTGTATGAGTTCTTGAAGTAGATTATCTACATGATGTTCTTCTTCTTGAAATAGCATGAGAAATGAAAGAATGAAGTTCCTAAAAACATTATAGTTATCATCAAAAATAATGTCCTTAAATTTAATACAGACTCTTGACATGTCAGAGATAAGGGATCGTGGAGAATTTGCGATGAAATCGATGCTATTGTAGTATTCATAAAACATAGAGATGCACCTACAAAGTGTGGACAGAGTAATTTGATTATTCGGTATCTGTTCTAAGTATTCCAATATTAGCATTCTTGTCTGACTATGATTTTGGGATTTGCTATTCAACACATATAGAAGAATGACAGAGCCCAATGTTTCTAGCAAATAGGGAAGCTGAGATAATTGGAGAGCAGATATATCATCAACGGATACGCCCTCTGATGCTATGACCTTTATAGGATGTAGAGATTTTGTTTTATCTACATTCTTCTGATTTTGAATAGCTTTAGTCAAAAGCTTCCCGATATACGTATCTAACTCAAATTTAACATCTTCATTTGCTGAATAATTGAGTAGCGTTGCGAGCATCGGAAATATAAAATTCCCCCAAAGTACTATATTTGTAGTCGGTTTACATTTGTTAGTTATCCCGCAGGTACTAAAAAAAAAGTCATTGAGCAAATATTTAACTCCCATAAATGTACTATTATCCTCTAGTTTATTAACGGTAACGTTAACAGGATTCAAAAGTACTTGAGAAATTTTTTTAGCTTCCTTTTCACCCAGAAAATCAATATTATTTGTCACACAATAGATAAGAATCCTCCATACCTTAAGTGATAATATCCTACACTTTGGATCGTTCACCGATAAGCAGTTCAGATTGATATCTACCCACTTTTCACCCTCTTTTGATGCAAGAAATGCCAGCCTTCCTTTACTATTGAAAAGGAGGCCCATAAATGATAACCACATGTCCATTGCCAATTTATACTCTCTCTTGGAGTTAACTAGGTAGTCAATATGATCTCTTAGAATAGCTGCAAGATGAGTCTCATTTATGTCATATGTTTGTTCCAAAGTATTATTAGACCACTGTAGCTTTTTGTCTTTTGAATCTCCAAAGTACAGAGCTGTAGAATCGATGTGTAAACACTGAAATACATATTCATGGCCTATTGAGTGATCAATACATCTCTTAAGAAGTTCTAAGAGTACCGAAATCGCTGTAAATCCGGTTTTTGTTGAGTAAACATCCTCAGAGAAGACAATCTTTGAAATAACTTGTGTTGGAAGCCATTCTGGAATTGTAGATATCATAGGTCCAGGAAACTTAATTAAAAACTGCTTGATTAACATCAATTTCTCACAAATGGCATTGGTACTAGGTATGTCCCGTATTTGATTTATAATTTGAATCATATGTTTACCCTCATCTTCAGTGAAACTTATATAACTGAGCTTCTCATCTCTCAAAAACGTCATTTGGCATATCAACATCATCTTATTAGAGTTCTCGTTTTTCAAAGCTTCAAGAGAAAGCTCATAAACTTGTTTCATTCTTTCGCATAAAGCCTTACTGCTGATAAGAAATTTGTTGATAATAAAAGAGCCAAATAAATTAGTAAAAAACCTCACAATTTGGATGTAAAGTCTGATACTAAAGGGATTCTTTTTTTCCTTGTCTTGTAAAAGAGAGTTTTGTTCATCGCGTAGGTGCTCGATACTTATATTGGCAATTATCTTCAAATTGTCCTTCACAATATGGGCAGCCTTTTCAATAAATTGATTAGATGTTGTACTGGAAAAAGATGGCATAATGTTATTTATAGTGGCATGCACTTCAAACTTTTTAGCTCCATATTCAGGATTTTTCGATTGCATTAATATTTTCAAGGCCCCCAAAAATAGCTTTTCAAACTCTGCTACGGAATTATTACTCGAAAGGCTGTGTATCTCTCCATTTCCCCAGAACTGTAAATTATCTGGTGAGTATTGATTTTTAGAATGATTTTCAGATCGAGACAAATGTACATTAGCCGCTATCGGTTTTCCGTATTTGTCATTCATTCTCTGCTTGTTATGCTCAGGTGAAGATGAGTTTCTTAGAATGGATTTTTTGGGTTTAGATGTGGGTGAATGCCTTGGAGAAGAATTGGAACTTGTCGATTCGGAGTTTTTATTACTTTCATCAAGAAAGCTGACTGATTTGTTAACGCTCGGTGAATAGATTTCACTAGATGACATATTTTGGTCGCCAATATCCTTTTTCATGATGCGACTCCTGGCAGGAGTTGACTGCATATCTGGGTGCGATAACTCCCCAATTGAGAGTACTTGTTTCGTCTTATTGTCACTTGATATCGCTTGGGTATTGAGCTTTCTTCTCTTTGGAGTAGGTGAGGCTGTATTAGAATGAGGGTTATTGATTCTCTGAGACTCCTGATGATCCCTTGATTCTAAAGGACTACTAACAATGTTGTCCTTTCGTAGTATACTTTCCAGTTCTACACTTTTATGACCATATCTTGTTGGAGTGGTCTTGTCACTGTTTTTCCCTCGCAAATGCTTTGATAAAATGTCAAGGGCACGCATTTTGCCTTTTCTATCTGCTGAGCCATCACTCATGGTACCTATATCACTGATGTTGCGAAAGTGGGATGCAAATCAGGTCTGTTTCCTGTATATTAACGTTGTCGATATGGGATATTTCGAGAAGTCGCAGAATCAAGGGTTTTTTTCAATCGTTATAGTGTTACAACCGTCTCTCCTCTAACCGCAATCCTTAGGAAACAGCGTCAAGACAGTGACTATATTAATTTTTCTATGACAAATATGATAACCCTGTTATAACAGAGACTCCCGTATTTCCAAACGTTGACGTTATACTGTTGATTTGGCGCAACACTATTCAGGGATCAGCTTATTGATAATTCTTTTAAAAAGAAAATTGACTAATTTATACTGTTTATACAAGAAAGGTTGATGGATAAAAATGACGTGGAACAACAGCTAATTCCTGGTTTCACAACCAATATTTTCTAGCACAATGTTTGCGATGCCTCTGATGGCATTGATGCTTCATTAACACAGACTGGACGTTTACTGAACGTGTCTTCACTTCGCGTTTTGGCGTACTTCACCATTTTTTGAAGACGGTATGCAATTATATCACGTGATTTTGATAAATATTATTAATGTAGTTACTAAGAGATTAGATGTAGTATGCTAGTTATGGAGGGGTACTTGGTTTGTTATTACGATGCCGTTTTATTAGTATTTATTTATCAAGATCGAAATATAGAAAAAATAGTTTCTGTGTCTCATGACTATTATTAATGGAAAAGAATCATCCCACCTACATCACTCAAACCACCAGAGGAAAGTTTCATGTAATCTAGTCATATTTGCAATTCAATTTGGATATTTCTCTGCACAGCAGATGCCATTCCGTCTTTGGTGTTTTCTGTTCGGTGTACTCTTCTGCCCACTTTTCTAGTTCATACATGAACATTAAGTGAGGTTGTATAATTATGTTCAATCTTCGTACTCTTACGTAGAGGTATGCTCGCATTACGTCACATTTCAATCTTTTCATACATTCAGCAATGCATACAGTAGCCGATCTCGACACACCGACCATGCAGTGTACCAATATCTTACCATTCTGTTTGTAGCAGGTGTCGATGAACTCTAATGCATGTGTGAGTTGGTTTATGATAGGATCAACACCATTATCTTCTAGATTTTGTATCCAGCAAATTTGAATGCCTTGCTTTTCTATAATCTTCCAATTGGAGTACCATTCTTCACACTTGCTTCTTTTACTTTCATGGTTAAATACCCACGAAAGCCTCTCTCCGACAGATAAAATATGGGTGATGCCAAGTTTCTTGAGAAGCTCTGGCTTCTCGGCGTGTTCCAAAGAGCCAAGGTATAGATGATCAAGAATTTTTGACGGTAGTGGCCCTTTTAGGTTCGTAAAGTTGGACGATGAAGGTAGTTTGAATAAGAATATATTGCTAAACATCTCAGAGGTTATCGATAAGCGTAACAGATCTTTTGGGTCTTGCGTGACCAAGTACGTCTTGACCGATTCTAAATATTTGGTACTGTTAGACTTGCGATTAGGACTGAACTCTCGCAAAATTGATTGAAGGTGGCCTAGTATTTGTAAGTCCGCATGGAAAAGAAAATAAGGCCGGCCATACTCTTTATGTAGTCTCAGTAGCGTTTCTTCCAACGGTATATCCCACAAAAATATCAAATATGCAATTAATAGAAGAGAAGTCTCTGTATAACCATTACTACAATATAGCAATGCTTGAAATTTAGTGGATGCATAAACCTGGTATATTAGGTAGCAAGTGTTAAGGAGTACTTCGACGGATGCTATATTTAGTTGACCTAGCGCAATGGATCCACTGGATGGAAAATCAAGCGATTTACTTTTCCTCGGGGTGAATTCACCTTCATCAGTATGTGCATTCAATATAGATGTTAATGTATTCTCCAATATCTCAGATGATGGTAACGATGAGGATTCATTACATTTAATAAACAAAATCCAGGGCACCTCTATGCTTGGAATGTAATACAACTTTTCACTGCAAAGACTAGAATCATCATAACTTATTGCATCTACATTAATTATTGATCTATCCACAGAGGGTGCATTCATTACAGTTTTTGGTTTTTGGTATTTACCCAATTCCCTAAGGGCAAATTGTTTTCTATAATTAACGTTGTCTTGGTGATTACCAACCCATATTGTATCATCAATATTGGTCGCAGACGTAAAGATAGCCAACTCCATATTCTCATGATATTTCAAATCACTATCCCAATTGTTAAATCTCAATATATCATATTGTGAAATCAATTGATGCTGTCGCGTTTCATTGTTTTGCGAGATTATCACATCCCTAACATGATTCAAGGGTACCACTAAAAATCCCGTTGGAAGATCAGCAAAGCTAGAAAACCCTATATAGTCAATTATCTGATTATAGCCAAGGTCAGTTTGCTCTATATTGATTTTAGCTCGCAGGTGAAATAGAGCTAGCTTTATAATATCTGTCACCATTTGGCATGTTTTGCATTGCAAATGGTCTCTGCCATTCTCAAAATGTAAACAATACACTAAAATATGCTGTGCTATTTCAATCATTTTAGCGCATTGTAAATCAAACCGCCTTAGTGGGTTTATGTTCGACTCGGGTGATCTGGAAGAACGGCAACTGGCGCTCGAAAGACTTGCGGAATGATGTCTATTCATCACTCTATTTCGCATACGCTTTAGATGAAATTGGGAATATGCTGGAACATCTGTCTTTAGAAAGGGCATTACACCGGCATGTTTACAAAGATCGACCATTTGTTTGGTGAAACCTATATTTAACGACAGTATTTCATCTTCTAAAGAAATATCGTTTGTAGACATGTCAGTCACATTAGGCCATGACATAAACACGTCCGCCAGGTCTACCGATCCTCTGAACCTTGCAATATTATCGATCGTCTTATCTCTTGTTGTCTTCGATCTCAAGATAATAGCCGACCCCGCATATGAAGGCCTCGGCGAATTCACATAAAACTCATGAGCCCACGGAAACATATCGGAACAAGGAGGCAGTGTAGACTGCTTCCAGCTCTTCTCTACTGTTATGTACGCATCCTCGGCAGGAATCATGGTGAGAGGTAAAATAGTCTGATGCCAGTCCGTCGAGCAGCGCAATGACTATGACAGTTTGGCTCAAACTATGGTTATATTTGTCCTAACAGCCCGTCTGTCAAAAGGATCAGTAAATCTCAATGACCCGTTTATTCTTGAAGCAAAATGGGTTGCTTCCACGAATAGTATATAACTTCGTTGAATTTCCCTTGGGTATTAGAGCCTTTATGACCGGAAGAATTCAAACGCTATCCAAGCCTAAAATATACACACACCGATACCAATGTCCAGCTTGCTCCTATTAATTGAAATTTGCACACTAGCTTGCCAATATTCTTGTTTGCTTGCTCCCTAGTACCAAACAAGCGACTAGTTCTATGGACTTGCTTCTTATTTTCTAGAATCCGATGAGGCTTTCTAAGTTTTGAAAAGAAGCGATTAAGCAGCGAAATAGTCTTCGATATACAATTGATCCTTGTTTATAGTATAGAAAGTAATTTATTTGTTTAGTTGTCTAAGAGGTCGAAACCAAGTGTGGAGTGTTTTGGAACTACCGTGGAATTTAATTAACTCTAGAAATGTCAATGAGTGAAGAGGAGAAGATGGTGTTGCAACAGAAGATACGCGACCGGACGCCCAAACTGCCGATATCCAAGGTGAAACGTATAGGTAAAGTGGATCCTGAGAGCATTCTCACGTCTAATATGGCATATGTGGCCACTGCCTTTGCTACGGAGCTATTTGTACAGTCGTTTGTTGAGCAAGCGCTATTTGGTGCTCAGTTGAGGAGAGGCAAGAAGAAAGCAGGGCTGCGATTGACTAACGATGCATTGGTTGAGTGTGTTAGAAACAGAGACGATTATATTTTTTTGGAAGATGTGGTACGGCATATAGAGAAGCCCAAGACTTCCAGTGGTCTTCACAAATTATCAGCCAAGCCGGTGGGGCAAGGTCAAGAAGCAGAGCAAAAGGACGCGTCAATGGAAGAGGATATACCCGAGGAAGATTTACAAGAAGATGATGAGATGGATGTAGACGAGACTGAACCAGCCGAACGTCCAGCTGCAAGCAAAGCTAGTGATGTTAATAAAGCATCCGCTTCGGCGAAATCAATATTATCAGCTTTCAAATATGCTCCAGAATCAGCTCCTCAAATTCATGGAAGTACACAAACCGAAGAAGATGAGGGTGATGAGAAGGAAGAAGATGAAGATGAAGAAGAAGAGATAGACCCAGAAGTACAAACACAGCTGCAAGAAGTAGAAAAAATGAACGTTGTTGCTGATCTTGATGAAGAATCCGAAGTTTCCTCTGATGAAGACGAAGCATCGGCAGATGATGGGTGAAAAGGCATTCAACAATCAACCATGCTATTATAGAAATATCTAGCGATATAACTAAGTACATCAAACTCGCACAAATTGGCATATATGCTCACATAAGCCTTGCTGATGTAGCTCAAAGAGCAGTTGCTATCGTATACTTGTACCATTGAACGACGCTGGATAATCGCTCGAAGCGTTCAATCCTCCAGTGAAATTTCAAAATTGAAGAGCAAAAAGAGAAGACCAAGTAGAATAGTCACTGGGTGTGGTAGACAACATTTAATATAATTTTGCCAATTAATACCAACTTAAAGTCATTTCGACGGTTATATTTGGGATAAAGGTAGGAGTTATTTATCAACTGGAGGCAAAACGCAGGAAAGATGTCGAAAAAACAAGACTATGTCGCTAAGATAAAATTTCAGAACAACCTGCCAGCACCACTGCTGCCACCTAAGCTATTGGCTGTTCCCGAACGTCCTGAGGAGAATGTGGATTCACCGCAGCTCATTGACTCTCTTTACGTGAAGACCAATGTTACCCCATTGATTAAAATCGACAACGATTTAGGTATGCCATTGGATTTGATGCAGATACCGGGCCTTCTTAACCGTCAGGATAAGAAGTTTCTTTACGCACTTGATGGTAGCATCAAACTTCATCCAGAAGATCGTGTACTGCTCCGTGATCCGAGGGTAGATAGACTAACGAAAACTGATATGTCCAAGGTCACATTCTTGAGAAGGACAGAGTATGTTTCATCTTCTATAACACAAGTCGATGGTGGTAAGAAACGTGGTGTTAATGCTCTTGGTAAGAGAATGAGGAGAGATTCTGACGAAGCAATTTTGAATGCCTCGCAGATTGTCGAGAAGGTTGAAAGTACATTCGAATCTACCGCAAAGAATCTAGATAAGTTACAACATCCAGTCAAAAAGAAATTGAAGGCTGTGAAGACCTGGAGTCTGTTGCCTGACACTGCTTCTATGGATCAAAATTACTTCACATTAAGATTGGTGGGCAGTGCCGCATTTGATGCTCAAGAAAAGAAGAAGTTAGCCCTATCCACAGCCATTTTCAGGCCAGTAGAGTTGGAAGAGGACGAATGGATATCTATGTACACCACAGATGGTAAAGACTCTGAGAACTTAAAGGATGATATGGAAAGAAACTTGGAAGACCAACTGAACGCAGATGATATCGCAGACAAGAATTACAAATTTAAGAGAGTAAGGGACTTTGATATGAAGCATGTAAAACAAGCTCAAGAAGGTATATCAACTATAAATAATGAAGATGGTTTCAATGAACTAGCCATTGTATTAAACGATGAGAGAGGTATCGCTTTCTACAAGCCTTTGAGATCCAGAATTGAATTGAGACGTAGACGTGTAGCAGATGCTATAAGGCCAATTGTAAGAGAGCATAACATTGATCAATTGAATGTTACATTAAGAAACGCCACTCCAAAGGAGGCTAATGTGAGAGATCATTTGAGAATGAAGTATGATCCTATCAACTTTGCCGCAGTCGATGAAGAAGAATTGGATGGAGAAGAGCAACAGGAAACTAAATCTGAAGAACTCCCTAATGAAGGCGAAACACAAAATGAGGCAGAAAAAGATGAAGATATTGATGGAGATATTAATGAAGCGGGAGAAAAAGGAAGAGATGAAAATTCACCAAGTGGTAGTATTTAGGTGTTTCTAATTTACCACGGTACGCAACATTGTAATATATATTTTATTATTCATGGTAATTCTGCATAAAACTATAATAAGAGTACCTATAGAAGCAAAATCTTTAAATAAATAAGGACAAGCTAATTTTGTTTTCACTTTCTTTACTAATAGTTCTTAATATTTTATAATTTGCTCTTCAATTCAACATGTAATCCAGGTGACTACCTAGTATAATCCATTCTCTATTTCAAACCAATTTAATATCATGATCTCGAGCTATCGTTATTATTTATAATGATTGCACCAGACTGCCAGCCACCTGCTGCAACAGCTACACAAGTTCGGTTTTCTCCAAGGTCAATCTTAGCCGGCCTTTGAACTGTAACATTTTGAAGAGTTATGAAATTATGTGGAGTATTTCTCCTATCTTGTGAGCCTAGTCCCAGACAACCACATGACTGACTCTCAATTCCCCATGTATAAATATTCCCTTTTTGAGTTAGGCCCAGTGTGTGATAGTCACCACTAGCCAATTGAATAAAATACTCGTCAGGATCTTCCAGTTCTAATTTTGTCAGAGAAGTAATGTCGATTTTACCACTGTTAAGCTTTAAACTATAGCAGTTTTTGCGATTATCAAATACAATTAAGGAAGCAAAACAAGCAATCAATTTGGAAAGTTTTCCTTCAATTGGTAGATTGATAGCTTCTGTAAGTCCATTCGAATATTGCCATAAGCAAGAACCTTCTCTTGTGATATAGTAGACAGTGTTATTTTGTGTGCAAGAAAAATCAAGTACTCGGTTAGAGCTGTTAATAATTCCTGTATTGGGAATTATTTTGTAATGGGCTTTCGCATAAGCATCCCCTTTCCGAAGAGCATCCCGTCTATTCCATAATACCAATCCAACGGAATGGATGAAAACGCAATTAAAGTCCCAGCCACTATCAATTTTTAGTATAGGTCTTTCGTTACTGTCATGTAGAAATTCAAAATTTATTCTTACACCGACATCTGTCTCTGGTGAGTCCCATGAATATAATCTATTTTTATCATCAAGAGCAAGTATGTGACTTCTGCCTGCAGAAATGGCCACAAATTTATTGCAGTCAATTTGTTCGTTGGATATATCGATGTCAATAATGTTTCCATTGCTATCGATTAAATCGCTAAGCCTAACAGAGTCCATTGTAAATAATCTTTTCACATGATCATTTCCAGGTACCCCTTGGTTAAATATATTCTCTAGTCTATTGAGTTTATCATAAATATCTTCATGGGGTCCCGATGTGGGGACACCAACATAGCTGGCCTGTGAGCCACCATAACTGGCTCGTCTGGGGAAGGTGCCTGTAAGGTTAATGGGAGTTGGTCCTCCAGTTGTCATGTTGGAAGTATGCGATCTTTCTAATGCCCTAGTTAATTCTCGAAAAGGGTTTACATCAGCTTCTCCCTCAGGTGTGCTAGGGCCTTTATGGCCACCACTAAACGTGGATCCTGTATTGAAGAGTTTCCCAGACTTGGTGAGTACTTGGAATGCAAACCCACCACATGTAAGTTGAGAAACCACCCTATCATCTGCTAAGAAACTCTCCGATCCATCATTGTCGAACCAAGGCATCTTGGTAGGTGCGTTTACACCAATCTTTATGCGCAGTGAACCATTCAAATGGTCTTGTTCCAGGAATCTGTTGGAAGATACTGTGTACCCGAGTCTGGCATGTTTGAGGCAGCCCCAGGTATATAACTCCGCATTGTTCTCACGGATCAGGTACCGTTCATGCCAATCCAAGTCGGGATATTTATTCATCATGATCACCTCAGCACAAGTCTTGAACTCCACAGTATTCTCGGCTTGAAAGGGTTCGGCACTGGTGTATTCTGGCACAAATGCCTTGTGGAACAGGTCATGCCACAGAGTCATCGAACTCTCATAGTCTAGCAGATTGTGGTAGTACCTGTTGGTGTAAGACAGGTTCTTGATATCTTCAGGTTCGAGGTAGGGCAGAGTGGACTGCACAATATCAGGTGGTAGCACATGTATACCTTCCTTATCGCTCTTATTCGCCTGATGTTGTGTTTGGGCCCGCCCGCTGATTTGGGAATCATAAGATAGTGTAGACATACTGTACACTGAAGCGAATGTGCAAGCTTGGATAGACACGTCTTCTCTAGCTTTCTTTCACCTCCTACAAGAGAATTTCGAACATAGGTATCTGAAACCCGTCAAATATATAAGTTCTCCATGAAATGTTTTCTCGTTATTGCTCTTGCTATCCTTTAGCTTTACCAACAATATGGTGTAATCTACAGTATTGTTATGTCGTAAGGGTCCAAGGATCAATTAAAAAAATTTGTCCGCAAAGAAAACCACGTAGCCCATATTGTATTAATGGAAGGGTATTTGTTTTTAGAAGATTGAATATAATGGGAAGGGATGAAATGCAGGGGTTTGCATGAGTTTCTGTGGGGTGATGAAATGAGAATCAAGAGAAACTGTGCTACGCCAGTCTCTGTGCACTCTACCCTTGTTTTGTCTCTTATGTCTCTTGATATTCGCAAAGTTGGAAATACATTTCAAATAATAAAAAAACCGCGGGGTACGACCGTTTCTGTGTCGGGGAGGGAAGGATTCCCGATCACTTGACGGCGAACTTGCTAACAGTGCCTAAGAAGTAACCGTGGGAACGGGTTATAATCCCTCCTTGTTAGTTGACAAAGCTACGATGGCTAATTAAGGTCAGAGAAGGCTCTGCACCGGCAAAACAGAAAAAATGGAAGGAAACAGGGATGGATATGCTCTTGGGCGGGGCGGGATTGCATTTCCGGTATTTTGCCCAGAAAATGCGTGGCATCTAACTGAAAAACGTCCTAGTGAGCTGGTGCGTGAATGTATGGGCCTTACAGAAAAGCTTAGATCGCCCGAACGTTGCATAGCGGTTAATGCGCGGCCGTATAGCGGATTGCATACAGCATCCGAAGAAAGATTGGGTTTAGCGTCAATCTGATTGATTATGTAATATTAGCAAATTTATTTCTTTTCATATATTGTTAAAATGCTATATGTAAGATTAGTCTGCAAAATGCTTGTACGTTATACGATGCGTGGGTACAGCAATTGGAGAGTTACTAGCCTAATTGTAGTTTACATCTTATTGACTACAGCTTGTTTATTACGTTGTCTAGTATTTCTGCCATTTTGGTCCAGTTTTTGATTCGTAAGTTTTCGTTATTCAAATGGGCGTTATCTGTTGACTGACCACACGGAATTTGTACTGCCGGTGCTTGGAAGATATGTTCCAGTGTTCGCAAGCATGGGATAGAACCACCTTCTCTCACGAACAGAGGCTCTTTCTCCCATGCCAATGCTAGTTCGTCTCTTAGGACTCTGTAGGCATGATTGTTTGGGTCTCCCAGCCAAGGCTCGGCTTCATTTAAAAGCTCTATCTCTAAATGATTCTCAGTGTTGAGAGTATCAAAACAATCCCTGATGTACTTAAAAAGGTCCTCTTTGATCTTTGCAACGTGCTGGCCAGGAACAAGCCTTATTGAGAGGCCAATGCTTGCTGTTTGAGGTATAACCGTTACGTTTCCTGGACCACTGATTTTCATTGATGTCAATGATAATGATGGTTTAGCCCAGTTTGTGACCAGATCATCCGCTGTTGTGTCTCTGTTAATGTCAGCAATTTCGATGATTTTCTGAAATCTCTCATACTCTTCTTGGTCAATCTCTTTGACAGGTGAATAGAAGTCGGGTATAAGTACTCTCCCATCAGTATCCTGCAACTTCGATACCACATTGATCAAGTCGGCTGTTGGTTCTCTATGTACACCACCATCAACACCTGAATGTCTGTCTGGGGCATCACTAGAGATTGTCAGTTTAGCGTTGATCACACCTCTTAGTCCGTAATTCAAGCAAGGGTTATTCTCGTCAACCCATGTAGAGTTGCTCAAAAATATCCAGTCTATAGCGGTATCTAATCTTTCTCTAAATTCTCTGCATACCTGTGCAAAACCTGGTGACCCACATTCTTCACTACCCTCGACTAAAAATATAACATCATTTAAAAGCTCTCCTCTTCTGTGCAAATTTGTTACACTATATATCGCACTGACTAATGGGCCCTTATTGTCTGTTACACCACGACCTTTCATGTAGCCATTCTCACAAGTTAAAGTAAATGGATCACTCTGCCAATTTTGTGTGTCACCGGCATCTATAACATCATAATGCCCATACCAAAGAATGCATTTTTTTTTGTCCTGAGTTTGAGATCCAATAAACTTTGCAGTTACAATAGGACTACTGCCTTTCGTTGATGGCAAAAGTTGGCAGTTAGTTGCACCTAGAGAGGTAAAAAGTTGCTGCAAGAAGGTGGCACATTTTCTTAAAGCCATCTGATGTAGTGTAGATTTGCACTGTGAAACAGTTTGAAATTGAATTAAGGTTTTCAAAGTTTCTAGCATTTCTTCATTGTTCACTGGGGATGCTGATGACGATTTGGTAGAGTAATATGATATGTTCGAAGAGTTTGCAGATAAGGTAGAGGGTCTCATGGTAAAACCTGTTTCCATTAGTGTTGAAACATCCCATAAGGTTAAAGAACCGTCATTTCCACCAGCCAACAAATATACAGTTAAAGAATGGTTAGAGTTGCTCTTCTCAAATATTTCAGAGCTTAAAATTTTACCTTGATTGGGATTCCAGTGTATAGCTTGATTTTCATATATCATATTTATCCCAGATTCGTCGATAGCAAAAATATGGTCCTTATAAACTGAAATAGACGTGATATCATCGTCATTTTTCGTCTTGATTGTAGAGACTAGTTCCCTAGTGCTTAAATCCCATATATTAATTATACCTTGAGTCAGGCCCGAATACAGAAATGGAAATTCAACAGCCTGCGATATTACGCTATCATGATTATCTAATTGAATATCCATAAAAGTAATGGTAACAGTATTGGCCCTGCCAGAAAATTTCCATATCTTATTAATTCCATCCCCGCTTGCTGATGTTATGTATTCCACATTTGTGTCATCAGATCTCTGAGTTGAGAAAAATGAATGAAACTCATTATCCAGTTTGCAGATCGAATAAATGAAACCATTATGTGCGTATGGCACAATGTTTTCTGAGGGTACTTCTAATATTACATTTTGTGTATCACTGTCGTCACCGGAATCTGTCCCAGAATCACCATAATTTGGTTTCTTGGAACCCGTACCAGTGGGTCCTTGTGAATCAAAAAATTTATCGTACCTACGGTGTGGTAATCTATTCATATCTCTTGTAGAGCTCTTTTGAGCAATACACATTCTTTCACATAGATTCTCTAAGAATAGCAAGCTTGCGTTTTGGCAACCAAATACCAAAGTATCTAAGGAGTCCAAATATTTCATAGAAAATATGTCACCTATATCAGTCACAGAGTATATAGTTGCCATTTCCGTCAAGCAAACCCCATGGTGACTGTCTCTGGAACCCACACGCCACACTCTCACTAATGAGTCAGCTCCGGCGGAAAACAAGTATTTCTCATTTTTAGATTTGGCCAAAGAAAGGACACTAGATCTAGTATTATTCTCACTTATCTCACCTAGCTTAATTGTTTCAATCAAATTGTATGCAGGTAGATCAAACACCAGGATCTTCGAATCCTGAGTACCCGCAATAAGCAGCTTCTTTTTCGGAAACGGCAGTATCGACAAAATAGAATAAGTGTGGGACCACCTATGTATCAAATCTGAGTTGGCAGACATTTGTATCAAAAAAAGGCTTATAGTGGTTGCTGTCGTTGGATTCTTTGAGTTCCCTATAGTTTTCTATTCCAATAAAGTTCCTCTTTCGCACAAAACACAGAACTAGCAATTCCACGGTTAGCGCACAATAAATAAATATAATTATCACCAAATAAATTTGGAGTTGTTGTTGATGTGGTACTCAAGAAGGTAATATGAATAACAAAGGTAGATGTTATGTGGTATTGGGTTACTTAAATCCTATATACTAGTTGGCACTATGAATTCTTTGGTACGGGCCCTATTTTTTTTTCAAATTACTGTGTAACTTGTCATTGTAGGATCCCAGCGAAGATTCCAATCGAAATGCCAAAGCTGTGGATTAATTGCAAGCTGTGGGCGCACTGCAAGTAATGATCACGGGTACTTTCTATATCTTGGATATTTAGCTGGTATAGCTTGGTAATAGGGCAACAATAACTTTTGTATACAGGCGCTGAACAAGACTTCTGTGAGATGCTGAAAGCTACTGGTGTTAACTTGTTTCAGGGATCTAGGACGACGCTTCTTACTCGTCCTTGGGTGAAGTATCGGGATGGTACATTGTTCTATGGTGAGTCTAAGGCAGGTAACAAAAGGACACCTTTGACCACCAAACAAGGTAATAAAGATATGTATAAAGGTACTAGGTCTTCTGGTATTGGTAGACATACTAGGAAAGGTGGGTATGTGATCGAGTGGAGGAAAGTTCGTACTTTTGTCACGCCGAAGGATTATAATATGGATTTGAAGCCTCTTGTAAGTCATAATGTACCAGAGTTGAAACACCATTTTAAGGGATATAAAGGTGGTATTATGGATGCGCAACTGTATGCTGATAAGTTGAAGGAATATGTTCTAAAAGGTAGGATACAAAGCGAGGCAAGTGATGTGGATTGCTACATTGAGCGAGGTTAGTCGTTGTTAAAGGAAACTCTGATAGTGCTTCTTCACAGTCTGAGCCACAAGATTATTTTTGATTATTCAATTACATGTAAATATACTGAGAAACACCATTTAATAATGTACAAAATATATATCGGTAAGCATAGCTATAGGAAACCATACATAGCACCGTGACCCCTGTGAATTCATCGTTTCATTAACTGTTGTCATTTGAGTAGTACTCGTAGTACCTACTATAAATATAGCAGGTTCTAGAAGAGATTTGTCGATATACTGTTACAAAGATGTATCCATCAGTTTATTAATGTCATTAAATTTTAAATAAATGTTGATTTCGGTAGAATGGTAAAGAAGAACAAAAAATGGAGAAAAATTGTACATATAATGAATATAAGAGAAAAATGTTCTGTTTCCTTATATTTACATACCCATTGGAGCACCTAGAACTTGAGTCAAAGCACTCTGACCACCACTTTGTTGGTAGTCCAAGGTGATTAATTCTAGTAAAGAGAAACCCCCAGCAACACCAACAACAATACCAGCAGCTTTACCCTTCAAACCGAGTAATTCACCGCAGACAGTGATAGCAGCTAGAATGGCAGCACCAGTCTTGGCAGCAACTGGAATAACCTTGTTCAATTCTTTAGCGACACTTTGTTCTCTGCGACCATTCAAAGTGATACCTTGTTCCTTGAATTCAGCAGCGACATCACGAGCAGAAGATCCAGAGATTTCTTGCCACTTATCAGCAAAGTAGACACCAGTGGCAACCATAAATATTGTGTATGTAATCAAAGTTAGAGGTTGCTCAGTGATACTGCTCAATAATGATCTTGGTGGAGTCAACAAAGACAGAGGGAAGGATGGTACTGCCAACAAGTTGTTAACCATGTCATAGTGACCCAAGACTTTGCAGATTGGGTTTTCGATATTGTTCTTGGCAATCAATTGGATTAAAGTAAATGCACCAATGTGGATGTAGAATAAGATGACGTAAGAAAATAGGACAGACAGACAGCCTACATATAGGAGACGGATTGGGTAGATGTTGCTCATACCACGAGCTCTAGTGGATCTGATAGCCAGTTCCATACGAACACTTTGTAGGTAGCAAATAACTGCAGCAATACCCAAAACAATAACGGTAGTTGTAAGGTTTGGCAAGTAGTCTCTGTTGAAAGCAGAGATGATACCTTCAAGCAAAGATCTGTGCTTAGCTCTGAAACTTTGAATCAAGTTGATCAAAGAACCTTGTGGCTCAGTGTTGTTGTCTTCATCAACAGAAATTTGAGAAATTCCTAAAGTGTCAGATACCAAGTTAGTGGCAATAGAGACGGTGTTAATAACCATCATACCGGAAGAGAAACCGAAGCCTTTATCAACAACCTCACTGATCAAAGTAGTGACCAAGCCAGCACCACATAGTTGCAAGTTAATCAAACCAACTTGAACAATAGAAAGGTTTTGACCATAGTAGCCAGAGTAAATGAAGATGTTGGCCAAGATGAAGTATTGGAACAAGGCAAACAACTTGATCAAAGTTTGAAATAATTCTCTATCTTTTTGGTTCTTGAAGTTAACCTTAATAACCTTAAGGCCAGCTAGTAGTTGTAAGATGAGGGCACTAGCAACATTTGGGAAAATACCAAACTCAAGTAGGGTTTTTGGTTCAGCTGCGAAGACACCACGCAAGAAGTAAAGTGGGTCATTAACTTGAGTGCCTGGAGCTGTTTCCTTTGGTAGACCTACAAGAGGGAATTGGGCAAATAGGTATATCAATGCAGAGAAGATTGTGTAAACAACCTTGTCATCAAAAGTAATCTTTTCAAATGGAACTTCCACTTCAGGTAAAAGTGGCAAGAAAGTTCTTGCCAAATCAATCAATTTGATAGCCATTCTAAAATGGGAATGTGTAATCTTTTTATCTTGGTTGCGAGGAGTTATTTCAGGAAATCAATTGAAGGTTATGAGAATTCAGTAGCCTCAATTTATATCGATCGTAACTATTTGTAAACCGGGATTGACCTTTAACAAAAAAAGGATAATTCAGTAGGTTATCAAGTGTTAGAAAGTCGAAATATGAATCCGATGTATAGTTCTTTCCTGTCTTAATAAAGCAATTACCACTAGGAGTTGTTCAACACAAAGCAATAAGAGGAAAAAGGAACCGTTATTCTATGCTTCAATGTGAATGAAATTGCCGTTATAAAATCAACAACTGTCAAAAAAAAAGTGCTGTTAAATAGAATTGGCCTAACGATTGTTAATTATTGATCGATTTGGAACAATGTTGAAATGCAAAAAGGGTATTATGTTGGAAGTGTGAACGCTACGTTGCAACTAAATTTACTCACTCACACCATATTAGTATTATCGAAATTATTTTAATGGCAACGACCAAGGAAAGAGGAAAAAAAAAAGAAAGTAGAATGAAATGAAAAACGACAAAAAAAATTAATTGCGAACACTGCAAAACAAGTCCTGCACAAACAATTCAGGCGAAATTCACCAACGTAAACAATCGATTCCATCAATTCTGTTTTTCCTTCGTTCTTAGGAGAAGCCAGTGACAAAATAATTATTGAAAATGGCAGTCAGTAAAGGATTAGACAATTCTGTTAAAAGAACAATATGCTCGTTATTTATGATGTATCATGTGCTGGAGTTTTTAATAATATGCCAGCCAATACTTCATTAAGCAGTCCCTTCCCGCCTTAAGCAATTGTAATGCTATCACACTAGCTCCCTTATTTAATATTTTTTTAACATCATATTGTGTAACTTAGCTCTATTTGATATATGATGTTAGATTTGCAATTGCTGATATCCGTTGTTTTGCTATGGTGCAAACAAAAAAAAACTGTGCAGCTTATGCACAAGACCACAAAAACCTGTGTAAACATATTGCACAATGTATCCTTTCATAGGTTTTGGGAACTATATATTTATTCAGTAAGCAGTTGTACCTCCTGATGAGCATTCAAAAATATAATTAAGACCTTGCTCATCCCAACGTCCTGTGTTACTTATATTACAGCGGGAGTAATTAAGCGCACAGACTTAGCAAAGCATTCATTTTTCAAATTAATTCAACCATGGAATTTTTTATCAGAATATTTAAAATAAACACAAAGCCAGCAATAGTTGAAAAAGAGTGCGATGTGAACTCATTGGAGATGGCTAGTATTTTCAGCAAAACAAAAAGCGTTTCCAATCTGAATAGCGGTGAGATAGACCATGGCGCAACTAGAAGACAATCAAAGCAGAAACGAAAACACTCCATAAGAGAAAACAAAGATAGCAGTCATGAATCCCTGTGTTACAACGATAAGTATCAGCGTACCCTGAAAGCCACAACCCGTCGAAAGAATAAAAAGAAGCGTCGCCACAACAAATAGCTTTCCCAGACTATATGAATGAGGGAAAACAAAATAATAAACAATAAATACAGTACATAATAATAGAATGAAAAGTCATATCTGCTTAAACAACTTAAGTGGCTATATTTCCAGTGATGTTCGTATGATTTACTAAACAATGGCTGAGATCTAGTACCAGATCTGGTGCCTGGAAATTATAAGAGCCGATATCGTGAAGGACGTTTTCCTCAAAGGGTGAGGTGTCCAGTGCAGGAGATCGTGTAAATCATTTCTCGAGTCACTTTTTAAGGTTGTTGACCTGTCAACTTCCGGTGACAACTATATAAAACGGAAGGGGTCTTCCAAACTTCCTGGAGAAAGTTGAATAACCCAACTTAGTAAAGTTTATAATTTATATTTGTAATTGCCCTGAAGTTTACCTAGATAAGAAGCTGGTAGGTTTCTATATTGTTTTTTTTTTCTGATACTTTTGACAGGTTTCCTAATATTAATCATCTAAACCCAAAGATAATATGAGTGGCGAAACTGTATATGTACGTGGTGAGAATGGAGAAGTTGTACGATTGTCCCAAGTATTAGCATGTGAAGATAGCAAAGAACTGGTTAATTATTTCTGGGGAATTCAGGATTCTCGTATGGTCAAGTTTAAATGTTCAGAAACCATTGCTGACAACTTGAAAGTTGAAGTATTCTTGGGTAATACGCATATAAAGTCTGGTATGCCCTTTTATATTGTTGAATTTAACGACTCGGATGAAGAATTCTCTGTTTGGAGATCTGATGGTCAGTGGGGTGCAGACGAAGCTGTTGTGCAAGGCTGGTACGATACGCTGCATGGTAATCATCGCTCGGCTAAAAAAACTAAATCAGACGACTGGAGAGAATTTGTTGGAACGAAACGGATGCAAGAGCACCCAAATAAAATAGAACTAGAAAATAGCTTGAAGAAATTAAATGTTGATTGGAGTAATTGTAATGCTAGTGTCTTCTGGAAAGAGATCGATAATCATTGTCGAGTTGATGCTAAACAGGCCTCCAAGCATGCTACCGCTTCTACTGAAGGCTTCCATCACATTGTTCTTTTGGCGTTAATTAAAGCTGAATTATCAAAAAATAAACATGTAATCAAGAATCAAATTGACGCATTCCATGCGCGGATGTCTCGTAAACATAGGTTTAGAAAGAGCCGCAAGGATTCTATTATGGAAAGTATTTCAGAGGATAGCTGTGAAGATGAAGAGATGATTCGCGTAAGATCTTTGTCTCCAAATTATACAACAGCAACTCATTCTCCTCGTGCTGTCGAAGACATTGATAACGAGACATCAAAGCAAATTATGAGTAACTTCAATATGTTGTTTAAGCCCATTGTGGAAAACTTTGAAGATGTTTATCTGGATAAATACTCGAAGTATCCCGAAAGGAAGCGCCGGAAGCAAGCAACAAACAGGGTGTCAAAAATTAAATAGAGTACCGAATTAGTCGTGAATGTGATCTACAAGAAACTTTCACGTTGATCAAAATACGGTTTGATCATTCGCAAAACTCTAAATCATGTGCCAAGTTATAATAAATCTCAAATATTTCTATCACAACAAAATACTACTAATAAGATTAATTGTTTTTGACTTTGATAAGCTGGTATCCATAACGCCTTACTTTTTTTGGTGCCAGTTTATGGCTTTCCATTTTGCTATAATGTAAATATTAAATGAGAAAGATAAGAAAGGAATAACAAACCGTTATAAATACGCATAAAACTAATAATAATATAATGTTTAATTAATAACAATCAACACATGTAGTTGTAACTCTTTTTGGCACAACTAAAACAAGCATGAAGAGATTCTAGGTTAAACATAAATCATCGATATCATTTACTACGTTGGGAAACAGCTAGCTGGAATTCACTCAATAACGGGAATAATAACCATTGTTGATTATGGCGTTTGTATGTTCATATATATCCAATTGTACTGAGCAGCAACTATGTTTTTATTGTTTAAGTTTTCCATATATCATCCTGACTAAGAATTCTCAGTGAGTTGTGTCAAAAATCAGGAGGCCAGTTCCCCACAGTTTGTGAAACCCAAGCGGCCTCAACGAGCATGTACAAGTTGCAGGTGGTTTTGATCCAACCTCAAAATCAATTGAAGGCAAACGGTTACAGTATTGATGGAGATAATAGTGATGATCAGACTATCACAACCATTAGAAATGGTGGTCACATAATCCGTGACCATACTCGAAAATTCCTGCATTTCACAAAGCCTGAAAATACTTTGCTTCAACTTGCTGATGAGATTGAGAATAGGATCACCAAGCTATATTCAAATCTGAATATTGAAAGTTTTGAGATATTAAGTTTACAGGATATAAACCATTGTGATTTAGACGCAACTTATCTTGTGAAAGATGTTTTTTCAATGGATAACACAGTTTTAGTTATTTTAAAAAATGAGCTGGAATTTATTGACGCAAATGGTACACTAAATGCTAATGATTTGCATGATGCTGGAAGAATCTCTGCTTATAGCTCAGTAAGAAAGAGGAGAAGTTCAAAAGCATTTGGAAATAGCAGTAGGATTGAACCGCAGATTTTAGTACCTAAGAGAAGTAAGCCTAATAATTTGGCACCTTTGAGTAATAACTTGCGTGTTACTTCGCCATTGGCTAATGAGATATCTAATGATGAGATAAATTCATCGACTGTTGTTATTAATCGTAATGTTTCGACTGCATTTGCTGCCAATAGATCAACTTTAACTGACAGGTCATTTTTACCACCACCGGCACAACCACAATCGCCTGCCATCAGGATTAGTTCTGGTATTGGTGACGGTAAGAGAATATTTTCAGAGTCACAGAACTTGGATGTAGTGTCTAGGTCAGAAGTAGTCGACCCTGATAAATCAAAGCAACAGTTGATTGTGCCAGATATTCCTATGGAGTTTATTTCAACGCCGAATAGAGTGAATTTGAGTGGGCAGCGTGTAATATCAGAAAGTCAACCAAAGTCTTTGGTTTTTAGTAAAAAGAGAATTAACAGTCCAATAAACAACCATATAGATGTGCAACTCGAAAATGATAGTAACACTGCCCGAGGTAAGAAATTAGTTGGTGCTGAACGTAAAATTTTACCCAACACTAGAAACTCCGATTCACCCACAAATCGTAACGACAAAAGAACATCATCACTTGAACTAAAGGTTCATAATAAAAGGGTAAATTCCACTAATATTCCCATAATTGAGGATGTATTAAAGAGAATCGATAACTTTTCAGATACCGAGGAGGGTCAAATAGTTCACAATCCGGTAAGAAGTACATCGTTAGCCTCCAGGCAGTATCAAGTTGATTATGGTACCAACACAACTGATGAAAAAGATAGTGTTAGAAGTATAATTGGTAGTGATAAAGAGCAGACTATGTGTAGAAGTGAAGAATCTACTAAATCTTTAGGTACATCTTTGGATCCTACAACTGAAACTGAAAAAATAGCTCTGGGTGTCATAAATGGTCCTTCGTCCCTTCCTAATTCGAAAAAAGAGAATAAAGAATTGGCAGTTAAGCTACACAATACAAACCTTAATGATTCTCCAAATGCCACTGAGATAAACACTAAGACTCCTAAAAAAAACACTGATAAAGCATCTTCTGTCTCTAAGACTTCTCCAGTAAAGACTTCATCTTCAAAGGTTTCGTCACCAAAGAAAACACCAACATTATCAAAAAAGCTGCAAGCGATAGTCGATCATGAATATCCAGATGAGTCAAAAAAAAGGAAGAGCCCCATTGCAAAAGAAGTGAGAAATATTACTGATAATAAGAAAAGTTCTAATGTGAGAACACCCAGTAAATCACTTAAGGTAAATAATATGGAACTATCTCTAAAAAGCTTGATTTCACAACAGTCCACACCAAATAATCTTGAAAGGTCGGCAACGAAGGAAAAAACTGATTATGACACCATGAAGGACAATCTAAGAGAAACTTTGTCAGCGTTAAAGCAAATAAAAAGTGTTGCATCCCCTACCTCCGCAAAATCTAAAACTGCAGCAGAAAAGATCACCGAGATCAAGGAAAAGGTTTTGAAAACCATCACAAATGCAGAAAAACCCCTAACAGTTAAACTGGCTAACGGAAATATTTCTGCTGGTAAAAATGAGAAGGTTGATAATGAACAAATAGCTAAAGGTATACCGGTGAAGATTTCCAAGATTTCTTCTCAACCACACGTTGCTACTACGCCAAGAAAAGAAAATCGAGCCCAACCTTCGACTTCTGCTTTAAGGAAGTCACCACGTATATCTTCACAATCAAATAAAACGAATACTAAATCAATTAGTGCAACCCCAAATAAATCTGCCAATGAAAAACCTCTATCTACGAGTAGAGATACAATACGATCTTCTCAAAATGGCAGTTCAAAAGAAACTGTGAGTAATGACCAATCATCATCACATAACATACAGAACTCAAAAAGTACTAAGAGCGCTGTTGTATCATCTTCACAACCGGTTCATAACTCTAACCGATTGCAACAACAAGACAATTCTATCTCTGAACCGAGTTCTGCAAAGAAACACGGTATGGCAAGTAGGTATGAGAAAGCAGGGTTGATTAAGAAAGTGAAATTGTTACGTAAAGAATCAGATAGTGATTCTGATTCAAGTGACAGCTCTAATGATGATAGTAACAGATCGTTTAGATCATCTCAATTAAGATTGTCACAGCCGAAACAAAAGTTGGTCGGAAACTCGCAGACGGAATCTAATGGCACTGATAAGGGTACTTCTGGCAGACAGGGTAAAAAAAGCGAAAAGCAATACTTGAGTAAAGAGTTTGTTGATAGTGATAGTGACGAAAGCGATGCTGGTAGCAGTGACTAATCAAAGTGGTTACATTGAAGAATAGTGAGATACAAATAAGTTGATAGATTACAGCACGATATATATAACCACATAATAGCATAAATTGTATAATATAATTTAACGTTGGCATGATGAATCTTAAGAGAAAAAAAATTTATTCACATAATGCGAAAAGAATAATTAAGTTCATTATCATATCGATATATTGATAACGGTGTTCAGATTAAAATAAATAGCTTTTTGTTCATTACCAGTTACCAAAACATGTATTTAGAAAAATACAATCAAAAAAAAATAATGGTTGCTAAGAGATTCGAACTCTTGCATCTTACGATACCTGAGTGCTCCTGAGTTTGTTAACCCAGTAAGTATTTTTCAACTTGAATCAGGCGCCTTAGACCGCTCGGCCAAACAACCATATCGTATTTGTTGAAGGCTGGATTAACTTTGCTAACCATATCTTACATTTTAATATCACGTGCAATTAAGTGGATTTATCCAATTTAGAAGATATGTTGGTATTGCTACTTGACTTTCCTAATTATTAGGGCATAATTATGCTGAATCGCTAATTGACTATGATCAAGACGAATAACAATAACGACGGGCAAATTGCTTCGGTTTTTGTTTAATTCCAACGTTTATCTGAGTGTTATATATCTTTTAGCATGCCGTTCTTTGAATTATTTTAGCATAATATAGAACGGATCATAGAAATTGTAAACACTAGGAGTTATGAATACCAGATAGATTCACAAATGATTCACCAAAGTTTATATTTATTAATGAATATAATGCAAAATTTGTATCATACCCTACTCCATTTATACGATAACTGGAAACCCTAATTTGCACACCTTATGGTTAGGGCACAAAATAACCATAATTTAGGTCCAGTAAAATTAGGGCTTGTATTCTTGCTAAAGGTGCCATCCTATGGCACCCCTCTGTTTAGCATTGATTATCGATGGATGAACATCAAACAATGGACCTTTTTTGCTTGACACAGGTCCACATATAATACAAAGATAATAATCATCAATCAATAAATAGAACTTGTACATAATTTGACTTGAGTAAAGAAGGCCATTTTTGAGAAAGCTGCTCACTGTAGAGTCAATTTTGCTAGAAAAGACGTTTACAAAGAGTGTGTTAGACTATATTGAACTCTCCATATCACACCGAATTAAGAGATAGTAGGGTATAAGAAGTTGATTATCAGGGCATTAGGCGAGTCCATACATCTTAATGGATACGAATACGACTTTCCCAAGGGATAATGTCCCACCTGAAATCATTTACCAAATTTTGACATATCAGTTCAATGACTTCATGCGCAATGACCAGCCTGGATCAGCAGAGAAATTTAATGAAAATCTGGCAACTTTCTTAAAGAGTAACCTTACCGTGAACAAGATGTTTTACCATATCTGCAGGGTCCTTGTTTACAGATATTGTAACTTGACAACTGCCAAGAGATTTCATTCATTACTGACATCATTGAAGAGTAATGCCAGTTTAAGGAACGTAGTGCAAGTACTGGACTTCCAGGAATTGACATCTATTGGATTGGGACGGACAGGAGAAATGAATAAAATGATTAAAAATTTAACTAATGAGACTATTATGGAATTCCTACAACTAACTAGCCCCACTCTAAGAGAATTTTTAGCTAATGAGAATATCCAGGATGACTTAGATGCCAATATAATCAAGTACCTTTTCAGTAATAATAAAGTCCTTAGTGTTATTGATTTTTGTGGGTGTTCTGGACCTATATTTACCAAGAGTTTCATTGATGCAATAGAAGCTTTGCAACTAAGTGATCCCAATGGTGGAATGTACTTTAACTACCAAATAACTTGCTTAGGTTTAAATGACTGCACAGATCTCCCAAGTAAAACACTCAAGGCCACACTTCAGATGCTACCTGAACTACAGAAACTTGATTTGGCGCACACATCAATCGATGACGATACCTTAATAAATGGCATACCGCATTATAAGAACTTAACTCACCTTTCGTTAGCTATGTGCCTTCAACTAACACCAAGAGCAGTCTTAGAGTTTTTCAGTCACCATCCGGCTGTTACAGATGAAAATAACACAACGACCTTGGAATGGTTGAATGTCAGCGCACTTACACATTCATCATCTTGGACCGAGGTACACACGATGTTTTTACTTAAAAAGTTATGTAGGTATGGCCACAATAAGACTTTACAATACCTCAATATCGGTGGCTTACCTCTCCATATAGAGGAAATTGACTCTACTAACCCTTCTAATGCGGATGGTAATGGAGCTCAAATCAGATTTACAAGGAATGGATATTATATAACTACCCGTGATACTTTACAGTTCATAAAACTCAATTTCCCTAAGCTTAAAAGTTTAAGCATTAGAGGTAATGACATCCCAATATCTAAATTGGTTGATTTTTTAACGCCTGACCCAAAAATGACAACCCAATTGCATAAATCACTAAGTTCAACTAATAATTCCTCATACCTAGCATTACTGCAACCCCAACAGGAAGAAATGAACGAAAACTACCAGAAACTAAGATACCTAAATATATCTGACAACGCCCATGTCAACAGGTGGACAATTAATGAACATAAATTGTACACCAGCTGTCCTACTCTTGTTGCTCTCGAAGTATCATTTGACGCTTGGCAACAAATCGAAAAATCAAATAGGCAACATGAAATTATTGCTATGAAACCAGCTTACAATGTTGGGGATACCACTACCAGTATTGTGGACATGGCAAGAATGGAGCCTGTTAGATGGAAATGTTACATTGACTCGTCATACGGAAGGAGATACTGGCTATTCAAAACGGATCCATACCTAAATAGAGGTAACCTGGAAATGCTAACCAATGTTACCGAGTATGATTCCGACGGGCACAAGATCATAAAGATTATTAACCAACCAGACTTCTTGAAATTTGCGCAATGCAAGATCATGCTTGGATGTGGCTTGGTTCCGCAGAGTACCGTAAGGAGACAGAGATGCTATCGAGATTTAAAACCACCCATTTCACAATTTTTCACCAGAAATGGTGGAATCACCTTTGGTAATCGAGCAGTACCAATAACAGCACCAAGATTACCTTCTGGTGGCTGGAGAAGAATATACAATAATCTCGAAGATGCCAATCAGATTGGATCTGCAGATGACGAGTCAATGGGGCCCACTGATACAATCATCGAAGAAGACGAAAGTAGAGATACACCAATGCACTACAACCAAAATGGTCAGTCCTTTAGACCATTGTCCTCATCTACTGACAGTGGTGGTGCCGGCATTGAAAGTTATTTCCAGAGAAGATCATCTTCGTCTTCTTCTGTTGGAGATATCCGAGAGGGATTATATTGGGACCGATCAATCCATGATTTACAAGCATTTGGGTATTCTAACACAAATACTGGTGACAATGTCATGAGTGAGGATGACAGGTATGAGACCGACGATGAGTATTTGAACAACCCGGAACTGCAAAGGCGAAGGTCGCAATTGAGCTTATTTCTAAGAGCCTCCAACAATCCCAAACCAGCAGTAAGAAGGCCAGGCTTATCTATTCTAGGTGCAACAGACAACTCTCGATCCTCATCATCAAAGTCCCTCTTGACACAGTCTCAGCGCAGACCTAAGAACTACTACTACGAGCACCCAGAAGAGTTCCTGTACGACCCCAATGACCCTGCCACTTCAGAACGGTACAGAACCCACTTCCATCTAGTTAACGAATACGTGGTCTTCGGCTGTGTAGAAAGAGGCATGTACAGATACTACAGCTTAAAGGCATAAACTGGTATTACCTTCCATTTTCATTGTAATTGTTTTCAATTCCTAACATTTGCACATATTCCAGCATTGTAGTGAAAAAACTAGAACATTCATACCATAATATATATATATATCTAAATTTGCATACGTTCAAGCGACCACCCAGAGATACAGCACCAAGGCAATACGGTGCCCAGGATGACAAACTGCTCCATAGTTATCAGTAATCATCACGTGAAGGACCCCGGCTCTCCATTTGGGTTTTTCCCGTCTGACTTGCGAATCAAGTGAAGATATAAATAAACATTCAGTGGAAAAAAAGACTCGAAAAACTTAAAACAAGGAAGAAGAAAAGCGCATTTGTACGGGCTTTTCTGTTGAATCATGCAGGGTTTTTGTTTACATTGTGAAATTTCTTGTCAAATAAACTCTTCTCGCAGGTGATGTGATGGGCTTGCAAAAACTTGATAAACAAATGTTGGGTTACCTATGAGATGGATCGGACGCGCCTTGATTTACAGTGAGTATGTAATGAATACCCTTTGTTTCCTGTTTATTTCACTTTTGGCGTTGCACTTATTACTAGCTCTTATTTATTATTGATTACCATTGCATTGCTATTTGGTGGGGGTATTCACGCGACCAATTGAGCATATAAACCCTACTTGATAAACGCAATACTTTTTTTTGCATATAACCATACAACGGTTAGTATATTAGGTGACTTTTGAGAATAACTTCAGATACTATTATTTATAACACACATACGAGCTGATTGATAAAGTTGGTGGAAACAAGACAGCGTTGGCATTGACATATAGCAATTGCAAGACATGTCATCACAATCTGGAGGGTCGTCCGCGGGTGATACCTCTGGCTCTTCATTTGGCTCTATAGATACTGTCCTGCTCACAGCTGACAGGCGCGAGAGTCAGCTAGATGTGTCAGCAATTCAGCGACAGTCATTATTTATCGAGAACATAGATGAAAATAAGAGCAGTCTGACGTTTGGTGAGGCGAACACTAGCTCTAGTAAAATCTCATCCTATGAGAAATTATCAGAAAATAATGGGAGATCTGAAAGATTGTATCCAGTATACGTTGATGATTCTAAACATTCTGCAAGTAGTTCAAATGGGGTCACGTCAACACCAAGCCCGCCATCAAAGAGTAATATTCTGAAGGAAAATATCTCTGAAAAACAAGATGACCTGGATGAACAAGATGGACGAGATGACGATTTTATTTCGGCCAAGAGTCAATATTCAATTGATGAAGACGATATCCATGTTCCTGGCTACACAGTGGGCGAGAACAAATCAATCAACATAAGCCCCGGAAGGGCATTAAGAGATTTTAATGTACGACAGAATAGAGATAGTATTATTACTGTATCAACGTCCGTGTTATTAGACTCGGCACAAGATAATATTCTAAATACACCCGGATCTGGAAGTATTCATCCTAGTGAATTCGACCCACGGGAGAGTGCCTTACTAGAGACACTATCACCACGAGGCAGAATACGACATAATTCTCAGAGTCATGATAAAATTATGGACAATAACAACGATACAAATCTTATGGAAAAAATAAAATCAAGAAGGGAAGAAAACTCAGCAAATTTCGAGAGGGAAATAAAATTATTGGAAGAAGAAGTATCGAAACCCAGCTATGTCAACAAGACTAGTGGGAATGTTCCAAAAGTAGGAACAATCGATGAACTACAGCGTTTTGCTCAGGAAGAAAGAGGTAGACCACCTTTAGAACATTTCAAAACGGAATCTGAGTTTGTGCCTCTAGAGTTTAATTTATCTAGACGGAACTCTCAAACGACTTCTTCATTTAATGGCTCTCCTTCAATTAATACATTTCTATCAAGAAAATCATCCCCAGAAAATAAACTTGCAATACCACAGAGTCCCTCCCTCATAAGCAAGATATTAGTTCCATCACCAGTAAATAGCAACCGATTCAATGACAGAAATATAAGTGGGAGCAGTGGAAGTAGCGGAAGCAGCTCCAGATATAGAACCACATCCAACAACTCTCAACAATCGTTAATAAGACAGAGAAGGAATGGAGATTACGTAGCAATACCAGTACTACGAACTGTCTCCGGATCAGGCCAATGGAGAGCAGGTTCAGAATCAAATTCATCCTTGCGCGATTACACACCAACTAGACAAAGATTTGAGAAATTCAGACTGGAAACTCCAGAATCGCTAGTACTCCCCGATATTGAGCCGCACCGCCAAAGTGATATTCCCGAAGAAATGCCATATCATGACGAAGAAGATAACGATAGAGACAATGAAAGCGTTCACGTCAAACAATTGGTTGAGCCTGGTACCATGGAATTGTTGGAACCAGAAGAAGCATACTATAATTCGAGGGACTCACCAAGGGACAATATAAAAATAAGCGGCAACGTTCAACCTCTATACTCTAATAAAGCTGTTGCCATGCCACATGAGGAAGATGATAAACAAACCTACGGCAGAATTTCCAGTATGGAAGATCATGTGGATGTAGAGGCGTTTGGTGACATGATAAGAATTAGACACGATGACGGTGAGGTAAGTACAGTGCAAAGTATCAACTCTCATGATTATGCATTTTCTGACCTGTACAGCATAAAAAGAATCATTATCGTTATGACTTTGTGTTTTGTTTCACCGCCACTTTTCTTTCTCATGGGAGTAGGCTATAAGAGGGCGAACTATCAGCGTTATCTGGTGTCTGATTACAAGCTAATGAGGATGCTAATGAACCCAGATTACAGACAAGGTCTGCTGAAAGGCTTCGTCTGGGAAGTAGACTTGACATGGTTTAGACGCTTGTGTTTAGTGCTGGGCACTATAGAGATGCTATGCGCGTTCGCTGGTATCGGTATCGGATTTGGTGTCGGGCTTACGAGGTAACATCATTTTATTTTATTTTTTTCTGATTTTATTAAATCAGTTTCATTCACGAGCACCAAAAGTAATTGCATTATAACATATTTTCTCTTTTTCGTTCATACATAACAATTTAATTAGCATTTTAACATTATTCATTATCATATTAACATTACTGACTATCATTTCAACAGTAGCTTGTACCATTTATGTATATTTTAAAGGTTGAAGTTTTTTAGGGCACCGTTTAGTAGGGTGACGTACTAGTATATTCATTCATTGAAAAGACGATATGAAAACTTTGCCATTTTTCTTTACAGATTCTTTGTAATACACGTTTACATTACATATGTGGTATAAACTATTTATATGTAAAAACACCGTTCCACTATCCTATTTATCTGGTTAGGAAGGAAATTGATGAATTAGGTATGATGATGTGCGAGTAAAAAAGAGTTTATTCCTTGTCCAGCGATTCTATCTATCACTTTTTTCCCCCCATTATGACAGAAAAAAAGGATGTTTGTTTTATGATCGAGGAAACTCTATATTTAAACCCACAGAAAAGAAACCGAATAAAAAAGACAATGACGTTATAGTAACAACAATGTAAAGCATGGTTAAAAAATGTGGGATTTTGAAAAAAACTAATAATAAAGCAGTTAATATACTATCTTTAATGATTAATTTAAGCCTTAACCTTCTTTTCAATCATGTCGAACAAAGTGATGATATCAGCAGAGAACTTTCTGATACCGTCAGACAACTTGTCGGTGGCCATGGCGTCGTCGTTTAGAGCGAATCTGAAAGCAGATTCGTTGTCGACGAAAGTGACCTTCTCACCAGCTTCGTCCTTGGCGGTGGCTGGGTCTAGGATCTTTGGAACTGGGTCGTTAGAGTTCAATAGTTGGTCTAGCAAGTTTGGAGAGATGGTCAAGTAGTCAACACCGGCTAGGGCCTTGATTTCATCTATGTTTCTGAAAGAAGCACCCATGACGATGGTCTTGTAACCGTACTTCTTGTAGTAGTTGTAGATGGCTCTGACAGACTTGACACCTGGGTCGGTTTCACCAGTGTAAGTTTCACCGGTCTTGGCCTTGTAGTAGTCCATGATTCTACCGACGAATGGGGAAATCAAGGTGATGTTGGCCTCGGCACAGGCGACAGCTTGGGCGAAGTTGAACAGCAGAGTCAAGTTACAGTGGATACCGTGCTTGCTCTCTAGTTCTCTAGCGGCTTGGATACCTTCCCAGGTGGAGGCAATCTTAATCAAGACACGGGACTTGGAGATACCTTGTTCTTCGTATAGCTTGATAATTTGTAGAGCCTTGGCGATGGTGGCCTCCTTGTCGAAGGATAGACGGGCGTCAACCTCGGTGGAGACTCTGCCTGGAACGATCTTTAAGATTTCCTTACCGAATTCCACAAGCAGTCTGTCGACAGCGGCTTCGGTTTGTTCCTCGACGGTCTTACCGTGCTTCTTACCGTACTCAACAGCAACGTCGATCAACTTGGCGTAAGCTGGTTGCTTAGCAGCGGCCAAGATTAGAGATGGGTTGGTGGTGGAGTCCTGAGGTTGGAACTTAGCAATGGACTCGAAGTCACCGGTGTCAGCAACAACAACAGTACCAGAGGCCTTCAATTGGTCTAGAGAAGAGTTAGTCTTTTGCTTCTTTTGAACTGGTTCAGACATTTTTTTATATTGTTTTGCTTGATTATGTTGTATGTAGTTTTTCTTGTTTAATAAGAAAGACGTTGCTTTTGGTATTTTTCTAACATTCGATTGGGATGCAATGTCTTATAACGTGTAGGGTATTTATACCCTGAAAAATTTCCTGGTTTTTTTGTGTATTGAAGTGATCCCCCTGCCCTTTGCTTCCCCTGTTTAGGATTTTCACACACACAGAGCATTAAGTCCAAATAGAATGCGATAGAACCAATGGTGAAAGCTAGTAGTAGAGAGAGAGTGTGTCTGTCCCGTTAAGCTAGATCAGAAACCTCCTTTTTCCGTGTCTCTCAGTGTCTCTCAGAGTCTCTCAGAGTCTCCCTTCCCACAGTATGGCCCTCCCACAGTCTATTGCCAGAGCCCTATTGCCAGAGCCCTATTGCCAGGGCCCTATTGTTATGCCAGAGTGTAATGCTACTGCCCCTATTCATCGTGAGAGAGGCCCAAAGGTTTATACGCGTTGCACTGTTCGTGCCCCTCCTTGCACACTACAGAGGTGCGCTTTCCAGACACCAGACAGAAACTGGACTCCCCTTTCTGTTTCTTTGGCAGAGCAGCGTTCGCAGCGGTGGCAGCAGTCGCTAAGAGATTTTCTTTTTGTGGGTGCTACAGCTGTTTCTGTGAGCACGTCTTAGAAAAGGGGGTAGAAGACAGGGGGTGGGAACTTGTCCCATCCAACACAGTACGTGATAAGAATCACGTAAGGTGGGAGGCTGGACTTCCTTCCCCTTATAGGCTTCCCCCCCCCTGTCTTCCAGTGCAAGTCAGAACGGTCGTGGGGGGGACCAAACAGAATTACAAATACCGTGCAGTGGGACGTGGTGGGAAAAAGACACCGTTGTCGGTGCTTTGGACTCGGTCCACGGGGTTATACTCTGGTACCAGGCCGTAGTAAGGCCGTAGTACGTGCAGTGCAGTGCAGTGCACTGCTTAGTACACATGTGATACTGTGTGTTTATGATATAACACCGTGCCGGTGTTATATCATCTCTAAGTCCAGAAGTATCCCAGAAGTATCCTAGAGGTATCCCAAAAGGGATCCCAAAAGGGATCCCAAACGGAAAGCTAAATCGTTTAGTACAATGTGTTTCCGAGTGATGCTCTACAGTTGCACTTTGCGTAATGCAGTTAGAGGAGTTGCATATGCATCTCAGGTCTTTGTTATATCACGATATGAATAATGGAAGCCTGTTGGAATGGCTGGCATCTCTGACATCATTTGTTGAGCAAGTTCAGCTTACAGACATCCACGCCCTACTAATAATAATGAATCAATTCTTATTGATATGGGTTTACATATGTTATATATATGAAATGCTATATGATGTGGTAGTTTTTCTAATATATTTCCCTGCGTTGGGGAAGGTTCTAAAGTTCTAGTTTACAATAGTATTGCGCACAGGATCTTGGTTCCTGAACTTGGAAGTTGTGGGAATGAATAATGAAAGTAATAAAGTTTAACAACGAAAAAAAGAAAAGGAAAATCAAAATAATAGATAGACGATCGTCAAACCCCCTATCCCCAAAAAATACTTGAAAAAAAAAAAGTTAAGAATGAAGTTTCCAGCACTTATATTCTCATGTGTTTCTTTCTCTCTCTATACTGGGTAGGTGAGATATTAATGACAATCTCTATAAAATTCATTGATCTGATCCTTTTGTAAATCTTTCCATCTTGTTAAATTTATTGGTTTTCTGGTCTCAACTTTCTGACTTCCTTACCAACTCTCCATATTTCCATGTCTCTGATGGTTTGCAATTCAGATTCTAGCTTCTCTCTGTAGTCTGGTTGAGAGTTGAATTCCAAGGATCTCTTGGTTTCACTACCGTTCTTGGTAGATTCGTATAGGTCTTGGAAGACAGGCTTCAAGGCGTCCTTGAAGATTGGGTACCAGTCCAAAGCACCACGTCTAGCAGTGGTGGAACAAGCATCGTACATGTAGTCCATACCGTACTTACCGATCAATGGGTACAAGGATTGAGTAGCTTCTTCGACGGTTTCGTTGAAGGCTTCACTTGGGGAGTGACCGTTCTCTCTTAGGACTTCGTATTGAGCCAAGAACATACCGTGGATACCACCCATTAGACAACCTCTTTCACCGTACAAGTCACTGTTGACTTCCTTTTCGAAAGTGGTTTGGTAGACGTAACCGGAACCGACGGCGACAGCCAAAGCTTGAGCCTTTTCGTGGGCCTTACCGGAAACATCGTTCCAGACAGCGTAAGAGGAGTTGATACCACGACCTTCCTTGAACAAAGATCTGACGGTTCTACCGGAACCCTTTGGAGCGACCAAGATGACATCGATGTCCTTTGGTGGCTCAACGTGGGTCAAGTCCTTGAAGACTGGAGAGAAACCGTGGGAGAAGTACAAAGTCTTACCCTTGGTCAATAGAGGCTTCAAAGAGTTCCAGGTCTCGGATTGAGCAGCGTCAGACAACAAGTTCATGACGTAAGTACCCTTCTTGACGGCTTCTTCAACTTCGAACAAGTTCTCACCTGGGACCCAACCGTCTTCAATGGCAGCCTTCCAAGAGGCACCGTCCTTACGGACACCAATGATGACGTTTAGACCGTTGTCTCTTAGGTTCAAACCTTGACCGTAACCTTGGGAACCGTAACCGATCAAAGCGAAAGTGTCGTTGGCGAAGTAGTTCAACAACTTCTCACGTGGCCAGTCAGCACGTTCGTACACAGTTTCAACGGTACCACCGAAGTTAATTTGCTTGATACCACGAGTAGCGACAATTGGCTTGATAGACTTTTGAGCCATCAAGGAAGCAGCTGGTCTCATAGAAGCAGCACGGGCAGCCAAGGCAAAAGTTCTCTTGGAAGTGATAACACGAGAGTTGCAGATCAATCTGGAAGCTTGAGCTCTGATCATTGTAAATGGAAATAGTTGTCCTGGTAGTGTTTGAAATCAAAGAATGTTATAGTAAGAAAAAGTTCTTAGAAGAGAAAAGAGTTTTTCCTTTTTTGTGGTCTTTTGAGTTTCTTGTGTTGAATTGGTTTATGAGATAAGTAATTGGAAGGAATAATGTTATAACTTGATATAATTTATAACCCTTTATATATATAATTTTTTTTTCTTTTTTGTCTTCTCAATTGTGTTCTTTTGGGCAAAAAGCTCCTCCATCGATGAAAAAAAAATTGCTGAAAAAAAATTCATTTTAGAGCGGTGATGCTATCTTGAAAGAGAGTTTCTACGAGGGATTGTGTGTGTACGTGTGTGGAAGTTATCAAGTTGGAATCGATCCCGGTGAAAATAAAATGTGGGAAAGACAATAAGAGTCATAAAGATCAGAGGGAAAAAAGAGATAATGGAGCGTAAATTGTGGGACTCACAATTCTCACAACTGAATGAGACATTACTAGAAAGGTAGGAAGTTTTTTTTCTTCCCACTCTCCCAAGCGTTCCTTTCTTTGGTTCATGTAGGAAGTTATAGCTTTTACTAGTGAGTCAACCGTTGTTGTGCGGTTGTAGAAGGCCTGTATTCCCATTTCCCAATAGGAGAGAATAGTGGAATGGGAAGACACGGTGTAACCCGGTATGACATAACATCAGTACAGAGGTGGTCCCTCTCTCCCCGAACTAGCGATGTCGGCTACTTTTTCAAGATTGTGCAGGCCGTGCTGATTCTTTTCTTCTCAAATGGCAAGGTGGAATTCCAAGCAGACTCAGACAGTAGTGCACATACGTCCTAGAGGTGAAAGGGTTTTTCTTGAATTCTGATCTTGCTCTTTGCTCTTTGCTCTTTGCTCTTTGCTCTTTGCTCCCGTTCCCGTTCCCGGCTATCGATACAGGCATTCCCTGCTGCATCAACACTTTCCCCCACTCTCTGCCTTGCAATCCCTGTTCAGCTGTGATTCCCAGACAGCCTGCCCACCAGGCCTGATACAAAGTTACCGTGAACGGCCAAAATAGAAGAAGACTCCTTCCGTTCAGAATCACTTGAACGCACACTACAGACTTCCCACCAACTACAAACCCCGTAACCGGTGCAGAGGGTATTTGTTTAGGGGAAGAGAGTGCTGACGTACAGGCGGATTTCATGTGAGTCACTTTTTTCCCTTATCAGTCATGTGGCTTCGGCAAGTGAGTAAACCGTTACCGGAAAGGCAGGAAGATAGTCATGAGTATTTAGTCATCTAGATATGCGTTATATGCTAAGCAGTTAGGCGCTTTTTTTTCATTTCTTTCACTATTGTTATTATATTAGTATTAGTACAAAATTGTGGAATAATAGAAGGTTATTGTGATAATGGAGAAACGTAAAGTCAAAAACAAATAGAATTTAATAAAACATCAAAAAGAAAGGAAATAAAACATACGATTATGAATTAAATATGAAAAACGAGCAATGAAAGGAGCAGAAAAAACAATTGCTGTCTATCTTACAATGTGACCGACTTCTTCTAGTTGATGCTCTATCTGTTCCAGTTCTTGTCTCTCTTTATCAATCTTGGCCTGCAATTCTCTTCTCTCTCTTTCAGATGGTTCTAATCTTGCATTCACGACATCTTTGATATGCGTTAGATAACCACCACCAAAACTGGCGAGAATACCACCTTCATCATCAGTGTTAGATTTTAGGTGCGGGATATACGCACAGTACATAGTCGCACGACATTCTGAGATCTGTTTCCAAGGATTCTTTCTGGTGTCTGGAACAATAAACCCATTGATGTTCAATTTGCTCTTGTATATCTCATCCAGGTTATGCTCATCCAAATACCTATCGGTGAAATATTGGGAGTCACGTGAAAAGTCTTCGTGAGCAGCGTTCTCAAACTTACAAGTGACAAGTCCATCTTTACTCCATACCAGTCTACCCACATCATCACTGTGGGACACTTGCGTACCACACACATATGCATAGCCTCTTCTTGGGCCTTCGCTCTCCAGTTTTATTTCACCCAATATACCTGCATCGATTGAATCGCTCACAAAATTATTACCCACGGTGAACATACCTAGCCACATGAACTCATTTTCACCATCAGAACAACGTCTGTATTTTTTATGACTTAGCAAAGTCGCAGCTCCCAATAGTCCTTCAAAGGCTTGTTTCTTATTAATCACATAAACACCATTGTCGGCATAGTGAAGGCCGCCATATGTGTAATAAGAGCTCAATGCCTTTTCTTGTTCAGTATTAGGTGACTCTAGCGATGGGTTGTCAAGTCTAACTACTAGTTCCGAATGAATCATATTGAATTCCTCTAGTGATGGTTCCAATGCTTGAGTGAATACTTTGCAATGTGGGAACTGGGCATCCTTCCGCGTGTTCCTTCCTTTCCAGAACTTGAAACCGCTATTCTTGTAATCCTCGCTATCAAAAACGGTATTTGCGCTTAAGAAGAAAGATACATCTGGCTCCATAACCAATGCCTCTTCAAATGTGTTAAACATAGATGCCAGTACCTTTGATGTGGCTGGAGTGTGCTGATCATGTACATAGAGCACATCCAGTATTGGCTCCAAGTCAACGATATAAAGATCTGCTTAGTTTCTTGAGCGTACTCAAAGAGTATCTCTTGTACTTCTGCGGTAACCACTGTATTAGAGAAAACCAATTGGATTGGCAATGTATTTTTCAAGGTCTGCCATACTTTCAAGTTATGGTACAACTCCTTCAAGTCGGTATAATCCATTGGGATGACAATACCCCTACCATAAGACTGCCTAACCCAATGCTGTATGAAATTACTGTTGTATTCATGCAAAGCACTCTTAACCGTTGGTTGATTTGACATCTTACCTGTGCGCAAGTTGATTAGCTTTGGATGCAAGTATTTACCAAAGGATGCGCCAGTCTTTTTCAAGAAGGGGAACATACGGCGCTGATAATCTACTGCCAGCGCCAGCGCCAGTTGTTTCTTGTTCATGCGCTCATATGGCGGTAGGTCCATCTTCGCCATTACCTCTCTTGGGAGGGTCATTGAATGAAACAACTCATACGGGGTCACCGAGCTCTCGTGCTTGAAGCAATAGTTATATATCCTCAGCCGTTCGAGGGCCAGAGCCAACTCAGCTCTTGAGTCATCGGAAACTGTCTCGATACCAAACAATTCCTTCGTGGACCATTGTGGGTCTGTGACGTATATGCCTTTGACGAGCAATCTGCACTGGTCCATGCGTGAGAGTGAGGCCCATTCTTTGAACATGGCAAGGTCCCGCTGTGCTTCCGTCGCCTTTTTGAACAATCCTGACCCAGGGCTCGATTCAGCTGCCAGCGTCTCCAAGTGTGCCAAGTCCAAGAATCTGAAAGCTGATTTCTGAGATGCGCCAGGCAATGTATATTCGTAGCCTTCTACATGCGGTCTGGACAGCACGGGCCTTAGCGCTACCTTGCCGTGGTACGCCTTCAAGGTGTGCAACAGCAGCAGGACAGTGGCTACCACACCGAGTACATAGTAATGTTTCTTGGACAACCTCGCTGTCCAATGTCTTGTCCTCAAGAGCATCCACATCTTTTGCATTTTTTTTGCTTTGCTGGGTCCTGGTGGAAGCAGAGGTCTGGCTTTGTTACAAAGAATTATGTTACAGTTATATATATCGTGTGCCTTTCAACACGGCACTTGGTTGGGTAATGATGGTTTCTTGTTTGTTTGCAATCCGACTCTCAACTTTCTTTAACTTCCAAACAGTACGTTTGTGCAACTGTTTCTACAAATGCTTCACAAGGACAAAGAGGCCATTTGTGTGCAACATTAGGGTTTTGATAACGCGTCTTAGCAGATGTTCTGGCGATTTGTTTTACAGCCATTTCTTGGATATCTACCAAGAGTTGACCTTTGAGCTCTTTATTGCACCGAAAGGTACGGGCTATCAAGAAAGAGCTTCTCAGTGAACGTTTATGTGAACTGGCAAGTTTAGTGAACTGGCAAGTGGGTTAGTGAAAGGTGGGGGAGAATTACTCCGTTAAGCTCACACAGCACTCTTATGGCCCTTTTCTCTTTTAACCTTTTGACACCAGTCAGAGAGGCCTATGGTGTGCATACAGGATGGGCATTGCTACGTGCAGGGCGTGTGCAGGGCGAGTGCAGGGGCGTGCTGCCTCTTGGTACCACCCACTTGTATAATATGCTGGTGGGCTGCACGCAGAGTCAGGTGGGAGCAAATGCACTTTAGGGCCTCCCCCACTAGAATTACGGAGGGGGTCCACCAAGTGAGTCCGCAAGAAATCTTACCAGAGGAAACACTTAAAAGTCCAGCTAGAACACGCCGCGCGCAGTGATCTCCCTGCAGGAAAGACCCTTATCCACAGCGAAAAGGACTCGCACTCGCACTCGCACTCGCAATCGCAATCAAAGAGAAGTTGAGGAACCCTCTCCCAGTCGCCTTCAGAAACACCCGCACCCATCAAGTAAAAAAGAAACGTTCATTTATTTGGTTGCTTTTTTTTTTCTCTTCACAAGTCTTACAGCAAATTAAACTCTGCACTACGGGAATTTACTACCTGCACCAGACACCAGGGGAGCTCAGATCCACACGGAGAGATACGGAATTCTAAAAGAGTATTAAACATTTATGAGTCTGCACAGGGGACCCGGTGCGGCCAGAGTCACACATTCCGAGTGCCTCCGCCCTTCCCGCCATTGTTCTCTTGCAATCTCAACCAACAAAGCTGTTCCAATTCGCTGGCGTAAAAGGCCCTTATGTCTCTAGTGTCTCTAGTGTCTCTAGTGTCTCTAGTGTCGCAAAGTGCCAGCAAAGTGCCAGCAAATGCCTTAGTGGCCCTGCAAAATGCACAGGGACCTGTTTGAGTGGGAATGAACACCCTCCTCCCAGTACGGTTAGAATACCTCTAGCGAAGTAAGACGTTGGAACCATAACATAGAGCTCATAGTATAGCCATAGTGCCAACATCAAAAACAAAAACGCCAAAATTTGTACCTTCGATATTATAACTAGGATGTACAATTGGACAGGCACAAGTTCAAAACAAACAACGATAAAGAAAAGGAGACTACTCACATTAAGACTAAAGGGCAAAATACTCTTGCGGAACGTGGTTTCAATACGCGAACCCCACCACTATTTCTTGTCTTGCGTACTCATCATTGACACACTTTGACTATCATGCAGACTTATTGACAAAATTTATCGTAAACTCAAACACACACGACTCTCTCACCATGATTAATTCTGGTAAATATATAAACCAATGACTAAATGGAAAAAAAATAAAATAAAATAACTACTTGTACCTCTTCTTGCAAATAATCGGCTGGGCGTCTCCATTAACACTAGCAGAATTTCTTGCATATGAAGTGGCTACCTATCAACAAAGAGAGGAATAGATACATGACGCCTACACGATACATTCTGAACACAAAAGTTCTTGTGCTCCTAGTGCTGACTTTGGTATGTTTTGTATCGCTGGAGTCACTGCGAGATGTGTACCAGATGACCGTGGTCAAGTTGAGTGACTCTGGCGCTTGCAAGGAGTCCTGCACTCATAACACAACCACATGGAAGGACAAGACGACTTTGGCACATATGGTGCGTAACTATAGAAACATGGAGTACACGCCGTTCAAGTTTGTTAATTACCTCGGAAACAGAAATATCCCCGCGGGGTTAAAGGAAGCAGACGCTTGTAATTACATATCTCACGAGAGTAAACTAGAGTATGCCAACGTCACCAAATTCATCAGACCTAACTTTAAAGTGCTGAGTGAAAGCGTCAAGAAGACAGACCCTAGGTGGCATGACTTCTTGAAAGGAATCGCTGGTGACAAATCCATTGACGATACGTTGGATAAGAAATGGTTCATGTTTGGCTCCTCTGCCGAGTGGCTCGAAGAGGAACAGTGCTACGTTGTATACAGCAGACTCATTATCTCCAAGGAAGAAAATCGTGAACACCCATCTATTTCATTAGTAGCCGCACAAGCGTTTGACAAAGACTGGAAGGAAATTTATGGGAAAAGGATCAAGTATATTGATGTAGAAACTCCAGAAAATCTCGATGAGCAGTTCAAAGCCATTGAGATGAAATATAACTTGACTGAAAGCTGCATGCCTGGGAAATCTGCTAAAACCCTTCCAAAAAATAAAGACCCACAGTTTGATGAGCAAGAACACTGCTTGAAACAATTGGAAGCAAGATTTAAAATGGCGAAGGAGGAAAAAGAAGAACTAATTGCCAAATATTATCGAGTATACCCAACTGTACTTGATATTCCCTTCAAGGCTACTGGTAACTTGGATTATATGGGACCAGAGGATCCTAAGATCTTAATTAGAAGGAATCATGATGGCCAACAGGAACCTATTGTTGTTTATAATATGCAAGACAACAACTATGAGCAAAGACTAATGTTTGTCGTGTTGCCTCATAGAAAAATTAATCCAATTGTTCCACTGGTGGATAAAGAATATAAAATAGGTGGGACACAGAAAAACTGGACACCTTTTATTCATGAGGGTGACGCCACTTCCGATGGATCAAGAGGATTCATGCATGTTGTCCAGCATATGTCACCTACAAGTATCCTAAAATGTTCTTTGGACAATGGAAAATGCAAATATATATTCGATGCAGCCAAAATACCAAGCCTGAAAGATGTCGGAGTTAAAGAGCTGAGAGGTGGTTCTGCGTTTGTTAAGATACCTCATGGTATACCAGAGTTAGATGGAAGGAACTTATGGATTGCCATGATCAAGAGCCATCAGGGTCATTGTGGTATTTCATTCAAGTTTTATAGACCACATTTGGCAATTATGGAAGAAAAAGATGGTAAATTTAGCATGCTATCTTACTCTAGCGCTCTACATTTTGATCGTGACGTATTGAGTTGGGATGGTAATAGCACTTATGCCGGATATATAAATATCATGTCTCCAAATTCAATTGTTTCCTGGAACATAATTTCTCACAATCATGAAAATGACACCTATGAAGATTATATGGAGTTGTCTTTTAGCGAATCAGACTATATGAGTTACGTTGTTACTGTCAGAGGAGTTCTTGATTATATATTACAGGTATTAAGAGATGGCTCGGATCGAAAGTTTCTTGATTGGACTTCCAAAGATTTAGCAACCATGGTTGGTACACCACCAAAATGCGTGCGCTCAAATCTGAAACAACATTGCTCAGTGTACGGTAACGCACACAAAGAAGATATACCAAAGAAACTGTATACCTGAAAAACAACAACAACGTACCTTCCTCGTCGGATCCTGTTCCTTGAACATGTTAAAAAAATTGCTCTTTCTCAAACCAATATTGTAATATTTATACTTAATCGGAGCAACATGCATTCATAGATACCCCCTGTTGCAAAACCTGTAAAATTTTAAAAACACGCATTGTAACTATATAGATAGAATATTTAGTAATTGTGTTTAGTATTCAATGTAATATTTATAACTAACATCCCTCCACACAAGTTGCTAAAAAATTGAAAAGTACGATAGGCGGTCAAGCTGAATGTGATGATGTTCTTGGAATGGACACGCAACAGTCTTTTGATAAACAATTATGTATCATAGGCGAATTAGCCAGCTACATACGTTCAATATTTTGGTTGCCGAGAGTTTTCACTAGAAGAGTTTTTTTCAATTGGAATGCCAAATTGCACGTAGAAAAAAGCTCTTTGCAGTTAGTTGTTAAAGCTGAGCAACACCGACATCAATTTCCTTAAGCGCTCGCACTCATTCATATAATATGTGACTGGGCGAATGCTTTCAAATATTTAAGGTTAATGACGATTTGAAAGGAGCAGATAGGCAATTAAGAGAAGTATGGAGGAAAATAAAAAATAAGAAACTGAACTTCTATTTTCGCGTTCGTGTTTCTAAGTTCTCATACCAGCGTGACTCTGCATAAACATAATGCAACGGAGCAATTAAAGAGTGTGCCTCACTTCCATTGATTAAAAGCTAAACATCACTTCACTGCTGTACCAAGAATACCTCAATTAAGAATTGCATTGTAGTACATAACACCGTAGCCAAGTGGAATAACGATATTTACGAACTCCTCACCTCAAAATACCTTTCACTAATCGTACTCGGAAACGCAAAAGCAATCCTTCACTTCTTCTTCCTACGCACACCGTATGTTTACTCTGCGAAACCACTTTGCTTCTGTGTATTGTTTTACAAAGTGGGATAATATTATTGGCGACGACTGGCTCAAAGGGACAACGACTTGTTCAGCATCCATGCCCACCTAATTCTAGATGATTACTGTGGGAAAATAGACCTGAATGATGTATTATGATCTGGACCATAGTCACTTGATTTACTGTTCTGTTCTATGATTTGCGTAATCCTAACTAAAGTTGTCTATTGCAATACGAAGCGACCTGCGTGAGACGCTATTCATGCTATTGGCATATGATGACGAACAGTAATAATCGAATATTGCGGACGGAATTTAATACTTATAAATATTCCACTTGAATCAACCATCGAGCTTAGAGGATAGATTATAAACGAAGTTCAGTTTGAGTAACCTCAACAAACCAGTCGCATTTCTTTCACCTGCATTACCGAAAAAGACCAACTCGTCCTCCTTATTCACTTATACAGGACTTGCATAACTCAGATGCAAAATTTAATAGTACCAGTTGGGGTTCAATGAGAAAAACATGCTCAGAAGAAAGGTAACATTGAAAATCGTGGTCTTAATTTCGGTGTTTGTGCTATGCCTACTGACTCTAACAACTGTCTCCAATACACACAGAAATCCAGTAACTTCTAATAGTTTTATCCCAGAACCGGTGACTCACTCTTTGCCATCATGGAAACATCAGGCTTCATCAGCACATTTGTTAACCCGTTTCAGAAAGATGGAATATAATCCGTTCAGATTTGTTAATTACTTGAACAGCCAACATCTTGCTCAAGAAACAGATAAAACAAAAGTCTGCCAACACATGGAGTACCAGACCATGCTGCAATACAGTACAGCCACTCATCCTATAACTCCGAATTATAAAGCATTCAGTACTTCTTTGTATCAGCGAAAGTCTCGCCTACATGGATTTATGAAGAAATTGGCACATGGCCAGCCTATAGATACCACTTTTAAAGATAAATGGTTCATGTTTGGGTCTTCAATAGAATGGTTAGAAGATGAACAGTGCTATGTCGCGTATAGTAGGCTAATTATTTCTGAACGCAAATCCCGTGGACATCCATCAGTTTCCCTTATAGCAGCACAAGCGTTTGACAAGGATTGGAACGAACTCATTGGGAAACGTATAAAATATGTCGATATCGACATACCTGAAGATTTTGATGACCAACTCAAAGCCATCGATGAGAAGTATAATGCCTTTGCTAAATGTGTTGAGAAAAGTGCTGAGGTTCACAGCGACCAGGCCAATTCAGAAAACTACGATAAATGTGCTTCACAGCACAAAGAAAACCAAAAACTTGCTGAAGTAGAAAAACAGGAGCTCATTAACAGATATTTTAGAGTTTATCCAACGGTCTTGGATATACCTTTTAAGACAACAGGGGATTTGCAATTCATGGGACCAGAAGATCCCAAAGTTATAATACGCAGAAATCTAGATGGGACGCTAGAGCCATTGGTATTCTACAATCTGGAAGATGATAATTATGATAGGAGGTTAATGTTTATTGTTATGCCACACAGGAAGATAAACCCTATTATGCCCTTAGTTGACGAAGAATTCACTATAACTAGGATACAGAAAAACTGGTCACCTTTCATTATGGATGGCGATTCTGTAAAAGGTGGATCTCGCGGATTTGTACATATTATCCAACATATTGTTCCAACCACGGTTTTAAAATGCTCTTTAGATGATGGTAAATGTAGTTTTGTATTTAATGCCAGTGCCATAGAGGGATCACAAAGCATTGAATCGAGGGACATCAGAGGTGGAACAGCATTTATAAGGTTACCACAGGGAATACCCGAATTTTCAGGAAGAAATATTTGGATTGGGGTAATTAAAGTCCATATAAAGGACTGTGGAGGTACATCCCAGTTCTACAGACCGCACTTGGCGTTAATGGAGGAAAGGAATGGTGAATATAGCTTTCTATCTATCTCTAGCGCAATACATTTCAATCGCGATGTTTTAGGGTGGGATTTAGAAAGTACATCTATGTTTTTTGTCAATATTATGTCTCCAAACTCAATTGTGAGTTGGAATGTTGTGTCGCATGATCAAGAGACAGATACATACGAGGACTATATGGAGCTTTCCTTCAGCGAGGCAGACTTTAATAGCCATATTCTAACATTAAAGGGTGTTATCGACTACGTTAGACAGGTGCTACGAGACTCCGATAGCACGAATCAGGTTTCTGCACTTGAACCGCATTCCAGTTTGGCAATATCAAAATGTGTATGCTCGCATCTTAGAGAATATTGCGAAGGATACGGAAAGCTCCATGAACAATAGTCAGGGGCTTACGCAGGCAACTCACGAGGCAGTAAACTAGCATATCCTATTTCATTCATATTCCCTCATTTGTAGTAGTATAATATTTTCTGAGCAATCAGTGTCATGTACATGAGTTATGCAGTCCATATGCCCTTGTACATTACCAACTAATGATGTGAATGTTGGGAAACAGTGCCTCACTATGACGGACTTCCAACAACCAAAGTCCTTCATTCCATTCCACCCCCCCTCTACTCCTCACCTTGTTGCGCTCCAACTAGCACGTTGCGATGAGCCCATGAATGCAAATCAGAATACGAGCAGCACGTAATACATCCAAGACACGGCAGTTCAGACAACCCTTCGTAGTGGTATGTATTGCGACGAATTCACATGCCATCTAGATCCCGTAGGCACGCAAACTCCACAGTTCTCTACGGCAGTTTTTCTGAGTACCCTTTTTATTATGATTTTCGGATTTTCGGACAATTTAGAAAGAAACTGGAAAGTACAGTGGTTTCTAGGAACAAGTGACTGATAAAGAAGACACACGAAGTCACCAAAAATAGCCAGCTGACGGGGTATATCTCTGCGTGGTCCTCTAGCCTCTTCCCATCAGACGCACAGGGACTGTTCACCTGGAGAATATGTGGAGGGGGATGGGGGAGGGGTGAAGTCTAGAACTCAGCGTGCCTTCTCGCCAGATATCTTGTGCATTCAGTTGGTTCGCAGTCACATAGTAACGGCTGGCGTAACTGTTGCGGTAGGTGGACAACAAAGAATTCTATAGTGTGGGTTCGCAGTGGGGCTAAAGGCACTCACCTTTTGGAATTTCATTGATAACGTAGATTTCCATGTGCCTGCTGTCTTTCACCAGCCCAGCACAATTTCTATAATTATAGTTAGAGTTGGACAAACCGAAGGATTGAACTTAAAAACTTCACGATGGTATTCTTATCTTTTGAGATGCTGATTGCCTTTGTTTGTGGTTGGAACTAACCTTGTACTTTGTGCTACTAGTTCAATATGGAGTGAATCCACCTTAACAGAATACTCAATTAGGTTTGACACCTAGAATTATGTTGATAAACCCTTTGGCATATCATCTGGCCAAAGAGTTGCAAATATGGTCTAATAAAACATTGGAATTCTTCCTCGTGGGGGCACCATATATATACATATACCAATTGCTCTTTCTCCCGAATGTATTTCTATCGATATTTCAAAATGTTGCTTGCATATACAATAATAAAGTCATGTGTAATATATAATGGGGACCTTTAGCTTTCGTAGTGAGAAGAGACTTGGTAGAGGTTTCACTTGGAGGCTGGTTGTGCTGGCGATAGTGTCAGTACTATGCTTGCTATCGCTGGGTACTACACCGGACATGTACGGTAAGTCTCTGTTCATGTCTAGCAATACCACTTCCGATGACTCTGGGTCTCACGATGCATTGTCATGGAAGAACAAGACGACGCTGGCTCATATGGTGACAAACTTTCGGAGGATGGAGTACAAGCAGTTCGATCTTGTTAACTATGTGGGCAATCGCGCCATTCCTGAGGGATTAGACATGGTTGAGTCATGCAAGCATATAGAACATGATGCAAAGTTGGAATATGGTAACATTACTATTCCTATCATTCCCAATTATAAAGTTTTCAGTGATTCCATGAACCAGCCAAGTTCAAGGTTCTACAACTTTCTAAAGAAGCTGGCAAAGGGAAAACCTATCGAATCAACTTTCAAGAAAAAGTGGTATATGTTTGGTTCTTCGGCAGAATGGTTAGAGGAAGAACAGTGCTACGTTGTTTATAGCAGGCTGATACTCTCTGAGGCCAATGCTCGTGACCAAGCTTCAATTTCATTGATTGCCGCCCAGGCGTTTGACAAGGACTGGAATGAACTTTACGGAAAGCGCATAAGATACCTAGATGTTGAAACACCAGATGACTTTGAAGAGCAATTGAAATCAATTGACACTAAATACAACATTACAGAAGAATGCCTTGGTAAAAGAGAAGACTATAGTAGCTACTTAGAACCCCAGAGCGATCCTGACGGGTCAGAATCATGTATATTAGTAAGTGAAGAATCAATTAGACTTGCCGATATGGAGAAACAAGAGCTTATTGACATGTACTTTCGTACATATCCAACCGTCATAGATATACCATTTAAGACTACTGGAGACTTGCGTTTCATGGGTCCAGAAGATCCAAAAGTGATAATACGAAGAAATGCCAATAGAGAACAAGAGCCTTTAGTAATTTATAATATGAACGATAAAAATTTTGATAGACGGTTGATGTTTATGGTAATGCCGCATAGAAAGGTCAACCCCATCGTTCCATTGGTTGATAAAGAATTTTCCATCTCAGAAACACAAAAGAATTGGACACCTTTTATACGTGATGAAGATGCTGTAGCAGATGGATCTCGTGGTTTTGTTCATATTGTTCAGCATATCATGCCTATTACGGTGTTAAAATGCTCGCTTGACGATGGTAAATGTACTTATGAATTTAGAGCAGATAAGATTGATAAACTAAAGAAATCTCAGTTCAAGGATTTAAGAGGTGGAACATCCTTTGTTCGGGTACCACAAGGAATACCTGAACTTGACGGCCGCAAACTTTGGCTTGGTGTGATCAAGAGTCACATAATTGGCTGTGGAGGTGCTACACACTTTTATAGACCACATCTTGTCTTAATGGAAGAGAGGGACGGCAAATACAGCTTTATATCTCTTTCCAGTCCATCACATTTTCATCGTGATGTCCTAAGTTGGGATATGAAAACCACATCAATGAAGTATATCAATATAATGTCCCCCAATTCCATTGTGAGTTGGAATGTAGTTTCACATGATCATGAAAATGATTCCTATGAGGACTACATAGAGATGTCGTTTAGTGAATCTGATTGTAAGAGTTATGTGCTGGCCGTTAGAGGCATGCTAAACTATATTCTGCAAGTGTTGAGAGACAGCTCTGACGCCAAATATTTGGATTGGGACTCTAACGATTTGGATATTCGAGTTGGAACAGCACCAAAATGTGTAATTTCTAAACTGAAAGAGCATTGCAAAGAATATGGAGCGCTACATAAAGAACCGAGTAAATGATACCTGTCCATGAATCATCCTCAAAATGAGGTTAAAGATTAAGAATTGGCTCGTAAATGCGTTCTTCTCGGTCGTTTTTCGTCAGTTGCATTAAAGTACAATTGAGTTTGATAGTTATATAACTTAAGAAATATACTTTCAACTCCTGCAATCATGCTATAAAAAAAAAAATTCGACGGACACCTCCAATGGTTGTTGTTCTACACACATGATTTTACAAAGTAGCATTTGTTCAACAGTTGATGTCGATCTGACTTCGTTTAGTAAAAGAGAATAGCCCAGCAATTACTAATTTATCAAGGAACAGCTTACACTAGTAACTTTTAAACTTGTTGATATAGATTAGGTTACAATCACCCAAGAAGTTAGATTTGTTTCAAAAACTAGAACTTGGACGATTAAGAATCTATTAATATGAATGGCCACTCTGATGCCTATCAATATTATAGACATACTGTAGCTTTACTGACTTAACATAGCTTGAGATGGTAGATGAGACATGTTTCTATATTGCCTCTTGTTTTCAGGGAAAAGGTTCGAGCTAATTCTTATGCAAGAAAGACAATGGGGTTTCCTTTTTTTACTTCTTCCAATCGAATCCGTGCATCAACTACAGTGGAATCTGGGATCTAATACAGTGACTGTTTTGGGTAAATCGCAACAACAATTTTTTGGCACTGTTTATACGACTTTTTCTCTAATTCTACATTTCGGAAGTGCTTAAATTGCATATCATCCCACTTCAGGCACTAATTAGACTCACTCACACAGTAATTAGGTATGCAAACTTGTCTATAACCCATCAAGCTTGGGGGTTGTTTGAGTAGAACAAGTCGAGTGAGTGGAAATACACACTGCTTATTTTATAATTTTTTCTATTCTTGTAGTGGCTTGAATGTTGTTGTAATAGTTCTTTTCATAAGTCAAGTAGTTCAACTATTATGACAATGAAATTTCGCGTATACTGATATAATATAATATGACTAATGCGAGCTCTTTCTGTTTTTAAGAAAAATGTATCTAGGAAACGTTTTGCTAGGAGATTATTGGTGCTAGTGATTGCAAGCGTGCTATGGCTTCTAATTCTCGGCAGAATTCCTAGTATGTACAGGGAATCTCCTTCTCTGCAGCGAAAAGTTACTGATGAGTCCAAAACTTATGATCCACTTTTAGCGCAGCAGATTACACTAGATCAGAAAATTGGTAATTTCAGAAATAAGGTATTTAGAACATTTGAATTCGTTAACTTTATGGGCAATCAAGCGATACCATCTGGGTTCAATCAGGATGAACCTTGTAATTATAATAGCAAGGCCAGTTTGGAATACAGTAACTCCACGGTTCCCATCATTCCAAATTACACAGTTTTCAGTGAGTCAATCAACCACCCGAAGTCCCGATTATATAAGTTTTTACAAGAGCTTACCAATGGCAAGCCCATTGATACTACGTTTGCTAAAAAATGGTTCATGTTTGGATCTTCTGCAGAATGGCTAGAAGAAGAACAGTGCTATGTTTCTTATAGCAGACTTATCATATCTGACTGGGACACTCGTACGCGAGCGTCAGTATCACTGATAGCAGCCCAAGCGTTTGACAAAGATTGGAATGAGTTGTACAACAAACGTATCAAATATGTAGACATTGAAACACCCGAAGACTTTGATGAACAATTGAAAGCAATAAATGCCAAGTATAACATTGTTGAGGAGTGTCTGGGAAGAGAAGAGGATGGTGGGTATACAAAATCAGATATTAACTCTGAAGGAACAAGTAAATGCACACCAATTAGTGATGATGTAAAGGAGCTTGCTGAAACTGAGAAACGTATGCTGATTGATAGGTATTTTAGAGTCTATCCTACTGTGTTAGATATACCATTCAAGCTAACGGGAGAGGTTAGTTATAGAGGTCCTGAAGATCCCAAAGTCATTATCAGAAGAAATGCAGACGGACGACATGAACCCGTAGTTGTCTATAATATGGACGATGACAACTACGATAGAAGAATAATGTTTGCCGTTATGCCACATCGGAAGATAAATCCTATAGTGCCCTTGATTGACGACGAATTCAGTATATCTGGGCCACAGAAGAACTGGACGCCTTTCATCAACGATGGTGATGTTACTAAGGATGGGTCTCGTGGGTTCATTCATGTTGCATTACATATTATCCCTACAACGATATTGAGATGCTCTCTTGATGATGGGGTGTGTATGTATGTATTCAGAGGGGAGAAGATCAATAAGTTACAAAAAGAGCTCAAGGATTTGAGAGGCGGGACGTCATTTAGGCGGGTACCAGAGATACCTGAGCTAAATGGTCGGAAGGTCTGGATCAGTATCATCAAGAGCCACTTAAACAACTGTGGGGGTGCTTCTCAATTCTATAGACCCCATGTGGTACTAATGGAGGAGACTGATGGCAAGTTCAATATCTTGTCGTACTCTAGTGCGATACACTTTGATCGTGAAGTGCTAAGCTGGGATATGCACAGCTCAGCGATGTACCACGTCAATATCATGTCCCCAAATTCAATTGCATCGTGGCATATTGTCTCGCATGTCCATTCCAAGTACGAAGACTACATGGAGATTTCATTCAGTGAGGCAGATTGTAACAGTAGTGTTATTGTGGTTAGAGGCATGCTGAACTACATCTTACAAGTACTAGGAGACAGTGAAAGTGTAGATTGGGAGTCCAAGGATTTGGGTCTCAGACTCGGAACCGCACCGGCCTGTGTACTCACCCATCTGAGAGAGCATTGCGAGGCGTACGGCAAACTCCGTCCAAAGACGTGAGCTTAAAATAATAGAGAAAGAGATTATGGTTACAGTAATTTATGTAAAAAGTTAGACATAATAGTATATAAATACTTAATCTAGACCCAAGACCCTCTTAATTCAGCACAAAGAACGTGTATTTATAGCTGTTATTGTATTCGGGTAGTCCACTTGGCGTAGGAGCAGGAAGCACAAATGCCATGACGCTGCTTTCCCTTCCAAGGGTCCAGAAGGCTCATTGTACCGAGCTCACCACCCCACTCCTCACCTCCTCACCTGCGAAATCATTCCTTCGAAAAAGAGCCTGTACCAGATCTCCTCTGCGGTTTATCTAAGGTGCAGTGGAACGCAACGGTTGGGAAAGCTGGGCAATGGTGGGCACAGGGCCAAATCGCTGTTTGTGTGGGACTGGTGGGTCGTTTGCTAGGGGGCGTTTACTGTAAGGTGGGGGGGGGAAGGGGAAGGAAGAAGTGCTAGTATGAGAAGGAAATGAACAATAATTCTGCTGCTTCTCAGAAACCGTAGTAGCTGCTTGCTTTGTGTGTTCCTTATCTTTTGTGGAAACATTGTTGCAAAGTAACTCCGAGACAAACTGCCGTAGGAGCGTTTTTTTTTGCATTGGCTGCATTCAAACCGTAGATCAGTAAATTCTGTCTGTGCAGTCAAATGAGGGTCCAATTTCCTTAAAGTGCAGAGGGCATCGCAATAGAGTCAGTTTTGTTTGCTTTACTGTTCAATATTGCCCCATGGGGAGTGTAAAAGTACTTCCTAGTTCTTGAACAAAGCTCTGTCTCTATTTATGAAAACAAATATAATATAATAAGGTTGAATATTAGCTTAGTCCTTGGGGATTGCAATTAATAAGAGCCCTTCAGTATAAAATATATATATCTTTATATATAAAACAGCTAAAGACAAAGACAACTATGTCTCTCCTGTTCGGTGAGAAGAAACCTTGGCGTGTGACGTGGAGGCTGGTGGTGCTTGCGATAGTCTCTGTGCTATGTCTGCTGTCGCTGAGTACAATACCGGATGTATACGAGAGGACAATATCCACATCGCGCAATACTACCTGCGAGACTGAGGGTTCGCACGACATGTCTTGGAAGAACCGCAAGACGTTAGCACACATGGTGAGTAATTTCAGGAAGATGGATTACAAACAGTTCAAATTTGTCAACTATCTGGGGAATCGTCCCATACCAACGGATATAGATGAGTTGCAATCGTGCAAACATATAGAACATGATGCCATGCTAGAGCATGGTAATGTCACGTACCCCATTAGACCCAATTTTAAAGTATTTAATGAAATAATCAAAAATACCAACGCAAGGATATATAAGTTCCTGGAAGGTATGGCGGGAGATGAGCCCATAGAATCAACGTTCAAGAATAAGTGGTTTATGTTCGGAACCACCGCAGAATGGCTAGAGCAAGAACAATGCTATGTTGCCTTCAGCAGATTAATCATATCTAAGGGAAGGAACAGAGCACACCCGTCAGTATCGTTGATTACCGCCCAAGCATTTGATAAAGATTGGAATGAGCTGTATGGAAAACGTATCAAGTACCTAGATGTAGAGACACCAGAAGATTTCGAGGAACAACTGAAAGCCATAGATGAGAAGTATAACGTTGAAGAGGATTGCTATACCAACGTAGAAGAAGGTGGTATAGAGTCAAACCAAGAAGCCGATACCAACTCTTGTATCAAGAATAGAGAAGAGAGAGCAATGCTAGCAGAGGAGGAGAAACAGGAACTTACTGATAAATATTTTAGAGTCTACCCAACAATTCTAGATATCCCATTCAAAAACAAAGGGAACTTGGACTTTATGGGTCCTGAAGACCCAAAGGTAATTGTTAGGACGAATACAGATGGAAAGCAAGAACCTCTAGTGGCATACAACATGAATGATAAAAACTATGATAGAAGGTTGATGTTTGTGATACTACCGCACAGGAAAATCAATCCTATCGTGCCGCTAGTCGACAAAACATTCTCCATTTCTGGAACACAAAAGAATTGGACTCCATTCTTTCATGAGGGTGATGCTTCCTCAGATGGATCCCGTGGGTTCGTTCATGTGATTCAATACATGATTCCTACTACAATATTGCGCTGTTCTCTTGATGACGGAAGGTGCATCTTTGTGTTTAAGGCAAACGAGATAGACAGTCTCAAGAAGGTTGAATTCAAGGATTTGAGAGGTGGGTCCTCATTTATCCGAGTGCCACAAGGTATACCTGAACTAGATGGTCGGAAACTCTGGGTTGGCATGATCAAGAGCCATATAAAAAAATGTGGTGGGGCTACTGATTTCTATAGACCACATCTCGTTATAATGGAAGAGAAAGACGGTAAATACAATCTACTGTCTCTATCCAGTGCTTTACATTTTGACCGGGAAGTGCTAGGATGGGACAGAGAGACCAGTTTTATGGTTCATGTCAACGTCATGTCCCCGAACTCCATTTCATCATGGAACATTATATCGCATGATCACGAAAACGATTCATACGAGGATTACATGGAGCTGTCCTTCAGTGAATCTGATTGCACTAGTTACATTCTGACTGTGAGAGGGGTCCTTGACTATATTTTAAAGATATTGCGGGATGGTTCCGACGCCAAATTCCTAGATTGGAATGCTGATGATTTGGCTGCCAAGGTCGGTAAACCTCCAAAATGCGTATGCTCACATTTGAGAGAACACTGCGACAAGTATGGAGCAGAACGAGTTCCCGACAGGGAAATCCCTTGGGTTAGTTGAAGGAGTTTGGCGTTTCTGATCTTTTATTTGCTATTTTTAATATCTATCTAAAACCAAAATGGAAATATTAATGTAACAATTTAGCATATTAATAAATTTGTACTTAGTCACAACATACATTTGCTGAAATATACCTAGGAGTTCAATGACATACCCGTATACCAGAGCTGAGAGTATATCTCAGATGCAATTTTGCAGCTCTTTATGATATTAGAGATCATGGGACCATAAGACATAAAAGATAGTGTTCTTGAGATACTGTAAGACCCGCAAGTCAAGAATACGAAGGGAGAGTGTCTCATTAACCCGATAGTTGCCCTTGTCATCACTTCATCATACCCTTAGCACCGTAAAAGAGAAAGTGTCTTGCATTGTACGTCAAATTTCTTGTCTCTTGTTAGCAATCGAATTAGCCTTTCCCAGGTTATTTTTTTAGGGATTTTAATTTGTTCAGGGCGATGAGGGAGGTGAAGAGCAGATTACTGGGTTCTAATAACAACCGGGAAGCAAGGGGGGTAGTTGACTATTAATTGTTTGGACTTCAGTAATAATTATACTGGAGCTGGGGTATATAAAATATAGGTATTAATATTCTTACTGAACAAAGATATATCTTGAAACATACATTGAAAAGGCAAGAAAATTAAACAGTGTATAGAAGTCACGAATAACAAAGATGTCTACATGCTTAACAGTTACTAAAGGTATTGCTATTTCCTCGCTAGGGTTATATGCGGGTATCGTGAGTGCGGGCACACTACTGGTTGTGAACGACAGAGTCACTCCAACCAATGATTCCAAGCACGACTTGGTCAGGACGTTGCTGTGCAAAGTGGGCACTGGTCTAAACGTTGTTGCGACTGTTGTCTTTGGTCTGGTATACTTCAGCTCGCCCGGGTATGCTAGACACCCATACCTGGTCTACGCGGCACTAACAGGGCCTGCCACATCGCTATACATGTTCCTGTCCAAGAGATACTGGTTGAAGCAACTCCGCAACTTGAAGGAGACCAAGATCACCGATGAGAAGCACAGCCCTCCACCAGTAGGCCAAGATGCAGCCCAGACTTCAGACAAAGCAGAGATATCCTATGCAGCAGCAGCAGCAGTTGGTGCAGAGAACGGTGGAGAACTAAGCGAGAGTGTGGTTGATCTCGGTATTGAGAAGACCATTGCACAAGCCGAGAAGGACTTTGAGAAGCAGAAGGCCGACGAAGTTGTCAGGAGAGAGACCCAGTCTATCAAGGTACGTGCTGTAGCTACAGCTGTCATTGCTACAGTAGGATTCATTCAATCAGTGATTGGTGTTTCTGGCGAACATTTATAGCTTTTTTTTTTTGACACTCTTGAAAGATTTCATAAGTTTTTAGCTTTTATATATCTATATTCTTGAAGAAAAAATAAACACACAAACAATGAAACAAATATCCTTGGTACTTGAGATTACTTTGAATATAGCATGAGAAAGCGGGACATAAAGGAGCATAGTGGTTAAGCTGAGAATTGATATTACTTGCGTAAGTATCAAGGCATCAAATACGTATAAGTCACGATATAACGTACCACAAGATACTCCGGGTAACAAGGTAAACTATCCCAATAAGGAACTAGCCGTGGCACTTTATTGCTGTCCTACGATGGCTGAGTAGAGAAGTATCCAACACATAGCAGGTACCACACATAGCAGGTACCACACACAGAAGTATAGTTTCCACAGTAATGGGCACGGCACCAGGGATGCAGAGAGCAGATGTACAGCTGGGGAAGAACTGCAGTAAAAGATAGAGACAGACAGCGAACACCCACAATTTGCCAAGTTTATCCTTCACACAATGGCCTGCATTAATAGTATTGTGTATATGAGTATATGTGTGTGGGGTTTAGGGGGGAGTCTCTCCCTCTAACCTCTCTCCCCAGCAATAGCTATCCCGGCAGAGATGGAAGACACCCCCACACACACAGAACTGTAGAAGCTCGAACTGCACTGGTATCCAGGCTGAATCTGGTAATACTCTGAAAACTGTGTATGTTACCCGGAAGTGTTTAACTCCGAAGCTGGAAGATGCACACACACAGACAGTAACAGACAGTAGCATAGAGTAGCATATAGTAGCATATAGTAGTTGACAGTTACAGACACCAATAGATAGACACTTGCAAACCCACAAGTGAATCAAGTTCTGCCCAGAGATGAAAAACTGTGGTATCAGAGAAAGCAGAGATGTGGATCTTAGAAAGTCCTAAAGATGTGCTGTGGATTCACTTCATCGGGCTATGAATGGGTTCGGGACGTCCTACCCGAAGCATCAGTGAAAAAAGTCTCTACCATAAACCCCCATAATGATTGTCGGTGATCGGAAAGGGACGTACTTGAGATATGAGTCCTAATTATTCACTTTTGGATCCAAAAGAAACTCATCTATGTTCATCCAAATTTTGTTAAAAAAGGACTATAGAGTCTAATGGCTTTGAACTGTGGCATTGTCAGGAAGTTGCTGATAAGTCTTGTGAATGCAAAGAAAAATTTAATATATATAGGATTCAGATATCCATTACAACATTGATATCAAAATGTGTAGATGTATAGAAGAGAAAGATAACATAGTAAATAGTAAAACAGAACAGAAAACAGTGCATACAATGTCTGATTTCTTGTCACAGTTGAATATCTTCAACAAAGAGAATTACAAATTCTCGTCCTCGGAGAAGTCTGAGGATGATACGTCTGATTTCGAGACTGGACAGCAGTTCGCCACGGAGCTGGACCAAGGTGAGAAAAGACTGGGTCTTATCTCATGTATTGGGTTGATCTGTAACAGAATGCTGGGAACCGGTGTCTTCGCGGTTTCTTCTACGATTTACACTCTGAGCGGCTCCATCGGTCTGGCGCTGATCCTGTGGGCTGTGGGTGCGCTCATCGCCCTGGCAGGTCTATACGTATACATGGAATTCGGTACCGCTATACCGAGAAATGGTGGTGAGAAGAACTACTTGGAAGCCATCTTCAAGAAACCAAAGTTTTTCATCACATGCATGTATGCGTCCTATGTTTTTTTCCTAGGTTGGGCCGCGGGGAACTCAGTTAACACCGCGGTGATGTTCTTGACCGCCGCTAACACCGAAGTGACTAAGTGGAACCAAAGAGGTATTGGTGTAGCTGTGGTGTTCTTCTGTTTCGCTGTCAACTCCATCAACGTTAGAGCCGGTCTGTACATCCAAAATGTGCTCGGTGTCTTCAAGTTGGGTATCGTTATCTTCATCTCAATCACCGGCTGGGTGGCCCTTGCAGGTGGTTTGAAGCACGGATACCAGTCGCATAACTTCCACAACGCGTTCGAAGGTACCAACAAGGCTACCGCTTACGGTGTGGTCAACGCCTTGTACAATGTCATCTGGTCCTTCGTCGGCTACTCCAACGTAAATTACGCCCTAGGTGAAGTCAAAAACCCAGTGAGAACTCTAAAGATCGCAGGCCCTACTTCTTTGATCTGTTTGGCCATCATCTATATCTTTGTCAACATCGCATACTTTGCTGTGGTTCCAAAGGATAAACTGATCTCTTCCAAGTTGATCTTGGCCGCTGATTTCTTCGATATCTGTTTTGGTGGTCATGCTAAGAGAGTTGCCGCTGCCCTTGTTGGTCTAAGTGCCCTGGGTAATGTCATGTCAGTCATCTTCTCCCAAGGTAGAATTATCCAACAACTTGGCCGTGAAGGTGTCTTGCCATTCTCCAATTTCTTTGCTACATCCAAGCCTTTCAACTCCCCAATGGTTGGCCTTTTCCAACATTTCATCATTTGTATGATCACTATCTTGGCTCCTCCTCCAGGTGACGCTTATAACATCATCCTGAACTTGATCTCTTACCCAATGAACATTGTCAATTTCGTGATCTCCGCGGGTTTGCTATGGATCTACTGGCAGAGAAGACAAGGCAAGATTGAATGGAACCCACCTATTAAGGCCGGCGTCTTCATTACTACTTTCTTCATGTTGTCTAATGTTTACCTGATCGTCGCTCCATATATCCCACCAACCCACGGTGAAAGCGTCTACGAGCACGCTCCATACTGGATTCACTGTGTGGTCGCTTGGGGTATCTTCGCGTTTGGTGGTTTCTACTGGTTGGTATGGGCCAAATTACTACCAAGATGGGGCCATTACAGATTGGAATCCAAGGAAGTACTTGGTGATGATGGGTTCTGGAGAATGCAAATCATTAAAGTCCCAGAAAGTGAAGTAGGCGACGATTCAATTGATTCTTCAGATGGAGAGAATATCCACTCTAATGATATCGAAGTGCTAGATTACCAAGAAAGTAAGGAATCGCACAAAATATCTCACGAATAAGTTATCATAATCCAAAAACAAGATAAAACAAAAATGCCAACTCACATTTTACTTTAATAATATTCTACTAATTTCTTATAAAAATCAAGTTTTCAACGTCAGTTTCGAGACATTTGCGAAGAAATACTACTCGATAGCGAAATTTGAACGGGAAGCGACCATTAGGTTGTAAACGGTTCACAGTACACACTATGGTTATATAGTGGAATCAACTACGCATCTAATAGTATCACAGCACACCATTGTCCCGAAGACTAATATCTTCTCTTTTGCTGCTCTTTCATTGTAATTTTGTTTATTTGTAATTTATATACAATCAAATATTCTTTGCATTCTTTAAATAATATAGATAATTTAACCTAGCAAGAATTTTTAAATCTAAAAACAAAACAAATTACAAATAAGCAACTCTACTATAGATGGCAATTTTGCATTTGAATTAATGGATATGTCATTACAATTTGCGAATACATATCTATTGTAATGGACCACGTGACTTCAATATATAAGCTCCCTTGACTTTTTTTCGTGTTAGGCATAAACAGCTTTTCTCAAAAGTGTCAGTTGGCAAGAAAAGTTTTAATACCCGGCTATTATCTTTATGTCAGTTGCCCTCTTAGTGGTACCAAAGACAAACCATTACTCTCGCAATTAAATTCATTACTCCCATCTCTGTGTTAACTGTCTTTTCTCAAACTATAGACCACCATCGAATCCATCGGGCAACTTTTTAAGCGCAGAAAAGACAAAAATTTAAATCTGAAAATATTGATACACTTAACTTGGTCAGGAAGATACACATAAGAAGACAATAAATATGGCCAACACAAAAGAACTACAAGAGAATCTTCGACCGGAATATCTGAGATTGTACAATGTTATCAATGAGGAAAATGTAAATATATCTCCAGTGTTTACTGTTTTACCTCCACGAAAAGATTACCCAGATTATTACGACGTCATCAAGAAACCTATATCTATAAACACTCTTAAGAAGAGGCTGACAACCTATACTAATGCTCAACAGTTTATGGACGACCTAGTACATATACCGTGGAATGCGAAAGTTTACAACACTAAGGAATCAGAGATCTATAAATATGCGTTGACGCTAGAAAAATTTATTAATGAAACGGTCTATCCTAATTTAAAGAAAAAATATCCTAAGCTAGAATTACCATATCTGGGGCCCACACCGGATGAGCCAGGCTACCAAGAATTCCAAGAAAAGCTATTAATCAAAGAAAAAGAGAAACAGGAAGAACTTGAACGCAAAGAAAGGCTAGAAAAGGAAGCTAAATCGCACAAAGTACTTATAAGGACTCGTAAAACTAGTAATAAAGAAGGCTACACGACCGATTCGTATGACAGTAACAATGAGGTCCATACTGAAACAGGTGATGATGACCATTATACAGATTATGGTAAAGGCGATGATGATGATGAATACACCGATTCCGGAAGAAGGTACAAACAAAGGCGCGTGCATGCTAAGTTCTCGCCATCTCCATCCGGTACACCTCATCCTTTAGGGTTACGCCATTCCGAGAAGCCAGTCAAAAAATACGTGAAAAGAGGTAGACCTCCAATCATAGATTTGCCATACGTTCAAAGAATGAAAAATGTCTTAAAGGTAATTCGAAAGGAAGTTGATGAAAGAAGGCGGTCATTGTTAGATTCTTTTGAGAAAATACCGGATAGAAATTACAATCCACAGTATTACTCAATAATATCGAATCCAATATCTCTAGATGAAATAAGAAAGAAAGTAAAAACAAGAAAATACAAAGACTTTGAGGGGTTTCATAATGATATCAAACTAATGCTTTCAAATTATAGAACATACAACAAAAATAATCCAAATGAGCTGAAGCGCTCTTTCAAATTTGAAAAATCTTTTAACGAGCTAGCACAATTTGAGTTGTCTAGGCCAGATACCGATTACATGCCCGAAGGAGAATTTCGATGTCCATTAGATGAAGTCATTGTAAATGGCATAACATATCAAGTTGGTGATTGGGTTCTTCTCAAAAATAGAAATGATGAATCTAAGCCAATCGTAGGACAGATATTCAAGTTTTGGAGTGAGGGAACATCAGGTACTAAATGGCTTAATGCATGCTGGTATTATAGACCAGAACAAACTGTTCACAGAGTTGATAGATTATTCTATAAGACCGAAGTAGTTAAATCTGGACAGTATAGAGATCATAAAGTTTCTGATATACAGGGTAAATGCTATGTCGTACATTTCACCAGGTACCAAAGAGGAGACCCAGATATCAATATTGATGGTCCTCTGTTTGTTTGTGAGTATAGGTATAATGAATCTGACAAGGCTTTCAACAAAATTAGGACATGGAGAGCGTGCTTGCCAGAGGAAATACGTGATGTGGAGGAGCAAACAATTCCTGTTACAGGTAGGAAATTCTTTAAATTTCCGTCACCGATAAGACATCTTCTACCTCCAAACTCAACAACTAGGGACCCAGTACCAGATCCTACATTAGGTGTTCCTAATGCTCCACCAATTGTGGGAGGTGTCTATATGCGTTCAAAACTAGATAGAGACGATTTAGGTGAGTACTCTACTTCTGACGATTGTCCTAAGCATATTATTAGACCTAACGATCCTAAAGATAGACTTGAGGGTAAGATTGACAATGATATGGGAACGATTATTGTAAGTGGTGGAATGGGAAATCTTGCTCGTATGACTCCTTCCCATACAAAACTAAACACAATGAGAGATAATCACATTGAGAATAACTATCAATTTAACAATAATGAAAGTGCATCGCTGCCGTTTTCACTGGCAAAGGAAAATGTCCCAATACCCAATCTAAACAAAACAAATCGACCTCTCAATATATCCGATCTTCACTCTAGACATGTGGCACAGTTTGTTGCAAATCAACGACAACGTGAAATCACACATAATTTAGAAGCGGCCAAATACAGCCACGCTACAATTGCAGACAAAATAGCCAATGAAGCTAGTAAGCATACTCGCCTTGGGCAACAGATAGTATCCTTGCCACATTCATACGTACTTCCGCTGTCAATCACTAAAAATACTGGTGTGTTGCAAACATCCGATATATCTAACCAAAGCAGAAGACAGAAAGAGGATGCCTTAATGCCGAGGAAAAGGACAAAGGAAGAGATACTTTGGTTTACTGGTCCTAGTGTTAGCATCAATGAGCGTCTCATGGATTCCGGTATTGTAAGAACACTATCGATGAACACCTTAACAAATTCATCTAAAGATGGGTTAGATTATGAGGAATTTGAGGAAGTAATACCCGTGATTCGAAAAAGAAGCAAAAGAAATACGAGAAACATCATCGAACAAGTGGAAGAGGAGGAATTTGATAAAGAAGAAGCACAAACCACAAAAAAGGATGAAGATGATTCAGTAACGCAGTTATTTCATACATCATTACACTCATTGAGGCCTTCAGCATCATTCATGTCTCATCGTTTGGCAGAAAGTACTTAACTTGATTTCTATTACAATGGATTTATGCATGCTTCTTAGCCGTAATGCAGGACGATGGCACTCACAATCGGAGCTCATCACTTGAATCCTATGCTTGCTCATCATATCATTTTTTTTTTTTTTGGACCATTTTTTTTCACTTGGAATTTTTGATAATTTTGTTCCAAAGTACTGTTGACAGAGTCAGGTTCTAAAGTAACAATGCCAATCATTGTGCAGTAGTTTCTCTACTCAAACTTGCTCAGTCTTTTGCCTTAATTTCTACTTCTGCGAAATTTCATCCATTAATGCAATTTAAATTATCCTTTATTTTTCATTTCGTACTCGTTTTAATTTTTTGAAGGCCCCACCCTAACATTTACAGTGTGTCTCATTGGGTAAACTTCGTTGTAGCATTAGCAATTTGTAGTATTAGCTCATCATTTACTTTCTATCTTTTAATTAATTTATCTGGATCTTTCTAATATTAATCTATTACTCTCTTTAACTCTTCATTATTCAATTCCAAACTCTTATATATAGGCTCTGTATTCTATTTGCAATTAGTCTACTTGTAAGAAACTCAATTTCTTCATAGAGTTTGATTAGTTTTTACTTACGGTTACAAGTAAATCATCGGCACCGTTTTTATCATTGTGTTCGAAGTTGCAGTCAAATTTGCTATTCTTACACCATAATCTCCCATTAACTTGATTATTGGAATAATAATAAAAGGAATTTACTATTGAAAATGTCTGAGTTTGATAAGTACGCTACCCCACTATCGTCCAGATATGCTTCTAAGGAGATGTCTGCTGTTTTCTCTTTGAGAAACAGGTTCTCTACATGGAGAAAGTTATGGTTGAATCTAGCCATTGCTGAAAAGGAATTAGGTCTTGATGTCATTACAGATGAGGCCATTGAACAAATGAAGGCCCACTTGGAAATTACAGATGAAGAAATTGCCAAGGCTAGTGAACAAGAAGCTATTGTCAGGCATGATGTTATGGCCCATGTTCATACATTTGGTGAAACATGTCCTGCTGCGGCTGGTATCATCCACTTGGGTGCCACTTCTTGTTTTGTCACAGACAATGCCGATTTAATCTTCCTAAGAGATGCATACGATATTGTTATTCCAAAACTCGTCAATGTTATCAACCGTTTAGCTAAATTTGCTCTAGAGTACAAGGACTTACCAGTTCTGGGTTGGACTCACTTCCAACCAGCTCAATTAACTACTTTGGGTAAGAGAGCAACTCTATGGATCCAAGAACTACTATGGGATTTGAGAAACTTTGAAAGAGCTAGAAATGATATTGGTTTGCGTGGTGTTAAAGGTACCACTGGTACACAAGCGTCATTCTTGGCCCTATTTCACGGTAATCATGACAAAGTTGAAGAACTTGATGAAAGAGTTACTGAACTTCTAGGCTTTGACACTGTTTATCCAGTCACTGGTCAAACTTACTCCAGAAAGATCGACATTGATGTTCTTGCACCATTATCATCATTTGCTGCCAGTGCCCACAAGATGGCTACCGATATCAGACTGCTAGCCAACTTGAAGGAAGTTGAAGAGCCATTTGAAAAATCCCAAATTGGTTCTTCAGCAATGGCTTATAAGAGAAACCCAATGCGTTGTGAACGTGTTTGTTCTTTGGCTAGACATTTGGGCTCTCTATTCAGTGATGCTGTCCAAACTGCTTCCGTCCAATGGTTCGAGAGAACATTAGATGACTCAGCTATAAGAAGAATCTCTTTACCAAGTGCTTTCCTAACAACAGATATCTTGTTGACTACAATTCTAAATATCTCTTCAGGTTTAGTTGTATATCCAAAGGTAATTGAAAGAAGAATTAAGAGTGAGTTGCCATTCATGGCTACTGAGAATATCATTATGGCTATGGTCGAAAAGGGTGCTTCTAGGCAAGAAGTGCATGAAGAAATCAGAGTCCTGTCTCACCAAGCTGCTGCTGTGGTAAAAGAACAAGGTGGTGACAATGACCTGATCGAACGTGTCAAGGCCAATGAGTTTTTCAAGCCTATCTGGAATGAATTGGATCAATTGCTAGATCCATCTACATTTGTTGGTAGAGCTCCTCAACAAACAGAAAAATTTGTTGGTAAGGATGTTAAGAACGCCTTGCAGCCATTCCAAAAATACATCAACGATGCTGAAGTTAAACTAAATGTTTGAGATGTATAATTGATCAAATATTCCTCGGACTTAGCAAAATTGGAGCATGCGAGAAACATAAAAAAGCAAATATATATCTATGTGTGTGTATTTCTTAAAGAAGTATCCTGATTTATATCACAATAATATGAACTGTATATACTAAGACCATCTACCTCATTTTATTGATCTGGTTATCACAATTGGCAGATCATCGCAGGCGAGAGAACCTTATTTTTGAATAAAAAACTGAAATACTATTATCTTGGCCCTTTGATAGCCAATATCTGAGTAAATTAGGTAAAGGAGAGAGTCAAAACAACATATATGCTTTAGATGCCACAATATCTATTGAAGAGGCATCTTCGACATTTGAAGTCCATCTCTGTCAACAATATATCGTTAATTGATGAGTCTAAAAAAATTGGCTCAAGGGTAGGCTTTATTCCATGCTTTATTGTATTGGAGGACACTAGATCAAGAAAGCCATTCTATGTCAGTGAATTGGAGACTGGATCATTGTCGTCCTTGCATTTCACAGAATTAGTCATACCTAAAGAATTTGAGTTGTGCACGCTGTTTGAAATAAAGATAGCTGCGAAGATTCCGAGCTTCTTACTGAGGCATGATGAGGATGAGCTATGGTGTTTTGTTGCAATGCACACTGTGAACTTGGATGAGTTAACTTACATTGGTAATCAAAGAGATGATCACATTACCATGGAACAGAATTTGCCTATGATAGAAATGATAGATGGATGGTACGCCCTCCCTAATAAGAATATTCGTTATACTGGTTTACAAATAAGCCCCGTTGCTAATATGAACAATAAAAATCGTAAGAGAATGTGTCCATTTAATTCTCTAGTTAAATTGTCAAAACTCACTCAGTATACTGGCGATATGGTGGAGGAAAAGCAGATTTCCACAAACAAGATAGAGAGGCTGATTAAATCAACACATAATATAGGCACTGGAATACTAGATACATATCAGGAAAACATAAAAATGATTGAAAGTAGATGTGAGATAAAGAGACAAAAGTTAAAGAGGCTAAAGGATCAACTTTCTGAATTGGATGATGGGAATGAACTAAATGATGTTGACAGCAATATTGAAACATACAGGGATGAATATGCTAATATTTACTCAAAGCTATCAAACGCCAAAGAGGCGATTGAGAAATTACAGAAAAAAAAATTGATTCAATTAATAAATGTATTCAAGAATACTTTCTTATTTGATAAAGACGTGGGCTTAATATCGTTTCAGTTTGATGATGACGAGATCGAAGTTGAAGAGTTTTGCAAGAATCTTGAAAGAGTTTCTATCGAGCAAATTTACGACAGATATAATGAGTATCCAAAATCTGTGAAAATCATAAATGCAATGCTGGGATTTTATTCATTATTTATCGTAATATATTCATACAGAATAATACAGAGAAAACTTCCTTTCGATATTGTATTTCAAGGTAGTGAAACTATCGTGGGTCGTAAGTATCGTTTGAGTTTCCCAGAATCTCGATCAACTAAATCCAAGGAAGAATTCCATATTGCCTTAAGAGCGTTTAATGAAAATATCATGCAGTTTACACAGTATCTAGGTCATATTACTCAGTCCTTTACTATCTGAAAATCAAAAATCTCACTTGGTTTGCTATTTAATCGTTTCCAAGTTGTTATTTTACCAGTTTGTGGATCAAACTTGTAAGTGCGGATTCTTCTCTCTGTACCTCCGTAACCAGCATAGCCACCTTCACCAGCTCCACCGCCATAACATAACCAAATATTTTTGTTTGAAGTAGAGTCATCATGCAAACAATAGTCATTACAGTGATCATGCCCGCAGCCTACAACATCAACTCCGATTTTATCTAAAGCAACTAGTCCACCGGAGTTGTACCTTGGAGCTGTTACTCCTTCCTTAAAAGTGCCAATCAATTCATTAGATTCCCCAGGACGCTTTTTAGAATCCAGATTTAAGTATTCTGGGAGTGGGATATGAATGAATGTCATAGCCGCATGTCTGTGTATATTTTCTTTAATGTGTGATTTCATACCTCTTTCATATAACGACTGTATATATTCCAACTGTTCCTCTTTTAGCCAGTCATAACCAAGGTATATTTTCCCAGTCTTGGAATATTTATGACTATCCATAAAGTATAAACTCAAAGCAGCAACTTCAGGATCATTCTCGTAGAATATCTGATGTGCATAATTTCCTACACCGAATGTGTTATCTTTTGTATCATGTGGAGAAATTTGAAATCTAGAGTAAGGTAACTTCATCGCCAGCTTAGAGAGTTCCCAACGAGACAGGCTTCCCTCATCGTCATGGTTTCCCCAAACCATTGCCCACGGAATACGTCTCCTGATAACTGGGTCAACAGCCTTGTAAAGAACAGATTCACTATCCTGGAGAGACCTATCACCCATAATTTGATCGCCAGAAAACACAACAAACCCGGGCTTTTCGATATCTAAAACCTCCTCCACAAACTTTAATGTTTTTGAATCTGCTTCACATTTATCATGGTGTGGATACTCATCGAGACATCTATTCTTGCCAACTCCTAAATGCAGATCAGCCAGTTGAACAATCTTAAATCCATCATCTTCATGTTCCTTTTTGACTAGCACTTTAGATTTTGTGTATTCGGGTTCTTGCGATCCCAGTTTCATATAAGACATGAAAGAAGGATGCTTATAAGACAAGTAAGGAGAGCTTTTGACCAAGTGCCAGTTTGGTCTAGGATCGACAGCATCTTCACCAAATAAAATGTTCACATCTGATATGATATCAAAGAAGTTATCTCTTAGTATTTCACCTAAGGATATTTCTTTAAAAGTTGCAGAGGGTATATGATGAGCACCCAGATTTAAATTTGGCGTCGCATCAAATACAAGTACATCCAAAGGTTTACCGTATAACAAGAATTCATCAAACCTAACAACTTCAAAAAAGAAATACTCGGATATACCTATTAAATTGTATCCATAGGATCCTCTCAAATCCTTTCTCACAGTTATAGAGTTCGTCACTATTCTAGGTTTATTGTGGAAATGCTTGGGCTTCAAACATCTTTCGTATTTGGTACCTAGGTGGAAACATTTAATTGTTCCATAATTCACAACCATAACATCATCATGCTTGATATTTTTCAAATTTGATTGCTCCATCCATTGTCTGGCAGTATCCAGAACTTTAAGGTCATAACCAGCTTTCAGTTCATCGTTGTGGTGATACTTACTGATATTCAACACAAATTTCTCGAGCCATAAAACCAATAACCCAGTAAATAAAAGGAAAAACACCTTACGTCTCGATATTATCCTCCCGAGCCTCATAAATAACAATTGACTTCTATGTACCACCTAAGATAACGGTAACTGTGTCTAATCAAACCTCTGTGGCTAACAATGGTAAAGCCTTATGACAAATCACACTATCATAATAAAAGCTATGCATTATATTTTAATTCATATTGTCAGCTATAAATAGTCTGCTGTTTAGAAACAAAGACTCATCGGTGATTGACAAGTTACAATTACAGTTGTCAATTTTTCATGCATAATGGTGTTCCGGCTGCAGAGAAAGTAGCGCACAAAGCAACTTCACGGACACGAAAATATCTAATTGATCAAAATAGTTAGTTAATTAGGTTCATCGCTTGCGAAATGGGTTATCCTCTTCTGCCATGTCAAGTATAATCAGTACTTTTACTGCCCGCCAGCAGTGTCGCCATTAGCAGCTTATGCTACGCTCTAGTATCTTATTGCTAGGGTTATGAACCTCATATATTCTATACAATTTTTAAACATTATTGACCACATAGGGAGGATGAACTTGACATGTTACAGCTCAAGGATCTGATCTTGACAGAGAAAATTATTTTTTAACGTGCCTGTTACTTCAGTACATTAGTCTCATCAACTAGCCAAATACCTGCACTGCTAGCAGTTTTAAAATGAAATACTGGCGTACATACAAACCATTAAAGGGCAATATGACACTAATACAACACAATACACTCACATGATATTGCCAGCAATTATTGTAGATATACTAGCTACGACCAGAATTGGCTCGAGGCCTGGTTTTACCTTTCTTAGAAATGCGCAATTGATTACTTGCAGTATTTAGTTGCCTGGTCTGTGTCCATCATTTTGCAGCAACCCGCCTGCATTGCCATTATTGGATTCCTTACCATGAACGTCTTTTGTTGTCTGCTGGTTTGGAATCCGCTGTGGGATCACTCTATGAGGGTTTCTGAACTTCTCTATGTCATATTCAACTTTCTTGCCACCCCTATCAAGTGTAACCTTAATGGGCTTATCTTCCTTACCGTCACTCATACTTGGTTCTATAGTTAATCTCAAGGTTTATATTAAACAACCGATTTGATCTTAAGTATGGATATAACTATGGAAATAGGAATATAAATCAGTTGATATCCTGGGGCTATTTATAGCTGTTTTAAGAAGTGGGCTTTGCCTTTACTATACATCATCTCGTACTCATCGAATGTGAATTTTGGCATTCCGAAGACATGATTCTTCAGTAATAGTAAAAGTAATAGTGTTAAGGTACTGGATGAGTAGTACTGATTATATTAGGAACAATCTTTACCACTACACTATACTACTCAAATACTACAATCTTCATTATAATCTATTAACTGAGGAGTGTTATATCTCATGTCCCATATTGAGTTTTTAGAAAGAGCAGGCTGCTCTCAATATGCAGACTTGTTTGAAGAATACAGCTTGACTGACATCAATGACCTCATGCACATAGATCGAGATATTTTGCTCGAGATTGGGGTCAAGAAGCTTGGTGATAGGATCAGAATCCTAAAGGAATCAAAGAAACTGCAAGAACCAAAAGATGATGCGAAGCATGTTCAACAACTGCAAGAGCTAATTTCGAATATTAGTGAACTGTCCACTACCAGTACCAATATTAATGAAGAAGTCATAACAGAGAGGCATTGTGTTATATTTATATTAAATGATGGGTCAGCCAAGAAGGTTAATATTAGTGGATGCTTCAATGCAGACTCTATAAAGAAGCGTTTGATTAAAAGGCTACCTTCTAATCTTCTGGCTGTTAATACAGATGGGCAAACTACTCAAGAATCCTCCGACTATGATGTTTTTATCGTTGACTATTCAAAGAACGTGCTGAGATTACTCTATGATATTGAACTAGTTACAATTTGCCATTCCAATGACCGTGTAGAGAAGAACAGGCTGATATTTGTGTCAAAGGATCAGACTCCGACTGATAGAGCGATCAATGCATCAAAGAAATTATATCTGAAAACTATAACAGCACTCAATCATATTGAATCCTATTATGATGCACAATCTGGCATGCCAAACACCCCAGTTACTCAGGATGGTACATTAAGGATACATAAGGAAGGTAAGGATAAACTACGGAAAATATTTGACCAAAGACCTCCTAGTGAGTTTATATCCACAAATATTGCAGGATATTTCCCACATGCGGATACAAAGAGGTTAGAAAAGGCCCTGAGAGAGTCCTACCGTCAATCTGCTAGAATAAGTATGAAAAGCAACAACTCTAGACACATCAGTTCAGAATCAAATCGTGTCGGTGACATTCTATTAAAGCACTCCAATGCGGTTGACATGGCTCTACTACAAAGCTTGGACAACAACAATGCACCATCATCTAAACCTGAAGTAATACCACCATCCACACCACAAGAGGAGGATAATGAAGGTAAGATTAAATTAATGGAAGAGACAGAGAGTATAGACGATTATTATATGAATTCTGATGAAGAGCACGGTACAGTTTCTTTACCTACAAAGATAGTTACTCCAAAAAACTGGCTCAAAGGTGCAAGAATAGGTTCTGGTAGTTTTGGGACAGTATATCTTGGTATGAATGCACAGACTGGTGAGTTAATGGCCGTTAAGCAAGTCGAGATTAAGCCAGCTATTGCAGCTACAGCAGATGCAAATGTTGAAGATAAGAATGCAGAGAAAAATGTTGCAAAGGCACCTTCAACTAACTTGCATCGGAAAATGATTGATGCGTTACAGCACGAGATGAGTTTGTTGAAAGAACTGCAGCATGAAAATATAGTAACATATTATGGGTCATCTCAAGAAGGTGGCAACCTGAATATTTTCTTGGAATATGTTCCTGGTGGTTCTGTTTCATCAATGCTAAGCAATTACGGGCCCTTTGAGGAGCCGTTGATTGTCAATTTTACAAGGCAAATACTAATTGGTGTTGCCTACTTGCATAGGAAAAATATCATACATCGTGACATCAAGGGTGCCAATATTCTGATTGATATCAAGGGTTGTGTCAAGATCACAGATTTTGGTATCTCCAAGAAACTTTCACCACTAAACCAGGAGAATCAAGATAAGAGGACCTCTTTGCAAGGGTCTGTGTATTGGATGTCTCCAGAAGTTGTAAAACAAACTGCTACTACTTCAAAAGCTGATATATGGTCAACGGGATGTGTTGTAATTGAGATGTTTACTGGAAAGCACCCATATCCAGATTTCTCACAGATGCAGGCATTATTCAAGATAGGTACAAATGTAACACCGGAGATACCATCCTGGGCCTCTCCACAAGGAAGGGATTTTATCAGGAAGACCTTCGAGCTTGATTACCAGAGGAGACCCACTGCTATCGAACTACTCCAGGAATCTTGGCTCGAGAGTCATATCATATAGGATGAATATATTAACGAGAATGTACTATATAAAATAGGCACTTCGATAATCAGAAAATCCGAAGTGGATTGTACACTTCAACAGCTTCCAAGAGTAGTCTGGATACCTATAAGGATAGCTAAGTTATATAGGGCATAGACACGTGATACATTATCTACTCCTTGTAATCTGTTAATCAACAATACTCAGTCATAACGGTAAGAATCTGTTGCTGTTTAGCAGTTACTAAAATAGATGACCTTTACCCCAACAACTGGTGATATTATAAAGTCACTTACACCTGGAAACTTCTCGAGATTTGCTTGTTATGTTTAATAAAATTTGGAGAGAATTGTAGGAGTGACTTCGATATAAGAATGTGCTAGTAAAATTGGGGTGTGGTACTCCAACTATACGTAAAGTCCCCTCGATGAACACGAAGTGTTCTATATCAGAAGCATATATATATATATATAAGATATAACTAAGACTTAACTTTTTTTCGGTCTGGTATTTCAAAGTCATGGAATTGGCGTCAATTGTCTATCTGTTCGGCGTATGATCCAAACATGCCATTGTAATCGGATCAATGGGGTGTATACTTTAAATCACGTTTATCGGTCCTAGCCTCCTATCGGTAAGTGTCATTGCAACTGATTATAGAGGAAGTAGTTGGGTTTTTTTCACTGGGAAATAGATCGGTTTAAAGGATCTTCCTTTGATTCCAACCTCATCTCATCTCATCGCCTGCCATGAGTAGCTACAGGTTTACATATGAAATTTTTATCGGTTAGAATAGCGAGGCTACTTTTTGGCTTTTTTTGCAGTACTTTTAAACTTGGCATTTATCCTATTTGGATGTTCTCCTTGAGCTTTGAACCTGCTATCTCCGAAAAAACGCAGACACTGCTTTTCTAAGGATTGTTCCAAACTCAACAAAGGTATTAGAATTTTTACTTCCAAGGTCAGAAATGTCCCAAAGCCTGTTTCGCTGCCTTTCACATATCATAACAACTGAAGTCTTGTGAAATTCTTTCAAGTCCCCCCCCCCCAGAGGTCGTTATTTGCTTGGTGCTTGTCTGTGAAAACTGTCCTTTCGGACAGACGGGGAGAAGTGTCGATATTCCAAATCAAAATAGATTTTGGTGCTACTGGCATTTGCTTCAGTCCGATACGAGCATTTGTTCCTTGTCATTTACAGGATCACATAATACCCACGCAAAATAAGAGAATCAAATGTATCATGTGTTTTTTTTGGGCAGTGTTTACCATTGAATGGGCAACATGACGCATCATAGTTCTCTACCAGGTTACTCTGCAAGAACTTTGGTCTGAAGGATTCCCTTCCGTCCCTGTACTTTGTCGAATCGTGCCCACAGAGAAGAATCGTTGCTTGTGGTCTTCAATTGTAAGGCCATTTGCAAGAGACCAACCTTTCTTTCTTTTTTTTCCCATTTGCACAGTGCGATGAACTGCCCTGCTTCTACTACAAGGATTCAATTGGTAAAGTGCTCGCGATTATACTAATTCCGATCCACAAGTGCTGGCCGTCATACACTGGTGTCTCTCTCACTCTATCAGGATTGGTGCACTACTTACAATTGTTGTCCATCTTAGTCCAGTCACACACAAGTGCAGCACACACTATATTTTTTTTCATCGACGGCCCGAGGACAGTTGAAAAAAAAAAAGGTTCAGTTTTCACATGTTGATATATATAGAGTTGCAAACTCTGTAAGCGATTCTTTATCAATTGCGTACTGTCAATTGCATTCGCATTTGGACTTCCTGTGCTTTATAGAAGTTTGTAAGTTGTCTCGGTAATCTTTTTTTTCTAATACAGTGAAAAAGTCAATTACAAAAACTTGACCACAAGGCAATAATATAAATGACATTAAAAGAACATAAGACTGTGCATGAAGCACAGAACGCTGTTGCTCGCCAAGCTCCAGAGCATTTCTACAAGAGCCAGCCAAGCAGAGGTGGTTTCATAAAGGACATCTCCGAATATGAAAGACTTTACAAGCAGTCGATTGAGGACCCAGAGACTTTCTTCAGTGAAAAGGCTCGTGAACTATTGCACTGGGACGCCCCATTCTCTAAAGTATCGTACGGTTCTCTAGAGCAAGGTGATGTCGCTTGGTTCCTAAACGGTAAACTAAACGCCTCTTACAACTGTGTGGACAGACACGCCTTTGCCAACCCAGACAAGCCTGCCATTATCTATGAAGCAGACGACGAGAAGGACAACTATACCATCACTTTTGGTGAATTGCTGAGAAGAGTATCTAAGGTTGCTGGTATCTTGAAGAGCTGGGGTGTCAAGAAAGGTGACACTGTTGCCATTTACTTGCCAATGATCCCAGAAGCTATTATTGCTATGTTGGCCGTTGTGCGTCTTGGTGCCATCCACTCTGTCGTCTTCGCCGGTTTCTCAGCTGGTTCTTTGAAAGACCGTGTAGTCGATGCTGGTTCCAAGGTTGTCATCACTTGTGATGAAGGCCGTAGAGGTGGTAAGACTGTCCACTTGAAGAAAATCGTTGATGAAGGTTTGAACGGTGTCGATCAAGTCTCTCGTATTTTGGTTTTCAAGAGAACAGGTACTGAAGGTATTCCAATGAAGGCTGGTAGAGATTTCTGGTTGCACGAGGAAGCTGACAAGAGAAGATCATATCTACCACCTGTTCCATGTGATGCCGAAGATCCACTATTCCTACTATATACATCTGGTTCTACCGGCTCTCCAAAGGGTATCGTGCACACTACTGGTGGTTATTTGCTAGGTGCCGCTATGACTACTAAGTACGTCTTCGATGTTCATCCAGAGGATGTTTTCTTCACTGCTGGTGATGTCGGCTGGATTACAGGTCACACCTACGCTCTATACGGTCCATTGTTGCTAGGTGTACCAACTATCTGCTTCGAATCTACACCAGCTTACCCAGATTACGGTAGATACTGGAGAATTGTCGAACGTCACAAGGCCACCCACTTCTACGTTGCACCAACTGCTATGAGATTGATTAAGCGTGTTGGTGAAGCTGAAATTAGCAAGTACGACTTGTCCTCCCTACGTGTCCTAGGTTCTGTCGGTGAACCAATTTCTCCTGAACTATGGGAATGGTACAACGAAAAGATTGGTAACAACAATTGTGTTGTTTGTGACACTTTCTGGCAAACTGAATCCGGTTCTCATTTGATTGCCCCAATGGCGGGTGCCATCCCAACCAAACCAGGTTCTACCACTCTTCCATTCTTCGGTATTGATGCTTGTATCATTGATCCAGTTTCTGGTGTTGAAATTGAAGGAAACGATGTCGAAGGTGTTTTAGCTGTTAAATCACCATGGCCATCCATGGCTAGATCTGTCTGGAACGATCACGTTCGTTATGTCGACACTTACATGAAGCCATACCCAGGTTACTACTTTACAGGTGATGGTGCTGGTAGAGACCACGATGGTTACTACTGGATCAGAGGTAGAGTTGACGATGTTGTTAACGTCTCTGGTCATAGGTTATCTACTGCAGAAATTGAAGCCTGTTTGGTTAACCATGAGAATATCTCTGAGACCGCTGTGGTTGGTATCAATGACGAATTGACCGGTCAAGCTGTTATTGCATTCGTATCATTGAAGGAAGGCTACCTACAAAATGATGCCCCAGAAGGTGATGCTGAACATATTACTCCTAGTAACTTACGTAGAGAGTTGATTCTACAAGTCAGAGGTGAAATTGGTCCATTCGCTTCTCCAAAGTGTATTATCTTGGTCAGAGACCTACCAAAAACCAGATCTGGTAAGATCATGAGAAGAGTTTTAAGAAAGATCGCTTCCAATGAAGCAGACCAACTAGGTGATTTGTCTACTTTGGCTAATGCTGATGTTGTTCCTGCCATTATCTCTGCCTGCGAAAACCAATTCTTCGCAGAAAAGAAATAATGTATGAAATAAGCTACACGGTTCGATTGATTTTCTTCTTTTCAGTTCATACAAACTTCACAACAAAAAAAATAGTATAGAATGCATTTCCCATTATTGCAGCCCACCTAACACAGACGTGTAATTCATGTTTTCCCTACTCTTGACTATAAGCTATTCATTTATTCTTTAACTTATTTAGATCTGTTTTTATATTTAAAAGTATTCGCTTTGATTTTAATTCTTCAACTATAACGATCAGATAGTATTTCTAGCAACTAATTGCTGTGCATTACTAATAGACATCTACTATCATTTCATTTCACATGGTTTTGCTCGATGTTGTGATTCAATGCAAGGACTCTATAACTTTAACAATGAGTCGTCCCACACTATCAATCGGATTTTAGCCCTTAAACAATAATCGCACCTCTAAGCAATTCAGTATATATATAATCTAACTTTCGTCCCAATATTAACCAATATGGGGGCCAGTTAATCATTAGATAACAGTACTAAACTAGCTGCTGTTAGCAAGAATGTCTAAGTTACTCGCCAGTGTGGAAGGCGAATACGCAAAGTTCTACCGTCAATTTGAGGAAGATGAACAACCGAGAAGGCTCACCCACATAGAGAAATGTCTGGAAGACACACAAGAGTTCAAATTACAATTGAAGAAACTTAGAGCACATTTAAATAAATACATTAATGATTGTGAGGAGGGGCACATTGAAGATCAGAAAAAGTCGCAGAAAAAGAAGGACTTGATTGTAGATAAAATAAACAGGAGTCATAAGCAGTTCGAGCATTCAATAAGAAAAAGCCATAAGTTACAACAATCAGCTCTGACTGGATATCATAAGCATTTTCTAAATAGACTTACAAAGATTGAGATAGATCAGATTTATCTTAACAAGTTACCAGAAGATGCTCATAGTTACGTCAAGGAAGCCATAGGATATCATATTTGCCGGTATCATATGAAATCTTTACCAGTTATGGATAGTAAGGATGTATTAATAAATTATCTTGAGAGTCTATATGGTGTCAGTCCGCAAATGTCAGATAAGTTTATTGATATGGGTGAAGTCATACAAAACATCCAAACCCAGAGTACTCACAGATGTTTGGATTGGATAAATCATGTAAGTGAGGATCAAATTTATTCAGAGACGATTTCGAAAGAGGGATTAACGACCTTGAAAGATCTGCAGTTCCAGTTATATATTCTTGAGTTTTTAAAGGTTTTAAGAGAAGGAGATGCATTACAATCTTTCAAATACATTACCAATGTTCTGCCCAGAGGAAACTTTAACGACAAAGCAAACGACATAATACAAAAAATAGCTCCACTTTTGACTAAAAGTGTAATAGGTAAGCCAGTAGCTGATATTGACGCTATTTTGAAAGAGCAGGTGGACAAATGCGTGTCGATTTTTACAATGGAGTATTGCGCATATTTGAATCTCCCTCATCACTCACCTCTATTTCTGATTGTCTTGAGTGGTATAATATCTTTCCAGTTTTTCATAAAATATAAAAATATCAGGAGTACAGCACATGTGGGTTGGACCACTGAAGATGAATTACCATTCGATGTTAAGTTGCCTCCATTTCTTTCTCACTTTCATCCGATATTTATATGTCCTGTTCTCAAAGAAGAAACAACAGTTGAAAATCCACCATATTCGCTGGCCTGCCATCACATTATCTCAAAGAAGGCACTTGATAGATTGTCAAAGAATGGTTCGCTCACATTTAAATGCCCTTATTGTCCTGTGAATACATCTATGGCAAACACTAGAAAGGTTAACTTTATAATGGTCTAGATGCTGCTAACTTTCGGTTGAATTAATTCTTGTTATCGTTCCATTAGTAGTACTATTACAGAATATATTGACATATACATACATATATATGTTTTATAGAAAGAACACAATCAAATTAACCACAGCAAATACTAAATAATTCCGGATTTTGGTGAAACAGTTGCGGTGAATTCGTTATTTTTAATTATTCCAGAAGATGCACCATTTTCACCTGTCAGCCAACCAGGCATGTGTTCAATATCGATCAAATTACGGTCACAAAGCTCATGCAGACCACCAAAAATATCATTGCCAATTAGTTTTAGTGAAATTGATTGGGAACCTTTATCAGATTCGCCCTCAATAATGGCAATATCTACATCCTCATCTTCTTTATTGTAAGGTCCAGACCAATTATCATTAGTAACAGTATAATGTGCCTTTTTCATAGGTAGCAAAGAGGTATATTTTGAAAGTAAGATATTAGACTGTTTTTGACTTAAATTGTAGACTTTATCAATCTTTTTTTTTATCTCAAAAATCTTTTCATGGATAATACCGTTCTCTGACCCTTTAAACCTTATCATATTTTTCTGTAGTCTGAGTCTTTTGGTATCTCTATCTTCATGATTCACCTCATCAAGGTCATCTAAGTCGTGTATCTTCCTTACCAGTATCCTTCTGCCTTTGTATGATTCGTGGCTCTCTATATCTCCAAATGGCGTTGTTTCAACCTGTCCTTCAGCATATTTACTCCATTGGCCCATTGCTTTACTATATCTAGAAGGACCGTCGATTATTAAGATTTTTTCCAAATTTAGGATTGGTGTTTTGGTCTTCTCCTCGAGTATTATCGGATCCCTGAAGGAGAGAACTCTTTCTATACAGTCGTGGATGAAGGATGCATATATATCATTCTCTGGGGAATGTATTATGAAGGGCGTGTTTATGCCAAATACAAGATAGTATGGTTTCCTGGAGATCAGTTGGTTCTCTTTTGATTTTATGAGTTTCTGTTCAAATATCTCTTCATTTAGTATGATTCTGTTTCTTTTGACCGATGATAGAAAGAGATTATTTGTATCATATGACTGTATTCGCAGGATTAGCACAGGAAGTACAGCATGCTGGCATAAGAAAAAGTGTGTGAGGTATAATTTAGTTAGTTCATTTTTAAGAGCTGAGACGAATTTCTTTGGATTCATTGAGAAATTGCTATTCTGTCCTGTTAATGAGTTTTTCAAATATTTGGACTTCCATGAATAATTCGCTGGTCTTTCCATCAGCAAGATACAGTCTATCTCTGCCAATTGATATGCATTGAGCCCCATGGGCCAGTACACATACATCATTTGTGCAATCACCGTCTTTTTATTGACCTGTTGTGCTAGGTAGCCTTCGATAGTTTGTTTCACTTCCTCGACACTAATGGGATCCTGGCTGCCAGCGCCAAATTTCCTAGTCCATTTCACCGATAACTCGCAAAGCTGATCGACTTTCAGTCTATTCAGCTTCCGGTATATAATATCATCCTTCAACTTCGGCACGTACGTGTCTTCCAGTTCCATTTTTCTTATTTGGAAGTGTGTATGTACTTTGTATCCATCCAAATCAGTTCATAATATTGATCAATATAGCAATAACATGTAAAAGGACAAAAGAAATATCTAAAAGCACCTCGTGTATCAATAGCACTAATCCCAACCAGTTGCTAATATAGTCACGTATTCAAATATTGTTTGTTGTTATATTTGGGTATTATAGCTCATCGCGTTTTATATACATTTGTACGTATAGTCACAATATCACCGTACATACTTATACAGCTAACGTACAGCACGATAGTAAGCAGGTCGCGTGCAAATTTCCATATCATCTTATACTAATTACATTGTTGCCAAATATTTTTCTTCACGATTTTTAGTAAATATGGACCTCCTACTGAAGTTTCTGTGTATGAAAAAGGAACTAAAAGATAGAGAGTCATTAACACAGCAACACAACGACAACACACACTTTGGCGGGTTTAGGTCACATGATTAGAAATGTGTAAGACCAAAGTGTAATATAGTGGATGATAATAGTTTGCTGGAAGTAAGAGTATAGCACCATATATTTGGCTAGAGCGTGCTTCAGCAAAATTTAGATATTTGTTGTGATGGGTTTGGGTTCGATTTCTATTATGTTACTCTAACATTGAGAGTTGGTTATTGCAGTGGCCTTTCCCTTCCAATGTCGATACACAGCTTGTTACAGGTCGTGACGTGAAACTCACGTTGACTCTGAACTGTGGATTATAGTATCTAGTTCCCACGCCCTGGATATATTTTTGTAGATATGATTCAATTTATTGACTGCTACACAGTATGTACAATGTAGAGCATAATAATCAGAAGAATGATCCTATCTAATGCCCCTCCCATATGATATTCTTTTCAGATCCTTAATTCTAATTCCACACTTTAAACATGCACTGATTGTTGCTACAGATGTATTTTACAACTTGATTACCATCTTGCTTCTTCTTATAGTTGTAATTCTGCTGCTAATAGGTACCTTTCCCTCCACAGCAATAAGTGGACTCGTGATCTTGTTCTCTTACACATTCTTAGAATGACTATTATGCTTTTAAAAATACTACAATTGACAACCAAAGGATAGCTGATGGTATATACAGTATACTAGGAGATGTTACTTTATATATATGGTTCCATGTATGTAAATCAACAATTATATAGCTTCTTTCAAATTTTATTACTGAATTGAATAAGTAAATTAATGTCTATAAACACTGGAAATTAACACTAACTCATAAAAGTATGGTGAGGAATAAACTCCCGAGTGTTGATGAAGATGAAGCATTCTATCGCCTTGCTGCTGATGCCATCAATTATGTCAGATCTCCATCATTTCAACCCAATGCTGGTAATACGCCATCGCTTATAGTCCATGAATTGACATTGAGACTGACAAACATGAACAAAGAAGTAGCGGTGCCTCACATCAAACCACATTTAATACCAATGTCTTTGGATGATCATGTGGAGCAAATAATTCCTAGTATAACGGCGCAAGTACGACGAGAGAAGTCTGGTATAAAAACTGCATCGATAGAGCCGCCTAATTACCTATATGACAATGGTAAGCACACAAGAAGGCGAAGCAATCAGAAAATATACCCTTGTAATATTTGTGGAATAAGCTATGACAAGTTGACAGATTTGAGAAAGCATGAAAGAGCCTCCCATGAGCCTAAACAAGAGAATGTATGTATGAATTGTGGAAAGAAGTTTGCTAGAAAAGATGCCCTAAAGAGGCATTTCGATACTGTTTTATGCCATGTTGATAAAAGAAACAATCAGATATCACCACGAGAACGAAGTAAATGAAAATACTACCTACCGTGCACCTGTAACATCATCAATAGTCGTTAATTATTGAAAATAAAACTTATATGTATTAATGAAATTTATGTTCGAATGCTAATTATATAGTCTATTCCTAATGTATTATAAGCTTTTCAGCTCCTCTTAAACAGTCCAAACCGCTTCTTCTTCTTCTTTTTATCAGTATCAGTTTTTTCACTTGCAACATCTTGCGCAGTGGTATTGCTTGAGAGGTTCATAAAGCTTCCTGATTGCGAGCTAGCTGGTCTCGACTCTGATGTCACAGTTCCAGCCTGTGACGATGGCGGCTGCTGTACATTCAAGTATTGATTACTAGTATTATTTGAACCCTGTTGATCATTTACGTTCTTATTATTGAAACTTTGGTTAGTTTGGACAGGTGGAGCCGAATTACCAAAGCGAATAGGTTCCCTAGAGCCATAAGTATTTAGATTCGCAGGCTGGCTCTGTGAGTTAGGTAGTGTGTTATAACTTGACGTAATCGCAGTAGTATTATTAGTTGGTGCTATCCCATTATTAGTAGGATAGTTGTTCTGATTACTTAATATTCTGTTAACAACAGGCATGTTCTTTGGTTGATTTGGTTGACTTGGTTGCTGGTTGCCGTTGAAGAATGGGTTTGAAACGTGTCTAGGGGTAGTCATGTTACTGTTCGGACCTTGCATCATAGGCATTGTGTTACTTGAAAGAGAGTTAAACCTGCTTTGAGATGTAGAGGTAGAATAGTTACCCATCATTCTGCCACCGTAATCGTTACTAGTATAGCCTGGTACATTGTTAAAGCTATGCATTGTTACAGGTCTATTCTTTCTACTTGTAGTTTTCAGTGGTACATTACTATTAAAATGGCCTTGAGGGTACCCGCCAGCACTATTGTTATTTCCGACATAGTTGTTCATAACATTGGTTGAAGCAGATGGGATACTGTGGCCAGAAGATATTCTGCTATTATTGTAGTATGGATTGTTGTTTACTGAGCCGTTTGAATATGGACGATTATCTGAGATGGGAATGTTATTACCCAAGTCCGGTATCCTAGATGAGGAATTATTTTTTTGTTTTCTCATCATGTGATACTGCTGTGGGTTGGTGGTCTGTGGTTGCTCATAACTTAACGACTTCTTTTTCATGCTGAGTTCACGTTCTTGAAGTTCAAGTTCTTTTCTCTTTAGTTCTAATTCTTTTTCCTTCAAATAAGACATATTGTCTAATCCATTAATTCTCGATTCTGAAATTGACTTTGAAATAGGTTGTGATAGAGTATCATCAGCCATCACTGATCCTCTAGAAATACTGGTATTACTCATTCTACTTTGAGTTTCTAGTTCTTTTAGTCTAGCCTTCAATGCATTCAATTCGTCCTGATGTTTCTTTTCGTCTTGATCAAGTTTTGTACTCAGTTCTTTAGCATAGTTTTGTTGATAAGCAAGCTCTTCATTCAACTTCTGTAACTTTTCTTCCAAGAGCTGTTCATTTTGTGAGCTTTTTTGATTAGTATCCGATCTTTGAAACCATATCGATTTACCTGCATTTAAAATTTGATATTGACGGATCATAGTGTACAGAAATTCCAGATATGGTGTCTTAATGTTTAAGTCATCTGCGAGTAGGATCGGTTGTAACAAAACCACATCAAAATTGATGAATTTGTTTTGTCCCTGAGCAAAATAGTGGACATTAGTAGGAAGAGTATTCTGATTTTGGAATAATGTCGGCCAAGAGTTCAAAATCTCGGTTTCTGAGGAATATCTCTGAGGCAGTTGAACTCCAAAACGAGATGCTATCGTTATGACTTCGTTTATCAAACCTGTGATCAACGGTTTTGATAATATATGTGAGCTTAGGTTAGTTGGATTCAATTCTTCGAGAATAATCAGCAATGGTTCAAGACAAATTTTCGGTATAGCAAATGACCACTGACTAGTTTGGTACTGCTGGTAGGAGTTGTTGCAATCGCTTATTGTATCATTTGGTAAAAGCTTTGAAAACAATTTTGTAAAAGTTTGGAGTAGGTTTAATGCATGTGTGGTGTATCCTCCAGTCCTTTGGTCAATATCCGTAGACCCCAACAGGATGCTATTGTCAGAAGCCGAGTCGCATAGTTTAACATTTCCTGCTTTGGTGTAATGTTGGATAGAATTAGAGTCTATTGTAAACCTCAGGTCATAGTCAGTTACGTAGCCAAATATGTTATGATGTGGAATGGCTGTTCCTACCACTTCTGTGACAAATTTTTGTAAGTTGATGGCACTTGACTCGTTGATCACAAGCTTCGTGTTTGTATTGTTGAACAAAGGCAACACCTCGTTGACCCGTTTGGATAATGCATGTAGCGACGAAGCTGCAGCATTCACAAACACCAAATCGAAACCCGCGTTGCCTCTGCTGTCAAGTAAATCGCCAACACTCATAAACACTTTGGTCGGGTCCACTTGCAAACCACCGTTCCCATACTGCCTGGTCCGCACCGTAACATCCTGGGAGTACTTGCTACCAACGACACAGAGCTCAATGCTCTTCGCTAGCGAGAACCTCCATGCCAGGAACAAGTCAAATGGATCATCTCCATAGACTAATACACTCAACGACATTCAGCAATTTGTATCTGTCGCCACTACTAAGCTGCAATAAAAACGGAAGTGTGTGAGGGGGAAGAACTCAACTGCCTTTATACCTCTCTTACAGTTACAATCAGTGATATCTGTTAACAATGTTGCAAGATTCTAAAATAGAAGTTAACTCGTTTCGTAGTCACGGGGAAAAAAAGCTTAAACTAATTCAATGCAAGTGACAACTCAGATGATTGCCTTCTTTCGTTCAACTTAGACAGAGTACCTTGTTCTGGACCTCGTAAGTCCAATCCCGATCCTCCGTTGCTGTTTGCGATGTTTGTCGTTGCTTCATGTTTGGGCTCTGACTAAGAATTTTTCACTTTTCTAATGACAGGAAGGTTGAAAAATTATTCTAATGGGCTTGACTGAAAAAAAAAATTGTATAAAAAGTAGATTGCGATGAGCTGTTCCTTTGTCTGTGGTCTGAGGAGAGTATAGCACATACAAAAGCGCTGTATTAACTTGTTCTGTTTTGCGATGTTCCGTCCTGTGTTGAAGGTGAGGCCATCGTTCTCGTACCCATATAGCATTGTTTCTTCGAGGTCAGTGAGACTAGCATCTACTGCCACTGCCAACGCTAACACTGCCGCTGCCACTTCTACAGTTGCTGCCCATGGTACCCAGGAGACGCCCTTTGACTTTGAAGGCCACTTCGAGAGCGAGTTGGCCAAGAAGAGACTGGATAAGTCGTACAGGTACTTCAATAACATCAACAGGCTTGCGAAGGAGTTCCCCTTGGCTCACCGTCAGTTAGAGGACGATAAAGTCACTGTGTGGTGTTCCAACGATTACTTGGCTTTGTCTAAGAACCCCCAAGTCTTGGACGCTATGCGCAAGACCATCGACAAGTACGGTGCTGGTGCAGGTGGTACCAGAAACATTGCCGGCCACAACATTCCAACCATGAGACTGGAGGCTGAGCTAGCGGCCTTGCACAAGAAGGAAGGTGCTCTAGTGTTCTCCTCTTGTTATGTTGCCAACGATGCCGTCATCTCTCTATTGGGTCAAAAGGTGAAGGACTTGGTGATCTTCTCCGATGAACTAAACCATGCCTCCATGATCGTTGGTATTAAGCACGCCAACAGACCTAAGCACATCTTCAGACACAACGACTTGGCTCAGCTGGAGGAGATGCTACAGATGTATCCAAAGTCTACTCCAAAGTTGATCGCTTTCGAGTCTGTCTACTCTATGGCTGGTTCTGTTGCAGACATCAACAAGATATGTGACTTAGCTGAGAAATACGGTGCGCTAACTTTCCTAGATGAAGTGCATGCCGTCGGTCTATACGGTCCACATGGTGCCGGTGTCGCTGAGCATTGTGACTTCGAAGCCCACCGTGTTGCAGGTATCGCCACTCCACCACAAGGTGACAACGGTAGACTCAGAACAGTCATGGACCGTGTTGATATGATTACCGGTACTTTGGGTAAGTCCTTCGGTACTGTTGGTGGTTACGTCGCTGCTTCGAGCAAGCTAATCGACTGGGTTAGATCTTACGCCCCAGGTTTCATCTTCACCACTACCTTGCCTCCAGCTGTCATGGCTGGTGCTGCTGAGGCCATCAGATTCCAACGTTCTCACTTGAACTTAAGACAAGATCAACAAAGGCACACCGCATACGTCAAGAAAGGTTTGCATGATCTTGGCATTCCAGTTATTCCTAACCCATCCCACATTGTCCCAGTTCTAATTGGTAACCCAGATTTGGCTAAGCAAGCCTCTGATATTCTAATGGAAAAGCATCGCATCTATGTTCAAGCTATCAACTTCCCAACTGTTTCTCGTGGTACCGAGAGATTGAGAATTACTCCTACCCCAGGTCACACAAACGATCTATCTGATATTTTGATTGCTGCAGTCGATGATGTCTTTAATGAATTGCAATTGCCACGTATCAGAGATTGGGAAATGCAAGGTGGTCTATTGGGTGTCGGTGACAAGAACTTCGTCCCAGAACCAAATCTATGGACTGAAGAGCAACTATCTTTCAGCAACGAGGATTTGAACTCTAACGTCTTTGAGCCAGTTATCGACCAACTTGAAGTTTCCAGTGGTGTCAAATTATAAATGAGAGTATAAATGAAGATAAAAAAAATGCATTTCCATTTTGCATAAATACCGGGCTAGGTTATTTGTTTCAGTGGTTTTTTTCTTTTTCATGATTTTACCTAATATGCTCTAACCACTTAGTATGTGGTAGGCGCCATTGCCATCAATAAGGTAATCTTAATGGACACGATACCATGTTTTTTTAACGACTTTTTGAGGGAATATCTAATGATTCTTTATTATAGATTGTAAAGAATGAATGTTTTTATTTTTTGTTGTTTGTGTTATTTTTCCTAATTCTAATAAGACTATTTTTTATTATTTTTTTTTAATTTGTTTTCTATTCCTATTACCATTCATCAAAGGGTCAGTAGCATGAATATCTGAGGGTTTAATTCTTTTATTTTACATTCTCTATCCAGAAAAGTAATCATAAGAGAATTTGCGAAAAGTATTACCTCTTAGATTTATTTATTGTTATTTTTCATATGTGAATACGATTTGTTATTATTGTTTCTGATTTATATTATGCTACGTCTGCTTTCGATGAAATTTTCTCATGAACATAGTCAATCTTAAACTCTTCCATAATAGAAACTCTTCTGTGTATTTCTTTACTTTATTATTTCAATGCTATTAGTTAAAAAAGAGGAGAGAAGATATAAACACTTAATTAATATGTTAACTTTCCAGTTCGTTTTGTATAGTGCATAAATCTATTTGCTATCTAATTGTATAGCAAAACATAATATTATATATGTATTTTTGTTCAAGTTTCTATATTGTGTTGTGTTTTTCTTTACCTAATAATATTTAGAATGGGTGGGGAAGATATCTAGCATATGAGACTTGGAAAGTGACTGTACGGTCTGGAAAAGTGTTTCTTTTTTTCTATGCGTAATCACATCAAGGGACATATCAAATGCCTATTGAGAGATATAGTCAGCCTCCAAGATGAAGTATGTGGGTTCCAATAGATAAAATTACCGAATTGTTGTCCTTGTCATGAGGATTTCAAGAGTAATGCAAGTTTGTAGGTGAAAAAGAACAACGAGAATAAATTATCAGTGCTGGAGGGTTTTAAATCTAAAATATTCAAAAAAAAATAGAATGAGTCCTTTTCTCAGATCATTTATTGGTTTTGTTCGAATTGGTTTTGCAAGTGCTGGGTGCTTTGCTTCAATTCATCCTTCAAGTGGTCGACGTCAAATTCCTTGGTGGCGCTTGGGTGAGCTTCTGGGATGTTTGGCATCATTTGAGCAGCGGTAGAGATACCTTGGTCCATGGTGTTGGTGTTGTCGTATTGTCTGTTCTCGTTGATTGGGATGTCTGCAGCGATGTTAGCAGCGGTGGTGTTTGGAGCAGCAGAGGAGACGGTTGGTGGGTTGACTTGGTTCAACTTGGACTCGACCATCTTGCTGATTGGGCCCAACTTCTCCAAGTATGGCTTAGACTTCTCGCAAGCGACCTTAGAGTATTTCTGGGTCTTTTGTCTGGTGATCTTCAAGACCTCGGCAACGACAGCATCGATCTCCTTTTGGTAAGTCTTGTAGACCAATGGCAAAGTGAACAGAGCAATGTCACCGACGAACAAGATAGTCCAGACGGAGAACCAGGAGAAGAACTTGTGCAACAAGTATAGAACAACAGCAGCCTTGAAAGTCTGCTTTGGAGAGTTAGCGAAGACCAATTGTCTCATCTTGGCCTGCTTGACTGGCATCTGCTTCAAAGCGTTGTCGATGACAGGCTTGATCATGCCGACAACGTTAGGACAGTCCTTTGGACCATACTTGGTGACTAGACCTTGGCCCAGAACAAGCTTAGTAGAGAACTCTAGCAAAGCAGTAGACAAAAGAATAGTGTAGCCGACTCTCAAGAAGAAAGTCAAAAGGTTGACCTTCTTCAAGATCAACAAAGCAACCAAAGTGGTACCGAAAACCTTACCGGTTTCCAATGGGTTTCTCCATAGCAGTAGGTCACAATCACAGTGACACTTATTTTCCTTCTGAGTATCCATTATTGTTTATATGTTATCTTTATTATCAGATTACTAGTATTGTAATGGGTATGAACAACTTCAAAAATATAAATTTACATACTAATTAAATATTAAGTTATGTTAAGCCCTTCTTTAATAGATGCAATCAATTGCTAAAGGGAAATTATAAATTTTTTTTCCTGCTCTGCCTAAACTGCTCGTACAAGCGAAAAAGTGAAATTTTTTTCAGACTTTGAGGGATCAAGGCATCGTATTGATCATATTCAAGATGTCAAAATTGCCTCTGAACAAGGCAACTCTCTGAAATGCTTTCCCCCTGGGGGAGGGGACCTTCGCCGGTGCATTGTGTTAAACCCGATACTGTTTAAGGTAGAGACATCACTTGGGTTAGTAATGACTTCTCGACTCTTACAAATAATCTTTTACAAATCATGCCTTGGAAAATAGTTTTGTAATATGATGGGATGCAATCCAATATCCCGTATACGCATGGATCATATGCTTATAATTGAGAGAAAGAAAAAATAAAACTGTATGTTATTTGGATGAGTTTATTGAGATATGAACTACATATTTAAAAAAAAAAAATTTGTAATCATTAATAAGAGACAAAGATAAAAGTAATGTAAAAACTTGAGATGCTTAATGTAGCACACCATTGTATACCATGGAGGCCGTGTCGGAGACTCTGCGTGCGGCTCTCTTGTACCATGGTTCAGGTTGGATCTTGCCGAACAGCCACTGGGTGTTCTCGCGGGCCATGGCAACGAGCTCGTCCTGGCTGTACATGCCTTGCTTGACGTTCACACCAACTTTCTTCAAGTACTGAGTCAAGTCGTCCGTGGACCAGCCTTGGAAGGAGTCCATGAACTTGTTGGCGACGTCGTCCTTCATGTTGGCAGCACCCTTCTGCACGTTGGTCAACTCGTTGACAATGTAGTCGTATGTGTCGGAGCCTTGGCCGGCGATGTTGTTCTTCTTGGTCTTTAACCAGCTAACAAAGTCGTCAGTGTATTCCTTTGGTAGGCTCTTGAACCACTTGTTCTTGGTGGATACAGCCAAGTCACGCAGTTGTTGCTCAGTGGCATCCTTGGCATACTTCACTCTGTAGCTGTCCAGGTACGCCTTCAATTTGGCACTGTCCCAAGTGTCCATACCATATTGGCTCACAGCATCAACGGTCTCGCCAGTCTTCCTCTTGAAGAATGAGAACAAATTCCAGAAACTACTCTTGGAGTATTGCAATGCAGTGTCAGCAGACTTCTTCAAGTATGGTGTAGCAGTGTCCTGCATCTCCTGGGTGTACCACTCGACATCATCCTTCAACAAGTTGGCATGCGTTGAGGCCAAGTTCTTCAAGTAGTCGGCTTGATCCTTGGCGTTCTCCTTGACTGAGACACCGTGGCTCTTCAGCCAGTTCTCAATTTGGTCGGAGTTCCAGGTGTCGAACACAGTGCCCTTGATCTCACCTGCCTTGTCAAATAAGTCCAGCTTAGCAAGGTCGAGTTGGTTCAAAAGGTCAAGGCGCTTGTTGTCCACATCCTCAGAGACTTTGTAGATATTCTTCTTAACTAGGCTCATCAATTGGTCCCTTTTGTCCGTGGTCTGATCATACTTGATCTTGTAGTGGTCTAGCCAGTCCTGTAGATCCTTGTTAGACCAGTCATCGAAGTATGAGGAGGATGGATAGTAACCAGAGACTTCCAATTTCTTTGAGATGGTGTCAAAGTTGTCCTTGATAGTCTTGATCAATTGGTCCTTAGATTGGTTGGCCTCGTGGGGCAAGTCGTACTTGGCCAAGAACTTCATTAGCGAGTCCTGAGACCAGGAGTCAAAGAACCAGTTCTTCAATTCGGAAGACTTCTTCTTGGCCTTAGATTTAGCGGAATCGACACCGCCTAGCCATGGGAATTGGTACTGGTCACTGCCCCAGGTGTTCCACCACCCTTGGTTGTTGTAGCCAGTGGCATCCTTGGCAGACTCCCACTTCTCTTCAAGTTCCTTGATCAACTCATCTTTGCTCTTGGAGAAACTGCGAGCTAGGTCATCAGAGTAATCGTTGACATACTCTGACAAGTCACGCTTGGTGAACTTGTTTCTAATATTGGCGATGGCTCCATCTGAGCTGCCCAAAGCATCAACAGAGACCAGCACTGCTAACGTTGTAGCATAAACTCCAACTAGTTTCATAGTTTGCTGTGTAGTTATTTGGTATCCTTGTTATATTCTCCCAGTAAAAATTCTCTACCTAGAATATAAGAACTTTGTAGTAAACTTTTCTATGTTATAAGCAAATTTTGCAATGGAAAATCCTTATACTACCAACTAAGGAATAAGAAAATACCAAAAGAATCCTAACTATTATATACAAGTTCTTCAAGATAAAATTTTAGAGTTTAGGGAGATGCCCGTAATCCACTTTATTTTATTAAATTAGCTTTAACTAATTAATATTGCAATTATTCCATAATTCTTTGTATTAGGGATGGGCATCACTATAAGGACTTTCAGCAACCTAGAGTGCCCAAAGCTTTGTGTCCTTGGGCATTGTAGATGTGTTTGGAATTTAAGGGAAATACAGATTCTTAACAACCCCCAATTACCTGTGCTAGTAGACTCAACATATGATCCGTTGTAGCAATCAAAGTAACTCCCTAAATTTACAAGCATCGAAGATGCTTGTAAATTCTAAATTAATTGCAATGAATTTTACAATCGGGTATGAGTCTCAGAAGAAAAATGACGTATACTACTACTGTTCTAGCCATTTTTCTTTTCTTTTGCCCAAAAGCATATGCCCATGGTAGTGCATTCTGCAAGGCACTTGTATGTAATACTGTCTACGTGGTCCTCCCCTCATACTACAACACCGCTCTAAGTTGGTCCCATGGGCATGCAGAAGAAAAGAAGAACTGCATAGGGAATTATCGAATCCAGGATTTTAATAGAAATGGGGAATATGTCAAACACCCAAGAATCTACCTCGCTATTAACAAGTCTTTTGGCTAATACCCTTGGGTATAGTCCTTATTCTCTATTAGCTGGCTTTATAAAGCTCTAGTGTGTACGTACAACGGGACCAAGCCTCTCCCGGGAAACTTTCTCATCGCAACTTTTGGCAAACGCTAAGACACCAAAATATAGTCAACTATTAGTAGCATATCGTTGCACTTGCCTTAATCTTGACAAGTATAATTGTACCAGCATCACTGTGCATTGCTACTTTTAACTTTGGTTTTTTTTCTTAGAGCTTTCTACAGTGCCAATTGAGCTTTAGGTTGTATAAGAAGGTAGTGAGCAGAATAGCCAGGCCAAAATGTTTCATAATACTGGTATGAACTATGAAGTACAGCAGTTGCGTGAAGGTAGCGTGAACGGGCTGGAGAATGATGCCCCAATGGAAGGTTTCAGACACATCAGCGCGATTCCCATACGTGTCAGTCGAGAGCAGTCAAGCGGTATGCATGTTGAATCGCAGCACAACAACAACACGACTATGAGTGTGGATCCCAAGACGTACTCGCTGGCTAACTTGAACATCTTCCAAAACATCCCAAAGGAGACTGCCAGAGGTGTTGATGATCTCAGCCGGATGCGTATGTCCCTCCTAAGTGGTATCCCAGAAGAGATTAAATGGGCATTGAAGAAATATCTGGCATACAGTAACAAAGCTCCATACATGATCAACTTACAGAAATCCAAGGAACTTCTGCCTCTATTCAACCGTTTCATTGAGCAGCTAGTTGATTTGATAAACAAATTTAATGAACCTTTGATAGACGGTGCGTCAGCTATGGAGAAACTACAGGCAGGTTTAAATTGTCTTTTGATCCTAAGAAACTTGGCCCAGGACCAGGACTCTGTACAAGCATTGATTAGATATGAACCAATAAAGAAATTCTTGCTATTCGTGTTGCAGAAATATGCTTCATTGGCAGATTATGATCCAAAATGGACCGTCTATGAGTCTAACACCTCTTATCTGAACGAAATAATACACTACTCTCTGGATCTGATTGAAGCGATGTCCTCCTACATGGCTCCTGCTATGAAAGGTGATCCTTACTTCCTAGCGTTATTAAAAGTTTTGGGTTACACTAAGGATAGATCAATGGTGATATCGATATTAAGGTCACTCTCTAGACTACTTGTTAGATCTAAGGCAGATGAAGAAAGCGTTGTGGATAACATTAATCCAGATACGTTAACACAAATTGTCTGTTTCTTATTGATCGAATGTGATGAGGAACTTGTCATCGCTTCGTTAGACTTCTTGTATCAATATATCCTTCCAGGAAACCAAAGAATAAAAGAACTTTTCTCCGATCCAAAAAGATTTTCCATTTTTATATCTATCATACCAAAACTGTTAACTTATAATGTCAAATTACCGCAATACGAAACTCTAAAGCATACAGAAGTCAAATTAATAAAACGTTTAAGACCTCCGGCACCAGAAGAAGTGCCGGATGTTGATGAGGAGTTATTCAACCAACTACTTTCGATGAGTGAGCCATTGAGATCGACTACCTGGCTAAGATGTTGTTTTGAATCAATGGATGATGCAGAATTTACTCAAATTGCGCTTTGGAGGGCATATGAATCCAGATTTGGACCAAAACTGCGTGAAAGTTCGAGGAAACTTTTACCGGCTGTTGAATTTATAAAAAATGTCTCGAATTCCTTTAGAAATGCATCAGCAATGGTGGTTACAGAGCCAGAAACTGGAAAGAAAAGATTCATCATAAAGGGAATACAGCCAAGACACAAGGCCATCAGTATTAGAGAATCTGCAGAATTGCTAAGGCAACAACACTTGAATACTTCTAAATTCCTATTCAAAGATGGAGATAATATTGTACCAGCCAAACAAGAAAACCTTCCTTCAATCACATTTACAGACGATTTATCTGACGTATCAAAGGTAGCAGCTTCGTTCTTGTGCCTGGTTTCTAACGATAATGAGGGGCCAGGTACTAAATTTTGTCAGACAATTAAGCCAGTTCTTCTCCATGAACTTGCAGATGTTCCACCTTTGAATGCAGTACTTTCTGAATACATGGATAATGTATTGTTAATGTAATTGTTATCTCACACAAGCTTGATATGCTGACACGAGATCAATTGAGACTGTGTCATGCTACGGAATATGTTCTTAGAGGACGAAATATTGTAACAGTAACTTTGATATTAATTACATAATAACTAACTAATTAGTTTTGCTTTTATAATTCTATAGATCAGCGAATGTAATGGCATGAATGGGTATAAAAATAGCGTTAGATCATGCATTCTAACTATTGATCATGATGCCAAGTATAGATGCAGCAATGGTACATTTCAAAAAACCTTCCGGTGGATATTTTATTCTAGAAGTCTGTATTGTGCATTAGAACACAAAAACTTGTTCATCACCTTTAGTCTTCGTGTAGTCCATCTTCCAGCCTATTTCCTTAGCTTGGTCAAAAACCTTCTGAGTGAATCCTTCAGGACCACAAATCAGCAGTCTGCTGTCATCGGCCGGGTGTGGTAAATGTTTTACCATTGTTTCTTTAGAAATATGACCGACTTCACCTTCCCATTGGCCGGTTGGTTGAGAGACAATGTAGTGAACGTTGAAGTGGGGGTACTTTTCAGCCATCTCATCCAATTCTTCTTTCAGCAAAATGTCCTTTTCAGTTTCATTGCAGTATATTAGCGATAGCTTAGTCAGATCTTCTGGAACCGTTATAATATCGTTTAGCATCTGCAAAGCAGGCGTGATACCTGATCCACCGCATACCATACCGATGTTCTTGTAAGTGTTTGGCTTGTACACCAAAGAGCCAACAGGGCCACGGAAGTCAACAGTTTCACCAGGTTTCATAGAGGCAAAATATTTAGAGACTTTACCATCCTTGTATGATTTCACTAGCAAATCAATGTGGCCCTTTTCGAATCTCGTGCTGATTGGGTTGTAGTTTCTGACTTCTTCTTTACCATCAATGAACACTCTGACTTGTACATGGTGTCCACTTGGGATGTCGATCGTTTCTAATGGGGTCTTCAACTTGAATCTGTAAATCGCGGTGTTTCTAGAGATCAATGTCTGGTCTTCGAGCTCCAAGGAAGTCCACTTGTCTGGGTATAGAGAGCGTCTTCTCTTGAAAGCAGCAAAGAATCTAGCACCAATTAGGAGACCCAACACTGGCAAGGCCAGCAGGATCCTCCATTCACCAGAAAGCGCAGTCATGATGGCAGTACCGACCAGAAACAATGCCGTTGGGATATACAAGCCATGTAATGGCTCATCTAATATGTTCTTGTAAACAACTGGGTCCTCGTTCATTGCTGTTGTAGTCTGGCGCGATTGATTCCTTGTAAACTGTAGATCATGAAAAGAACTAAGCAGAGAGTCCAGATATATTCAAACCTTTATTATATGGTGTGAACCTTTGCGATGAGCTATTTTTTGCAATTTTTCAGATTAGTGAGAAAATGTTCCGAGAAGGATCCGAAGGACAAAGAACATTGATAATCACTAAGACCGATTTTTGTTGACTTTAGCTAAGAATCGCCACCTTCTAGCAACGGGATATTGTCCACCAGGGTAGAGGGATATGTGAAGGCATGGCGATTAGTACTAGAAGTACCGGAGTGAAGGATTAACACGATTTAATATTACGCTAAATAAGTAGAAAGTATAGTAGGAAAAAAAAAATTAGATATAATAATAAGTAGAAAGTAGAAATTTCTGAATTGAGGGCACGGCGGGCAAAAAAAATAAAGAAATACAATTTAATAAAGGCCCCCTAGGTATTCGTGTGCTATTATGGCTTTGACGTGAAATAGAAGGAATAAAAATTAGAAAATAAAAGTTGGTTAGAGAGAGAGAAAAAAAGAAGGTGATACATGATGGTATAAGATAGAGAGGATCAAAAAAAAAAATGAACGCGAGGGAAAAAAAAATAATATAATTCTGAGCAATTAGAATTCTTCGTCACCGTAGGAGTCGGCGCCGACTTCAATGTAGTCTCTCTCTAGTGCTGCAAGGTCTTCTCTAGCTTCTGTGAACTCACCTTCTTCCATACCTTCACCGACGTACCAGTGTACAAAAGCACGCTTAGAGTACATCAGGTCGAATTTTCTATCTATTCTCTTCCAAGCGTCAGCAATGGCGGTGGTATTCGACAGCATACACACTGCTCTCTTGACAGCGGACAATTGGGAGTTTGGAGTAGCTGTTGGTGGTTCGTAGCAGATACCGATCTTGAAACCGGTTGGGCACCAGTCCACCATTTGGATAGTCTTCTTGTTCTTTAGTTGAGCCACTGTTTGTTGGACATCTCTTGTTACCACATCACCTCTGTACAGTAGGCATGTGGCCATATATTTACCTGTTCTTGGGTCACACTTGACCATCTGGTTGCCTGGTTCGAAGCAAGCGTTGGTGATCTCCGGCACGGAGTTCGATTCGTGGTAGGCTTTGCTCTTGGATAGGATTGGCGCGTAGGAGACCAGTGGGAAGTGGATTCTTGGGTATGGGACCAGGTTAGTCTGGAACTCGTTCAAGTCTACGTTCAAAGAACCGTCGAATCTCAAGGATGCGGTCACGGAGGACACCACCTGGGCGACCAAGTTATTCAGGTTCGAGAAGCTGGGTCTGGTGATGCCCAGGTTCTTCTTGCACATGTCGTAGATGGCTTCGTTGTCGACCATGAAGGTACAGTCTGCGTGTTCCAGTGTGGTGTGTGTAGTCAAGACGGTGTTGTATGGCTCCACGACGGAGGTGGACAGCTGGGGAGCTGGGTACACGGCGAACTCCAGCTTGGACTTCTTACCGTACTCTATGGACAACTGCTCCAACAGCAAAGAGCCCAGACCGGAACCCGTACCACCACCCAGCGAGTGCGTGAACAAAAAGCCCTGGAGCCCGTCACACTGGTCCGCGATCTTGCCGATCCTCTCCAGGATATCGTCCAGCAGGTCTCTGCCGACCGTGTAGTGGCCACGCGCGTAGTTGTTGGCGGCATCCTCCTTACCGTTGATCAGCTGCTCCGGGTGGAACAGGTCCTTGTATGGGCCCGTGCGCACCTCATCGATCACATTGGGCTCCAGGTCCACGTATATGGCCCTGGGAACGTACTTCCCGGCGCCAGTCTCGTGGAAAAACGTAGAGAACCCTTCCTCGCCACCTTTAGGCTTCGTCAGCCCTTCTTCCAAGTACCCATCTGGCCTGATCCCGTGCTCCAGGGAGTACAACTCCCAGCAGGCGTTACCGATCTGGCAACCGGCCTGCCCAACATTGATACTGATAACCTCTCTCATTTGTGCAAAATCGACTTTGATGCTGTTGTAACTTGCTCGATGCCTGGGAGTAAGTAATAGTATCTTTTTGTATTGTAGAGCTTATGGTAAGCGTTCAGCTTTTAGATGTTTGGACTTGTGTTAGTGTTTAGCACTAGCAGCTGTGAGAAGACAGAAAATATTTCCTGATGTACACTCCTGCGGTAGTTTCTGAGTCAAACACTAACAATTTCGCGTTTTGTAGCTCAATTCCTCTCAGTTTGCACACAGACAGACCAGACACATATCTTGATGTACGTACTGGCATGTGTTGTAGTGTATAGTGATCCCTCTTCTTGTTATTTGTTTACATATTTCCCGATTCGGGGGTAAAATGGGCAGGGGCGGGGCAGGTTTTGGTGCGTGTTGTATTGTTTTACGGTGTGGGGGTGGTGTGATCTTGTCGTGTCGTGATAGAATACTGTATTGCTTTCACTCTCCTGCTATCTCATTACTACTCTGTACCAAGCTGCAATGGATATCGCTATGTTATACCATATATATGCATATTACTGAACTGAAATGAATGATAAATTAAAATAGGGTTCTAGTGTACAAAATCTATATAATTAAATGAGGTGAATTAGAAACTTCTTCACAGATGTCTTTTTATAGTGCAAGGTTGTTATAAATGTGTTCGAATTGTAAAATTTTGAAACTCAGAAATACCAAAGTTCCGAATTCCCGAATGCTGTGCAAGTAGGCCCTATCTCTTCTTCAAACCATGTGTGAGACAGAGGACGAGGAAGTGCTGTCGGCGACAGTAACTGGGGCCAGCTTGGAGATGTCCACTTCGTCGTGGTACTTCTCAGAGATCTCCTCCAGGGTCATTCTCTTGGTCTCTGGGATCAGCAACGTCAAGAAGATACCGAGCAGCATGAACAGCGCGAAGATCTCCATAACGTGTGGCAACCAACAGTTCTTAGGCTTGCCGTCTCTGGCACAGTTGTGGTCGATCAGAGTACCCAAGGCGGTCTGTGCAATGATGGCACCGACTTTACCGCACGCAGCAGAGATACCGTGCGCAGTGGATCTGTATCTGGTTGGGAACACTTCACCAGGGACGATGAAAGTAGTAACGTTAGGACCGAAGTTCTGGAAGAATTGACAGATAACGTACAGAGCCAGCAGACCGTGGTCGCTGATCTTGTGGTAAGCGAAACCAATGACACAGAACAACGCGGTTAGGATGATGAAACCCATCATCTGGATAGGCTTTCTACCAATGGTATCAACAGTAAACACAGTGGCCCAGTAACCTGGCAGGGAACCAGCACAGATCAAGATCAGGTTACCGACAGCGGAGTCGTCAAGCTTGTGGTACACGTTCTTGGAACCAGCATAACCAATGGTTTGCAAGATAATGGCGGTGTTCAAACTTAAACCGTAGAAGGCCACATCCAGCACGAACCAAGAACCGGCGGTACCCAATAGAATCTTACCGTACTTCCACTTACCGAAATGGCTTCTGAAATCCTTCCAGGAGGCCTTCTTTGGTGGTGGGACGACGATACCGTCTTCGACAACAGTGGATGATCTTTCTAGGTCCTCCAAGTGCTCATCGTCGGCAGTGGCACGGACCTTCTCAATGTTAGATGGCAAGTCAACTTCTTCCTTGACATCTAGGGCGTATCTTGGGGATTCAGGGATGGTCAATCTGAAGTATAGACCGATAATACCTGGGACGGCACCGAAACCAATTAGGATTCTCCACATTTGGTCACAGGCCTTTTGACAGGCGTAGTCACACTCGGCACCAGAGTTGGCATAGATCAAATCACCTTTGTAAGCACGGATAACGATCAACGCAACCAGACCGCCCGCGATCTGACCCCATGCCTGGTTAGCGAACACGGCACCCATGATGGCACCTCTCCACTTAGTGGTAGCGAACTCAGATGTGATGATGGAACTCAATGGGTAGTCACCACCGATACCGATACCCATCACAATACGGTAGAAGGTCAGCACGGCTGGGAAGTTAATACCTGGGGAACGGCCAATGGTGGTCTGCAAGATGGTAGTAGCGATCATGACTATCAGTTCCAAACCGTATATCTTCTTACGACCGACAATGTCGGCCATGGTACCGAAACCCAATTGACCGATGACTGTACCGACAGAGGTGGAGACCTTCAGCAGCGTCTGTGTGGAGTTTGGCATGTTACCTTGCCAGAACACGTAGGACATCATTGATATAGACAAGTTGATGGCGAAGATATCGTACGAGTCTGTAAGGAAACCGACACCCGCGATCAGAATGGTACGGACTTGGTCCCAGCCGAACGGCCTCTCGTCGATCTTCTGCAAAGCCAGCCTCCTTCTCTCCAATGGGTCCTCAATGTGTGCGAAATCGTTCAAGTAGTTGTGGAAGGCCATGTTACCACCTTCCGTGATGTGCACAGGGACTTTCTTCTCCCTGGTGTCTACTTCGATCTCGTCCTTCTCGTTTCTGCTCATTATTTCCTTTGTTTTGGCTTATTCTTCTTTTGTGGGTCTTTGGGTTAGCAACTTGGATCCGGTAGTTTATCCTTCCAATACCCTCCATCTTATATACAAATTTTTTTTCCCTGCATCGACATACTAATTGGAAATATTAGAGATGAGCTTATAGTATTAGATTAGGACCACACGTGCATGTGGGCCCCTCTTTCCGCACATTGTAGTCTTAGCAGTCTTAGCAGCAGTCCTCGTCTTAGTCTTAGTCTTAGCAGTATAGCAGTACCGATAGCAGTAGCGATAGCAGTAGTCTTAGCGCACCAGTGCCTTGCTGCAGCGGATGAGTTGTGAGCCCACACGTGGGGGGAGGTCCCCGCAGAATTCTCCGTAGCAACGTTTTCTGTGTTCTGTGTGTCAATCACATTTCCACTGCGGGGCTTTCTTCAGCCCGCTTCCCACTTATATGGATTGCGGACGCACGTTTTCTCTCTCATCCCTGCGCGTGCTCTCAGTGTCTTCACTGTGAAGAGGAATTCGGCTAAACCTCAAAAAATTTGCCCTTCCGTTCCCTGCAGGGTTTCTTACCTTCAGTTCCCTGCAGGGTTTCTTACCTTCTGTGTCTGTGTCTAGTGCTTCTCGGGGTACCCCATGTGCGTAGTTACCCTGAATCTCACGTGTTCTGTGTATATAAACAGCGAAGCTTGCCCTTTTCTGCCGTACAAAGGCGAGGGGTAAGCGGCTCCAGCTTCAGTAATAGCCTGAGGTTGTCTGCTGCGGTTTGTGTGGGCGTCATTACAGTTGTATCTCGGAGTAGAGTTGTATCTGAGAGTAGAGTTCTATTACAGTTGTATCTGAGAGTAATCACAGAGTAATCTCAGAGTATCAGTAGAAGCACGCAAGAGCACATAGCACAGAGCTTCATAGCACAGAGCTCATAGCACAGAAGTACAGAAGGACAGAAGTACAGAAGGACAATGGATGACGGCGGGAATCGGAAGAAGCTGCTGCTGATGGGCCGTTCCGGGTCCGGGAAGTCGAGCATGCGGTCCATCATCTTCAGCAACTACAGTGCGTTTGACACCCGCCGGCTGGGTGTCACGATGGATGTGGAGCACTCGCACCTGCGGTTTCTGGGGAACATGACGCTGAACCTGTGGGACTGCGGGGGCCAGGACGTGTTCATGGAGAACTACTTCAGCAAGCAGAAGGACCACATATTCCAGATGGTGCAGGTGCTGATCCACGTATTCGACGTGGAGTCCCAGGAGGTGATGAAGGACATCGAGATCTTCACGCGGGCGCTTAGACAGCTGCGGAAGTACAGCCCCGACGCGAAGATCTTCGTGCTGCTGCACAAGATGGACCTGGTGCAGCTGGACAAGCGCGAGGAGCTGTTCCGGCTGATGATGAAGAAGCTGAAGGAGACCTCCGCGGACTACGGGTTCCCGGACCTCGTGGGCTTCGCAACGTCCATCTGGGACGAGAGCCTGTACCGCGCGTGGTCGCAGATCGTGTGCTCGCTGATACCGAACATGTCCGTGCACCAGTCGAACCTCAAGAAGCTGAAGCAGGTGATGGACGCCTACGAGATCATCCTGTTCGAGAAGACCACTTGTCTCGTGATATGCTCCAGCAACGACCCCGGCTCTGCAACTACAACAACAACAACTACAAGTGCCCCAACAAGTACGACCATCGACAAGCTCGACCCCAAACGGTTCGAGAAGATCAGCAGCATCATGAAGAACTACAAGGAGAGCTGCACCAAGCTCAAGAGCGGGTTCAAGAACCTGGTGCTGAACGACAACATATACGTGAGCGAGCTGTCCTCCAACATGGTCTGCTTCATAGTGCTCAACAACTCCAACGAGTCGCACCAGCTGGTGTCCGAAAACATAAAGAAGGCCAGCCAGTTCTTCGAGTAGTCTCCATTAAGTAAAAGTCATGTGCATTCTTTTAAATACTGTTCAATCGAACAGAAAATGGGTGTGGGGTGGGGGAATATATATATATATACTTGTTATACATTTTTCTTACATACTATGTGCATGTGACACGTAGTTCTTACTACAAATAAATATGGGATGGCTCAATAAGGACGGGGGGGGAGGAGAAAACCGCAATGTATTTACAAATCTTTGAAGAAGTCTCTTCTGAAGAATGCTAGCTTCAACCAGTCAGAGACGACCTTGAACTTCAAACGGGCCGACAGTAGCATGGCCAAGTATGACAATCTCCAGATGTAGAAAGTGAATAGACCACCTCCGGTGTATAGCGATCTCTTGCCGTATGTGATGTTAGCGATGGCTCTCTCGGAGCCCAAGTACGCCAAGGCACCCAAGTGTGTGTACTTGAAGGGCTTGAAGTTGTTCTCCTCGAACAACAGGTCCGCCTTCTCTTTCCTCTCCGCTAGGCTCTTGTGGAAGTTAGGCAATTGCGCCATCTTGTCAAAGGTCTTGGCCAAGTACTCGGCCTGTTGGTGTGCAACTTGTGCCGTTGGTGGTAAGCCGCAGAAGGCGTTGTCACCAATGGCGAAGATGTTGTTACTACCTTGCACTTGCAAGAAGCTGTTGATGTTCAAAGCTCTGGTGGAAGTGTTCTGCTCAGGGATCTTCTTGAACAGATCGGTGATGATAGGTCTACACTTGTTACCAGTGGCCCAGATCAGCGTACCATATGGAATGGTCTCCTCTGTAACGGAGCCGTCTTCGTGCTTGGTCTTGGCCAACAATTGGGTCTCTTCGACCTTGGAGACAGCGGTCCTTAGATGTAGCTTGATGGAAGTGTCCTCCAAGACAGATTGAGCATAGGATGACAGCTTCTTCTCAAACATGTTCAGGACAATTGGCAAAGCCTCTACCAAGTGAATCTGGACGTCCTCTGCCAAAGAAGGAAGGAACTTGCCTAGTTCTTGGTGTACGAAATCTTGTAGTTCACCAGCGGTTTCAACACCGGTTGGACCACCACCGACAACGACAATGGACATTAACCTCTTTCTCTCAGGGTCACCCTTTGGTAGCAAGTTGGCCTTTTGGATATTCTCCAAGAATCTCTTTCTGATTTGCAAAGAATGTGGGATTTCTTTCAAGAAGTTACCGTACTTCTCCACACCTGGGATGTTGAAAGTGTTTGGCTCAGCACCGACAGCAGTAATCAAGTAATCGTACTTGATCTCGGCGTCGCTCTTTCTCTCGATACCGATCTCTTGCTCGCTCTCCTTGTTGCCCAGCGCTACTTGTTCAACGGCACTGACCTCGTTGACTGTCACGGTGTTTCTGTCAGGGTTGATAGAAGTAGCCTCGGCTTCATAGTAAGTAACGTTACCTTTCTTCTTCAAGGCGAAGTTCACCACTGGCTCGATGATAGACTTCTCGTCGACAGTACCAACTGGGGCACTTGGCAACAACGGAGTGAATAAGAAGTAGTTCCTTGGCGAAACGATGGACACGTTGTATTTCTTGGTGTCGATGTGCTTTAAAAAGGAGATGGCACCCCAACCGGAGCCCAGTATCACGACATTGGGCTTATCGCGGGAGTTAGGGTCGATAACTTTCATAGTCTTGAAAGAAGTGGGACCGGTACCTTTCTTCTCAACACCTTGTGTCTCCTTGGGCTTCGACGAGGTCGAGTTATACCTTGGGAACAATGCAATAGCGCCCGGTGCACGCTTGATAACCGTAGTCTTGGACAGCACACTCAACATGGTTTGGTGTTTTTCGTTTCCTTGTTATTATTATACTCCACCTATCGGCTGTATAGTTTTGTATATACTACGCTGGTGGTTGCGGGGATATGCTAAATCAGAAGTGGAAATCGCCCAAGAATTCCTGATTACTGTAATAGAGGAAGAGTTTGGGAAAAGTATCAGGACTGGCTACGAAATGAAAATTGTTATATACCAATTCCTCCCGTCAGCAATCGATGGGTATCGTATGTGTCTCGAGGATATTGAGTTGCAGAAATAAGGAAAGAAGGGGCAAGACGATATTTGCAGCAAAAGACATTACGTAGTGTTTTCCGAGAGGTTTCCTTGTACTAAGGATTTGTACTGATGGATGATTCCCCGTCTCCCCTTGGCAGTCAACCAGAGTGTAGCTTCTCACCACTCGAACGCAGCTTGAAGAAGAGTCCTTGTTGATGTTTGAGTGATAATCTGTGCTAAACATCGAAAAATCCACCCAATGAGCATCGAGAAGAGTAAGTCGCTGGACCATGGAAGGTGAAAGCTTCACAGGCTCCGGTTACACAATTCGGGCAAGTCATTGTAAAGAGAATGCGGGCTATATGACTTCTGCAGCGGTCGTTGTCGGACCACTAGAACGGATCAGTTCTAACACTGATCGCCCAGTGAGAAGTCAAAAGGAAATACTAGTCTCTCTAACCACCCAGTAACAGAATTGGATGGACAAAGCTCGGATAGCAAGTTCTTTTCTTCTAGTCTCAACAGATGTGAGAGAATTACAAGAGCAATATTACAAGTCCGGTTTTATAGTACCATATCTTGTCCATTAGTTTCCCGTGTTCTCGGCAGAGCACTTGTCCATCCAGCACTACAAGCCCTCACTGAAAAATATACAAACAAATCAAAAGTAGTATCTTCAACCACCACTCACAAACAGTAAACAGAAGCCCGAATGCTGTACTGGTACAGTTTGCGGATGGTATAAACTTATAATCTTCTCCATTAGCATATGTGTATATATATATTGTAGATAAATCACATGATCACGTACGTTCTGTATGACTCTGCGATTCTCTCAATTGCCCTTCCAAATAAAGAGAGCCAAAACCCTATAGAAGACGGTGTTTCTTTGTATGATGAGCGAATATCATTGGTATAGTGGTTAAAATCCGAACGTAACCAAAGCTATACAAGGATGAGTACGTGGCAGAAAGGGGATATTATGTATTCCCCGACCAAGAGGACGTTGAACAACAAGACAAGCGGGTCTAAGATTGCGTCTGGCAGCAATGGCAATGGCAATGGCAGCGGCAATGGCAGCGGCTCTGCATATCATGATCCCGGCTCCAGTTACAGCAGTCTGCAGAAGAGCAACAAGATGGTGTTTCAGGAGCAGCCGATGCTGGTAAGGAACATGTATGATCAGAACTATTACTACTACGATGGACAAGGATACGGCTCTCCTCCGATGAGTAACAGGAATGCTATGGCGAATCCTGTCTCGCCCTTCTTGTACTCTCCGGTGATGCTGCCGAACCATGTGCATGCTTCTCCAACCACTGGGCGTAAGAAGAAAGTTAGTCTGAATAGAAACCCTCGAAACTCGAACCTGGTTATGCCATCGTCACCTATCAAGAACAACAACATCGACACAGGGAGTAAAACTGCTAATCTATCGGGACCTGGCAAGAAATATAAAGAGCTAAGAGATATCGATGATCTGCCGAGATCGCCCTGCAATTATGAAACGCCTAACTTGAAGAACAGATATTTTGGGCCAGTACAGAAGGTAGAAGATAACACAGATAGAAAGGCCAATGTCAATATTAGCTATAAGAACAGCAAGAGTAAACAGAAGAAACCTCCTGTGGTGTATAAGTTAGCTACACCCTTAGCATCAAAAGATGTCAATGCACTGGATAATTCGTTCCTGTTGCAACCTGACACGCCAAGGTACTACAAGATCCAACCGATCAAATTCTTGCACTCGGAACCTATTGAAAACTTTGCCGGCCTGCAAGATATCTCAACACATCTGCTGGACAACAACACACCAAAGAAGAAATCGCATATCTCCCGTGTGCAGCCTCCACCAGCAGCTACTAACGATAGTTTTGATTTGAGTTTCGACGGTAAGGCCCTTGACAGAAGCGATATCTTCAGGATGGTTGATTCCTTCAGCATCGCTTTCTCGGACGATGAGGACAACGAGGAGAGCAGTTTCATATCCAGGCGTAACAACAACGATATCCTGCCTGCTGATATGACTAACAACAGGTAGCTTTAACGTGGCAACGACCATGGACACTAAGAAGATAATATTATTCACGAAACAGCATTTATAAGTATCGGTACTCAAATGGAAACACATACATAAGATAGAATCTTAATAGCATGATTAAATAAAACGACCGAATTTGATAGACTATGTATTGAAATTGTCACTATTTCTAACAGCTATATCGCACAAGATTATCATTTGTGTTGTTATCTGTTACTTATTCAGTTCCTGAAATTTATATTTTGGTGGCCATCTAGGGACTTGGTACAACAGGGATCCCTCCAGAAACAAAAAGAAATAATCACCGATGAGCTTTAAGGGTATCACAACTAAAGCAAATCATATATTAATAGCTCCTGGTGTATGAACTTCTAAGGCTATCTGGCGCTCCTGATACACTAGATAAAGTATTTATCCTAGAAGATGAGTATGACTACAGAATACACAACATAGTATGCATCTATGATAGAACGCAACGGTAATACACATAATGACATGGGCTATGACAAAGCCAGTGGAAAGTATGCCACGCCGGCAGAGATAGAGGCCAAGCGGGAGGCCAGGCGGCTGAAGAAGCAGAAACTGCGAGAAGAACTACTCTCAAGGGGACTGGACCCTGACTTCCCTGCAGAGTGCCAGTTTATTGAGAGACCCATATTGCTGGTTCCCCATGGTGACAACTACGAGCGTGGCTTACCTCTGAGCATTATGACTTATAACTGCCTAGCACAAACCCTGATCAGAAGGGAGATGTTTCCTGAAAGCGGTCCTGCATTGAAATGGTTTGTGAGGTCAAAAGTTCTGCTACATGAGATCAAGCATTATAATGCCGATATCTGCTGTCTGCAAGAGATAGACGATGTCCAATATGACTTATTTTGGTCTGAAGAACTGCCAAAATTTGGATACAAGACAATATACTTCCACCAGGATAGCAAGAGTCATGGAGTTATGATTGCGTGGAAGGAGGAGTTGTTTCAACTTGAGAGTCACATGAACATAGAATTTGACAAAGAGGCACCGGCTGGTATACAGCCCAGGACAAGGACAAACAATGTGGGCCTGCTTGTTGCATTGGCTTTCACTGATGCATTCCGGGCACGAAACAATAGGATAAGAACCAGCAGATCAGGGGTCATCATTGGCACATTCCACTTGTTCTGGCATCCATTTGGTACCTATGATAGAACAAGACAATGTTTGGTCATAAAGAAGAAGATACTAGAGTTTGCAGGCACGGTGAAAGGCGACTACTGTAAGATGTTCACCGGAGACTTCAACTCTCAACCCAACTCTGTCCCGTACTTGGTACTTACACAGCCACGCGCCCAACTAAATACTCAGCAACGCACCTCCATAGAGGCCAGCACCGCGTACCGCTACTCAGAGCGGCGTAACCTCGGCAAAGAGTACAGTATGGAAGAAGAGGAAGAGGAAGAGGAAGAGGAAGAGAAGAGAGAGTACGAGTACGACCAAGGCACTGATCCGTGGAATACTCCGAGACCCGATGAGTTCGACTCTACCGAGGAACAACGCCAGCTGGTGAACAACCTGATTGATCGATGCAACGACGTGCCCTTGTGCGCCACGTCGCTGTACTCGATCGGCTACCACACGGTAGACCCCACCCACATCGCAGACCACCACGAACCCGAGCTCTCGAGCTGGTCCACCAAATGGGCTGGCCTGCTGGACTACATATTCTACGTGAACCAGAGACCAAGCACACCCGCAACATTCGAGACCGCAAACAACATTGCCATCGCGGGCTACTTGCAAATGCCTACACATGCACAGATGCACAACCACTCCCAGCCGTACACAGGAGAGTACCCATCAGACCACATATCCATGATGTGCGCCTTAGAAATATACTAGTTTTACACACTACCCTATATATGAAGTATGATATACACCACAACGAACCGTACAACAACATCCCCCGAACGGTGGCCTTCCCTTGTAGCAACCTTTCCTCCTTTCCTTGTCTTTCTCCCTCCAGCTTCTCCATTCTCTTTGTCTAATAGATTCTTTGTCTTGTCAATAGTTTGTCTATATATACCATTTTTGCCCTTTTTTGCTGTTGGTCTTGCAAATCCAGCTATTTCCCAGGTTGTTACAAAGGAGCTCCCAGGAAAAAGTTCCTCCAAAGGAAAAAATAAAGGATCTCTCTTCAAAGGAAGGAAAAAAAAAAAAGATTTACTTTGTGGATATATAACAGGTACAGAGCTGGAAGTTGGAAAGCAACCAGATACTAAACAGGATACGAGTATGACTGAAAAGGTGAAGAAGCACGGCAGGCACTATGTGCCCCAGACCTACTATTCCGTGCCTGATCTGTACTTCCCAATGGCGCATGCGCATGCGCATGCGCACCCGCAGCCGCCGCAACTCATGAACTCTCCATACCAGAATGTGCCACCGACTCCGTTTGACACGGCGTATGGTGCCAGTCTGCTGCCCTCGCACTTGCTGATGGGCTCTCCGATGATCTCCACCACTAACCTCCCTAGGGACAACAACGCTGATCTGCTCGCGGGTGGGTACAACCGGAACAACAGATCCTTTCAGTTCAGGAGGAACAGCGGGTTTGTGCTGCAGTCTAACGGCAACACACCTTACATGAGCAGCAAGCGGAGCTCGCTGTCGCAGGCGCCCATGTCGCAGAAGAGGGCCGAGAAGAACAGTACGGACTCCTCGGTGGGCTCTCACGGCAAGAAGAAGTTGCAGCACAAGAAGAGGACGCCAATTGACGTCACGAAGAAACTTATATCCCCGATCTCCATTAACTACAGGGTGCTGCCCTCCGGCGATGACACTTACAAGACCAGATCGTTGCTGTTTGAGAATGTGCAAAAGAATGATGAAATGCTTTCCGTGTTCATGAGATTAATCATTAACTACTCCCAGGTGGAGAGTGTCTACGTTTTTCAACAGACTGATACACCGTCCAAGGACAAAGAATCGGATAAAGATACTTGCTGCTTGCAACTGAGTTTCCTGTCGCGTCAAGCAGCGCTAGATTTCTACAACAATTTCTTACAAAGATTACCAGATTTCAAAAAGAAACTTTCGTCACCAAAACTGTCAGTGAGTTTTGTATCTTTCAGCTATGTTACAGACGAAGATAAAGATAAAGACAAAGATAAAGACAAGGATATCAATACCGAGAAGCGCAACATTAAGAGGTCACAGGAATTATTAAAGGAGCCTGCCCTCGGAGAAGAAATATTCAGCCACGATGCTACACGTTCAATTGCTATAGAGTTTTATTCACAGGTTGAACAAGATGCTCTATTTGAGAAGCTACCATTTCTAGATGACAAAGATAACAAGAGGTATATATTGGAAGCCGTAGATATCATAAGTGCAGAGGACGCAGCGGATGACTTTCCTGCAAACTATGTTATCTTAACATTCATCAACATAAAAATGGCTATAGAAGTGCTAGATTACTTAAAGGCAAATTTAATGACTTATAGCGTCAATGAATGCTTTTTCGTTTCTCTACCTGGTTGTAAATCGCAGAGAGAATCTTCTACTACTCCAGTTTTAGGACATATCTCAACTGAAGGCTCAAAGAGTGTCAGCGAAGTCAATCTTGCCAACGGAGGTAACACAGTTATGATTGACAGAGAACTCGAATCATTATCTGACGAGTTAGCATCGTTGAAACTGGAAGAGAAATGCTTAAAGATTATTAGAAGCGATTACCCCAAACCAGAGATTAGATCACATGATGATCATATACCAGGATCAACTAACTTCAGCATGTATATATTCGATGATGGGATGAACCCTGAAGGTAACTCAGGAATGTACCTTCACGACAATCTTACAGACCATAGCTCAATAATAGGATCTCCATTTTCAAATTACATCGATCCGTCCATTTCACATGTAATGCTTCCGAATAATGGTCTCCCTGTGGGTGGCTTTGATGCGCCAGGCAAGTTTCCCATTGAACCAATTTCTGGCCCACCTTTCAATCATACTAATAAAGTTATTACCCAAAGCATTGAGGACAGACTCAATACATCTGCCAGAATAGCTGCTGCCATGGGAGGTGATGCTGATAACCGGACAGTGTATATTGGGAACATTAACCCGAGATCAAAGGTGGAAGATATCTGCAATGTAGTTAGAGGTGGTATATTACAAAATGTCAAATTCATAGAAGATAAGAGAATTTGCTTTGTGACTTTTATCGAAGCTTCTGCTGCTGCGCAGTTCTGTGCTAACTCATTTATAGACCCAATAGTGTTACATGGTAACACGCTAAGAGTTGGCTGGGGTAATCAATCTGGTCCTCTTCCCAAATCAATTGCTTTAGCCGTCACCGTCGGGGCGAACAGAAATGTATACGTTAGTTTACCAGAGTATGCGTTCAAGGACAAGTTTATAAATGATCCAAAGTACAAAGAGTACCACGAAAGATACAAACTTCCTAGTCAGGAGCAATTACGTAAGGATTTTACCACCTATGGTGAAATCGAACAGATAAACTATTTGAAAGATAGTCATTGCTGCTGGGTGAATTTTATTAATATTGCATCCGCAATAAGACTAGTAGAAGATATAAATCACAACAATGGTGAAGAATTCCACAAGAAGTTTAACAACCGTTATGAAGGTCTCATAATCAATTATGGTAAAGACCGTTGTGGCAATATCAACAAAAATTTGATCGCTGGCAAGGGATCCAAATTCTATAAGAAGGTCAAGAAGCCAAGTTATGATATTAGAATCAAGAAGATGGAAGAGAAGCGGAAAATGCAAGAGGACAATTTACTCTCTCAAAAGAAGAACAGTATTCAATTGGATTCGCTTGGAATTAGCGTAGATCGCACTTTCAGCAATGAATCTAAACTCAGTGGTGGCCATACAACTACAGAGGAGAACGGTGGTGTCAAACAGGATCTTGAGTCGAATGACTATAAATCTGACCACCCACAAATATCCAGTAATGGTCCTATCGGCATAGGTTTATCGTCGAAAAAATCTCCAATATTCGATGATATCTCGGGTTCTGATGAATCTGTGATATCAGATTTTGAAAACAGTGCCTCAAAGGAAACATCTTCCAGTGATCGTAAGTACCAAACAACCAATTCAAGAGGAGATACCTTTGTACCTAAGACAAACCTGTCTCACGCACCTCCCAGAGCCCCTTCTACCATTAACATGACTTATAAGAAAATCAGCTATGTGCCTCCACTAAACGGCCAAGCACCAAAAATGGATTACCCGAAGAAGTATAAACGTACGCACAATAATTTCCCAAATCAACAGCCTACGAGACCAATACCAGGTTCAGACGTCATGGCTCAGTACTTAGCTCAGCTACAACACTCTACGTTCATGTACGCTGCAAATATTCTCGGTGCGTCAGTAGAAACAGAAGAAGATCCTTCAGCCCCTTAGTAATTAGATAAATACCATGCTATAGTTTCTAATCAAATAAATTGCGTGAAAACCTACATCCTATTTGTTTGCGTAATTGCATTGTACATATACAACGTATAAACCTCTGTGACTCGCCAGTTTGAAATCAAAGAAAAAACGAAGAGCACTCTAATTACGTGTTTAAATCCTAACAGATATTCTACATTCTGCAGCTCAAACACAATTTGGCGTTTGTCTTCATTTTATGAGACACCCATTATTAGTCTCCTTCTCTAGCCCATTCATGCTTTAATGAATCTTAATCCCTCAAGACTATCAAAAGTAAATTGACTTCTCTCAAGTGTTACAGAAGCTTATTTGTCATGCTGGAAGGAGAACCCCCCACACACATAGTGACACTGCCTTAAAAAGTCCTGAAGCATTTCAACGATTCCGGCATTTGATTAATAAGCAGATCACTCCTTTGTGTGGGTGTCTCTGTCCTGTTCTTGTCAATCGATGCCTTCTAGAAGCTCGCATTTTGTCAAAAAAAAAATTTTAGAAAATTGAAGTTAAAGGATTTCGAAGCTTCTTTATTGCTTTTTCAGACTGATCCCGCAGTAGAACTCCGTAGTGTCTTCCGAGGCACCCATAATAACGATTGATAAATCCAACTAATTATAAAAATAAGTCAATTAATTAGTTGACACTGTTGGTAGCTTCTTTTTATATAAAGCTGGTAGTGCAAAATTCTGATTAGTGGCACAATTGTGTACATGTATATATTTTGTTAAGAGTATAAACTGGAGCTCTACAGAATTAAATATTCATTATTTAAGCAATTTTATATTGTGCTGGAAAGAATTGTGTATGAATACTGCAATTTCGATAGTATAATCAAAAAAAAAATAATAAGAAAAGGTCATAAGGAAATAAAAAAATATATTTACAATTATCTATGGGAATATTCCGGAAGAGTGGAACTGATAGTGTACAGCAAGAGACCTTATCGTCATCTTCAAGTGGAAGCTCGTTCAAACAGGATAACAATGATATCGTCGATGAGAAACAGTGTGATACCCAAGCGATTGATGGTAACCAAAAATGGCAGAACCCAGAGTATTTTGACTCGACATTAAAGGAATACTTGTTTCTTTGCTCTTGCTTTGTGAGTCAGTTGCTTAACCAAGCGGGCGCAATACAGACACAGCCGATCATGAACATTGTGGCAGACTCTCTAGACTCACAGAACGGTAAGCAGGCTTGGTTAATGGCTGCATTCCCATTAATTTCAGGCTCTTTCATCCTAATCAGTGGTAGAATAGGTGATATATACGGATTAAAAAAGACGCTACTAGTGGGCTACCTGTTTCTCATAGTTTGGTCACTGATATGCGGTCTAACTAAATATGCTCACAGCGATTCTTTTTTTATCGTCAGCAGAGCATTTCAAGGTCTTGGTATTTCCTTAATTCTGCCGAACATTTTAGGCATTGTTGGTAGCATATACATTGCTGGAAGTAAAAGGAAAAACATGGTTATCAGTTTGATCGGTTGTATGGCTCCTATTGGTGCCACATTGGGTGCCGTATTCTCTGGTTTGATTGGAACTGAGGATGCCAACCAATGGCCATGGGCGTTTTATTCTTATGCCATCACCGCAGCTATTAACTTTGTCTTATCAATTTGGCTCATACCCAACACTATTCCAACGAATGTCCACGGACATAAGATGGATTGGATTGGATCTGGACTTGGTGTTGTGGGGTTAATTATGCTAAACTTTGTATGGAATCAAGCACCAATAGATGGCTGGGACTCTGCATATTTAATCGTCCTGTTGATCATCTCTGTTCTTTTACTGATTGCATTCTTTATCTACGAGCTTCATTTTGTGAATGGTAACCCACTTCTACCTAAGGAAGTACTTAAAAGCCCTAAGACTATTATTGTATTATTTGCACTGTTTTTTGGATGGGGTTCGTTTGGTATTTTTTCATTTTATTATTTTACATTCCAATTGAATTTAAGACACTATACCCCGCTCTGGGCAGGTGGTACCTACTTTATGTTTTTAATCTGGGGTATCGTCGCTGCCTTAGTTGTTGGATTCACAATCAAGAAAGTATATCCATCAATTATTTTATTCTTGTCAATGGTAGCGTTTAATTGTGGATCTATCATTATGAGTGTAACGCCAATTCACCAAACGTATTTCAGAAACCATTTAGGCATGATGATCATTCTAAGTTTTGGAATGGATTTATCTTTCCCGGCCTCTTCTATCTTGCTTAGTGATAAGCTACCGTTGCAATACCAAGGAATGGCGGGTTCGTTAGTAAACACTATGGTTAATTACTCAATGTCCTTTTGTCTAGGTGTAGCAGGCGTTGTTGAGCAACATGTAAATAATCATGGAAAGGATGTTCTAAAAGGTTATAGAGGCGCTTTTTATTTAGGCATTGGGCTTGCATCCATGGCCTGTATTATAAGTGGTGCATTGATGCTCAGTGAAATCATACAGGGTAGAAAGAATGAAAAAGACTCCGCTGTTGTAGAAATAGCGAAATGACCAAATATTCTAGGTATAGAACTTATAGAATCTAATTTAAATAATTGTGATACAACTTAGCATATATTCTAATCGCATTTGCCTTTCAAAATACGGCTAACTCATTCTTGATAGCAAAAAAGTGCCTAATCATAAAAACTATGTTTTTTTGTTATAAGGTAACATACAGTAAATGCTCTATTCTATCTACAAAAAAAAAACCTTACTAAAATATAAATCAGAAACGAATTCAAACGGTAGTAATTAAAGACATGTACTCCTCTGCTGTAGTCGAATCTTATTATGCGTTATACACGGGAGGTCGTGAAATTAATATGAATACATCTAAGTTGTATCGAGATTCTATTAATTGTATGAAGTAATAATGAATCACTTGCCCTTTTCCAATTTTGCCATTGCTAACAGGTCATCATCACTAGGTTCATAAATATGCCATAGAGTATAATGAGGCAGACCTCCAACACGGAAGCCAACCTTCTTCGCCATTTTACCAAATGCTTCTGTCTCGGCATGATTTTCAAAAGTAAACGCACTGAAATGAACACCCTCTCTAAATACTCTTGCTCTCGCCAAGATAGATACACCACCAACACCATCAAGATCCACAACTTGAGTAGGATCACCATCCTCTTCACGTATATATGCTAGGTGCACTCTATATGTTGGATACTCAGCATAACCTTCTACAATAACGTCATCCTCATCAAGAGTCTTAGCTAACTGTAGAGCTTCATTAGATTCCATCCAAGAATTCAGGTCATATGGTTGAGCAGAATTCAAAAACTTAGGTAATGGACGCCATACATTTGGAACTATGACATCGTAATCCTGTAGCATTAGATCTTCAATAACACTACCGGGACATAGTTCGACATCAGCATCTCTCCAATAGACCCATGAATGATAAGGCTTCAAGGCATTCGACATTAACCAGTTTCTGGCTCTGCCCATAAGCTTTCTTCTAATACCTTGAACCTTCACAGCATGCCTATCACTAAAACCTTGACCAATAACTTGTCCGAAATCCTTCTGGAAAATCTGAACTGAACGGAAAGGCTTGGAATAGTTTGGATGGAAAGGTGGCTTATAGGCAGCCTTTACCCGCTTTAGGTAATCAGGCTCCATGTATTTCAAATGTATACTTTCATTGCTCTTACCCTTGTTGTAGTTATCCATGTCGGCCAAGATATCAGGAAGAATACCCTCCTGTAGTAACTGTGAATATGTTTCCAATGCTTCGAGTGTTTTGTCACCTTCAGAGCAATCACTGACCAAAAATGCTAAATCTATCAATTCGTGTGGATAGGTCAAGTTCATTAAGTTTTTAAACATAAGTGGCAAGACTTCTTCTGCATCTCTCAATGGCACACAAACTAGAATGTGCTCTTGTTGTTCAAATCCATCAGCTGATCCTTGGAAGTTCCCTAAATCATACTTCTCTACTGTAGAATCTAGCAGCATTTGTAAGTTATCATTATATTCTGCTAAGTCACTTTCTGAAGGATTTTCAGTACCATACTCGGATATTAGATAATTCATTATACCTTGGTCAAATTTTGAGACAATATCCATGTCAATATCTTCAAAGTCAAAACTGTGATAAGCGGCATCCTTAAATTCAAAAGGTAGGTACTCCTTGTGGTAAAATGAAGAAGGCAATGATATCGGGCTTACTTCAATGTTGAAGAACACCAAGAATATAGACACAATAACAATGACTATTATGGCTCCAGTTGCCAGTTTTCTGAACTTGAAGTTTTTCTTCTTGGCTATGAACTTATCATGTTTTGAAAGGGTCGCTTCAGAACCAGTTCTTGATATTGGTAAACTATACTCACCTCCTCTCTTATTATCAGCACTCCTCCTCAGTTTTGCCAAGTCCCGAAAACTTGGAATTGACATCATCATGCTAACTTTAACACCAAACACCTGAATCTATTGCTATTACAATTGGCAGAGTATTAGAAATGAAGGTAACACCAAAACAAAACAAATCAAAACAAAACAAACACAACGTAATCGTGTATGCTAATTAATATTTACAACTGTGATCCCTGATTCGACCAGATCACAAGTCGTTTATTGGCTACAGAAGTGCTTGAGATATTTTCAATTCCAGTTGAAATACCAAACTGACGTACTGCTTATTAAGTGGCTCGTGTTGGCTACAACAGCAAATCCAATGCAATGTGAAACTAATCCTTTTGAATATAAATCAATCGTCTGTCTAGTCCATAAACCAGCTTAAAGTTACAGTAACGAGTATTTGAATTCTCACAACTTTTTTTTTTCCACCTCCTTTCCAAACAATGTCTATTTATTTTATTCTAAGTGGTGAATTGGAATGATTAAAAAAAAGAAAAAAAAACTGCTACAGGAAAGACACCAAAGGCCCAGCTCCACAACGCAGTGAACCTAGACTACTTACTACCCTTCACATCCCAATTTAGTAAACACGAACACGTTACACAGAGACTGTATAACTTGTGATTTATTTTGGTCAAAAGTTCGTCCATTTGGCTCAAAATTTTTTTTTTCACAAAATTTTTCATGTCTACCACAGAATTCTACGCAGAAGCACATTCCTTCTCTAACTGAAATTTTTCATTTTCCTGTCAGGAAAGCAACTCATCGCTTTCCAGGCTCTAATGGCTGCATGGACTGGAGCAGCACGTATGGAAATAAGATTGATCACATACACACTTCTGTGTACGAAAATCGTAGATAGCCTACCCAATGCATTTATCATTTCCCTTCCCTTTTACAGTGGATTGGTGTTTTTATATGTTCAGAACTGAATATGGCGGGGGCAAGGAGGGGTCGAAATATGGAAATTGCTACATGACTAGAGGACATCCTATATATCCTTATCACTATCGCTCTCGCCAAGCTCAAACTTGACGTGTGTTGTCTTTTTTGTAGGACTCTCCTGTGTTTCCTTATTCTGATCAATCTCTTCGTCATCACTACTACTGTTGAACCCACCAAATAGTCCTAAATCTTCATCGTCATCTTCCACATCCTTGGCAATAACATCTATGGTTTGCACTTCTTCCAACGGCTTTGGTTTCTCGGAATCGACGAGTGGAACCAATGTGCTATTCACAGGATTGACCAAAAGTGGAGCTCCTTGTGGAATTTGTGCAGTTGTTGTAGAACTTTCCCCAGTACTGGCATTCGAAGCATCCTGTAACACTTCAAGGGGCTTTTCACCTGGTAATATACCAAACTTGTTAGCATTTTCAATAGCCTCCATTTCTCTTGACTTCCTAACAATTTCCTGTTCCTTCTTCATCTTGGCCTCCTTAATCGTAGCCAGACGTTTAGCGATAAGCTCATCTTTACGCTTAATGCTCTCCTTGCGCACCATCTTCCTTTTTTCTTTGATTATCGGTATGTTCCTCTTAAATCTGTCCATTGTCCTTTTTATACACTTTTGATATTCAGTTTCAAAATCTGATTCCTCAGCATCATAGTACTTCATTTTTGCCAATCTCAGCAACGGATTATATTTTAGGTACAGTTGTTCATATTCGAAATCAACTACCTTCCTCCTGGCAATCTCAATTCTTTGTCTAGCATATGCTTCAACATCAAAATCTTTGAGTTTAGACGTTGGATTGCTGTCGAGGTCTTTTAACACACCTTTTAACAATGATACCCTCATTGGCTCAATCAAATATTCCTTATTATTCTCAATTCTGTACAGTAAGGCCTTAATTTCCAGGTCTGCCAATTCCTCTTCGCTCAGCTGCTTTTCCGTAGCCGTTTCCGTAGCCGTTTCCGTAGCCTTTTCAGTCGAGCTTTCTTTGTTTTCTTCTATTTTTACAACTTGGTCCTTGTTCTCAGCGTCTACTTCTATTTTATTTCCTTGCGTTTTATCGTCATCTTGCTTATTGATATCTTCAAGGCTCCCCACATCATCTGGTTTATCAGTTGATATAGACTGCACCTCTAAATTATTAGACTCCTCAGATAATATTAGATTATTCTCTTGCTTCAAATGCGTGCCTTTTTGATTGTCTTTCGTTGTACTTATCGAATCCAGATTCGACATCAACTTAACCAATGCCTTCTCGGATAATCTTCCTTCCTCAACCAGCTTTTGCCGTATTTCTGTTTCAGGTTTAACAACATTGACATAACTTGGCGTATACTTGTATGTATGGTCAGGTGGAAAGTCCGGAAGCCAACCAGGTTTGTATCTCAGATTTCTACCTCTCCCAGTATCTGTCTTAAATAGTTGCTCCATGGCATGTTGCTGTAATTCGATTAACTCATAATCGTCATCTTCATCAATATCAACATCATTATCTGTGGGCTCAATATTTTCTTTATTCTGAATGTTTATCCTCCCCAAGGCTGACTCCATTGGATTGTCGATATTAATGTCTTTAAACACCACACTGGTATCATTTCTGTAATTCTCTCTTATAAACTTGCTTTCCTCAGCCGTCATATATAAATCAGACGGCAGTAAATTGTATCCTCGCATCCATATTTCCAAATCCGACACAGCTATACTCTGCCGCCTTTGCAAAAGTGATATTCTATGTAAACCATCTACAAGTGCATTCAACTGGTCTTCCGCAAACAACACAAGCTGATCCATTGCCATTCGAGTCACAGTAACATCTTTGTCAATCGTTTGCAACTGAACACCAACAGCCCTTTTCAACAGCTCACCCATCTGGTAGTCCATCCTGTTACTGCTATTAATCTCCTTGATATCAACATCACGGTTCTCCTGAACACCACCACGCACTACAGAACTTTCAATTGCTGGCATATTACACTTAATTATAAGCAATTTTACTTGTTTCACCAGTATATGTCAACAACAGGTAGCCACTCTTATAAATTAGCCTCACTTACACCAAAATAGAACGGTCTTTGGCTATCCGAAATCCCAGAAATAACTGCACAATAAACAAATTGACCGTACGGCTACCAGTGCCTCTTTATTATTGCTAATCTACAGTGTTACTCTACTTTCCCGGGCTATTGTAAAGGCTTCCCTTGTGGTTATTATGCGCACATCTCCTAGCTTTCTACACTTTTTCAAGAAATTTTTCACTTTTGGCAAAATTGAAAAATCGATGAAAAAACTCGATGAGTATATCAATTAAATGTTAAAAAGCTGACCCTAGAATAAGAGAAGAACCATAGCACACCCTAACCGCTACCACTAGCATTATAAAAGTACACATTATCTGAATTCCAAATTTTTCCACCTGTATTGAACGTTATCGAGTTGACAGTACCACATTGACTAAGAGAGCACATTCTTAATCCCACATTTTGCGAGATAAGGCAGAGAGTAAAGGAGGACGGGCGAGATCCACTATCACAAACTTACCAGAGAGGCAGATTATCAGCACAAGATGGCAAAAACGCTGGCGCAAGGCAGAAAACCTGGGAGTGGAAGAAAGCCAGGTAAGGGTAAGACGTTGAGAGAAGGCAGAAAACCTGGAAGCGGCAGAAGGCGGAGAGATCCTATTGCAAACAATATAACCAATACAACCAATACAACCAATACAACGGAGGTGAATCCAAATCACACCCTAGTGAACAATACAAATGGCATAATAGGCAATAACACACAACAGTTCTTGTCTTTAGTGACAGAGAATGTTCCCGAGCCACTCAATACACAGCCCGCATATGGGCACCCTCAACATGATCTCCAGCAACTGCAACGAATACCTTCCGTGAGAGTCATGGATGCAGTGGATGCTTTAAGAGGGCTAACCAAGACACAGCCAGGGAACCACAGACAGATAGTCCAACATGTGCCGACATTAACACCATACATGGATATCATGTCTCAGAGTCCTATGCTCCCACGAAAGATAACAACGGATATGTCACAACCTCTAGGCCATGCTCCAAGTTCCAGACATTTTGCAGGTCAGAATATTACAACGAACAATCCGTTAAGCTCACAAGCCCCAGCTCAAGGCCAATTGAAAGTCGAAATGCACGTAGATATCCCTGGCAATGACATACCAGCCATCTCAGGTGGCAGAAACATATATTCAGTTCCTCATACAACCCAAAATAGTGTACCGAACTGAAATGCCCTTATGAATACAAACTCCCTTTGCACAAAGATCTTAGTTGAACCTTAGAAGTAGGCAGCAATCAAAAGAAGAGGTTCAACAAGTATTATTTACCACATTGTACTTGAATATATGCATACAATTATAAAAGGTATATAATGGAAGTAGAGATAAGTAAAAATACAACGATAGAAAGAGCGTTGCAGCTCAATAAATCAACCAAATACACCCTCTTGCTGTAGCGGTATACACATCACTATTGACGTTATAGTCTATCGACTTCCCGAGATCCAGAAGTAAGTGACGGAATCCTTCCGATTCATATAGCGTTTAATGAGTGAAGTAGTTATAATCCTTTGGGGTTCTGTATTACAGTATATACTCCATTAGAGATCGCTCATAATAAGTCGTTTTATAGGGACTGCTATTGGCTATTGCATGAACTTTGCGTAGGAGCTACATTGCATCACTTATAATACAGTAACGACTATCCCAGTCACTTACTATCTCATTAACAAAGATAACTGATATGAGTATCCCAAAGAGCAGACTTTTAGCAGTTGCCGAGCTATCTGCTAAGATATTTGATCAAGGTTTTAACCCTTCTGGTGCACGTACAGGTGCGAAGATTCTCTCTCAGAGGCTGAAGGGCCCTGCAGTTTCGAGCTATTACGGTAATCCCGACTTTGTTAAATTCAGAACCATACGGAAACTTTACTCTGACATTCCTATGAGTGACCCTGAAGAGGACTACAGGCTGATGATGGTGAGCGCCAGGAAACGTCGTGGTAAAGGTGCACCAAAGAAGACAAAGAAATCGGAAGCTGGCGAGAAAAGTAAAAAGAAGAAATGAGACTTTGGACTCTATCAGAAAGAACAATTGACTACAATCCAAAACCTGTACATATTAAATTGATCCTTCCCAGAATACATGAAGGATTTTCATTCACATATAACCTTTTCACAACATCCATCATAGATAAGTTTGTACCCTAAATTAATTAAAAATATTCATAACAATATGCTTTGAGTAATAACATTATTAAAATAAACTATATAAAGAACTACTTATTAAATAATCCATCATAAAGTTCTCCAGATGATACTGGGTTATCCGGCAACGATGAGTACAAAACTGAGTAGAGGTTTTTCCTCTGCATTACTATTATACCACCTTTAATCAAATGCTTGACTGCTGCTGGTGATAAATAGTTTTTGTATAAACTTCTCATTAAGGCTTGATATGGTCGAAACATAAGACCAATTTGCGTAGGCTTATTATACATCCTCATAACTATCCTATCTTGATTAAAGGAGGTTGTGAAGTATACGCCTCCAGGAATTCTCATTGGATCTTTTAGACGTAACAATAGGGCGAATAGTGGGAAATGGTTAATTAACGCAATTAAGGATTGCAAACCTAATTCAATAATTAAAAAAACCACACGAAGTGATGTATATGCGGCATAAAAGACCAATACCGTTGGGAACAAAAATAGCAAAATGATAAATAGAAGTGTTCCCATTAGCAACTGATCAAGATCAAAATATTTGTAATCAACACGCTTCCTTAGGACATTCCTCTTCTTACCACAAAACAAATAAAACAAACTTACCATTATGTTAACCTGTAATCTGTATAACTTGCAGCTGATGTGATAGAAAATTAATATAGGGAATGATATGATTGATATAAAATCAATGATAATGGCAAGAGTGAACGTTGCCCCAATAACGTAAGAAACTTGAACCAGAACCTTTAACAATCGTCTGAAAATCTCTTCCTTGATGAAGTATCTTATATAGGTAAAATACGATACATCTATCACCCATAAAAACAATTCACTTAAGAACCCACCCATTTCTTGATTAAGTTTTATCCCAAATGGATTGTTTGATAAAAATATAGTCAAGTCCCTGAGCTGATCATATAATAGCCATCTAGTCAGGGAAGAAAATGACGTAACAATAGCTTCACTATTCTCAGTAATATAAGCTGAAATTATTAAACCAAAGGATAAATCGTTAAAAATCAACCATATAGTATTGTACATCCTAATATATTCGGGATAATTCTCAAATGGTAAGTCGTCTCTTAACTGAAGTATACTTCTAATAGAATTACTTCTAAACCGTGGAATTTGCTCTCTGAATTGTATATTTTTAGTGATCTTTAAGTATTGTACTGGGAAGTAACAGTGTTGACGGCACCGTAGATCTATTTGCTGAGCTGTGGCAGATATATTGATTAATTGTGGAAAATTCCTATTTAGTAGAACGAGAACAGAGCTAGAAATGTAATTTACCATTAATAACAGGTAATGGAAAGAACTTCTAAAGAAGGCCCAAATCCACGTTTTACAGATAAAGTGTTTAACATCTTCGAAAAGCTGTGCCGAAGAACTTACAACTTCCCTGGATAATTTCGGGTACTCCTTATGCAATTTCTTTAACTGTCTAAAGTATACGTTAATAACCAGTATAATGTCCCTTATATCACGGTTATAATTCTGATACCTTGGGTGAGAGAATAGCTTGATAGCGTTTGCCTTGTCTGCGGAAGGGTCTAGTTCAGGGCTGGCAATTTTCTCCGGCAATTCCAAGGACAAAGGTTCCAAAGAGTAGAATTGCATAAGTTTCACCTTGGGCTCTTTAAACCAAACCAGAATCGTTCCATCAATTGAATAAACCCATTTCCGCTCTGTTCCCGACGACTTGGCAACGACGCAGTAGGGCTTCTCTAATTTGATTGTTCTTATTACCTGCTCATAACATATATCCAGCACGACATAGGAATCCTTCACCTGCAATGCTACAGCAACCAGCGGCCCATCTCCAAGCTGCTGCTCCCTTATTCTAAGACTCTCTGGCCAAAACACATAGCTCATCGCTTCCCACAGAAGAAACACCAATTAACAATAAGTGAGTGCCACCTACAATAAGACAGCTGAGCTACTGTAATCAAGAAAATGGCTTCGAATAGAAGCTGCAACGAGTGTCATCCATGCCCATCAATACTTTGCTCAATTATCAGCCACCATTCCGAGTAGTGATTCAATTGTGCATCGCTTCTCTCACAATTTTTTTTTGGCAGAATAAGCAATTTGATCTACACTACGGTGATAACGAGCAATATTAAAGTTGCTAGGATAGTAACGGTACAGGGGTATAAAAGATCTATATATTTGTGACTGATCAACAGAGAATTGACATACCAGTTTTAAACGTGTTAAGGAGAACAAATTAATCCTGTTTTGCAAGGACTGAGCTCCCCAAATAGATAATGCCGATGGTGAAGAGGCAGCTGACGGAGCGCTACGAGCCAGGGAATGAGGCACAAGATGCTGATGATGGATTTGTACCGCCCTTTGTGAATATTGTTCCTCCTGATTCTGATGAGGACAAGAACAGCAGCAGCAACAGTTTACCAATACGCCGGATAAGGAAAAGAGGGCCCTATGAAGATAGCGATGAGGGTGATTACAGTGACAATGATGATGATTTTGAAGAGAGAGTAGAATACTCACCTAGGAGACTAGAAGGTACTTTTGGTGATGATGGTGAACTAGATGGTATAAGTGAACATGATCATAGCCATCGCGATGATATGATCTCCAATACCGATACTGCACATAGTGATCGAGTAAGCTCACTGGGGATGTCATCAAAAGCGGAATCACCTTCAAAGAAATGGGAACCTAGGATAGCCAACTTATTCAAGTCGGCACTAGGTAATAATAATGCGAAGCAAAAACCACAACTATCTCTACGGACCACATCATTATCGACAAATACACAGGATAAAGCCAGAAAGTATAGCAGTAGCGATGAACCTGGATCACCTAGTGCAAAGTCTGCTGTATCATTTCATTCTTCAGGGGTGCGCTCGAATGTCTTACACAGATCTAATAAGAGTGGTGAGAGTAGTCCCAGAAGGCGATCGATAAGCACAGATGGTCCACCTAGATCTGCGAAAGTCCTATCTATTATAGATGCTGATGATATGGATGAATTTGAAGATATGAAAAGAGGATTCCAAAGTGCCATCGAGGACAAAAAATTTGCATGGCTTCCTCAACTACAACAAGAGACTGAATCTGCCGATGAACTTGAAGCTGGGGATAAGAGCAAATTGAATATCGACATAAAAAGTACACTAACTCCAAGAGGACGTTCTGGTAGTCAATTCCGAAATGATAGTACCGAAGATTTACATTTTGAACCTGGACTTTTCAGCTCACCTTCAAAACATTCCTCCAGGAGACCTTCAATAATCGCAAGCTCCATAGCCCATGGACTGGGAATCAACTTAGAAAAAGATAAGAACGTAGACACTGTCTCGATAGAAGTTGAGCTACCCGATTTCGATGAATATGAAAACGCCAAGAAACGGCCACCATTAATTTTGCATGGCAATTCATTAGGGTATTTTGGCCCCAATAATCCACTGAGATATAAAGTTGCCCACATACTATTAAACAAATACTACAAGATAGCTCACATTCTTCTATTAACATTTCTAACAGCATTACTAGCGTACAGGAGCTATGAACCTGAAAATTTTGATTTCCTCTACAGGTTTAGAAATTGGTCAGACTATATCATTTTCATTCTTTTTATTTTGTTCACCTCAAATGACATTGCTAAAATATTTGCATTTGGGTTTTGGGATGACTCGCAAATGTTTGCCTATCATCAATTAGAATACATATCACTATTGGAACGGTTTGGAATCACAAAACTCTACCACTTAATTAAAAAAAAGTATGGTCCAAAAATAGTGCATTTTCTTCTTCCTTTTAATGTAATCTCAGATGAAAGTGAAAAGGAAACAATCCAGAGGAATATGAAGGCTAATATATCTGCAAAGAATGATACCAATAGCAAATCTTTAAAATTTAATTGTCCGAGAGCTTTCTGCAGATCTTCTTGGAATAGAATCGACCTATTATCCTCTGTTTGTTTCTGGCTGGGAATGTTTTTGTCTATTAACAATTATGATAAAAGAGTAGGTATTAGAATTTTCAAACCATTGGCCGCGATGAGAATTTTAAGACTAGTAAATACTGATACAGGTATAACATCAATTTTGCGTGGTTTGAAATATGGTATGCCCCAATTGATCAATGTCGGTTCGATGCTTGTTTATTTCTGGGTGTTTTTTGGTATTCTGGGTGTTCAAATCTTCAAAGGTTCATTCAGAAGACAATGTGTATGGTATAATCCTGAAAATCCAAACGATAGATATCAATATCAACTACAGTTTTGTGGTGGATACTTAGAACCAGTTACAAAGAAGAAAATGAATTACATTTTTGAGGATGGTAGGGAAGGACCTGTTTCTAAAGGGTTCATGTGCCCACAATATTCGAAATGTGTTTCAAGCTCCAACCCGTTTAATGGAAGAGTTAGTTTTGATAACATAATAAACTCAATGGAACTTGTATTTATTGTTATGAGTGCTAATACTTTCTCTGATATTATGTACTACACAATGAATTCCGACGAGTTCTCTGCGTGCTTGTTTTTTATTATTTCAATTTTTGTATTGACCATATGGATGATGAATTTACTAATCGCAGCATTAGTTTCATCTTTCCAACTAGCTCACGAAGAATTCAAGAAAAAAAAGCTTGAAGAAAGTAGCAATGAAAGTTGGCCTATCAGATTTGCACTAGGATATTGGAGATATTTTAAAGTAAAAGCATCACAAACAGAATTCCCTAGCTGGGCTGAGAGAGGCCTAAAATATTATGAGAAAATTGAACCAGTCTTTATTATTTTGATCATGTTCGATCTTATTATGAGATGTTTGATAAAAGATACTAGCTCACAACATTTTGTTACAACCCTGTTAAGAATTGATCGTGGAGTAACAATAGTATTATTCATAGAGTCCATTTTTCGACTTGTGCTGCATATTCCGAATATGTGGAAATTCTTAACACGATTCAATTATGTGTACGACCTTTTTGTTGCGATCTTGACATTGGTAATCACAATTCTAGCTAATGCCGGTCTTTTAGGCCACGGTTACTATTGGCTGTCGTTCTTTCAAATTACTAGGTTCTACCGGCTTGTGATTTATATTGGATTTACAAGAAAATTATGGAAAGAGGTTCTAGGTAATGGTATAATGATCTGGAATTTAACTGCCTTCTATTTTTTCTTTACTTTCTTAGCTTCCATAATCTTATCATTATATTTTGAAGGGGTGATACCACAAGATCAAATAGAAGATCAACTTTTAGGAATGTACTCACTGCCCAATTCGTTCTTATCTTTGTACAGCATAGGGTCGACTGAAAACTGGACATCAATTTTGTACATTATTCAACAGTACTCTCCTAACATATCGTCGGCATTCTTTTCTACTGTCTTTCTCATTATATGGTTTATTCTTTCAAACTCAGTGATATTGAATATTTTCATTGCCTTAATTTCAGAAAGTTTAGAAGTTAAAGAGGATGATAAGAGACCAATGCAGATAAAGCATTATCTGAAACATATTTACCCACAAAAGATACAACGATTTCGCCATGCTAGTTTGTTAGCGAGAATCAAAAAGAAGATTTTTAGGACTGACAGTCAAGAAGACTCTAGAGATTTCAAACAATTTTTAATGAGAGGAACAGCAATTATGAATATTGCACAAAATCTAGGAGATTTAAGTAAAGAATTCAATACAGAACAAGATCGTGATATTGTTACTTTACTAGTCAGACTAACAGAATATATACCAATTTTGAGAAAATTTGGCATCTACTCTAATAATCCGTTCTACAAGCGCAACGAAATCATGTTTTCTGAAACATCTGATCTTAATGGAAGGAACTATATGCTTCAACTGAACGAGTTTGAAGATGAAAAGCTGGATTATCTACAAAAGCATTCGATGTTCAATTACAGCTACTACTTATTCTCACCCAGACATAGATTCCGTAAATTTTGCCAAAAGCTTGTTCCTCCTAGTTACGGGAAAAGAACAGATAATTACAAATTCTATGAAGATGATACTGATACTTATTCTAGAAAAACATACTTCAATCACATATGGAGAGATTTGTTTGTGGTATTTTATGCTGCTGCAACAGTTCTACTTATTGTATTTTCCTGTTACGTCACACCAATTTACAGAATGAAAAGAAACATGTCCTCAAAGAATTGGGTCACCTATGTTGATGCTGCATTTTTGGCAATCTTCTGTGTTGAGTTTATTATCAAAACAGTAGCGGACGGTTTCATCTATACACCAAATGCTTATGCAAGGAATCCATGGAACTTAATTGATTTCTTCGTTTTAATTTCAATGTGGATTAATTTAATCGCATTTCTAAGGAATGATGGGAATCTATCTAGAGTTTTTAAAGGTTTAACTGCGCTAAGAGCATTGAGATGCTTAACGATAAGTAACACAGCCAGAGAAACATTTAAAGTTGTGCTGTTTAATGGTATAGGAAAAATTTTAGAGGCTGGCCTACTTTCCCTGACACTTTTGTTTCCATTCACGGTTTGGGGACTGAATCTTTTCAGAGGGCGTTTAGGAGTTTGCAATGATGGTGATTTAGGAAGAGATGAATGCTTTAATGAATTTTCGAATGAAGTGTTTCAATGGAACGTCATGATGCCTCGAGTTTATGACAATCCAGAGCTTTATTTAGACAGTTTTACTAGCGCATTCAATTCTTTATTTCAAATAATATCGTTAGAAGGATGGACCGACTTGCTTGGCAACTTAATGAATAGCACAGGAGTTGGTAAACCAGCGTCACTATTAGCTTCAACAGGTAATGCCGTATTTATTATAGCGTTCAATTTTCTGAGCATTGTTTTTATTTTGAATCTGTTTGTTTCTTTTATTGTGAACAATCAAGCCAAATCAACAGGAAGTGCTTATTTTACTAGTGAAGAAAAGGCGTGGCTGGAGTCTCAAAAGTTATTATCTCAAGCCAAACCAATAGCTATACCCACATTCCATGACATTTCGAGAGTCCGCATTTTTCTGTACAATATTGCTGTTGAAAAGAATAATATCTACTATGCCATATTCTTACAGACAGTAACTTATATTCACATTATAATGCTGCTCAGCTTAACTTATAAGGACCATGGATCTGGGTTACTTTATTCTCAGGTATACTTCATGTTTTCCACTACTGTATTTCTACTACAAGAACTATTCCATGTTTATGGCGCGGGCTTAAGAATATACAAGATGAACAAATGGAATTTAATTCGAATACAGATTCTGATAGTATCTTTCCTTCTAACTTTGATATCATTCAATGTTGATCGAGCATATATCTGGTATCATAATGTGAATGGTTTTTTCCACCTTGTCATATTTTTGTTTATTATTCCACAAAACGATACTTTAAGTGAACTAATCGAAACCGCCATGGCAAGTCTTCCACCAATTCTATCGCTGACATATACTTGGTTTATCCTTTTTCTGGTTTATGCTATTGCTTTGAATCAAATTTTTGGCTTAACTAGGCTAGGCCCAAACACTACAGATAATATTAATTTCAGAACAGTATTAAAAGCATTAATTGTTTTATTCAGATGTAGTTTTGGTGAAGGCTGGAACTATATAATGGATGATTTGAAGGTCAAAGAACCTTATTGTAGCCAAAGGGTGAAGGGTAATTATTCAGATTGTGGATCTCAAACATATGCTTACATTCTATTGATATCATGGAATATATTGTCCATGTACATCTTCTTGAATATGTTTATCTCACTGATTATCGGCAACTTTAGTTATGTATACAGAAAAGGTGGTACCAAATCTGAAGTTAACAGAGGAGAAATCAGAAAATATGTTGAAACTTGGGCAAGGTTTGACCCGGATGGTACTGGTAAGCTGGACTTCGAGTATCTACCGAAGATAATGCACTCATTTAATGGCCCTCTCTCTTTTAAAATTTGGGAGGGCAAACTCACTGTCAAGAACCTAGTCAAGAACTATATGGAAGTGAACCCTAATGATCCTTACGATGTAAAAGTTGATTTAGAAGGTCTGAACAAGGAGCTTGACAGCATTAATATGGAATCTATTATGAATAGAAGACTACAGTATAGGAGGTTTGTTCAAGAAGTATATTACACACAAGCTTATATGGGCTACATGAAATTTTCAACTTTGTTGGATCTGGTACCACTGTATACCACTTATGATCCAAGAGAGTGTCTTGGAATTGATCAATACGTGCGCCACCTATACATCATGGGCAAAGTAGACAGATATTTAGATAACGAGAGGAATGTGGACGTTTTAGATATGGTTGTTACCAGGTGGAAACATCACCTCAAGAGAAAATACGGACCCAATTACAAATTAGACCAGGACAGTATCAAGAAGGATCTAAACATAAAAGTTCCTGAAATAAAAACTTGGAATGAATCAGTTGAATCAGTGACAACCCCAAGAGTCAGCTATGGTGTGAACGATTTTATATGGTCGCCAAGAAACAACTCCAATTCGAGTGCATATTCGAAACCACTTCCACAGAGCCACGCCAGACCAATACCACCGCACATACAAATATCAAACTCGCGGGTAATGGAATATACGAATAGAGATTCCTTGAGTTCCTTGGAAAATATTCACAATCAGTCTGATGAAGAATTGAAGGATCCATTCAGAGATATTTAAATAAGGTGCAATTCTTTCGTTGTCTTTTACTCAAAACTAGCAAATACAAGATCCCAAACTTAATCAAATGCATTTTTTTTTCTTTAAAAAGTTTTCATGTGCATTAAGAATGTTAAGATTATACTCTATATATGCTTCTAATATAAACAATATATCTATTACTTGGTCAATTGACCAGCTAGTTGCTCAATTACTGTACAATTTATTCAGTCTTGGTGACATTATCATTGTAATGGGCTTTGCCATCCGGGTAACAGCATCGTGCAAACAAAATTTTTTTTCTGTCCTTTAAGGAAAAGAATTAAACTTTCGCAAAAGCAAAAGCAAAAGCTAAACAACGGAATCTTGCAAGCAACTCACTTTGTTTGATCAGATCTAACAATCAGTTATTGAATCTACGCTTTGAGCCAACAATTCAATTACCTATAGTGGATTAGTCGATTCTATTTTAGTGCTACATATCGCTCTATTTTATTGATCTCTAACAAGGAATAGGTGTACAACGCAAATTACTCTCCGTATCTTTGTTTAATTGAGGATCTACAAGTGTTTGTTCCACCTCTGAATCACTGAAAAGAAGTTTTAGTTCTGGATTACTATAGTCTATTGATTGACAACATATTAATCGGCAGTGACACTGTATAAGGGGCCGCAAAAAAAAAAAAAACAATCTTGAGCAATTGCAGTTCAATTAAAACTGAGTTTTTGTTATAATCAGTATAAGAATAAGAGTTCAAAAACTTGACTAGAGTTTTAAAAATCAAAAAAAATAACCGGCTAGCTATAACAATAATGGAAGGTATTTTAGATTTCTCCAAGGAATTGGATATTACTCTGTTAGACCAAGTGGTTGAGACTTTCTATCAGGGCTCAGGTGCTCAGCAGAAAGAAGCTCAGACTATATTAACGAAATTTCAAGAACATCCAGATGCATGGCAAAGTGCAGACAAGATCTTGCAGTTTTCCCAAAATCCACATGCCAAATTCATCGGGTTGAGTATCCTAGATAAGTTGATTACCACTAAATGGAAACTATTACCACAAGAACATAGAATTGGTATCAGAAATTTTATTGTAGGTATGATTATCTCAATGTGCCAGGATGACACAGTATTTCAAACTCAAAAAAATCTGATTAATAAGTCTGATTTGACTCTTGTTCAAATTCTAAAACAAGAATGGCCCCAAAATTGGCCAGAGTTTATCCCTGAACTGATCGGCAGTTCTTCAGCTTCTGTTAATGTTTGTGAAAATAATATGGTTATTTTGAAACTTTTATCTGAGGAAGTCTTTGACTTCTCTGCCGAACAAATGACACAGGCAAAAGCTCTTCACTTAAAGACTTCCATGTCAAAGGAGTTCGAACAAATCTTCAAACTGTGTTTCCAAGTTTTGGAACAAGGATCCTCTCCTTCATTGATAGTAGCTGCTCTAGAGTCTCTTCTCAGATATTTACACTGGATTCCTTACCGTTATATTTATGAAACAAACATATTGGAGTTATTGAGCACAAAGTTTTTAGCATCTGCAGATACTAGATCCGTGACTTTAAAATGTTTGACCGAAGTATCGAGTTTAGATCTACCAGATAACAATAGCTCAATGCAACAACAAACTGTCCAATACTTCCAAAACACGTTACAGCAGATAGCTTCAAATGTCATCCCAGTGACTGCCGATTTGAAATCAACTTATGCTACTGCAAATGGTTCTGATCAATCTTTTCTGCAGGATTTTGCTATGTTTTTGACAACGTATTTAAGCCACCACAGATCTTTACTAGAAAGTAACGAGAACTTGAAAGAACTACTACTGAACGCTCATCAATATTTAATACAACTATCCAAGATTGATGAAAGAGAACTATTCAAAACGACATTGGATTACTGGCATAACTTGGTTTCAGACTTATTTTATGAAGTTCAACATTTACCAGCTAATGAATTAAACCCATTGATGCAGTTATCTGTAGGATCTCAGGCTGTTTCGACAGGATCAGGTGCTATCAGTCCTGAATTTATGAAGAGATTCCCATTAAAAAAACACATCTACGAAGAAATATGCTCACAATTGAGGTGGGTCATTATAGAAAATATGGTGAAGCCAGAGGAAGTTTTAGTGGTGGAAAATGACGAAGGTGAAATTGTCAGAGAATTTGTTAAAGAATCAGATACAATTCAATTATACAAATCTCAAAGAGAAGTTTTGGTTTACCTTACCCATCTAAACGTAATCGACACTGAAGAAATAATGATTAGTAAGCTTGCCAGACAGATCGACGGGTCCGAATGGTCTTGGCATAATATTAATACTCTGTCTTGGGCTATCGGTTCAATATCTGGTACAATGACCGAAGATACTGAAAAAAGATTTGTTGTTACAGTCATTAAGGATTTGCTTGCTCTAACTGAAAAGAAAAGAGGTAAAGACAACAAAGCTGTTGTTGCCTCTGACATCATGTATGTTGTTGGCCAATATCCAAGATTTTTGAAAGCTCACTGGAACTTTTTGCGTACAGTTATCCTTAAATTATTTGAATTTATGCATGAAACACACGAAGGTGTCCAAGATATGGCTTGTGATACTTTTATCAAGATTGTTCAAAAATGTAAGTATCACTTTGTTATTCAACAACCTCGCGAATCGGAACCATTTATTCAAACAATCATAAGAGAGATCCAGAAAACAACCTCTGATTTGCAACCACAACAAGTTCATACATTTTACAAGGCTTGTGGTATTATTATATCTGAAGAGAGAAACACAGTTGAAAGAACTAGATTACTAAGTGAACTAATGCAACTTCCAAATATGGCATGGGATGCCATTGTTGAGCAATCTACTGCAAACCCTGCTCTTTTATTGGATGCTGAGACAGTCAAAATTATTGCTAATATCATTAAAACTAATGTCGCTGTTTGTAGTTCAATGGGTGCCGATTTCTATTCTCAATTGGGCCATATCTATTACAACATGCTGCAACTTTATAGAGCTGTTTCTTCAATGATATCTGAACAAGTTGCTAAGGAAGGTCTTATTGCAACAAAGACTCCAAGAGTGCGTGGTCTGCGAACCATCAAAAGGGAAATATTAAAACTGATAGAGATCTACATCTCTAAAGCTAAAAATCTAGAGGAGGTTGTCAAGGTTTTGGTGGAACCACTACTGAACGCAGTCTTAGAAGACTACATGAACAACGTCCCTGATGCTAGAGATGCAGAGGTCTTGAATTGTATGACTACTGTAGTAAGTAAAGTTGGTCATATGATCCCACAAGGTGTTATTTTAATTCTACAAAGTGTGTTTGAATGTACACTAAATATGATCAATAAGGATTTTACGGAATACCCTGAGCATAGAGTAGAATTTTACAAGCTATTGAGAGTGATAAATGAAAAGTCATTTGCTGCATTCTTAGAGTTACCACCAGCAGCCTTCAAACTGTTTGTTGATTCTATTTGTTGGGCTTTCAAACACAACAATAGAGATGTCGAGGTCAATGGTCTACAAATTGCGCTAGATTTAGTTAAAAACATTGAAAAGATGGGTAACATACCATTCGCAAATGAATTTTACAAGAACTATTTCTTTATTTTTGTGAGCGAAACATTTTATGTTCTTACTGATTCTGATCACAAATCAGGTTTCTCTAAGCAGTCGACTTTGTTAATGAGATTAATATCGCTTGTCTATGATAATAAAATTTCTGTTAATATATACCAAGATGGCGAAGCACCTCAAGGAACAACCAACCAAGTGTACTTAAACCAATATTTGGCTAACATGTTGAGTAATGTATTTCCACATTTGTCTGCTGATCAAATCACAGGGTTCTTGACTGCTTTAACAAAGCAATACAAAGATCATATCAAATTTAATGGTACATTAAGGGATTTCTTGGTTCAAATTAAGGAAGTTGGAGGTGACCCAACGGATTACCTATTTGCCGAAGAGAAAGAAAACGCTCTACAAGAACAGCATAGATTGGAGAAGGAAAGAGCAGCTAAAATTGGTGGTTTACTAAAACCATCAGAATTGGATGATGAAGACGATTGATTTGAGTAAGGCTTTTTTTTCATGTACCACGATCACAATATTGACATTCACTTTGTTATATAGCTAGGAAGCTTTTATAAAATCTTATAATATAACCACATTCACCTAAAAGAATTCAAAAAAACGTTCATTTTGTATATTATGTTCATGAATGTTTTTCAAAGGAAATAGGGTAAGAATTGTAGAATACTTATTGTTTATATACAAGAAATTTAAGTCTTTGGATATTCTTAGTCTTTCAGTTTTTTTATGGCATCCTGAATTTTTACATAAGTACCATTTGGACCTGGTACAGCACCTTTGACCCAAATGACATTGTTGGCTTCATCAACCTTAAGAATCTTGACGTTTTGAACAGTAACATTTTGAACACCCATATGACCAGGCATTTTCTTACCTGGCAAAACACGACCAGGATCTTGGTTTTGACCGTACGAACCACCATGTCTATGCATAACTGAGGTACCATGAGAAGCTCTTAAACCTTTGAAATTGTGACGTTTCATAACACCAGCAAAACCTTTACCTTTGCTAACCGATCTAACATCTAGGTACTGCCCTTCGGTAAAAAAATCTGGTTTAATATGCGTACCGATGGGTAAGAGCCCTTCTTCATTCTTGACTCTAAATTCCGTTACTTTTTCCTTTGGGTTTACATTCAATGTTGCAAAATGCCCCAGCATCTGCCTCGAAACTTTATCAACAGACCTATTACCGTAACCAACCTGGCAAGCCACATATCCATCTTCGTCCAGTCGCCTGTGCATTAATACTTCGACATTGTTAAACTGTAAGATTGTAGCTGCGATTCTCTCACCAGTCTTCTCATCGAAGTAAGGCATCATACCAACCTTTTGCGTAACAGCACCGCACCTATTGGGGAGCCACTTTCTCAAGTGGGCCTGTTGTGGTTGGTGTTTCTTCACAGGCTCAGGCAGGGGCACAGCACTTACAGCACTACGTGCTATTAGTTTGGCCCTCATCGTCGAGGACTGTCGAATGAACGTCACTAAACCTACCATTGCGTGTTGTGCTTACTGTAATCTTCGAGGCTTCTGAACAGATATAATTCCTTCTTTCGCAATTTGTACAAATTCGCTAAAATAGGTCTTAATGTTATCGCTAAGCACCAACAGTAGTATTTGGTTTCAATTTGCAAGCAGAAACAGTGATGGTTCAAGTCAGTGCTCGTTATTAGCTTCGCTATGATTCTTAAAATGTAATTTGGCTCCCACTTGCTCTATAGGAAAGTTTCGTCGTTGTATGTGATATTGATATAACTGAGTATAATACAGACTACAGCGACTGCATCTTCACATTTGAAAGTACATATTATGCTAAGTATATACAAGCTCACATGAGCAAAGATACAGAACTATAGAATGGGCTATATGCTGATGAAAATTTTGCAATGCATGATAGACAAAGGTGAGGTGAATAAAATAATGACAAATAGTTTCAGTGAATATGCTATGTTATATGATAAAATAATGTTACAGACTTCTTCTAATGCGTAGATGGATGATAGTTGGATTTAGCGAGTGGTTACGGTAAAGATCAATAATCGTAGCTAAGATGGATGGCATGAAAATGGGGTCTGGGTGAAATGCAATGGGAATGTTCATCTTGATTAACTCTGCTGCGTCTTATTTCACGTTCAGAGTTGAATGTGGTAATTGTGAGATATACCTAGCTGTTTCCTCAGGTCGTCGTTGTTACCGTGACGAGGCAAAATTTCACCGACACTTGCTGGTTGGACAACGTCGGTATCGTCCAGTAAACCACTCACACGGGTATTGTTACCATATCTAGGGTCAACGCCCAAGTGGGGTGATTGAGCGGCATTATGCACCTTTCTGAAAGAGCCTGCTGGCTTATGCGTGGTTGATAATGATAGATCATGAGGGTTTGTCATAACAACACTTTGTCTCAGATGGTGGGGTAGAGGTACATTTGAGGCTGGGTTTTTATTGCTAGGCTTACCGGACATAGGTGCGATCTTTTCTTGGTATTTGGAATAAGAATCATCTTGAGTAAAGAACATCTCTGGATGGTCAATTGGATTCAATGTTAATCCATTTAAAGTAGCAATCTGATTTTTAATCAAAAGTTGCTGTTTCATAGGCTTCTTGAAAGATGTCAAAGAGTGATAGGATGGTGAATATGCTAGTTCCGTTGGTGTCGGTAGTTCATCAATTGCTTCCAGTGTTTGTGGGTGGTATTGGTGGTAAGTTTGGTTTATTGGAGGTTGATAGTACATCATTTGTTGAGCATTTGGTTGCTGATAATGTTGCATATAATAAGCCTGTTGTTGATCATGGTATTGCTGATCATAGACAAACCCATTGTTTGGGTACTGTACTGTCTGCGGTATGTATTGTTGCTGTGATTGCATGTCATATTGTACATTGTCATTCATATCCTTGTGATTGAAATAATCCTCCTTATTCTCAGAACCAGCCAAGGGATTCTCAGAATATACCGAAGAAGCTATACGCGAGGCACGCTGAGCTTGTATTCCAGTACCAGTTTGTATTCCCAAACCTTCAATATTTTCAGAATCTTCAGTGGAGACTGTTTCAGTGTTGCCCAGTTTATTTTCATCTGTTGGATCTACAACTATTTGATTACCGTTCTGGTCTAGATAGACATTGTAGATACTCTTAATACGTTGAATGTCTTCCTCCTCCCTTGGAGTCAGTGGAGCATCATCGTTTGAAGGATCACTGTCGGTAATGATAATCTGAGGTCTCATTTCTGCTGGGTCATCTTCTGACTCAAATGGGTTTAGTGTAGTATCATTACCAACTTCCTCAGCATCATTATTAGGCATCTTCTTAATTGGGGTCGATTCGTCCTCTAAAGTTGATGTTGTAGAATTATTGGCAAAATCAAATGAATCCTTCTCTGAGTCACCAGACGTGGTGTGTCTGGTTTGATTATTCACAAGAGAAAGGTTGCTCTTATTTCTCAGAGAAGATGTTGCTAGTTTATATTTGTCTAGACTTGGGTCATGTGCCATTCTAGCAAAATCTCTTAAAGAGTCAGTAGAGGCATCAGGTAGTTGGAATGGATCCGCTCTTGATTTATATGGAGCATCAATTTTTGAGCCCGCTGATGAGTTCGTTGATGAGCTTCCAATATGTTTCTCGTTACTGATATAAGGCAAGTACTCACTCCCACTTTGAAACTCTGGATCCAAATCCTCATCGGCTTCTTTCTTCCCTTTCTTCCATACAAGGATAAGAACAATGAGTAAACCTAGCACAATAACACCGACAGGCACACCGACGGCAATACCCACGGTCTCTTTCCAATGAGCATCTGTTGGTTTCTCACAGTATTGGGCACTACCGGTACATTTTGTAGAAGTCGAAGTAGAGCTACTATCGCTGTCAGAAGACGTGGAAGTAGCTGAGTCAGAGCCTGTAACATCATCTCTCTTGAAAAGAGTTGTTGTTGAAGTAGGAGCTATAGTGCTCGTTGGTCTTAAGAAATCATTTTCAAAACCAATTGTGTTCATTTCATCCAAGGGTACTGATCAAGTGGTAATGCAAAAACAGGTAAAATAAAGGTAATCTTTGAAGGAGGGGATAATATATTAAGCGAGCGACAAGGTTTCTAGTTAATTCAATAGCGAATGGTACAAATAAAAAGTCGGTGACGTATTGGTATTACGTGTGTGTAGATTTTTTTGGCGGTTAAAGAGCGACTTGTAAGGTATTAGACGAGGAGGAGGGACTATCGGCGTGATTTCGTATCTGTTAATTCTGCTCCTAGCCTAGAACTCCCAAAAATTTTCAGTGTATATATAGAAATGGGGAATATAGTAGTGGTACAATAATGCGTGGTTTTCGGTTTGCCTTATTGTTTATTTGTTCAATTGTTGTTCGGAACCGTTCAAACACTCGAAAGGTTTCTTCCAACCTTGGCCTGATTCAAGAGAAGCAAAAAAGTGCAAATCAGCTAGTAATGCCTTTCTATTTTTATACTTTTCTCATGGCTAGCAATTGTTTATGGGCTCTAGCAGACGTAAAACGCCAAAAATCTATTAGTTTATGTGGAGGGCAAAGGTTAGGCACCGTTACCATCAAAGGGACTACTTCAAAGTAGTGAGCACTTGAATGGAATAAAATAACTCAGTGGCTGTAGCATCGAAGAACACAATGCATCGCCAAAACTACCGGCAGCATAGAAGTTGAAGTTGCTTGGCAAGTGTATATGGAAGTAGTATACTGCCAGTAGAGAAGTGCTCTATGAAGAAAGTGCGACGCGAAAAAAATAACAAATTATTTGTTGGAATTTTTTGACTTGTGCGGGTGTTTCAGTAAGAAACTAGGATCAGTTCAACCAAGAAGTATAGAAGAGACGTGTTTTACGTGTCGCGTTTCTCTTGTGATGTGTGTATGCATTCTTCCATGTAGTTGCGAACATCGGTTTCTGCTATCCTCGCTGCTACGCTTGCTGCTACGCTTGCTGCTACGCTTGCTGCCACGCTGGAGAGTACCCCAGGGATATTTTTGTTGCGTAAGGAAAGGCAATATACCAAAACTTCATCACCGAAGTATCCGTGGGCGATACACATTCTACTTTCGATGCTGCGTATGTACATACATCACCTCTATATACAGATTTTGTGCACTAAACCACTACGCGCTGTGAATGGTCTCATTCACAGGAGAGAGGTGGTTCTCTGATATTAGCTATCAGAGAGCGTAGTTGATATTTAATTTGAAAAAAGGTTTTAGCCCAGCAGTTTCTGTGAAGAAACAGTCTAAGTTCAAAAAGAGAAGAGGTTCCAAAAAGTTAGGAGGGAAGTTTCCAGTTCGGAGGACAAGGACGAAGCCCAAGGACAGCGCTACCTGTTTTAGAGAAAATGGAGACAACACCCGGATGGTTCTGGTAAAAGGCAAGAACCATGTTCGATATAAGTTAGCCACCGCATGCGGGTGGCCTTCTCGATGTTGATCGTCCACATAAATCCCATACCTCTCCTTTCCCCCCTGATTCCCCACCATTGTCACACGTTTCCCTCTCCAATGAAGGACAGGAAAAGCATATGACTTGGTGAGGGAGAAGAAAAGACGTATTAAATACGGTCCGCCTCGCAATGGTTAGAACCGGAAGTCGTACCGCCGGCACCCAAGCCTGCATATCCCCTCTACCGCCCGTTTTAAGAGGCACTAAAGATTCAACACAGGCCCAAGTAGCAGGCCCCTCGACCCCATATGTTCAAAAGAAATAACCACGAATGAACCAATATTGAGAGAAACAAGGAATTGAAAGAATTTTTTTTCAGCGAGCCTTATATACTGCCAATACTGCCAGTTCCCTGCCCATGTGTCATTAGGTACGTGAACTGCGGGTAAACTTAGAGAGTATATTGTGCTGTTCAATGGGCTTCTCAACTTAGGATAACATAGTGGTCAACTAGCAGTATACTTACCGGGTATCTGTGCCAAGTGAACGGTGTGTACAGCAAGTGCTACACATTTGGCTACATTTGGTATTGTTAGCTGTTTTTCTTTTGCGGGATAACTCATTCAGTGTGGTGCGTATACTATCGGAATGACGAGCCATAAGCAACTGATTGAATCAGTGTTGAAAGGTGTTAATGGGACGAATATAAGGAAAGTTGGTGAGAAACTGTTGAAGCAGGAGAAGGCCTCTGTAGTTGGGCATCCCGGGGTGCTGGCATTGGCGTATGATAGCTATGATCCATCGTTGACGTATGCTGATTTTGCCAAACTTGTTACACAACGACAGATGAGCATGACGTCAACACCACAAACTATCAAGTTTGATCTGTTGAAGCGGCGGGATCCCAAATACTTCACGTTTAAGGACCAATATCTGTTATTGTTTAATAGAAATATTGATCTACGGGACTATCTTAATATCACTAAGGACTCAACGATAAACAGGGTAAGGGTACGATGGAGGCCATTGGTGGAAGGAAAGGATGAACATAGTTCATATTTGGGTGAGCGTCATGAGCTAATCTACCGGAAATACTGTCGGAACTTAGAGGCCGCTTACTTGGATCGGAAACAGTACTTTGATGTGGTCAATAAGGAAATGACCCAGGAAACAATATCAGATGAACCACAGCTGAGCTGCCTAATAGAGAGAATACATGAGATAGAGAAAAAATGCGCTGTTGTATGGAATATGCCGATGGAAAGCAAACAGTTGGAGCCTTATTTTTCTTTCTACGATATTGTGCATTCATTTGATATGTACTGGAATAGAGACTTATCCAAAACCTTCAAATTTATACGGTTTAACACGCAGGAAGATTGTAAACAATTTAAAAAAAACTACCACGGCTATGTTTATGATGAAACAAACCCGGATGTAAATAAGATTTTAGTCGAAACGCTAAATGGGATGTAAATAGTATATACGTTGTTTTTATTATTATTTTGGAAAGAGCACAGCATAGTAGAAGGTTTGTGTTACGAATATTATATTCTTAATATTACATTGACCGTGATTAGATTGATATATATAGTATATATAGGTAGATACTCAAATTGTGTAGTTGAAGTTCGATCAAAGTTCTCTCCATGATTCTCTTACCAATTCCCATTCCGTTAATGGGGAAGGACCTTTTATTCCATCATTTGAATTCGGAGCTTCTTTCTCAAGTATGACGTACTTCTCCCAGATTCTTGAATTTTTCCATACCAATACCAATTTGTTCTCCTCGTTTTCATTAAAATGATTCCCGTTCTTAAAGGTATGGCTTCTGTTTTGTCGACACCAAGCGATGGTGCATCTATCCTCATTAAATGCAAGGTCGTTAACATTATTTCGTAGTTTGGGGTTTCGTAGGTGCACTTTGCACATAGACCAAACGGAGTCCAGGTATTTTGGTTTCCAGGACGTTGGAACTATGTTCCTTAGACTATGTACTTGGTTAGTGTTAGCCTTAATATGACCGTTGCTACCGCTGGATTGGTGATCTTCAGGATTCGCAGGATTCAGTGTCCCTTCTGCCATCGGAGCTATTTGAAAAACATGCAGAGTTTGCTTGTCTGAGACAACAGCCAGTCGTGTCCCCAGTGGGCTGAAGCACATGTCGTATATTTCTGCTCTATCCAATCCTCTTCTGAATTCTTTCAACAGGATACCATTATGAGTGCTGAAGATTCTAATCAGAGTACCTTTTCTCGATGCAGTAGCAACCATGGTTCCTTGGTTATTGATTCTTACATTTCGTATAGGTGCTTTGTGTGCTTTTATAATAGTTGTGGGTAGGAAACTTTCCGAGGTCAGTGCCATGTCCTGGTTATTATTCTGATTGCTCCTCAGCTTAGAGAGATCAGCTACATGCAACTGCCCAGTCAGCTTGGCCGAAGGATACGCAAGTAGGCTTGTTACCTTGGCCTGGTCCGTTGCTTTCCCCTCTATAGTGACTACTTTGAAATCGAATGGCCCGAAAGGAGCTGTCTTGATGGGCGGGCAGAGCAACTTCGGCGTCGAGTGGAAACTATAGATGAACAGCTCATTCTCCAACGCCACTACAAGATGCACACGGGAGAGAACCACCTTACGTACAATTGACATGAACTTGAGCGAAAAGCTCTCCTTCTGTTGGAGATCATCCCATATCACCACCCTGTTCAGCGAGTACCTCGGCCGCTGTCCGCCGCCTACCAACGCAATGTAGTTGGTTCTGTACAGCATCTGTGAGTACCCGATCCCAGCTCCGCGCTCAGGCGTCTGTTTGAACTCCTTCGTCAGCTTCAGCGACAAGGGAAACGTGTTGTACACCAGAAACCCTTGCTCATTGGCACAACTAAAACAACTCTCATCCTGATTGAACGTCACACTAGCGAACCCAGTCTCTGCGCCAGCCTCCTGCTGTATAGCCTCGCGCACATCCATCTATATCTTTTCGTTTCACTTCTGTCCTGAACGTTGCCCCGCCTAATCAATGCCAGTCATTATACAAAGTCTAATGTACTTCCAGCTTTAGCACCACAGAGTTATGATTAGTACACACAAAACAAAACCCTAAATGAAAGCCCTTACCCTAAAATCCCTTTTCACCTATACAACAAACCTAAAATAACCTAGCCCTAAACCTAGCCCTGAACCTAGTCCTGAACCTAGCCCTAAACCTAGACCTAACCCTTAAATGTAAAAGTGTAGATCCTCCGCGCATTTTCAAAATTCCCTGCGGCGGTTCCTGTAGCCACACGGCCCACGGACTAAAAGTTCCGTCGGCCGCGGATATCAGGGTAACTTCGCCCGATATGCACGCGATGCGAGTTTCCTTTTCCCATCCATTGTTCATGTGACATCCCTAGAGAAGACGCGCAGAGGGGAGCACAGCAAAGAGCCCTTTCTACTAAGGTAAATTCTCTGCGCAGAAGTAGACGCGGAGGGCAAGAGATCAGCATGGCGACGGCCGTTGTCTCTCTGGTGCGCGGGCTTCCTCCATTGCAGTCCGACAGTAATTCTTTGCTTTGTGTAGGTACTCCACTGACAACAGCCCGTACAAGCCTGGGTTTTGCTCTGTTTTGACACATTACTTTCTATAAACCTCACAGACACTTGCGCGGTTTGTTTAATTACATTGCTTGTCTTACATAAACGGCTGATTTACGCTTTAAGGTGTAATAGCAGTTGTGATGGGAGTTTTGTAGAGTATATAAAGCTCATATGCATTCCTTAAATATCTGCGATTGGGGGAAGAGAGGACCCTCCAGGAAAACAGATCAGATAACTAGCAATGGATAAAGATAGTGTTATTGCGGATACTCGCGGCGATGCGAGTTCGGTGTCCACAGGGTCTGTGAAGGAGGAGCCAGTGCGCACTAATGCCTTTGGTCAAAGGTTCCCCACTGGTGTGGAATTGTGGGCGCCGCTGGGGTCGCTGGTGCTGTGCCTGTTCCTAGCCGCTTTGGATGTGATGACCGTGTCGACGATTATCGAGGAAGTGTCACAGAAGTTCGGGGACTACTCTAAGGTCGGGTGGCTGTTCACTGGTTACTCTCTGCCAAATGCACTGCTGGTCCTGATCTGGGGTAGGATCGCTACTTTGGTTGGGTTCAAGACTTCCACGCTGGCGGCTATTGTTATTTTTGAAGTCGGCTCCTTGGTGTCGGCGCTAGCTAACTCTATGGACATGCTTATCGGTGGAAGAGTCATTGCAGGTATCGGTGGGAGTGGTGTGCAGTCACTGGTGTTCGTCATTTCCTCGACTCTTGTGGAAGAGAGAAACAGAGGTCTCATCATCGCGGTTATGAGCAGTTCGTTCGGTATTGCCTCAGTGGTCGGCCCATTCCTCGGTGGTGCTTTCACAACGCATGTGACTTGGAGGTGGTGTTTTTACATTAATCTGCCTGTTGGTGGTCTGGCCTTCTTCTTGTTTCTGACTTTCTACAACCCGGAGAAATGGGTAGTCAACAAAGACACCGCTGAAGATGAGGTTGTCGGAAACGGCAGATTGGGATTATTGAGTATCTTAGGTGGCCAAGCCGTGAGGTTTGTCAAGTCTGTTGGTGTTCAATTGGCTAAATTAAGATACCCTGGGACTTGGAGAATCATAGCCCGCGAATTGTTTTACAGATTCGATATTGTGGAGTTTGTGTTCATGACACTAGGATCTGTCCTGATCCTGTTAGCATTCACATTTGGTGGTAATAAATATAAATGGAACTCCGGCTCAACAATCTCAATGTTCGTGTTAGGTATTCTGTTCACCTTGGGCGCCTTCGTCTACGACTTCTTTATTTACCCAAAATTTGAAGCTGTGAAGACTGTGCCACATTACCAGCCACTGATGTCCTGGAATATCTGTAAGAAACCAGGTGTCTGGTTGTTCAACATTGCAGTATTTTTTGTAGCCTGTGCGTTTTCCATCCAGACAAACTACATTATTCAATACTTCCAATTGGTTTTCAATGACACTGCATGGAAAGCTGCCATTCATCTTATTGCTACTGTGGTTCCTGTGGTTATTACCGTTGTTTCAAGTGGTATTGTCAACAGTAAGACAGGATATGTCAAGCCAATTGCTATCTTTAGTGGTGTCACAGGTATCATTGGTGCAGGTCTTTTGACATTATTAGACAATCATGCCTCTAGCGCTAAAAAGATTGGTCTACTAATTCTGCCAGGTGTGACATTCGGTGCCATTATGCAAAGTAGTATTATTGGTGTTCAGATTTTACTAGATAAGTCCTCACCAACGTACAGATATGATTTTATTGCTGTGACAACGCTGAACGCATTCATCAAGAACATCGGCCAAGCTTATGGCGCTGTTCTATGTGACACGGTGTTCAGTGCATCTGCGATTAATTTGATGAAGAAAAGACATGTCAGCCTACCTGGTGGCTACGAGACTAGCGCCAACAACCTAATCATTGCCAGGAGAGAGTACTTTGACGGGCCTACATCAGCTATCGGTAACATCATCAGTGATTCCATCATTAATGTTTTCTACATGGCCCTCGGTATGTTCGCCGTTGTAGTCGTATGTGTAGTGTTCGTCTCCAACAAAAAAGTTGACATTAGAAAACCAGAGGATATCAAGAGGCAACAAGAAGAGGATCCTGAGAAGCAGGATCAAAATAAAGACTTCAAAGAAGACTCCGAATAACTGAATTTGAAGTAATAAAAAAAACTGTAACTAAAAAAAGCATTGTACACTAGTCCGGTTGGTATAAATTATTAAACACCTAATATTGTGGTAAAAAAAATTAATAGAATAAGATAAATTATAATATGTAAATATTCCATATCAAGTAATAGAAAGCATTTGTGGTATTATAGAAATTCAAGAGGTTTATAACTGCAAACACAAGTATATGTAATTATTCTACCAAAATATAAAAAAAATGGAATTTAGAATATAACACCAGTCTGAAGATATTGACAAACACAACATATAAAAATATAGCTCTTTATGATTATAACATCTATATAACAATATTAATTAATACTATTATGGAACAGTAAAACCTAATAATACAGTTGACTGCTCCTACACAAGCTGGCTAAGTCCTACTCAGAAGTCATCTCATCGCAAAAAATTCAGATCAGGAAATTCCGAGATGTAAACAAACATAGTCAGAACTCGGGTTGGGTGTGATAATGAACTGTATATGAATATCAGTTGCTTTAAAGTACTTTGTAGACCTGGTGTATAGTAGTCCTGATATACCCAAACACAGTGAGGGGCTTAAAATTCTACGAAAGATGGACAGACCACTGAGCGATATTGGAAATGTTGTCCAGGGAAGGGATACTAGGAATGTGTTCGATAGGTTGAGCATATCTCCGCAGAAGAGAAGCTCAAACAAGAGGGATAGTGTTGTTTGGAAACCTGCCAGCAGGATATCACCGAAGAAGAGTAACAATGCGCCTCTGACTACGGCGATCCACGAGACTCCGAAGAGGCTGCAGTCGCCGAGTTTTCTGAAGGACCGTTCTTTTACACAGAGCTTGGACAGACCCCAGTTTGATCCCAAGGATATTGTCAGTGCCACTCCCGTCAATAAGGTGAAACCAGGGATACCAAGAAGTGTTGGGAATCCCACAACAAGCACATTTATGATCCCAATCTCACCCACCAAGATAACTTTCAGCAATGAAAAGAGAACTGGTGGTGATGGGTCGTCTAGTAGAATACTTTCAAGAATGAGAAATATTAGAGCTTCTCCCGTGCGGTCTGTACCATCAACAGCAACTACAATCAAGAAAAGGAATCTAACTGAGAGGCTAAGACAAGAAGAAGAAGGAGAGAACAAAAACAATGAGAAGCGTGTGCGATTCCAAGTGCCCTCTCAACCTAGACCAGGCTCTTCTCAATCTAGCTCCAGAACGCCAAGCCGCGACAGTAACGAATCCATGACCAACGCAAACAAGCATATTTCAAGAGAAAGAAAGGCTCCAATGCCGGTAAAAACCAGCCCAGATGCCAGAATAGATCAATTAGAGAACACAGTTCGTTTGCTTGAAGAAAGAGTAAAATACCTGGAGAAATTGTTGAGAAATCGTTAATCCGGCCACTATTGAAGGTTACCTAATTTTTGTTCACTTCTCCCATCAAAAGCCAAGAAACAGTACACCAATCAAGCTCTATTAATAACTACTCCCAATCCACAGAGTATTTTCCAGGTACACTGCTTGGTAGTCAAATACACTACATATAAGTCATGGGAAACTAGTGAATAACTTCAGAAGTCGTTATGGTATTATCATCACATTGGACGTATAGGAGGCTTTCACACCGAAAAAAGAGACAAATTTTTGAAGGGAAGACAAAGGGGATGAGTATAAAAAGGAGCTCATTTCGGGCCTAATTAGGTATTATAAGAATTTATATTCGGTCGTTTTTGGTTGTTTCTATTACCAGGTATTAAGGCAATTACTGGATTGATCTATATTGTTGTGTGTGTCAATTGGGAGAAGCAAAAATAGACGTTCTCAAAGACACTTGAACGAACAAACTAGGTTATCTAGACGTTGAGTAAAAAGCGAATATAGTTGCTGCAACTAGTTACTAGAGAGAAGGTTATTGATAGCAGATATAAGTCAGATATGAATATTGTCAGATTGCAAAGAAAGTTCCCTGATTTGACTCAGGAAGATATGTTTGCCACCATCGAGAAGTTCAGGGCTATTGATCTGGATGACAAGGGGTGGGTGGAGAAACAACAAGTGCTAGAGGCAGTTGCAAAGGATGGTGAGGCTACCTATGACGAAGCTAGAGAAACTTTGAAGCATGTGAATGTTGACGCTTCAGGGCACGTTGAATTGGAGGACTATGTTGAACTGATTGCCAAGCTAAAGGAATCGAAAACAGCTGCTCCTCCACAAACCAGCTTCAACGTAGATACGGTAGAAACTTCTGCACCAACTGCTGGCTTAGGTAATAGTGGACTACAACATAAGGGATCTGCAGCCCACGGCAGGATCATTGTTGGTGGTTCTACTACTGGTACCACCCATACCATTAATGAAGAAGAAAGGCGTGAATTTACAAAGCATATCAATAGTGTCCTTGCTGGTGACGCTGATATTGGCCACTTATTGCCCTTCCCAACCGATACATTCCAATTATTTGATGAATGTAGAGATGGTCTAGTACTATCCAAGTTGATTAATGATTCTGTTCCAGATACTATCGATACCAGAGTCTTAAATTGGCCAAAAGCAGGAAAAAAACTAAACAATTTCCAAGCCAGTGAAAATGCAAATATCGTCATCAATTCCGCTAAAGCTATCGGCTGCGTTGTTGTTAATGTTCATTCAGAGGATATTATCGATGGTAAGGAGCATTTGATTCTAGGCCTTATCTGGCAAATTATAAGAAGAGGTTTGTTAAGTAAAATTGACATCAAACTTCACCCAGAACTATATAGACTACTGGAAGAAGATGAGACTTTGGAACAATTCCTAAGATTACCTCCAGAGCAAATTCTATTACGTTGGTTCAACTACCATTTGAAACAGGCTAATTGGGAAAGAAGGGTATCCAACTTTTCGCAAGATGTTTCTGATGGTCAAAACTATACCGTCTTATTGAACCAATTGGCCCCAGAGTTATGCTCAAGAGCTCCTTTGCAAACTAACGATCTGCTACAGAGAGCTGAACAAGTTTTAGATAACGCCGATAAGCTAGGCTGTAGAAAGTATTTGACACCAAGTTCATTGGTTGCCGGTAACCCTAAGCTAAATCTGGCCTTTGTTGCACATTTGTTTAACACTCATCCAGGGTTAGATCCTATTGAAGAAACTGAGGCTCCAGAAATTGAGGATTTTGATGCTGAAGGAGAAAGAGAGGCCAGAGTATTCACTCTTTGGTTGAACTCCTTAGATGTTGATCCACCAGTTGTTTCATTATTTGAAGATTTGAAAGATGGTCTGGTCCTATTACAGGCCTATGATATGGTTATGCCTGGATCCGTCGATAAAAAGCACATAAACCAAAGACCTGCGAATGGCAGCGAGCTATCAAGATTCAAGGCACTAGAAAACACAAACTATGCAGTTGAATTAGGGAAAGCTAAAGGATTTTCACTGGTTGGTATTGAGGGTGCTGACATTGTCGATGGTTCTAAACTATTAACTTTAGGTTTGGTCTGGCAATTAATGCGTAGAAATATTGTCAACACTATGCAAACATTATCATCAAGCGGTAAAGATATTAGTGACAGTGAAATACTAAAATGGGCCAAGGAACAAGTGGCCAAAGGTGGTAAGTCTTCTGATGTTAGATCTTTCAAAGACGATTCCCTATCAAATGCTCACTTCCTATTGGATGTATTAAATGGTATTGCACCAGGTTATGTGAACTACGATCTTGTTGCACCTGGAAATAGTGATGAGGAGAAGTATGCAAATGCCAGACTTGCCATTTCTATTGCTAGAAAATTGGGTGCTCTAATCTGGCTGGTACCTGAAGATATAAACGAAGTTCGTTCAAGATTGATCCTGACTTTCATTGCCTCTCTAATGGCATTGAAAAGATAATCAATAGGTAAAACTTCTAATAAGTTTTTAATGTAATAATACTTCCAAATCCTGTGTGATTCAACATGTATATGTAGTCATATATGCTTAATTAAATATTTTGTATTCAAATATTGAGACGAAAATCAAGTTTGCAATACTGGAACCGTAGCTTCAATAAAGTCGTACATCCCAACTATTGAATAAGATCCCCTAGGTTTGTTTTTGTGATTGCTAAAACCAACATATAGCAATTGATCAAAATTAACCTACATCGAACATATTTGGACAGTTACACCCACAACCTGTTGGACATTCCTTAGACACGTTCCACCATTCTTTTGAACATTTCAAATGCAAAACATGTTGACAGTTACCACACACAAATATGCTGTATTGCGCTTTTAGATGACAGTACGTACATCTATTTAGCCCTTCCCTACCACAATCATTTCTTACCCACTCTATACCAACTTCCTCAGTATAATTTGTTAGATAACGATCTTCTTCCTTTTTAATTGTACTGGCTTTCAAAACCTTAACTCTCTCAATAGGCAAATTCCACTGGTACAAAAGAGAAGAATACTGCAAAACATAATGCTTCAATTTTCTCTCCTCAGCCTCATCGAAGAAATTATAGAGAGGATCATTAACTGCCTCTAAAACATCATCATCAATAAGCTGAATTGTAATTTCTGGTAAAAACGTTGTTATTGCGCTGCTATCTACTCCATTATTATTGAGCTGTCGATTAGATAATGGCGAATTTGTGTCCGGCAGCCTATTTCTGTTCCAATTATGATTATGAATAAAATAGTCACCTGAACTAATAGAAGAAACATCAGGAGAATGTAGTTTTTTAATTGGCATTCTATCATTTGAATTCCTTGTAAAACCAGAGCTACTAATCGACCTTGATGTATTGCCATTCATTTTATCTCCATTTCTAACTGCTTCATATGATATTACACCTAAGGCATTTCCAGCATCCTCTATTCGCTCTTCTTGACTTCTTTTTCTCATTCGTTGCATTCTTTTGTTACAAATAATACAATATATCATTGCCAACATTTGCACATTTTTACATTTCTCAAAATATGATACTGCTTCCTTTACAAACCATTTAATTGTCATGGGATCATTATCCCAAATAAATGTGTAAGGATCATCAGTCTCTTGAGATAAAAGAAAATCAGACAATATTTGCCAACAATGAGTGATGTCTTCGAAACCATATTTTTCAGCAATTAATGCGTTTTGTCTTGCTAGTTCTTCAGGTAGGGCATCCATCACCCTATATTCTAGCGCAAGCTCTCTTTTATCTGGAATCAAGTAATTGAAATCAACAAGTGATATAAGATTCTTATTCACTTTTATGGATTCTGCTGTTTTAGCCGATTCCGAATGCAATGAATTAAATGCTTTAGGAAAGGAGGTTTGTAAAACAGGAAATTTATTTCTGACAACAATATCATTCCTTAAGATGTCATCCCAATCATCTTCAAAACTATCATAAGAATCATCTGAATTATTTTGTGAATCTACATCTAATTTCAAGCTACTATCATCTTTGGCAGATTCTGTATCTTGGGTGGATTGTTTCAGCAATCTCAATCCTTTGGGAGGTGCCTTATTTAGGGAATAATCCGAAACCTTATGATGCCTAATTATATCTCTCTGCATATATTTCATCAAGTTTTGCTGCTTCTTTTCTGGTGTTCCTTCAGAAGCGAAAAAACATAGTAGTTGTCCAGAAGATGTCCATACTGCTCCACATTGATTAGGTACAGGTGTACTGTCAAATTTAACATTATGTTGGAAGACTTTCTTTGGACCAGCCAAAGGGTCTAGATCATCAGAATAATCCGCAATATCAGACTCCGAGGAGCTCTCATCCAAGTAGTTTGAGTCGATATCAGTTGACTTCTCATTCTCAAATCCATCAAAATCAAGATGGTCTGCTATTTCGAAATTAAGTAGCGGTTCTTCATCTTGCTCTATCTCTTGAAGATTCACATCTTCACCTAACACATAACGAAAACAAGGTTCCAAACAGTATATGCTTTTGTCGGTGTATATTTTGGCTATATTAGACAGTCCATCTAATAGTTTTGATTTCATTGTGGGCTTTAGTTTAGGATTTTCTTCGACAGTGAAGGTGGGCGAGTTTCCGGCATCGGGATATCCCAGTGGAAAATTTACTGTTATCCTTAGAAATATGTATTCCTCTGGGTCATCCTCTGACCATGGCCCACTCATAGTCACAGTAATCTCTCTCTCAGAAACCAATATCCTTTCGAAGACAATCTTTGGGAATTTATGTCCTATCGCACTAACTTCTTCACCAAGACTCTGTAATTTATGTGCAACAAATAGGTCCTCAGATGGCCCATTTTGATTCAACCTAATACCAGACAACCAAGTTAGATGACTAAAGTTATTATCTTTACGAAGTCCTGACTTTGAGACAAAGTTCTCTTTTATCCTATCATAATAACCCTTACCGGTTTCATGTGCAGGCGAGATGACCTTGTTATAGCTTTGATATTTGTATTCGTTAATGACAGTGTTTCTGTTCAATTTACGATCGTAACCTAATTTTTCATATACAGTGTCATTAACTGTCCATAGGCGCAGATCACGATCGATTGACCAAGTAACTAGTTGATATTCCATACCATTATCTTCTGTATATCGTGACCGCCATAAAAAATCAGTCACTCTATCCGTATGACCTTTAAATGTATAAATAGGCTGCAATTTTGACTTATGAGAGTCTTCTGATTCTTCTGTATCTAAATTCATCATATAAACGGTATTATTACCACCAACCATAGGCATTACACAAAAACCACGTCCAAATGGCAGATACCTGCTTCTCCAAACTGGAAAGTCAGTGTTAATGACTCGTTGGCATTCACTTCCCTCAGATTTAGAATAATCCCAAATTCTTACTTCACCATTATTTCCACTGGTCATTATTTCAGTTTCATTAAATCTATTGAAATCAATATTATTGATGCTACTACTAGCATCTAGCTTTTTAAGCGGTATACATCCTTTCCTTATATCCCATATAAATAATTCATTACCATGAGACGAGGCTAATATATTTGAGTTCATATGATTCCATTTGACTTGCGATGCTCCAGATCTCCATGCACTGGTGGTGTAAAACGGGCGCGATGTGCTTCTTAGATCCCATGCGTGGACATATGTATCAATTGAGCAAGTTGCCAATATATCGGGATGCTGGAAATTGAAATTTATATCCGTTATTGCTCTTGAATGACTGTGCAGTACATGCTCAATAGCGTCAGTTGACGGCCTTGCCAAGTTCCATATCAATGCCTTCTGATTAGAAGTAGAAACAACCCAGAACGGTTTAGCGGGATGAGGTGACCACTGCACATCTGCCACTTGCCATGGAGTTACATGTTGTAATAACCTCGGTGGTGAAAAGGGATCATCTAAATCGATTATAAATAGACCTTTCCTCCCGGCAAGAACCACATCCCTACCAGATGGGTTAATTGAGACAGCGTTAAATCCACCATCAACTCGTAAAGACAGTGATTTACCAAAGGTAGAAGAATCATGGAGGTCTTCTCCACTTAGTACTACCATCTAGTTTTAAAATACTTGTGCGTGCGGTCGATATTTCTGCTTCTTTAATGGGGACTTTTGTTGCTCCAAGTTTGTATTGAGTACTATGCTTCACAATTGTGAACACGAGTACTATACTCGTAAGTATCCAAATGCGTTAATTATATGCTATACTATCGGCAAATCTGCTCTCACTTAGGCAAAACACACCTCTTTGCTGAATTCTGAACTTATAACAGGTATTTGCTCTTTATTTCTCGATTCTTTAAGCGAAAGCGATGAGATGACATTCCCTGCCTTAGCAAATAATTGAATCATGATAATCGAGAAGTTGATTAGATGCATAAATAGTAGATACCTGTAAATAACTATATAAATGGGAAGAACTACCCGATGAACTCTCTCAGATTATTAATGAAGTTGCCCTTATCGTAAATATTCGTGATTTCCGCTGGTGACTTCACTGTAAAGTAATCGACAATTGTATACTGAGTGCCATCATAAGAATCCGTACTGTAAAACTCATAATTATTTCCACCATTTTGGTATTTAATGAAGTATTTTCCTTCTGGGTCCCTCACTAAGTCTCCGGTATTTATATAATCATGGACCATCTGCCACTTATCCTTTTCATTGGTAGTCATGCCACTATTCACTAATTCAAACACGAAATAACAGTATACAGCCAGTATTACAGTAAATGAGCCACATAAAATTGATAATATCAGCAAAGATTTCTCCCCAGTGGGTGTTGTGTTGTAAGCAGACTTGTTAAATTGAATAAATATGAGTCTAATGAAACTGTAACTCAAAAGCAAAAGATTTGAACACAGGAATGAGTAAAAGTACATGTAGTTCCCCATACCAACACAATTATTAATCCATACACAATGATGATCTGCCAGGTATATGCAACTATTACATACTGTACAATGTTTTGACCTGGCAGGTTTCACCTGTTTGCAAGTTCGGCATTCATGTTGTGGGAAGTATAATAAGTTATCGTATGGATATCTTTTCTCACTTCCAATTTGATGGGCATTCGATGAATCTGGCTTTATTATCATTGACATGGATCCAAAAAAGAGCGGTAAAATCAGCATTAATGGTATTACCACATATGTTTCAATTGATGTCAGCATTGGACTAATAATTGCGAATGTTCTTGAGTAAAAAATGTACACCATATAACTGTAAACAGACAGGTAAAAGACAGGAACAACATAAAACTTGATTCGATACCTGCTATTGTCCAGTATCATGGGCTTGTACACTTCATCATAGTACCATCTGAATATAAACTTGTCTCTAAACTGGGGAGACAAAAGAAGCAACACCACCTGGGAAACCACCAAGATAAATACTAGAAATAACAACATCTCTTAAATTGGCCATATATTGGCATTGTGCTGTTTAGTACTTACAATTGTGAATGGCTTGATGTAGTCATCGATCGATCTTTTAAGACAAATTACTTTGCAAAAAGCCTTTAAATTGACTTCTACATCGAAATTCAAATAGACGTGAGACAACAAAAACATCTCAATAATATTTATTAGTCCATAAAAGAGACTAGACACCAAGATTAATGTACAATGGTTAGAAATAGTTCGCAGGTCAGGCACTTCAGTAGCTATTTGAGACTGTGCCAGCAACAAAAGAACCTTGAAACCAGGGTGATTTCCAGAATACTTAAACCTGCCAATAGCACTGATAACAATGAAGCAAGATCGGGATGGAAGCTTTGGGCAGGTCATTTGTTCAAGACCAAGAAGGAGACTTTTGACAAGCTAAAGATGCTACAGAGTCGCATCATGGGCGATATTGAAATTGCAGGACATAGCAGCAACAAAATTCTCTTCGATGAGATCAATCAGTGGCATTTCCACAACAATTTAGCAAAAAAGGTCAGGACACCAACAGTGCTTATACATGGTTATGCTGCAACTTCAACAGCCTTCTTTAGAAGCATACCATACTTGAACAGAGACATCAAGGACTTGTATACCATTGATCTACCAGGGAATGGTTTGTCATTTACACCTTCTCTTGATTTAGAAGTTAGTAAACCATTACCATTAAAGATAGAAAATATTGATGATGGCAACGAGTTTCAGCTGCCTTATGTTATTGATTCTGCTCATCACCGGTACGTATTACAGAAATTGCTTGACTATTATGTCGACCGAATCGAGCAATGGAGGCTTGATAATAAGCTAGGCAAGATTAACGTGGTTGCTCATTCTTATGGCGGTTATTTATCTTTCAATTATGCACTAAAATACCCTGCTAATATCAACACCTTAGGATTGATCTCTCCTCTTGGTGTTGAGAGAAATATTTATTCAATTAACAATGAGTTCCATAGCAGAACAATTTACAAAAGGGAATGGAACGATTGTAACTCTATGTTTTATGATAGAAAATTCAAGCTCAACGACTATCTTTTCCAGAAACAACTGAAACCACTAAGGTGGTTAGGCCCTATAGGTGCAAAGCTATGTTGGAACTACATCCGGTCTGCATACGCCAGAGTACCTTCAATTGATTACAAAGACTACACCTTCGAGACATTCTATGGAAGGGGAGGCTTACCAGAACAGACTTCCCAAATTTTTACTTCATTATTGACAAGTTCCTTACTAGCAAGGGATCCATTGCTTGACCATGTATCGCAACTACAAGTCCCGAAATTAATCATGATGTATGGCCAGTACGACTGGATGAATAAAAACGGTGGAAAGCTCATGACCCAGATATTCAACGGTGAAACAAAATATATAGATATACCAAACGCCGGCCACAACTTATTCCTGGATAACCCATCCGACTTTGCTTCTCAGTTGACAACATTCTTGGCTGACTAACAGTCATCCAAAGGTGACTCTCATTAACATGCAGAAAATTACAACAATTGTCTAATCCCAATTTCTCAACAATTGCAAAAGAATGACCCATGGAGCATTGTCATATTCTGTTCCTGAGGAAAAGAGTTCGATTACTTTGACTTGGATTCTTTACAGCAACGGACTACTAAATATGCTAACTTTTCACATGTGATCGTGCATTTGCGATGAGCCTAAGCTATCGCCCGTCTGAAAAAAAAGTTGCAAAAAAAAAAAAAATTGGAAATGCTGCTAACAAACAAAGGGAGAAATTACACTCACATGTGAATTTATATGGTTGATCGCAAGACTTGAATGGTTGAATGATACAGGATTGAACAATTAAGATATCGATATCCGTATATATAACTAACAATACATCAGATAACAAGTTATCGGTGCTGTTAGCGAAGGGAACAGGAGGGTTGTCGGTGCGTCAAGCAGCCATAATTACGTATATTTCGCTAATAAAGTTAGGGATCAGGTCGATAGGCAATTGGTACATTGTTAGCTTATTAGTTAAAACCTTATTCATTGGCTACCAAAACTATCAATTGTGACCGACAAGTACTACCAACTAGAACAGAACAGAGAACTAGTGAGAATAGTTTTCTAGTTCAAGAACGGCAGAATTTAAATGACTAATTAAGTCCCTTTGTGAGTGCTTAATTTAATACACGAACCAAATGATGCAGGATCATCAGAAATCTGGAGTTTCTTCTAGTCAGGATCTATTTGATCTTTTCGAACAGGGTAATGATATTGACTTTGAGACAGCATATCAGATGTTAAGCGGTACATTAGAAGAATCAGAACCATTACAATTTATGCACAAGGGTCCAAGACAGCAAGAAGTAAGTACTCCTATTGCAAATATCTTACCTCCTTTAGATCCTATTAAACCTGCAACACCTAATGTTATGAGTAACACAACACCTTATGAATACGCCAATACAAACCTAATCAAAACACCTCACGATAATAATATTCTTTTTTCACCGGATAATCATACAAAGTCAATGTTCAGCTTGGATGGACATACTACGAACCATGGGATAAGTAACAATCAAAAGTCCTATTATAATTTCGATGGCATTAGGAGTAAACATACTGGATTTGAGGGTAGTGTTTTACCTCATTTTTACGAATCGAAATTGACCAGCCCACAAAGACTTCTAACCGAAAGTCCACATCTTCCTACGATCAGCCAAAACTTTCTAACAAGATCACCAATATTTACTTCTCAGCCTTTCGAAAATCATCAAAATATTGGAATACCACCAATGATCCAGGAAAAGCTACATAACAATTTCGGTTTTCCTCAGAAAGGATTAGATGATCACTTTAAAAGTCCAGAATTACTAAGTTCATATGAATCACATGCGATAGAGAACTTCTTAGATAACCTGGTCGCATCTGATCCTTTCCACAATGATAAAAATGATATAGATTTCAAAATTGGAAATGACAAAGCAGCTGTGCATGAGGATATGAATAACAAGGGCAACATTCTCAGCGCTGAAATTATAAATAATAACAAATGCAATTCTTCTATTGATGTGACACAAAATAGAATTAATTCAACCCTGCATAAAAATTCAAACTCATCTGACATTGTCCATAATAGAGAAGACTATAAAAATACGGATCTTACAACAAACCATAAAATAAAAAAAATACCAGTACCGAAGGATTATCCTACAAAAAATATTGAGCTCCCAGGTATTGTAATATCAGATGATGATATACCCGCTGATATTAGACACGATATGGCAAAAGTACGAAAATGGAAGCATGTTAGATTGGAAAAACTCAGAAGAACCCATTCAAAAAATGCTTTTGATGATCTAATCAAATTAATAGAAACCCCACATCCAAATTTGGATAAAAGAATACCAAAGTATAAACTCTTAGGCCTAGTAATGAATGATATCAAAGGGTTATTAGAGGCCAATGAAAAGCTCGAAAAATTATTAAACTCCTAAGCTACTCTACTGACTGTATGTTAGGCTGCAATACTGGTTTAAATACATTCCGTACAAATACACTTTATACTCTACATAGTGACGCTCAACGAGTTCTTTATTATGAAAGGGATAATAATAAACATACATAACAATCTAACATACCTAATTACTTGACGATTTCCTTTCCTGACCAGCAGAAAAGTAATTTAACGCCGAACTCATTTGTAATGTACTCAAATGAATCATTAGTTATCATTAGAAAAGTACATATCAGAGTTTCAAATCATGTAAAATTCTAGTAGCCAGTTCCTTATACATCCATGTATTACCTGAGAGTTTTTTAAAATGTATACCAGCCAAGCCCACAATTCTGACACGCACAATATGAATTTCAAATTTAATAGGCGCCCTATCCATAACCTTCGCCCTCGGACCCTGAATATTATCTAAATAATCACCTTTTCCTCCAACTGATAAATTATCATTTTCAAAGTCATTCAAAGAAGAGTTTGAATGTCCCTCAGTCAAATGAGGATTAGAACTCTTATCCAAGTCAGAAAATACTAACCGAGCGTCATTCATACTTTTAGGTGACTGTTGAGAAGACCAGTCAGGTGTATCATCATTATCATATCCGCTGTAAACATCAACCTTTTCAGGAGCTGTTTTGGTATTCAAAATGGTAACTGTAGGGGATTTAGAACATACAAAACCGCCCTTAACTTCAACGAATTCTATGTTGTGTTTTTTAAGTACTGAAATAATCTTATAACGTACAATTGGGAGTGGTTTAGAGGAAGTAGTTTGGACAGAAAAGAATCCTTTCAAAAATAAGGTACGTGGATAATCAATAGATGGCATGCTCCCCGGTGGAGCCTTTGATGCCTCCTTTAAAATCTCATCATCTGTTAGATCTTCAACGATTGTATTAGATAAAGCTTCTCCAAATGCTTTATCTTTAACCAATTTTTCTTCATCTGGCGTTTGCAGAAATCCTGTATCAACCACTTCTTCTATATCAGCCATATTTGGTGGAACCACAGCGGGCCTTGTGAAATTTAGAGATTCTCTTCTAGCATGACCAACAGATTTAGCTCTTGCAGTTGGATGCAGTTTTTTCCCCTTGGCGTGTGGCACTGGTTGTAAGGTTTCATTTTCGTCGCTCTTATTCTTTGAGCTATTCCTAGTCTTTTCTATAATCAATTTTGCATCTGTAGGTAGATCTGGTAAGTTTTGACTGACAATTTCCACTGGCTTTTGAAGTTCATTTGGAGCAACTGACATATAATCTGATACAGCTCTAGTGTGTGTGCGAATATTATTGTTCTTGCTGGCAATGCTATTATTAATATTAGATGGACGTTGGTGCCGTTGGGAAAATCTCCTGAATATGTTTGTAAATCCTGATTTTTCTGTGTTTTCTACCGAAGGTTTTGGACTAATACCTGCATTTTTTCCAACTTGCGCTGATTGATCTGCTCTGTTTGTTAAAGCCTTAATACTTGACCTAGGAGCCTTTGAGCCACTTTGACCTGCAATGGGAGACTGTTCTTTATCATTTGATATCTGAGGAGATATGTCTTCTGGTGTAACGTTGCCCTGTTCCTCTAAAAGTTCCGAAGGGCTAGGCTCTTTCTGAATGCTTTCCATCTTCTTGGGAGTAAATTTATATTCTTTGTTTAACCCAACATCAGAATTTGTTATCTCAGAACTCTTGGTAGATAGCCAATCTTTATTCTCTTTCTTTGCATCACGTTGCATCTTCTCGAAGGTTAAGTAATATAAGGAAATCAATGGATGATATGCCTGTGTAGGGTCTTTGAAGTCATCTGTAAAAAACTTTGAATCTTCAGAGAAAGATGACTTGTCTGCCAATTCCCAATATTGATCAGCCAATTGTTTGTATTCGGGCTCGGTTATTATATCAATAATAGTTTTGTATGCTGCGTCAATACTCTCAACAAATTCAAATCTGTACATTTCCTTAATTACATCAATGTTAATATCATCCACTGTTAAAGGAACCCTTCTTGGTAGGTAAGACTGTGGTGGGAAATCATATCCTTTCAACATCCACTGGTGATTTACAACCTGTTGCAAAGTAGCCCTCTTCTGTGGATCAACCACCAATATTTTTGAAAGTAATGAGATTACATCAATTGATAGAAACTGAGGATATGTGACTTTCCCCTTTTTGATCTTTTCATGAAGTGCACTTGAATTTTCGTCATCGAATGGAACTTTCCCGCATACTAAGACATATAATACTACCCCAAAAGACCAAACATCAACCTCTGGTCCCAAATAGGGATGTGCTTTCAATAACTCGGGAGCTGCAAAATAAAGTGAGCCACAGAATGTCTGCAGACTTTTCCTAGGATCATACATATTAGAGAGCCCAAAGTCAATCAATTTAATTTCACCCGTCTTGGAGAGCATGATATTTTCTATCTTCAAGTCCCGATGCACAATGTTATTAGCATGCAAGTACTGAAGAGCGCTTAATATTCCTCTAGAAACTTTCCTGGCATGATTCTCCTTCAAGGAGCCATGCTGAATAATATAATCCAGTAGTTGTCCTCCAGATATGAATTCAAAAAACATATAGTAATGATTAGATAGCGTTTGCATTTCGTATAGCTTACAAACATTGGGATGAAACAGTATTTGACCCAATGAAGCTTCTCTAACGGTCCTCTTATCCCTGGATATCTCTTTATTCAGCCGCTTCTGCCTTTCCTTTGCCTCATTCTCATCTGCTGGTGGTGGTAACTGCTGCGCCTTGTGCATATACGCTTTTGTAGCGCGGTGAACTATCTTTATAGCACAAACCTCGTTGCTGTTCTTATTCTTAGCCAGCTTCACTTTACCCATAGAGCCAGCCCCTACAGTCTCCATGAAGTCCCAACCACTCAGCGACTTCCTGTGGAACACCCTGGGCTGCGAGCTCTTGGAATGCTTCTCCCGGGCAGTGTCGATCTGCGCTCCAGTCTGCTCCGTATTGGTGCTGAACATCCTGGGCGTCGTGGACACAGAGTCCCGCCTCCTGCCACTCTTGCCTTCATTGTTTCTAGTATCTGAATCCATTAAAACAGCTCCATACATCCTTTCAAAAGAAATTGTGAGCTAGCCATAAGGTTTTTCCCTGGTTCAGCTTCACTGCGGTCTTTATTGCTGCCAACTGTTCTGGCAAACGTTCGCTATATAGAGATCAGGATTCGAAGATATATATACTGTGGATTTCGAAAGTCGATGTAATGCTAATAACTTGTTACACACTAATAGGACCCTTAAATTTAGCTGCAAGCAATAATCATCAACAGCGAACACCCCCCCTTCCAATGAGCAATTCCCAATGGGATTCAGAAAGGAAAAGTGAAGCGTTGAAAAGGGAATGCGGGGGTGAAAGAGCCAGACTGACTTCTGAATATTTGTTTCATGAACTTCTTGCGAGGACAAACCCATCTGTGGACATTATCCAAGCCCTCTCTGCTCTAGAGACTAGCATTCTTGCTTCTTATATATAGAATTTTGAGGACATTGTTAGACATGTGACTTATAACGCTATGTCAGTATAACGCCATATTATTAAAATAACGCCATACTTGCGATGGAAGGTGTGTAGTGGCCTTTATAAGTGTTTACAGATTAGTTCTATAGCTATTATACAGTTATTTCCTTGTTCCTTAAAGGAGATAGGCTTATTTTGCACTAGGGTTCTACTTTCAGCTTCTTTTCAGGCTCGTCTCTTATTTCTTCATCGTCCGTCTCGTTGTCGTGGTCGTATGTGCCCAGCTCGTTGGGCTCCTCCTCGGCTTCTCCGTTCAGTATCTGTAGCTGTGCTTTCAGTTGTTTCTTCCACTCTAGCGCCTCCTGGTAGTCATCTAGTCTGTTGGCGACGAGCGGTTTCAAGCCCGGGTGGCCCATGTGCTCCAGAGCATTGAGTATATCGTCGACGTTGCAACTGCGGCGGTCTTGCTCCTTGGCTAGTTCTCTGGCGTACATCAGCAGGTGGTTCACAAACACTGTGGCGCTGTGTTGCAGCGCCATCGACGCATCCTTGGTGACAACCAGCTTCTTGGCGGGCGTCTTCTCCACAGGCTCACCTTTCTCTGCCGCCTGCACCTGCACCTGTTGCTGCTGCATCTCAGGTACTTCCTTAGCCAGCGCCATGATCACACTCCTGGGGAATAACAGATCCTGCATCGTCACATTCTCTTGCTCCTTCATATAAGAAGTGGTGGGATAGTTACCTTGCGCATCCTTTCTCCAGCCCTTTGGTGGCATCGCTGTATCTCTATAAACTCTGTTCTGGTTCCTTATACCCGTGTAGCCAACTCAAAAAGTATACAATTGACCCCAGTTCTACCTCCCAATCCTTAATAGTTGTTACTACTCTTTTCAATTTCCTAGAAATTTCAAACAACGCGTTACGCAAGAAAGAGAACCAATACAAAATGACTGTTGGACACAACACATATCCAGTTTTGCTGTCTAGTCATTTTTCATTTAGACAATGGATATCGTCTGACTACAAATTAATAGCTACCACTAAATAACTTGTTCTATATATGCGATTCCCATCGAGTTGTCTGGCGCGGCGGGCTTAGATAGTAAGCACCACTGGCAATTCAAGTGTGGTCTCTTGGGGGTTCGAGTAGTTTAAGTACCAGCGCCAATGCAGTGCTGTGCCAATGTAGCTGCGGATACTGCGGATGCTGCCGATGCCAACACACTTAGCCATACAAGTTGTGAGTCCTTGTATAGAAAATTTTTCAATTTTTTGCAAACTTCGAAGGGCATCGGGATTTGAAAAATTGCTGCGATGAGCTCTTTATAAGAGAGTATGCTGGCCAACTGCGAGCGATTCAGACCAGAGCCACCCAAACTGTCGCAACCATGTCTGCTATGTTGAAGGCTGCCTTTTCCAAGGTGCGCAACAACCTTTTCAAAGGTCAATTGCCAGCAGTGGCCGTTGATCCAAGTGATTTCACCATTGTTACCGAGGGTAAAGCCGACATACTGTTCCCTAAGCAAGAGGAAGTGTTCTACAACCCGATCCAGCAGTTCAACAGAGACCTGAGTGTCACTTGCATACAGGCGTGGGATCATCTGTACGGAAGTAAGTTGAAGAGTCACCGCCAGAGGAAGAGGACATCATCGGAACCCGAAGCCAAGAGACGTAAACTGGATCCCAAGGACGAGGAGCACAGATACATCACGATACTGGAAGCCTTGTCCGCCACAGGACTAAGAGCCATCAGGTATGCTAAGGAGATCCCGCATGTCAAAGAGATCATCGCCAATGATCTGCTGCCTGCAGCAGTGAAATCCATTCAAAGGAATATTGATTACAATGGCGTGCAAGATATTGTAACTGCTAACCAAGATGATGCTAATGTCCTGATGTACAGAAACAAGTCTGATAATAAGAAGTACCATGTGATTGATCTTGATCCATATGGTACTGTTACCCCATTTATCGATGCCGCTTTGCAATCAATTGAAGAAGACGGCCTAATGCTAGTGACATGCACTGATCTCTCTGTTCTGGCAGGTAATGGTTACCCAGAGAAGTGCTTTGCTCTTTATGGTGGTGTCAATATGGTTTCCCATGATGCTACACATGAAAGTGCGTTGCGTTTAGTGTTGAACTTACTTAATCAAAGCGCCGCTAAATACAAAAAGCACGTTGAGCCATTGCTTTCCTTGAGTATTGACTTCTACGTTCGTGTTTTTGTTAAAGTGAAGACAAGCCCAATCAAGGTCAAAGAACTGCAGTCTAACACAATGATTACATACCATTGTTCTCAATGCGGTTCTTTTGCAAATCAAAAATTGGGAAGGAAAGTTGATAAACAGAGTAGAAAAAAGAAGCAGCAGACAATTACCAAATTTTCTGTTGCTCAAGGACCACCAATTGACTCCAAGTGTCAATTCTGTGGTGGAACAAGCCTTCTAGCTGGCCCAATGTACGCAGGTCCACTTCATAACCATGAATTTATTGAGGAAGTACTAAAGATTAACGAAAAAAGATTCAAAGAGAAAGATACCGTTTATGGCACAAAGGAGAGAATTAAAGGTATGCTAACGTTGGCCAAGAACGAACTGAATCATGACGGATCACAATTTTATTTCAGTCCGAACACATTATCTTCATTAATTAAGCTACAGGTTCCAGCTTTGAAAACCATTGCTGCTGGGTTAGGTTCCCTTGGATTTGAATGCTCTCTGACTCATGCTCAACCATCTACAATTAAGACTAATGCTCCATGGGATGCAATCTGGTATGTGATGAAAAAATGTCATGAGAACAAAGAGGACTATCAAGGCAGAAACTTAGAAGATATGCCGGAAAAGGGTATTGGATACAGAATTTTGAAATACCTAGAAGATAACAAAGAACATTACGACCAATTATATGGTGAAAAACTTTCATTTGCACCTAATGAAACCAGTGGTAGCATTGAAAAGTTAAGAAAACTAAAAATTGTTAGATACCAGGAAAACCCAACCAAGAACTGGGGACCAAAAGCCCGTCCATCAGGAAAAGAAACATAATTTGCTGCATACGACATACTTGTTATTTCATCTTATAAAAATTAAATTCTCAAAATAAGAAATTATGTTGCTCGGGCCGCAAATGTAACCTTATATATGCATAATACTCTCGGCGAAATATATTAAAAGGGAATTATACGAAATGCATTATCATCTTTTTATGATTAACTCGACTCCAACTAATGAAACAAAAGGCCTAAACATTCTTCATAATAATTGGACGTATATTATCCTCTTTCACCTATCAACAATCGAACAATGTTTTGATTTGAAAACGTTATATGTTGAATATTAATTAAATTTTATTTATTCTAATGCAGTTTAGTTATACTGAAAATATATTAACCTAACCTAAAGAATGTTAAATAGTACATGGGGCTGGGGAGGACGTGAGCATCAACAAAAAACATGTATGCCCTTTGAGATTCAAAAATTTAACCCAGTCTCGTCCTTCTATAGTTGGAATGAATATTGAAACGCTGTTATAATTTATTACTATTCTATTTTGTTTAAATCCTTTAGTTTGGCTTTTTCCAGAAGTAAATACCAAATGGCCAGCCTAAAGTAACTGTTAGAAATGACGCCCAGCCAATAAGTGTAGGTGTTAATCTTTTTATTTCAGCAATAGTCCAAGAAGGACCAATACGGCCTTGAGCTTGTGTCCTTGCAGTAGAAGACAACGATCTTGTCATACTAGAGTTCATGACATATCTCATTCTGTTAATTCCGACTGATCTAAACATTTTTAAGTGGTGATTTAATTGTAATATTATTTGATGGCTTGCAAGTATCTAAATAATATCGAAAAAACCATAAAAGATCGAAGAAGGAAAGTCTTTACAAATTCGAAAACTTAACAGGAAGTGTCTACATTTTCTTCTTTATATATACCTTCGAAACTTGATTTCTGTCAGAGGATGATACCTGTCGCTAGAATAGCAATCAGGAAATACTAAAATGCAATAGGCTGTGCAAATCGAATAGGTGTTTGTCTCAACCCCTTCCTACAGTTATCAATAGTAGTGCATAAGGTGGATTAATAGCAATTCACCCACCCTAGCACTTCTTTTTGTCCTACAGTAGCAATTTCATTATTGCTATTTCGATGAATGGGATTGGTCCATGGCTCTGCCAACAAAGCAAGTCAACTACAAAAGGAGCTCCCCATTATAACCGATACTGCCATTGTATGCACCACTGCTAATGTAGACTAGAGATAATGGGAAGAGAGGTCAAAGGGGAAAGATTGCCCTTCCTATCCTTACCACAGGGTATACTGGCTGCAAAACCAATTGAAGAAGACAAAGGGACAATTACAAGGGAGGGGATTACTCAGAGAGATTGCTTTACGGGGCAACACAAGGGAACAATCCGTGCCCTTACATCTACAATGACAAAGTCTTGTGAGGATCCTTAGGTAAACTTCCATTGTCTTCACAAATTATCGAAGATGGCTAAATGTGCTATAATTTGCTTTGTCTTTGGTACGGAAATAAAGAGGAAGAGAGTGGGGGATTGCGGGGAGAGGCAGCGAGACCTCATTAATATACGTATAGTGCAATAGTGCAACTCGATAACAATGAACCCACAGCAATCTAGTGCACTGCCTCTGTTCAATAGACACTTCTTTTACATTATTCGAATTAAACAATTAATATCAAGGATCGCCTTCTCATTGGTCAAAAATTCCTTTGTTCGTTGGTTGGTGACATTTCTCGAGAAATATGTCTCAGCAATATTACAGAGCATATTGACATTTTACCATTAATGATAGCAACAGATAAAAATGGTACCAACACAATACTAATTTGTTTTTAAGTAAAACGGTACTTATATTTCGTTATTAATTCTTGCTATTTAGTGCTACATCGAGATCTTATGTCCCTACCGAATCAACCGAAAGAAAAATATCGGTTTGATTTTTACCATAGCCTAATCATTACTATCATTGTGTTTGCCAAAAGCAACTACAATTAAGTGAAATCAGATATCTCTGATTCTTCATATAATAAATGCTAAGCGGTTCTTAATTTCAATGATATTTTAGGCGGATGAAGCTTTACCTGAATTATGTTCTCAATATCAACATCCAGTGCTGTTCCAAACACTGCATATATCTCTATTTTATTATCATTTTCTTGAACCAATGAATTTCCTCCCGCAAGAATGTCTTGCATGTATGTATCATCTTTATTTACCTTTTCGGTGCCCACTAACGTACATGATATGATATTATCTAATGTTATTTCGTAACCAAACGGGTTCTGGATACTATTATATTTTTCCGACAACAAAACAGTACCTGTAACGGCGTCTACCAATAATATTTCCAGAATATAATCTTTAGACATTAGCACCTGCACATAATTACAAACATCGTTGCATATTTTTTCACAAGCTAGTAATTTTACAGCCTTTTTGGGTTCGAACAACTTGGTTTCAAATTCCGACAAACATGTTTTCAAGCTACTTTTTGAAAACTTCTGAAATAAATTGATTATTTTCTCATTTTCATCTTTAAGTTTGTTTAAATGTGTTCTTAATGAATAATCAATTTCAATTACTGTAGCCTCAAAATATTTTATTATATTTAGAATTCTCTTATTATTGCCATATTCTGCCTTAAAAAATACACTTTTGTACTCATTGTTAATGCTTTCATATACTTTATCTGTAAGCCAAGGAAGAAAATCCTGTTTAAAATATGTCTCATCTTCATTTAATTCTGCTAAGAGTTTTAGTACCAAATTCAAGAAAGACTGCAATTCACTAATATCCAATAAAGAAGTTTCCTGGCTTTCTTGCAAATCGATACCTTTTATCATTCCATTGATTCTGTTAGTCAACACCATCAGTCTTTCACATATTGGAACAAAAACAATAATCAAAACTTGCTTAAAATTGGAGTAAAATTCGTTTCCTAATCGAGACCACTTTTTTAGGTTTTTTTCATTAATAGTTTCTTTGAACCAATTGCCAAGTTTTGTATCTAACTCACCGATCAAGAATAATCTTTCTAGTACATCCAAGTCATTTATGCCACCAATACTTTCCAGAAATTCATAATATGGAGCTAGCACCGATTTTTCTATCAAGTTGAAATGATCTTTAATAAGATCGAAATGATTAGTCATTTTAATTTGTGTTTCTATCAAATCCAATTTATCATCATTCAGTAAAATACCTGTTAAGTCAATTTGTAATCTAGAATAATCATCAAAATGTATCTCATAGATTGCTTCACAAAATTCCTTCTTATTAAGACTGATAGGTATTTTTTTTTGTATTTGGTTAATATCACTAACTGATTTTTCTATCAGGTATTCACCGTTAATCAATATTGTTACCTGCGCGCTAGAACAACTGTATCCTAGATGAACATCTACTACCTTCTTCTCATTGTTACCAATTGATCTCCATAGTTTTGTGATGCTTCTATTAGGTATAATATCAATCTGCTTTGCGTCCTGCACAAATTTGACTAGTGTCGGCATGCTTTCTGTAAGATCGTTATTGGGTATTCTCAATTCAGAGGATCCTGACTTCGGTATAATAATTCTATCCCACAAACAACAGTCTAAACTGGGCTTATTGGATCCCAAGACCACGGGAAGGACTCTAAGAAAAGAGATAAGCTTACCACCATTGAATATGTCATATATCCTGACACTACCATCCTTAAGAAACAGCGCTAAATATTTACCATCAATAGGATCCCAAAAATAATCCAATAAAAGAACAATATTCCGAACATTTATCTTCACAATTCCAACATTATCACTTGTTCTCCTAATCACCAGAGAATGGTTATCCTCATTCATTCCAAATAGACCATATTTAGGGTTGTACTTTAAAAAACGATCCAAAACTATATCTTCACCCATGGTCACCTCAGCCTCATACAAAACACAGACCAGGCAACCTTATACCAGCTGTTCAGAAGTATATCGGTGTCAATTTACTCAGGCAACTAATACCTACGTGCTGAAAATATACCATTGTCTGTGCTACTTTAACTTAGATCATCGCTGCTAAGCTTTTGATTTTTATTTTTCACTACTTTAGCTCATCGAGGAATTTTTTGCAGATGTATTATAAGACATTATAGATGTTTAAGTTATCAGTTTATCAGTATAAGGTGGCGACTTTGAGTTCTATTTAGCATATAATCCCTATAAAAACCAAAAGACACAGGAAATGTTCAAAAAAGAACCGCATATCAAGGCGCTGAGCAATCTGAAGAACTCCGAAAGGAAGAAGTTACAAGAAAAGTGTAGAATACAAACAAGCAACGAGGAATACAGCTTTGGTTCAAATACTATAAAGCAAACCAACTTTAAAGGGATCACCACTATAGGTACCATTTATACAGACGAGGGCAATGCACCAATTTGGTTCAAGGAGAAGCATGATGAGAAGCTGTACCCGACAGTTTTGGCTTGTTGGAGATGTCCTAATTTGATTCCAGTAGTTTTAACTCATTCAATTGTTTTAGAAGATCACATATTTAATGGGGCAAACTTGATGATTTCTGGTACTATACCACCATTTGACGAGAGGCTAACTGTAGGCACTGTATGTGGCATTGCTGACAAAAGGACTCCTAATCTAATTGTTGCTGTAGGTATTGTTCAAATGAATTTGCCAAGCTTTACGAGGGTTATAGGTGAGACTGGTGTTGCAGTGCAAATTGTTCATCATTTGGAAGACGAACTCTTTAAGGTTTTCAAAGTAAAAGAGGAGCCCCCCGCAGAGCTCTTACAAACACAAAGCAGTAGCTCCGAAGAATTAGAACTGGAGGCGGATATACATGAAGATGAGACAAAAGTAGAGTCTAACAGTGATACAGAGAAGGAGAAATCAAACCTGGATGATATGGCTGAGGTCCTAGACGAATTAAGGTTAGAGGACATTGATTATTTTATTACTAGAGCACTTTATTATACTATTTCTCAGGATACTAAATTAGAGACTCCTACCTCAGCGTCAAATTTTGTCTCAAATCATATCAACCATAATCTACCCAAAGGAACAAATCTTGCGGAGGTGAACATCAAGAAGAGTTCATGGAAGAAGACCGCAAAATTTCTCAAGCACTTTGAGAAGGAAGGTTTTTTGAAATTGAAAGGTGTTGGTGATGATCTTACGATTGTGGAGGTTAACAAAGATAAAGATGAAATCAAACAATTTCTACCATACCCTGTCATTGGTAATCAAGGTTCAAACACAGGAAGTGAAGGTGGTAATGCCAAGACTACAATCAAAATTGTTACTCTGTACAAACCTATAAACCTTGCCAAAGACTTTATTTCTAGCAATAAGGTCCCATTGAAACAGCTATACATGGAACCAGAAATCAAAGAACTCATCAATAAGTATATCACCATGAAGGATTTAGTAGATAAGAAGGATAAGAAATGTGTACTGGTGGATGATATGTTAATGACAATGATATACAAAAAGAAAGAGGATCAGGCTACGAAAAGTAGAGTAATTCCAAGAGCCAACATATTACAACCAGTTTTGCAAAACAATTTCAACAAGAATTATCACTTATTCAGAATTACTGGCAATGAGCAAACACCGTTAACCAAGACGCCTTTGAAGGGGGAACCACCAAAAATCAATATTGTTACTGAGATGAAAATTGGTCGTAAAGTTATTACAAAAGTGTCTAACTTTGAAGTATTCCAAATCGATCCCGAGGAATTTGCAGCTGATATACGTAAAAAATGTAGCGGTTCCACGACAATTGGTGAGACCACTTCATCGGCAAAGAAAACAGCAGAAGTGCAAGTGCAAGGCCCTCATGGGCAACTTATCATGTCTTACTTGAATGATTTGGGAATACCAAACAAATGGATCGATTTTGAAAACAAGCTGAAGAACAAAAAAAAAAGGAAATAAAATCCTCTGGCATATATCATTATCATATATAACAATTATAGACATTTAACAAACCATTTTTCCTCGATATCTAGTAATGGAATCAACGATAATAGCTATTCAGTATGTCATATTGCCATCAAGTTCCAATAATATGTCCGGGTAAGTATTGTTTTATAACAGTTCAAAAAACCGCTTCGTGAAATCGTAAATTGAGCAGGACGGGCCATGGAGAATAGTAATCACAAGTTTAATTGAAACAATATTTTGGTCTAACGAATATTGGGTCGCAATTCTCTTGGTTTTTGGACCTATTCTCTTGATTCAACTGTCCTTCTAACCAAGACTATACATTCCGTGATAAGGCTGTTTTTCATATTGGCACGAATCCATATTGAGTAGTGAACAATTCATATTTTAGCCAAGAATTTTGATTGCTTTTCGAATACAAAGATGCTACGAATTGGTTCCAAGGTCAGGTATTGTAATGCCAATAGGGTTATTTTTAACTCTGCATTGTTTGGGAGACGTCTTTTGGCAACTGAGGCTGCCCCAATCCCTCAGGCTGCGGCCCCAACATTAACAAAAGAACAAGCCAAAAAGAGAGAAATGAAGAGACTGGCGCTGAAGAAAGCTGAGGCAAAGAAGCCAGCCAATATACACCCATTATATATGCCTATTCCATTAGCATTAAGATATCTAAGATCCGCCGAGGTTGGAAGACCTACCCAACATCAAACAATAACAGTTACTACCCTTGTTGTCGCTGACAAAGGTAATGCTGCATTGGCTGGAAATATATTGTTCCCCCACCCACTGAAACAAATGAAAATTGCAATCTTTAGCTCTAACAAGGAAAAATTAGATGAATTGAAGAGTAAATACTCGAAGCAAGTCAAGATTGCTGGAGGAGAAGATATGATTGCTGACATCAAGAGCGGTAAGATAAAGGTCGACGGCGTGAACAAAGTTTTTGCAACACCAGAAATTTTTCCAACAATTGCTAGTCAGCTGGGTAGAGTATTAGGCCCAAAGGGTTTAATGCCAAACTTAAAGAAGCAACACCAAAATACAGTTGGCGAGGACCTAGATTCTTTGATTGAAGAAAACTTAGGACAAGTTTCATTCAGACAACGTGGTAATTCATTATCTGTTAGTGTTGGTCGTTGCAATTTCAGTGATAGAGATATATTAGAGAATATTATTGCTGTTAGAAACGCTTTCAAGCAGAGTGTTAGTTCTCAAGTAGCCAAAAAGCCAAGTATACTGGGCAAAACAACCATTTCGACCACAGCAGGACCTGGTATCGTGATCGATTTCCAATAAATGTCTTAACGATATTTTGACTCATTCATGTTTTACTACTACTGTTACATCGCAATTTGTAAATAGAAATACGCATGTAAATATGCACTCACATTAACATTCCAAATTCAATACAGATAACCTCATTAATGTTGTAATACTGTTAGTTAGTTTCTGAAATTATATTTACGTAATTATATGGCACACTCAAAATATTTATTTACAGCTTGAATTGAGACACTAGGAATAATAAAACATTGAATTGTCTATGCATCTGTACAAAGAATAAAATATTCTTCTCCAGTTAGTTCTTCATCACTTAATGGGTCAAGTACCATCTACCCTTTTCTTTCCTTCTCTTTATTATCTTTGCAGTCCTTTTGTTGGTCATCCTTGCCAAGAATCCAAACTTCCTTTTCCTTTTCAATGTACTTGGTTGATATGTGTTACCTCTGGATTTCCATCTCCTTTGTAGTGGGAATAATGTTAGAATGGATGAAAAGGAAGTGCCACTACTGATCTCATTTCTAATCAAACTAACAGAGTTTTTTCCAATCATACCATTACCTGGTGTGAGATTCATTGGTCTCAGAACACCAAATGAGGAAGAGAGCATAGATATCGGACGGTTTTGTATGTTTAGTTTGAGAGTCACTGGTGCATTTCTGAAAAGCCCTATGCCAAATTTGAACATCTTTGTTCTAATCAAAATTTCGATAGTAGCAAACTAACGCTAAGTAATTTATAACAAAAACCGACCTGTTTACTATGTATAATAGCATTCAAGAGCTAAAGTATGTTCGAAATATCGTTGTCATAGTCATTTTGTATGCGTCTTGAACTGAGAACCCGGCCACTTCAAAGGCTTGAACACCCTGCACGTTCGTCATATATGATGAATATAAATGTCATAAATATAGCAATGCTTTTGAAGTATTATTACAAAATAGATTATTAATTCTCATCATACTTATGTTCTCTTATACATTATAGGCTTATCTTCTGGTCCTTGTCCTTGATCTTGTTTTTCGTTTTGATTTTGGTTCGTCATCGTCACTGTCACTCATTGGTATCTCAGTGATCTCTTTAGTCCTTTTCCTCAAGTTCGGACCATTTAGTTTGTTTGCTTTAGTTGATCTGTTATTAATTGCTGTAGTATTGGCCACTGGTTCGTGGCTAGTTGGTGTGTCTTCTGCTGGCAATTGATCAGCCTTTCTCCCGCTCTTATAAGTACCTGTACGATCGATTGATTCCATTGTCTTCTCGTAGTCCTGAACATGTTCAATAAATATACAACCTCCTGATTTAGGATATGTCTTAATATTTTCGGAGAAGGATTGCTCGATGTATTTTAGTTTCTTTTTCCTCATATCCCTCTCGAATTGGCCCATTAGTTCTGTGAATAAGATATTACTAGCTTTACCTAGTTGTCTTTCTATTACACGATTGGCAGAGTAAGTGCCTTGTTTTAAACACATGAGCCAATCATCGGCACATTCGGATTTTGCCCGGTGCAAATGTGTCTTGAATCTCTTTATGCCTTGAGCATGAAACTTGGTAAAGTTGGCAAATCCCAGCCCAAGTTTTAGTCCGTATTTCGAGGCCAGCAGTTCAAATATCTCCTTTAAATCATCCCTGTCAATAGTTGAGGACTCAACAAATATAGGTGGATCATACAACACCGTCATAAAAAAAGTAGCAATGTTGTCAACTAATGTTTTAAATTTCATATTCTTAAGCGGGAAACACCAGACATATCTAGTCCTAAAATCCCTACAATAAAATACATGAGAATATTTTCCTTCAATCTTTATGTATGGATTTTGACTATCCTCTTGCTTTATATCTCCTTCTTCTTTCTCAAACGGAGCAAACACTTCTATGTGTACTCTTTCTAAGGGTAGTAACTCTTCATTGATATTTCTATGCCGTACCTTTTCTATTGGTTTAATGTACCTATCCGGATTACAGCGATTACAATAAAATAATGCTGTTTGTACAAAATCTCTTGTACAGTTTGCATATACCTCTCTCAGACATTGAAACAAAACAGCTGTTTTCAGATGGCCATTTTTTAGATGTGCAGTTAGAATTAAGTTAAAAAGTTTATCAGGCTCCAAAACAATATTATTATCCACTTTAGCATCTCGAATATTTCCTTCCTTATCCTTATAAAACCGTTTTATTAAATTGGAATATTTTGTTTCGGCTGCATTTGGTGGCCATATGTTCATCGCTTTCATCACAGTTTCCATTGTTAAGTTGTTGTTCATAAGTAAAGTGTAAGTTTCCTGAGTTAATTTTCCTGCTAGACCTTCTGCAAATCTTCTCATATCTTTTTCACCACGTTTCAGAAAGTCAACATCAATAGTACTATCTTCTCCAACCAGATAATCCTCATAGGTCTCATCTAGAGCTGGCATTACAAACTTGTTGTAGAGCTCCAATTCTGTGCTAGACATATTTGATGTCCCCGCAGGTCGCCTCTTAGTTGCTCTAAAGCCATCTATATCAAACTTTGGTCTTTCAGAGGGAAGGTTGGTACCATTCATTTTCATTATAGCATCGACATCTTGCGTCCCAGTCTTCTTGGCGCTTTTCACCATAGTTCTTAAGACCGGTCAGTAAATAAATAAGTAAAAAAAACTTTCAATCGCTTTGTGCAAGCACAGCTTATTAAATAAAAAATAACTCTGATCCTATTTGAGTCTTATTCGGTAATGATTCACTTTGAGTAACAAGTAAATAAATCACTGCTCATCGCATATTGTCTTTGTTTTTAAATTTTCTTTTTTTTTTCTTTTCTTCACAACAATTGCGATGAATTTGGCGTTCAGATGATAATTCTGTTGTAGCAGTTCGACTTATATACATCATAAACTTGCTTTAAATCAATTATCGATATCTAAAAAATGCTAGTAATAACAGCTATATATCTCTTCCTGTTGCCATCACTTAAGGAATTGATAAAAAAAAAAAACCAAGAAATAAAATTGTATGATGCTGGTACAAATTTCATAGATTGAACTCTTCAATGAATTTTGTAACCATTACGTAGAAATAGTCCTGAGTCTCAGGCTCTGGAAGCCAATGCAAGCCACCTTTAATCAAACCAGAGTTCTTTGACCAGAACTGGGTTTGACTACAACTTTCCCATCTCTTCAACAGAGCTATCTTGTCAATTGATTTTGGAACAAATTCGTCAATCTCAGGGTATGCCACTAGGAATGGTATGTCAATCTTGCCAATTGTCTGCTTTATTGTTTCTGTATCTAGATCACTTGAAAAATAGTCATCGTCACCACCTTTCAGCATCAAAGAGCACCATCTGTATGCTGTAACCGGTGTTCCTCCCATATACTTTGAGTATTCTGAAGACAATAGTTCATCTCCTTTACCTTCATCAACAAGTCTCTTGGGGAGGACATTTAGCTTTGTGTATACATTCTCCCCCACATCATCCACAAATCCCTCTCTATCGGAACAGGATCCTTGTAATACCGCGGCATCGATCCCGTATCTATTCTTCGTTAAAATGTAATGTAAGACATCTTGTGAACCAGTGGAGTGGCCCATGAGTATTATTTTCCTCCTTGCACCTCCTTCCTTCGATTTCAGATACTTAATCAGGGCCTCAATGTCATTTGCATCTTCATCCAACGATGAAGTACCATAACCCCTGTAACTGCTCTTCATTTAAATTTGGATTAAACCAAAGCCACATTTATTCAAGGCAGCGCCTAGTCTGTCCACAAATGGTACCGTCAACAGACCATCAGTCATACCACCAATCATAACAACAACTTTATCATTGTCGATGGGGTCAAACTCAAACGCAACTTTCTTCTCTGTGTACCTATGCAAAACACCTTTAAAAGCTGTCATATCCTTAATTGATGTATTTACACATTAACTTTGTATTGCATTTTTTTATAAGCTCCTGTGATTCCATTGAGTAAGAAACGCTTGTTTTATACTTTTCTGGGATAGATGAGCTCCCCTTCTTCTCACTGATTACTAAGCATTATACGAGATTTCCCACTAGGAGAGATGAGCTCCAAATGTAATTAATCCGAGCATCGAAGATAAACATAATACACACTTATTTCTATAGCACATAGAATAAAAACTAACAAAGCTACTTTCCTAACTTAGAATATTCCTATATTTACGCATTGTAGTGACAAAAACCGGCATGATGTGTCATATTTGAACTGTAAGAATGAATAAGCACATTTAAAAGCCTTTATAGCTGAATAGGACAGCACTGACAGAAATTTTGATATCATTCAGGATATCGAACTTAAAATCCGTTACCAATACCAACGGCTAACTGCTTGACTCTGGGACCTTCATGAATGGCCTCGAGACTTGACGAGATCAGAAATTACGTCATAGTGATTTACGGGTTCCTTAAGCATCGAGAATGGCAACTGAAAGCTAGCACATCAAATATCTATAATGTTAATGTGATAAGTATTGGTGCATAATAGCATTGTTTGGAGCTGTTGCTGATTAGATTTAACAGACAGAAGTTAATATAGAACTATCAGGAAATAAAAATGGGATATTATATCGGTGTAGATGTTGGTTCTGGGTCGGTTCGTGCTTGTGTAGTCGATGACCAAGGTGCAATGCTCTCCATGGCTACTAGAGATATAAGTAAGGAGGAGAAACTGCCCGGACATGTAACACAATCTTCCAATGAGATATGGGATGCTGTATGTTACTGTGTTAAGAGTGCTATTGGCAACTCCAATGTCAATAACGGTGACATTCTCGGAATAGGATTTGATGCCACTTGTTCTCTAGTTGTTCTAAATAAAGATAGCTTCGAGCCTGTCGCTGCTGGACCAAATTTCGATAACAACAACCAGAACATAATTATGTGGATGGACCATCGTGCTATTGAAGAGACCAAAGAAATTAACAGGAGTGGTGATCCCTGTTTAAAATACGTCGGTGGTCAAATGTCTGTTGAGATGGAAATCCCAAAAATCAAATGGCTAAAAAATCATATGGCACCCGAAGAGTTCAAGAAGCTAGTATTTATGGACCTTCCAGACTATTTGACTTTTATGGCATCGGGGGTTAACACAAGATCATATTGTTCTGCCGTTTGTAAGCAAGGTTTTTTGCCAAAAGGAGTAGAGGGTTCAAGTAAAGGATGGTCAACTGAGTTCCTAACTAAGATAGGATTGGAAGAGATATCGCAATCTAATTTTAATGCACTTGGTGGTCCAAATGAAAGCGGTAACTTTACATACGCCGGTAATCAACTCTCAACGGTAAGCGAGTCATTTATCAAATCTACAAACATTAACCCAGGTTGTATTGTAGGTTCTGGTATCATTGATGCTTATGCAGGTTGGATAGGCACTGTAGCATCTTCTACTATTGAAGTTCCAAATAATAAAGAAGTGGTGGATATAGAAGAGTGTGCTGGAAGATTGGCTGCGGTAGCAGGCACATCAACCTGTCATATAGTTCTATCAAAAACTTCAATTTTTGTGCCCGGAGTTTGGGGTCCTTATCGTGATGTTTTAGTTCCAGACTACTGGTGTGCAGAGGGAGGTCAAAGTTTTACAGGCGCATTACTAGCACACATACTATCCATTCATCCATCAGCAAATGAACTTTCAAATTTAGTCAAACAGAGAAATGTTGACAAGTTTTCGTTCTTAAACAACTACATTTTGGAGTTGTCAAGAAAGAATAACCTGGAAACACCACTTTTATTGACGAAAGATTTTTTTCTTTATGGAGACTACCATGGAAATAGGTCACCAATTGCAGACCCTAATATGAGGGCTGCCATAATAGGTCAATCTATGGATACATCAATGGATGACTTGGCTAGAACATATCTGGCAGCGTGTGAATTTATTGCACATCAAACTAAACATATAATCGACACTTTAATGAATGCTGGACACACAATTAAAGCCATTTATATGTCTGGTGGTCAATGTCGTAATAACATATTAATGCAACTTATTGCCAACTGTACCGGTTTGCCTCTGATTATTCCAAAATATATAGATAGTGCTGTTGTTTTTGGCTCAGCAATCCTTGGCGCAATGGCTTATTCGTCAAGTAAGAACAATTCTGATAAAGGAGGAGCTGATTTATTATGGTCAACAATGAGCAACATGACACCAGATGGTACGACTGTATTTCCTGCCACTGAAGACAGCATTGAAAGGAAATTAATCAATGTTAAACATAAGATATTCTTAGACATGGCAAAAACCCAGCAAACATACAGACAACTAGTTGAAAATGCGATTAGGTAATAATTAGGAAATAAATACTATACTAATAGTAGTTTATGTGATGCAAAGGGAATTTATGTACAAAAAGTATTTTATAATATGCATAAAGAAACAATTTTAATGACTCCTGCTACATGTCTTGTCTAGCAGCAATAAGCTCATTCCTCAGACGTGTATACAGTAAATTCTCTTTATTAAAGCATTTTAAGTCGGAGTAAGTTGATTCTAAATCATCTAAACACCAACTTAATTCTCGCCATTGTTTTTGTTCACACCATTTTCTAGCTGCAATAAGCTTAAAAAGAGCTGCCTTTCTATTCCTTGTTAAACCTTTTGAAAGTATATCCTCTGTGGTAAAGACATCAGCATTTTTAGGATCATCCATATTTTCCTCCTTCTTCTGTAATAATTCAAGATTTCCAATTCTATGTTTTATTCTTGGGTCAATTCTCATACCATAGCAATCACTTAGTCGTTCCCAAATCATAATTTCAGATAAGGGTCCTAGTTTACATTCATTTAATATTGTCTCTAAATATGCGATTGCAAAGGGTGTTGAAGTCCAAGTATCACTTAATGAAAGAAATAGTTCTGAAGCCAAAAACATGCAACGCGTCTCATAACTTCTGACAGGTGCACTCAAATCGTCAGAGTCTCCAAATTTTCTATGTGCATTTGATTCCGTGGCACACAGCTCATATGCTCCTAGTGCTCTTTCTATTGCTGGATTGATCTCGTTCTTGAGCATTTTTGCAGTAACAATATTTTGAGCACCCATTAATAAAGATACTGCGCACCATTCGGAACATGATGCTAAGTATTTTGGCATACGCTCAAAATCTTGACACAGAGATTCATATGTTGTATAAGCTGTCTTGAAGTCAGACACCATCATGGACCAATCCGCAAGCTTCCTCATCAAGAATTCAGGAGAAGTCGAGGATAGATAATTACTACCATGGTTCTCTTTCAGAAGCGAGTTTGGTTGTGATAGAGCTTGTGTGGATTTGTTCATAAACTTTTTAAAAAATTTTGCTCCATGAAATAATGACTTTCTTGGGGTCAAAATAGTCTCTTCCCAAAAAGTCATTTTTCTCTTCATAAAAGGTTTCATTAAATCATAGACGATCATATCAATTTGGTCATAAATGCAATTGACAAGCTTGAGGGGTAGTTTATGATCGACAGGATTTTGTAAGAAGAACATAATTTCCTCAATAGATGACATCACCGGTTGATGCAAGGAAACTACCAAATTATCGGTAAATTCTGTTGACCATAGGGGAAGTATTATGCTTTCAACAAAGAGCTGTTTCTTCAATTTTCCGGCCAAAGTTTGGCATTCTTCGAACTCAGTTTCGTTATCTTTATTGTAACAAAGCAGAAATACTGGTAATATGTCGTTTGTATTTATAAATGAGGGAAAGCTGGGTATATTATTGTTCATACTCTTGAACTCTTTTAATTGTTCAGCAGCAGTCTCGTAGTCTTCATTTCTTGTGATATCAATTGCCAAGAGCGACACAATTGGATGATTAAAACACTCAAAAGGCGACAGCTTTGAGGTCGATGATATGGCTAATGCAAAGAAACTATGATAGATCGAGGTTTTTAGCAAATGATGAGGAATATGGGGGCTAAATTTCTTATCTACTACTGATAGGTATTCTTGCAGATATACTTCCAGTGAATGGTAATCAAAGAGCATGTCATTGGCATCTTGTGTGTTGATTAAATCAGCTAAAGGTTTGGTAAATCGCACATATTGCGACTGAGTGGCATCTCTTTGATACAAACTATTAGAATTACTCCGTACTCTAGTCTGACGCGGTACTGTTAGCCCATTTGTTCCGTCTTTCTCATTTTCTACACCCTCTTCAGTTACTTTTAAACCATCTGTCCCCAATTTAACTTCATTTGCTTGATCCCTATCAGAGACACAACCACCAAAAAATCTAAGTAACATATACAGAGAATCGATCCCGTATGTTTCTTCAATGTGTCTGTCGAGTAGAACCGTCGATGTCACTGTTATGACTGGTGCCATTGCATTGGAAACCACACGCTTGGCAATATCAGACGGCACTGTCTCATTGGCGTCATCCAGGTGATAGATCAGGTTCATGTAATGCTCATAGGAAAACACCATCTCTTAAAGATATGCTATTACTAATCCAAAAGCAGGATCAATGAAAATATATCCAGTTTATATCGAAGTTGTAGTTGTTTTTTTGTTGTTGTTTTATTTACAGCAGCCTGATTAAAGCAGCCAACGATCCGCCCTCACTTGCTACTCAATCGCCAAGGATATGTGCAGGGATAGCTTGATCACCGATAATGTGTTGCGTTACAGAATTATATTACTGGTGGTCACATTCGGTGCGTATTACAGTTGATATGCGCTATTATTGAATCAACCTCCAAGCTGTACAGTTCAGTTTTGTCGAAATCTTAACTGCGAATCAGCTATACAACGTGACATCTACGTGTTCAAGTACATCCAATTCGGGGTCCAAAATTTTGAGACTAGTTTGGAGCCAGTTTACTATGTGTCTATGGCCTTGTCGTTTTACTCTTTGTCAACTGGCAATAAAAAAACACTAACAAATAAATCAACAGTTCGAATCTAGGTCAAGATAGTATAGGGATGTACCTACCAATATGTATTATCAACTACCAGAACTGAATGAATAGGAATAAGCCGTCCTGCTGCAACACATAGTTTGATATAATCATCAATTACCAGTTTAACAACAAGAATTGCTAGTCAAATTGTCGTCATTTTGTTATAGGAATTCAAATTTATTTTTTTTCTTTTTTTTTTCTTCAGAGCTTGGCTCTATAAATGATAAAAATTTGGTGTTTTTGTTTAGGCTTCTTCACAATTTGATCCCCAAGTGATGAGTTATTTATAAATGTCTTGAACCTTATTTGTTTTTAGTCTCAATTATTTGTATCTGTTTTAGTTATATTTCTTTAAATTATTTGTTGTATTTATTGTAATAAAAGCACACAACAAGTATTAGCTTTTTTTCAAGAAGAAATGGTTAGACAACTGCTGGTACTGTCGCTGTTTGTGGCGTCCACACTTGGTTTCTACTTGCCAGGTGCTGCACCAAGGACTTATAAGCAAGGAGATGCTATCCCATTACTGGTGAACCACTTAACTCCCTCGTTAAACTTCCAGCATGTAGACGATGATGGTAACGAGATCAAAGGTGATAAGGCGAGGATGTTGTACCCTTACGACTACTATAACGAGAAATTACATTTCTGTCAGCCTGAAAAAATCGAGAAGCAGCCCGAGTCTCTAGGCTCTGTTATCTTTGGTGAAAAGATCTATAACTCTCCATTTAACGTCAAAATGCTTGAGGACAACGAGTGTGTACAGCTATGTTCGACTACCATACCAGGCAAGGATGCCAAGTTTATCAACAAGCTGATCAAGAATGGCTTCATGCAGAACTGGCTCATTGACGGTTTACCAGCTGCAAGAAAACTGCATGACAGCAGAACTAACACTGAATTCTACGGCCAGGGTTTCGAATTAGGTTTTGTAGAAGTAAGACAAGCTGTTGGTGGTAAGATTGTCTCAGAATCTGAAAAAGAACTTCAATTATCTGAACGTGATGCAAAAAATATCATTGATTTTACCGACATTGAAATCAGAAGTCCAAAGAACCTTGTTGATTTGTCTAATTTAGAAGTACGTGAAGCCAAGAATGTCGTTGACAACATAGTTACCAATGTTGAAGTGCCAGTATTCGCCAATCACTTCGATATCGAAGTTGAATATCATGATCGTGGAAATGGTGATTTTAGAGTAGTTGGTGTCATTGTGAACCCAGTTTCCTTAGATAATTATAAATCTAGATCATGCGCGTTAGCAAATCAACATAAACTACACTTGGATGAGAATAAGGACAATGAGGTTATGTTTACATATTCTGTTAAGTTTACTCCTTCTGATACACCATGGGCGACAAGATGGGACAAATACTTACATATCTACGATCCAAAGATCCAATGGTTTTCTTTGATCAACTTTTCCGTTATTGTATTACTATTATCTAGTGTTGCAATCCATTCACTACTACGTGCTTTGAAGTCAGATATCTCACGTTACAATGAATTCAACCTGGGAGATGAATTCGAAGAGGATTCCGGCTGGAAATTGGTCCATGGTGATGTTTTCCGTACACCAAAGAACTCAATGTTATTATCTGTACTGGTTGGTTCTGGTATTCAATTGTTTTTGATGATCTTTCTTTCAATCATTCTATCAGCTCTGGGTATTCTATCACCAAGTTCCAGAGGTTCTCTTCCAACTGCAATGTTCATGTTTTATGCAATTTTTGGATTTGTTGGTTCTTACACATCCATGGGAATTTACAAGTTTTTTAAAGGTCCATACTGGAAGGCTAACATGATTCTGACACCTGTATTGCTTCCAGGTATTATATTCTTGACTGTGATATTTATGAATGTTTTGCTATACTTCGTCGGATCATCGAATGTTATTCCATTGGCAACACTAGTTTTTATGGTTTTCCTATGGATTCTCTTCTCAATTCCATTAGCATTTGCTGGTTCTCTAATCTCGTACAAGAAATGTAATTGGGACGAACACCCAACAAAGACTAATGAGATTCCAAGACAAATTCCTTTCCAACCTTGGTTCCTGAAGACTGTGCCAGCCACATTAATTGGAGGTTTAGTATCATTTGGTTCGATTGCTGTTGAATTGTACTTTATTTACTCAAGTTTGTGGTTCAATAAGATATTCTACATGTTTGGTTTCTTGTTGTTCTCAATTGTTCTCTTCTCTTTCACCACTGGTTTAATCAACGTCATTATTACTTACCGTGCGCTATGTTCAGAGAACTGGACATGGCAATGGAGAAGTTTCTTCATCGGTGGTTTGGGTTGCTCTATCTACATTTTCATTCATTCTATTCTATTCACTCAATTCAAACTAGGCGGTTTCGCCACGATCGTGCTTTATGTTGGTTACTCATTCCTCATCTCATTCCTAACATGTATTGTCACAGGTGCTATCGGTTTCATATGTAGTATGTTCTTCGTCAGAAGGATATTTGCATCAATTAAAGTCGATTGAGATAAAAGCTTGGCAATTTTTTCTGACTACTAACCAGGATTAAGTCCAATACTGCAATTGTAGAAGAATTCAACAACAAATCGAAAATCTAGCATACATCTATATCACATTTTTTTTATAGATTGCCAATAATAAACATGTAAAAGGCATACAATATTAAATACCACAATTTTATATGATATAACAAGAACAAAATTTAATGATCAAAACACCTCTCATAGGATTATCTATGGTAAGTCTAAAGTTAGTTACGGTTTTGGTTTAAGAGGAATGGTGATGCATGGATTAATACTGACTGGAATGTAATATATGGCGAACAATATCTTTAAGATGTGTCAATATACAACAATATATCCACCGATAAACAAATTTTGAATATAGATAAAAAATATGTGTCTAAATACGAAAGTAAGACATCTTAGTAAATCTCAATTCAAATTCTGAAATAAACAAATATTCTTGTTCCTCGTGGCCCAATGGTCACGGCGTCTGGCTACGAACCAGAAGATTCCAGGTTCGAGTCCTGGCGGGGAAGAATTATTTTTTGCTGCGGATATCTCTACTAAACTTGATGTAAAAATCAATGAAAAGTACATCGTGAGTTTTTTAAAGGATAACAGGTAGGTAGACAAGCAGTAACTTTTACTGCAATTCTAATCTTTTTATTATATTATAGGGTTCTGTTGTATTGTCAACCATACCTTAGTTTGGAAAATCAAGTGTTTTAATTTTTGGTAACAAGATTTTGCAGATTATTGTTAGTGACTGTTGCAATTGCGATTTCGTAAGGGTTATACTGTTTATGCCTAATTGGGTTCAAAACTATCAATAAAGTGCTACAAGCTGCTAAATCTGAAGATTGTGTAAATATTAAGCTTTCTTTATTGTCTCAGGTCTATCTCTTTTTGGTGGCTATTAATTCAATTGTGTTATTGGTTATTGATTTACAAATAATTTTAGGGATAGATCAGGATATCTAAATTGAGTCAAAATGCATCTTCACAAAATTGATGCATTTTACATAACTGATAATGTTAAGGTAGAACTAATACATGAATCGAATCCATTTTTTGCAGGGGAACCCATATCGATTATTGTGAGGATAAAGCATTTGGGGTCTCTAAGAGAAAGAGACCATTTGGAAACTACACTAAATAACTTGAATGGGAAAATACAGAGGATACGACAGGAAAATAGGGAAATCTTAGAAAATGAAATACCAGAAAGTAAATGGTCACTAAGAAATATGTTTTCGAAGAAGAATGGTGATGAGTCTGCTCAAAATGCAACTGATAGTAATTTAACATTGATCACAGATGTCAAAGAACAATTGGTATTGCTAGAAAAAAGCAGAGAAAGACTGACAAAAGATCTGAAATTCAACTCCATAGTAAATTTTGTCTCTTGCTACTTACAGGTAAGTGGTAAGTTACAATACGACAATTCCATAATAGATAAAAGTACCTTCAAATCAAATGATTCTAAGCTATTAGGAGTAACATATGCCGATTCAACTGCAAAACAGTTAAATGAAGAATCTATAAGCAAATCTGATAAATATGTTAATTCTGAATACGCTAATATAACAGAAGGCTTGCGGTTTGGGTATAGAGAAGATGAAAAGATTATAAATGATACTAACATCTCTATGGGAGCCAATGATAGAGAAAATTCTAATGCCGAGTATGAACAAGTTCCGATATTCTTGATTCCACAAACTTTAATTTTCTCTGAAATCAATTTAGAACCAGGGGAAGCAAAAACTTTCTTATTTAAGTCTCAACCTTTGAATAAAGAAATTTGTCCAACATACATGCTTTCAAACTTTCTCTCAGTTCTTTATGATGCCGAGTTTGGTATAACTGGTGTTGTTGATGGTAATCTTATTCCTATTGCTAAAAAAGTTCCTATTTCAATTGCACCATATGTATTAGAAGGTGGTATGCAGGCCTCATCTGTTCTAAATCGCCCTGCCGTTATTCAGGGTTCTGGAACAGTAAAGGAGATTAAGTCATCACCCTCTTCGATAAGAAGAGCATCTGCTCCACAAAACCATGTCTCTAACACTTTAGAAAGGAGATATTCTGTTGAAAGAAGAAGCTCGTTATATGAAAGGAGACTATCTATTAATTTTGAAAGAAAAAACTCAAACCCAACAGTTGTTGATGATATTGAACCTGAGAGATTATCTTTAATGAAAGAAAACTTTATTAAGATTATCAGTGATAAAGAGACAAACTATGATGATATTGATAAGCTTGTGGATAATTTAGTCGAGGTTCAATTTGATAAAGACGAAAAAGACAAGGATTCCAAGCCTGACATTGAACTTGAGGAGGAACACAAAAATGAGGAGTATGTGGTTACGAGGAAGAGAAGTGACTCTGTGCGTGATCACATTGCAGAACTACAGAACACTCCTAATATGCAATATAATGTGGAGTCGTATGTCATTGATGGTGTCACGATGATCCCACAACTTGCTAACTTACAAAGTACATATCAAATTAACAGGAATGGTGAAACAATTGCAAAGGTAGTTTTTTCAAAACCATTCTTTATGACTTCAGATGATATTGATATATCCGTGACCTTAGATGATTGCGATGAGAGGCAAACTAGAATAACTGGTATTTCTGCCATACTTCAATCTTTTGTACTACTGAATCCTCGATTTGCTGTTGATAAAACTTCAAAGGCAGCAAGACCAAAAGGAAAAACTGTTGCAGTCGATAACTCTATAAGTTTTGATGACTTCACATCAATCTCGTTCAAGTTGAGTCCCTCTAAGACTCCGACAAACCATATTGCTGGTCAATTTAAATCTGATATTTTCCAACACAAATGGATGGTGCTTCTAAAATTTGTAATACAAAAACCTATTGAAGATGGTCACTTAGAACAATTTTATGAAGATAAGAAGGGTAGGTTATTTCATGCCAAAGAAACTATGGAAGGAGAGGAATTTTCCTGCCACATTCCAATTCCTATAATTACTGCCTCTCAAGAATTCGGTGGATGGTGAAAATGATCAATATCAAACGCCATTTCCGGCAGTCTTGGTCTATTATAATAACTAGCTGTAGATAGCCTTAACTAAAGATTAAGAGATATATAAATTTATTATGTCTGATAACTAATATCAGTGACTTTATATTTTCTAACATTGTGATTACATCCCGAAATGCTAAAAAAATATTAAGAAAAATTAGTAAAACGATAAATAGTGTCAACATAATGGTACATGATTTTGAACTAAATTTGGGACCGATATGGATCAGGAATTTGGGTAGACCAGCTACCAATTTCATTAATTTCATTGTTAGAAGTCAAAGCATTAATGGAAACGATAATTGACAAGGAATCAGAGCGTTTGCTGTCCCTTTTTAGTCATATTGCTGAGAAATGCAATGATGCGCTTACTGCACCAATTGCTCAAGGACAATTCGATCCTGAAGATCTGAAATGGAGTTCATTGATAACATTATCTGATAGTTTTGATAAAACAGATGTAGAGTTGATTAAGGAAGTCGTATTGAAAAGGGTTGTTGAAAAACTATTGCCTGTAGAAGAACAAGAAGGTGACGAAGATGATACCATAGAAGCGGCACAGAAGAATGAGCACTCTAAATTAACGGAAAACTTAAAAGTATGTTCTGTATTATTGGATTTTTGTTTCCATATGAGACAGTTTATGAGTGACACTTCTCAGTGTTCTCTGGTATACTATGAGTTATTTGCTACCGTTGTTGAAATGCTTAACTGGCCTGATGATGTTTGCCTATTCTGGGATTATGTAGAGAGTAGAATCAATTGGTTTAAATTGGGAAATACATTGAAAGATGATAATTCAGGAGAGACAACTTTGATTAGTTATAAGCAGCCACTATTTGAAAAGCTAAGAAGATGGAATACTTCCTTAATGGAATTATCATACCGCACACATTCAAACACACCAGTCATGAATGAAGTGAAACAGAAATGGTTGTCCTTTTTATCAGACTTATTGCCAATACAAGAGGAATCAAACTTTAATAGAACAGGTTCCATTGCTAAGTTGTCGAATAGTACCACGAATTGGAATATTTATCAAACGACAGAAAATTATAGAGGACAGTCCAAAGAAGAGAGTTTTTTTTCTGACATAAAGCTTGTCTATCAGAACTTTATTTACGCACCTTTGGAGTTTCTATCGTCTTCATTGGACCATAAAATTAAAATTGATAAAGTAATTTCAACCATAATTGACAATATTTTGGAATTAGAGGAAGTTTTTTATAATAAAATAAAAAAGGAGCTCAAAGAGATTAATATTATTAATAACAAGCTGAACCCTGACTATTTCATTCCTTCTAAACCACAAGAGGGCCTACCTGAATATTTGAGAACTAGCAAATTGTTTGAAGAACTTAACTCATCTTCGATGTCTGAATTTCAATCTATTTATGATAAAATTAAACATTTACCCGTACCGAATCCCCTAGACATGTCAACTACAGATGAATATTCTTTATTTGATCAATTTATGACACTGGAGAATGATATTTTCAGAAAGCAATTTATGATCCAAGTTTATTTCACCAGCTATATTATTACACAATTGATTGAATCAGATGAGGTAAGGGACTTCTTTAATACAAATATCTCAAAGGTCAAAGCAGCTCATAGTATCTCATTTGATGATATGGAAAAACAAAATATAAAGAAAGCATCAACATTCACCAAGCATCTCATGGTCAATAGAATTAAAAGGTTTTACGGTAATAAAGATAAGAAGTTTTTGGATATGATAGAGAGTTTAGAATTATCTGAAAGTTGCTTTCACAAATTAAAAATGAATGGTTTCAAACAATTTAATGATTTTCACATCACAGAGGAAGATATTGTAGTACCAGACATTGATAAATCTTTTAAGAAGTTTGGTTTTGTGAAAATGGGTAACAAACAAATAAATAATGTATGGAAAATTGAGACAGGAATATCAAATATCAAAGAAGTTAAACTAGTACCACATGAGGTTCTGGAAAAACTACAAGATAAATATGCACAATCGGAAGGAAATGAAATTGATATTGTAAAAAGTTGGCAATCATTAAGGTTGTTGAGAGGGCCTTATCTCTTCAAATTAAGCGGTATTAATGAAGAAAAGGGTTTAAAAGGACTATTTGAAGAAAGTAATCAATCCTATTTCCAGGATAAGTATAGTGACTGGAAAAAAAAATCGATTGAAGTGTTTAATGAGCCACATAAATTATTACTGGCTAAAGCAAGAGATTATAAACAAAGTAAACTGAACGGTAAACGAGAAAATTTAGAAGAGGAAAGCAACTCTAACAAAAAGGTAAAATTAAGTAACGATAATAACATAGATGCCGACAATAATGAAAATGAAAACCCTTCACAAGAAAGAAGTTTGTCTAATACTCAAAAAGGTAGAGAAAGTGATGATTTAGTGTCTAAGTTATAGATGATATATTATTGACTGTTGCATTATATGTAGTTTTTTTTTTATTGATATATACATGAGAAAATAATCATAGCCTTTGAAAACATAATTCTGTGTGCGATTTGTTACCATGAAAATCTAGCTCGTTAACAACTTTGACATTGTACTTTGACTGGATAAGTAAGCTTTGAACTGTTTCTAAAGCTTTGCTGTCAAATAATTCAAATTCAGTAGGTACTTTGAAGGTGATATGTAAATTCGATATCAAAATACTTGGTAATTTAAGATGGTAGGGATAGTTAATAATGCGAGATATAGATTCAAATAGTATGCCAGTCACGTCTCCTTCATTATAAATCCCTTCTGGTTGTGAGAATTGATAAATAATGTGTAAATTGGCTAGTTGTTTGTCACGCAAATCCTCAAAATTGAATAAAGCGGATTCCAGCGCCCCTAATCCTGTTGTAAATATATCGGGCATTTTGTCATTAAATTTGAAAACAATAGCATCATCCAGTATTACCTCATCATTTATATATGGAAATGAAGAACGTGAGAACATTGATGTAGTACTCATTGAAGATGTTCTGCGTTTTGAATAAGAGTACCGCTCATCGAAAGATATTATACTATTTTTTCTTATGCTTTCGTTATTCACACCTATTACGTTATTCCAGCGAAATAGTGATGGAGATATAACCGGTGCGAGGTCACTGCTAAAACCATAATCGTTACTGATATCTGAGCCATAAGAGAATTTTCTATTATTTGTAGAATTAAGACTTTTTGTCGCAGCAGCTTGGGTACTGTAATTTTGGGACAAACTTTTTTGGGCCACAGTTTCAAAGAGTGTTAAATGTGTTATATATGGTATGTCAATTAGAATACAGTCACCATCATTGGTGAAGCCGAGCTCTTTGAGATTCTTGGGGCAGTCGTTGATAGACTCATAAAGTTCATGTTCATCAAGACATATTGTTAATTGCTCTATTGAGCTGTAGTTTGTTAGAAAAACATTTTGTAAAATGAAAGCTTTCCATATGCTATCAAGTTGAAATTTAACATTTTTAGCCACAATTTTCATGTCTTGATAAAGGTTTGTATTGTTATTGAAATCTAGAATTTTTTTATTCAATGTAGTAATATCCAGATTTTTCAAATCATATGGGCAGTTTGTAAGCCATTGCAACTGTTCAAATGAGTTTAAATTAATTTTCAACGAAGTCAATGGCGCTTGACTTTGCTTTAAATCATCCCACGATATAATGGAAGAGTTACAAGATATTTTCTTAAGTTTTGGGAACTTGCAATTCATGAACCTAACATGATGGCAAATGGAGGGATTGGTGTCAATTTCGAGCTTTTTAATGTTTTCAAAAATCAGATTTGAAAATTCTGGGTCTGAAAGTCGTATGGCTGGGGAAATTTTTAGATAGAGACTGACGTTATTTCCATTTATAGTAGGGTATTTAACCCCTGAATTAAAGTTATTGAGATGCAAGACTTTACATGAAGGTAAAATGTACTGGCCTGCAGACTCATTATTCGGGCTCAAAGGGAACCTCATGGAGTCGATCATCTCTAGATTTGTGCAATCGTTAAGGAAAGCATTGATATTTAACATTGAATCATTATAATTAAGCTGCTTAATAGTTGTTAGCTGAGGAGCAATAAGAGAGTGGTGCTGGTGTTTAACGCTTAGGGAAAACAGATTATCAATCTCATAAATGTACGTGGTTTCAAAAAGGGTGTCCACATCGCATAGATCTGCATTGTTTGAAAGGGCACTTGAACCAATAATGTGTAGTTCTGACAGTACCAGTTTATCTTCTCGTATGCCAAACTCCCTGAAATATAGTTTACTCAGGAAATTTGTGGTTGTAGAGTAAATTATACATACATTTGTACCACTTGTACAGTGTCTGGCTATTTCATTTAGCGTTGAGGCCAGAGGGTCACTAAAGCTCCTATCTGATTGTATTACAATAACAATATTTTTAAAATTCTGTAGGAAGCATTCAATCGACCTAATGGTAGCATTTTCGTCTGAGTTCAAATAAAGCATGTTGCGATTCTTGTGCAGCAACACCCTGAAATCCAGAATATCGGGTCGCACACACTCATCCTCCAAAGGCGAGTGTCCACCATCCTGCACAAGCATAACTCCCACGGTCTTCTTCACCAAATCTCTGAAGTATGAGGAAACATACGACCAAGCTATCGAGGTCTTGCAACTATCCAGCCCATGGCTTGCTATAATATCAAGTATTTCTGACGGTAATTTCATAGTGTTGTTTATTTTATCTCACTTACGGTGGTATTGTTCTTGGAACCAATACCCAAGATAATATTCAACCTTATACTTTATATATCTACTGAGTGGTTACTACAACAGCCCCATCTTCACCTCCCCCCACCCCTCCCTCATCGAAGACTCATCATTAGGTTTAGTCATTCTTACCATATTTAAATGTCCTTAACTAGCCATTGCTGCCGAATCATCTAAGGGAACCCTTGAAATATGCAATCAAGATGAACTTCGCTACTTCGCTGCTTCGCTACTTCGCTACTTCGCACATTAGCAGAATCGAAGCTTCGAAATCTCCGAAGTGTATCCCCCAATCTCTGCTGCCGATTCTTAGAAATTCATTTTCACTTGCCGAGTAATGCCAAAAAAACCACACTTACTCCAGAGAGAATTGCGTAGGACTCACAAGGATGTTTAGATGGAGGGGGTGTGCTAATTTAACAGGAAATCGAAGCTTTCTCTTCTTTAGAAGATCATCTCTGTGTTTTTATCCTGCAGAATGTACCGCAGAGCACAATTTCGCTTTTCCGTAATTTCCCTGTTCAGATTGGGGTGTGGAGCAGGACTTGCCTCGGGATATTCATATGCCCCGACTATCAACTTTGAAATTCGAAATCAACAGAAACTCTCGCAGAGGATAATATTAGATCCCTCAGAATATCCTGTAGCAATTTTCTCAAAATTTTGAGTTTTTTTGTCTTTATTTCTCAGTTCTCAGATCTAACCGGTTTCTTTAGCAATGGAAGGGTGTGTACCTGTACGTATATGTCTGTGGGACCGTCGAACAGATCAAGAGTTGCATGCAGGGAAAATAGTATAATACAAAGCAGGGTCCTTCGATTACGCTATCAAGTTTCTCTGCGTTTAATTAACAATTATAATTACACAAGACGTTCCATACATGCCATGCAGGCACAGGCAAATAAATTAAGAAAAAATTGCTTCGAAGAGATCTATTCTAAAAAAAAAAAAATACCAGAATCTTTCGACTTTATTTACTATATACTTTAGAAATACAGGTTGTATCTATCTTCAGTTTCCGCCTCTCAGTGTCAACACCAGATGCAGTTGCATGCCATCTGATAACTTAGCGGTGGATATCGTATCGTCATTATTTCTGTTAATTTGGGCTCATACCTAGCACACGATGGGCTCTAGATATTTGTCGTTTTTTCTCGTTAGTAAGACAGAACAAAAGATGCATGAACCGAGTTCCTTTACTGTTGCTAGATATACATACATTTGTTTCCCGTGGAATATCAGTCTCTGCTGGGATGCCGGAATACCTTCTTTCTCTTCCAATAGCTCTTTTATGTGGTACACTTTGTCCTCTCCACTCACTTCCACTGGAATCTCCTTCCCTGTCAATGTTTTCACCTTAATAATCATGGCTTTCTAAAACTAGTATTTTTGGAGTTGTTTTGTTTCGGTAATGCAATTCCTATAAAAAATAAGACACACTTTAAAGTACCACAACAGGCTTTCAATAAAATCCACCGTATATCAAAAATGCAATGCACCTAGATTCTAGCACATACTGGTGTGCTACTTTTATTATTGACTTTATTGTTCGAAGTAAGGATTGTTTTCCTTTTTTTTTTGGTCAAAGGAAGAGAAATGGATAAAATGACAAAATTCAAGCTCATCGCAAAAAAAGTTAAGATTTAAACTACATAGATCAAGCTATAGTTTAGGACCAGCTTAGAGCTTACTGAGTCCTCGGCTAAGATAATATACTCAAGGCCGAATATGCTTCCGACACCCTATGTGAAATGCGATTATGAAAAGGTTTACGAACCATCAGAAGATTCTTTCTTACTTCTGGATATTCTGGAAAAGGAAAGACAATACCTTGCTGACAGATTCAGTAAGTCCCTGAATGTTGTATGTGAAATTGGTGTGGGCTCAGGTATTGTAACTACATTTATGATGCAAAATACAATTCCGAGCGCTGGTCACTTGAATTTGTACTATGCTATTGATGTAAATCCATGGGCTTTAGAATCTACTCTAACCACGGCAGATATCAATAACTGTAAGAAATCATATCTGGAGCCTGTACAGGCAGATCTCACGAGCAGCTTTAGAACTAGAGAAATCGACCTTCTTATATTCAATCCACCATATGTACCTGCTGAGGATGTACCTACTATTCCAGAAGAAACCGATGATCAAGATAAATGGTTGGACTTGGCGTTGTTGGGGGGTGAAGATGGAATGGACGTGACTAATAAAGTGCTCGACAACCTAGAAGCAATATTGTCTTTGAGGGGGGTAGCATATATTTTATTTTGTGCCAGAAATAAGCCGGAAGAGATAGCTAAAAGGATGGAACAAATTTGGGATATCAAATTGATAGAACAAAGGAAGGCGGGCTGGGAAATATTAAGTGTTTATCGCTTCCAGAAGAAGAATCTATGATATCAAATTTCTAGTAATACGGCTCCAAAAATGTTTTAAATGAAATACAAATTACATTTAGAACGCTTTGCATGTAATCGAGTGACTGAAATCACTAAACAAGTCGGGTCTATATTAGAGCAAAAATATATATCTGTATTATATTTTAAAAAATAGAGGTTGCGTTTCTAAAATGCTAAGTTATCATGATTTTTTTATCAGATATAATAGGTCACTATTAGTATCATTCAAGAATTCGTTTGTATCAAACTTGACCATCATATAAGTGCTTTCATAATGGACGTAGCTCAGGTTTTGGAAAAAACTGCGTAACTGGTTATGTCTGTCAATTTTGTGAACTCCCAATAATAATGGTTTGAACGAAGATATGTTCTTCGATAAATTTAGATCATCCATAGTAGTTATCTCAAATTCTTTGCAAGATGCAATTGAATCAGCCAAGGCGACATATGAGTTCGTCTTGTAAATACAGTTTATGGTATCAATAATAAAAATCCATTCATTTGTAGCACAGAAACCCTCTATATTCATTGCTAATAGTTGATCAAGCGTTTTACATAACTGAAATGTGGCCTCTGGGTTAGTGAAATTTTGGATTTGGATATTTTCATAAAACTCTTGAAGATTTGTTTGTAAGGCATAGCTGATCAGAGGCCAAGTTGAGGTAAAATGGGATAAGGAAAACTTCATAAAAATTACTCTCAACAATGCCCAGAATTCGGACTTGAAAGTATGTTCCTGTGACGAAAGAGTAGATAGTGCATATGAAATAAGCGGTTCAAAATGCATCAAGTAGTAGTCTTTTGGACTAATCATGAGAAGATAAGCTATTCTTAAAACATTTTTCTTTTTTGTATTGTCTTCTGAATCACCCCAAGAGTTAAAAGAAATTGCGGTTGGAGCCAAGGCAGATTTTTTTGTAGTTACTAACATTGTCAAATCAGAAAGAAGTTTGTACTTATGTTCCTCATAATCTGACCATTTAAATATGATATCTTGCCATTTTATGTTTTGAAGTATTTCAATAAGTACTGTGTCATCATTGAATGCATCTCCGATAACTTGTCTCCATAGCTTTACTCGACCACTAACTTTTACCAATTCAGTAAGAAGAGACATAAATTCTGGCATGCTAAAAACAGCATCCTCCGTTTTCAAATGTGGTACAACAATGTTTGATATAATAGACGTAATAACAGCATGAACCTTATCACCAGATTCATTTTCATTGAGAAGTAAGGTTATATTTCTAGTAACCTTTGTTAGAGTTTCCAAAATATGGTTGTAGTTTTCTTTACTCTTTGCCAGCCCTTCTACTGCAGCAGGGATATACTTGAAGCACAAATCAGAAAGATCTTTTCTTGGTCTTTTTTGTTCACCAAACTTGGACCTTGAAAGTTTATCCGCAATAACAACGCATAAATCCATCACCTGTAAGCAAACATTTTTGTATAGATATTGATTGTTAGAAACCTCTTTTAAAAATAAAATATAGTCACCATAAAAATCCTCCATTGCCGTATTCTCCAATGTCTTGACATAGTCTAGTAGGTTTTGCATAATGGCATCTGCATGTAATTTATTTAGAAGGGATGGATCAGATTTCATTCCTTTAAATGTTGTTGTTTTGGAAGAAGTATTGGAGGAAAACCTTACCGTGGAATTTTTGTTGCAACGTAGGACTATACTTGAAAAGTAAGAAGGAATAGTTAAGGCAGGACGATTACCATCCAAGGCTTGGATTAGAGGAACTGTTGTTTCATTTTTATTGGTGCTTATTAAAGTTTCTAGTGTTTCAAGTGGTTCCAAAATGTACAATTTCTCCAATAATTTTTTGGCACCAAATTTCAATTTATAGTTTGCGTGTGTTCCCGAATTCGATGGATTTGATTTTAATGATATTCTAGATTGGATGTGAGCCCAAGACCAAATTCTGTAGGCACTATTAGTAACTTGTTTGAAAGACTGGATGATCACATCTCTCTCACCTTGAATCTTTATATCTACGGCGGTGTTTTCGGAAGAGAAAACGTTTGATACAACTGACTGTAAAAAATCCGATTTTGCAGTATTACCAAAGTAATTGTCTTTTTCACCTGCTGTTAAAAAACCGTGAGATACCTCTAATAACTCCTCTAATCCTCCTAGCAAAAGCAATATTGGTTCAAGGTAACCCCCTGACTCCTTCTCCTTTTCAAATAATCTTCCTATACATTGGACCATTGAAGCAGTAAGTGGAAGGATCGTTCTAAAAATTGAGTTCTCAAAGTATGCGATACTCTCGGATAGTAACTTAACATAAGCTGTAACAATGAATGGCCCTTCCATGGTGGAAACACTGGTTACTAAATAATCAATATACTTCAAATGAGTACTATTGTCGTCGAAAATATCCAGTTTAATTCCATTTTGATGAGATATCATCAATACCTTAGAAACGATATCAATTAGAGCAACGGCAATCAATTCAGATTCAATTTCCCCTTGCGAAATATAGAATGATGATTTTTCTAAAAGAAATATTACAATTTCTTTGAAGTTCGCCTCCGAACCGTCCAGCAGCAAATCGAGTAAAACTAATGAACTCCTAATACTTCTAGGATGGGTGTTATTTTGCTTCTTTAAAAAGTTTATTATGATGGCCACACAGCAGCTCTTATATGTAGAAACATCCTCATTTCCTAGTGTTTTTATCATAACAGTAGTGTTGATTTCAGAAGCAAAAGTTTTTAAAATTGAATGGTTATTAGTACTGAGTACATTCTTAATAATCTGGATTCGGTAAGTAAACATGTCCAAATCATCAGTCTCTTTAATAGTGTCTCTTTTGAAAAATTCAAATTCAGAAAGCTGATTCATGATGATTCTAAATAAATTATTGATGGTTCCAGCCGTATTCAGTGAATAAATCCATTTGGAAACAGACAGATAGTATGGATTTTGTGAGTTATTTAGCTCATCAAAAATAATTTCCAAGGGTCTAATGTAGAGGGTGGACGTTTGTGGCAAACTAATCCATAGTAAATTTAAAACGTCAATTCTAACATTCAAAGATTCCTCTTTTGCAAACGCATTTGCGACCGCCGATTCCACATAGTCTGTTGGGATAGACCTTTCAATTGATTCAAGGCACCTTATAGCAGGGTCTTGACTTTTGGGTACCTTCAAGAATGGCCATAATGACTGTACTAACAAATTTAAAAGTTTGATGGATTCAATAAAATCCATACGCTTGCACAGATAATTTCCGAATAAATCTACAAGTCCAGAGATATATTCCATATCAGTTTCAGTAATTTTCTTTAAGCTTCCAAACACTGTGTTACTCAATTCATCATCAATAGTATCAATTTTTTTGGCCTGTTGATTGGACTCTGGGATCTTCTCATAAGTGTATATGAAAAGTTTTGTAGCATCATTGAGATGTAATTGGTTGTGTAATTGAGACAGCACAATATTTGTGGTTTTGTTTAGTATTAACGCTGTCATAACTTCCATGCTATACGGTCTTTCAATGCTATTTGCATCAGAAATCATAAACGAAGATGGATCAGATACTTTTCCATAGTAGCATTTTATAGCCTCAATTACTGATCCGTCCGAAATGTGCGAGATGTCCATAACAGTTGAATTTGATATGGTTGTAAAAGCTCTTTCTGGAATGACAGTCAATATGTTATAACACAAATTATAATACTGTGTTTGTTTGGCGCCATCAAGTTCAGCAAATATCTCATACTCGGTTAATAAGCTTAACAGTACCAACGGTAAATGATTAACAATAATTTCCTCATCAGTCGAAATGTTAAAATTATTGATAACAAACTGTATTAAGAAGATATCATTGGTAATAAAAAAGTGGTTGATAACATTTCCCCATATTATATTTGTTTCTACTGCATCAAAAAAAACACCAGCTGCCTTCATTACTAATTCATTTTCTTTCATTTTATAGCTCGCTAATAATAGATTAGTGAATATGGTTGGAATTATCATCGACCCTATCTCCCATCTGTCCATTATTGATATGCATAGCTTGAAAGCAGTAACAACATCAGTCTCATTATAAAGCAGGTCCTCTATACCTTGCTTCAAACACAAAAGGCCATTAGTCCTAAAGTATTCATTCGACTTATCCTGAGAATTATCTCCTTTATCTGAAGCTCCACTATTAACACTTGTGGTACTCCCATTGGAACTTCTGGTTGTTGAAGAGGAGAATCCGAGACACCAATTCCAAACACGTCTATTAAGAGACATATCCTTATTTAATGTTGTCTTGCAACAGGACATAATTAAAAGTTTTTTGTCTTCGGGACTGATTAATACTTGAATAACTGGCGAGTCTATTCTTACTCGTTGCAAAAGTAGATCAAGTATCCCTCTTTTGATAAGAATATCGTTTTCTGGTTCTAAGCAACTGACAAGGCACCTTATTAGAAGGCCAGGTTCAGGGGTGACTAAATTCTTTGCTGATGGGAGTAAAGTAGCTAAAGCATCTTCCTTTACCTTCTTTCTATCTTGCATGCTATTTGTGGAGCCTCCTGTACTATTGACCTTGATTTTATTACGTTCGGCGATTTTATGTGGTATAGCATTTAGTGATGGAAATTTTCTGGTCAGCCAAACCAAGCCACCTGCTCTTCTATCACTGTATGTTGAGATAACTAAAAAGCATGTTTGCCAAAATAGTGAATCATCACCAAGGTTTTCCTGTAGTGTTTCAATTAATTTTATTGTTTGATCCAGATACTCGCTACTTTCATCCTCTAAGCCGGGAAACAAACTGGACAATAATGGCCTTATAATAACTTTCAAAATTTCTGACGGCAGAGTTAAGATATAATTATCATATAGTTCAATTACTCTAGATCGAACTGACATTGACGCATATGTCATTAAAGGTAAGATACCTGGTATCCATATATTGCACTCATGGGCCAAAGCTTCAATTCCAATGTTTTCAAAGATGTAGGTGTATACTTCTAAAGTCTTCAGATGCACACCTGCAGGTAAAGAAGGTGACAATGATGAGGATAATCGTCTACTTACATCGTATGGGTAAGGGACAAAGTACTTGACGTTCTGAAATTTAGGAGACCAGCTTTGTAATGCTTTCAAAAGGGTACCCAAACTGGCAATGTAATCCGCCCACTCGTTCACCAAATCGAATTTCTTAATTGCCTTTTCAACATTTGAGCAAAACTTCTTCTGTCTGCTATCCAACTGTTTGCTATTAGAATCTAGCGTCAAAGGTTTGAGTGGCAGAGACATTTTCTACCAAAAGTTAGTTTCTCAACCAAATGCACTTGTCCTTGATTGTGATACCCTGGTACTCAAAGAAATAGGGTTTGCTTCTCTCAGTCAATCAATTGAGTTGTAAAATACCTCCAAATCACCTTGAGTAGGATTATCTAGATTTAAGCTACTATTGAGAAACGTAAATAACTTAGATTTATTGCGATGAGCTACATACAATTACCATAATAAGTGGTTCTGTACTTCTACGATTATGAGCCCACAGCAGTTAAGGCACCGAGTTAGAAGGGTTTGTTTTATAATTATGTACGTAGCAAGTCATAGGATCTACATCACAAACAATATAACTGAATAATAGCGTTAGACATTGGCATTTCCAATATTATTAGGTGTCCAACTATTATGATGAACATTGTTTAAGGATCTCATAAAAGAATAATTGCTCTATATTGTTACGAATATTAAATACATTAATAAAATAATTGCTACCCGCAAAATCGAAAAAACCTTCCATATTATACTATTAACAGTCAAAAGATATGTGCGCTTGATAAATGCTATTGTAGGCCGTTCCATATGAATACGTTAGAATCCCACCCAGCAGTGGCAACATATCCTGGTATACCCCATAAACTCCAATCGGCACCAAATACAAATTCGGTGTGGTGTTTGAAGTTTGAAAGAAGTCCATTGGATAGTAAAGAGCCGTTTGTCTTACCAGTTGGTACATTATTCTGTACAGATACATCCTTCCAAATCTTACAAGACATGTCATAGGATGTGGATAAGAGTATATCTGAGTGGTGAGGTGACCAGCAAACTTTCTTAACCGCCAAATCGTGTGCATTAACAATTTCGTTAACCAAAGTGCCTGTCTGAAACCCTTGTTGATTTGACGAGTTAGGTAGCATTCTTATATCCCATATGCCAATACTGTTATCAACCCCAGAAGTTGCAATTATATTTGGTCTGTATTTATTGAAGTCGCATGAGAGGGCACCTTTTCCCCTATGAGCAATAAAGTTCTTTTGATTGTTTCCAGGGTTTTGTCGAAGATCAAATAGTGTTACATATGAGTTTCCCGCACAACATAAAATAAGGTTATCATCATGAGGCGAAAATGTCGCCTGGTAGATACAATTTCTATTTTGAGCTACTTGATTTGGTGAAAGTTTATCCCTCTGCGAAACTTCCGGTAAATTATCTAAAGCTCTTGAGACATCGATAGGGTGTGGGGAGAACGTTATTAAACTTGCCTTCCTGTTTGGCGACCAGATCTTTACTTGGCCATCCCACGAACTGCTGACAAAATTAGACTTACTCACTAAATTCCAGTTGCAACTATAAACCTCTTTGCTATGTTCATGGAACATAGCAATGGGAAATTTCTGTAAAGTAGTGTCAAATAGTCTTAAAGAGCCGTCACCTTGTGCCACAACTACCTGATTGGGTTTCAATTCATTCCATGCAGAGTCAAATAGGCAGTCTTTTGTAAGAAACGAATTCTTCTCCTTCACTACACCATTATTATCAATTTCGAGTATGAATAACTTACCATTCCCAACCAATCCAAAATTTGACCCAGTGTTCACAGCTAGTATATTATCGTAGTATGGTGAATATTGTACACCGTATCCACTGAATCCCGTTGTTTGATAGCGGAGCATTCTCACAGGATATATGGCTATTTGTCTTCTTTGCGTGATTTCTTTAACGTTGCTTCGGAATATAATAAAGAAAAAAGCTATAACTTTCTTATCAGATAGTTCTTATTTCTGTTTTGCCTTTATAATGTTTAATAGGTTAACTAATGTGTCGATGCTGCTTGGATTGACGCATATCTGATCAGCTCTAATATTTCCCTAACTTTTTCAAATGGCTGCGGACTTTTCATAATTAACACCGATCTTATCTTTCTGTGCCGAGAAACTCATAGCGATGCCCTGAATAGAACAATTAAACATCAAGCTGGGAGAATCAATTCCTCTCAAGGGCTTGAACGACTCTTGGATATAACATGTCTTTATCTATAAATGCTATATAATCTTTATGTACATTAGACTTGAAAAAATAAAATTATGCGATGTTTTCATGCCTCATTAAAAAAGTATGGTTGTAAAATGCCAGAATAATTCTTATTTTGAGAAGACGTCATTAACTGCCTTGTTGAAAATGGTTAATCCTTCCTCTACTACTTCGTCTTCAATAGTCAATGATGGAACAAATCTAACTGTAGTTTTACCGGCAGTGATAACCAACAGACCAAGTTCTCTGGCTTTTTGGACAATAGCACCTGGAGCGTCCTTGAACTCAACACCCCATATCAAGCCTGAACCTCTAACATCGGATATCTTGTCTGGGTGTTGTTCCTTGATCTTCAATAGACCCTTCTTCAATAATTCACCCTTCTTTGTTACAGAGTCCAAGAACGCTTGGTCTCCGATAACATCCAATACATAATTGCTAACAGCACATCCCAAAGGATTACCACCATAAGTTGTACCATGGTCACCAACTTGCAGGGCATTGTTGACCTTTTCATTCACAACAGTGGCAGCAATAGGGAAACCATTACCTAACGCTTTAGCTGAAGTGAAAATATCTGGATGAGCAGCTTTTGGTAGAGCTGCATGGGCCCATAAGTTACCAGTACGGCCTAGGCCACATTGGATTTCATCATAGATAACAATTATATCATTCTTTTGGCATATTTCTTTCAAAGCTACCAGTTTCTCAATTGGAATTGGAAATATACCTCCTTCACCTTGAATAGGTTCAATGATAAGACCAGCGATTTCGTCTTTCTTGGTATTGATAAAGTCCTTTATCTTTGATAGTTCATCATTTATGTTCAGGAATGACACATGAGGTACAAGATCACCAAATGGTGTTCTATATTTCTTATTCCATGTTACTGAAAGTGCACCCATTGTGCGGCCATGGAATGAGTTTTCGAAAGCAATTATACCTTGTTTTTTGGGATTTTTAGTAATACCATGTTTCTTTGCAAACTTTAGAGCCGCTTCATTGGCTTCTGTACCGGAATTGCATAAGAAAACTTTAGATGCATCGTGTTGGCCTCCAAATTTCTTGGTCTTTTCTATCAGTTTCTCACTTAAATCAAGACATTCTTTTGTGAAATATAAATTTGATGAATGTACAAGCTTAGTAGCTTGGGTTTGCAAAATTTCAGCAACTTTAGGGTTTGCATGACCCAATGCCGTCACAGCAATACCGGCAGTAAAATCAATGTATTCCTTATTGTTGAAATCATCAAATAACTTGGCGTTAAGGCCTCTTGTGATGCATAAATCAGAAGGTCTTGCATAAGTAGTTACTTGATAAGTCTTCTCTTCAAGAATCTTCTTTAGAGCCTGTTGGTTTGTTTTGAGAGAGGTGGAGAAATATCTCTTGTACATCGTTTCCTTGGTATATGATATTAATTGGATGTAATAATTGTTGTCCTATCCGATATGATAGAAAGTAAGGGAGAGGGGAAATAGAGACGGCTAGCAATATCTTAGGTTTGATTGCGATGCCTGTTTAAATAATCTTCATGTCATCTCTTATCTCGCTAATAACTTCCAATTAGACACACTTTTTACATTCCTTTATCACAGATTAGTTTCCGTAAACTGTCATATTTTCCTCATTTGTTTGCAAACACCCTCGCTCGTAATTACCTTTTAAGCTGTCAGAGTCATACAATTAGCTGTATATGGAAGGCATTGGCGAGGGTGTATCAACCATCTCTGTTATTTTTATTAATGTTTATGGCAATTATTAGCGAAAACTAAGACCATAGTGATGCCGATGAAGAGCTAGTTCAATAGATGCACTTGATTTGAGAAATGATTGCATTGACAGATATTCATTACCTATTGAAATGACGATGAATGAATATGAGATGGAAATATAGGCTGCAAATTCACGTTATAATTCTAATGACTATTTTTCTATACTGTATATGCTATTATTTACAGAGCCAAACCCGTAACAGGTTGCACCACCCCCAAAAATTATTATTTTACCATTTAACTTCTGGAGCTCAAACCCAACTAGCATTAATTCATCACCTTGCCATATGTGATCGGGTATTCTAACAGACTTTATTTCGTCTGACCTTGAATTGTATGTAATTATGCTGTTGCTAGCGTCAAATAAGCGGTCAGGTGAAGTACCCCCAACCACCAAATATTCATCATCGGTTAAATGAATTATCTTACTACCGTATCTTTTAAACAAATCATTTGTAACTTCTTTTTTGACTGTTAATGTCTCAGATTTGTCATCATAGGACATGATGATCAACTTATCTGAAACTTCAGTTCCATTCGAAGATCCACCTAATATTATCACATCGTTTGATGCTTCATTATAGCACATGGCTGCGCCAATACTTGATTTAATAGAATCAGGACAGTTGATACTTCTGACCACAATTTGCGTTTCGCTTTTCACTGTAATGGTTAAGAATGGTTCTTTTAAACAAAAGTTACCGCCAAAAAGAAGTAGCTTATCATTGCTTAAAGAGCTCGTTGCATGTCGATATATTGGATAATCTAATGTTGCTACTTTTTCCCAACTAGCTGTTTGCTTCTCAAATATGAAAACGTCATTAAAGGGCTGATGTGGAGCTTTTCTACCTCCGATTAATATGTCTAACTTGCCGTCCATCAGAGAATCGTAACTATGGCATACCCTAGCATCGGGTAATTTCATATTTGAAAGAGTCTCTATGGTACATTCTTCAAGGTTTATGACATCTGCTTCGTCAGATCTATACGGAGATGCACCTCCAGTGTATATTATACTATCTTTAGATATCACTGATGAACCAAACCTTTTAGAAAATCCTATTTTGTCAATACTATCTATCCTTAGTCCGCTGATAGGTAAACTGGGTAGTACTTCAGGTTCTCTAAATTTAATGCTCTCATTGAATTTAAATTGTTCATTGTTTGTAGCGTGGCAAATCATGTAATGGTGGCAGAATAAATGGAACTCTTCCAACTCATCAAATGGCTCTATGTTTTCGATTTTAGAATGTACATTAGATGATAGTGAATTCCACAATTGGAACATATCTCCTGCATTTACATTCGTAAAGTTATATCTTCTAAATCTTTCGATTTGAGATTCGATTGTTTGATATTTCGTTACCGTTTGAAGAGGTGATTCGTTCTTTGAGAAGTGCTTCAACATTCTCCCAGAGAAAGGTTCATACTCACCAACCGGAATAATTTGCTCAAGCATAATAAAGTGGCTATTTGGGAATTTTGAACAGCTTGCAATAATATCGTCTGCTTTCTCGTGTTTCATATAAGCTAACGAGACTTCTGCAATAAATATCTTGATGGTGTTTGGATGTCCAAGATTTTCGCTCTTCAATAGCGCTTCAAAAGCAGGCATATCATATAAATCACACGGTATTGTTTTGTATCGCTCAGAGATGATCATATTAGTTTCAGTTGGATCGATACCACCAATAATGGACAGTAATTCTGGTGTTTCTTTGATAACACCAGATTTTATATTAAGCAGATCTGGATAGTCAATGTCAATGAAATTCAGTCTGTTTGAGTAACGAGAGTATTGTGGGTTTTGTGGATCCAGCATCTCAAATGGAAGTGGATCGTACCCACAACCCAGATTGATGATTGTGATGTTTTCCTGACAAGAATCGAGAATAGATTCTATATGTGATCTGACTGCATGAAGTCTTAACCAGTAGCCTCTATTGATACAAGGCGACCTCTTGATCTTTTTGGGCACAAAGTACCTGAAGTATGGCTTACCTGGTTGTAGTTTCTCAGCATTACTTCCCACGCCTAGTTTGGGTAGATAGGTTAATTCCACAGACCTCTTCGACGCGATCGATGAGTTATTGGTGCCCTGAACTGCTAAGTCTGCGAATTTCTTCTTCTGGAACTGCTTCTTAATCGGTTTCTCTCTCTTGATTTGAGTGGACATCCCTGTTTTACTTGTATAAACTTGAAGCAGCTATTCACTCGTTATATAACCTCATATATCGCTATTTTGAATGACTGTTGTCCGTTACGCCTATATCATTGCGATGGGCATCGCAATTTTCAAATGCAATTTTTCACCCATCCAGTCTCACTAGCAATTAGTATGTTTAATGTGAATAATTCATTATATATGAAATAGATGCTATTATGAAGGTACTACATGAAAGAATTAAATGCTTGTCCTCTAGAAAATATATACTACCTATTGGTAGGGGTGGGGGGTAGAATAACTTAGTGTACACGGTTGTTGTTGTTTTTAATGCATATTGCTTAAGTGAAAAGCGAAAGGAAGCTAGTCTTCTTCCTTTGGCAAAGAATCGAACTCTTGTTTTATTATATCCTTGTACTGTGATACCGGTTGGTCCTGGCACTTCATTATAGATCTGAAGCACGCCATTGTGTATTTGACTTCGTCACATTTAATCCATACTTTACCGTTCACACCGATGGCGACTTCAAATTGTGTTCTCTTCGAGAGCAGCAAGAGTAAAGGGAAGTTGTCGTTGAACAGCAAACGGCGTGCGAATGCCAGCGTTACATCTATCACCATGCCGCCTTCCAGCAGCCCGAACCCCGCGCTTTCACCCGTCGTGGAGTCCAGGCACTCTATCTCGGCCTCAAGTTCCTTCTCTGCAGACGACACCCTAGCGTAGACAAGATCACCGACTTTCAAAGTGGGCCTATTCTTCTTGGACGCATTGGGGAACGCCATGTATGACAACGACACCGAGTTAGAGAAACTCGACAACGACACCCGGTAGCTGTCTGAGAACGTAGACGTTATCACACCTATCACTAGGTCACCCACAGAGGGAATATACCTCTTCGAGTTGTACTCAACATACACAGTCTGCCTCTTGGCACTCTCCTTCACCACCGGCACACCTGCATTCACAGGAACAACCGTCTGCGTCTGCGGATCACAGTACACACCAGGGCCCAGGACCACGGGCTTTCCCTGGTCCAGCGCCAACTCATCGCCGGGCATTACCACCATGTTGCTTAGTTATTATTAGTTCTGTCTTGGGCTCCTCGTTGCTCTCCTTTTGCACCAAGTACCACCTTCATGTATGCGATGCGATGCCCATAAATATTTCAAAACTGCCTGTTAGCCAGGAAAAACCTGCGACGTTCCCGATGACCTGGGAATTTGGCAAAAATGCTCTTTGGAGCTCCAAACAGTCTGAAGTCTCAGATGTTGCTGCTATATTAGTGAGTATTTGATCCTGGTGCTTGGTTCCATGAGCAGTGAATTGTTGAGCCAGAGGGGTTAATACAGCGATAGGGAGTTATGGTGTATGAGTCGAAGCCGTTTGATCCGATCACGGTGAAGCCCAATGACAAGAAGCGTGTGGCCTACTTCTATGATGCGGATGTTGGAAACTATGCCTATGGTGCGGGACACCCTATGAAGCCGCATAGGATAAGGATGACGCACTCGCTGATTATGAACTATGGGCTGTACAAGAAGATGGAGATATACCGGGCCAAGCCGGCCACGAAGCAGGAGATGTGTCAGTTCCACACGGACGAGTACATCGACTTCTTGTCCCGTGTTACACCGGACAACTTGGAGATGTTCAAGAAAGAGAGTGTCAAGTTCAATGTCGGTGACGATTGTCCCGTGTTTGACGGTCTGTATGAGTATTGTAGCATATCGGGTGGTGGGTCTATGGAAGGCGCTGCCCGGTTGAACAGAGGCAAGTGTGACGTTGCCATCAACTATGCGGGTGGTCTGCACCACGCCAAGAAGTCGGAGGCGTCTGGTTTCTGTTATTTAAATGACATCGTGCTTGGAATAATCGAGTTGCTGAGGTACCACCCTAGAGTGCTCTACATCGACATCGATGTGCACCACGGTGACGGTGTGGAAGAGGCCTTTTACACAACAGACAGAGTCATGACTTGTTCGTTCCACAAATACGGTGAGTTCTTCCCCGGTACTGGTGAACTGAGGGACATCGGTGTAGGAAAGGGTAAATACTACGCGGTGAATGTGCCACTGAGGGACGGTATCGATGACGCTACCTACAGATCAGTGTTTGAACCCGTGATTGGCAAGATCATGGAGTGGTATCAGCCATCTGCCGTGGTGTTGCAATGTGGTGGTGATTCGCTTTCCGGAGATCGTCTGGGTTGTTTCAATTTATCTATGGAGGGACACGCCAACTGTGTGAACTACGTGAAATCATTTGGTATCCCCATGATGGTCGTTGGTGGCGGTGGTTACACAATGAGAAACGTTGCTAGGACGTGGTGTTTCGAAACAGGGCTACTGAATAACGTGGTGCTAGACCAAGAACTACCGTACAATGAGTACTACGAGTACTACGGCCCCGATTACAAGCTGGACGTCAGACCATCCAACATGTACAACGTAAATACACCAGAGTACCTGGACAAGATACTGCTGGGCATATTCCAGAACCTGGAGAACACCAAGTACGCGCCTAGTGTGCAACTGAACAATGTGCCCAACGACCCAGAGGACAAAGGTGACGAAGAAGAGGACACGAACGAGGCGAAGGACACCAAAGGTGGCTCCCAATACGCCAGAGACAACATGGTGCAGAACGACACAGAGTTTTACTAGTAGAATAGTCAGGATATGTATTATTAAATAACCCCACCCTCTGCCCATTTTTTTTTTCTCGATGTATAAACTATCACAAAGACCGCTATTGAATTTGTATGTAAAACGAGCAGAATATGAACTCTAGAATGAAGCACTGGAGCTGTAAGTCACTGTTGGATAGTAAGAAGATGATACAATGCCAGAAACTATCAAAATATAGAGAGACAGCCTCGGTATACCCATACCAGTCCACGAAATAGAAGCACATGGAAGGTCCTTCTCTCTTCCCCCATAATAATTACGTAAGAAGGGTGTCTCCTGGGGGCTTCCCGTTCGGAAGGGAAGATTGCTCCTATTAGTACTGCATTGCGTAATGGATTCGAGGGCAAAGCTTGGTTCTTTTGGGAGAGTATATAACATCAGTGGGTTGTCATTGGATTCAGTTACATGTTTCCCATTGAGAAGCCCAAAAAAAAGAACGAATAACAGGAAACACACACAAACATACATAATTATACAATGGCAGTTAAGGGATTGGGTCAATTGGATCAGAACTACGACGGTTCTAAGCTTAGAGTTGGTATTATCCATGCTCGTTGGAACCGTGTTATCATTGATGCTTTGGTCAAGGGTGCCATTGACAGAATGCTGTCGCTAGGTGTCAAGGAGGAGAACATTATAGTGGAAACTGTTCCGGGCTCTTTTGAGTTGCCATACGGTTCCAAGAGATTTGCTGAAAAGCAGGCTAAGAAGGGTGAGCCATTGGATGTTGTTATTCCAATTGGTGTCTTGATCAAGGGTAGCACCATGCACTTTGAGTACATCTCTGACTCTACTACACAAGCTATCATGAACCTGCAGGACAAGATAAATATTCCAGTGATCTTTGGTCTTTTGACTTGTCTGACAGAGGAGCAAGCCCTAGCCAGAGCCGGTATCGATGAGGGTAAGACCATGCACAACCACGGTGAAGACTGGGGTGCTGCTGCTGTCGAGATGGCCACCAAGTTCGGTGCCAATGCTTGAATTGTTACCCAACTAACAATGATTAAATAATAACACGATAGTTTTAAGTTAATCAATCATATCAAATGAATCCATAAAGAATAAAGCCTCACCTTTTATATTAATTCCCCAGGTAAGGATAAGAGGATTATGTGCTCTAGTGTAATTATAGAAAACAATTATAGAAAGTTGCAACTCTTTCCGCTGGGATGTATGTATATATAGTAGTATAATATAATGAAAAATATGATGAGTTTTAATGGTAGTATATCTTGGAATAATGCAAAATGGTATATATACAATATGCTATCTATAAAAGAAAAACATTGTGATCGCCTCCTTTCCTCTTGCGAAGTTTCCTTAGTGCGTCTCTCTTCTTCTGTTTCATCTCCTTCATCCATAGACCACGGTTGGCCCAGAAATCGTCACTCCACGTCTGGAGTAAATCCGCCTGTTGACCAGCCTGTATCTTGCTCAATTGAGTTTGACCTTGCAAGAAAGGCGACTCGAAATGAGGGAAGAACAGGTTACGACGTTGTTTAGTATGGGTTTCGGCTACTGGAACTTCTTCTTGTACTTGGACATCCTCTACTGCTAATTCAGGGTTCTTGCTCTGGTCAATATCTTGGTCACCATCGTTAATCAGTTTGAATGTGGCACCAGCAGCCTCTGTTCCCGATGCCTCACCGGTGACCTCAGGGTTGAACAGCGTCCTTAGAGTGTCAGTGTTACTTATAGTTCCTTCAATCACTTTCCGTGTGTCTTGATCATTGTCATTGTTAGAAGTACTGGCGCCAAAAGTAGGGATAAATTCTTCACTGTCATCCCCGTCTGCCTGGGCTGCTTCTTCTGCTACTGTTTCTTCTTCCTGATAGTAGTCTGCATTTTCTGGTGCGGTTTCACTCTTATAATTCCTATTATCTTTAGCAGAAGAACGATTCTGCTCTGCATCAAGCAACTTTCCAGCGTCTTCGTCGTCTAACGCCATGGGTTTGGCAAAATCGAATGAGTCCATCATCTGGGCTAATATATTGTTCGTACGTTCCTTCTCTTGCTCTATATCAGACTCGTCAGCGTCCACTAGATCATCTACTGTCGAGGTAGCTAGCGTAGATCCAGATGAGTCAAGTGCTTCACCAGCCAAGCCAGCAGCAGTTGCGGGCCGCCTTCTGTTCCGCAGCTCGAGGTATGGTCTCCATTCTTCATCCATGTTGGCCCACCTTAGAGCCCCGCGACTACGGCTATAGTCCAGTCTTTCGACAACGTGGTCAGAGCCGTCCTTCCAGAACCTGTGGTTAGAGAATTTGTGTACCAGGTCTCTTGTGTCTTTGTCCCGCTCGTAGCCCCACAGCTTAGTCTTGTAGCACTTATACACTTTCAAAGCCCCGCCTACGTTCAGCCTGAAGGTGATGTTTCGCAGTCCCTGTCTGCTCCTGGGGGACTCTCTCATCCGCCCCGGCACGACTTCTTTCAAGTCTCTCCAACTCGCGTTGATGTGCTCCATCTTCTTGTAGTGCTCCCAGTCGTTCTTACGCTGGCGTTTCTCCAGGACCCGTGACTGCTTCTGCTCCTCACGTTGCTGGGACTCCCGCTCCTGCGACCACGCAGGCCTGGCATAGTCCACAATCAGCTGGTTCCCTTTGAACTTAACCTTGTGGAACCGGCTCTTCAACCGCTGCAGCGCCTCTGCATCCTCGAACCGCATGGTCACAAACGCAAACCCATTGTGCCTCTCAAACACATCCTGGCCGGAACCAACATACTCACCAAACGCTTTGAACCGTTGCTCCAAGTCCGCAAGACACTCCTCGACACCGTGCTTCAAATTCCCAATAAACAGCCTCTTCTCTACCATCGCACAGTACCAGTTTGGTATCAACTTGTATCAATTTGTAGTACCTTGTAATACCTTGTACCAGCTTGATATCAGATATATATCACATCATATCAACTTGTACCAGTAACTGCTCATCGGTATACGGTTTTGAGAAAAATGCTTTTCCGTAGAACACCCCGCACAACGAGGGGGAGGAGTAGAAACCCAAAGCTCATCGCAAAATTTCAAAAATTTTTTTTTCAGAAAAAGCAGATTTAGTAGTTGTATACGTACTAGTCAGATGCATTGTAGTCTACTTGTACGTACTTGGTCACATGGTTGTAACATTTCATACGTTACATCACATGTTTCATTCCTATGTACGTAAGTCCGGGTAACATTTTTACAAATTTTTCTTCTCGGAAAACTGAATTCACAGTCGTTACGTTCTGCGGTTTTCAAGGTGTTTTGGCCATCCCCCACTGGAGGGCGGGCCCAGGGCGTAGCACCAACATACATAGCGGGAGCAAAGTGCAAGAGTAAGCGCCCTCGCAATTTCTATTACTATAACTGTTGGGAATTGGGTGAAAAGGGGCTATATATTGATAAACCCAATTGAGTTCTTAGCTTTTTTGCTGGAATACTGAGTGTTTTTTTTTTGGGATTTGTACCGGATTAGAAAGGCCTTGGTGTTTGATTTCACTTTCACTTTCACTTTTAGAGATCTGATATTTGAGATAGAGTAGAGAAATGAGCTCGGTAGCGAACGAGATGTATCCCAAGATGGAGTGGAGCAGCTCGCTGGATATCCCGCTGAAGGCCTCGGAGGAGCTGGTCAGCATCGACCTGGAGACAGACCTGCCGGATGACGCCGCGGACTTGAAGACGCTGCTGGTGGAGGAGAGCTCCGACAAGGAGCACTGGCTCACGATCGCCATCGCGTATTGCAACCAGGGCAGGACTAGCCAGGGGATCAGGCTGATCGAGCTGGCGCTGGACGTGTTCGAGGGCGCAGGCAAGGCCTCGCTGCACACTTTCCTGACGTGGGCGCACTTGAAGCTCGCAAAGGAGTCCACCACTAGCGCAGAGACCAGGGAGCACGAATTGACGCAGGCAGAAGTGCACTTGCGCGACGCCATCGGTTACGACCCCACCTGGGTCGGGAACATGCTCGCAACCGTCGACCTGTACTACGAGCGTGGGAACTACGACAAGGCTTTGGAGACTTGCGACCTGTTTGTGAAGTCAATCTACGCAGAAGATAAACGTACCGGGCGGATAAGTAAACCCAACGCAATGTTCATCCTGCTGAGAGCAAAGCTGATGTACCAGAAGAAGAACTACGTGGCAAGTCTGAAGCTTTTCCAAGAACTGCTGGTTATCAACCCGGTATTGAAACCAGACCCTAGAATTGGTATTGGTATGTGTTTTTGGCAACTGAAGGATTATAAGCTAGCCATCCAAGCATGGGAAAGGGCACTGCAACTTGACCCAAACAATAAACAGGCATCGATACTGGTTCTGTTGGGTAAATTCCATAACTCATTAACAGAGGCTGAAAATGATGAAGATTTCAAGGAGAAATACGCGGCCGCATTGGCAGACCTTAACACTGTATATACAAACTCAAAGGAAAGTCCAGTGCTGTTAGTGCTGCTTCAAACATTCTTCTTCTTTAAAGGTGACTACGAGAAGGTTATCACTATACATGACCAGAAGATTTCCAAACTATCATTTCTAGCTCCTGAATCAGTGTACTCCGAATCATTGTTCTGGTGTGGCAGAGCAAGCTACGCCATGGGTGACTATAGGAAAGCGTTTACCATGTTCCAGGAGAGTTTAAAGCGTGACGAAAATAACCTGCTTGCTAGACTTGGCCTGGGTCAAACTCAAATTAAGAACAGCCTGGTGGAAGAGAGTATACTAACCTTTGAGAGTTTATACAAGGCGAACGAGAATGTGCAGGAACTGAACTACATTCTTGGTATGCTGTACACTGCAAAATGTATTGCTGACCCGGCTAAAAATAACGACAGCACAGGAAATAAGCAAAAGAACCTTACTGGTGCAGAACTGGTTAAGATGATTGGTAAAGCTCTTCATTTCTTAGACAGATATATTAAATTAACTGCCGCTAAGAAAAATCAGATGACTGTGCCGCGCGTACACCTTGTAATGTCACAACTTTATGAACTGCAAAGTCAATATCACTTGGCCTTGGAAAGCTTAGAGAAGGCTATCGAGAATATAAAGTTCTTTGATGGAGAAAACGGTGTACCTCTAGAAGTACTAAACAATCTATCCTGTTTATATTTTATTACAGGTGATTACGAAAAAGCACAAAAATACCTTGCATTGGCTGACGGTCGTCTCTCTCAGAGTTCCAATGATGGCGCAGAAAAGCTTGTTTTGAACTATAACGATGCTCGTATTTTGGAAGCTAGTGATGCAAACACTGCTCTTACACGCTATGGATCTATTCTGGGGAAACATCCAGGTCATGTTGCAGCCAAAGTTAGAGAATTATATCTGACACTAGAGAAGACTGGTGTAGATAACTCTGATGAATATAAGAGATTAAGCGAAGAAGTTGAAAACTTGGTTGAATCTGAAAAGGATAATCTTGAAGTTCGTGCCTTCTATAGTTGGTTTTTGAAGCGTTCAGAATTGACGGGCCGTGCAGTTGCAGAAAATAACGCCAAGGAAAGTGCTTTCAATAGAGACACATTGGTCAAGTATGACTCACACGATAAATACGCTCTTATTTCTTTGGCTAACTTGTATGTTACTCTAGCCCGGGATGCACGTCACAGTAAATCTTCCAAGGATCAAGAGAAAAGTAAGCAATCTTTCTTGAAAGCAACCCAACTATACCAGAAGGTACTACAACTAGATCCACTGAACGTTTTTGCTGCTCAAGGTATTGCTATAATGTTTGCTGAAAGTAAGAGGATGGGACCTGCTCTTGAAATTCTTCGGAAAGTAAGAGATTCATTGGAAAACGAGGATGTTCATGTGAATATAGCTCATTGTCTATTAGATATGCGTGAGTATGTCAAGGCCATTGAAGCATATGAGTTTGTATTGAAGAAATTCTGTACTGATAATTCTAGTATGAATAAGTCAAGAGTATTAAACCTGCTTGCTCGTGCATGGTACTCTAGAGGTATGAGAGAGCGTTCTGTCCAATTCTTTCAAAACGCTCTAGAAAAGGCATCAGCAGCTCTCGAGACAGAATCGACCTCTAACTTCAAGAATCTGAGATTCCTAGGTGTTCTTAAATATAACGTTGCACTTTTACACTTCCAGATTGCTGAAACTCTAAGAAGAACTGGTCCAATGCTTCGTACTTCTGCAGGTATGAAAGATGCATTAGTTGGTCTAAGTGAAGCCCTTGTTCTTCTTAAGGAGTTGTTGGAGAGCGATAACTTCAAGACTGTCTCTAAAGAAGAACTGGAACAACGTATTCAATTGGGTGAGACGACGATGAAGAGTGCGCTAGAACGTGCTGTTATTGAACAGGAAGCGTTTGAAGAAGACCAAAACAAGAAAATTGAGGAAGCTAGAATACAACAAGCCAAAGCTGGAGAAGAAGAAGAGGCCAAACGCAAAAAGGCCGAGGAAGAAGCAAGAGCAGCCGAGGAGAAGAAGAATGAGGAGTTCCGTAAATTGCAAGAGGAGGCTCGTAAACTAATGGAGGAGCGTGAATCTTACATGGTAGATGAAAAGGACGTAAATGATCTATCCGAAGAAGATGGTGATTTTGGCGGAGATGAGCCTGGTGCTTCGCCACAAAAGAAGGACAAGAAGAAGAAGGCCGGTACAAAGAAGAGAAAACGCTCTGAATCAAAGCCTGGTAAAAAGGCTAGTGCTGCTGGTGAACTGGGATCCGAAGATGAGGACGAGGCTCAAGTAACTAGCGGAAGAAAGCGTAAGAAGCCAGCTCTATCAGAGGAATTCATTGCGGATAGTGATGAGGAATTGAGCAGCGCAAAGATGAGTGAAGATGAAGAAGCAAAGATGAGTGATGAAGAAGAAGCTAAGATGAGTGCAGGAGATGATGAGGACGATGGTCTCTTCTAGATAAAAAAAGAATTGTAAGGATCTTTCGTGTAATAATAAATAGATAATATGACATTTAAATATAAAGAACATATAAAAGCAGTTTTTATTTTTTAATTTTAGCATTTTTTATGTTTTGTTATTGAAGTTTCATAATAATGACATACAAACGTTGTAACTCAAACTTGCAGTCGACGGCAAAACCCAATAAACCTATACCATAAATCAAACTCAAATAAAAGTACACTTATCTGAACAGGTTCAGTTATACTACTGCGACTCCCATAGAAGACAACGTATAACGAACAATAGAAGTTCATGAAACTACGAAGACACAAATGATTTAAATATATATATATATATATATCATGTGACTCAAATAGTATGTCGTATAACAATATAATAGGCCTCTCTTTCAAATCCTCAGAAATCCGATGATTCTGGAAGAGATGAGCGCTGAGCTTCTGAATGCGGTCTTCTTGACATGATCAGTGTAGGGTGCAAGAGAAAGGATATTGACAGCTTATTATAGCACTAATATAAGAAACATAGAGCATTATAATTGGCAAATTATTTTTCTCTGCCGTGCCTGACAATTCTCGTGGAGTACACTGTTTACAAACGGGAAGTTTAAACATTACGAGACACCGTAACGTTCACCTATTTGAACTGATTTGACTGTGGATATTGCGATAGTACACATAATTTGGTATATAAACTGTTGCGGAAAACAATAGTTGAGTCTTTGTTGTCTTTTTTTTTCTTCCTTTCGAAATATTCACTTTAGGGATTTCTTATAGACACCAAAGGTAAGGAAAGCTGCTTCCGATAATGAACGGGAGCCCGAACTATGGACAGGACAAAAGCATGCTTGGTGTCGCAGTGAATGGGGTTGGCTCACCAGGCAGTCCAGTTAATATGGCCTCACCTGGTTCTGGTGTAGGCTCCGGGGCTACACCCAGCTCAATGGCAACTGGTCCTGCTAATGGTCCTGGTAACTATACAGGTGGCCAGGGACAACAAATGCCACGTATGCCAGGTGGACCGGCTGGAACTGGGATACCGACAGGCATGAATGGACAAGCTCTAAACCAGCGCCAAATTTTACAACAAAAAATGTTGCTTCGACAGCAGCAAGTACAGCAAGCGCAACATCAGAGACAAATAGCACTACAAAACTACGAAAACCAATTTAATCAGCTATTGATGATGCACAACCCACGCCCAAAGAGGAATTATGCCTTTGTTGAAACTCCGAACGAACTTTTAAAGAAGTATGAACAATACAGACCTAGTTTTGAGTTTCATATCTACGAGAATAATTATAAAATTTGTGCACCTGCAAATACGAGGTTACAGCAACAGCAGAAAAATCCGGAACTTACAAGTGATGGTCTCATATTAAACAAAAGTAACGAAACATTGCGTGAATTTCTGGAATATGTAGCGCGGGGACGGATACCTTATGCGATCATGGAGGTTTTGCGAGATTGTAACATACAGTTTTATGAAGGCAACTTAATTTTACAAGTATATGATCACACAAACACAGTTGATGTGACTATACGTAGTGATACTAAAGGACAAGACCATTCGAACGGTAGCCCCCATAAGAGCCCTAATGCTGTTACATCCGCGGGACATAGTGGAAACCCAGGTAATTTGGGGCAAGCAGGCGCTGTCTCTATCAAAATGGAAAGCCCGAAACCTGTCACTGGAAGTCCTGCTGCGTCTAACTTAAAGAATCAAATTGGCGCAGTTGGCAATATGAAAGAAGACGCTGAAAAAAGTGGAAACACTACCCTAACACAAACACCTGGACAATCTAAACCAGGGGAAAACCAAAACACCAAGCTGGATTCCAATCAAACATATAAGAGACCCAGAGTGTATAGGACTTTATTACGTCCAAATGACTTGTCACAATATTATGACTTGATGAGTTATGCTGACCATTCCAGGTTTTCCGATACCGTATACCAGCAATTGGAATCGGAGCTTTTAACCCTAACAAAAAGGAACCTTGATTTGAGTGTCCCCATGAATCCTTACGAACATAAAGATAAACTTGAAGATGAGTTATTTACTGCACCATATTGGGATGAGAACGTTAAGGGTATTATCCACCAGCATAGAGACGAAAGTACCGCAGCAAGGACGAAAGGAGTTGTACACCATATTCCTGAACATGAAGATAATGAACAAAAGACATCTGAATATGAACAGCTGATGTTGATTATGAATGAGAGGACAACAACTTCCACAGGTGCCACTTTTGCTGCAATAGTTGCAATGAATGCTATGCAGAAGATGAAACGTAGCAATGAAAATGCAGAGGATGATGATGCTGTAGGTGGAATAGAAAATGGACTGAAGGGATCCAATAACAACAGTACGGGGAGTAAAGTGGCTATGGCAGCTGCGGCTGCGGCTGCTTCCTTAGGAGGAACAATGAATAGTGAGACTAACCAATTTAGGCGGTTAAAATTTATTGAGCAATGGAAGATCAATAAAGAGAAAAGGAAGCAACAGGCTCTAGCTAATAACATGCTGCCAACTGCCTACAATGCTCGTATTTCGATGACAACTCCTCAAAATGGCGGCAGTTCTAATGGAATGCCGCAGGGAGGTAATTCCACAGAAGGCACTGGAAAAGGAAAGGCTGCAGCAAAAGGAGCAAAGGGTGGCACTAAGAGAGGAGGAAGTACTGCTGCAGGTGACAAAGCTCCTAAACCTAAGAAGCCACGTAAGACTAAAGCCAAAACTGCAGATGGCGATGCTGCTCCCAAGAGGAAAAAGGCGCCAACTAAGAAGAAGCAGCCTTCAGGTAGTGAAGGTGGTACTCCAAACGTCCCTCAAACTCCAGGTACTGCAGGTTCTCCTTCCTAATCTGTGATATTATTTTTATTCACCTATAATTCGTTCTGTAAATTGACTAGATTGCTTCAAGCATTTGTATATATATACGGTAGTTCAATTGCTGTTCAAAATTAAAATTATGGATAGAGAAGTTATAATACAACTAAGTTAATGACCTATAAAAATCTACCATATTAGGGGCTGCATGCTATCATACTGATTCCTAAGCGAATGATGTTTTTGGCTCATTTTCCAGCAAATACTTTATTAACTCATATACATTTTTGCGGTCTTCGACAGTATGAATCCATATACCATATACTTCATGTTTTAAATTCTTGATTATTACAAGTTCATCTTTGACCTCTACTCCCATGCACTCAAGAGGATTCTCTGCATCCTCAATGGAATCAAAAACCTTCCTCTTATTTACGACATTATTCGGCACAATCCCCATTGAGAAGTTGTCAGGATTAAGTCTGTTCAGTATAATTAAACCGTAATTATATATATCCCTTCCAGAGAGCATTAGACCCTGCCCATAGTTCTCGTTACCTTGGGTCATTGATCCTGCTAGAACACTTGCATCCATAGTACTGTCCTGTGGTGGAAGGAAGTCCTGCCCATTTCCGATGTCCCTTAGATATATCGCCAGTACACCCTGGTATTCTAGTTTTGCCCATTCATCTCTTTCAATATCCCATTTGTACACTGATGCATGCGGTGTGTGAAATAAGAGCTGCTTTATCTTGGGATCGTACCTACCTATCACATTAAAGTTCAAGGCCTTACGATAAAATTCTAATGCTTGCTCAGCATCATCGTTGCCGTTACTTACTGACATTTGATATTGTAAAATGAAATATGTTGGTAACTGAAGTAGTTGTATCAGCTAATTGAATTGAGGAATAACTATGTAATGAATGTGTCCCGTAACTTTTGCAGGTGTTGTTGATTGAAATTTAGAATTTCTAGGAAATCTCGAAATACTTCAATGGCTCAATGCTCTAAGATTAATAAACCAGTAATTATGTCGATTACTTATGCAATGATGTGTACTAAATCCTTGAGAGAAGGACTATATGAGTATGTTAGGTGTTATTGAGCCTGAGCCATCGCCTAATCGAGGGAGCCAGTTTTGGTAATCGTTATAAGTGATGTTTATAAACTATGGAGTTGATATAATGTAGTAGTAACATTATTAATTATGTCGATTGTTTAATCACTGAATTGGTATTGAAACATTTATGTTAAGAAGCATTATGGATAATTAATAAAGATGCTGTTCATTAAAAAAAAAAAGGACGATATTTATATAGCCTTATTCACGCAAGAATTAGAAATCGCAGTTTGTAAAGGTCATACAGGTTTAGTATAATTTTACAAACTTTAATCGATATTTTGAATATTGATTATTGAGTATGCTGAACCAATAACTTTAGTATGAGCTGCAAAATACATTTTATTGATGTATAAAGTAGAGATCATTTGAGCATCAATATAAAGTTTAATCAAAATAAACATATTTGAATAGTAAATCCATGTGAATGAAAACTATTTGAAATGTTTGAGCTTAGTATGTCGACTGAATATTTTGATGCTGTTATATGTCTACTTTTGTTCTTCATTTGATTCAAAATTGGTGTATACTTGGATAGTGTGAATACCTGGGACTAACAACGATTAAGTAAGCTTCTATGGCCAAGTTGGTAAGGCGCCACACTAGTAATGTGGAGATCATCAGTTCAAATCTGGTTGGAAGCATTTTTTTAGTTCATACTTTTTTCAAAAAGTGAATTTAAATTATTAGATATTATATGATTTATTATTATTATATTAGAAGTCTGTTTGTTATGCATGAGTTAATTAATAATATTACAACTGCCATAATGGCGTAAATGCTCTTATTTTGTTACTTAGTTTCTTGGTTGTATTTGTAAGCTCAATTGGTAAGCTCTGTCAGAATCGATAGAAAAGACATTATTGACCTTCCATAGCTCATAAACAATAAGCTCTTGTAGGAGCGGTACACTCGCTATATTTTTGGTATCCAAACCCATTTCTTCTGTCAATCTAAAAAACGACTCCCTTTTTGGTGCATCCTCACTACTGTTCGTATTATATCCGACTTGGAAAAATTGCATAGTTGTTACAATTTTAGTAATTCTGTAGAACTTATCCACATTGATTGGCTTATTTGGTCTGAATGAGTCAGGATTTCTGAACGTCGAATTACCCTCGTGTATGAACGTTATATCCTGTAAGAACAGATTGAAAAAAGGTACGACAGGCACATGCGATTTCACTGGAATAATAGAGCCTTGTGATGAATCGTCAATGATTTTTTTCAACTTTTGCCTGTAGACTTTGAAATTATGATTAGGATGAATTATTCTTGATAAATACTCATATAGAAGAGTGTCCTTTCGCGATAGTTGTTGCCATACACCAGTCAAACGTGTAATAGAATGATTTTGGATGGCTGTCATAATAGAAGCCACAGAATTAAAATTTCTCAAATAAAGGGCTGATAGTGCAATTCTTAACCAGGCTTTCAAGATTGTTGTTCTTGTAGCATCGTTAATTCTAGGTGTTAAAATACCGTTCATCACATATTGTGAAAGTTGGTTTGTGAATGATGTAATGGCAGCGACATTTGATGATGTTATTGTAGAATTTGCTTTATAGTTCACTATATCGAATGGCGTTAATCTCATGAAAAGAAGTGATTCAAGGATAGTTAATTGTTTCGCTACTTCTAATGGATTTAAAATCACTAAGCTGAATTCAGCAGCAGTGGATAAATCGGAGTTAGAGAAGTGGTGATTTTTCAGCTCAAACCAGATTTTCAAAATCTCATCTGAGGTTTTGTCTGTAAAATCATCGTAATTCTTTTCATTCAAATAATTTCTGTATTTGTATACCAAATTATGAATTTGCTCAGTGTTCTCTTTGCTTATCAAAGAAAATGTACCAAGATTCAACACTGGTAATGGAAGCGCTAGGTCATCTTCTGTTTGGTGTGGTATATGTGTTAGTTCATATTCATCGATTAAGCGTTCATCCATAGTTAGTATTGATTTATTTGTAGCCGTTGTTACAGTCGAGATTTGAGAAATCATCGAGCCGCCATTATTTTTTAAAACATTAATTGGACACAACTGGGAGTAAGTTGTAGTCAACTGCCTATTTTTTTTGAGTTCGTTGAATTTTAAAATCAATTTTGCAGCCGTTTGTATTAGCATTTTTGATTCTCTAGGTAGATAATCAGCCATCCCTTCATTGAAAAAGTTTATCATTGTGGATATACATTCGAAATCGGTATTGTAATCCCAGTAACTTTCCATCCATTCATTAAAAACGGAACAGATCAATCTACGTCTGTTTTTCAGTTTAGAAGCCGTGGTAGAGTATTTGCCTTTGGGTTTATTATCCCTAAGTTTATTTTCCATATCCGCTAAATCAAATCTATTTATTAGTTCGGTCACCAGTTCATATGATTTCATGAATGACCGAAAGTTAAGAAGAAATGTTGAAACAAAAAAGCTGCTTGGATGGTCTAGTTCATCAGTGAGCTTAAAAACCAAGCCACGACAGGTAGCTGTTATTAATTCATTATTGCTATCGTAAATAAGGTCTTCTTCACTTAGCTTGTCTGATGAATTTGTCACCAATGCAGAGCTTTCAGCCTCTGAGTCAGTTGGTTGATATTTGAGAAATACGGAATCACGGGCGAATGACTTTTTTTCTGGGGAGCCTTCAATTAGATTATGATCATCAAAGAAATCTTCTCTTAAGGGGGTGATAGTACTGTATCTAGTAACTCTTTTATATCTTTCCTTATCATTAGCAAAAAGATCAATGGATTTTCTTTGGAAATCAGATTTAAATACGTCATTATTTGAAGTTGTCTGACTTCTATTTATCAGATGTTGAGGATTTATGCGAATCTTTTGGAAATCCATATATGATCTAGAGGTTTCAAGCTTAAAGTCACCAATTAAGCGAAGGTAGTTATGGCATTGCAGGACTGTGTTATTGATTAAGGGGGTCATACTTGCCACAATTGAAATCAGCTTATGTTGTTGGGCTTCAATAGTAGCAGTATCCTCTTTGTGAATAGATGTATTTAGTGACATAGTCACTAACACTTTTATTGTTGAAACCATATCTGATACCATTGATAGCAACTGGTCCAAGTCTTCGTTAAATGGGTCTTGATCAACTTTTTGAAATTTCTGTTGCATTATGTATGCGCATGTCTTGCTGATATAGAGTAATTCTCTTAAAATGATAATTATCTGGTGTATTACCGATTCTAAGGTTTCATATCCTGCAGGATTGTTCGTAACCATTTGCAGACGTCCTAGTATAAGGCCAATATACTGAAAAATTAAGTTATGTATTTCAGTAAGTCTTGCAATTGCAAAGGGTGGTTCTAATAAAGTGGTTGAGTTGGCCTTCTCCGATATCTGGTTCTCTGTTGGTTGGTTGGCGTGATTATTTGATACCGTAGATTTGGAACTGGCCTCTATAGAGTTGTTTTGAGAGATAAGTTCTTCTTTTTTATCGGATGGGTTGTTCAATATATGATATCTGGAATCATGCTTACTTGAATCGGTGGATAGGTGCGTACTCCATGCGTTGTAAAATGTGAATGCTTTGTTGGTGACTTTATTTGTTAGTTGTATTAATGTGGTTATATTTTCTGCACTGGGGGAGGTTTTCTTGTAGTGGTCAGCTTTCATCATAAGGTCGTACCAATCAGCCAGAAGAGCTTTTCTCGCTCTCCGTATTAGGGATACAGATTTGACAAGTTCATCTGATCTCGAGACACATTTAGTTAATTCTAGCAAGGTTTTGACGCCGTCCCTTATATCATTAAAATATTTATGTTTAAACTTTTCCGATCCATCTTGTTGTGTTAGAAACTGTGCACATGCAGATAGTAATGACTCCAGTGGTAAACGCGATTTCAAGTACTGTGGTGCTGGGTATGCAGCCGTAGTTGGATGTACAGTATCTTGGAAGTAGTTGAATGGCACCCAGCCTCTTTCATTGTTCTTGATAAGTGTAACTTCACCCCATCCGGACTCGTCTACGACGTGTACGAATGCTACATCGTTCTTTTTGAATGGTAAGCAGATTGAGGCATCTTCTTTGTTTTGTAAAGAACTTGGGTCGAACTCATGGTTAGCGATAATGAACAAGTGCGAAAGGCTGAAATCGTCTGGTTTGGACTTAACCGAGTTATTTGTGCGATCGGGTGAATCAGGTTGTAGTTTAGTTGTGATGTCGGGATCGATGCTGGTAATCGTGTCATCGATGTTGGTGTTATCGGTAGGCTGCGGAAGCGATATACCGAGGCCGTGAGATACAAATCCTTGTTGGTTTTCCGGCTGAACTTGGTCGGCTCTTGGTGTTATGTCTGGCGGCAGGTGTAGTGGGGATGTATTCACGACAGGCGTTGTGAAGGAAATACGTTTATTATCTTGGTAAAGCCTCAGTTGCTCTATCTCTTTTGATATGTCTTGCGCGTCCAATTGCTGCGATGGTGTAGGACTAGAGGTTGCAGTGTGGAAGGACGCGGTCTGGAAAGACGTGTCGAGGGGTAAAGTCGGCGATGCGCCATTATCATACTGGCTTGTCGGAGAATCCATTGACAGTTGTATTAATTATTGATGTGTGATTTAGGCGTCTTTCCTGTGATTATGATGTAAGTTGCAGTAGTGGTCTAATTTTAGAGTTTATTTTTGCCAGCGTTGGTCTTGCGTAGTCGAGACCTCGGGACTTAGCAACGATTTTAAAAAAGATTTGGATTTATTGGAGTTTAATGGTATTTGGGTAAAGTATATAGCTGTGTATAAAGGGAGCTAATTGTAGTCAATATGGTGTCGAGCGGTGCGTATGTTGGTGATGTGGGAGTTCTTGGCAAAGGTTCCAGTCGCGTGACAATTTACTGTAGCAGGTTCCGAAATTTTTTGGTGTTTTTTGGGTAATTTACATAAGAAGTGATGAACCTAGAATCGGGTTCTAAAAATGTATAAGAATGGTTATCATTTTGACTGAAAGTTTATTTCGAAGGTGGTGATCTCTTGTGTGGGTCAGTCGGTGCGTGTGTGGTTCTTGAAATTGTGAAACAATTTCAAGATAATTCCAGGTTAGAAAAATAAGGTAGTGGCAGAAGACAAAGAGAAATGTATATGTTTGAGTCAAGTGTCGAGGCTGTTTTGAGCCATCAAGGTAGGTCTGAATGGTGAGATGTAAATTGACTTTTGTTTTCTTCTTCTGTTTGCTACCCAGTTTTTGATCTGTATTTTTGAGAGGTTTGTCTTCTGTGCTAGATATTGCTGGCTGTTGTGGTCGAGGTATGGGTTGTCGATATGGTTGCGGTACCAGGTCTCTAGTATCTGTACGTTTTCCCTTGTGAAGCGGTGGCCTCGATAGGAAGCGGCATAGTGATTGGGGACGCCTTTTTTAAGCAGATGGTCTTTGGTAACCACATTGAATACGATCTCATGCTCCCGTAGTTTTGACAGAAGAGTAGACAGTCGATAGGTTGTCTTGATCAACCCTATCTCTTGTGGGTCCAAGTTGTTTCTCGATAGGAACCTTAGGATATCGGACGACGGCCCCGGGAGCGACTGTCTTTTGGGTAAACTGGAACACAATGATATAAGTTGGTTATTAATCTCTTGCAATTTTTCCTTTAAATTTTCTTCTTGTATTGGATTAAGTAGATGCGTAATACTAATTCTTGATTTCTTTGACATAATGTACTTTGGTATTTTTAAACCACATATATATTCACTAGTTCAGACTGAATTTCATTCCGTTCCTTTTATATAAATTTATTGAGGTTCAACCGCCTAAAAATTGCAATTTTAATAAAACTACACTCCCTGTCTATCATATTTACCTAATATGGTAAAATACTGTAAATACTATATTAATCTTACACAAGTCTCATATCCAAGAGAATTAATATAAAAGAAACCCAAAAAATTGCCATGTTAACATGATTAATGAGCAGAAATTAACCATTCCTTTATGTCAGTTGTACAATATCTGAAGTCACTCTACTAATGTTAACTGAAACACTGACTATGAAGTATACTGCCACAAAATTCAGGGTTAGAACAAATAAAAGACTCAGAAGCCAAAAATATCCTGAAAAACACTCCGATTTTCTGGGCTGTAGTTCCACAAAGAGCTCCTTTGGTCTTAACATGCTGTTAACTAAACCGAACAAGTTTCAGATCCCACCCCCTCACCCTGTGTTACTAAAGCGAATTAGAGAAGAAAGGATGAAACTGACGAGCTCATTTGAGTCAGGTATCAATATCATCGATATTGAAACATCATGGGAGATAGATAAGTTCATATCTCATCACTTCAATACTTCCATCGGAAATGTTTTAAAATCGAAATCCAGCAGTAAGAAAAGACCTATGAACGCTTTTATGGCATTTCGTACATACTATGCCCAATTAGGCACCGGCCTCAAACAAAATACACTCTCCGTCATTCTCTCAGAAGCTTGGAACGCCCCAGAAACGGATCAAAATATTTGGGACATATTCGCGCAGCAGTTTAATTTTGCGAGTCCTCGGTGTGGGTTTGTAAATTATATAATGGCCCATGCGTCCTCAGCGCCATGACAGAACTTGGAGCAGGCGACGGAGGCGGAGAGCGGGTAGTTAGATATAGCTATTTTGTCATCTACATATTCATCAGCAAAGGAGTCGTGGCCTCTCGCCATCGCCCCCACAAATACACATACTGATTGCTTATCCCCAAGGTACTCCTGCGGCCTCATCACCTCAGCGTCAAAAGAAAGAGTGACCTTCCGGCAGTCGGCAGGCAGGTATTTCGTAACTGGGTTCTTCACCACTCTCAGCAAATGTGTGTTCGAACTCTCCATAGACCTGATAGATAGCTTGTGTAACAATTGCACCATCAGACCGGAGAATCTCTTGAACGTTCTGGGTATTCTCACAGATGGATTCACCTCGATCAGCACGTTCTTCTTGGTCAGGATGTAGACTTGTAACAGACCGGCCTTATTTATCGGGGAGTCCAGCAACGTCAGCAAACACTGGTGCGTAATATCAGGTCTGGCCTCAGCGATGTCCCTGCCCATCTTTCGCAGAATACCTTGATGGTCGTCACAGTTCAGCAGCGAGGTCCTGTGGTCATTCGAAGTGTAAGTCTCCAGACTAGCCTCACACAGCACAACATACAGCCTGGGCTCTTGCTTCTTGGTAACACTGCTGTTATTGGGACCACCGATACGGGCCTTGGAATCTTCAACCATCGCTTATTTTATCCTTCTATCTATTGTAGATACTGCAGAAGCAAGAAACAAGTTAAACAAGAAACACAATAAAAACATACATACAAAGACTTAACTACAAAATTGAAACAAGAATCAACAAATATGACATACTCATCGCTAAGCTCATCGCTAATTTCTCTGCCAAACGGAATCGCACTGCCATCGAACAAAAAACTGAAAATTTTCGATGAGGGCTCCCAGCACAAGTTACCCTGCTTCGGCACATCACATTCTAACGTATACGAGTCACAAGTGTGTACAGTGCTGTGCAACCATAAAACAATACTGTATGGAACTGCTTATCGCATAGATAGCAGTGGTCCATAGCTGTTTCAGTGCGCATGTCTCAGCTATCGAACATAATTGAAGCACAAATGGGGAAATTACTTGAATAACAGGTATACTTCCATTTCCAAAAACAGAGCCAACTGATTAAAAAACCCCATACTGGAGACTTAACACCTTCCAGACTTATTTAGTATTTGAAACGTATATCCTTGCTGTAATTGTAAGACTCCCCATATTATTCCAGGTGTACTCCCCCCCATGTTTCAAATATGAAAACTGCTAGGCGCATGTGCGGCGGCGATGCAACCACAGTACTGGCCACTTCACACAAGTCACAGAAATCGCATACCTATAACGGTTAAAATATAACGCAAGCAATAAAAGCTAAAACACTGACCGGGTAGGGTGTTTCATGTTACCAGCATCCTGGGTTACTGGGAGGGGCATTAGCCTCAAAACCAAGCGTTTGCAAGGATGCCACGTGACCAAAGATTTTAGCTCCAGCTGGCTACTGCTTTCGATATATCTACACTCTACGTCAATGTATAGTGGGGGAGTAGCTATACTTACTCAAATTCTATCCCTGTTGTAATCTGGCTGGTCCTTCTGACTCTAGCAATCTGCATCTATATTAAACTACTCAATTCCATGAACTGAAAAATGCTTTGGTCGGTAAATGACAAATATGCTGTTCCAAACGCATTTTAATCCAATTGCCTTATGGGAGGTAATTAGTTTTAAGTCAAACACAAATTTCTTGGCTGAATAAACCTTATCAAATACCTCATGTCCTGTTTCTTTTCCATCTCATTATGACTGTGATAACTTTACTTAACAAGCCACGCGTTGAGTGTATTATAAGCAATTCATAATACACCCTCAATCACTGCAAGATCAATCAATTCCAAAGTCAAGATTAAAATTTGTATCATTGATTACATATGGCCAATATTTATCTATGTTGCGGCCATTATAACACGTACTTCATTGATTTAGCCACAGCTCATCGTAATTCATTTACCTCCAATGTAAAATGACCATTCTTAATCGCAACACAAAATACAAACTAACAGTCCTCAACTATGCAGAACAAGTTAGCATTAACAAAGATAACGGCTGAGCAATTTTGATCAATCTATACATAGAAAAATATTGATCCAGCATCGATAACCTCTATTGGAGGGCTATTTCCAATCCGTGAATATCATGCTAGCAACTATGAATCTATATGCGTGTCCTATCTGGCTAATACTGCTCCTGGATAAAAGTATATCTTCAATAGTCAACAAGATTGGAAGATTATAACAGAATCAACAAAATAACACCGGATATAACACAGATTCTGCCAACGGCACTATCAATCGGCTCTTCAGAGCAGGTAACTATAAGTAAAACCTCGAAAAATAACAAAATTTTGCCGCTGTAACATATTATAATATATCATTTATCACCAATTGCCTGTAAATGGAACAACTGCGTATCGGATTCAACACATTTCGTAAGTATAAAAAATGAAGATACATGTACTTCAATTCTTCAAGCGACAGGCTGAAGGGAATATTAATACATATTTCTTATCTGGCTGAATAAATATCAGTTTTACGTTATTTAGCAAGACATAGACTCCTTATAACAGTTTAGAAATTGTGTATACACAGTTGTTGATGCCCTTTTATTGGGATCAATAAGCCCTGAGATATTTTTTTGCTTCAGTACTTATCTTTGAATGCACCCGCCAATCGCACAGCATTGCATTGAGCGATTCATTGCTAGAAACCTTCCTTTGGTTATAAAAGAAAAATAATTATCTTTTAGACAACTACTTACAAAGTATATGCTAATAAAAGTGCCTGCCTAAATGACTTTAAATGTTTATTAAAACAAGTTTAGTAAAATGACAACGCTTATGTGATCTTGACAACGAAATTATAATATAATGATTAATAGAAATGTTATTATATCGAATAATTTATTTAAGCGGAAGCCTTAGAAGCGGTACCAGATTGGAAACCGTTCTTGAATCTTCTAGCGACGTGCTTCAAGTATCTCATTCTACCGGTACCAGTAGTGTGTCTTCTCTTAGCCTTTTGGCCCCAGTTGTAAGATCTGGTCTTAGCAGATGGGTAACCACAAGAAGCACAGGTCTTCTTTTGAACGTGGAAGGAACGACGACCACATCTGTTACACAAAGTGTGGGACTTGTTGTGACGCTTACCGAAAGATGGAGTACCCTCTGTTTTCATAAGTTTATCATTCTCACTAATATCCAAATACAACTTCTTCCACAGCGCTGAAACATAACCATATGATCATCTTCGAGATTTGGCTAATTCACATGCATTCATATTACGGGATTCTCTTCTATTAATATTCCATTGGTACTTAATAACTTTTTGTCCTCTAGATCGGTATTCATAGTGCAGTTTCAGTTTCAGTTCATGTAAAAAGTCAACATTGGCGTTATTGTAAAAGTTTGATAATAATTGATTGTTAGTAACAGAAATTCATAATCTTATTTGTATTGATGAAATTAAGTTCCTTCCAGAGAAGTTAGAAATATAATGTTGTTTCAGGGAGTCCCATTGCATAGTCAGCTTCTCAATCTTTAATCTGGTGCGCATGATGCTTCATGATACATTAATTCGCTTCATTTCATGCATTGTCACAAGTCCTATTACGCTCCAATGATATCCCTCAGCTATCATACATTTGCTGCTCTCACCAAATAACATAGTTTGTAGTTTCGATTTGTATATCTTATCAGTATCTGGCCACTTTTTTATGCGCTGTATTCCCAATTTCACTTCCCACCTGGAGTAAAGTCCTTCATATTTCATCGTACTCAAAATACCAGCTGGTGCTGGCTCGCTCATAAATTCGTTCTTGCTACATACTACCCATGTTTGCCTATATTTGATCTGTTATTGACTTTGTATTGCAAATATCAAAAATAAATACTATACGTGCCAATAAATAGTAGCGCTATTTCATATATATCAACTAGTACACCTGAAATTTCACTTCATTTTTGTCCAGAACAGTTTTTCACATCTGGGGGGGGGACTGCTCAGTTCTCAGTCCTCTGTCCTCAGACCTCAGTCCCCGTTGGGAAGGAACGTAGTGAAGCTGCACACGCCTGGTACTCTAGCCTCCCTCTACCCCCGTCCTTCCATCACACACCTCCGTCCCCAGCCTAGGGGTACCTCCCTTCCCCTTCCAGCAGTATCACCCGGTACCACCCAGCGCCACCCGGTACCACACCAGTCCCAGACTCAGTGATCGTTGTTGCTCACTGCCAGTAACCCTGCCAGGTTCCACCTAAACCTTTCCAGCTGCCCAGCTCCAGCTCCAGCTCCATACCAAACACAGAATCCGTCTCCCCGTCCCACACCCACACCCACAAGAAACAAAAAAGAGACTTCAGGGTGTCTGGGTGCATAACCCTCCCCCATCAACAAAAACAAGTCACAAAAGTAACACGATGCATTGATACGCACATCACATGTGGAATACACACACTGCTCGTAAATAATTACTACATCCACATGTCATTTATGCAAAACTTACCCGGAACCTTTGTGGTCCGGCAAACGCGAAAACGCGAAAAGGAATTAAAGCGAATTTAATTTCAGAATTTCGACTTTTTGTCAGTTTCGATGCGAGACACCACACACAGACACACACGGAGAGCACTGGAAAATGTCAACAAATGTAAACAAACGCACCTTAAAAACCACCATAATAACGTGTCACATACAAACACACACATACAAACACACATACACAAGCACACATACACAAGCACACATACACTCACACAATCCTCAACATCAGTATCCATATTCATTAGTGTGCTCTTGATGCTTGTAGTGTTACGCGTAAAACCGTTAACATGCTTCTCTCATGGCTCTCAAAACTTTCTTTCAGTTGCTATCCCATCCAACTGCTCCAAATATATTGTTGACGCCTTTACAAATATATATATCAATTGCTGTTATTGTAGAAAAGTAGAGATATCTTCAAAAAAAAGACTTCTATCTGCATACCGCTAAACAAGTCACCCATGTTTGAGCAATTCCCGCCATCATCTCCAGTGAGGAGCACTACCGAGAAGAATCCGTTCTTCCACTCAGAAGGCGATTACACCGAGAAAGGGTTCAAAGTAACTCCATTGCCACCAAAGAAGCCTGAGCTGCAATCCCATGACTATCCAACCCCATTCCCATCGTCAAGTACCGGAAGGTCCTCCCCAGTGAGACACACGCGTGATATAACTGACAGTCCACCCTTACACACATCACCACCAAGAATTGCCGACTCCTCGCTAAGCGGCACTACCACTTCCCCTTCGTCTGCCACTTCTACTGCCACTACACTGGTACCAGTTTACGCTCCACCCAAGAGGAGAACACTTATCAAATTGTCCACCGACCGCCCAGAACCGCTAACTATCGGTCGTAAAGCATCCTGCGACGTGGTTCTGCCAAGCAAGTTGAAGATATCTAGAAAGCATGCTCTTGTGAACTACTTACCAAAGACAAAGCAAATCAAGCTGAAATGTTTGGGCTCAAACGGTCTAGTTGTCTTGCTCCCTAAGAAATTGCAATGCAAACTGGTCAAGTACAACACAGAGAACAAAGGTGTCATCAGGGACTCCGAAGGTGCAGAATACTTACTCTTGAAAGACAATAGTGCTACTGTGCCCTACTTCTCAGAAAAACTGGTTATTGACGTCGAGTTGACTTCTTTCACTTTGTTGCAAAACGAGAGTGTGATCATCCCATATGTCAAAGGTACAGTTATAGATTTCAGGGGCGCAGAAGGTATCATATACGTGGTCAAGAGAAGAAAGACACATAGCTACATTATCAAAAAGCCAGTTCTAAAGGAAACTAAACAGTCAACCTCTGACCTAACTGAGTTCTCCAGTTCTAGCTCTGAGTCTCAACAAGCGTTGAGCAAAGTAGAACCTAGCTCACCAATCTCGTTACATCATTTTGGCAATACTAAGCCTTTCGGAATACCTAAACCCAAATTCGCGACACCAAGCTCTTCTTTCAAGCTGAGCGCTTTCTCACCAAAGGCACCAAGAAAGGATAATTCTAAGGCCAACGTTTTTAGCTTGCCAGAATCTCCAATCGCTCATCATGATAAATCTAAAAGTGCGCTAAGTAAGAAATCCATTAACAAGAGACCAATTGAGCAATCAGAAAACAGCGCTGTCCTGAACAAGCCAAAAAAAGCCAAGAAAGAGCAAAAGAAACTAAGCAAGGAAGAGGTGATTGAGCAACTAAAGGTTAAAGGAATAGATATCGAGAATGTTAAGAACGTCCTAGTGAATCACTTGGCATTTGCAAATATACAGCAGACTCCATTGTTCCAATTACAATCAGTTAACAGTAAAACAGCCGAATTGTCACGTAATGAATTGCGCGTATTATTGGGAGATATCAAATGCGTTGGTATTATCTACAGAGAGGGTAAGGATGCTGCAGGAAAGCCTCTTGATGAGGAATACTTCTATGACTTGGAGAATGACTCTGATAATGACCGTAGGGGACTAGTCATGTCATTAAAAGGTGGTAGATCAAATTTAAGGTCATGTAGAAAGACACATAAGCAGTACTTTTGGAAGAAACCAGCTAAATAAATTGTTAGTTGTTAGTACATGTTCATATTAATTATATTTAAAAATTATGAAGGTATCATTTACTTATATCATTTTAGAAGTGACATTCATAAAATTATATTATGTTTTGGTAGCTAGTAATGTAAGTGCATTCAAGACAAATAATGAAATTGACATTAAAAAATTAAATGTATAGATTATCCATCTCTGTAAAGTACAAACGAAGGTCTTAAATAATAAATTAGCTACTCAATCACTATGTTTCTTCAAGAAATCTTGCATCTCTTCCGTGTCAATTTCTTGAGGGTCCTCAGATGAGATTGCTTGTAATAGGCCATCCAACATATCGTCAACCTTTCCTTCTTCTATCTTCAAGCAAAGTGATAACACCCTTCTAAACTTGTTTTCCAAATCAGTTCTTTTCTCCTTTATGCCAACTAAAACGTCTTGGAGGTGGTCATCGTTTTTACGATATGCCTCAAGTCTCGCTTTCAATAGAGGCGCTGGGGGTAGGCTTGATGCCAACTGTTCCTTCAACTTATCCTCACTTCCTGCATTAGCAATTAATGACTTTTTGATACTTTCAACAGACTCTTGGCTTAATAATTCCTCCAGGTTTCCTTTATAAGTGCTATTTAGTTTGTGTTCCACCAAATCATATATTATATCAATTCTGAAAGGTTCATCCGCGTCAAATTCACTAGAATTCCAATCAATCTTAGATGCCTCCTCTGATGAAAACCCAAGAAACTCGCTTTCTTTCCTGAAGTTTTCTTCTTCTTCAGCAATTCCTTGTTTTATATTCATCAATTGTTCTTTCAGTAGAGCATAGTCATCCCTTAATTGCTTTGTATGGGCCAGTCTGTCTCTAGAAGTGGCCAGAAGCTCCCTCTGTGAGTTTAACTGCGAATGAAGTTTTTCTAGCTTATTTTTGTATTGATACACTTCATCCTCATAGTTGGTTTTAACTTTGTTCAACAAGGTTTCTAATTCTCGTATCAGATTTCCTGTGTCTACAGAACTTAATTCTGTTACCTGTTTATTACCAGCTGCTGGTGACATTATCTTAGGTTGGCTCATTTCTCCCTTTTGACCTCTTAGTTTTGAAGTTCCTGCTCCAAAGTCTACTGGTCTCAATCCAGACTTGTTAGAAATAACAGGGTCAGCCCCGTAGTCTAGTAAGGCATCAATTATAGATACATTACCCAGTCTTGCAGCAATATTCAAGCATGTGTCACCATTCGAATCTTGTGCATTTAATAGATTATTAATAAACCATTTCAAGTCAATGGACTGGAATATAGAATCGGGTGTGCCATCGAGTTTTCTAGTTTGCTTCTTAACAACCCATCCCATCAGTATATCAAGGTAATATTTTGCCGCAATAGCGCAACGTGACATACCTGAGGTTATAACGATGTGGTGTAAAATGGTTCTATTCATGGAGTCTTTAAGTATCAAACATGGGTATAGGTAATCCAGTAACTCTTCAAAAGTTCCGGCATCATAATTATTTACTGATTTCACAGCTTTCACTAATGCTGATTCACCGGCATTATCGCCGAGCAATCTACTTGCACCATGCTTGACCAATTCTTTCACCAAATCGATATTTGCAATAGAGGTTAACCAATGCAAAGGTGTATTGCCATGCTCATCTGCAGGAATGTTCAGGTTCAGTGGTACCTGAGGCATACTTAAATCGACTTCATATAATGCATTTTCAAAAGTATGAGAAGGGTTAGTATTGCCATTTTTTGAACCAAGTTTTGATGGTGACTCATGTGCCTCTGGGAATAACAACCTTTGTAAAAACGTTTCTAGTTTCAGTTTTTGATCGTTATCGACTGCATCTGATGGGTGGTCAGCGGTGCGCAAAGTTATCGGTGTATCATTGACCTTTTCAAGATCATGTGTAGTTATCACGATCGGTTGGTCCGCCAAATTTTTAATCTCTTCAGTATCATCCTCATGTAAGGTATCCAAAGAAGAGTTTTGAGATGTCGAGGTAGGTTTCAGCTTCATTTTTTTCAATGGAGACCCCAATTCTCTTTGTGAATCAAAATCGAGGTCCATGTTACTCAATCCATTGCCACGTTTTTTCACTGACGAATCTGTCATATCTTGGTCGACCTTCATAGTATCATCATTTCCTTCTTCATTAATCGTGACATCAGCGTCCGCACCATTTTCAACATGGCCATCGACCTTGGCGTCAGCTAACTGTTCAGTATCTTCTTGTTTTAAATCAGACGTTACATTGATACTTCTTTCAGTATCATGGCTACTTGACTCAATATCCTCTTGCTTCTGTTGTGTTTCGTGGTTATCTTCAATTGTGTGGTCTTTGCCGAAACTATCTAAATCCTGTTGAAACTCTTCTAATATCCCTAGTTTCTGCATCACTTGCAAGCTCGTGTCTTTGCTCACATACCCGTCTTCCGACGCCATCACATTATTCTTCGCCAATACTTCGGCTTTATCCTCACTCGATTGTGACTCGACATGTTCACGCAATTGTGCAACACGTTCGCTAGAAACTTCGCCAAAATTGCTCTCCTCGATCCACCGCAGCATAACAACTATATCGTCCACCGACACACCACCGGCAGCGTCGCAGTGGAGGCTAAACGGGTTCAGCCCGAGCTTCGCAACAGGCCTACTCAACTCTATCATTTCTCGATGTAATTCGATCGCACTTTCGATGAAACCACTATTATGAACAAATGTCTTTCACCTTTTCTTGCAAGTCCTACCTTTGTAGTGCCCAATTGATTCTGTTGAACAGTTTCTATATGTCCAAAGAAGTTGTATTGTTGTCCTCTTTCCATCAAACTTCTGAAATTCTAAACTTTCTGGCGTTCGCTTCAAGGTGGAAGAAGCTCGTTTCCAACGCAAAACCTTATCGCAGGCATAAAAGGGACTGGGGATGAGCATGAAGATGTATATAGTAGGGCATTGGCATAGAGGTCGAAACGATAACGGCACAAGAAGATGGATAGTGGATCAGTACGGTTAGTTGCCACCGCGCAGGACATGGAGCGAGCTGGGCTTGCAGTGGTTGCGTATTACCTGCGGTTGTATGCGGTGGAGAAGCTTTTGCAACTGAGCGAGCGGTCTGATGAGGTTACAGAGGCTGCTACGATGTTGCTTGACCAGATTGAGACCTTCAAGCAGGAAGTCACAGGTTCTGAGGATTCTGAAGCTGATGGAGTGAAAGTACTGCTGCAGGACAGCAAGAAAGCCATGGTTTACATGCTGAATTTTGCGATGTCATTGTACAATGATAAATTAAAACAGGTTCAGGATGGGCCTTGGGATCTGACACTCAAGCGTGGTTTGTGGTGCTGCATTGATCTGTTTACATGTGTCATTCATCTTTGGCAGTCTGATTTGCAAGATTTGTCTAAAGTAGCAGAGAGAGTAAAATATTGTAAGATATATTTGAGTAAAATGGCCAAAGGTGAGTTGCAAAAGCAAGAGGCCGAGCCTAATGATGAGGAATTGGATAAAGAACTGGACAATCTTGTTACTGATACAGCTAAGGAAGAGTCCGGCGAGGAAAAACCTCAAGAATTGGACTATGCGGACTTTTTGGGAGGTGATGATGAATCTAATGATGTTCCACTTGATAAATCCGAGGAAGAGGAAGTCAACAAGTTGGTAGGAGATTCACAAGATAATGCGGTGACTGAAGATGATGTTGACGATTTAATCAATAAGCTTAAGATGGCTGATGAGGACTCAGAGAACGAACCTGATGATCTTTACAGATCACAAGCCGATGAAAATGGTGGTAGTGAAGAGCCAAGTAACCTTGGATTACCCGACACACCCGCTAACATACCGTCTAGGAAGTTGGACACCCCAGCATTTGTCGATTCAAGTGACGAGGACCAAGGCAGTGATGCCGATGTGGAAGAAAAGGACGATGCAGTGGAGCCTGTGGTTCACACAAGTTCAACTCCTATGGAACAAGAGCTGGAAGAGCTAGAGACTTCCAAACCAACATACACGAAGAATGATCTGGCGAATATGATGGATAAAGCAGATAAGATAGAGAAAATACAGCGATTTGCTAAATATGCTATTAGTGCACTGAACTACGAGGACATATCCACAGCGCGTGACGAATTAACCAAGGCTTTAGAGTTGTTAAACACTATGTAGAGGTAAGGGAAATCCTATATAACAACAGATATATGCATGACAATACTCAAGACAGATTTGTTTTGTTACTAAAAAAGTTGAAGTTTTTATTAATATACATGATTTGAGTTGAGCAAATCAACAAAGGTTTATAAAGTTTTATTTAATTATGAATGAATAAGATTGCCTTAGAATACCAAAATAATGTCCGATATATTGGAAAAATTAGTGAGAATTGGAAGTGAAATTTTGTTGAAACAATTTTTTGTTTATTTTGTATCTTTAATATAAGTTATTTTTTTTCCATCTTTTCAAAAGCAAACTCTCAAAATGCAAAATGGGGTTCAATTATTTTGTAAGTCAAACAAATACTTTTCTCGGTTTGTTTGGGATGGTTGAAAAGAAAAGAACAGGTACAATAGAAAGAAAGCTGTGCATCAAAAATACGTTAAATGGTATTATTACAATTAGATGACCAACTTCTTTGGTTGTTCCCATGGGTATTCTTGGTTGGTGAAGTGACCGTAGGAAGCGGTTGGCAAGTAGATTGGTCTAGCCAAGTCCAATTCCTTGACCAAGATACCTGGTCTTAGGTCGAAGTTCTTCTTGATGATTTCAATGATTTCGTCATCTGGTCTGGTAGCGGTACCGTAAGTCTCGACGTGTAGAGACAATGGTTCGGCGATACCGATGGCGTAAGAGAATTGGACTTGAACTCTCTTACATAGGCCAGCGGCGACTAGGGACTTAGCGACCCATCTGGCGGCGTAAGCGGCAGAACGGTCGACCTTGGAGTAGTCCTTACCGGAGAAAGCACCACCACCGACGGAGGAAGCACCACCGTAGGCGTCGACGATGATCTTTCTACCGGTCAAACCGGCGTCACCTTGAGGGCCACCGATGACGAATCTACCGGAAGGTTGGATGTAGTACTTGGTGTTCTCATCTAGCATGTCTGCTGGGATGACTTTGTCGATGATTTCGGTCTTGATCTTAGATCTCAAGTCCTCGGTGGAGATTTCGTCGGCGTGTTGGGCGGAGACGACGACGGTGTCGATTCTCTGTGGGACCCATCTACCGCTCTCGTCCTTGTACTCGACGGTGACTTGGGTCTTGGTGTCTGGTCTCAACCAGGCCAAGGAGCCGTCACGTCTGGCGTCGGCCATGGCCATGTTCAGCTTGTGGGCCAACAGGATGGTCAATGGCAGACCTTCTGGGGTCTCGTCAGTAGCGTAACCGAACATGATACCTTGGTCACCGGCACCGATGTTCTCCAAGTCCTTCTCCTCGTGCACACCTTGGGCAATGTCTGGGGACTGCTGCTCGATGGCGACCAAGACGTTACAGGTCTTGTAGTCGAAACCCTTGTCGGAAGCGTCGTAACCGATCTTCTTGATGGTGTCTCTGACGATCTTCTGGTAGTCCAGCACAGCCTTGGTGGTGATCTCACCGAAGACCATGATCATACCGGTCTTGGCAGCGGTCTCACAGGCGACCTTGGAGTGTGGGTCGACAGCAAGACAGGCATCCAGGATGGCATCGGAGACTTGGTCACAGATCTTATCTGGGTGACCTTCACCGACGGATTCAGAAGTAAACAAGAAAGTACCAGCCATTGTTACGTTGTGATGTGATGTATGTGTGTGTGGTTATGTTCTATCGGCTTGAACAATTGACAGCAATTGACATTTGGGCCATTGCAAGCTTATATAGTGAAAAATTTCAGAATTTCAGAATTTCAGCTCAAATTTTTTTTTTTTCACTTTCCTCAGCCATAAGCACAGAAGGGAACATACACAAATTTTCACAAGGGCCATCGCACACTCAGCGCACAGCGCACAGCACAGCATACAGCAGAGCATACAGTAGTGCGCACAGCACAGCGCAGCGCAAAAACTGAAAATTTTTTAGTGATGCGAACGGTCAGTCCTCAGAGACGCCCGCACTACTACCCGTCCAGGGCATCGCAACCGAAAAACTGTGTCTTTCCCTGGCAGTACGCTCACTCTGCGCATTGGCACCTTCGCAGTACAAAGTTTCTATCGGGCCGTGTGCCGTGTGCAGTTATGTTCTTGGTGGGGGGTGCCTGAATTCCGTTTTATGCGGGACGCCACAGTTTTTGTGTGTGTTGTACGAAGTGGGTGTTGGTTTCCTGCGTTGACAGTGATGCGTTGCGGGTAACTCTCTCTCTTCTTTCCCAATACTTGCGGGTAACCCTGCTTTACCTTCTATACACTTTGCGGGGTTACCCGCAAAGTGTAATACGAGAAACCCTTTAATATACAATATCCCCTTACTATAGCAATATAAATAGGTATGTAGTTGTTGGAAGGGGGGGGTGTTAGGTCGATGCTGGTGTACCGTTACAATTGCAACTACACTTACAACCGCACATTGCAACAACTATGAACTACAGCGTCAACACTACACAGGCTATTGTAGACCCTTTGAAGAAGCACGAGGTCATCCCCGATGTGGTTCCTGACTTTGAGCCACAGGGGTTCCTCACCATTGAGTACCCACACAGCAACTCCGTAACCCTCGGCAACGACATCAGCGTCCCAATGGCCAGCTCGCTGCCCGAGATCACTTACACTTCCACCTCCGGCGTGAGCGACCCGGACAACGACAGGTTCATCGTGGTCCTCACAGACCCGGACGCGCCTTCCCGCACGGACCACAAGTGGTCCGAGTACTGCCACTACGTCAGAACAGACATACAGCTGGTGCCTAACAACAAGCTCGCCTCGGCTGCAGGTGCCGCCGGCGGCGTCTCCCGCGAGTTTGTCTGCGCCGACCTCAACGCAAACGGCAACACCCTGGTGGAGTACATGGGGCCGGCACCTCCTAAGGGCACCGGCAAGCACAGGTACGTGTTCCTTCTGTACAGACAGAACGCGCCCTCTTCCCAGCTGACAAAGATCAAGGATAGAGCCAACTGGGGATACGGCGAGCCTGCCGTCGGCGCCGACAAGTGGGCCAAGGAGAACAAGCTAGAGCTTTTGGCTGCTAACTTCTTCTTCGCCGAAAACGCTTAAATATATAAATATATACACACACACATACCTATATATATTTATATGTATATGCTGATATGTTGTTCCCCCAATACTCTTTTTAACATCTACTATTACACTGCCTCGAGAAACATAGCCAACCATTCCGCCCCTCAGTCTGTGTATGTACAATATTTTTTTTAAGAAATTTATTTATATTTATAAAAACTATATTCGTTAAAGTCGTTTCATTATTATAATACTTCAAAAGTATTAGGCGGGAAAAGAACAACAAAAAAAAAATACAACTTGTTGTTTGGATTTGAGAATAACAGGTTTCTACGCCGAGGCCACAGGAATTTCGGTTTCTTCAACAATAAGCTCAGTTTCATAAAAAGTTTCATAAAACTCTAGCTCAATAATGGGAATATAAGCAACAATAGGAAAAATATGTGACATGCCAAACAGGCTGCAATAGAAAACTCATTTTGCATCTGATATTAGACAAGTCTGGGCCATATTAGTTACAAAATTAAAAAAAAAATAGCATAGCATTTCAGCTTATACCGGAGTGTTGAATAAGTGCTCTACTAACTCAGTATACACACCAATCTGGAAGTTGTCCAGCTCTATACTCTTTAAAGGAGGAGCCACAACAAGACCGTCCTTCACACCGTTGCTATTGTTGTCATTGCCATTGTTATAATCATCCGCACTATATTGCTGCATCATCTTCTGGTACATCTCCATCTCTTTGCGGTTAGGGTCGTAGTACTTTCTATCAATTTCTAAATTATTAGGAATAGCGCATAACCAAATTCTAGTCTTGTAGAATTTGAACAGTTCCTTGATCAATTCTCTGAAGTCATTCCTCTCTTCACAAACATAATAAAACGTCAATTTCTTTCTATCAAATTGGAATTCGGCATTCAATATCTTAATGTTCAAACGTGGGGTACACGATTGCTTGTTAATCACTTTCTGAGACATTTCGTCGGCTTTGTCTCCAGAAGTATCTGTAGATTCGTTAGGAGGAGTGCCACTTGAACTGTTACTCTCCGTACTGTTACCACTGTTGTTGCGGTGATTGTGGTTTAACCCACTGTTTAAAGACCGTAACTTCAGTTGAGCAATATGTAGAGCCTTCAACTCATCCTGAAACTTGTTGTGCAGGTTTGTTGTGACCTCCCAGGAATTTGCAAATCTCAAAACTTGTTTTGAAGGAACTACTAGCTGCGTTAACTCTATAATATCGTAAAGTTTGGGGTTTAGTTCGTCGCCAACACCGTTTGTAGAGTCGATTAGAGCCTTGACAAACTTTTCGATAGGATAATGTTGATTCTTATTTGTTATCAATGAATCAAAGTGTATTTTTTTCTTCAAAAAGTTAATAATCAAAGCAAGGTTTAAATCCACAATAGGTTCGACTACAAGAATCAAATCTTTTCCTCTATCACCATCTACAATAACTAGATCACCCTTCTTGAGCGCTAAGTTACTGTTTTGAGGAATTGACAGTAATTCCAGCTTACCATTCTTTAGAGCACCCAATACCAAAGGCTTATAATGAAGGTATGAAGACGCTGTGCCCTTCCCCCTTCTATTGTTCATATTTGCCGTAACAAAGGCTTCAGATTGAGGATTATAATTCAAGTTACAGCTCTTCAAGAACCCCAGGAACTTGTAAAGACGGCTTTTGGTAACATTACTTAGTTCATTCTCGTTTGATGTAGCCTCTAGCATCGGTTTTAAATAGTCCATAAACTCAAACACTTCTTTAGCAGAAAAGTATTTGGAACCACATTCCTGATATAAGTCGTATAGCTTATCCGAAGACGCCAACTGCTTGCTATCAATTACCACTAAACCGTTATCACCACTGTCATTACCACCCACTTGAGTATTTGGATAATAATTTGGATTCTGCTGAGGTTGTTGTCTAACCCCATAATTATAGTCATATGTAGGTTTATAAGCAGTTTGTTGTGGCTGTTGATTGTATGCGTAGTAATCATAAGGGTATTGTGCTTGGAAATTGTTCCCGTTGGTATTCTTGTAATAATTCCCATCTGTAAACTGGTTAGCATTCTGGCTTTGTTGGAACTGGTTGGCACCAGCTGGTTGTGAATTACGGCGGCTCACATAATCTCCAGTACCAAATAACTCCATTCTTGTAGGGTTATCGAAGTGTTGTTGGTGATTATTAAAGGTAGGACTTTTCATGTCGGCATTTACTGCATATCTTGAATAAGTATCTTGGATGGTTCCATTTTTCTCCAAGTTTTGACCTTCATGTATATTCTGATTATGAATTAACGAATCTGCGATGTACGAAGACCTTCTGGCTTCATTGAAAATATTAGCACTACCAAATGCACTCCCAAAACCTGAATTTAATGGTGTTAGCATCATATCAGGACTTAGTGTCATATTTCCACCCAGGCTTCTATTCTCGTTACGATCGTTACTGCTATTATTATGATGGGGCAAAGAGTTCTCAAAAAATATAGATCTTCTTCTAGCATGTTCTTGAGGAGGAGATAATGGCACATTTGCTCTTGGGCTATGGCCAAACCCTTCAATGAAATCTATTCTTGGTGCTCTCTCTGTGTCTTCTTCATGAATAGTTTCATTAACTTTCTTGTTTATTTGTTGCGCCGCATGTGCTTTGCGGGGAAGATCATTCAATGATTTACCACTTGCATTAGTGAATAATAATTTGTCATAATAGTTTCTCAAATCAGTATTATCAGATATGCTAGTGGTGCTGTTGATCGAGGGAAGTTCCATCGTCATAGCTCGGTAATAACAAAATTAAGCGTTGTGATTGCTACTTGAGTAATATCAAACAGACGCGAGATTATTTTTCGTTATTAATATGCCTTGCCGATGAGCGCTCTCTGGTTATAATTAGTATTCCTCTGTTATATTGTAATTCCAAGGATATATCTATTTCTTAGTTTTGGATTACTCAAAAGATTCTCAATCTCTTATTCAATTAATGAATTACTGATTGCAATAGAAAATAGATTTGTTGTAATAATAGAATACCGTGAGTCTCTAATGAGGTCTAAAATTATTTTCCGCCAGAGAACCAAGTTAGCTTTCTTATGGGGAAATAATTTAGATGGGCTGATTTAGTAGAACTTGTTTCTTTATAAATCAAATGAGAATTAGAGAACGAAAGGGATGATCATAACACCAAGCAAATCAAGGATAGCAAAATAGAGTCTAAAGCTCCAGTTATTTGGAAGGGGGTAGTAAGCACTGATTGATCTTAAGAAATGTCCCAAGTAAAACAAACAAGGGGGGCGAAGGTATGGGAAGAGACTTACAAGTAAAGGAAAAGACGGTTGATGCGGAAGATTTGTGAGAAATAGTAAATTGGTAGGTCATAAGGGAGATCTGTGCTGTAGCAGCTGGCACATCTTAGTGTCGCATACCATATCTTTGGACTTTTATCGTGTCATTAATCTTTGTTTATGACTACAGTATGGAAAATCTCGAGCATATGCCTAGAAATTCAGTAACGTATAGTGTCCCAAATCAAGGGGGAGGGGGTACATACAAGGGATGAAAGATTAAAATAACAGCATAGTCAAAATAATGGGAAAGAACACTAGTGAGAACTATTGAAGTTACAAAGCATAGAAATATAAACCGACAGTTTGTATGAGGATTCGCTTAAGGGAAAGTTTCTAACTGTGATTATATTCACAGTGTTGAGTAACAAAAAGCAGTACAAACTGAAAAATGCAATTATTGAAAAAAAGCCTACTGGTAGCATTATTTGACTATTGTAGTCGACTTTTTCCGTAGATTGGCGTGGGATTCTGTTGTAACTTGGTCTTTTCATGCTGATTCCCCGGGATCAAACCATTGAGATATACTTGGTGGACAACCAAGTAAGCTCTGTGGGGGAGTGGCATTGTAAGGGGATGGCAATGAAAACTACCTAGGATCAATGTTTTCCTGTTTGTGAATGTAAATGAAGGGGTGAGACTACATATTGAAATCGGATTGGGAAGATCGTAAAAAAGAAAAGACTAATGTGCTCTTCCCAGACAAACTGTTAAGTGAGGCAAGCAGTGGGTTCCGGTTGAAAACTAATATGGAAACAGTTTACCGTTGCATACATTGCTGGGCTGGTCTCTGTTCTATGGCTGTCACTGCAACTTATGTCGTCAGTAAATAGCCGTAGTAGTTATTTTTATTTTGGTAGGGAGATAAATGTGGGGGAACTGAATAGAAGATCCTCACTTTGGCTCAAAGCGCATTTAAGTCTAACCTTTCAATATTTTCCCCGAGACTACAGCACGCTAATGGACATTGGCCAATACTATGTTCACGAAAGTCAAGACATCTCTATGCTGTACACGTATTATTGATCATACATTATGAGGCATTGGGCGTAAAAATAGATTATGTTATATCATCTTACGCTTCCAGTAGTTACCACCCATCAGCAAAATATAGCCAGGAAGATCCAGCTCACTGAATTCTATAGTTCATAGTGCTATTTAGAGAACAATGAAGTTTTTCCGTTAGTATTTTCTTATGAGATCTTTGAGAGGAAAACGGCACAGAAGCAGCAGTACGAAACCCTTATACACTTCCCCTTTTGTGAAGGACACCAAACAATCTTTTCAGGGAGAATGGGGGGTAATTTTAGTTTTCTAATTGTCCCTCGTAGAGACGTAATATGAAAACGTTATATTAGTAATTTTTCCGTGCATAGGTTTGTCTACCCCTCTTCTTGCAATTTTTCAGTGTTTTCCCTTTAATAGGGTGGGGCAACGAATAACTAGAGCATTTCTAGTTTTCGAGCACAAAAGGGCAAAATAACCAGCCGAAAGAGTTGACACTAAGAATAAACGCGGACGACCTATTATGTTGGTTTTGATGAGGGAAATATTGGAAAGATAGAGATATGGGACTTTTCAGACATTCGCTACAAAGACTCAAAAACGAACAAGCGTTCGCATAATTTGAAATAGTTTTGTTACAGTTCAGAAAAACTACTATCAGGGCTAAGCTAGTATACGGTAGCTAAGCGAATATGCTCAAACTACCTAAAATATCGCGGAACTCTATCTTGATAAAATTACTACAGTAAATATAATGGAAAAAAAAAGGAAAGGATCAGTACTTAGGCATATATCACTTGTACTATATTATAGCACACGAAATCCAACAACGTATTATGTTACATTGATCGTATTTAAAAATCAAAAAAATAATGGTTGCTAAGAGATTCGAACTCTTGCATCTTACGATACCTGAGTGCTCCTGAGTTTGTTAACCCAGTAAGTATTTTTCAACTTGAATCAGGCGCCTTAGACCGCTCGGCCAAACAACCATATTGTACTTGATGATTTTGTCTAAGTTTTAGTGACTAAAACGTAGTTGTTTTGAGTAAAATTGGTAAGACTCTGTTGATTTATTTATCTATAATCAGAGAAAGCTATAACGGCTAATCATGGCCATTGTTCATCTAACTATAATCATTAACGTATGCTAACTCTTTTCTATTCAGATAAAAAAATGTAGTTTTTTGCACAAATATTTGTTTATATGTTTAGGTAATAGATAAATGGTTGAACGTCCTATTGATCTAACAAATCCTTGATATAAATGAAGAATTTGGTAATGAATAAAAACAAAATGAAAGTCAATGAATATGATTTAAATATAGATGCTAATGTACAATGCTCATAATAGTTATAAATATCAATAAGGTAAATAATACAAGACAGTAATTGTTAATTTTTTTTTTTTGATTTTTATTTTATTTTGTCGTCAGACTAATAGTCGATTTAATTCATGCAAAAGTGTGAAAGTCCAAGCTCAAAAATTATGAACTTGAAAATCAATAAGATGAACAGAGATTTCAACACCAGAAGGCAGCTATTCTCTTGAGGTAGCCACCATTCTTTAGCTTCTCTCTATACTCTTCGTCTTCTTGCTTTAACAATTCTTCATCAAAAATTTGTCTGTGCTTATCCAAGTCAATATTGTTCGCTCTAATGAACAAGCTCCAGTCCTTCTTCCAAATTTTGTAACCAACGTAGAATAAAATCAAAATTGGCATAGCTAAGTAATTCTCAAAGAAACCTTGGGCGTCTAACTTACCTTCACCAATTGGTGCAATGGCAACCCAGAACTGAGCAATCAAAATCATGACCAGCATGAAACAGACATAGTAAGAACCCCAAACACCAGTCTGAGCCTTGAAACCAATCTCTCCCAAAGACCTCTTTTGTACAAACATGGCCTTTCTGAATCTAATATGGGATAGGCAAATGGCGAACCAAGTAAATACTTGAGATAAACCTGAAATAGCTAACAACCAGGTGAAAACTTGTTCTTCCTTTGGAGAAGCAGCACAGAAGGAAATAATTGCAAATACACCAGCACAAACCATAGCTCTGAATGGTCTACCTTCCCTGTCAACATAGTCAAAGAACTTTGGAGCATTACCTTGTTGTGCCAAGGAGTACAAAAGACGAGAACTGGAATAGAAAGCAGAGTTACCAACCGATAGAACTGACAATAGGATCACAGCATTAATGAAATGTGGAACGACTTTTACACCATGTGTAGAAACAGCCAGAACATATGGAGAGGCCTTTGTGGCAGAACCCCCAGAACCCATTAACTGATCAGAGTCATATGGAACCAAGAAACCGACCAAAGTGATTGAACCTAAGAAAATGAACAAAATTCTATAAAGAACCTTTTTGGCAGCAGATGGAATAGCCTTTCTTGGATTTGATTGCTCGGCAGCAGTCAAGGCGATGAATTCAGTGGCACCAAAAGCAAAGGCGGCAGTAACCATGGTAGCCATGATACCCTTGAAATGATCAATTGGACGGTCACCAGCAAAGGCACCTGGTGTATGCCAGTACCTGTCACCAATGTAGCCATCATTACCAGCACCACCAGTGTTGATTACAATACCCAGGATAAAGAAGCCAATCATCATTAGAATTTTGCAGCAATTGAAGAAGAATTCAGCTTCAGCGTAACCACGAGCACCAAAAGTATTAATGACAATGATCAAGACGTAGAAAATACCAACAAAAATATCAGCATTAACAGTGGTAGTCCAATACTTAATAGTCATCGAGGCGGTAACCAGTTCTAAAGGACAGACACATAACCATTGGATACAGTATACCCAAGCAACAGAGAAACCAAATGCAGGGTCAACCAAGAATGAAGGATAAACATTAAAACCACCACTTAGAGAACTGTATGAGACAGCCAATTCACCAGCAGCTTGAATAATACAGTACAGACAAGTACCCATAATAGAGTAACCAATTAGAAGACCAGCAGGACCAGCATTGTGCAGGGCCTTAGCGTTACCAACCAATAAACCTGTACCAATACCTGTACCCAAAGAGATAAGAATGACATGTCTAGGTTTGATTGTTTGTTTCAATTCTTTGTTCTTTTGATTACTCTTTTCAGTGAGAACTTGATTTTCTTGTACTTCAAGATCGGCAACTTCTTTACCATCTTTGTCCAAGTTTTCAGAACTACCATCACAAGAAGCGGCAGAGGTGATTTCAGAGTTATTTTGTTGTTCAGCTCTCTTGAATGAGTCAACAAATCTTCTAAATTGGGATGGGGCTGGAGTATTTGGTGTAGCAGAGGTCTCCGGAGTCACAGAGACTTCACGAGGTGACATATACTCAACCTCTTTATCACTGACTTTATCATTAAAATCAGCGGAATTATCTTTAAAATCAGACATAGCAAATTCCTGTTAAGAGCGTAATAAAATCCTTACTCAACGGATGAACAAGTAGCAGTAAATTTAAAATTGTTTTGTTAATGTGTAGCACCAATAATGAACAGTTATTAGAATTCTATGTTCGAATATCTGTTTGTTATTGATATGATTATTATTGTTTATTTGATGATGATGATTTTATATTTTACATAAATAAATATAAGAGAAAGGATTACAAACTTTTGGAAAATTAGAAACAATCTTGAGCTTTTATATGTTTTCAAACTTCTTACAAAAACAAAATTATAATCAATATCTGTTATTCACAAAATATTGTGATTATAGATAAACGTTATCCATTAAGAGTCAGAGATAACCTTATTATCCTCTAGACCCGCATTCCACGTCATCGCCAACAAAGACACACAGTATGAGCTGCACAAACTCAAACAATCGGACCCTGGAAGTAATTGAATTCTCTTTGGGTGAAGATTGAGATATGTGATTCTCGAGAGGAGGGATGAAGGAGACTCAAACTTGCCGTAGATTGTTGCCAAATAAACAATGGCAGATGACTTACTTCTTGCAAAATTTATTTTTATTTTTAGCCTAATGTTTGTTAGTCTTTTGGCACTTTTGAAGTCTTGAATCAGTGTGACAATCTGCGGGGTGATTGTGGGGCAGTGGGAGGATAGGCATGAAAGTGGTGGGAATTGACAGTTTAGGGTTGCTTCATGCTGTGAGGGCGGGTTAGGGCTTTGTTTTGTTAGCCCAGAGTATATAGTGTTCGAGCTCTTCTCCCCCCCCATCCTTTTGTGAGCCCCGCTTCAGCAATGTTTAACTGAAAAAGACAATGGGCTTGGGAAGTGGGGTGGAGGGTGGGAGGGCAAACACAAGAAAAACAAAGTGACAAGAACATTGCTCCTGGATTATTGTGACTTTCATTTTCACAACAGGCACCAAAGATATTATGTGTAGGTGTACACCTAAGAAAGGTTTAAAGAAAAGAGAGGGTTTTAGGGCTTCTGCACAGAAGGTGCCAGAGGGCTTCCTTTGGATCTGAACTCAAATAGAAAGAGTAGTAGAAATATACTGTACTTATAAGCTGTAATCTATGCAACGTAATCTCAGAAGAAAGTCTTACCAGAGAACTCAGGTAAACGTAAAGTGAAAATGAAAGTGAGCTCTGCGAAGGAATCTCTGCAAGGAACCGGTCAGATAAAACGCAACGTAATAGTCGTAAGTAATTGAAAAGTGATGTACGCTATTGTCTTAGCGATCTACCATTTCTGTAATCTCAATTGGCCGGGGAAGGAGAGGGGTGTGTGGGTCTTTCCTTTCCGAATATCTTCACAGCAACTTCCGTACACTCCCAGCACGGTCTGCTGGATTTCTCCTGCTGTGTTTTCTTAAACGACGAGAGCAACATGGGTTAGCAAAAAAACGGAACTTGGAACTGCCTCGAATTATCGAGCTTTCGTACGGCAAAAGCTTAGCAAAATCAACAGTGGCATAACTTCCAACCCGCTTCATGCTTCCCGTTACTACTGGGGTTGTTGTACAAAAGTGAGACAACTATTTTTTTCACCCGTTCCGTCGGGTCCCCAGCTACGTGGTTCAGCTTAGCCCTGCTTTAAGGTCCTACTTTTCGCCTCTGCAGAGTAGATGACATATTGTCTATCTCGCACGTGTAATAAATCGTACAAAGAGTGTATTAGACCAGCGGGCTACTCCGTCTTCTTCGTAATTAGGAACTACCTGTCTCGAGCACCTCCTCACCTTGAACTTGCTCACGGCCCACCTAGCCTCACCTAACGCAAGTGGGTGAGAAAAGGTGCCGTAGAACGACTTTCTGTATGAGGAAGTGGTGGAACGCTACAAGTGCCCACTCAAATACAGCATTACGTCAGAATTGTAAGTAGAGTTGTCTTTGTATCGAGAGCCACCTCTTGAATAATGTGGGTCAGTATGCTTGTGTGTGTGGGGGGTGGGAGGGGGGGGTAGGAACTTTCCTCTACTTATTTAACCAAATTGAAATATACGTAATAATAAAAGGCTAACGCCAAGTACAGGAGTGCAGTAGAGTATTCGCTTTTTGAGTGTATGTAATAGAGAAATACCTTTGGCTGCGATTAGCGCTACAATATAGATTGCTTATCTTAAGCCTTGCTCACCCGCAACTGCTATTTTTTTATGTAGTGGTACTGAAGACTCACAACCATCTGTAAAATCATCTAGTAAATCAACCATCACTGATATTCGCAGTTCTACATATCGAATACACCATTAGTTAATCAATATAGCCCAGTAAGACTAAAATTTGAGGAACGAGACATAACAGTCAATCAATGACAAATACATTATTAGTTTTCTACCGACTCAAAGGTGACCCGAGTTTGGGCACAGGATAGAAAACTTCTCACCCCACATTATTTAGACACGAATAATAACCTCATAAGTATACAATATATATGCGGAGTAGCACCTTTAGCAAGCGCTTAACTGCTGCGTTTTCTGCATTCAATATCAAGTCTCACCTATAAGTTCATATTGTAGTCATATCTACTCTCATTACCGTATTGATATCATGTAACACGTTTTTAATTGTCAGATGATAAATTCGTCGAATGATATACAGAGCTCATCATGTATTATTATTCGTACAGATATACCTACAATGAGTGAACGGCTAAGTGCTTGATATTTGAACTAGATAACCTAACCAAGTATCTTCAACAGGTATGATGATGTACTACTACGTATTAGGAAAATAGGAGTAAGGGGTAATACAAAGAATATCAAAAACTAATCTCAATCTAAGTGATCAGGTTTACTTTCTTACATAATTGTTATTACAAGTTTGGAATTTCTAGTGAATTCTTCCACATTAAAAATGACTCTTTCACACATTGGAAAAGGGTTACCACACTTGTAGAACTTCTATATATCGTAAAACTGGCAATTAGGAGCTGTGGCCGAAACAGCCTGCCACTACTTTTACTCACTTTTAGAATGATTAACACATTTGACACAAAGTAAGGCGAGTGCTGCCATATTGGGTTCCTTCACCACTATCATCTTTTATTATTTTTACCTTATGCAAACATAAGGAAAGAGTGCTTTTCCAACCACGAGATCAAATTATGAAACTATTACATAGTCCAATTCTCGTAAAAACCAGTACTATGTTGCAACTTACATCCTATGGCTTAGAAGTTGATGTAAAAGATCGTACTGTGTTCAGGCTGAAAAGGTGTCTGTGCAATGAGTGGCCCAAACTTCCAACGACTACGGCTCCACAGGTACGTAGAGCATAAGCTTGCCCACTTACACCAATCACCAATAACAACGCATTAAAAGGAGAGACCCCAAAGCCAAAAATCAGTTGGACACCCAACGCTCATATTTGACAAGAATTCTATAGAAAGCGTCGACTGCTTTAGAAAAGGGGTGTGAGTGTAGCCTCAACCGATTCTCGCATTGCCAACAGACAGAGATTGAACACGGGAAAGCATAATTAAGAACAGTGAAGAACACGAGCATTAAAGCCTTTGTAAGTTTTACAAACCTGAACAGGAAACAACTTGACCTGACTTTTCCCCATACATTTACTATGAAAGCTGTACTTGCCTCCTTTATTTTGCGTAGATACCTTGCCGTCCAAAAAACCTATTCTCTCACCTTAACGAAATACAGAGCAAAGAAAATCTCTCTACAATCTTGGCTCCCACCCCTGTAAAAGAGACAAAAATCCAAAATCATCACTATCAATATTAGTAAGACACAGAAGCACAATGATTCTTAGGAGGACAACTTCTGATCCTCACAGAAATGACCCAAGGAGGTCCGAACCAATCTGCCTCTTAGCTAACAGTTATCTAATACCAACACCAATCAAAAAACAACTAAAATTCTATCTAGTTTCGATGCCTGGTTTGACCGATCTCACGCGTATACTGCAAGGCCTCGGGAGTCTGGGTTAATACCTGTAGAAACACAGGCATGCTCTAAAAACGTCCCTCGATAAAAATAAGAAACAGTAGTACAAAGCAAATGCGTTGGACAAAGAGAGACACCCACAGAGATGCCTGGCACACACCCAGACCGATCAGATCGGGTGTAGGACACACCCTAAATGAAGCTGTAAATCCAGACAAATGGTCTTAGCAAGTTATTTACTGAAGTTAGCACTAAAGTTTTCCATTGCTCGAGGTAAGTCTATTCTTTAAAACAAACCAGAGCTTCTGTTTGCGTTAAGAACATGTTAAACATTAAGGGCCACAGGCTTCCAATGGATCCACAGTTTGATGCTAATGGGCCTCTCCAGTTTTCTATTTTAGACTTGGTGTCCTTTGGCAAATCGCCTAAATTGAAGGATTCTCTTTGCCAATGAAAAGTATATAAACCGAGTAGTTTCATCTTAATATTGATCGATTCATTTTGGAGTTCTTTCATAATTGTCTTCAATTAGATAAAAAAACCAAGTATTATTTTAATTGAATATACACAACCAACCTTTACATATATCAAACCCTTAAAAATGTCCGCTGTTGCTCCATACTTGAAGACCATTGCTTCTAGAAGAACTATCTACGCTCTAAAGCCAGAATTGCCATCCGGTGTTACTATCAATGACGTTCAATCTACCATCCAAGCTATCGTCAAGGAAACTCCAACTGCTTTCAACTCTCAAGTTAACCGTGCTGTTATCTTGACCGGTGAAACCCACAAGAAGGTCTGGGACAGTGTTGCTAACGCCATTGCCGACCCAGCTGGTAAGAAGAGACCAGAATCTGTCAGAGATGAAGCTTACGGTTCCGTTATCTTCTTCACTGATGACAAGACCACCGAAAAGCTACAAGCTGACTTCCCAGCTTGGTCTGCCGCTTTCCCACAATTCGCTGACCACGCCTCTGGTGCCGCTCAAATCAACTCATGGGCTGCTTTGGAAGCTTTGGGTCTAGGTGGTCACCTACAACATTACAACGGTTACGTTAAGGCTGCTTTGCCATCCAAGATCCCAGCCTCTTGGTCCGTTCACTCTCAATTGGTCTTCGGTGCTCCAGGTGCTGCTCCAGGTGAGAAGACTTACATTGACAACGAAGTCGAAATCTTCAACTAAAGTGTTTGAATGTCTTATTTTACCGTTCAATTACTTTTAATTCATTCTAGATAAAACTTGGCATTGAGCAAAACGATATTTTGTTAATAACTGCTAATGCTCACGATATAGAGAGTTCTCCGTATTATGTATGGTCAACTTGTTCATGTTTAGTTGTGTATATGAAATAATCAAATCCAAAGATTATAAACGTTTCATTATGATAAGAAGTGCCTTTGTAAGTAATCAGTGTCTTATTTAGACATCTTGACTTGTTGATAATATAATTTTGTAGAAATTATGATAAAAGACATTTATTAGGTATTATACCTCTATTTTCATTAATATAAGATCCAGATGATACAAGCCTTTTGCCATCACTAGCTTCGATCCGCTCTACTAATGCCCACCCATCATTATGTGACGCTAATACTCTAACTGTTTCACCTACAGTCACATGTATCTCATCACTAAGACTAGGTACATATTCTTCTCGTACTCTATATTGTATTCCAGCTTTCAATTTAACTATCGCAGACGAAGTTGGTGTTAAGGGCAATGGTTTTGTCTTGGCGAGGTAGTCCAGGTGGGTTCGAAGTCTCATTTGGGCTTTTTTTCTATTCTTTTTATAGTTCGGATTTATTGGTAACTCTAAGCCGGATAAGGTAATAGCCGGTTTTTTGAGGCAGGTGCCAGTAATTTCATTCAATTTGTTAGCTTCCTTGCTTTTAACATCATTAACAGACAGTGTATTGATTGAACTCTCTGTTAGTGACCCCAGGTACGTTTCTTCAACATACTGCTCAGTTATTTCTGGCTTATCAACACAACTTTCAACTACTGAAGTCAAGATATTAGAGCATTTAACATTGGGTAAACTTGATATATTTGTCAGATTTTCACTTGAACACTGTAAATATAAAGAACTTCTCAAGAACCATTTTGATAATGGTGAGTTGTACTTCCAGCTATTTTTCTTCTTCTGATCTTTAAAATAATTTGGTCTTATTTCAGGTTCGGCATTTAACATCGAGATACTAGAATCAATACTATAAATATTGGGTGGATGAGAGTACAAATAATTATCAGCATCGGCAAATAGATTAGAGCCGTTACGTGGTAAGTTATTATCAGCGGTAGCGAGCGGACAATGTGCCATTTGCGGCGTCCTAATGTGAGAGTCTTGAGTTATTGCATTAGATACTGTACCAGAACTAGATTTAGTAGCACTGAAGTTATGATCAGTATGCTTAGTAATACCTTCTAAATCAATCCATGCTTGGTCCAAACTTGAAAAATTATCAGTATGCGTTTCAGAACGCCCTATAGCTTTACTAAAATTTGTCCGAGATAACTTATTTCTAACAAAAAAATAGAGCATTATTGCAAATAGCACACCGACTCCAATAGGTAATCCAATCGACAATCCTAATATAAGTCTCAAACTTCTATTATTTTTGTTGGGATTTAATAGGACTGCTGCAGCTTTAAACAAATTGTTGAGTCCCGCCGACAAACTCTTGCCTTTCCCTTTCATCAGTTGCACAGCAGCTGCGACCCAAGTTATTCACTTGACTAATTACACTCGTCAGTAACTAGTGACTTCATGGTATATTTCTATGTACTATAGAAATATATTAAGTACTTAAAGTTGCATTCTTTATTAAACGTGAATAGTGGTTTTATCGCTACTTATCATACCAAATTATATACAAAGAATCGATAAAATACTGTTGTATCAAACTTGACATTTAAGTGTTTCATTTATAATACGTCTATAATTGCTGTGCTACTATTTGATTTTTATCAGCAAGATATATGGCATGCTGTTTCATTTTGAAACAATAGTAGCACAATAAATTTTCAAAAACTTGATGTGACTTGATTATATGTATACACAATATTATAAGCTAATAATAACCCTAGTATCTGTTTGAGAAATGTCCTTGAAAGTTAAAGCCCTCGCCATTATCATTATTTGGTCTTTGTTGCTGTGGGCGCCCATAGTTGTCATTTCCTTGATTGTAACCATACTCTTGATTGCCATAACCTTGATTGTGGTTAGGCTGAGAATAATTTTGATTAGAACCATAGTTTTGATTAGAGCCATAATTTTGATTAGAGCCATAATTTTGAGATTGATTGCTGTAAGCGCCATCACCATGGCCATAACCACCACCATTGTTACTATACTGATTGCTTGGTGGTCTTCCTTGCCCTTGACCATCGTTTTTGTGCATGTAAGAGCTAGCCATGTTCATAATAGATGAGAATGTACCTGACTCTTGATTTTGTTGTTGAGGTGGCCTAGATTGTCCATAACCATCGTTTGAGTATTCGTTCTGACCATAACCGTGGCTACCTTGTCCTTGATTGTTATATCCTTGATTCTGACCGTAGTTTTGATGTCCCTGGTTACTGCCGGCATTTTGATTTTGATTACCATATCCATTACCTTGGCCTTGTTGCGGTTTATTGAAGTAGTTGCTTGCCATTGATGCAATCGAGGAGAATGTGCTCGATTCCTGTTGTTGTGGCTGATGCTGTTGGTAGTTACCACCATATTGTTGCCCGTAAGAACCACCTTGCTGCTGCTGCTGCTGTTGAGGTTTAGATCCCGATCCTTTAAAGTAACTGGATGCCAAGGATGCTAACAATGCACCAGTACCAGCATTTGCCGCACTCTGTTTCCCACTTTGTCCAGAGAACAAAGACAATGCTGAGCCCCAGTTGAAGCCCTGGCCTTGACTCTGCTGTTTGCCACTACCGGATCCCATCATAGTACCCAAAAGAGCAAGCTTACCAAGCTGCGCTTGCGAGGAACCACCCGAGCTGGACATCAAAGCGCTCATCATAGAGTCCCCCATACCACGCTCCCCGGAGCCCGATCCAATATCGCGGGAGCCATCGCGAGACCCATCGCCACCGTTACCATCCCTAGATCTCACATAATCTACAAGCATACCCAACAGCCTCTCGATCATGGACATCTGCCTCTCATCAGGGTCAGACTGTGCTGCTCTGGTCAAGTTGGAGATGGCATTGCCATGCTCTCCGTTTTCAATATCCCTTTCGGCCTGTCCAATAAGTTCATCAACAGAGGACATAATTGCTATCAATTTTGTGTAGTTATTGTGCAGTGAAGTATTGATGCCTTGCTATTACCTGACTGATCGCAAGACAAATTAACCACTCCCTACCAACGTTAGAATAGTGGCCACTATTTATACTTGTGCGATGAGCAATGCTTGTGAAGACCCTTAAATTTATTTTTAGTCTGCTGTGGGCTTTTCAGTGCTCGTTAAGCTACAAACTGAAAAAAGTTGCAAAATGTCATTAAATAATAAGATCGGGTGTACTACAAGCTGGCGATGAGGTTATAAAGAGCTGTGGAGAGACGAGGCGTCATCAAGGCTCTGGGCATCGTTGCGGATTAGTATTATGAGTGCGTACAGCGACAAGATTGGCTGCTATATACAGATCCCGAATCTGGGTCGAGGGCAATTGAAGTACGTGGGTCCCGTAGAGAGCAAGCCAGGCGTGTTTGCGGGTGTTGATCTGTTGGCGAACATAGGTAAGAACGATGGATCTTTCCAAGGTAGGCGGTATTTTCAGGCGGAGTATTCTCAGAGTGGCCTATTTATCCAGTTGCAGAAGATAGAGCATCTCTTGGAGAATGCCACTACAGAATCCAGACGAGAGTCACTTGGGAACACGACCTTTAATCTAGACAAGTATAATGCGCATGAAGACGATAACCTGATGTCGGATGGGGTACACATGTCTGAGAATCGTGTTAGCAGCAATGGTAGTACGATCATAAGGAAACCTCTCGAACAGAATGAAGTGCACTCGCCGACACCGATTAGAAGTTTCAGGATCACAAGCAGAAACAACAATAGAACTCCTACTCAGGGAGAAAGAATGGATATAGACTCTCGAGCCTCTGATTCCCAGACAGAGAGTATAATTAAGGACTACGAGCTTCGGATCGAGAAACAAGAACGAGAAATATTACAATACAGAAAACTACTCGAGGATCAACGAATTGTTCTAGAAGAAATACAACCCACAATAGATGAGTATGAGAACAATGAACGCCGGTTGAGATCTCGGGTACAGGAACTTGAAACAGAGCTCGATAAGCAACGTGAGAAGTTTAAAAGCCAAAAGGAGTTCTTCGAAGCTGAACATGAGCAACTACTCGCTGTGGTGAGTCAGTTACAAGTAGCTATCGAAGAAAACGAACAAAAAGCAATTTCTAGAAAGGAATCACTGAGGGAAGATACTACAGAGATCACAAAGACTATACAGGACTTGACAGACGAACACGAACGCGCCAGAGCTAAATGGGAAAAGGAAAAGATGCAGCTTAAGATGCACAACGACAGTCTGAGCCAGGAATACCAATCATTGAACAAAGAACTAATGAATATGCAAGGCCAGAAAAGCAACCCGCCAACTGATGAATTAAATTCAGAATTGACGGAATTGAGAACAAGGGTACGAACTCTAGAATCCCAGTTACAAGAGAAAAGCTCCGCTGATACAAATATTCAAAGCGGTGCCCAAGCTTCACAATCTCCATCCCAGCCCGAATCGTCGGGATCATCAAGCTCGCTGCCAGTATACAAACCTCCGGTGAAGGTTGACCCGGCTGCCGGTAGAGAACTATGGTGCTATCTCTGTGAAAAACCAGGCCATCGTACCACTGATTGTCCTCACGAATTGAAATCTACAAATGATGAATTCTTCTGAACACAATATACCGTTTTTGTATCCATGACATATGAGTCTTTCTCACTTGGCAAGGCAGCCAAACTCATAAGTACATAGATTAAAAAAGCCACTCGTCCATTCAACGCCTGGAAAAGATCTGTCAATCAAAGTAATTTATTAATTAATTAGTATTAATTAATTCCTTCAACATTTCTCAAAGACGTAACGAGAGCAAGAGCACAGGAACCCACGAAACACAATTATATCGTGCGAACTTTTCCTGTGGAATTCGCTGTATTCTTCAATTCTCTCTCTATTTTTTTTTCAAAAATATCTTGTCACTTCGTTTGAGCGATGCGATGCTTTGAAAAACTGCAAAATTTGGGCTTTCTTTGACTTCTTTCAGTATTCGTCAAATCACTCGTCCTCACTGGCATTGGCTATCTTGTGATATCACGCAGGTATGCTGTTGTCCAGTGAAGGGCAGACAATTACCAATCTGGAAAGGGGACTTTTTCATAGGAATCAATGAGTCAACGTAAGATAGCACAGTTATGTTTGTATTAGTCACATTGTGCAGCCAGCCAGACTGCTGACCATAAGAACCAGATCAAACCTTTATATATAACATCCTTGTGTGGTTAGTATTCGTAGTGCTGTTGGTATCCTCGAATTTAACAGCTAAGGAAGACAACATAATAGCAACGCGCATAATCAATAAAAAATAAGCCGAGAATGGTTTTCCCTATACTGCCAGTGTTTGGTAAGGATTTGAATTTGGCCTCGAGACCATATATTAAGCTAGTGAATCAAGCAGTTTTGGATTATACTGTCTCCAAAGAAGACATCATTAAATTTGTAAAGGACTCTCAATTGCTATTTGTAGGTACCCTATTGAGCTCTGGTAAATTTAAGGATGACGAAGTAATTGAGATTCTAAATAATGGGGTTGCTGTCTTGTTTATCGAGGACCATTCATACGCTGGCTACTTGGTCACTGAAGTTGGCATCCCTCAGGAGAGAATCTCTGTGCTAAATGAAAACGTATACGAGACTCACTTTGTTATTGTCAATAAGTTCAATGCAAAGACTCAATTGGTCCCAGTTGAAGAAATCACCTCCTCAACTCTAAGTCAAACACTGATCGATTCCTTGAAGACTGATCGAGCTGATGGCCTCTATACCACGCTAGTAGTTGACTCTCAGGAACGTTGTCTAGGTCTGGTATACTCTTCAAAGGAGTCCATTCAAATGGCTATTAACGAGGAATCAGGAATCTACTACTCCCGTTCCAGAGATGAAATTTGGGTGAAAGGAGCCACCTCAGGAAATACCCAAAAGCTGCTGTCGATCTCTGTTGACTGTGATGGCGATGCTTTGAAGTTTGTTGTTGATCAACAAGGTAAGGATAGAAGTTTTTGTCACTTGAATACCGAATCATGTTTTGGTGGCTTCACCCATGGCTTAGCTAGTTTAGAGCAATTGCTTAGAGATAGATTTGAAAGTGCCCCAGAAGGCTCCTACACCAAAAGATTATTTAATGATCCCGAATTATTGAACGCTAAGATTAAGGAAGAAGCTGAAGAATTGACAGAAGCTGAGGATAAGAACGAAATATCATGGGAAGCTGCAGACTTGTTCTACTTCGCTCTAACTAAACTCGTGGCAAACAATGTCAGTCTTAAGGATGTAGAATCCAATCTGAACATGAAGCACTTGAAAATCACCAGAAGAAAGGGTGATGCTAAAGATAAATTTATAAAGAAACAAGAACCGCAAGCTCAAAATGATGAAGAATTGTCTTCAAAACCTATTCACTTAAACGTAGTCAAAACATCAAATAAGAAAGAAGTAGAAGCTGCTTTGACAAGACCAATTCAAAAAACATCCGAAATTATGCACTTGGTCAACCCTATAATTGAAGGTGTTAGGAGTAAAGGTGACAAAGCTTTAATTGAATTCACAGCAAAATTTGATGGTGTCCAACTACAATCTCCCGTTCTAGAAGCACCATTTCCACCAGAATATTTCGAGGGTCTAACTGAAGAAATGAAGGAATCACTAGACTTGTCAATTGAAAATGTTCGCAAATTCCATGCGGCTCAATTACAAACTGAAGATCTAGAAGTTGAAACTCAACCAGGTGTTCTCTGCTCTAGATTCCCAAGACCTATTGAGAAAGTTGGTCTGTATATTCCAGGTGGTACCGCAGTGTTACCAAGTACAGCCCTTATGTTGGGTGTCCCAGCTAAGGTTGCTGGATGTAAAGAAATTGTTTTTGCTTCACCCCCTCGTAAGTCAGATGGCAGAGTTTCTCCAGAAGTTGTGTATGTGGCTGAGAAAGTCGGAGCTTCAAAGATCGTCTTGGCTGGTGGTGCTCAAGCTGTTGCAGCTATGGCCTATGGTACTGAATCTGTTCCAAAAGTTGACAAAATTCTTGGCCCTGGTAACCAGTTTGTTACAGCTGCTAAAATGTATGTGCAAAATGACACACAAGCTCTGTGCTCAATCGATATGCCAGCTGGCCCAAGTGAAGTTCTAGTGATTGCCGATAACAACGCTGATGTTGACTTTGTTGCCAGTGATTTGCTATCACAAGCTGAGCATGGTATTGACTCCCAAGTTATTCTTGTCGGTGTTGAGTTAACTGATGATAAGATCCAGCAGATCCAAGATGCTGTCCACAGACAAGCTTTGGAACTACCTCGTGTAGACATTGTTCGTAAATGTATTGCTCACAGTTCTATCATTGTTTGTGATAGTTATCAGTCTGCCTTTGATATGTCTAACAGATACGCTCCTGAGCACTTGATATTGCAAATTGAGAATGCCAAGGATTACGTTAAGCTGGTTGATCACGCTGGGAGTGTTTTTGTGGGTGCTTACACACCAGAGTCGTGTGGTGATTATTCCAGTGGTACAAACCACACTTTACCAACATATGGGTATGCCAGACAGTATAGCGGAGCTAATACATCTACTTTCCAGAAATTCATCACCGCACAGAGCATTACACCTGAAGGTCTAGACAATATTGGACGCGCTGTGATGTGTGTTGCAAAAGTCGAAGGTCTAGATGGTCATAGAAATGCTGTGAAGATTAGAATGTCCAAGTTGGGATTGCTTCCAAAGGACTTCAACTAAATATATAGTACTCTCCCCCCAGTAAGTTAACTTTTATAGAAATATTTATATGACTTGTAATGATAAACATTTTATTCTAAGCTATTTCAGACAGTTTTCTTATGTTAATATTTGATTAAGGGCATCCTGTCCATAAACACATTAGTATTGTAGATGTTCATTATGGTTGTTCACTATTATACCGTACAAACTCATCACAAGATACCAAAACTTTCTGAAATTTTGAAAAAAAAATCGATGAGCATCAGCGGAGCTTGAATATTTAAAGTAATAAAACCATTAAACTGCTTATAGGATTTCCATACCACTTCAAAACTGCCTATATATCTTTTCAACATCACTGAACTAATAAAGTATTACCTATAGTAACCATTACTCAATATGAGCACTGAGAAGAAATCTGCGAAAAATGTATCTTCCATAGATGCCATGAAAAATGGGTTCATTGTACTACCGTTCAAGTTACCAGAAGAGAGCTCATTAAAAGGTATTGCTGAGAGATCGTTCCACTACATATTTGCCAGGAAACATCAAACAAAACTAGACGAAGAGAAAAATTGCTTGTTTTTGGTTAACTTACCATTGTTAGCCAATCTTGATAGTCTCAAGAAAGCATTCAACAACATACTTGAGAGAGACAACTCAGTAGCACACATTGAACAGCTACTACATAACGATGAGTTTGGTCTACGTGAGGTCGATTTGTCGCCATTAACTTCTGATTTGATGTCATCGGAAGATAGTAACAAAGAAAGATTCACTCCAAGAAACACTGCATTGCTGAAATTTGTCGATGAGGCAAGTCTGAATAACTGTTGGTCCTCCATCAAGAAATATAGCACTAACTCGCACAAAAAATCAAATTACATCACATGGGAGTACAGTTCACCTTCAATTTCTACATTTACAAATTTTTACAAGCCATTAAGCATTGATTACCTTAAGGAGGATATTCATTCATACATGTCAGTATTTGAAGAAAGGGAAAGACAAGCTCAAGGAGATATACAAACATCCATTGTGGATGAAGACGGCTTCACTCTGGTAGTGGGTAAGAATACAAAATCTCTAAACTCTATTAAGAAGAAGATTCTGAATAGGAATCCACTATCAAAGCACGAGAATAAAGTAAAACCACCATCTGCGGTTGATAAGAAAGCAAAACAAGATTTCTATAGATTTCAAGTCAGAGAGCGTAAGAAGCAAGAAATTAACGAACTTCTTTCGAAATTTAAAGAAGATCAAGCTAAGATTAAAGTTATGAAAGATAAAAAGAAATTCAACCCATATGCTCAATGATAGCAAAACCTCTCACGATATTAATTACACATATAGACACATAATAAAAGCCAATCCCTTATTAAGTGTTGTGCATTATATAATATTAATAAATAAGTTTTAGGACTGGAAATGCTTTCAAGGATATTTATAAACCTATCTATGTATCTGTATATGTTAGTATAAATTTTGGCGAAGGAATGTCGCTCATTATAATCGTCCACCAGGTGTAACATCAGCAGAGCTCAATCCATTCATGGACATGTCCACTTCCTCAAAATCACCCCGTCTTCTCAGCATGATAGAAGGATGAAGTCCTTGCCTTTTCAAATTCTTAAATATCACTACTGGTTTTTCAGCTAAGTCTAGAATACGTTCTTGATCACCATAAGATATTACTAATACATATTGTTTCCAATCTTGATCAGCTAAATTATGCCTTACCATTGCATTCTTCAGTATCTTCTCACAGGAATCCTCTTTCGAGGCTTTCAATTGTTTAAGTGGCTCTATTGGGGAGAGATTACTCTTAATATTGGGTATAGTTAATGATGAATTGGCATGTATAATTTGATCATGATACTTGCTATTGCTATTGCTATTACTATTAGGTGTAGATTTATTGTATAGCAAAGTGGGGCGTACTTCTTTCGCTCTAGGCGATTGCCGCAGCTGGCCATGATCGAAGTAGTCTGTTCTCGCACCAGAAGGCTTTGATGAAGCAGTTGATGGTGTTAGTTGAGGCGAGGACATACCATGTTCAGCAGTCTTCGATCTCTTCATGATTTCCACCACATCTGCTCGCAAACCGGAGTACTGACTTTGGAAATCCAGCAATTTCTGTGACACTGTAGTATGCAAATTCTTCAATACTACAACTATGTCTTCTGTAGGCACGTCATCCTCACCTAATTGTGAATCGATAAGCTTGTTTAGCCACAATTTCAGCTTGATAGCCTCTTTCAAGTCATTATCGGTAAGCTCTTTGCAGTCTTGAAGCGTGAGCTCCTGCAACACACTGCCGTCTATATTATTGTCTCTGATACGAGTGAATAGCGGCTCCTGCTCGTCCTTTCCAAGCACAGTCCCACACCATTGCACCACTTCGTCTGTGGTCCACTTATCAAAGTTATCCTTGAGCAGCGTGCCTTGCCTCAAGGTCTTCTGACTGTCGTCCATGGCGGGTATTCCTCTATGAGTATATTGAACACTTGCCTTTCTGTTCAGCTTTCTTTCCCAGGCAGGATGAAATCAATCAGTAATATAATTAAGCTTGGGGGAATGGGTTCAAAGCCACCACGAGAACTGATCTACACAACTATGCAGTGTCTCTGTGAGATGTAGTTATAGTAACAAGCCGATAAGAAGAAATCAAGGAGCAGACACAGGGCTCGATGTATAATGTTGACTCAGTTTTCTCCCGTTTTTTGATAGCTCCTGCAAGTGATAGCTCCTACAAGTGATAGCTCCTGCAAGTGATAGCTCCTGCAAGTGATAGCTTCTACAGATTGATAGCTTCTACAAATTGATAGCTTCCAGGTTTGGAGTAGGGTCTCGAATGATCTCCCAGCAGTGCAGCTACGGGATAGCACAGTTGCCAGTTCCTAATGACGTAATTATAAGATCTCCTATTGTTTGATAGAGTTCTTGTTGCTTTTCGTTGAGATGAGCCAAGTGTCTCTTGAAATTTTTCACTGAAATCATTTATTTTCAATGCTGTCGGTGTGTAAAATCAAATTTGAAAAAAAAATAAGTGTGTTTGACTAAAAAAAATGCGATGAGCTTTAGGAGCTGGATGATTCAGAATCGAAATATATAAAGGTGTGGCTAACTTTGTAGAACAGTCTTGGAAATGTTTGCTCTTGTAGGAAGAGGAGCAAGATATACATATCTAACAACTAACAAAACAACTTATAACAAAACAATCAAAATGCTATTTCAATCTAAGACTGACAAGAAGGAGTGGAACCCTGAATTGACCTCCGAGCAACTACATGTCTTGAAGGACAAGGGCACTGAGGCTCCAGGTACTGGTAAGTACCTGTACAACGATAGAACTGGTGTTTACACCTGTGCCAACTGTGATGCACCTCTGTACCGTAGTGAGACCAAGTTCGACTCTGGATGCGGGTGGCCTGCATTCAACGGGGAGATCAAGGGTGCATTGAAGTACAAGAAGGACTTCAGCCACGGTATGATGAGAACCGAGATTATGTGTGCCAAGTGTGGTGGCCATCTGGGACACGAGTTCAAGGGCGAAGGTTGGAACAAGAGACTCAACTTGCCTAACGACAGCAGACACTGTGTGAACAGTTTGTCCCTGAACTTCAAGAAGGAAGAATAATGCACTGGTATTGTCTTTTATGAAAAACTATGTTACGGTCTTTTTACCCAATATTTTTACTACAATTACCCAATTTTTAACTATATTCATGCCCACCCTATCTTTCTTTTTCTACCGTTCTAGAGACGATTAACTGCATTGCTATATCTTATAGCCATACCTTTTCTTTATATCCCCTATACAAATATAGATCAATTTCTGAAGAAATCGATATATTTTCCTTTTGTTATCTATCACTATAACAACAATTTTTTGCAACCTAATTGAGTTTCAATTAGTATATTATATAACACTAATACTACTACTAATACTACAAATGATTTTGGTCTCCAAATGGATTGGAAGCCGTTGACTGAGGAACCGAGTAAATGGAATGGTCTGCCCTGCTAACTTCATCCGCATCATCATCGCTGTATTCATAATCTACAGATTCATTGACGTCGTCACTGTCGTTGCCATCGTTTCTGTCCTCACGAGTGTCGTGCTCAGCTTTGTCACTCTTCTCATCATACTCAGTAAGAGATGCAACCAATTCATCATTTGCTTGGATCAAACTGCCCAGGAATTCCCCTTCTGTAACCACTTGTAAGTATGCCAACACCTTCTTTCTAATCTTTCTAGCCTTGATGAAGTTATCTGTAGCCTCCATATCGTCAGTAGAGTATTTGTCTGCAGGCAACGTCAATAGGGAGTGCTTAAGGGCCACTGAGGCGGCCAATGCATCGCTGATAATCAGTTTAATCTTTGGTGCGTGCTTTCTGATATCAATTTGTGGTATTCTGTAGAGGCGATCCGCGTCTGTAGAAGCGTTGCCTCTGTTTCTCTCTGTGGTTACGTTATCGTCCTCCAAACTTTCAAACGGATCTGCCTCGTCATCCAAAAATGCGTTTCTTCTATCGGCTCTCCTTCTTGGAGAAGAGCTCTGCTTGTGTCGGTACTCTCTTTTAACTCTGCTACCGAGCTCAGCTAGCCTTCCAAAAGTCTTCGATCTCTTCTTGCCTATGGAGGCTATATGTTCATACCACTGTATCTCGTACTTGGCAGCTTTGCTAACAATGGCAGGGTTGTACTTGACACCGTTACCGTCGGTATCACGGTTCAATGCAATGACTTCCAGCCTATCCAGCAGTTTATCGTCATTGTAAATTACACCGAACTTCAGTTCCTGGGATAACAGCAAGTCCAGCAGGTCCAGGGACCGCGATTGCTGTACTTTCGACCCATACTTGAGCTTCTTCCGCAGTGCACGCGCCGCTTCTTCCTGGTTGACGGTGTTCCTGAACCCTATCAGGTCGACTATCTCTGCCAATTCAACCTCCAGAGAGTACTCCCGATTGCTGACCACACGGTCAATGTTTGCGGTAACCGCAGTATAGGGATGATCCGTTAGAAACCCCATCACTTGAATTACTCGTCGTTATAGCCTTTGAGCCGTTCTCGAGAATTCAAGCTTCTTATATCTATATAGTACACTATTTAAATGGATAGATACGGAACCCTTGAAGCGGACCCTTGCAGTGGACCCTTGCAGTGGAACCCATCTCCACCCCCTTCCCCAAGCAGCAACTGGAGTACCAATGTGAATCACCTCCCACAAGAGATAGCAGTTGCACTTGGGTTCGTGCCTTCCCACATCGACCATGCAGGACAGCCCAAAAGTGCAAGACACTAGGCTCTACATCAATATCATCTACCAAGGACCCAGAACTATCAATAATAATCACTAATCAATAATAATCAGTACTAGACCACACTTGTAATGAACTAGTACTGCCGGCAGACCAGTTCGTTATTGCCCAGGCGCACTCTGTTGAATGGCTTTTATCCGGTCACATGACTAGCTTCTTAAAGCGCAGCTAGCCAAGATGGCTCTGTACGGCAAATTAAACGTGTTCAATTGCTTCGCTGGGGGAAGCTTGCGGGTAACGGTGTTTTCCTCTCTACTTCCTACAACTTATGTGTTGTGAGTAGAAGCATGCACAGTGCACAGTGTGTATTTAACGCGTATAGGTACGCAATGGCTGAACCATTACCAAAATCAGTAAAAAATAAAAGAAGAGAGCAGCCTGCAGAGGGAAAGGCCAAGTACTAAACCAAGAACACCAGAGCTTCTCTCTCTCTCTGCGCAAAACAATTTTTTTTCAAAAATTTTTCATTGCGATGCCCATCGCTCACACACACACAATCCAGCTCATCGCAAAAAAAAAAAAAAAATTCTGGTGGAATTAAATGTGAAATAGCAATTCAAACCACGCAATTATGCACTAGCAATCGAAAAAAAATTTTCTTTCATCTCTTGTATAAATCTATTTAGTTCAAGTTAATTTCAACAATTGTATTATCAGAACAAAAATAACTAATAACTAATAAATAAATAAAAAAAGATTAAATTATTAGAAAAAAAAATAACTATACCACGAATTGAATTAGCATATACACTATTCAAGGCATAATAGAAGAAAAAAAAAATCATAGCATCTGAGATCAACATATTAATTGATTCCCAGTATTTTTTTTCTAGAAACTTATTATATTCGATCCAAGAAAATTAGTAATCAGTGAAAATAATGTCCGCTGAAGTTGTTACCGAAGTACCACAAGAGACGAAGAAGGAGGTCAAGAAGGAACTGATCCCTGCTCCTGCTCCAGTGACCTCTCCATGGAAGTCCACGGCTACCGCGGAGTCCATGCCAGAGTTGAAAGTTGCTGAGCTCTTGGAAGAAACCAGAAAGAGAAAGAACAAGTCGCCACAGCCTGCCATAAAGTCTTCGGCGAACACCAAGTGGGTTCCTATCCAGGTCTCAATCACAGTGTCAAATAACGTGAACAGCAACAACAACAGAAAGAACAACAACAGAAAGACTCGTCAAACACCAAAGAGAGCTCCTTCTGGCCCTTCCAACTCGAACCAACAGGCAAAACAATCTACTCCAAATAGCGAATCCAAGCAAAACCAACAACAACAGGAGGCTCCACAACAGACTCAAAATGAGAAGCCTGTGGCTCCAAGCATGGCAGAAGCTAAGAAGACTGAAGAAATTGCATCCGAACAACCACAATCACAACAATCCCAAACCACTCAAAAACCATACACTAATCAAAGAAGAAGATACAACAACAGTCCAAACACTCACACAACGAAGCAATTTAGACCATCTTCGAATAACAGCAATAGCACCTTCAACAACGGCGAAGCCCCTCGTCACCCACAGCACAACAACCGTTACAACAAACACTCAAACCGTGCTCAATACTCCGGATACCGTTCTCACAACCATCATTACAACAACAGATACCAGAACCGCCAAATGGTAAAGATTGATCAATCTTTCTACCCACTACAGCCAGCTATGATGGCCATCAACAACGTTGCTAGACAAATCGAATATTACTTCAGTGCTGATAACATGAATAAGGATGAATTTCTTAAGACTAAGTTGTCCAAGGACGGTTATGCTCCTCTAGAACTGATATCCAAGTTTTATAGATTGGTTAACATGTCCTTTGGTGGTGATCAAAATATCATTCTAGCTGCTTTGAGAGAGATTGTAAACAACGCCGAAGCTACTGTCGAAGTTGCCATTGCTGGTGAGCAATCTTCTGAAACAGAACAAGCCGAATCTTTATTGACCAAATACTACATTCGCTCAAAGGAATTTTCCCAATGGGTTCCAGAGACCGTTACTAATGAATTTGTCGCCGAAACCATCTTAACTGAAGGCTCTCTAGAAAGGTTCATGGCCCAAGTGATAACCCCACCACCCAGATCTTATAACCACCATAAGACCACCCCAGAAAACCAAACTGAGGATGAATCCAGTAAAGAATCCAACGAAGGAGAAACCGAGAAGTCTGACGAATCCGTTGTGCAACAGCCTGAATCATCATCAACTGAAGAACAATAAAGATCATAAACGAACAAAATTGTTACTTTATAAATTAGACTTCACGGTCCGATGATAATTATTTCAACACGTAAAAGCTCGAAATACCAAATTCGACTATTATCATTATGAATTACTACAAGGATTTTATTAGTTATGCCAGCATATCTTTTTTTTAATTACTATAACTTTAAACTTTCCATCACCCATTAACTTGAGAATTATTTTTTGACGCATATTGAATGATTTTACTGCTATCATTTGCATTACACTCAATCACATTTGTTTTCTTTCACTAAGAGATTAATCTGTAATATACTACTCTTTATTTTTGAGTACAAATAATAGAGGGATTACTAGGAGTTATAACAAAGCTATTAATTATGTGGTAGGAGCATCATGCACTATTTCAATTTTAGACCATTTTGATGCTAGTGTGTATAATTTTTTTTTCCAAGGAGCATAAACTGCCACCCCCCATCACAGTATAGATATTATCAAGACATTATATAAATATTAAAAAAACCATTAACGCATTTTTTTTCTTAAATACTTCCAATAATTTTAACCAATGATTTGACTAGTATGTGATGCCATATCCTTGCATTTTTTTTGTTTTTATACCAACTCTGCCTTTTACATCATTGATTTATTCTAGCTAACTGTTAGGACTAATAAAATTTGTAAAGGGACTGATCATAAATAATAGCGACAGGAAAAATACCAAAGGATGAAACGGCCATGAAGGTCCATATGGTCGAATTTGATGGTTTATAATTGGCCAGACTTACTATATATCATATGACCATAACTCGTAATATACTATCTGTAATATTCCTCATCGCATCAATGAATTAAGGGAATAAAACAGTATAAAACAATTAAACACTATTATGATTCTATGGTTTCCATAGTGCAAGACTAATAAGTATTGATATTTTGCCTTTCTCAATAGGGTTGATAAACTAATGGCTTATGAATCATTGGCGTCAGAGCCGAATGATGGGGTTACGGATCATAATGATGATGCTCTGTATGTGGGAATAGACACTCTTAAAGCTGCTAGAGATAATATCAAGGGCTGGTACCTGTATTCATTTTCCAGTGAGCCATTTGTGGTTTCTGCTGTTGCTACATACGTTCCGTTATTGCTAGAGCAATTTGCTAGAATCAATGGTGTGCAATTGGATGATCATAACGCTCCTTGTTCTACATCATCATCCGATAAATGTGTCTTAGGTCTGTTCAATAATCGAGTCTTTGTCGATTCTTCTAGTTTTGCATTATATGTCTTCTCTCTGAGTGTCCTGTTTCAAACGGTAGTCGTTATTTCAGTATCGGGCATGGTGGATAGGTGGAAAACTATATCATTTAGAAAAAATGTGCTGGTAACCTTTGGCATGGTAGGTGCATTCGCAACAGTCTTAATTTCTTTGCTCAACGAAACCCAGTATTATTCATTGGTGGTATATTACATTGTGGCTAACTCTTGTTATGGTGTTATCAACGTAGTAGGAAATTCATTACTACCCTTGTTTGTGGATGACCTTGTTAGGTTGCAACCTGACCATACAGTGCCCGCCGCCGAAGAGCTATCTTTGGATACTGATGACAAGGATGGTTTGACTACAGTGATCAGTGGTCGTGGTGCTAGTATTGGGTATTCGGCAGCATTGGTTGTTCAATTAATGTCCATATTGCTTGTGCGTCTTAGCCCTTCTAAGCAGGATATTCAATACGCGGTATTTTTTGTAGGACTTTGGTGGGCAGTATGGCAGTTCCCTATGTATTGGTTGCTTTCTGACAGCATAATACCAGATCAACAATCCAATCAGGCAATTGCAAATGGTAGATATTATGATATCGATGGTTCCATATTCACATTTGTCAACCTCTCATCCCTTAAGTATGGTTGGAAGTTACTGGGTGAAGCTCTGAAACATGCAACATTGCTAAGAGATGTGGTGATATTTTTAATAGGTTGGTTCATCTTAAGTGATTCATTGACAACTATCAATTCTACTGCAATAATATTTGCGAAGACTGAACTTCACATGTCAACAATCAATCTAATTTCGCTAAGTATAATAACCATGATCAGTGCTATGGTTGGTGCTTTCGCTATCCCTCAGATAGTATCGACATCTCTACATGTACCTCCTCAACGCACTATATTACTAATAATATGTTGGGCCAGCATTATTCCATTATATGGCATGCTAGGTTTCATTTTTCAATCATTTGGATTGAAGCATCAATTCGAAATGTTTATTTTAGGTGTATGGTATGGGATTTCTATGGGAAGTGTTGCTGCCGTTTCCAGATCTCTATTCACCATCATCATTCCGAAAGGTAGAGAATCCACATTCTTCAGCCTTTTCAGTATTACTGACAAAGGTTCCTCAATAGTCGGACCATTTATTATTGGCATAGTAACAGACAAAACACATAATATAAGATATTCATTTTTTATTTTGTTTATATTACTAGTCTTCTCGTTGCCAATATTTAAGATGCTTAATGTGGAAAGAGGTAAAAGAGAGGCTGAAGAAATCAGTAAATTGCATGTAAACATCGATCCCATCCAAGACTAAACTACTATAACAGCATTATACTTTGACTAACCTCAAAGTTCAATGTATTCTAATATTGATCTATTCTATATACAGATATTTCGTCAATCAAGAATATAAAGTATATCGGCTTATGCGAGACTTAGTCTTTAACTAATTTCCAAACTTTAATAAATCCATCGTCACCTCCAGATGCAAACATGTTATGATCAGCTGGGTTCCAAACAACAGTATTACAATTCTTACCATTCTTTTTGTTGTTATTAGAATTGATGTTTCCATTGGACTGTGCTGGTTTGTCATTAACATGTGCTTTTAAAACACCCAAAATATTTCCCCTCACTCTATCCCATATGTATACTTTGCCGTCTTCTGAACCACTTGCTACAAGCTTATTTTCAAATCCGAAGCACGATCTAATAATAAATTGTTCCTGTTTCTGACCAAAGTATTTCTGGATCAGTATATTTTCCCTATAATTCCATAATTGTATTTCACTCGATTGTAAGTTTACAAGTAAAAGGGAATCTAAGGCCGGATCATAAAATGAACCTGGTTTAGGAATGGATATACATGTCATATTTTTTTCGACATTTAGACGGCTTGCTAAGGGTATGATTGTTTTCTCATACTCAGCCATGATATCAAAGTAATTATCATTATTACTTGGTAATCTGGAAATATCGTATACGTCAATCTTACCCTGGTGCGTCATTAATATAAGGGAGTTGTCATCGTTGCTGATCTTTATATCATGAACTCTTGGAAATATTTCATTATTACTAAAGGTAGAGTCGCGCCTGGTTATATTATTCAACGCATTTCCTCCTGATATTGGACTAGATCCAAGTATATTTTGTTGTAATGCTATACTGCTTGGGATAACTGTATTCTGAGAAAAGCAGAATACTACTGAAGAAGAGTTCGTGTCATATATAGCAACTTCCCTGTCCGGTGACCCAACTACAAATTTACCACTATGCCTTTCCGTATGAAACCAGTCACAACACCATATCCTTACTGGGTTAATGGAGTGACGAGAAGGAGAGTCACTTCTTGATCTAGGCTCTAATGGAGAACCTGATTCCATTGTGGCCATTAGATCTTGAGGCCTATTTTGATTTGATGGAACATCTCGAGAGGCACCATCCATTGAATTATTTGAATCAGAGCGATTTCTTTTAAACTCTTTGCCGGGTAAAACATAAAAAGAATCAATGGGTTTAATTACCTCAGCTACGATTTTATTATCAGATTCTGGATTAATGTCAATAGGTTCCCCTTCCGCATGAATCGAGTAGATATTTACGATGGCATTAAAGGGACATGACACCAAAAGTTTACTATCCGGAGAAAAGGATAGATAAAGAATGCATTGGGAATTTCCTGATAATATTTTGTATACTTGGAAGTCGTTCTGCACATCGTAAATGTATATTTTTCTATCAGTCGTAGCATCCGCAGAAACACTAGCCAGGTATCTTCCGTCTGGTGAGAATTGTAGATACCATACTTCATCGGAGTGTTGAGTCAAGGTTTTCTCATTTTCAAACGCAATTTTTTGGAAGTTACTAGTATTGTCTTGTAACAGGTTGTATTTATTCAACTCTTTCGAAGCACTTATGTCTTCCATTTCGATACCGTTACTAACTTCTTGATCTGAAAAATTAAAAACGTCCTTTGAACGTTGATATTTCACAGCTTGTCTCAGAAGCGTCAAAAGTCTTCCCTTAGGGACAAGATCATTGGGGTTAATGTAGTTTGAGATTGTCTGAATAAGATTTTCGCGGCTTTTAGTTAGCGAGTTTGGCCATAGTCCAGTTATAATTGATTCATTTGGGCATGTTATTAATGAAGACATGTCTTTAAGAATAATTTCTGGTGCAAAAGTTTGCTGTTCATCCTGAAGCCCTTCAATCTTCGGATCAATACTATCCCATACTTCAGTATATCTTCTTATAGTACCTCTAAGCAAAATTAAGGCTGTGTGAAAATCTTTATTCTCAAATATGAGCTCAAGGAATACTTGTCTGCAGATCAGTATTGAAATTTCTAAAACTGCTCGGATGCGTTCTATGTTGATGGACGATAAGTTTAATGTTTGTATCTGTGCAATTGCATCATTAAATTGTTCTAAGTTTGTACTCATTCGATCTATAGTCCTGCTAGTATTAATCGGGGTTGTAATCACGTTTTCAATTTTCATTGAATTTTTAGCTTCAGAATAGCCAGCATCATTGGATTCAAATGATTGATAATGTGCTACTAGTTCTGCCATTCTCTGATCATCTGTTAGTCGGCCATTTTGTAAGGGTAGCTGTGCTAATTCGACGAATGATATATAATGGTAAGACCCAGCACGTATCCATTTGAGAAGATTCTGGACAATGGATGACTCAACCTGTATTCCACCACTTTCTTCTTGTAATTTTATAGCAGACTCATCATATCCTAACTCTCTTAATGTGTGAATTAGTAATTTCGTTAACTGTACTTTGTCAAACATATTGATATTTTGCATTGGGTCAGTGACATCATTACTAAAACTTCTCTCATTTGGTACTGAAGCAGAAGCAGTCATTACTATAATACAAAATTAATCCTTGAAAAGAAATATTTGTAAGTTTATTCTCCAGTAACTGAACACTTAGCTTCCACCGCTCGATTAGTTGCAACCAATTTTCAATTGGTGTAGGAAGAGTTTTGATCTCAAAATTGTATGACTCTGCTGCCGATTCTGATAGAAACACTTGAATAACAGCAACTCAGTATTTGTAGTTTGTATAGGCTACTATTGGGATCAAATTATAGTGTTAACATTCTTTAATATTCTAGGAGAACTGAGTTTAATCATGCATAAAGGGTGACTTGTTGATGTTCCCATACCCCGTTCAGTCTCAACGTCTTTTATGATATCCTGTGATTCATTCAATCATCTGATATATGAATCAGCAATACATATACAGGTACAGATTCATTTACTCTATGATAACTCGATGATTTTGTGGTTGTTATCTGTATAATTATATGGCCTTGAATATTATTACGTACTTATTGGATTTGCAATGAATACAAATTGTTTGGCCCAGTTAAAATAATTTTATACTAGCTATAAACAAATTTCAACTGTATAAAATTGTAGGTGAGAAATGCATTATTGGTACACTAAACATGCACCACCAATTTCAATGGCTTCCATGTTAGTGGTAACATTTATTTTTTTGGCAATATCTGGACCCAAAGGAGAGTTGGCTAAAGTCTCAGAAAAGTATTTGTTATAATCTGGGAATATTTCTATCAAACTTCCATTACAACCTATCGTAGCGGATTGAAATGTTTCATTCTGTTCCTTTAAATGTTTTATGTGATTCATTATTTCTACTACAATTGGAATTGCGCTCAGAGTTGCAGATCTTTTTATTACAGCTTTTACTATTTTTTTAATCACTTGTCGATCGTTAGTATTTGTTTCCAGCTCCCACTGTTGGAGCATTACCAAGTTAGCAATTGATAGTTTCTCGCTCTCATCTAGCACAATATGGGCCATGGTATCTGTATCAAGTTTAAAGTGGCTTTTAATACAATTGGGTAAATCGCAGAGTGAGTGATATTTGGAAAGTATTTGTCTCCTACTATGTAAGAATATTAAGCAATTTCTAACAGTTTCTGATATGTGATCTGATGTAATTAATTTATCAAACCTGTCAATTGTATGGAAATCAAAATCCGTTTTTGGTAATTTGGTAAGAGGAATTCTGAAATCAAGTAGTCCGGCTTTTGAATTTGTCACCCTAATGCAACTACAATATGTCTCTCCGATAAAGCAACTAGCAATTAAATTGATATTTTTTGAAGCCCCCATGAAATAGGTACTATAATTTGTATAGTTTAATGATGCAAGGGATTCGGAAGTCACCTTTACTTGGACATTGTAAATTCCTGCCAACTGCAGTAACCGTTGATACTTGACGGGAAGGCTATAATATCTAACGGGATAGTCCTGTACAATAAATGGTAGAATAAATGGAGTATCATATAGATGAGGCAGGTATAACCTGAGAAACATGAGAGTATATGCACACATTCTTTCAGCTAATTGATGTTCCGAATTGAACAACTCTTGAGATATCTTGTTACATTGCTGATGTAGTATTTGCGAATTATTAAAATTCACCCTCACAAGGCATATTTTAAAGAAAGGTCTCTGTAGATATGCTAGTACAACGTCACCAGCTTCCTGTCCTGTTCCAAATAAGTGATTGACTTTGAATGTTTGTAAACTATCGGTGTATTCGTTACATAACTTTATCAACTTCACTTGATTTATTTCAAACTTATCAATAATTGATTGTACTTCTTTATCTAGTTTAAGTTGCTGTTGTGAATGAAACTCGTGAAATGCCATTTCAAATAATTTGAAGTATTCTATATAGATCGAGTTAATAGGTGTCTTATTTTAATGGAACAAAATGAATGAAACGTATTATTGTACTTTACTGTATAGAATTATGTGCATTAAAAATCATATTAGTGCTAATGTATAGGAAAGAGAAGATAACGTTGGTAAAAATGAAAGAGTTTCTGGTTTTCTTAAATAAATCTTGCGTTGACCTATTTTTGTGAGTCTATTGCTGAAGGGCTCAATTCCGCTTACATTATTTAGTTGACACAAAGTTGATCAGCCGCCTAACAGGATGCGAAATACGCTATAGCCATGTATTAACACACTAGACATACAGAACTGGTGTTCTGTATTGAATGTTTTACACCACAATAAATATTAATAAGTGCACTGCGTATTGTGCTACTGAATTTTAGAAAATGGTGGAAGTAGCATGATATACCGAAAATTGTAAATAAAGAGAAGTTCTTCGATATGGCAAATAGCGTAGTTTGAATCACCTTCACGGTAATATTGTGAAATGAGATCAGAATAATTAAGTTTGTCATGATGCCAAAATTAAGATCAACATTTCATTGAGAGAATCAGGTTGGTAAAGCTAAACGCAAGCGAGCCGCCTTTATGTCTGTTGTATATGTAATTATTATTCTGTGTAAATGCGTTTCAGCATTTATGCCTCCAGGCCATAAGATATTTCTCCTTTGTCAGGCTTCATTTACTCCGTCTCTAAATTACTTATACATAGAACAGATGTTAATATGAGATATTTCATAAAGATATTTCCTCCATTCTATCGTTTCTACAATAGTAAAGGGATGTGAAGGCATAAATACAGTTACCCCAAGACTAATGCCTCCGATTGTTCTTCCCTAGTGCCATATCAGCAGTATAGCATAAATGAAGAAGCTCTGAATTACATTATGTTATACAAGTTTAAGATATAGTAGGGTAGATACTTTTGATTTAGTATGCTATCTGCAAAAACGTAGTCTTCTAGATATAGGTTTCTATTTTTACTTTCACTGATGCAGTTGAAGGATCCCAATGACAGCAGAAACACTAATAGGAATAATCGAGGCTTACTGCTATACTGTCGATCCCTTCTCATTGTGAAGGAGGTCCAGAGCATTTCTGTCCATAGACGTCAAGGGCGGAATTTGAAGCAGACAGTCAGACAGTAATGCAGGAAGTATCTCGTTATCCTAAGGCAGACGCATAGCATTGCTGAGCATGTCTTCTGAGAGAGGGCCTTTCATTTAACCCATTTGCCACCCACAATAAATCAGAAGCAAGAAGTACAAGAAAAAGAGTGGACTGGCCTTACAAAAAAGTACTCAACGATTTCTTAAGAGGATCTTCAGTGTCGAATCTCTGAAACTCTTTCGTGAAGTTGAAGCTCAATATACTGCTTGTGTGCTCTTGATCCTTATCAAATATCAATATCATCGACTGGGAGACAAGCATTCTCTTTCGATCACCATGAAGAACTCGAGCAACGATACCAATCCTTTTTGCCCTCCAGCAGAAGGTCTTGGAAGCCAAAATCGTTCTCACCGTCTGTAGTTGATAGGTCTACGTCAAAATAAATGGGACGGCGTCCGTTTCCTCACTAGTTCACTGCAATTCAGAGGAGGAGGCTTTCAATATTACACTTTCCTGTCAGAACTGCTTTGGATCCTCTGGTGTTTCTTCTGCCTTTCACCGCAAGTCCTTTCTCAAACAGCTTTCGAAGTTGTCACCCTTTCTTTTCTCTCTATCTCAAGGTGTTGCACTCATTACGTGTGTCTTTGCTAAGGTTTTGCATAGTATCGTATCGACAAGATAGGTTAATATATATATATAAAGAGATATAGTTAATGGGATCGAGATAGGATTTGTCACTATAAATTGCATTTTCTTGGACTGTTTGCTAGCGGTCATATTCTTTGCAAAACTGTGAAAAGCACATACCAATAAACAATATGCTTTTTAACAAGGGTCTATTAGCCTTGGCTGCCACTGCAGCTTTGGGTGTTTCTGCACAAGACGCTGTTGCACCAGCTGATTCTGCTGTTGTTAAGCTAGAACAAGACAACTTCCAGGACTTCTTGAAGGAGAACTCCTTGGTTATGGCTGAGTTCTTTGCCCCATGGTGTGGTCATTGTAAGAAGTTAGCTCCAGAGTACGTCAAGGCTGCTGAGGAGCTTAAGAGCAAGAATGTCTCTCTAGTACAAATCGACTGTGATGACAACAGAGACCTATGTATGCAATTGCAAATTCCAGGTTTCCCATCAATCAAGTTGATCAAGGACGGTGACATTGCTCATGCCAAGGACTACAACGGTGCTAGAACTGCCGAGGCCATTGTCAAGTTCATGATCAAGCAAACACAACCAGCTGTTCAGGTCGTCGAAGACAAGGCTGCTCTAGATGCTTTAGTGGCTAACTCTACAGTTCCAGTGGTTGTTGACTTCGGTGTCAACGACTTCAACGCTACTTTCTACCAATTCGCCCACGCTCTTTCTGATGACTACGTCTTCATCTCTTTGCCATCCAAGGAGAACAAGATCTCTGTCTTCCTACCTGTCGAAGGTTCCTCTGCTGAAGAAATTGTCTTCAAGGGAGACCACAAGACTTTGGCTAAGGACAGATCTGTTTTCGAAGAGTGGTTGAAAGTTGAATCTTTGCCATTCTTTGGTGAAATCAACGGTGAAGTTTTCAATGCCTACTTAGAAAGTGGTTTGCCTCTAGCTTACTTCTTCTTCAATGAACCATCTGAAGTTGAAGAAAATAGAAAATTCTTCACTGACTTGGCCAAGAAGTACCGTGGTAAGATGGCTTTTGTCAGCCTGGATGCCAAGCAATTTGGTAGACACGCCGAGAACTTGAACATGAAGCAACAATTCCCATTGTTCGCTATCCACAACATGACTAGCAACCAAAAATTCGGTCTACCACAAATGGCCGAAGAAGAGTTCGCTAAGTTGAACAAGGCTATCAAGTTAAAGACCAAGGACATCACCAAATTGGTTGAAAATGTCTTATCTGGTAAGGCTGAAGCTATTGTCAAGTCTGAAGAAGTTCCATCAGTCCAAGAAAGCAACGTTTTCAAGATCGTTGGTAAGACCCACGACAAGATTGTTGCTGATCCTAAGAAGGATGTTCTTGTTAAGTACTATGCCCCATGGTGTGGTCACTGTAAGAAGATGGCTCCAACTTATGAAGAATTGGCAGACACTTACGCCTCCGACTCATCCTCTAAGGACAAGGTTGTTATTGCTGAGGTTGATGCTACTGCCAATGACATTTTCAATGTCGAAATTGCTGGTTACCCAACCATATTGTTGTACCCAGCTGGTAAGAACGCTGAGCCTGTTGTTTACGAAGGTGACAGATCTTTGGACTCCTTCTTGACTTTCATTAAAGAAAACGGTGCCAACGGTATTGACGGTTCTTCTCTACACAAGAAGTTCCTAGAGACCAAGAAGGCTGCTGAACAGGCTGAAATTGAAGACGACAATGAAGATGAGGATGGATTTGATGATGAATTGTAGGCCGCTCCGAAAGGAGATATTTCTACAATACTTTATTTTCAATTCACTCAATTTATTATGTTTTATTATGAGTTAACTCATTATCATGATGTTTTCTTCACGTTTTATTTTAGTTTATCTATCAGTTGCGACTGAAGCCAATTATAAAAGGGGTTTGCTGTAGTCGATCTACAGTGGCATTTTGACCCTTCAAACTGCTAGTAAATATCTAGATTTTGTAATTATTTCTCTTGCCTCCAAATTCTTTATACAGATTTATTAAGGTGATCAAACCTAATAGAATAGCAGTACATAGTATAGATTTAATGTTGTATATCAGGGGATGGAAAGCAATTTCAAAATCCTTTAAGTTTATATACAATTTGTCTTTTTGTTCACTATTCTCTAAAATTACACTAATAACTTCGAATACCAGCACAGCCATCAACTGTTACTCCTATCAGAGCCTGCCAGTCATATTAAATTTGCCATTTTAATTTGACGAATTTAAAGCCGGAAATCGGCAACTTCATAGAAAAACTACGGAATTGTTGGATTTAAGATAATTAATAGTGGAAAAAGACAATAGACTGGAAATAGTTCACTCAAGAGGACATTGGCCTATTTTCATTGATCTGGACTGTAGTAACTGAAAATCTAAGTGATTCATCGACTAAAATAAGAGCGTTTGCTTGATATTAGTTATTGTTACTGTTTTCTGCTTCCAACACTACATATATAAGGGAGAATATCATGGGTATATTTACACCGCCAGGAAAATCTGACAAGAGAGACGCTAATGAGGAGAAGCCAACCCTCCTCGGTTCTAATTCAAAGGATGAAACAGATGTGGAAAAGTTTTGGGTGCGACCAAGTCTTGGTCTCAAATTGTGGGGGCCACTGGTGCCGGCATCGGACAATAAGACCGGTCTTTGGACTCTGGTAGCAGTACAGAGTATGGTTGGGCTATTATGTTTTTACAGATTCAAATCATTGCGCATAATAGATAGGAATGGGGCACTAAATAGTGTCGGTAAATCTGGTATACGACCAACTAGTGTCCTGGTGAATGAGCCAAAATTATATAATTCAGCTTTCACACAGCAGGAGGCAGTATCAGGTAAACCTCTAGTTAAGAAAGACATTGCAGATTTCCCAACACTTAATAGATTCTCTACTACTCATGGGGATATGTTTGTTAACACAACTAATGTCAATCGCAACACCCCCTCACTATCAGCTGCACCTGTAGTTGCATCTCCCGTTTTGAGCTCTGCTGGACATCAGAGTGAGATAATGGCAAAATCTGAAGCTAAAAACAATTGGAAGTCCTTTTTCAAATCAGACAATTGGTTAATATTCAAGAAAGTGTTTTACCTTTTAGCAGGTTCAATTATACTATCACAATCTATGCTTGAGGCATGTAGACTTACAATCCTTAGGTATGACCCCTGGTGTGAAGAAGCCAAGACGGTAAGAGAAAAGAAATTCTTCAATAATATTGTGAAATTCTATCATGAGGGAATTGATCCCACCAAAGTGAAGGTCAAGGATGCTGTTAGTGGGAACATCATGCCAACTAATGTGCCAGAAGTGAGACAAAGTGTAGCATTGGTGAGGGCACAGACTGAGGCTGAAAATCCAATAATTTCTTGGTTTGGCCCAATAGAGTATAAGCCAATGACTTTTTCAGAATTTCTTGACCGATTGGAGTATCACCTTGATATGTTTGAGTATTTTCAAGGCAAGAGAGCCGCCAATGAAACAGCATTAGGCTTTTTGACAGGAATAAAGACAGAGACATCGAATTTAAGAGATCAAAATGCTCAAAATAGAAGTCGGATTTTAAAGGAACTAAAATCCGAAGATCAATTAAGCAATGATTTGAGCATTAAGACTGGAAATGCAAAGATACCGAAAGGTACTCAGAGACATGGATTTTCAGCTGCTGCCAATAGATCTATCATACTAGAAGAAGATGTGGCAGTTCCGGAAGATATAGACCTTAATGAAATTTGGACACTTTATGACCCGTGGCTAAATTTAGCATTAGAAACCTCATTGAGCATCAAATTCATTCCTACTGTACTAATTAATCAGGATGGTATTACAGAAAATAGCATGATGGATACCGAAGCTACTATAGGCGACAAGGCAGGTGTAATACCAGAAAATAGTAACAAACCTGAAGAACCTCGTCAATAAACTTTTTCGAAAATCAACTACCGAAATTTACGTATTTACAGTATGTGTAATTATTTTTCTAGATAGTTAACAGATTATGGATTCTAAACAAAGCATAAATCTAAGTAAGTCAGTATAACCAAGTAACATTAGTCTAATGCTAATCTGTGACGGTTAATTAAAATATAAAAATATATCTTCATTCAACTCATCTCGAACCAAATACTGGCATCCCATATTATTTTAGTACTTAGTATATAGCGACAGATGGAAACATCCCAAATAAGTCAGAAACAAGAGAATGAGAAACTCATAGAAGGACGGTTGGTAGTCGAGTAAAAAGAAGTTCCTATCTCGGCAAGAAACTTACTGGTAATTAAGTTTGATTGACGCAGTTATCAACATTGCTCAAAATTCAATTTTTTAAGTTGCATAACACACAGACTAATTCTAGAAAGTGTCTCGCACAACAGAATTGAGAAACTTTAAAATCTCGACTGCGACTATTATCAGTGAGGATAGATAACAATGGCCGATATCATTGGGTATCTCTTCTTTCTTTTAGCGCTAATTAAACCACTAAATGCCGTCTTTTCAGATGAGGCCTATATTGTGGATTGGCAATTACAGAACTTAGGCTCAGCATATAAATGTGTTATGGCTGATGAGGAAAGCAATCATTTAGCAATTGTGTCCGAATGGAGGGATCAATCGCTTTTAAGTTTCCTTGACAAAAACAGTGGATCGATCATATTTAGGGAATTGCTTCCATATCATATCCAAGATGTCATGCATATAGGAGATGAAATTTACTTATTAAATGAGGACGGAATAGTGGATGTCTACGATAGTCAACATGGTTTCAAGAAGGAAGTCGGTGTTGAAGTGAAAGAATTCCAATCCTCGTGTAATCCTAACTTAAAGAATGTCAAAGTAGAGAAGTCTGAGGTTAGAATAGTGGATGAAAAATCGAGCATGGACGTATTTAAGTTTGAATTAGATGAAAACTTTGAAAAGATTCTATTTTTTAACTCAGATTATGCAACAAAAATGGAAGTTCTGGTGAAATATAGCGGAAACCGCTTTGCGTTCTACAATTATCTGAATGACACCATCAGTAAAAGGTGGACTAGAGATGAATCCTTAAGTACTATTGTTGATCAAGTTATTCTAGATGTTGCAGATGAGTCCCTTGAGCCAACAGAACATGAAATATCTGTTGAAACGTCTATTCCTCAAGTATGGAAGGCATACTTGTACAGGTTAAGCACCAATTCTGAACGCTTTATCAAATATCTTGAAAGGTTCAATTATAACCCTGGAAAGATTATTACTAACTTGCTTGGAATGGATGCAGATGCAGAAGACTTGGCTACAATTCAGGATCAGAATATGAGATTTGGATATTTGAAACAACTTATAGTGATAACTGACAATGGCGCGTTGCAGGCACTAGACATGTTAAACAAAGGTGCAGTTAAATGGAGTATAACCACAGGAATCAATAATCCTATTAGAATTTTCTTCAGTGATGCCTTTAGAGATCTGACTGTCTTTGGCAAAGATGGTTCATACAAAATTTACAAAGTAGACAACTCATTGCATATTAAGGAATCTATAAGTGGATCAATTGGCTCCCCCATTGAGTCTGTTCAGCCCTTTTTAGTGGATAATTCAACAGACAAATTTGTTGTTAAATTTACCAACGGTTCAAAGAAAGTTATTTCCACTACTGAGAAACGTATCTCATTAGATGGCAATCCAGTTTTCATTACAGATCACACCAAATTCACAGTTGAGGGATTCGCTGTGGATAAAGATGGTAATGCAAAGTCAACATGGAAATATAAGGTTCAACCTGACGAAGAAATTGTATCTTTTAGACAACGTGAGTCTAAGAGAACTGTCAATGTAGGAACGGTACTGGGTTCAAGGGATGTTCTGTACAAATATTTATATCCCAACTTAGCTGCCTTTGCGATTGTCAACAAGCAAAGTCAAAAACTAACGACAAATTTAATGGATACGGTAACAGGGCAAATATTGCATTCACAATTTCATGATGATAAAATGGATACTGATTTTCCGGTCAATATAATATTTGGTGAAAACTGGTATATTTACAGTTATTTCAGCATGGCTCCACTGCCAGAACAGAAGATCGGTGTAGTGGAACTCTATGAATCGCTGACACCAAATCAAAAGTTCTCTAACAATACTGGGTTGACTGAAGCAATGGCTGGTGTTCACAAACCAGCCGCGATTGCTAATACATTTTATTTTCCTGACATTATTAAAAGATTAGAACTGTCAGAAACCAAGTATGATATTACTACTAAAGCTGTTATTATTGTTCTTGAAAATGGCCAAATTACATATGTCCCTAAATTTCTTTTGAATGCTAGAAGAGTCGAAGAATCTAAAATGTCGGATGATGACAAGAAAGAATTCATGGCAACTCCTTATGTTCCAGGTATTCCATTAACAGACAATTTAATTCTATCACATTATAGAGATGTCATCTTAGGTGAAGAAATAAAGATTGTCTCTTCTGCAACCAATTTGGAATCTACTTCAAACGTTTGTGCCATTGGTCTTGACGTTTTCTGTACTAGAATAACGCCATCTGGTCAATTCGATGTCATGAGCCCAGGATTCGAAAAAGGAACTTTGTTGACTACAATTGGTGTTTTGTTTCTCATATGTGTGGCTTTACGTCCATATGGTGCTTCAAAGAAATTGAAAGCGATTTGGACAGTTAGAGACTAATTTGACATTACTAACAGAGTGCATTTATTAAGTTTAGAATATATTGTAAGTAGAAATATGTATTGAATGAACACGCGAGATATCATAAGTTTTTTAAGTTAATATGCTGCAACTTTTGAGTACATCTTATTTCAAAGTTAATGCACTAAGGTCATATTTTTTGTTCTTTCTTATTTATGCAATATCTCGCTACCTTACAGCAGTATAAAATTGTTACCGAAAGATATCGAAAAGCTCTGGCTTTTTTACAATCCGTGGCTTTATATGAAATGTTACATCAGTAAGACTTTACAAACTACGTCAGTTAAACCAATTGTTAGATGCATTATGGAATAAAGTAGAGATCAATGGACTACTATCAGCAGTATACAGAATTTGTTGCTAAGAATGGTCAGTTTTGCCTATTCGATGGATCATTAGGTGTTAAACCTATTAATAGTGGTACTAAGGTGCTAGTATTGGATTCATCATATAATCCACCACATTTGGCTCATTTCACATTAGTAAAGAATGCAATAGAATTTTATGGACACCGCGGTTTTTCTAATTTCCATGTTCTTCTATTACTTGCTACAAACAATGCAGACAAGAGACCAAAGCCCGCCACATTTGACAAAAGAATGGCAATGATGAAACGATTTGCCGATTTCATTTCAATACAAAACTGGAATGGAATGCAAGTGGGTGTGTCATGTGCTCTCACAACTCATGGTAAATTTGTGGATAAATTGGTTGATATTTCTAAACTTATCAATTTCGGAATTGAGATGCCAGTGATCACTTTTTTAGTTGGGTTTGATACTTTGATTAGAATTTTCAATCCTGTATATTATGAACCAGTATCAGTTGCAGAGGCTTTAAGATCATTCATGGAATCTGTCGAGTTTTGTTGTTTAAGAAGAGAGGATGGTAAGTATACATTGGATTTTCAAGAAGATTATATTAATAAAATTATCAATGGTGAGGAAGAGCCCCAAATTCCATCAAATTGGGGTGAAAAAATACATATACTGAGTTTCAATGAATCAGTTAAAAACATATCCTCCTCTATGGTGAGGGATGTTGTTAACAACAAAGGTAGTGATGCTATAGATCTTAAAGACAGTATTCCCATGGTTATAGTCGAATATATAAAGCAAAATCCCAGTTTATTTAAAAATGATATTGAAGAATAGACTTGAAATATCGACGGCCAAAAAAATAATAGCATGTTAAATGCTAATAATCTGTTACAGCTTGCATAATAATATGGTTACCTAATCTGTACAGGTCATCTAAAAAAATAGTGCACTCGACATCAGTAAAAAATTTGTCAAGAGAGATAGTCTCTTCTTGTTTGAGCTATTCTCGGACTCAATTAGACTATTCATTAATGGCTTGGCCTGGTTATATTCTGTAGCTGTCTTTGCATTCTTAAAGCCTTTATTTCCTGGATTTTTATTCTCATGATTGACTTTTTCGGGTAATATAGGATTACCTACAGGAATGGCTTGATTTCCGTGAAGCGATTTACCATTGACACATTCGATTTTCCCTCCTCTTACTACGGACTTGCCCCTGATAGGGTTGATCCATTTTTGACAATCCAGCAGAGCTGATGTTGATTTAATGAATGCACTACCTTTAACCAATTTCAAGTTTTGGAAACTGATATCATCAAAACGACCATCAAAATGGATAGCTCCTCCAATTTGCTTTAAATTTGATAAGAAATTCACTTTCCTTAACTTATCATTATGTGAGATCATGAGACCACCGGAAATTTCCGTTAAGTTGTTCAAATCCACTCTTTCAAGGTTTAAGTTGTTGATTATCCCTAAAGTACCTCCAACGTACCTTAGTTTTGAGAAATCCAATGAGCTAAATTGATTCTCAATGAGTTCCAAAGATGTTTTTACAAATTCTAGGGAAGGAAGTGATACTGCTGAGGTATCTCTTATTGTAATGTTTCTTGATGAATGTAGGACTGGCAAATCTATTTCTATTTCTTTTGCATTTGCATGTATTGCCAATTGTTGGGCTATTTTTTTTATTGATTTAAATTTGAATACCTCTAAGAACCGGTTATTGTTGATGCTCAAAATATCCAAGTCCTTTACATTGCTAAACTCTCCCTGATCAATATTTGTGAGAGATGTATCTGAGATGATCAAGTTTTTCTCAACCATCATATTTGGGTTTAATGTCATCAAGTTTAAAATCGGCAAAATTCTCAATTCAAAAGATCTCACATGGTTCAGCTTTGGCAAATCCAATATGACTAAAGAGGTCAATTTTTGAAGCTTCAAGTCACCTTGAACATAATCCAAATTCTGTAAATTTATCTCAGCTAATTGAGAACAATTCTCAATAATAAGATCACCATCAACTTGGGCCAAATTTTCTAGTTGCAAGGAAGTTGGGCAAGATCTGATAATTAGATCCTCATGTACAATAGCAGGTAAAGTCAATAATTCCTCGTAGTTATCAATTACTCGAGCAGAGATTGATGTAAGTAACAGTGTTGCAACAAAAATAAGCTTCATTATGTATACCAATGCTAGTTGTTGTTGTTGTTGTTATTGTTGGTTTTTCAAGAAATAAGTGAGAGTTTTGTCTTATGTCTTGTGATTATCGAAGCACAAGTATACGAGGACATGTTATTTCTTAAAGAGGATTTTCTAATTATGACACACTAGTGTCGCAAAACACTTTAGTTAGCCAAGACAGATTGTATTTGGCACAACAATTGGGAAGTCAAAGGCACCTCAATTTTGAATACGATATAGAGAAACTGCCATTGGTAACACAAAAACAACAATGTTTTTACTTTTCAGTGGAGAGTAACCGCTAATTCAAGAATATACATTAAATTGATATCTTTTCTTGCAGTTTTAGTGTCATCATGTGACCCCAGCAAACTTCTAACGGAAACATCATTTACTCACTCCGGGTAACCTCGTAAAGGCAGGATAAGTAGCAGTAGACTCCCATTTCGTTCAGAGCAATAAGTGAAGACGTGTCAATCTAATCCGCAGTATCAGAATTACCCATTTAGGATAAGCATATCCTAAAAGAGGAAAATGACAACAACTGTGGCAAAATAAAAAAAAGTGGTGAGTGCGTGCAGTTCTACTGAGATTGTGTATATGTGTCTCTCTATGTTTTTATGCTTTTCAGGTACCTTTTATTTTTCTGCTCCAATGTGGAAAGCCCGACCCTTCCGGACGGATGAGTTTCTTCAATGAGGAATTAAAGAAAAAAAATGAAAACAAATACTTAGCACTGTCAATTTAATCATCGATGGTGATATTGGTAGGTTGACTCACCCTTTCTTAAAAGAATATAAAGATTTTTATTAGATTAAATGTGTATTTCTTTTAAATATTAAGTATAGTTCTTTGTTTTTTTTGAAATTTGAAGTATAAATTATACCTTTTCCCAGAAAAAGTACTTTATCTTTTATTCCTTAACTAATAGTACAAAAAAAAGAGAAAGATTCCAGAGATAATCCCCATTTCTTGTTCTCTAAAATTCACGTTTTGTATTAGTTTTATATTATCAAACATGAAATAGTGATCGTTCTTTTTCTCTTTCTCTTAGGATATTATTAATATTATTGTTTAGATAATAAAAAAAATTTTTGAAAAAAATTAAAATGGTGTTCTATAATTGGTAAAGAAAGGAGAATTAGAATCTCCTTTCTTTGAAGTTGTTAAACTCATAAAATAAAGTTGATGTAAAAAAAAACTCAAAGTTAAAGTAGGTTAACAGTCAACTTAGAACAAGAAAGCGACACCAGCGGCAACAGCAGCACCGAAGACACCAGCACTCAAAGCGTTAGAGTTAGCAGCACCAGTAGAGATCTTGGTGGTGGTGACGTTAGAGTGGTTGGACTTGTTGGACATGTTGGAGGCGTTAGCAGCAGAGGCGACACCCAAAGCGATAGCAGCAGCGACAATATTCTTGAATTGCATTTTTAATAGTATAGTATGTGTAATGAGTTTAGTTGGTTGGTTTATTGTAAAAAAAATAAACAATAAATAACTAATTTGAGTAAAACAGGGAATCAATTTAAACAGACCCCAGGATTTAACACCAATGCAGGATGGTATTTATACTTTTTTTTTTCTAACTTCATCTGGTATAGAAGTTTGCTTATTGACAGTTCAAGAAGTGGAAAATTTTTCCTTTTTTTACCTTCCTAGCTACTAGCTGTTGTTTGCCATTACCAAGACTCTTTGTGCAGTAGCAAGTGTAGAGGGCACATATCTTGTCAAGAAAATAATAATTCAAAGTTGGTCATAATTAGTTTAGTTCAGAAGCTTGTATGCCCATTAAAAACATCTCACCCACTACACTGCTCTCAAATATTTATTTTCTACTTACTTTTCCCATAGAATCGCTGGAGAACCCTCTTCCCGTGTTTGCAAGCTTCTCAGACGCTCCAGAGACAAAAAGAAAGAAGACAGGACAAGAGATAAGATTGAAGAAATTGGCAAGATGGCAAATTTTCTTTTTTATTTTTCATTTTTGCGTTATAATCACTAGCCTACACAGAAACCTGGGCACAATGATGATTCTCGAAGTGGCAGTTCTGTAGTTTAATTAGCGAAAGACACCAAAGACACTTCCCTTCCAGCTGTTCTCTTCTAGTTCTACTAGCTACTAGTTCTACTAGCTACTAGTTCTACTAGCTACTAGTTCTACTAGTCCTACTTGCTTTGTTTGCGGGAGAAGTGAACACAGGGATTCTAGAAGAAAAGGCTTCCCATTTCTGGACCTCTTTCCTAGTCTGCTATGGTGGCAACCACCACCCCTCAATGTCCTGCAGTAGATTCTGTGCATCCTACGAACCCGAGAGGGAAATCGCTCCTTTTGGGAGGGCAGGGAAAAATGATAAAATGCGAAAAGATGAAGGAAAAAGGAAAGACAGGGATGGCAGGGATGGCAGGGAGCGATAGATCCCATTTCTTTCACACAGGGTTCTGTGGAGTCGTGACGGGAAGAGATAAATCTTCTTTCGGATATCTCTCATTTCTTTTTTATTCCTTTTTCAGGACTGATACTAAGAAGGCGCTGCAAAGATTACTATCATATCCTGTTACTTTTTTTTTGTCTCGTCGTTGTATGTGTGTCATACTAAAGACAGATTATACTTAGCCTTCCTGCTTTGTCTGTGAATATATAGCGCAGAGAGTGCTAGTTTCTTTTTTTTGCCTCTTTGGGACAAAGGTTGATTTTTCTAGGCCGTTTTCTTAGGGGGTTACACTTCCTCCTTCCCCGTCCATCCCTTTCCAAATCAGGCTTATAATTCCCTCTTTTGCACATAAAGGGTCCAAATGTATGTCTCCTTTTGGTCTATTGATTTCAGTGGCCAGATTGTCCCCCCTTGCTATCGCTACCTTCGGCCTTCTACACTCTTTTACTGAGTGAACACTCGGGGGCCATTATATCTTCCATTCTTTGTCTCCTCTAGTGCCCCTCTATATTTACAACTGGGGCATCTTCGAATCCCAAATAAGCCCCTCGCTCACCCCCCCTCGTCACCCCCCTCGCTCCCTTAGCTCTTAGCCTCCACCCCCCACTCTCGTTGACCTCTTCCGTGCATGGGTTTGTTACTTGGGTAAAGCAAGGAAAGGAACTTGAAAAAGAAATTATGCATCTACCGCTCCTTCTGAGAATGTTAGTGTAATGCTGACTTTTCTGTATTGGGACTATATGGGGGGGAACATAGAAGGATGAAGCACCTGCACTAGCGAGTATTGGGTGGGAGGAAATAATAAAAGAGGGTAGTTCTGTCAAATGAAGGTGCACGACTCTGATAATACAGCGTTACCCACTTCAAAAATCGACTTGCGTTCTATTACCGTGATTCTGAGATGATTTGTACAGTGATTTGACTACGGAACAATTAGAAGGGAATGCTGTATCCTTATTCATAGTTCTGGTTATATGCCAGTAAATTGTTGCAGAGATCTAAAAAAAGGACCAATTTCTCGCGTGTATGGTATGGCATGCAGCGTTACTTCCTCTGCATCCTGTAACGAAGGGGAGTCTCGCTCTTTCTCCCCCACCGCCATTCATGAAAACAAAGAAAGGAACTGGGATCCTAACAAGAAAAAGAAAATATCTCGCGTTAGTAGAACAGGTTCTCAAGACGCGTCTACTCCCCTCCCCCCACTACCACCAACTTTCCATTGTTGCACAATCGAAACAAGCACGCTGCTGGGAGTGGGGGGGGAGTTGAGCGAGTCTGATATTCGAAGTTGGTCAATAAGAAATCTTGTTCAGGGTTCAGAATTTTACGTAGAACATTTTGAAATTCACGCTAAAATAACAAGATTATTTTTTTCTCCTCCAAAAAGTATACTAGGTGCTTTTGGGTGCGACGTCTTTACAGATGAACATTTCCTTTATGGTTTTCTCTGCTGGAAAGACGCTCCACAGGTTGTAACAAACAATACTAAATTTCGAGTTTTGCCCTTTGTGCTGAAGTGGCCAAATGAAAATGCAAGTAATAGCAATATCCTTGAGAGAGGGGTTACTATTAGAAAAGTATGAAATACAAGATTCTGGCCTGTGGTTTGTAGTATGGTATATTCTCATCATGGAACACATGGGCTCCAAGGATACTCCTTTTTCTTTTTGCTAGCGGACCTCTTCGGGAATAAATGTTACAATGCGACGCGTGGCAAAAGACGCGTAAACTAAAATTCACAGAAAAATGTGGAAAAATATGCCCCCTTTGGCTTCTTTGCGTTGTGCCTTTGTGCTTATTCATGTCATCTTATTTTCCCCTAAATTTGCAGGGGTACATAACTGTAGATGGGTGTTCCTTGTAACTTTACAAAGTGAGTTACGCACTTTGCAACATCAATGGTAAAGTCTACAACAATTTTTTGTAATTCTCCTGTGCAAACCTGCCGGTGACTAGCTGATAACCGCATTTCAAACATCAGGTTGGTTGATAACCCTTTGTTAGGGAGATCAATAAGCCCGATTTCGTTTGAAGGATAAGGGTTGTAGAATAAGCACCCCTTGACTTAAAGGTACAAGCAAGAACCGCAGTCTCTCCACCCCTATTAATCCAGAGTTCGGTGAAAGTATAATGATGCGAATTGTTAATGTACCTTTAACCACAATCTCTTAGTGAAGGTTTTCTGGGAAAGGGAACTCAAAAACTTTCAGTTTAGAATTACATTTTTAACAAGGTCTAGAATTATTCATGACTTTCAAAATTTAAATAAAGATGGTGCTCAGGAAAGGGTGGTAGGGATGTAACTTTACATATCCATGCCTCACTATTTTTAATAGTGTTGATAGCAGGGGAGTTGAAAAAAATGCTTAAATTACTCTTAATTACATTGCCTAACATGGTCTTCCAATTTACGCAAATAAATAGGTGGATGTCCATGATTAAAAGGGTATACCATGACTGGTAAAAATTTAGATAAATTTGCCGATATACCATTAATTAATTCAAATATGATCATACTACTCGTTTAGAGTTCATGTCAATTCGGATAAATTCCTTGTTCTTATCGCAATTTGATTATTTATGGTATCCGAGAGTAATGGCATGATTCAATAGTGACTCAAGTCTAGCCTGTCGGCACTTTCATCTATGTTGTCGGTGTCATTCAGCAGTAAAATATGCCATTGCTACGATACTCATGAGAGTTCTAACTCCACCCTCCTAAATTTACTGCCTTTTTTGAAACATAGATGAGTTCTCGAGTCAATCGTATCATCCCTGTCCATTGATTTCCGTTGTAGTCTTGTGCCAAGACGGATTCCCAAATTGGTGATTCGGGACCTTAGATAATTGCTGTCAGAGGGGGGGGAAACGAACTGAACTGAATCATAAATAACCATCACATGACTTCCGTTGCCTTGTGAACCCTGTTGAACTACATAACGATGCCCAATTCATTTACATAGTATTCCTCTGAACCTAAAGGAAATGTTTAATCACAGATTGTATTAGGATTAACCTGTTGTATTTTCACTGTATAGGGCTATGATTTTTTTTGGTCTCGTCATAGCATTAAATATACACTAATTAAACTATTACAATGCCGATTCGGGGAAACATATTGGCTAAAGATGTAAAAAATGTAAAACTAATGCCTGAAAAAGAAAATTGACATCTTACTGTGTGGAATTCTATGTTACTAATTAACGGAGGACCTTCAATGATTGGTGTGTTGTGGTAATGGGGTAATTAATTCAATTTTTGTTGTGGACAAAAATAGATGACTATTCCTAATAGTATTGTATGTATGAAATGAAAACTTCCTCTATTTTGACTGGCACATTGATGACGTGAATTCCAGTATCTTTGATATTAATGGAGGCGAAACTAAAATGGTAGAACAGGCCCAGACACGATACTGAATGTTCTGGAACTGTTGACACAAACAAGAAAAGTATATGTACATCACCCTTTGTTGTTAAATGTTTGTTGAATGTAATTATTAGGAATCGGCATAAGAAATTGATTCTAATCGGCCAGTAATTCCGCCAAAGCCCAAAACGAAATCTATTTTTAGATTAGCTCAGAATTTTATCATAGTCAGAACTGGTTTGAATCCCTCATGGGTTCCTGTTATCTTATTGAATACTACAAACTTAACCATTCTGGATATACTTCGTTTAGCCTTTGATATAGCGAACAGTAAGTCCAAAAGAATACACCATTTAAATTTTAGAAAACATAATGATGACGCCAGCATCTAAATAATAAATGTACAAGACAAAGTGCTACTTTATCCCGATGGGTATGATGGAAAAGTTAAAGAGTAATAATATCAATAGGGTTGGTCACGTGACTTTGGTGGCACATATATCTAATGAGCGAAGAAGGAAGATTCGAAGTATTTCGTGGTAAAGACACCCATGATGATAAATTGACAGAAATACCCAGTTGCCTACGGGGTTTGTCTGCGAATTTTTGAAAAAATTTTGAATGAAGTGAAAAAGTTTCGGAACAATACCTCTTCAAGTCTACATGCTAACTTCTGCGGGGTTTTGTTAGAAAACTACATTTTCTAATTCGAAGCAAGGCCTCATCGAGCATTGAATGGAAGAGATGTTTCCCAAATAGCCAGAGTAACAGACAATAATGATGTCTAACTTTCAATTGAGACCGATCACCGGCGGACTGGTGAATAGTCTATGATTTCACCTGTGTTGGTAACTAGAGCATTACACTCAACCTTAGAAATTACTTTTCACAGATATTGAACCAGTTTTTACTGAAAGCAACATTATTTTTGTTGTAAGAAGCTCTGTTTAAAGATTAGTGTTAAGACGCAATTCAATTATACGCAAAATGATTCCAGAAACTGTAGGTAGTTTGATTGCTCAAAAATACAAGAGTGCTAAAGAAAATGATCATCTGCACTTTATCGAGACTGAATCCAAAGCTATAAAGGATGATGATTCTGGTATGAACTTTGTAATTAGTTACACACCTAGCTTGCTGAAGAAACCTGAGCGTGCTGATGCCCAGAAGGATGGTACTGATCCTTTTGAAAAACCAGAACCAGAATTGACCATTTTAGAAGATTTGAATGAAGATGGTCAATTCAAACTGCTGTTGAATAAATTCCCTGTGATTGCCAACCACACATTGTTGGTTACAAAAGAATTCAAGCACCAAAATACTGCTTTGACACCACCTGAGTTGATGGTTGCTTACAAGCTTTTGTGTACTCTTGATAAGACTGAGAGCAAAAGACATATGGTATTCTACAACTCTGGTCCTCAAAGTGGCTCATCTCAGGACCACAAACATTTGCAAATGTTAGCTCTACCAGAAGATTTTGTCCCATTCCAAGATAACCTATGTGCAGGTAAACCTCATTTCTTGCCAGACTTCAAGACAGAACCTTTGCAAGATGATAAAGTGTCCTTTGCTCACTATGTTTTGCCAATGCCAGAAGACAGTGATTCTGTAGATGAAGATTTGATGGCTATGTGTTACATTTCCTTGTTGCAAAGAGCGCTGACTTTCTTCCAAGATTGGACCAATGAAAAACCAAACATGGAAAAGAGTTACAACTTTCTGTTGACAAAGAAATGGATATGTTTGATCCCACGTTTTCGTACGCAGGCTGAATCCTTAGAAATTGGTTTCAATGCTGTTGGTTATGCTGGTTTGGTTTTAGTTAAGAAAGAGGATGTCTTTCAAAAGATCACCGAGAAACCAGAATTGATTAATGACGTTTTGTTGGAATGTGGCTTCCCAAACACTGCCGGAACAAAGCCAACAGAGTACCATTATTAAGGCTAACAACTTTTTTTGTGGGACTTACTGTTATTTCCGCTAACCATTATATATAAGCTTAAAAAAGCAATTATGAGCTCCAAAGCATTATAGAATATTAATATAATATTGATGAACCATCTATGTTAAAACGTATAAAGACTTTTTTTTGATCAATATCCACATTCTTCCTAACTGGGAGAAGGATGTCAATTATTGCCGCAGAAAATAATAGTTTTTCGAATATCAGTTTTCCTGATTACTTTCAAGAAATTGATGTTTTTGGGTATCAAATAACTGTTAGAAATATATCAATGCAATTATTGTTTTCATGACGAAAGTATTTAAAATTCTGAATCTATATAGGTAATTTAGATCCATCATACAAAATATAAGCACAAATGACAGTGCTGAAGTCCATGGTATTTCGAGCGGTTGATGGTCGCTTAGGTCATTTGTGGTAGTATACAAAGTAATAGTCTTTTTTTTTTCATTTTTTACTGAACATATTCATAAATTTGTCGAACTTAGATCTATGTTTTCTCATTTTTCCGGGATCTTGCCGGTGAATTTCATCTTTATTTAGACTGGATGATCTAGGTGTGGATTTGATACTAAAATTGCTTTTCGACTCAATAGCACCATCACTAATATGCCTGTTTTCTCTAGTATTTGGATCTGGTGTAACTGGTCGATTGTCATGAAACTGTGGATGGTCATAACGTTTGCTAGATGCATAACTTGACCCAGTTTTTTCCGCTATTAAAGGAGATGGACTATTGTCATCAAATGTCAAAGAAACCAATCCAAATAGAGCTTCGCGAGTTCTTGAGTTCAAGGATGATAAGTCAACAGCCTCTCCGGGTTCGCCAAGAAGTATTTCACTCGATAACTGTCTACTATCAGTGCCACTGCGAAGATTAGTAGTAGAATTTGAACTAACTTGGGAAAGTGGGTTTCTACTACCATTATCCATGATCTGATCTGTTTGATGATCAAAGGTGGTATTTGATATGGTTTGGCTTATTGATTTTTCCTCACCTTCGTTATCTTCAAGAGTAGGAGAGCTGGTTCTTTTTGAACCTTCATCCTCGGTTAGTTTTACACCACAGTCCCTTAAATTTTCTGGCATATCATAAACTTGTGGTTGATAAGCAAATGTTTGGGAGCTGGATACACATCCTGCACTGTTTCTGCGGTATTTTGAATAGTTTTGGTGACCCTTATCTAGATAATGTGCCGTAGTACTGCTCCCGTAAGGTCTGAACGGACTCATGGGGAATCTAGGAGCATCTAAACCTTTCGAGTGACTACCCGTAATATGAGTTGAGTTATTATAATTGTTATGTCCACTATTACAGTTAGGATTGCTTTCACTAAAAGATGCAGGGGTAACTGGCGTGTTACCATTCTTTGATGGAGTAAGGGCAACTGAAAGAGGAGATTTAGAATTATTAGATGAGGATAAAGACGTAGAAGAGTTTTGTTCTTTCAAGGTTTGTGATTGAATAGCATTTCCTGCCACTTTGGTAGGTAATTGTCTTGTGTAATGAGAGTACCTCTGCTTTTGTCTCTTAATCTTTAAAGAATTATATTTGTTTGTAGCCTCATTTTGTAATGTTGTGTCATCTCCATCGTCTAAAGTCTTTTCCGCAATTTCGTTATCATTAGCTCCTCTGGCATATTTAGTGGAGTATTGTTTTAATGGCGAGTTAGGTCTCAAAGGTGACAGCAAAACTGATGGCAAGTAATCTGAACTATCTTTTGTTCTATCATTTTGAGATCGCGCTCTTGTGGGAAGTTTAGATAAGTTTTCAGATACACTTCTCTTTTCTTCATCAGCGTCATTATTTTCGGATATATCGTCCTCTTCCTTAATCATCAGCCCTGCATCATTATAAGCAGAACCATTGTTACCGTTCAGTACAATTTCAAGAAATGCAGGTGCAGACTCAGTCCTTCTGTGAGATTTGAATGATCTTGGCTTCGTTGTACTTAACACATCATCCAAGTTAATTATAGCATCAGGAACACCTTTGCATGGGGATGAGAATCTCGGTTCTTCACTTACAAAAAACCTTGGACTTGGTGTTAATAAATTAGTTCCTTTTGCAACAGTTGGAGGTACTTTAAATGGCGAGAGATTTCGTTGTGATACTTCATTCATGCCAGTGCCAGACCCTGAATAACTAAGCTCGTAATCTGATTTTTCATGTTGTTGTGTTACAAAAGATACAGCAGGTTGCGTGTTTGGTCTGAATTGCTCGTGTTTTGGTGGTGGTGTGCTGAGTATGTGAGGTTCTGGAGACATTGTATGAATGGAGGGTTTTGGAGCAGTTGCAGGAGGCTGTTTCAAAAACTCAAAATCCCCTGAAATTGCGAATGATCTCTTATGTCTATGACCTCTTTTTGATGGAGTTGAGAAGTTACTCTGTGTTGGTGTTGAACCTCCCGGTGCTGAAACTATAGGAGGAGGCGGTACAGAGATTTTCAGTTGTTGTGTATCGGTCATTTTTGGTGTGCGTGATGATTTAGTTGACTAACTTTTCTCCACGTTTTTTTTGGTAATAAAATTCAGGTCAGAGAATGGAGATAAACCGGGTTTGTTGAATGAAGAGATTAAAAGACTATATTAGTTGCTTAATGTGTTACCTCCAAGAACCAGCTAGAAAGTAATGGAATAAAGTCCTGTTATAATTCTGAAAAATACAAAGTATTTCTTTATATTATCCAACAATTGATAAATACACCACAAAGATTATAGGTATGAAATATGCAGTGTAGATTATAATGTCGAAATCAAACACTCCGAAATCTTCACAAATAATCAATGGTCTCGGGGAGTTAGCAATGAAAATTAAATTGGAACAATAATATGATGAGTTTCTTAACAAAAATAAAACAAAAAAAAGGATAATAGAATGTGAAGTGAAAAAATATAATGCAGTAACAAAGAAAAACTGGAATTTCTGTTTGCCAATAATTTCAGAACTCTTCTGTGTTTTTTGGTAGAGTTTGTATATTGAACGAATGGAATTGCAGGTCAGCAAATAAAGCCTAAGCTAATAACTTATACTTGTCTTGGTATCTCTATAGTAGATAACAGAACTTTTTTCTCCTGATGAGGAAAGACAAGAAGACTCAATTCGATAGTAAAGAATGAAAATTGGTCAGTAAGAGTTCTTCTCCTTTGTCTCGATGCAGGAAATCAGCGTGAAGAATAGTTTAAGGTTTTTCTTCGAAATGCCTTTGAAACTAGCGCGATTATAATCGTATGCCTTGAAACTTCCTAAGTAAAATAAAGTCGTTTTTCTTTCCCTAATCTCTAAACAGAAGAACTTCAGTAAGGGTCGAAATAGCCGTAAAGTGAAGCTCACTATCCAAAATCAGATATTATGTACACCAAAAGGAGTTGCTAGTGAATTAGATGTTATAGCACAACCCTAGTAAAGTCCTTGATATAGTCGATACCTTGTTTTGATAAACACTATTCCTTGTTCTTGTTGAAAAAAAGAGAGGCACAGAGAGAGGGTTCCTCACTTCTAATGAGCGTAGTAGTATATTGAAGGAACTCCGGTAATGGACAGTCGATTGGATTTCACCTTAACAAATATTGTATCCCTTCGGATGTGGTTAATTGGTAGCACCTATTACTTACACGTTAGGAGAAGAAGAAAGCAAAAGGTTCAGCTCTGTTCTGTGAAGGAAAAAAAAAACTATTGCTATGGTAAGACTTTGCTTATTATAATGATTAACCTGTTCTTATTTCAAAACTTGAATTAAATCTCAAATTCAAATAAGAACATAAAGAAACTATAAAAGAAAAATTATTCGAAAGAAAGATATTAACACGACCAATAAAGGATAACTAGCAAGAAAACACCATAATCAAGTATTATTAATGCTGTTTTGAGAAATATAATATAAGAGAATAGACTAGTCAATTGTCGAACCTTCTAATTTCAAAATTTCTATAATTTTTTTTTTTTTCTTGAAGGAGTAATTACGTGAATTGCAAGTTTAGATTACTCAGAGATGGCAAGTGAAAGTACAAAAATGTGTGTAGAAGATGTGGTCCCCTCAAAGAGTAAACGTAATTTACTTTTTTGTTCTAGGAAAGGTGCTTTTTTACTATTGTAACGTGTAGCACAATTGAATGAAAAAGGATTTTCTTACTTCGAGGTCTTTTGTAATTTAGAAAAGCAATTAGAATAGAAAAAGTAGAAGGAGCATGCTGTTTCCAAGAGGTGAGAAACGATATATCGCTGGGGGAGGTCCCTTTATCCCATTAATCCTCTACAATTGAGAGGTAAGTCCTTTCAGCAGAGAGTACAGGAGGAGCTTTAAAAAAGAAAAGGCAGGATAAGAATTTTTATTTCCCAATGCGACAATTCTGTTCGGTTTAGTAGCAAGCAGGGAGGTTTCTTTACGTAAATTACTTACCAAAATTAGCCCACTGGGATAGGAAATAAACACCAAAAATCTTGAACAAGCTAGGTTCATCTGCAAGTACCATAGCATCCAATGTGTACGGGACAGTCGCACACGATGTTAGACAGAATTTATATATGTTGTCCTCTTGCTGCAGAATTAAATTGGAGCACCAAATGAACTAAGAGAAGGGAGGAGGAAACTACTGCTTTCAAGATTTTGCATGCTTCGTGTTTTTCAAATAACTATGTCTTCTACTTTGTTCGTACGTTTTCTTACAATATATCATTGTCTTGTTATGTTAGTAAATCCGATGGAACTGGCCTGAGCACCCATCGATCCTTTTCTCCTGTCCTGAAAAGCTTTGTTGGCAGCAATGAGTGAGATAAAGAGGGCAAACATTTCTTGAAAGGACTACTTTGAATAGTAGCTTGAACCATTGCTGCCGTGATGTGATTTATTACGTAGTAGTGGGTACTTTGCAAAAATAGGAACCCAGAGGCTAGTTCATGGTACACATTTCTATTATCCGAGTGTTCTGCGATAACAAAAGTTGTTATAGTTGTTAAAAAAATGCCATTTCGGACTAATGACGTATCTTTGGAACCGTCATAAAACCTTTCTCCTGCGAGTGCGGATTTTTGACAGTATTGTAAATAATCTATTAATAAATAGTCTGTGTGATAAACGGCAGTACTTCTACTATTCTTTTTAATTTGGATTGGAGTAGTGATCCATCGGTCATCACTTTGCTCATCTACAACTCAGAAGCTACCACGTTACTTTTTTTTATTTTAAGATCATACTACTCCAATAATAGTCCATTATTTGACAGATCAATTAAGACAAGATAAGGATCAATTATGGAAAGTGTGAGACATAGGATCGCTTTACTATTCGCCAACGAAGCGGATATACAAGATGTTGAGACAGTCGAAGACGGAGTTATTGTGTTTCCTAACAGCAATATAACAATACAGGATAGATGGACATACGCAATTGACTATGAATTAGATAGTATTAGAAGAATCAGTTGGAGAAACCCCAGTTCAACTCGTCAATTTAGTGTGATAGAGTCTCGCTTGGCCCCTGGCTTTAACATTTACTCAAATGACAAAGAGGCAAGGTTAAACTTATTTGGTATACAACCTGTATACTCGCCGATGTATAAATCCTTACACTCAGAGACTTGGAAAAGCATTAACGAGATATTACCAGGTGGTAAAAACCTCAATATACCATGGAATCCTGAGTTGTGCGACTATGACATTCTAATAACTGCTAATACCGTTCAAGTTTTCAGTTACTGTTCATTAGTTGAAAAGAAAAAATTTGTTAAAGACGCAGGGAAAGTCGAGATAGGGTTGTTTCATGTAGATACTGAGGATGAAGAAGATATCAATCTGAGTGGATTGAGATGTACATGGGAAGACACTAGCAACAATATTGGCAAATGTGAAAAAACAACTCTTTTTTATAAACCATTCCATCTATACGTTGATGATTCATCAGACATTGCACCAATTACAATTGAAAATACTAATGGTTTACATCCTAAAATGAAAATCGATTTAAGTGGAATAAGAAAGGATAAGGATTGTAGACATTTCGTGTTCTCTCAATTACCTTCTGAAATTTTTGTTGATAAATTCCAATCACCTGGGTCTATAGTATTTGGATTAGATGACTTGGAGTTGCCAGATTACAAAGTTAACTCATTGTCTTGGGGCTCCGAGTCCATAGTTACATTAAAAGAAGGACAGATCAATGAAATCACATATTTCTCACGCTACTTAGAACCAAAAGAGAGAGCCTCTAATAAAACAGTAGGATTTGAACCAATTCTTTTCAAGGCATGTCAAGTAGGCAAAGAAGAGGACCTGTCAAATCCTTTCTACTCCAGAAGTCTAGGATACGAAGCTTATTTTTCGGAAAATACTAAATTCTATCACATTAACTCCACTTCTGTACATGTTAATATTCCTTATCCGAACAAAAATGATATTGGGAATATAGAATATACAACCTTTGGAATTGTTGTTCTAGCAATTTGTTATTTGATCTATAAATTGTTGAGACCTTCGAGGAAATTATCTACAGTAAAGAGGGACTAAAGATGAGAATTCAATATAAGCAGAAGTCTCTCAGCATAAAAATAGATATAAAATGACCATGCAAAGTTGTTCGAATGATAAATAATATACAGATATAAAAATACAAGTGATTAAAATGCTACCAAGATCATGTGAAAAGCTATTTTTTCTTTTTATGGTGTTTCTTAGCAATACGTTTCAATGCTCTCTGTTCATTCTTTAGTACACCGTCAACCATCTTATATTTACCTTTGATACCCTTTGGTCTACCTGATAGACCTTTGTTTTTACCATGGGCAACCACCAATGTAACCTTAGGCTTAGTTTTTTGTTTCTTTGTAACTTTACGCATCAACTTTGCGATTTCTTCCGCTTTATCCTTTTCAGATTTGTCACTGTCATCATTGATTAAGCCTGCCTTCTTCTTAATCTTTTCTAAACGCTTAACAGCACGCATTTTCTTTCTTGCCCTGGCTTCTGCCACCTTTTTAATCGGGCGTGCATTAAGAGCTTTCATTTTTTCCTTCAACGCCATTACAGCTTCTTTAGTTATCGGTCTATTAACCTTTGAATGCTGCTTTTCTTCCTCTAAGAACCATTCTGGAAGGTTCTCAGTATCTCTGAACGCATATCTGTTGAAACCCTCATCGACCAGATCATGTTTAGATCTTTGACCAAGTGCCAATTGATGAGCCAATGTCATTGCTTCAACAGTGGCAATATCAATATCCTTATCATATTTCTCTTTGGTGGTTCTCTTTCGTTCTTCATCAGAATCGTAATCAGAATCAATATCGCCATCGCTTTCATCATTGGCAACAATTTCAAAGTCAGATTCAGAGGACGAATCTTCATCCGAGCTATCTGATAGATCCTCTTTTTTCATTTCATTGTAAGATCTTTTATTGCTAATCTTGGTTGCATCCCCAACACTTTCTGAGTCCACTACATCATCAGTCTTTGACTGTAGAATAGGTTGCACATTTTCAAATAATGGGTTACTGAACAAGGCCTTGGCTTGACTACTCAATTTGGAACCATTGTTCTGACTCTTCAATTTACTGATAAGTTGGTTAATCGCCTCATCATCATCTTCATCGGATAATTCAGAGTCATCAGATTCAATATAGTCCTTAGGCTCATTATTCTCATCTTCCGAGTCTTTGGTACCTTCAAAGCCGGTCCATTCGTCTTCCACATCTCCACCTCTAGCTTGTTTTGCTCTAAAGTTAGCATCTCTTTCGGCTTTTCTATTTTTGTAATCTTGATACATGGCATTTAGCTCACCTTCTAAGTCATCAACTTCATTCATATCATGGCGATCTCTAATGACTATGTTTTCATCAATATGGAGGTCGTTATCTTGTGCAATTTCATCTTCAGTGAAAATAACTCTCTTCTTACCCTTCGCCAATTTATCTAAAATACCAGTCTTTTCAGCAGTTTTTAAATTAAATAGAGAATCTCTACCAATGTTTGCAGCTTCGATACCAATATCCGTTGGAGTTAACATGTTCATTTGCATTCTAGTTAGTTCCTTCTGTTTCTCCTCGTTCTTTCTTCTCTTTTCACGCTTCTGCTTTTGTTTCTGCTTTTCTTGTAGATCTCTTAGTTCTTTTTCAATCTGCTCTTCTTCATTTAACGGTTCTATTTCAATGTCTCCCTTGTCTTCGTCTTTATCTAAACCTAAAATATCTCTAGAGGCTTTCCTCCACTTCAACAACATTTTGAAATCCTTTTTACCCAAGACTTTAAGATCTTCAATACATGCCATGAATTCATTTGTTGTTTGTTTTAGCCTTTTCAAGATTTTCCATTCTGGGTCATCCTGTTCAACAGTAAATTTATTCATCTCACCTAATACTGTTATTGGGTCTTCTGATTTAACAAAATCGAGTACAGAGCATTCATGGTATAGTAGATGATCACCTTCTTCGTAACCTTGCCTCTTTCTCACTTTCTTTTCAGGATTATAAATCTTAGCTTCCATATTTTGTGGACCATCTGGAAGTTCTTCAAAAACTTCTTTAGGATCTAACAGTCTTGGATCTAATTTTTTAGGAGCCTTGAACCCTTTGCATACCACAAAAATTTCTGCAGAAACGTTTCTTGAAGCTGGTGGCTTGGTGGCTTCAACCTTTTCGAACAGCTGTTGAAACACCCAAATCAATTTGTTATAGTCTTTTGATCTGAAAATTTTGGTAACAAAGGTACCATTGACTACTAAATTCTCAACGGCCAGTTTTAAAGCTTGCAAAGTTAAGTGAGATTGTGTGAAAGCATCTTGGGCCCAACCTAAACCAACATTTGGAGCACCATCATGAAGAACAGTGTCTGCTTTCCAGGTCTTCATGTAACCTCTCAATCTGGATCTACAGTCTTCTGTTGTGATATCACTCTGAAAAGTTATGACGTTTGGCATTGGTTTCATTGGAACAATATCCACACCGATGATTAATGAATTCACAGGACATAATTTAGATGCAACTTGGCACCAAGAACCTGGAGCAGCACACAAATCGATAACAACCTTAGATTTTTCTAGAAAATGACCAAACTTCTCATTAATTTGAATAATCTTAAAAGATGAACGGGCACGGTAACCCTTCTCTTTAGCAAGATAATAGTACCTATCTAAACGACCTTTACTATTTTTCTTCTGTGTCTTACCCATGGTACTTAGCTATTACCTTCCTTATTAATAGTAAGGTCTTATAAGTTTTATATAATGCAAATTAAATACTCTTATATTTAAATGGGAATATTTTAACAGAAAACTATTAACCCCCACAAGGTATGCATTGCGAGAAACTCATCGGCTGGCAGGCTCATCTCATCTCATCGCGAGCAGCTCATCGCAAATTTTTTTCATAACATATCATAAGCTACGTAATACCATTGACCAGGCACCTGATATAACAGTAATTTCAAAGTGCTTAGTATTGGCAACAGTATACATTATAATTTGTTAAAATTTGGAAGGAATATCCACGTTGAAAGAGCCTGAGCTCATTTAATTAAAACTATCTTTTTAGTTAGCTTTATATTGTTCAGGCTCTATGATGCAATGACATGATAAGGCTAGAAATAATAAGCAAGATATACTATTATTACGATCTTTGTTAATAACTGTACAGCAGGTTTGGTTTATGGTTGATTATATCACATAATCAAGACTTTTTGGACTAGTAAAAGGAATTTTATCGCTTATTCTTGATCTCACTTTTGGGAATATAAAACTTAAAATTTTTTAATGATCACTATGGTAAATTATCATGGTTATTGCTGTATTACTTAAGTTTAAAGACCAGCTAATTGTATAATTCATTGCTCTTTTAGTCTTTGGATTGTATAAATATTCTCTGCAACAGGATACATCTATAAAAGTTAGCAATGAAAATAACATTCAAAAAAGGAGGTTCTCCCATAATAAAGTGCAAGGTTAACCCTCATAAAACTATAGCTAAGAAGGTTGTAACTAGAACATAGAACTAGTTTAGTCTGGGTTAACTTTCCGTTGTTTATATCGTTTCATTATTTCATTTATGACAATGAATTATCATCCATTATATTTATGTTTTGTACCTAACTCGTTGCTGTGGATTCCTACGGGACTGGGACAGTACCAAAAGTGTCTTAATCTCGATGCTAAATATAAACAGATATACAGTCAGCTATGTAAGTATTTATAATTACAAAATTTTGAATCTGTGCAATATTGAATTATGGTTCTTAGTTTGTCTTTCATTGTTATAATTTCAGATTGTACCTCCAATTTCAAATAATATTATTAAGTTGGATTATGTGCCCAACTTGAAGATAGTATTTCCGTTATTTAATAATAGTGAGGATTATAAGCTTACAATAGTTATATTTGGACCTTACTGTATAATGAACCTCAATATTTTAAATATGTTACTGGGCAAAAACAAATACGATTATTTATACAGGCATTCACTTTCGATAAATGAACTGCTAATCTCAAATGTATACTACTAACCATAAAAATATGATATTATGTGCTATCTTATTACCTCAAGTTAAAATACAATGATATTTTAGGCTACCATTTAACCTGAAATAATGCCATATAGACAATATGCAACTATAACCATAGCTATACTTCTATTACTTGATTAGCAATTGCCGTTTTTTAAGAGCTTGTAATTAACCCGATTAGGTAATTTACATGGCCTTAGCAGAAAAACTACGGATCTGCTGCCTTTCGGAGTAAGAGGACTTTAAACATAAAGTCACTCTTCAATTCTAAAGACGAACTTATTCTCACTGACAGTTAATTTGGTGACTAACTTTTTCGTGTAGCTTTGGAAATCGTTAATTTGAGGTCTAACATGAAGCATTAAAAGATCAGACTTTCGTTTTAATTTAGAATAGCGTAACTAATACCCATGTTGTTTTCATATTAAAAAAACATCATAAGACATACTACTACAACTCTCAGCTAGTCGATTACAATACTAACACTAAGGTCATAGATTAACGTAGTATAAAATTAGAAGAAATACATCCAAGGTTCGTGTTTGTATTACTCGGCATTTCTGGTGATGGGGCTTTTTGGTCTCAAATTCTCAATTTCTTCTGTCGTTGGTATATTAGTACCAATCTGCTCGATATCGTGTTTGTATGTAGTTGCATTGAAATTGTTCAGCAATATATCTGGTGACATAATAACCCATCCTGGCCTAGTTCTAACTGGTATATTGGAGCCTGTTCTGGCAGGAATAATATGAAGTCTACGCGTCGATGAGGAAAAATTCTCAACGACTCTATACAAATGATCTGGAACTGCATTATTTTTTGTATCTTGAGTTTCAATAGTCATGTCTGTATCTATATTACAATGAATCAAATGCCCATCAGTTGATCTTCTAACGGTACCTGTTATACACATCCAACAATGCCATTGCATTCTTTCGATTAGTGTTGTGTCTTCTTGTTCAATCCCTGGAAAAAATGGCGAATTTTTGTCTATTGGTACAAACACCAATTCTTCACTTCTTCTAAATTTTTTTTCCCACTTCTCATTGTTCAGTAGATTTGCTAATTCCTGTATTTTGCGTGCGCTTCCCCATATAAATAAAAAGCCAGGTTTTGAAATTAATTTGTCCAATGGTAATTGCGTTAGTAGCGGATAAATGAATTGATTATCCGTCAGACAACCAAGCATTATGACATCAAATACCAATGCCTCCTTATTGATCCAATCATTCAATGTAGGTATCATCTTTTCAATATCGACTCTATATCCGTAGGCCTTCGAACTAATTTTAGCAATCTGTTGTTCTTTCAATTTGAAAAGCTTTTGCAATTTAGGGTAGCCTTCAACTGGATTTTCTACATTGCTAACAAATTTATGAGGTACCACGGAAGTATGAACATAGTTGCTGCTGTAATTATTTGAGAATGGAGACCTCACTGGCTTGAAATCTATTTGATTGTACATTGTCGGTTTAGGCTCTGAAAAGTTATCCTTATTGTTGTAAAGCTCATCTTCAATCATGTTTACTAATGTTTTATACTATTCTTTCTAGAAATGTATTGCGAAACAAGATTAAATGCTTCCAATTATATTAAGAATTTATAGAGCTTTTTATGATAATTGCCATATTTATACAAGATTAAATGGAAGATTTCAGACTTGTTTTAAAAATACGTTTTAAAATTTGAAACTTGACTATAATGCAACGTATTACAAGGTTACAAATCTGATACAGGAACAACCGCCGACATGAGTTTGAGACTGAAACAATTCTTTGTCCATGCCAACCTTAAAACTTCCGTATGACGTGCGAACATGTTATAAGTGCTAAATATAATCCATATTATGCTATGCTAATAATGTAAAATCAGAATAGTTATGACGGTAATGTTCTTGCATGAATGTTTAATTTTAAAATGATCTATATATAAGTACGTGCCATGTAAAAAAATTTATATATGGCATTTAGAGATATGCCAAATTCTTTGCAAACCTTTAATAGGAATGCTTAGTTACCATGAGTTGGAGCTATTTAAAAGAGCGACTCTAATTACTTCCTGAGCAATTCCGCTAACTCCTTATTATCCACTTTTGAATCAGTTGGAGACTGTGTTTCACCAAAAAATAGATGAGAAGACCAGATGATATGTTAAGTCCAATTTATAAAGTCTTATCACGGCAAACCACTAAGTGAGTGGTACTCAACAGGCGCTAGGTGAATGACCTTATTTTCTGAAATATGACTTAAGCGTAGCTGACAAGAGATTCTAGTCATTAGCCAGGCCAATGATAATTTGATTAATTTTTAGAATCTTCGAAGGGCAGTACTTTTTTTAAATGACTGATATCATCTAAAGGCCCACACTTCTTCCTCTCTCCAATTCTTCGATGACAGATTCTATCAATTCGTCGTCATCATCATCCTCCATTAATTCCACAGCGCTGTATTTTATCATATCCCAGCGCCTCCAAAATTCCATGGAATCTGTAAGATCAGGAGAATCATAGTTTAATTCCAAGTCATTCTTTGCATTAGTCAACCTGTATTTTAGAGACTGCAGACTTTTGATGTTTGATTCATCAAACTCTGTACATGAAGTGACTTCGGAATTGTATCCATCTTCTTCGCTCACCTCTACATCATCCTCAAAGCAAGAAGAATCATCAGAAGTCGATTGGAAAGAGCTGTCTGCACTATTTAAATTGTTTCCACCACTACGAAGATAATATGTCTTCGTTTCTGCAGTAGATGATGAGTCAACATATCTTGCCCAAACCTCATCGATTGACTGTACGATAAAATCAAAGCATCTCTCTCTGGCAACTATATCATCGCGTGGAACTTCTGGTGTACTAGATGCCATAGAAACTGGACTCTGTGGAATATCCTGAAAAAACACCTCATCTTCAACCCTTTTCTTGAATGGATCTGGAGTTGGACATGGTGTAATTGTACTAGATATATGGCTTGCACCATTACTATTACTATTGATCAGCATGTCCACTGTTCTTGGCGTGCTGACAGATTTGCGCTTCTTTAGCAAACCGGTAGCATAATGGTAATCCTCGTCATCACTTTCTTGTTCCAAAAATCTCACAGTCCCGTGAGTCTTCTTGTTGATAGTGAAATGACATGTGGAATTGTTTATGGAGAAAGCCATTGTTGTAAGTTTATTGATAAAAAAGCAGAATTGAAAAAACAAAAAAAATAATGACAAAAAAACCAATTGATCAATAAAGAAACCTCTATTATAATTATTAGATGCTTCAAAATTGAGAAATAACTGTATGCAAAAAAATAAGAATTTTAAGTTTCCCTTGTATTGTAATCCTTTTTTTATTCTAATCCTTTTTACCTTTTCTTATAGCTTTCAAAAAAATAAAGGAGTTTCCTTGGTTTTATCTTTTTGAAATAATAATGAAGAGTAGATTTAGTATAGTAATGTATCTCCAGATATCAGTTTTTGTATTATCAAATACACGAAATAACCTTATTGATATTAAGGTTAAATTAACTTCGATGTGAAATAAAACAAAAAATGACAAACACAATCTATCGATTTAACAAACAAATCGAACTAAGTCTTGAAACAAAAGAAACAATGATAAACCGTCAAATATACCTTTTAACGATCCAAAGTTCTATTCGTTTACCTCTTATAACAGCTGAGCGTTTCCTAAATTATTCTCTTCTTGAAAAAAGCTTAGAAGTAGAGAATTAAATAAGAAAAAAAATAAGATCGAAAAAATTATCTTTTTCCACCTTTAGAGTAAAAAACCAGTGTTAGAATAAAAAATAACCCGAAAAAAAAAGCAACAAACTAACGGTAGATGTTATACTAAAATAACCTTCTAGCGCTATGATAAAAAAAAACTAAAATTCTTGCAAATCCAGTTTAGTAATAAGCTCCTGCAAGTAGTATTATAATAATTTTTCCTTCTTGTTTCTTCTTAGTTAATTTTCTTTTTTTTTTTTTGGAAATATTAACACTCACAAAAATAATTAAAAAGAAAAGAAGAAAGATTAATAAATTAATAAAAATACTTTTTCTAATAGGAAAGCAAAACAACAAACAAAGATTTTAGAACAAAATGAAATTAGCTGTATGATCCTTCGTTGAGTAGTATCGAAAGAAGCGTGATGGTATCCCCGTATTTAAATATATGAAGGATGTACCAAAATTGGAGAAAATAATTTTCTTCGGTCTCTTCTAAAGGAGAAAAAAATTTGAAGAAAAAACTAAGAAGAACCAGAATAAAAAAAAGAGTCTAAGAAAACCAAGTACTAAAAGAGAAACTAAAATAGAAGTTGAAATCGAAAAAAACAAAAACCTCTCAAACTTAAAAAAAGATTCGACCGTAAAAAGTGAACAAAAAAAAGATTTTCCCAAAAAAAAAAAAAATTCGGCAAAAAACGAAAATTCTGGTCTCAGGATTGGATAACCAGGGATGAAAAAAGAGTTCTGTATTTATACTCGCGTCTGGAATGCCGCCTTTTTCAACGCGTGAAAAAAGATAAAACTCGATTTTGATTGGACAACCTCCATAAAACTAAGGAGGGTAACCCCGTTTTGGGTGAGGGTAACTCAAGTTGGACAAGTTTTTCTGCTGCTTTTGGAAAGCCATCGAAGTTACAGAATTGATAAGCTGGGTAAAAATTGAACTTTGCTAGCTGAGAAACTACCGTAGAATCTCGTTTTCTATCCTCGTCATCTATTTTCTCACTTTATCGTTCTTTCTAGAAGCTGCCAATAAGTGTGCAGAAAACATCGCACTGGCGCAGGTGGTGGACGGTGTTGCAAAATTCCAATAAGAAAGCAAGAGGCGTCGTAAAGACAAGGGCAGAAGACAGCTTTAACTAAGCTCTTCCTCTGAGCAAAAATGACTAAATGATATCTTAACTATGGCCAAGAGTCGACACCTACGGTAGTTTGTACGTTAAGTTTTCCTATTCTGGAAGAAACTTGCTTCTTAGTGCACATGTGCATTTGTTTGTAGGGAGGCAGGGAGGGAGTCGAGACAACCAGAGATGAGAGGGTAAATTCTTGTAGCCGGGTAACGTTTCCAACACACTGAAAAGGAGTCCAACCTTAGTATTGGGATACCCTTTGGGCGTCTACAAATGACTATTTTGGACACAATATGAGCTCTAACAAACGCAAAAAATCACACATATATAAAGGAGAGTGTACTACATATCTCTAGCTACTTTTCAGGTTCAAAACGGCTTAAAAACCACGCTAAAACAGTGATTCAATATGCTCATATGTGCGCAGAACGCCACCCAACCAAAACAACAAAAAATTTTCCCTCCCAAATTTAATGTTACCCGGAACATTGTTTCGAGAAAGCGGGGTAGCTAAAACTAAGTGTTTGCTGGTTTTTCTAATCGAGTAGGTTCGTACATTATGTTTTCCATCCTTAAGCTTGCTAGTATGCTTAGTTCGTAGCTTTTAGCTCTATACTAATTCTATAGTTATGGCCATTATATCAAATACAGAAAGAACCCGTTGCTCGATAGACTAAAACCGTTATCATAATATTTGGACGTCCGAGAAAAGATGGATTTTAAAATAGTGTATTAACTGATTCGCAATGAAAACGATATCAAATACATCTTTGAAGAAAATTTTCTGTTCAGAATCGTTTACTTCTAATTTCTGATGGCAAAAAAACGTTCTTGGCACATGTCATATTTTTATTAATAGATACTACAAGTTTATTAGATGAAATAGAGCATATAACCATAACATAATGTAAAAATATGTGGGAATGTCTTTTCAAAACATGCAAAGTTGTCTTAAAAAGACATCTATACTGCACAATATTTTTTTTATAATAGTATACCTCTAATGTAAACCCAATTCTTCCAGGAATGCATCCTTTGCAGGCTTTCTACCCAAGAACTCCTCCAAGTTATCGTCAATCTCGTATAAACCACCACGCGCTAGAACAATATCCCTATACTTGACACCAACCTCCGGATTCAATGGGTCTGCTTTGAATTTTGTGTAGTACATGTCAGTAGCAAAAACTTCCGCCCACATATAACCATAGTAACCTGCACTGTACGAGCCAGACATTATATGACCAAACGAGTTATAGCCGGTGGTTGGCTGGTCACCGTTAGAAATTAGACAGATCTTTTCTCTAAGGTCATTCCACAATTTTTTGATGTCCAATTTGTCTAACTCTTCAGCACTCATCATGTGAACCTTCATATCGAATAGGCCAAAATGTAGCTGTCTCAAAGCAAACAAAGCCCCATTGACATGCTTGGTTTTAATCAACGACTCTAACAGCTTGGTATCAATTTTTGCGTTATCCTTATAATTTTGTGATAATGATAGTAGCTCTTTTGTATTCCAAGTCCAAAATTCTAGCATTTGAGAGGGAGCTTCAACAAAATCCCAAGGTACAGCACCTGGACCATTGAATCTACCTATTCTATTGTTTCCAACTAAGTCATGAATACCATGCCCTAATTCATGGAAAAAGGTAGTAATTTCGCTATGCTTCAACAATGATGGTTTATCTTTGGTAGACTTGGAAAAGTTACATACCAAAGCGGTAATAGGATATGACCTAGTACCATTTGCACTTATATATGAGGATGACAAACCAAAGTTTGCTGCATGCCCATATTTACCGTCTCTTGGATGTAAATCGAAGAAGATCCAACCAACAAATTCTGGGTTTTCAGGAGTATCTAACTTCCATACTGCTAATTGTTTGACATCATCATGCCAAGTTTTCTTGTTTTCCTTGACTTCAACAAATTTTAGCTTCAAAAGCGTCTCGTAAATTTTCAACATACCATCAATTGTGGATTCCAAGGGATAGTATTCAGCAATTTTTTCCTCATCGACATTGAAATTCTCTTTTAGATATTTGTTGTCATAGTATCTGTGATCCCAAATATAATAATCACCATCATATACCATGTTGAATTCATTTTCAAATTCTTGTTTTTTCAAGTTCTTTAAGATATCCAGTTCCTTCTTGGCTGGGTCTTGAAGTTTCACAATCAGATCATTCACAAAGGACAGCACCGTATCCGCATTTTTTGCCATTTTAATATCCAAGTTATAGTTAGCATACGTATCATATCCTAGGACTAAGGCAAGTTCATTTCTCAATTTCAAAGTATCTTTAAACAAATGCTCGTTTTCGGGAACCTTATTCTGATCACCCATGAATGCCTTCATCCTGGTTTCAGGATTTTGAGCATTCTTCAACACAGGAAAAATATCAGGATACTTGTAAGTAACTTTTAATTTTTGAATTCCAAACTCATCGTTAACTTTTTCAAATTGTTCAATGACACTTTCTGGAACACCCTTCAACTCTTCAGCGGTAAACAATATATATTCCTTCTGTTCTCCTAAGTTTTTAGAGAATTTTAAACAATTGTCGGCTATTTTCTTTTTTATTTCTTTGACCTTTTCCAGCTTATCGGCAGGCAAATTTAAACCAGCCCTAACATAGTCCTTATGACATTTTTCAACAAATCGCCAAATTTCGAAATCTTCAAATTCATCCTTCTTATCCTTGATTTGATTCCAGATCAGATCGAATTGTTTAAATAAATCAACTCTAGAGCCAGATTCGATCTCGAAATCTTGCAATAGCATGGTAGCCTCCATAGACGCATCTCTAATTGTTTTATCTTCCGAAACATGTTGTAAAAAGGTGAGCTGATTTATCAATAGTTCGTTTTCATTTTCATGGTTGATGTAAGGTACAATTAGGTTTTCAATAGTAGGATTATCAATGGCGACTAAATCGTCATAGAACAATTTAGTGTTAGCAATAAATTCTTTAGTTTGTGATAGAATATCTTCTGGCTTGAACTCCCAGCTAGGTGGATACTGTGGTGGCGTCAAGCTCGGCATGTTAGTGAACCTAGTATTTGCTAATTGACTGTAGTTTCTAATGCTACTAGTGTAAGTATTATTCAAATGAATCCCTCTATAGCTGACAAATAATGGCAGTGCAATTAAGGCAAAGGTAGTTTTCTTGCTCCTAAATAGTGTGTTTCCAACTCTCCTTCCAATAATGGATAAGCTCCTAGAAAACATGAAGATCTAGACTATATACTCAGCCCAATCACTTAGCAATTGGAAAGTTAGACTACAAAACAGTGAGGTTTTCTTTTCAATGCGCAAAATTCAAGATGCCACCAGAAAACTGAGAGACAGAACCGGAACGAAATTAAAAAAATTAATGGAGCGAAAATTAAGGGCCAGTCGGCTTGTTGAAAAATCTCTTATATCACACTTATTTATCGACAATTGATATGCATGTATTCACTAGTTTCTGTACACAAGACTCATGCAAAATTTAGAGCCAACTAAAATACGAGCTTAAACAAGAAGTTGTCTTGATATACAATTGTGTCTTTTATTTCAATGCTACCAGCAATTTTTTTGTCTATTATATATAGAGTGAATGAACCCCATTGTATAACACACACGAAATTGAGAAGTTCTAACACCACTAGAGTATTAACGTAAATGAACTCACAAGAACACACACACTTATCAGAATGAAGTTCAGGTAATAGCCATTCTCCAACATTGACATCTTAGTAAGAGATTTCCCTTTTAATTAAAAAAAGTACTATCTCAATGTCTTCTCTTTTTGAAGAATAGTTACAAAGTACAAGAGTTTGACTATGCATAAATAAAAGCCAAATGAAAAAAAAATTAGCGATTCACTCTTACAAAAGCTATTAATTATGCTCAAAAAATGAGTACAGTTAATGTACTTATGCCATTTATTTGGTAGCAAATAGACGAAATTAATTCTCACAATAAACACGGCTCGAGTTAATACTATAAGAGAAAAGGCAGATTACTTAACTTTCCGTTGAGTGATTAATAAAAACCTAATCCAAGACTAAAAAACACTAGCATAAAAGGTACTTCAAGACCACAATTTGACGTATCTGCTAAAATTGAATACAGCACACCGCTCATAGACTACTATGAATTGTTTTTCAGTTATAGACCACTCCTCTGTACTTAGCCACGATTCCTCTCTATTTGGCTTAACCAATCACCTCCGCGAAATTTCTCCATCCAACCACCCCCCTGTAGTAGTATCTACATTCAGTTTCCTCCCTATTCTTTATCTCATTTCTCACTCTCTCACTATCCTGCCCTTTCTCGAGAATAAGTAGCAAGTTCAATTGCAAAGCGAAGTGAAAGCCCGTTAATTTGTGTTAATAGAATACACTAATTGTACTTTTTTAATATTTGAGTATCATTATTAGTGATACTCAATAGTATTTAACGTAAACTGATTAAAAACTTAAGAGAAATGATAAACTACCATGTTCAATGCCCATAATATAACAATCAACCAGTAAATATCTTGGTCATTCTATAACTCGATAAACCTCTATCGTAGTAAGCTGTGAATCATTTGTAGCTCTCTATACTCCACAACTGTATGGATGATAGTACTTACCATGCAAGACTTTTCGACGAAGTCGAGGATTGGATATCGTCACCAGCGAATGACTGTTGAAGTAAGGCTCAAACTAATTGGACTTTGGAATGAAAATGTAAAATCATCTTTGATATTTCTTCTCTGAACAAAACCCTTTCATTATAGACTACCTTTGCATTCAGCTTCTAATTGTAAAATTTAATAGTTCCCAGGCTTTTTGTATTCATTTCTATTTTCTTAACCTGTTGAAATACATATCTGATTACTGAAGCTAATTCGAAAACTGTTAATACTGTCAATTATTCATTTCATTTCCATTTTGGCAACTGTTTCAACCGGCATAATAACTGTCTACTGATTCCTGCCGATTTAGTCCTAAGTATAAGCTAACGAGATCCATCGCTATTTAATAACTCTGTCACTACAATCAATATTATACTAAACATGTCAAACAAAGAGGAAACAAAAGCAAAGACTGTTGACTACACACCTGTAAGATCCATTCTAAATGACAAATGGGATGTTGTCTTATCTAATATGATTGTTAAAATGGGCCTAGGCTTTGGAGTAGGTGTTGTTACTTCTGTGCTTTTCTTTAAGCGTCGCAGCTTCCCAGTATGGCTTGGTGTAGGCTTCGGTGCAGGTAGAGGCTATTCTGAAGGTGATGCTATCTTCCGTTCTACTGCAGGTTTGAGATCAGTGAAGGTTTAAGACAAAAGTAAAGGGCACCTGTACTCGGGACATGACCAACGATGATAGTATAATAGTTTCTTCTACTGATCATGAGTTACTTTGCATGATAGCTAATCCCGGCTATCTAGCCAGCGGCAACTTGGATCTAATGTGCAGAAAATACCTATATTGACATCGTGTTCTTTTCCAACTTGTAACCACCAGCTATCCATATTTATCGTTACGGGACAGTAAATTGAGGTATCCATCAGCTTGTGATACACTTCGATAACAGCATTTAATCAATATTATAATTTTTATATTCAAACTATCTATGTAATTAGACTAAACACAAAGAATAAATTTTACTTCTACGAATCCGGTATTAATAGAAAATGCCTATGCTGAAGCCCAGACGTTATTGAGATCCATCACAAATTAATTGTTAGGTCCATAGGCCATCAAGTAAGCGTATCAGTCACAGAGAAAAACCTGACATCAATTCTAGTTGTTTTAACATGTCTGAATTTGTTTCAGAGTTTATTTTTTCAATATGTTCTCGTACTTTCTTGTCTCTCTTTTGGTCTTTGACTAAACAGTTCATATCTAAAGCTGTTTGCCTTTTCTTAGGCTCTTCAGCAATTTTGTTATCATTCAGTTCCTGAATTATCTTTAATTCAGCAACATCTGCATCCTTGTTGAGTCTAGCAGTCAATATTTTAGATTTCTTTCTTTCAGATGCACTGATTTTATTAACACCAGTCTTTTTCGGTACAGAGCTCTTTGATCTCGAACTAAATGTTTTACTTGTCTTCGATGTTTTAGTGCTTTGTTTCTTGCTCATTATTGCTTAACTTTCAACAAACCAATATACCAATCTATTCACTAGCCGACTTGAAATAACAATATATTGCTAATTACTGATGTGTTTCAGCTTATTAAACGTGTCACTCTACCTAAATATTAAACACATTACAAATGTACATCCTTATGCTCATCGCATAAATTTCTTTTAATTAGATTTTCAATAGCATAATCTTGATTTTTTTTTTTCATTTTCTACATCGCTAACTCATCGCTTCTATTACCTTCCTGCGGATTTCTCGAGGACCTTGAACGTGGAAAATTTCAAAGTGACGAAAATTTTTCCAAGCTCATCGATTTTTTTAATAATATTATAGTCCTGAATATCTGTCTGTGCTATTGATCATAACCATAATTATCACATTAAGTATTAGAAATATATTATTGGAATATCTTTGTCTTTAAGATTCCAGTTTCTATTATACTGTGCTATTATTATCAGGTTATATTTACTTATTCAAAAAGTGTGAAATAGAGTGACTAAAACAATGGTCTCAACATACAATAAGGATAAACCATGGGATACTGAGGATATCGATAAATGGAAGATTGAAGAGTTCAAGCCAGAAGACAACAAGTCTGGACAACCATTTGCTGAAGAATCAAGCTTTATGACCTTGTTCCCCAAATACAGAGAAGCATATTTGAAGAGCATATGGAATGATGTTACCAGAGCATTGGATAAGCACCACATTGGATGTACATTAGATTTAGTTGAAGGTTCTATGACTGTTAAAACCACAAGAAAGACTTTTGATCCAGCAATAATTCTAAAGGCCAGGGATCTGATAAAACTTCTGGCAAGATCAGTGCCATTTCCACAGGCTGTGAAGATCCTTCAAGATGACATAGCCTGCGATGTTATCAAGATTGGTAATACAGTTGCTAACAAAGACAGATTTGTGAAGAGAAGACAGAGACTGGTGGGGCCTAATGGTAACACTTTAAAAGCACTTGAATTGTTGACAAAATGCTATATTCTAGTTCAAGGTAATACAGTCAGTGCTATGGGTCCATACAAAGGTTTGAAAGAAATACGTAGAGTTGTACTAGATTGCATGAAAAATGTCCATCCAATTTATCACATCAAAGAACTAATGATCAAAAGAGAATTAGCAAAGAGACCGGAACTCGCTAACGAGGATTGGTCCAGATTTTTGCCCATGTTCAAGAAAAGAAATGTTGCAAGAAAGAAACCAAGTAAAGTTAAGGCAGAAAAGAAGGTATACACTCCATTCCCACCTGCACAACTACCTAGAAAGGTTGATCTACAAATTGAAAGCGGTGAGTATTTCTTGAGTAAGAAAGAAAAAGAAATCAAAAAACTACATGAGCAAAGAGAAAAGCAAGCCGAGAAGCAAATTTTGAAGGATGAGGAAAGAAGGAAAGATTATATAGCTCCTAAGGAAGATGAATATAAAAGTAGCCACAAATCCACGAAAAAGAGGACAAGTAATGAAGACAAAGGCGACAAAGATTCAAAGAAAAGAAAGAGAGAATAAAGTAACCAGAGATTATGTATATTTAATAATGCATTGATTACAACTGCTATAGAGCATATAACACAAACCTCATAATTGATCATCTGAGCAAATCGGTTTATTATGTAATAATAGCTCTAATGCTTTTGAAACGTTTTTACTATGGTCGCCCATCTTTAAATTTAACCTAAGTAAAAGACTGCTTTGTCTATTAGGTACTCAGTTAATTGATATATGAGAATGAGCTAAGTGGTAAATCTAAATTCATAATTCGTAGTACCCTCAGTTCTAAATAACGTGTATACTCGAATTTAATAATTACTGTGTCCTTTTTAGTATGTCACAAGAGTGCACTTTATCATTTTCACCTTTAACAGACAGACGCGAATTTCTCAGATCCTCACTTTAGCTCATCTCGAATTGTAAATTTCAGAAAAAAGACGCGTCTCTAAAATGTGATACCGGGCAGACTTGAAACAAATGCACTTATCAAGGAAGATATATATTATCAGTAAAAGGATTTAATTGACAAACCGAACTACTAGCTGTTAATAGGTCAACATACAGTAATTTTTAAACTCATCACAGCTATATTTTTACTCTAGTGGCTTTCCAAGATAGAGTTAATGGAGACTTTCACAAATTGCAATATTGTCCTGGTATAAGAATACAAATTCAGAAAGAAATAATTTAGGAACGCTATTAAATCAACACAACTAAACCGAGACACGAAGCATAGTTAAGCCCAGTATGGATTTTTTGTTTGATGAGCTAGAGCAAGTCAAAATAAAAAAAAGAACTACCTATAAAAAAGTCCAGGTTGTTGGAACAGGCCAAGGAGATGAAATAGCCAGAGAAGACACTAGCAATCAGATTGTACCAAATAATGCTTCCACAAGCTCAGATTCGGAACGTCTCCTCAACAATGTGAATAAAAAGGGTTTTCTTCTGACTAGCGATAAACTGGATACGATACGGAGTCGGTTGGCACAATCTAAAGATTCAGAAGTAGTTGAGGATAGAGCTCTAATCAATCCACAAATAGAGGAACAGTCTAAAGAAAAAACATTTTCTTCTGAACAAAATAATATTGTAGTAAATCAATCGGACGATATCTCTACACAAATTATTAACGAATATTATGATGGTGGTGAGGATTTAGATGCAACTGATATAATCAAAAATAGTACGCAAGTGATATATGAGAAACGTAAAAAGAACAGTATTTGGATTAACCCTAGGAATTCGAAACCGAAGAAAATTAACCCAACTTACGATACATCAAGACTGAGAAATAGAAGTAGTTATAAAACGGTTAGTGATGATGACATTGATGATGATCTGGATGATAATGACGGTGTAGAAGAAACACAAGCAACCCAAATTGTAAGCACAGAGAAGGATAATAGCGTGACAACCGTTAACCTGAATGAGGAACATGAAACATCGTCATTTTTATTCTCTAACATTGGAGTAGGGAAGTCTCTCTTATTTGATTCTGAGCCCCTCATCCCTACCCAGAAAATAGCTGCTAGTCAGAACGACAGAAGCGTAGAAATCAATAAAGATGATGACGATTATAGACAAACCATGGATGCATCTACGCAGATAATAGGTGCAACTCAGCATGTACCCATTGAAACTCAAAATAGCTACTTGCAGACTATTAAAGACCATGAGGATAAGACAGTTGGGTCATCAAAAGACCTTCATACACCAAATTTTAACCCCAATACTTCAATTTTACCGTTATTCAAAAATAATTCTTCTGAAGAAGCACAATCCGAAACTCAAATAGATGTAGTTCATGAGGAAGTCCATAAGACTAAAGAGAACGACACTCAGATGGATGATACACAAATAACAGAAGTTCTTGCAATAACAAAGATTGAGCAGGAATTAGAGAATGATGAAAGAGCAATTACTGACAAGCAAACAGAATATATACCTAAAAGATCACCAAATGTACTACCCGCAAAATCCCAATTTACAAAGGAAAAACTACTACAGAACTTTGATAGCAGCTCCTCAGATGAAGAAGATACTATTTTAGGTGAAAAACAAAAAGATCAAAACCTGAGTGATTCTGAAAGCCTTGAAAACAATGATATTATGACCGACCAAAAGACTTCTGTCACTCCTTCCTCCGAATATAATGGTAGCGACAATGAGCATTCAGCAAGTATTAGTTTAAGATCATCACCCATTTCTAAACCAAGATGGAAATCCTCAAGTATGATATTACCTGCATATGTCAACAATTTGAAACAAAAAGTAGAGAATAAAAAACTTCAATTATCATCAGATTCTGACGATGAGGTAGATAGTGCAGTAATATACAAGCTCTCTAATAAATCAAAAGCAACCCTGCTAAACCTTAAAGTCCGTTTGTCAAAAAAAAAACCTGTAAAAAAGGTCCATAACGAAAAAGATTCTACAAACTTACTATTCAACAACCTTCGAAAAGCTACCAAGCAGCAAATTATGCTTCATAGAAAGGAATTGATGGAAAGTAGAGGTCTCAATTTTGAAGACTTAGAAAAACAAAAGGTCATGGTAGAGGACCTCTTAGAAAAGGAGATTGAAAGGAACTTAAAGATTCGTGAACGAGAAAAACGTAAAGAAAGTAATGAACCACTAGCTGAACAGGAAATAATGGAATCAGATTATGAATACAGTGGCGATGAAAGCGATATATCCAATAGTGATATTGTAGATAATAGTTCTATATCCTCTCAGCAGATCAACTATACGGAAGAAATAACATACGGCCTCAAAAATTCCAATGAGTCTGATAAAGGTGATAATTCTCCTGCAGTCATAAATGGCCCAATTGAATTAGAGCTTGACAATGTTGATGATGAAGGAGACATTGAAATCAAAAGGAGTCATCGTACATCTAAGAAGCCTTTCTTGTTCTCTGATACTGAAAGTGATTTTCAGAATGATGACATCATAACTGATGCTTCATCGAGTGCTGAGAGATTACCAATAGATGAGTCACAAGAAACTTCACCAGAAAATGAAGACCATGATAGCTCAGAAGATATTGATACTGAGCAAGAAAGAATTGCTGCTATCAAACAGCAAGTGAAGCGTCAACAGGAAAGAGAAGTCAAAGAAAGAAAAAAACTGCAGGAACTCGCTAATAAAGGTGTGAACCAATACTTTGAAGAAGAGGCTGAAGAATCTGATGATGAATGGCGAGGTATTGGCGGTGTAGATGGTGATGATTTTGGTGAATATGATTCCGAAGTGGAGAAAATGATTGACGATTATTCAAAAACTGAAGTCGATCTAACTTCTCTGCGACAAAAAATTATGGATGAAAATAAAGAAATGGACCTCAAACTTGTGAACAAAATTCTTTATGATATAAAAAATGGTGGATTTAGAAAAAGGGGCCGTAATGACATGGAACTAGAATTTAGTGATGATGAAGACGCTGAACTACAAGAATTCAGAAGAAAAAGACGTGAGTTAATGAAACAGCGAATGCTTGAAAATGAAGACACCGACAAGCTGACTAAAAATCCGAAATCAAAAGCCTTCTTTGAGAGTATGATTGTGGACCTAGTAGAAGATAAGAACAATTTTGATGATTTATCAGATCAAATTGAATTGAAGGAGGAGAATATTACCCAAGAAGATAATGAGAAGGAGTATAATGAGGCTAAATCCAATAAAAGAGGGAAAATACGTATATCAGAAGATTTTGTTCAGAAAACTCTGTCATTTTTGCATAATGATGAGAGCACACAGGAATTTCAACCCAGCTTTATCATGTCCAAGGAGAAAGGAATTGGTGATATGAATGCTCTTAAGTCCAATAGTAGCTTGTCTTTTTGTTCAAAATTATCAACATCTAGAAAAATCATTAACGATGAGGAAGATGTTATTGAAGAGTTTGAGTCGTTTAAGAGACCTTCAATTATTCAATCATTCAGTTCTAAGTTTACAATTGATGACAAATTCAAGGACGGAAACAAATCAGTCAAAGTTTCAACTTCTTATAAAACAGTGGGAGGTTCCAAGGCATCTATTACATATTTGGGTAAAACACGAAAACTAGTACCTCCAAAAAATGGACCAACTGTTAGGAAAAGGAATTCAAATAATACAAGCCGCCTTTTCAATATCCAAAATGATCCATTTGATTAGCCAGATTTTAAACAAAGACTGTGTAGTTTTATCTTAAAAAGTTATATAGCATAAAAACAATACAATATAGTGTTGGATATCTTCCAACATATAGTGCTTTCAGTACCGGTACGTCATATAGTACAAGAAATAAAAATAGCATTTTATTAATTAATAGCACTTTCTGATATTAAGATATAGCAGCGTAGACGATGCACTCAACAGATTACATAACCATATTAGTGGTCAATGCTTCATTTAGCTCTTCTATTGATACAAAATCATTCCTTGGCGATTCAGCACTCCGGTTCTTCTCGACTGTTGTTTTTTGCTCTTCAGATATTGTTGAAAAGTTAAACATACTATTGAACTTGTCAAAAAATGTTAATTTATTATTCCTCTGCGTTGTGATTGGCGTCGCTGTCATGACTGAGGTTAACAAATCCTTTGACGTTTTAGATCCCAATTGTGTCATTTCTCTATCTTGTTCCCTTGAAAATCTACTTAATGTCGAAGTTCCACTAACTTGTATATTTTGGATTGAAGGTATTGTGAAGTTTCTGTTATTGGAGGTTGCAAGGTATCTACCGAATGGCTCAAGTCGATTTTGAAACTGCAGGTTATTATTATTTTTAGGTACAAATTTATTGTGTACTGATAAAACACTTTCATGAGAATTACACCTCCGTATAGGTTTCATATCATCTGTTATTGCATCTGTTTCAATGTTTGAGGAGCTAGTAAATATCACAGTTTCCTCATCCGAGTAATCATTATTATTTAGACTCTCCCCATCATCTGCATCAGCAGATCCAAATAGAGTTAAGGATAATCTTTGCTTATCTTTGAAATACTTATCCAGTTGATTCTTATCTGGTTTTCTAGCTTTTTCTGTCCTTAATCCTGTCTGAAAAGACCTAGCGGGATGTAATACTTGTTCTTGTTCTTCTAGTAGATTACTTCTGTTGGGGCTGCTCGGGAGCGATTCATATTCAGTAACAGATAAGTTTTCATGTATAGGGCAAAACGATATATTTCTCTTTTTTGGGGGTGAATTTATAGGTGATCTAATCATACTAGCGCGATTGAGTATCTTTAGAGGTTTTGGTGTAAATGACTCTAAGCTACTCTTGGTTGAAGTAGACGCAGGTGACAACTGTTTACTGTTTGTTTCATCATCTTGTTGAGCAATCTCATTTAAACTCAGAGTTATCTCTTTAAACTCTAACATTAATTCTTGTATCCGACTGGTGTTTAATTCGCTCTTTCTCTTTGTTGCTTTTGCATTTTTCTCTGTTCTGATCTTATCCTTAATATATTGCGATCTTATGTACAATGAATTTAACTTCTCGAGAAACTCTGTATATTTATCGTCAAGCCTTTCTATACTATCGAGTCCACTTTTATTTTCTGAGATGTGTCTATTCTTATTCTGGAGCAGGATCCATTCATCTAGTTGTTCTATGGCCTCATTTGACCTTTCTAATAATCTCTCAGTAATTTCCTCTAGCGAAGCCATGGTATAGGTGTTGGTGTAGATAAGTCCTCTTCAGTATACAACTAAGAAAAATGCCTTCTTGATGCTGCAGTTATGTCAATGAGTATTACCTCGCCAATATTTTAATACAATTTTTAGTCGGTTGTTTGTTTATAGCTTCAATAACTTTCAAGGTATGTTGAAAATAATCGCTATAACTGCAATGATAATGACCTTGCTGGCAACTATAAACCTTAGTACCTGTCTCGATTTGATCGGGATTGTGAAAACGATATATATCTTGCCTGTTATCAGATGCAGTGAAGATCAATAAACAAATGTGGTGAATATAATACAACTGGTTCAATCTCTAACTTTGTTGTTTTCTTTCTTGAACTGGAGACAATTTTCTCACTTTGTGCTTATCAATGTTATATTGCGTTCAATATTAGTGGTTAGTCGGAGCAAAAGACTAGCAAGGTAAGAACAGGCAAATGAAAACAATAAAAAAAACACGAAAAAGCTAATTATTATAGATAACAACTACAGCCCCAGCATCTATGTAGAATGTATTTAATTTTATTTATCATTTGACATATGCATATGCTCATCTCTTGCAATATGCCAACACAACTCAACCCTCACCCCACATACTGAGACGTGGCCCTTTCTGAATGAAGAGTGCAAAGAGAGCTGTTTTAGCACAATGGTTAGAAAAGGAAAAAACTATCTTTGATTTTTTTTGTTTACATTTTCTAATTGAGATAGATGATGATAACTTTCATTTCAGGATTACACCAACTCAAGAGGCTGGGTAAACAATATTCTTACTCAACCCAAGCTATGGGACAGGAAAATGCTTCGAAGGAAACCAAGACGGTAGCCAACAAAAGAATAATCGTTAAATGATATCCTGGTTTGTGTTAATGTTAAATGAGATGTTTTGATTAAGAGTACTATGGTGAGATATTTGGTATTTCATTATCTATAAATTAATGAGAGCGCAATAGCAGCTACTGTGATATATTAGGTTGAAAAGATGACTCAAACCTATGCACCCTAATGAAACGAATAATTTAATGGGAGTATTTTCTAATCTTCCATGACATGCCATAGATGTGTAGCGTGACACATATAGTACCCATTATCTATTGTTGTGAAAACAACAATACTGCCATATTTATTGAACTTTGGAAGTTAACTTGCCATTGCATATTGCAAGACCGAAATGCGAACTTTGACACTATGGTATAAACGGGAATGTCTTACACTTCCTATGACTCAAAAAGCAACCAGACTACTGCTGGAAAAGTATCTTTGTCACTATTATAACTAACTTTTATGAACATCTTCACCAATCTACAAGATAGCTAGGAAGGCGAAAATTTCCGTCTTTTACATCGCTTAGATAATAGACCTGTACTTCAAAAAAAACAACAACAAGATATGTGATATGCTCAATCGATAGAGTCACAACAGGTAAAACAATCTGACCCATGTTAGAAAAGCTTTACTTTCAGTTGAGAGCCCACTAACCCTAACTCTGTTGATAACACTGATATTGAGGAATCCCATTTCTTTTACGCTTTTTTATCTCACTGTTATTACCACTACATCGAACAACTCCCCATTTCAAAGGTAGCAGTAGACCAATACTATTGCTGCCTGCATGAAAGGGTTATTCCCAAAATCATATTTATCTCGATCCATGTTTACCCTATAAACGATAGTGTAGAAAAGAAATTGAAGATCTCCGATTAGATATCCTCTCCCCTTCAAAAGAGAAGACGGTCCCTTCCCATTGCGATTGCCTCTAATTCCAATATCAGCTTTCCTTTGAGTTTAGTTTATTTATGTGGAATTACATCTCCACTGCTATCTTATCTATCTCCCTTGGCCCGTCGACCTTATTTTGAGAAGAAACCAAAAAAAAATGAGAATTTCTCCACAATGATAAACTTAGTTTACACAGAGACTGCCTCAGGATCATTTTTTTCCCACTCTTCCCTCCCCCCTCAAAGAGCCCTTTCTTTGTTTATTCTCTCTTGAAAAAAACTTGATTTTTTTTTTCTCTCTGGGAAGCGGTGGAGATGCATCTCCGTGGTAATGGTCCCCTTCCATTAGTTAGCTTGGGAAACGTTAAGTTAGAGCTGTTCTTTCTATTCTCTCCTGAATACTCTGTTTTAGCATGAAATACAGGCTACTTCACTAAGAAAACATTTTATGGCATCAGGCCTTTAACAGATGCTTGAGTGCTTTTGCTGCAGTAAGCACTTTCTTCTTGGAGAGTTATGGGCCATATCTTACAAAGACTTGAAGTGATGAGCAAGAAGTTAAGTTACATATGAGGAATTATAACTCCATTGTGTTTCTAACTTAGCACTTAATGCAAAATGAAGTCAATAGCATTGAAAAGAAGAGCAAAAACAATAACTATATAAAGGAACAATGTTTAGCATTGGAATTGGTCCTGACCTTGATGTTGGATTGCCTTTAGTCTTATATTATTCTTTTATGCTTTTGTTTTTTTTATTGTGCCATTGAAAAGTTTCAAGAAAGTAATTAACTGGTAGTAAGCATCCTAACCTTAGTGATACCTCTACATCAAGTTAAAACTTACAGACAAAAAGTTATACTACTAATAACTAGACCCTTTTCTCAAACTAACCAAAATCTCTCACACACAATAATGTCAGTATACAACAAGACACCACTAATACGTCAGATATTTCCAAGCATACCACAGATGTACTTGAAACATGAATGTTTCCAACCAAGTGGAAGTTTCAAAAGCAGAGGTATTGGCCATCTAATATCGAAACAATCACAAAGAATATTAGGCAATGGCCTGGGTAAGAAGCCAATGGTATTCGCCAGCTCTGGTGGTAATGCAGGACTAGCAGCAGCCACAGCTGCAAAATTTTTAAACCTACCTTGTACCGTCGTCATACCAACCGCTACGAAACAGAGGATGGCAGATAAGATTAGAGCTACCGGAGCTAATGTCATTGTTTCTGGTAACTTCTGGAAGGAGGCAGATAACTACCTGAAAGATAATATCCTATCTAAGTTAGAAGAGTTACATAAAAATGTGGAACCAATATATGTACACCCATTTGATAATCCAGATATATGGGAAGGTCATGCTTCAATGGTAGATGAAATTGTTGAAGACTTTAAAAATAAAATGATACCTCTTAACAAGATAAAAGCTATAGTGTGCAGTGTTGGAGGAGGCGGACTTTACAATGGTATAATACAAGGCCTCGAAAAATATAACTTAGCTGACAAGATACCTATTGTAGGCGTAGAGACTAAAGGTTGCCATGTATTCAATACATCTTTGAGAATGAACAAAGTGGTGAGCTTCAAGAAGATCACCAGTATTGCTACCTCGTTAGGTACTGCCGACATATCTACAGAGGCCTTTAAATACGCCAAAAGATATGGTACGAAGTCTGTGGTTTTAAGTGATCAGGACGTTGTCAAGACATGCCTAAGATACACTCATGACTTTAACATGGTAATTGAACCAGCATGTGGCGCTGCCGTCCATTTGGCTTATCACACCGAGATCTTAGAAAAAGAACTCGGCACAAAACTAAATGCGGATGACATTGTACTAGTAGTGGCCTGTGGAGGTTCATCGAACACTGTCGAAGATATGGAATCGATACTACAAAGACTGTCCACCGAGGAGAATAACATCAATATCCCAAATGTTGCAGAAAATATTATTGTCAGAATGCCTGAGGTGTCTGTCCTAGCTTAACTTGAAACAATTTATACTATTGGATGTCATTGTAATTTATTTTATCTTTAGTAAGTTTCCTCAATCACTAGCTATTCTCTAGATCAGTATCATAAAAACCATTTCGTTATGGCCTATAGAATCAATGATGTTACGAAAAATTATATAGTGACTCTTTTAATCCATTCTAACACGCATTGCTTTTACCAATGCGAGACTTCATTACCATAACATTAATTTTCAAACACTTGAACAAAAATCTTGTCCCACGGGGATAATATTGTTTTGTTTTGGTTCTTGGCACTCACTTCATATCAATTCAGGTATTGAGTAGTTTTGAGGGAACACCAAAGAAATATTTGACTCGCTATTATTATACATATTGATCACTTCGTAGTAGAAAACACCGAAATTGTTCTGTCCAATTGAACTTGTAAAGAAAATATTAAATATTCTAACAGTTGAACACTAACGTGAAACACATTTATTGCAAAAGAAAATAGAACATTTAATGTCAAGATGCTATATATAAATAAAAAATACCAAGCATATATATAATTCAAAAGCTTTAATATATCAATAGAGCAACAGCATTATTAAAACTTTAGCTCAAAAAAAATACTGAAGTTTAAAATTTCTTTAGGTGTTTAAATCCACCTACCATAGTCAGACCACCGACCGTTATATAATAATAGCGAGAAAAATCGTTCTCATATTTTTTTTATGTAAGACAACTCAAAGAAAAGACCAGGAATAAATGACATATAATAATAATAATATAACATACCTTCTCTATGTACGCATACTCTCCACTCTCTATGTTATGGATATCAAATAGTGAGATGTAAATTGACTTTTGTTTTCTTCTTCTGTTTGCTACCCAGTTTTTGATCTGTATTTTTGATAGGTTTGTCTTCTGTGCTAGATATTGCTGGCTGTTGTGGTCGAGGTATGGGTTGTCGATATGGTTGCGGTACCAGGTCTCTAGTATCTGTACGTTTTCCCTTGTGAAGCGGTGGCCTCGATAGGAAGCGGCATAGTGATTGGGGACGCCTTTTTTAAGCAGATGGTCTTTGGTAACCACATTGAATACGATCTCATGCTCCCGTAGTTTTGACAGAAGAGTAGACAGTCGATAGGTTGTCTTGATCAACCCTATCTCTTGTGGGTCCAAGTTGTTTCTCGATAGGAACCTTAGGATATCGGACGACGGCCCCGGGAGCGACTGTCTTTTGGGTAAACTGGAACACAATGATATAAGTTGGTTATTAATCTCTTGCAATTTTTCCTTTAAATTTTCTTCTTGTATTGGATTAAGTAGATGCGTAATACTAATTCTTGATTTCTTTGACATAATGTACTTTGGTATTTTTAAACCACATATATATTCACTAGTTCAGACTGAATTTCATTCCGTTCCTTTTATATAAATTTATTGAGGTTCAACCGCCTAAAAATTGCAATTTTAATAAAACTACACTCCCTGTCTATCATATTTACCTAATATGGTAAAATACTGTAAATACTATATTAATCTTACACAAGTCTCATATCCAAGAGAATTAATATAAAAGAAACCCAAAAAATTGCCATGTTAACATGATTAATGAGCAGAAATTAACCATTCCTTTATGTCAGTTGTACAATATCTGAAGTCACTCTACTAATGTTAACTGAAACACTGACTATGAAGTATACTGCCACAAAATTCAGGGTTAGAACAAATAAAAGACTCAGAAGCCAAAAATATCCTGAAAAACACTCCGATTTTCTGGGCTGTAGTTCCACAAAGAGCTCCTTTGGTCTTAACATGCTGTTAACTAAACCGAACAAGTTTCAGATCCCACCCCCTCACCCTGTGTTACTAAAGCGAATTAGAGAAGAAAGGATGAAACTGACGAGCTCATTTGAGTCAGGTATCAATATCATCGATATTGAAACATCATGGGAGATAGATAAGTTCATATCTCATCACTTCAATACTTCCATCGGAAATGTTTTAAAATCGAAATCCAGCAGTAAGAAAAGACCTATGAACGCTTTTATGGCATTTCGTACATACTATGCCCAATTAGGCACCGGCCTCAAACAAAATACACTCTCCGTCATTCTCTCAGAAGCTTGGAACGCCCCAGAAACGGATCAAAATATTTGGGACATATTCGCGCAGCAGTTTAATTTTGCGAGTCCTCGGTGTGGGTTTGTAAATTATATAATGGCCCATGCGTCCTCAGCGCCATGACAGAACTTGGAGCAGGCGACGGAGGCGGAGAGCGGGTAGTTAGATATAGCTATTTTGTCATCTACATATTCATCAGCAAAGGAGTCGTGGCCTCTCGCCATCGCCCCCACAAATACACATACTGATTGCTTATCCCCAAGGTACTCCTGCGGCCTCATCACCTCAGCGTCAAAAGAAAGAGTTTGATATACTAACATTTTTAATTAAAGAAAAAAATTGCACCTTCATCTGCTGAATAATAAAATACTTACGCTTTGACTGCAAAATTAACAACTACCATTAAGAAACTATATTCCTGCTTATTTTGAAGGTCCAAAGTGCTCACATTAATTACTCTACAATTGCAACAGCGTCAGATATAGAAAATCACATGATACGAAAAGACTACCATTTGGAGTGGATCAATATTCTTAGTATTCGTAGGAATGTAAAAGATGAGATTGACAGTAATTAACAAAATATAAGAAACACAATATATATATTCAAATCTCTCTGTCTTATAATGGATATCATCATTTAACATTTTTTGCTAGACATCATTATGTCATATCAGGCAAAGCACTATAATATGTACGTTTGCCATTTCATCAAGCTTCGAAACTGGCTTATTTTCGCCACTACAGCTTAAACAAAAAAATACTAGAGAAAGCATTATTGATTAATATTTACAATCACAAATAAGGAATTATCTTGGCTCTATGCGTGCGCATACCTTAAGCTAACAATATGAAACACATAGATTTCTTACAGTTATAGCTTTTACATTTACTTTTAAAAGATTAAACTAGAAATGTCAATTGCTCCCTTTCAGTATTCTACTAGTTGAAATATTCAACTAGTTGGAGCGTCAGGAACTTCAATTTGCGCAATCAAGTAGTTCCTATAATATTATTTGTTTTATCAATGTGACAATTCAGAGAACGCTTTACTATTAGGTAGCAACATGTTTTATAGCTTTCAAATTCGTGAGTAATTTACTGCATTGGAAAAATCAATAAGATGAGAAACTGTGCAGTAAAGTTTAATAACAATAGTGATTACTGAAATTCAAAGTGTATAAATATTAGGAAGGCATAACATTTAATTTTTTTGCCTATCTGTAAACTGTATAAGGCATTCATAAAGCTTTTAACTTCACCATTGTTCAAATTTTTATAACAATTGATAAGGTTTTTATTCAAATCATGGTCCCATTCTGTAATGTTAGACAAACTATGAGTTCATTATTTATAGATGGCCTTACTCATTTTAGTCTGTGAGTACTTTAAAAGCTTATTATCATGAGGACATTTATAAGAACATCGATAGTGACTGCACTTACTGATTAGGAATTGCAAATACCAAAAACATCTATATATTATTTACTTATCTTAGAACAAAATATACAAAGGAAAAAACTCATGGACTCTTCGTAATACAAGCATTGGTAAATACAACAAAGATATATAAAAAAAATCCTATCTTGAAGAATTAATCGATGTTAGTTAAGTTATATATGTAAACCCAAATAGTTTGGATCTTGTTGAATTATTAAGAATAAATGATCTAGCGTCATTGAATTTAGTATTCATGGGAATATTGTCGTGGAGACCTGTAGATCTTACTCTTCATGATAGGTAGCTTCCAATTCTAACTAGCTCACATGATCTATATACGTACAATATATTAATGCAACCAAGCCCAAGAAAATATAAATTAAGTGGTTGTTTGGCCGAGCGGTCTAAGGCGCCTGATTCAAGTTGAAAAATACTTACTGGGTTAACAAACTCAGGAGCACTCAGGTATCGTAAGATGCAAGAGTTCGAATCTCTTAGCAACCATTTTTTTTTATATTGGAAGACTTTAAACATAACGATCGACGAAACAAATAGTCAAGTTTGGTTTAGTTCTTTTCCTACACTAGTTGACTTATTCAAAAGCTAATACATACATTGGATATAGTGCTTGAACTAAACTATTTGATAGGGAAACATTTTACTTGGCTAAGAGTTAAACAAAATATAAAGATTTCACTTTCATAATCCATATCACTTTTGGTTCACCATTAAGCGAATGCCTATTTTATTTAAATCAAGAATTTATGTAGACGCACTAAAGGATATTACTAAGATATATCTTTTCAAAGTATTATTTATCATAATTTCTTGATACTCAATGAGCCACCTATCATAATCGATCTGCTTAAGCTCAAAAGTCATATACTTCTAAGAAAAAACCACTAAATTCTCATTAGTTCTCTAAAAATGATAGAGAAAGCACTTGAACGACTGCTGAATAACACTAATCGAGAACTAGAATAAAACAAACCAATAACTTTGCCAACTTGTCTGTTCTGGATTTCATTGATTGCTAAATTTCAAACGATATTCTGGATTGTTCTCCTAGACCTTTCCATTCTAATAATAATTTGTTTGTAGCTGTGTTTCTGAACTTATATAAAAATAAGTAATATTGATATTAATTGTTATAAAATTTAAAGGTAAAGCGTAAGATAGATGTACTATCAAGTGATGTGGAACTACTCAATAGTTAATAGCTGGACTAAGTAATTACGTACTGAAAGTGAGAGAGTAATGCTTTATATTGTGTTCACCCTTGCAGTAATTACTAACTAAAATGTAAGCATTTCCACATGTTTGAGTTGACTTCTGAAAAAAGTACATTCCTTTCTAAGCAACTGTATTGATATGGTACACACGACTAAGCCGTAGTCCAATCTAATGGCAAGTCATGAGTGGACATTATTTACTTGCTCCCTAAGCTTGCGTATGAAACCCATAGCCAAATTGTTATATGTTTGAAAGAATTGCTAACCTTTTAACTACTACTTGAACAATATTATGAGTAATGTTATGACCAAAAAGACATAAATAATAAAAAGCAGTGTGCAAATGCTTGTTTTTAAAAAAATTGTGACGTCATCTCAAAATAAATACTCACACGATCTGAGATGAAAAAATGATTTTTCATTTCCTTTTTCAGTATATTTGAATTGTTGAAGAATATTTTTGCTGACAAAAGTGACTTTCGAGGTGATTTTGAAGGAAAAAAAAAATCAGAAATTACCGCAAAATACAGAAGTACTGAGATGGTTCCGAATTTGAAAACACCGAAACATAAAAAAGCAAATATTAAACAGTTTCTACATATAAGATAATTACGATGCCATTGAAGAGAACTATGTGAATTGAGGAAGAATAATTATCAGATACTTTTTATTAATTCGTTGACCTTATTAACTCATATCATATCAACTGTGACCATATTTTTTAATTAGCTAAATAAATATTGCCAACTGACAAATTCAACTACATAGATATACCTGCCACTTCATTTAATTCAAAATTTTGATCGTAATTTCTCTTAACATAATTAAAAACATTAATCATTTACAAAATTGTTTGAAAAGTTATATGAGAGCTACCTATCGTGATCAAAGTATTCTACCTGTTTTTATCAAATCAAGTTTTATTTATTAATTGACAAAATATATCAGGAACAAGTTTGTGCTACTGTAGATAGATAGGCAGAACCTAAAGATACCTCAGGTCTAGTTCGGTACATGTTTTGTTACTAACTGGCTATACTAAAATTTATAATGTGATATATACCTTACATATAGACCTTGGTAAAATATAAACCGTTGGCTACTTTTATCAGCAAGACCATGAAAGTTATTAATGGAATGAGGAATATATAGCAAAATAAGGTCTTATTTTTGCATTCATTTCTGTTAAGGCTGATATCATTTAATTTCCCCATAATAATTTTGTAGAAAAAGCAATACATGTACATAAACTTATATTCTGTATGTATTACCTCCCTCTGATTTTATTTATAATATTCTATGTGCACTTTTTATCAACATTTCATATCACAATTTCAAGTTATATTATTTTACTTGAGTGTCTTGCATTTCATTGAAGATTCCAATTATATTAACATCACTATACAATATATAAATAAAAAAGAAACAAATAATTATCTTTAATTGCATTAAATTGTTATTTTAAAAGTTGGCACATATAGATTATTAGTCAGCAGCGAATTGGCCTAATCAAGTCAAAGGCAGGATCAGGATAAATACATTATCTATAGTACCACATAGATAAGATCAAATAAATTTAAAATGTAGAAAAGTAAGTTCAATTTTTAAGGTATCACACATTTTTTTTCCTTTTTTCATTTTATGGGTAATGTTTTCTATTTTTGAACATATCGTTGAGATATTGTTACTGTTGCAAATAGAGGACTTTACTCCATCGCTCGTCAATTGTTACTAATATGATACATAATAATATGTATATCGACAATATGAACCAATATTTAGAGCAAAAATATATTCCCTGATTTTTCAAAACGATTAAGTTTGCGTGTTTTTTAAAAAATAATGTCTCACTCCAGTATAGTGCTGTATTTACCCTGTTTTTTTTTGCCTTTACTACCTACACATTTTTAAAGTTCATGATATTCATACCAGACATTAAGATAACTCTTACGGGTTTTGGTCTCGGAAATGGGTTTGCACTACCATTTCAATGACGTTAACATAACACCTATGTAGTATTTCATATATATTTTGACAGGTTACGGTAATTTCGATTTCATTATTATCATAGAACTGAACGCTGTTAATTACTGATAGCTAAGGCCTGTGGTTTTAAAACACACATTAGTAACTTGATCACTAAAAAGAATAATTTCATTCATTCAAGAATTAAATTGGTTAATAAAAGCCTAGATCAATATTGTACGAAAACTTGCTCTAATTCAAGACAAACTAGTCTAAATTTTTATTATCTTAGTAGCACTGTTAACTACCAAGAACAACAGAAACACCAATAACATCAATGAATGTAAAAATATTTGGATTATTTGATAGAGATTTTGAATTCAAATTAAAGCAACAATAAAGTAAAGTAATAAACTAGTTATTATAGATTAGTATAGACTGGGCTCAGAAGTAAATAGTTTACCAGGCTTTAATGAGATAAAACAATTCCAGTGAGAAATTAATTTTTAAGTAATACAATAGCTACATAACAGCCCTATCTACCTATTATAGTTTGTGAGATATCTACCTTGTAAAGAAAACAGAAATTTTGTTAAATTATTGTACAATCTATTAAAGTATAGATACTGTCATCAATAGTGTAATATAAAGTCCATCATTAAATCGTCAAAATTGTGTCATTAT